CTTAGGTTCTTGAAACCAGGCAGCTTGTTGAAAGCTTGCTTTTAATATAATGACTGGCGGTAGATGTATGCCTTTTGACCCGATTGTCTCGATAACTGTGACCCATTCGCGATTGCCTTGAATGACTCTACGCGGTCGCTCGCTGCGCTCAACTGCAGTAATCACTTTTGAAGTAGAGCAGAGTCCCATTGCAAAGCCAGTCTCGTCAAAATTCCAGATATCGTCTTCGTGTATGCCGTGCTCTTGAATGGTCGCTTGTAAAGTCTCAAACCACGGTTTTATAACTTTTGGATCTTCCTGCTTTGCTCGCTGATAGGTAATACGTCTTGTATATCGCTTACGTAGCTCAGGATGGCGTTTAACGAACTTATAAGGCCAGTTAATTCCGAGAGCTGCCGTTGAATCTTGTAATCGATTGCAAAGCAATGTTTGAGCCATTCCACGTAGGAATTCAGGTCGAATTGGAAATCCTCGCGTATCTGCTTCCAATAATCGCTTTAAGAGTAATTCCTCTTCGAATTCAGTAAGTCTATGACCATTGGCGCGTCGTTCTGTCCGTGATTTTGAACCATGAAGCCGATCGCGTAGAGTATTTTCAGGAATCGCAAAGACCTGCGCAGCGCATAAAATTAATTTAATTTGACCATTCTGATAGGCTGAAATAGCCATCTGAATACGCGACTCTTTAGAAAGAGGCATATTGTATTGTGGTGATGAAGATTCGACGCGTTAAACAGAGAGAATAGAAATTGGATTGAAAATCCGCGGTTCGGTGGTATCCGCGGTTCGGTGGTTGATTACGTTAGTTTTAAAATAGCTAATATGATGAAATATCTATATAATACCTTAATTATCTTAGTCTACTCTGTCTAGAATATATAGTATCTAGATCTATAAAGAGAAAAGATATTGACTATTAAAAGATTTTAATGATTGATTATTATCAATTATATGTACTAGAGAATTTTATATTTGAAATTTTGAGATTTTTTGGGCTTCTAAAAAATGTTAAAATAAATTTTCTTATAAAACTTTTATTAAAAATTATCCTTGATAATAACGTAGTTCCCAAGCGAGTGACGCACCCAAGCGAGTGACGCACCCCACCAAAAATGGCGTCCTGACGCGTACCCACTATTTTCAACCACCCACCATGCCACCAAAACACGCTCAATCAAGCCAGGATTCGGTTAATCGTGAGGGCAGGATCTTATTAGCCATTCAGGCTCTTCAAAAAGGACAATTTCCTAGTCTTCGCGCTGCAGCCAAGACATACGGCGTATCTGAGGCTACAATCCGCCGCCGACGTGCGGGCCAGTCTTCTCGCGCGAATACACGCGCTAATAGTCATAAATTGACTGGATCTGAAGAAGAATCGCTTGTACAGTGGATACTCTCAATGGATTCACGCGGTGCAGCGCCTAGGCCCTCAACTGTGAGAGAAATAGCGAATATTCTACTTGCCGACCGCGGAAACACCCCCTCACCAACAGTTGGAAAAAACTGGGCATCAAATTTTATCAATCGCCAAAAAGAGCTTCGAACATGCTTCTCAAGACGCTATGACTATCAACGTGCTCAAAACGAGGACCCGAAGGTCTTACGTGAGTGGTTTAAAACCGTTCAAAATGTGATCAATAAGAACGGCATCCAATCAGATGATATCTACAACTTTGATGAGACTGGATTCGCGATGGGCCTTATTTCAGCACAAAAGGTGGTTACTCGAGCCGAGTACTATGGTCGTCGGGCAGTTCTACAGCCAGGAAATCGTGAATGGGTGACTACAATCGAGTCAATCAGTGCAACAGGTTTTGCTCTTCCACCATGTATAATCTTCAAAGCCAAAAACCACAACATCGGTTGGCTTGATGGCCTTCCAAAAGATTGGCGATTTGAAGTTTCACCTAATGGCTGGACTTCAGATGAAATTAGCGTCCGATGGCTTCAAAATCTATTCATCCCATTCACCTCAAGTCGGATGAAAGGAAAGCATCGCCTTCTGATTCTTGATGGCCATGGTAGCCATCTCACGCCTCAATTCGACCGAATTTGCGCTGAAAACTCAATTATCCCACTCTGCATGCCAGCACATTCATCCCATCTTCTTCAACCTCTAGATATTGGATGTTTTGCTGTTCTTAAGCGTGCCTATAGTCGTCTGATTACCAATCAGGCACGGCTAGGATTTAACCATATTGATAAGCTAGATTTCCTAGCAGAATATCCTCAGGCACGAGAAGAGACCTTTAAACTAGAGACTATTCAACATAGTTTCACAGCAGCAGGTCTAGTTCCACTAGATCCTGAACGGGTGCTTTCAAAACTGAATATTTCTCTCCGAACACCTACACCACCACCTAGCCGCCCAAGCAGCCGATCGAGCGAGTTCAGTCCGAAAACGCCAAAAACAGTCAAACAAGTACAAATACAGTTTTCTTCACTCAAAAAACTACTTAGAAAACGATCAAGAAGCCCTCCTTCCCCATCAAAGATTATCCTAGATCAGATTATCAAGGGTTACTGTGTCTCAATGCATACCAATGTGCTACAAGCGCAGGAAATTGCTGATTTACGGGCTGCGAATGAGAAGAAACGGCAAAAGCGAGCAAGAACGAATCGTCTCGTTCGATGCGAACAGGGTATTACAGTTGGAGAGGGCTTGCGACTACCAGTGCAGCCAGTGCAGCCAGTGGAACCTGTTGAACAGCATCCGCCCGCACCGGTTGAATCACCTATTTTGCCACCCCTACCAGCCAAACGTGCACCGCGGAGATGTAGCGGCTGCAATAGTATTGGCCATTCAATTACTCGGTGCCCTAGTCTATAGTTTTTGAATTTAATAGTGTTTTTAGTAGTCTAATATCATTTTAAAAATGTAGGGGTAGGCGGTGTGCGTCACTCGCTTGGGTGCGTCACTCGCTTGGGAACTACGTTAGTTTAATTAATAATATCATTTAAAAGATGTTATCATAAATTAATCAAGAATTTAAATTACGATTTGTAAGATATTCTTTCTATATAATTGAAACAGTCGTTTTCATTATATACTAAATATTCCTATAAAAAATTACTTTATCTTTTCACAATGTATTAGAGTACAAAACCTTGCTTGAATGCCCACTGCTCCAAGACGAGCGCAACTGGATGAGAAACGCTCTGTCTGACCGCGGAGTTGCTCTTGGACGCGACGAGCTCCTGACGCGGCCAGAGGCTCGCATAATTGTGGCCGAATTCATGGTCCGGACAGGTCTCTTAAACCAGTCTCAAGCAGTAGACCCATTGGCTCTCGGCACGGAAAAAAGGCGACGAAAAAGGATGACCCCTTAGGACAGTGTGACGGAAGAAGGATGGTGCCCATTAGGAGTGCAGTGCCAGGTCCACTGTACTCCCTTGATGCAAGCGAGCGCAGAAGCGGCAGCCGACGGCCCAGAGGGCTGCGCAGATGAAGACGGTGGAGGATGAAGTAGATCAGAGAATGAAGTCTGATTGTGGAAAGGAGAGTGGGTAGAGGGGAGGCGACGTTCGTTTTGGATTTCCTTTGTTTATTTTATCTATTTTGTCATGCTTGCATACATTCTCGGGCGACCAATCAGGGGCTTGCGTTGCAACCCATGGAAACAATCGTTCAGTGGGCTGGCGACCACCTTCAAGCTGTCGGCAGGCCTGACAGCACTCCCGCATAGCAGCATATATTTAGAGCAAGCTACATCGGGCAAATGAAATCATCATCATCAGAAAAAAACAATATATATTATATATATATATTAAATAAATTTTATTAGTGTAAATTATTATAGCGAATAATACTATTGTGCTATTTTTGTCTATTTCCTCCTAACACCGGACCGGAATTCGGAACATCGCTGTCAGGCCGCACAGGCCTGACAGCGATATGCCCGATCCTGAGACCCTGCGGATCGGAGACGCTCACCGGCATACAACGCAAAGCTGTATCCCTCTGATCTTCGGTCATGACTGCTGATGAAGGTAGCTGCACGTGATCGACAGGGCCCTGGGGCCCTTGAGTTCTGCCATGTTTTCCCATTCTCATGTACATAGGTATGCGATAGTCTATAGAAACTTAGCTTAGGGAAATATGCACTTTCAGTTCTACGATCCCGCTATCTCTTCTATAGCAGTCTCACTAATATAAAAATTATATTCTATCTACTACTATATATACTCTCTACATAGTCAGCTGGTCCACGTATATAATTAGCTACATACTTTATAGCAGCTATTCAGGAGATTAATATACCATGGCCCATAGTGGTATCTAAGTTATTGAACTAGACATAGGGCCAGAGTATTTACTCAGATAGAGAATAGAAAGTCTGATTTTTTTTTTAATGCCCGCCGAGGCAACGAACTCTGTCTAAAGCACCAGATGACCAGGGAGGGGATGTGGTCTAAGGCACAAGGGATTTGAGCTGTATTAATATATCAACCCCTATCATACCTTCCATCCTTTCTATCACTTATAGCCTCCCTGGCAAACCACACCTATTGCGCCTTCACACAATCCCCACGGTCTGAACGAGGCCAGCCCAGTCACATCTCTTCCTCGTCCGGGGCTCCGCATTCAACCAGCAGCCGCTCGCCCCGGACCGACTCCCTCCTCCATTTAACCGACAGTGATCTTAGGGTGTGTTGTCCTGATTTTTCCCACCACACACAGTCTTTATATATTGAATGGCAAAACCAAAAAATGTTCGCTGGTAGATTAGTATATAAACAAACGAATAAACCGAAAGTCCAACTACAAGATCAAGACAAGAGATATGAAATTCAAAATGAAGCTTTATAGACGCTCCTCATATATTAACTGATTAAGATCTTATGATGGCTATATTTCGAGAGGCAGCAGATAAGAATGGAATGCCTTCAATAGTACAATTCAAAACACTCCCCTTAGGAGAAAAGGGATGATTTATCAATTGAGAATGACAAGGCTTAAACCTTGTAGAGAACTCGGCCAAAGCTAATCATCATCAGGTTCATTGAGCCTTCTTTGCACCAGCCTTGTTTTCCCTCCGACGCTTCAAAGCATCCGGAGTATACTCGGTGTCCAGAAGGTAGTCCCACCAGCGGAAGCTGCTGGAGTAGTTTCCAATAAACTTCTCATGGTGTAGGTCATGGTGGTCGGCACCAGCCCAGAAGGGCAAGAAATGGTGCAGACTCCAAGGGAACTCATAGCCGCTGTGGGCATCAATGGCCTGGAACAGACGGAGCACGATCCAGATATACATCGTGAGGATATGGAGGTCACCGGTGAAGGCACACCAGAGGATGGGGCAACCAACGGTACCAAACCCAAGGATCATCACTTCGATCGGCGAGGCGTATTCTGCGGCGAGACCAAAGGGTGCCGAGTATTGGTGGTGAATCTTGTGAATGGCCTTGTAGAGTGGCCCCCAGTGGAGAGCCCGGTGAGAGAAGTAGTGCCAAGTGTCTTCCATGACGAAAAAAATTGCAATCTGGTAGGCCATGGTCCAAGGAGAGGGAAAGGGGATCGAAGTTTGTAGACCACAGAATTGAGCCATTGGGTGGAAGAGCCTGCAGGTGGCAAAATAGCGTCAGAGCTGGTTCGGTTGGACACATACAAAACCAAGCCTTTGCAAACGGGGTCCGGAAACTAAGGGGAGGGTGAGCTCATACCAGATCTGAGGCAGTTCAACAGTGAAGTGACTGAGCAGCACGAATTTCGCGCAGTCCCACTGCTCGCGCAGGGAGGGAATTTTGCTCTGAACACGGGAAAGTTAGCGTCGCTGTCTTCTCATACTCTCGGATTCTGCTGGTGCTGGCTTACGCTCTGGATCTTGTACCCCTTAAAGAAGCCCAGACTGTCGATGAAGATCCATGGCAGGGAGCGACCGAAGTAGACCAACTCGTGCATCACAAAGGACATGATACCGGTGGCAAGGACGTCATTTTGCATCCATGCGTACCAAGCTGCCCACATCCTCTCGGCAACGTTGAGGTCGGCGTTGTATTTGGTGATTTCCTCATACTGGCCCCAGTAGGTGGCCGAGGGCAACACGGTCGAATTCCTGAAAAATTGAACATTAGTTTGCCAGTCTCGAATGAAAACTTTGCAGGGCCGGGGCACATACATTGTGTGTCCCAATGAGATGGTTGTTAGAGGGGGGGACAAGTGCCTAGAAGAAAAGGGTGGGAAGAGAAGAAGCGCGGGGTGGTGAAGGAGAAAAAAAAGCAGAGGAGCAGCGATTATTATTTTCCCGGGGAGGGAGCAGCAGGGCCATACCCGAAGTGGCGAGACCGCGGGAGCCCCTGAAGGAACACACCACTCAGGCGCGGTGCAAGGTAAGGCCACTGACGAGCCGATCACCATCCGAGCCCCACCCGCAGGATAATGCGCATTTGCGCGTCTATGTTTGGCTGCTGACCCGGTTGGACCAACTCGATCGCCTGTTGGGGCTCAGCCCACTGCGGAGGAACGCTGCAGGTGGCATGTTCCTAGGAACTGGAAGCTGGTCTGGCCATGGCATTCGACGGTCCAGGAGAATTGTGCCATTCAGTCGCCCGTCCTGCCCTATCCTGCCCTATCCTGCCTTACCTACTAAGAGTATTACTCTATTCATTCGTAGCTTTATACTGTCAGTATCTATCCTACCGGAGACCCGGTACTGTGTCTCGACTCCATAGTGTTGTACTGCCAGCCACGGTGTACATTAGAGTATATCCTCAAGAGATCGATCACGTGCGCCCTGTTGCATGGCCTGGTTCCCCAGGCTGCAAAAATTTCCTGCATGCGGCCTGTTTGCCTTGTTTGGACCGGTCCTCGTTATGACGCCATAACAGCCGAAGCTCTCCAAGTTGCTCATTGCCTCCAGCCGCGGAGGTACAGCACTCGAGGACCGTTCCTCGCCAGGTGCGTCATGTCAGTCGTGCAGGAGTAGGCCTTCCAATTGCCCTTCCATCTCCCCAATAATACTAACTGAATTGCTTCAGAAATGCCTGCTATGTCAGCTCTCAACTTGACCGTCTCCAGCAGCAGCATCCTCGCTCCGACGAGACCCTATATAGTGCTAAAGATGCCCCCGAAGGACATTTTCAGCGCCTGCAGCAGGTAGTCCACTCTATATCGGTCACTTCCAAAACGCAACCCTTGCTCTCAGCGGATAGGCTAGCGGATCTGCTGTCCGATCCGGTTTGTTCAAGCTCACCCAGCAACGTTGTGGCAACGACTGGCGCAGAGGATCATGTCTCAGATCAACTATGGCTTGTTGCCGGCAAAGCTGCCGTTCAAACATCGGGAATGGTGATGCATACTCTCCTGAAGCACACTATTCGCATCCACAATGAGATTCACTATTGGGACGAGATCTTAGGGTCCGTCTGGTATAGTGGAATGTATGCCGCACAGACTTCGCCAGTGCGCTTATGGCATTGGACAAGGGAAATATACACCACTCCGCTTGATCACCAGCATTCTTCCGAATCTTTATCGAGGTCAATGGCGGCCCGGTGGGCATGTTTTTATCAGATCGCCCGCCAGAGCATATCGGAATCCCCAGCCCGATGGAGTCTATCGGTTCCAATTCGGTCGTCCCGGTCAGAAGCCCGAAAGAAAAGGGATCGTTTACTTGCGATGAAAGATATCTCCACTAGTAGCCTGGGTCTTTTGATGGAAGTTTGGCATTCCTTCCACGCAGATGCCTCCATCTCCAGTGAATCCGTCTTCTCCGGTGGTAAGTGGCAGGACATTGTGTACCGGACCATAGCCTTGACCGAGGCTATTCTGCAACATGGAGTCGACCAGTCCGATGCCCCTAGTTTCGAGCAACAAGTGTTCACAACCATCGAGAAAGACATAACGAGCTTGGAGACACAACGCAATGGCTTTTCGCCCACCGCCGAATCTGTACGACTGATTGAGCGCCTTGTGCGTGTCCTACGTGCCACACTTCCGGATTATGAGGCAACCATTACGAACCACATTGAGATCAATGGTCGCCCCAATGGTGTAATTCGCTATTGGCTCCCAGTCATGGCGGCACTTTTCTCTAGTAGTGCGTCGCTACGCTTCATACTTCTCCGTCAGGATGAAATCTTGCAATGGATCATGAATATTGGCTCTACCATTATTGATTTTGGCCAAAATTGGGTCCTGGATCCGATCCATAAGCTGATCGGAACCATCCGACACGATGAGAAAAGTGAAATTGCTATTATGAGCAAGGACAGTTTGGTCGCAGATCGGGCCAGCTTAGAGCGAATGGTTATTGACTTTGTCCGCGACCGTCCTGATCTTTCCCCAGGTAGTATGGTGGCAGAAGATGCGATGGCAATCACGAATGCCGTCAGAGAAGGTGATCTAACGCCGGTTTTGAAAGCCTATGAACGGGACCTGCGAGCGCCGTTCAAGGGAACCGTTCGAGGTGACTTGATTCGCGCTCTTTTGATCCAAATCCAGAAGACCAAGGTCGACGTCGAAATCGCTATCAGCGGCATCAACGCTCTTCTCAAGAGCCAAGAGCTTGTCTTCGGGTAAGCCTTTTCATTCTATACATTGATTCTTGGATCTCTTTAACACGAACCACTTCGTCCCTATTTATTCAGGTGGTCTGCGGCCTACGCCTTACGCGATGACTGACGTGATCTGCAGATTCGTTGGCCTCACCCCTGGAATTTTGGTATCATATTCGAGTCTACGGTGGCTCTTTGGTGCGTTTGGCAGTCGGCGGGGCTTGCAAAGAGGCAAGCGGCAGAGCGACCTGAGACGCGGCCTGCGGTAAGTTTGGCCTTTGTGAGGCGCCAGGGACAGACAAGAAGCTAACGAAACAGAAATGCATCCCGAATCTTAACGTCTGCATCAACGGAAAATGGAGTCGCGTCCTTCAAGGACTCGGGAAGACTCATCTGCGAAGCGGAAAATCTTCTCCAGAAAGTGCAGCTTGTTCTTGGAGGAGTGCAGTACCGGGAATTTCGGGAGGACATTCAAGACCTACTTGATGTTCAAAGCGGAATCGAGAAACAGCTTCGGGTGGTGGAGCGGATGCGATGGACATATTGCCACTGAACGATCAATCACATCTGTTTTATACAAAGATCCCACCCTGTGTAGATTGTAGCGTGTAGTAGCCGTGCGACGTCGCGCATCCCGTGCAGCGGCCTCGGGGCCACGGGGAGGCTTACGTAACAGACCATCGACTATTGCGCCGTCATCACTCTCCACTTGCTGTTGACCACCCCCATCCCCCTCTCTGTAGTCCTTCCCTCCGTCTACCGTCCGCTGGCCTTGCTTGCAGCCTGAATCTGGTACCTGCTCTCAGCTTCAAGACGAGCAGTCCTTTCTGATCACCTGACGACTTGGGCTGGGCGATCTGCACCATTCGCCTGACACTCCTGATACAGTCCTCAAGCCACCCAAACCTATCCATCATTTCCCTCCCCACGATTCACACGATTCGTCACCGCTATTTGCATTCAGTTCCGGAACGGCTCCGAAAACTTTCGACACCGACCACCTTCCGGCCTTATTTCATTTGTGAGATCGGCTAAGAATTTGCCTTTCTCCTATCCCGGACCCTTTCCACCTTCCATCCCCCGAGGTCACAAGCACTCCACGATGGCAGGCACAAGGAATTATGATTTTCTGGTAGGTGCGCTCACAAGAGACTGGGATTCGGCTAGTTTGCTAATATGAGTCTGCCCTCATAGATAAAATTGCTGCTGATTGGTGACTCCGGCGTAGGCAAATCATGCTGCCTTCTGCGGTTCAGTGAAGACTCGTTTACCCCATCCTTCATTACGACCATCGGCATTGATTTCAAGATCCGCACGATCGAACTGGACGGTAAAAGAGTGAAGCTACAGATATGGGATACGGCTGGCCAGGAACGTTTTCGTACCATCACAACGGCATATTATCGCGGGGCGATGGGCATCCTTCTTGTCTATGATGTGACAGACGAACGATCGTTCCAAAGTAAGTTCCTTCTTTCTCCGGCCCCTAGCCCTTCTACCCTCCCCCCCAAAACAACGCTTGCCTTTTTTCGGAGGCCATAGTACAGATACTGACTTCCTCCTTAAAAGACATCCGAACCTGGTTCTCCAATGTCGAGCAACATGCCAGCGAAGGAGTACACAAGATTCTCATTGGAAACAAGTGCGATTGGGAAGAGAAACGGGCTGTTTCGACCGAGCAGGGTCAACAGCTTGCCGATGAGCTTGGCGTTCCTTTCCTGGAGGTGTCGGCGAAGAACAACATCAACATTGAAAAGGCATTCTACAGCCTTGCATCTGACATCAAGAAGGGCATGGACACCTCCAAGACCGAACAAACTGGGAACTCAGGGGTCAGTATAGACCAGCAGGGCTCGGGTTTGAATGGTGGCGCTGGAGGGAAGTGTTGCTAGACCCCTGTATGACCACTCTTTGTATTTCCCCTTTCAGTCAATTTGCCTTTGCGTGTGTCCTTGATCTATTCTTTCCCCGCATTGTCATCGGTTGTTTTCTCTGCAGAACATATCCCTTCGCCCACAATCTCATGTGCTAAGATCTGAATGTCCGGTTTCTTTGGAGAGTTGGCGCTTATTACCCCCTAGTATCATACATATCTGTCCATAAACTGTGACGGCGTGTCTTCTTTCCCATTGTGAGGATTTGGACGGGCACGCTGTCTTAAGTCAATATCTATACGGCCTTCTCTTTTCTGCTTTTTGATTCCTGATAGTGCTTAAGCCACGATGCCTTTTCCCGGCAATGAATGAACTAGTTCATTTAGTAAGACACACCCCGCCTGTGGACGGGGTAGTTCCTCATGGACCCACTTCATTTTTTTGCCAAAAAGTATCATCCCGCCGATAAGATATCCTCCCCCACTACAACTTCATTTTCTAATTTTCCCACCCTTTCAGTCTCTCCCGCAATACTGAGACGGCTGTCGATCTCGGCAATTCAGCTGCTTTGAAGCTTCGATCTCTATTCCTGCCGTCTTTTTTATATCTTTTTCTGTCTTCTGTCACGAACCCTCGGCAATCGAGTTCGCCAGGAGCTTTGAGGATCATATCCGGCAACCGAAATCGCACGCAGCCGAAGAATTATGATACCGTGAACCAACAATTGGAAAAGGAAATAAGTTAATATTCCGCTGCCGCCAACTTGGAAACGGGGCAAAATAGAATACCACATCGTCGACTATCGAATCGTCCGGTTGCACCACCTATCTCCTTCCATTCTCTGGTATATCTGAGCCCAGAGAAATGTCGGAGGTTCGCAGCTTCACAGCTCGACCCCTGTCGAAGCAGGCCCGCAGCGACCACAAGGATGCGTTCCGTATCTATCTCTCGTCCTCTTCGATGGCTGGTTTAAGACTCCGGGCTGACGATCTGTGTAGTCTCACGCTGCCGGATGGGACATCGATGACTGCGATCGCCTGGACTGCTGTGGAGAACATACAGAACACGGTCGTACAAACCTCGAGGGCCCTCCAGGACTGCTATGGTGTCAAGATAGGAGAGAAAGTCGCCATTACGAAGCTTGATAGGTGTCTAGAGGATCTTGACTCGATCATTCTCATCGATAGCTCCGACAGTGAGAAAATGGCAAAATACGGCGCAATACCCGCGGAAGAAAGATGCCACTGGGAATGGGCTTTAGAATTCCAATTATCGAGATGTGAAGTCCTCGCGAAGGGGCTGGTATTCGAGTTGGACCTCAAGGGCCAGCGTCGTGCTTTTCAAGTGATCGGACTTCATACACTGAATTCGAGCAGCCTACCGAACACCATTTTTCGATTTTCAAAAGCCACAAAAATCTCGATCGGAACAGAGGTAGAGGTTCCGACAGAGTCCCCGTCTAGAATTTCCGTTCAAACAGCAAATCTCGGTGGTCTTTCACGGCAGATCGAAGATATAAATGAGAGCCTGTCTGACTTCAACATTGACCATCGCAAACCGACCATGCCCTCGTTCTACGAACACAACCGAGGAATCCTTATATTTGGTCCCAAAGGAACTGGGAAAACCATGCTCTTGAAGCAAATCGAGAAGGCCGGCTGGCGACAGGTATTCAAAATTGGCACATCTTCTCTCGGGAGGAGCATCAGCGACGGTGAAACAAAGCTTCGGAGTACGTTCCAAGAAGCTGTGCGTTCTAAACCCAGTGTCATTATATTTGATCAGCTGGAATTTATCGCGCCCAAGAGGAGTTCCCTTGAGTCTCAGTCCATGGCCTCAGTCCTATGCGAGAACCTCGATGCCATACGGAGCGCATCCGTTCTTGTCGTCGCTGCAACAAGACACCCGAATCTCGTCGACGATTCGCTGCGTACTCCTCATCGATTTGGTACGGAAATTGAACTTCAGGTCCCCACGGCCCAGGACAGGGCAGAAATACTTCGTGCCATAAGGGGTCCAGTTTCGGCTGGACTGGATGATGGGCTAATTGATCTGCTTGCGGAAAAGACGCATGGTTATGTTGGAGCGGATCTTTATGCTCTACTGCAATTGATCTGTCGCAAAGCACGATCGCGACAGATTCTTGACCAAGGGTATTCATTCCAGGAAATGGAATTTAGCACTGGCTCTGAAGGTAACGAAGAACCCAGTGTTGAGTTGGATATCCGAGAAACAGACGTTCTGTCCTCGCTACAAGAAATCCGCCCTACTGCCATGCGAGAGGTATTTCTCGAGACCCCTAAAGTGCGATGGTCGGACATTGGAGGACAAAGCGACATTAAGAAACGTCTACAGCAAGCGGTCGAGAGGCCTCTTAAGGTGAGTGCTGAGAGTCAACACTTGCATAGTAGTAATGGCAAAGCAAATCTGACAACATGATCTAGCACCCCGAACGGATGCAAAGACTCAACGTGAAAAGCAAAAAAGGCGTTCTCCTTTACGGGCCACCAGGCTGTTCCAAAACTCTCACTGTCAAGGCGCTGGCCACAGAGGCTGGGTTGAACTTTTTGGCCGTTAAGGGTGCTGAGATTCTGAGCATGTACGTGGGAGAGTCTGAGCGCTCTTTGCGGGAGATCTTTCGCAAGGCTCGAGCTGCTAGGCCCAGCATCATTTTCTTCGACGAAATTGATGCCATTGCAGGACGGCGGAGCACTGGATCTCAAGGTGGTGTCAATGTTCTCACGACTTTGCTGAATGAGATGGATGGTATTGAGGAGTTACGCAGTGTGCTCGTCATTGCGGCAACTAATAAACCAGATGTTTTGGATCCTGCTCTTATGCGTCCAGGCCGCTTGGACAATATCCTCTATATTGGACCGCCCGACTTCGAAGCCAGGAGAGAAATTTTCCGAATTTGGGCCAGTAAGTCCGTGATCCATCCGGATGTAGACCTTGATGATTTGGCCAACCGGACCGAGGGCTATTCCGGGGCAGAAGTCGTCAGTATATGCGAAACTGCAGGCGATGCGGCTCTCGACGAAGAGGAAGTGACCCAACAGGAGCAAGACGTGAAGTTGAAGCATTTCGAATATGCGTTGAGCCAAGTACGACGACAGATCACCGATACAGTCATTCAAGAATATGAACGATGGAGGGATGCGCAATCCTAGCGGATCAGATTTCGGTAATCTCGCGCAGAATAGGCGCTGAGATCGATGAATTCTCAATTACACTTGATTCTGATGTTCATGTACCATTAAAATAGATACTGATGTGCCACTAACGTAGTCTTGTGTATTCAACTGATGAGTAGCCAATTGAATGTACCCCAAACCCAAACAATCTGCACCAAAATGTCAAAGTACCAGAGATAAGATAAGGTGAATACCGCATCTGGCTATGTTGAGGCCTGAGGCACCCACGATAGCTCTGGTGCTCCCGTCGCGCGCGCCATTCATTCACTTCAACTACTGTCTTGTTCACTTGCGCAAACCCTCTCCACTCTTCTCCAGCATTATCCACCTCTCTCAAACAGTCACTGGTGCCCGAAATCTGATTTTGAAGATACGCATTCAAAGTTTCGCCTCGCGTCTCATGCGTCTCTAATCCTGCGGTCTTTCCCTCATCGCTCCCGCACCAAGACCATACAACAGCTTCTTTTCGAAGCCATCATCCTCACAAACTCATCACACCCAAAACTCTACATCTATGTCATCTCGATCCCCTCGTGGGCGCTCGCCCATTCGGTCTCCCCTTCGAATGCGGTCTCGATCCTTGCGACAATCTAGATCCCCCCGCAACGACTCACGCTCACGAAGTATTACGCGGTCGCCCTCTCGAGGCCGAACTCGATCTCGCAGTCACAGTCGAGACAGCCGGAATTACCGGGGTCGCAGCTACAGCCGAACCCCCAGTCGAACTCCAAGTCCTCCAAAAAGTGCTAAAGTAGGTCTTGTCTTTCGTTGATCCGATCGTCTAATGGAAATTCTCGTCACCATTTGCTAATCTTTGTGAATAGATCGTGATTGAAAAGCTGACCAAGAATGTCACGGAGAATCATTTGCGCGAAATTTTTGGCAGTTTTGGAGAAATTGAAAACATCGACCTCCCCATGAACCGAGCTTGTGAGTGTCCCACGGACGATACCTAAACCTTTGGCATTCGCTCGGCATTCTTCAATGACTGCCGTATTCTCCTAGTTCAAATCCCGACTGTTACTGACATGAACTCTTTTAGTCATGACAAACAAAGGCACCGCGTACATTTTGTATTACGACCCTGCAGATGCCGAGGCGGCCATTGCGCATATGCACGAAGCTCAACTTGATGGCGCTATCTTGAACGTTTCTATCATCCTTCCTCGGCGGGCATTTTCTCGGTCTCCTCCACCTGCTGCGAATCGTGGCCAGGGTGGACGTTTCGGATTCCGAAACGGATCATATGCGAAGTCACCACCGAGGAGACATGCTCGTGCTCGTCCTGGCGAACGTCACGATGTTTATCGACCCCCGTCTTTGTCGCGGTCCAGATCTCCTATTCGATCACGGTCGTACTCCCGCTCGCGTTCTCCAGTGCGTAAAGGGGGTTATCGCTCGAAAAGTCCACGAAACCGCCGGCGGCGTAGCCCCAGCTACGGTAGTTATGACTACAGCCGCAGTCCGACACCCAACAGAGGCCGAAGTCGGAATTGAAAACAAGCCTATGGCATGAGCCTGGAATGGTACACTACGGACCTGTCGAGTTGCTGGGGGAAGAATTTGCGAAGAGAATAAAAGAAGATCTGTCGATGGCGAGCCTTTTCAGCTTCATAGGCTGCTGGCAGCATTCAGACTGAGACCTAGCTAGTCTTTTAAAAACTTACAAGAGTGATTCTATTCACCGGATAACTACATATTAATTGTAGTCTGGTAAAGCCCAGGTCATGTGCAATCACACTATCTGTTCTATGGGTTAAGAAATAAAAAGAATAGCGAAATTGAAAACTGAAGATTCCGGAAAGAAATATCATGTCACGCTAAAGTTCAAAAGAATGCACACCATCCGATATACATCACTGCCAGGTTCTTTTTATCGGTCGCCTGCATGATCAATTCATCCACCTGCCCGTCCACAGAGAGGGGGATTGGTTGTTTCGACATGAAGCCGCGGAGTTTGTTTCGGACATCTTCCAAGACTCCAGCTGGTGTGTCTGGGACATTGACATGAGTGCGGCGCTATGGTTGTGGTTAGTGGCAGAACGTGGGGCTAGCAAATCCTCATGATCATGACTTACTCTTTTCCCGATGAAGTCAGTGGTCGGGTCATGCAGGAAGGTTTCGAGGATGGTCATTAATGCGTCTTCGTTCTGTCGCAAGAGACGGAGCGTGATCTCACAGGTTCGCCGGAATGGACCTTGGAGGCTGGTTAGATAACATTCGATTGCCGCGAGACACTTTGTATGAAACTCACCATTGTATCCATAAGCACCAAATGCGTCAATCATGTTTTGTGTCAGTCGGAACGGGACCACCTCGGGCTTCCCAAGCGTCTGACCCTACTAGGATGAGTATTCACGCAGACGCTAACCAGTGTCTCCGGGGGTACGTACCTTATCGAAGAGACAGTTAAAATCGACGTGTAGAATGCCGCCGGTACCTTCCTCGAAGGACAAGTTCTCTCCATGCCGGTCGCCGAGTCTGGAAGAAAATAAAAAAAATAAAAATTAGAGCTCTGTATACTAGTCGCATCCATTTTGTTATTGTGAACATACCCGAGAACGTATCCAACCATCGACATCACAGCAGAAGACCGCGTATACCGTAGCCGTGCCGCAAACCATGCCTCGGCCTCTGGAAACATTTCTATGAACCATTCGTGAAGGACGGGAGGAAGCCTGGGGAACAATTAGTATATTTGTTCACAGGCTATAACATCGATAGAAAATCCTGACTTGGCCAATATCTTTGTTGTAAACAAAGGCAGTTTGGACATTGATCGATCTGCACATATTTCATCGAGATAGTGTCGAATCTCGGTATACTTCCAGTCAGATCTATGTCAGCCACGTGTCTCTCATTTTTTTTGGAAGAAAAGTATGCCAAGGGAAGGCTATGAAACTCACATTTGGCGCCACACCCCGTTCGCGAAGAAGCTTGACAACAATGTCTCGTAACGTACGTAGATTGTCGACCCACTCGATCAAACCACATTCCTCATTCAAGGGCGTCACGGCATACGTTTTGATGTCTTTCTTTCGATCAGCCAGTGACCGATGAAGTCTTTGAGGTTATTTCACTTACACATTCGGCGCTTGCTTGATTCCACATCCCGCTTGAGGAACCGATTGATCATGTTGTTGAATTCCATGAGACGTTGATCTTTGCGCAGATCGTCCTTGGGTTTGCATAAAGCGTTGTATATCTTCCCATCGGATCCTCGGATACTGATCTTACGCGGCTGTTGGGCCGAGTTTAAGATATGCGCCTCATCAAGAACAGCTGGAATCAATTAGTAAAATGTATGCATACTGGTAGAGCCACATCTATATGCGTGTGGGATTATACCGTCAATTGTGGTCGGGTCTCGGGGAAATGGCCGGAACCCTTTCAAGTACTCGGAATCATGGCTGCTAGGCAAACTTGGGATTAACATTGCCTGGAATGGCACAACCAAACGGCATGGAGCCACTTTATGGTTGAAGCCCAGGTTGCGAGCCAGATTTACCCGGAAGACCCTTTCTTCGACATGCGCAAGGCACAACTGAAGTAACTCGTCGGAGAACTTTTGACCCTGGTTTATCATGCGGTGGATGTCAGGGGCCGACGAGTCAGCTTTATGCTTATTGGTGTATTCCTGCAATTATTAGTACATTCTTTCAGCCTTTGTTTGCATAGGACTCACTGTAATCTTCTTAAGGCAGTTATACCCCCTGGAAGCTCGCTCTTTGTTGGAAGATTTTACAACGGCCAAGACAGTCCATAGGCCTTGCTGTGGAAAGCAATGAACAGACTTGACCACAATCCTAGACAAGAGTTCATGAACCGTGCTATTTGGATGGCAGATCCGAGCCACTACCTGTGGCAAGATTGTGAAGAGCTACAATAATCAGCCAATAACGTCTAATAGCTCACGGCTTCCTACTTACCAAAGCAGGCTGCAACCGAGAAGCTATGTATTTCTTCAGCTGGGTATGCATTTCATCCAGGCTTTTCTGTCGCTGTGCCTTGGTGTGTTTCTGAAATTCCCTAAAGTTGGGAAACAACGAGACTTAGTTCGGATATGAATGGCCATGCCTTCTCCATGCAGTATGACTTACTCATTGTCTCCCCTTTTCGGGTCAATTGGCTGATCCACAATGGAAGCATGCTCTAGCCACAGAGTCAAAAGCTTTGGTAGCGTCTGGAACACATATTTACTACCATATGTCAGTGAGCGGAGGTAGTTGTCAATCACAAGTTTCGTGGCCTCTCCACTCAGGCTAAATGGCGTTGTCAGTAGCGTCGAATTTTTGGAATTGAGCAGTTTCTCCACTTACTAGATCTGGGCCTCCTTTCCCATCGGCTTCGCTTTCTCGGAATCCAGGATCTTGTTATAGTGCTTTCCTAGGTAATAGTGCGCCTTTTCCCATCTGGGATACAGCTTGATAGCCTCCCGATATCGTTGTACAATGGCCTGGGAATGGGTCTGACCAGCCCGATCCGTCCATTTGGCAAGCAAGAGGTGTGCCTGTCCAATACAGTCAGCGGCACTTAGCTGGGTATTTCAATTGGAGTAAAAAAAACTTACGCGAGCAGTGATCAACACATCTTGGTGTTGTCCACGACCTGAAAGGGACGACGTCATCTGTGAATTGACTGAGGAAGAGGTTGCCAGATTGACATCGTTTGCAGATATTGCGCCTTCCAACGTCTGGATTGCTTTCCGGTGATGTCCGTCCTTCCAAAGCAGTCTCGCATGTTCAATTGTGGCAGATCTATCCTGCAGCCGGGCAGCATGTAGCATTGAATGATAGGCCTGGCTTGTGAAATTGCCTTTTCGAGAAAGATGCGCACTCGTAAGCCATGCCGCAGCAATGTCCGAGTTCGCAAATGCTCCCCTAGGAGAAGTTGATTTAGTGACATCCATGGTTTCGGGGACCAAACATGACTTACGCTAGTTCCATTGCCGCCCGCCTGAGCCCGAGGAGATATTGCTTATCTGCAAGGTAACCACCCAAGACATCTAGACGCCGGTCCAATGCCTTGAGAAGATCCTGGTACGAGCGAGGTTCTTTAAACCCAGCAGTCGCTATCGATTCCACATCTGCTAACGCATGCAATCGGAGCATGTCGTCATGGCAGGACTGCAGCGAAGCCGCAGAGTTAGCAGTCAATGACCTTGCAACGTTGAGTCTAAGATCGTTGATGATCTCGGTGAATTTATGAGTTTCCATTTTGTCTTTTCGGAGAACGTCCAAGGCTGAGCCAATGCCCACGTTGAAGTCACCTGCTCCGCGTCTTTCACACAGCTCCAGGTAGCCTTGCAGTTTGTCCCATCGGCCGGTAATCCATGATGCCTCAACTGCGAAGGGCAAGAAGCGGAACGCTGCAGTTTTGTCTTCTTTCAAGACCTCAAAGCGGGTAAGGATCGCATCTAAAAAGTAGTAGGTCAGAAGACTTCACAGTTCGCAGTTGATATGGACAGTTGCTAGAATACCTTGTTGACCAGACTCCTTCAGACAAGTAACGAGATTCCATTGGGCGTCAACATTGTGAGGGTCCTTTTCGAGCTGTAGTTCATACCAACTCTGCGCAGTCGCCCATCTCCCTGCTTTTCGGTGCTCCAAAACTTGCTGATCAATATCCAGTACCGAAAGATGACTGGAGATACCTTCAATACCGTCAGGCTCATCAATCTGGCTGTAGATATCCTGGAGGCGTTGGTATAAAGGCTCGGCCTCAGGTTTCTCGGAAGACTCAACACGAGACTTGCATTTTCGAATGTATTGTTCCCAGTGGAACAAAGCCCTAGAATAGGATTTACACTCGACAGCTCGCTTGGAGATCTTTTCAGGTGGAATTGATGCAAGAAGAGACTCGACAGACCTGATCTGCGAGGCGAACTTGGCATGGAGGGGGTCTCGAGTGGCATCTCGGTGTGAACGACTTGATTGGTACGACTGGTGATTTAAACCATTCATGTGCTTCTTTTTGCCCTGGAGCCACCTGGACAGGTAATCCAAAACCTCAAAGACACTCTGTAATATATGTGAGTGAATAAACAGGTCCACGCCCCAAAAGGGGTGTGGAATACGTACCTGGCTGCAACTGAGAATTGTCTCGCGGAGGTTACCGTTCGTATCAGGAAGAGGATTCGAAAGGACCTTAGTGAGCTCGTTTCGAAGGTCCTCCTTTTCCTGCTCGGTGCCACCGACAATGCGGTTCAAAACAGCAAATGGAAGGAGGAATGATGAAATGGATATGTCTTGGCCCTTTACAACGCGGCTGCAAACTGCAAAAACAATCTTTGCGTTGTCTCCACTCGCAGTTTCGAGCAAATCCTGCACCAAAGTTCGAAGCCATTCGCTGTGTGTTATGCTTGGTGAGAATAACGGATATTTCACCTTGGCGTTGGCAGTGACGACAGTGACGGTGTACGTCGATGTCAAGAAAGGTGTAAGGGTATTGCGAACACTCTCGGGAAGTTCCATCCAGCGCTGATACCTCTCATCGCCCTGGAGATCCCGAGTCCGTTGAGTGACAGCCACGTTCAGCTGGCAGAATTTGAGAAGGCCTTGCATAGCATATGCCAAAAAGCCTTGAGCTCTTGTGTTAGAGGCCGATAGAAATGCGTCGACTAGTACGTGCTGGAGAAAGAAGAGCACGAATTCCATGGTCTCTTCCATGCGATCAAAGTTTGATAGAACAAGAATATCTTTCTTTTCTTTAATGGTTTCCACTCGATTAGGATCAAGGCAGCCGACGAGCCCTAAGCACTGCGAGGAAAGCAGAGTAATGGAATCCGAGCTGCTGTTGAACTTCACACAACAGTCTAACAGTGCCCTTGTCAGCTGAGCAATAACAGTGTCTGGCTGCTCGCTGAGAACGGAGACATGTAGGAATTCCTCATTCTTGGAGAGAAAAGAGAATAACTCCCTCAAGGCCTGCTCGACAACAGTTGCATTTTCGCTCTGGCAGCGACGCATAAGCGCCAAAAATTGACTTCGAACGTCCATTTGAGCTCTCAGTTCATTGATTCTGGCCTCGAGTGGACTCATTTCGGGAATAGAAGCGAGCGAGGGCATGGTATTGAAAGTATCCCGCACAAGGTTCGGGTGACTGGTGAGGATATGATCAATGAGCTGATATGCGTCTTGTCTACTCTCCCCAGTCAATATTGCCCAGTATCTGATCACAATGGCTAGCGTTTGATCGATAAGAGGCTCAATGTCCTCTTCGCTGAGCGAGCGGACGAGGGTTTTCCAGGCTGAAAACGCATTGTCGCACAATTCTTCAATCTCAAGCGCTGACCGAAGGCAGGCGCTGACTTGAGGCAAGGCATTGCTAACGTGGCCTTCAGCAATATTGATCATTTCTTCGATTGCCTTAAGATTTCGCCTCTTCTCCGCCAACGTCTGTCTCACTTGAAAGTCATTGATTGTATTCGCAAATTGCGTAATGATTCCAAGAACATGTTCTTCAATGAAATGGATTAGAAGGTCTGGCTTTTTGGCATAGCTTCCCTGTGCAGACTTTCGAGGGATGAATGTAGCGAGGCGGCGAAGTGCTTGATGAAACTAAGCCGTGTTAGTGCTCACATTCCATGTGAATACATGTCTATTGTTAAAATAGAAGGTATCGAAGCAGAATTAGTGAGCGTGAGCGACGTACCTTCTCCTTATGCTGATCCCCAGCATTTGCAAGGTTTTTGAGAAGGTCACAAGCAATGAGAATCGGCTCAATGCGAACAAGCTCAGCCAATGTACGGCCCCTAAAAGCGGGGTCTATCTCAGCCAGAAGAGACATGATCATAGTCTCTGGGTCATTGGACTGCTGTGATAAAAGAAAAGCCAGAATTGCAGCTAGGTTATTCTTTTCGGAGCAAACGTCAAAAGGCGATTCGCCTTCATTGCGACTTGCCCCGATTCGGCCGATAATGTCTCGCCTTCTGCTCAAGACAAGATAAGGAAGAACGTGAACTTCTGTCAACCGTAGGAAGCTGTCAACTTTCATCCCCAGGAGCTCACACAACTGCTCGGCCATGTACGGGCGAGATTGGAGGTTTTTGACGACTGCCACGGAGAGCGTTCTCCAGTACGGTCGAAACAAACCGGCAGGAGTCAAAGAGAAATGCTGTGCAAGTTTGGATAGCTAAATTATGGCGTCAGCTGATCTATTTTGTGCGATTTGCACATAGAGCAAATCGAGAGGATCAAGCACTAACCTCATTGTAAGCCACCGCACAGACATACGGATTTGGATGTCCAAGGTATTCTAGAAGACGTAACAAAATGATGTTTTTCTCCTCGTCATCCGAGACCCTGTTGAAAAATATGATGAGCTCGATCCTATGAGAAGCTGATGGTGTAAACGAACCTTGCAAGCCGGCATAGTGTCAATATACAAGCTTCCTGTAAAGACATGTCATCTTTTTCTGAAAGGTTCTTCAGCCACTCCAGTACAATGACAAAATTGGCGCGACGAGTATCCTTTGGAAGGTTTGGGCGTACAAAGGCAACTACCGAGTGTCTATTATTGTTAGTCAGCTCAATGACGCATTGCGATGTTGGTATCCTACCCAGTTGCAATTCTAAGCTCTCGAATTGAGCTCCGTAGAGAGTTGAGACAGAATTCCCCTGACGTCGATGTTGAGAGGTGCATTTGATTCAGGCTTGTTGAGTGCATCAAGGCTCTTCTCAAAGCAACCATAGCAGCGATCCGCGGGCCGGGTGTGCGGGTAAGTTTCGAAAGAATGAAGTTGAAAATTGCCCACAAATCTGCGAATTCAGAACGCTCCTCGTACTCATTTTTTCGAATTTGCTCATCATCACATGACTGACAAAAAAGCATCTCCCGCGAGATAACCTCAGAAGGTTTTCGTAGGAGGTTTCCTGTCATGGCGCAAGGTAACTTGCCAATAATCTCTAGAGCAACACATCTCTTGGTCTCTGGGAGCCTCTCGTATGATTTCCTGTGAAACGGAGAGTTAATGACAATAAGTAAACAATACTCCCAAAGAGAGTGAAACTCACTCGATAGTCTCACGCAAGCTCGCAAGGGTCCCGTCATCCGTATCAAGGATTGATGAGAGCTCGCTGACAAGCAATGGAAATAGGCTCTGCGTTGTAAGCTTAGTAGACAGGCACAGTCGCTTGGGGGCTCCTGTTTCTCCACTCGGCTCATCCTGGTCTAGCAGTACAGGACGTTGGCTGGTTCCTGTCATTTCGGTATCCGAGTCTTTGGATGAAGCCTTGGATAGGCATACTGGCGTTGTGTCCAATATCCTGGCGTGAAGGGATTGAAGAGAGCTCTAGATATGTGTGAGTCCACGTGAGAAACTCTTCCTATTGGATGGGGATCAATAGTTACCAAAAGGCAGGTTTCGATGGGCGGGCTAGCCATCCTAAGACCCTGGTCGTCGAGATCCGTGAGGACTGGCAACAATCTTTCCTTTAGTTTTTGATCGAATGACTTGGACTGTTTTGTCTCTTGTAATGTCTCATCCAGGAGGTGAGCCAACTCTGTTTGTAGACTCGATAGTCGATGAACGATACTGGGCCCGAGAAAATCACCGAGACATTGGAGCCATGTGGATTCCAAATTGACATCTGATAGCAAGACCGACGAGAATGATTTGGAAACGCAAAAGCGACGAGCATACGCAAGATACTGCAAAAGCACTTGCTCCTCAGTAGAGGCCAGACTTGAGCCCGCTTCTTGCAACCATCTTACTATAATCTTTCGCAAACGATTGAATCCGTTCAATATCCCAGAGAGATTTTGTCGTAGATCAAGGCCATGGCGTTTGGGAGATCCATGAACAATTTCGTTCGGGCTGAAGGAATCCAGCAAGCGGGATGCTAGGGCAACTGTCTGAGGAAAGGACCCTAGCTCTGTACCTTTCTTAACGAGATCCTGAGGAAGGGCCAGGTCATCCAACTCTACCGGAAGCGATCCTATAGATGCAGGCATTGATAGTTTTGCAGTGCGAGTCATGCTTCCACCATTTTGCTGAGCAGACTCAAGCACAGTCAGAATATCTATAAGAAGTTAGTGCGAGGTTCACTGGATATGACGGCAAGGATATACCAACCTGAAGTACAAGCTCGAAGAAACGCTAGAACACTGTAACACGACGGTGATGATCGTACTTGTTTGTGCTGAATACAGGCCATCTCCCTCACGACTTGCTGGATTCGGTCCTGGACAGTCCCCGTATGCCAAATGCTGGCCAATCTGATCAACCGGAGGATCAGCCAGGCAAACAATGGAGCTTGGGCATCCTCACCCAGTATGAGCGGATCTGAGGTATCCCACAATGATTGTGGGGCCTTTTCGATGCTTGCTTGAATAATATCTAGGCAGTCAAGGACTTGTCCTTCCACCTCGCCTTCTGGGTTGCCGTTGCTCGGACTGGCCTCCAGGCCAACTTTGAGGACGATGCATATCAACTTGTTAATATCAGTGATTCCCTCATCAGCACGAAGTTGGCTGTTTCTTTCTCCAAGGAGCTCCTGACGCAGCTGTGAGAAAGTTTCGCGCGAGAGTCGTTGTGCATCGTGCCCTTGGGATGCTAGATGAGGGGCGAAATGCGCCGCGAGGAGGGATGAGGCTGGCTCTACGGGTCTTTGTCCATGAGGCATCATGGTCTCAGAGTAATCCGCATCCGCCGCCATATGTAACAAACATCGCCACGGTCGGAAGTTTCTGGCAAAGACGCGGGTTGCGAAGCCTGAGCGCATCTACGCGGACGCGGTGGGAGATGACATTGACACCTGAGGCATAAACAGTCCCACCAAAATTCCTGGGTTCGAATTTTGCGAGGCCCACGACGAGTACATCAAGAGACAATCCTACAATTGTATGCTATCGACGGCTACAACCCTGGGAGCTTGTAGTAGACTTGAACAGCTTTATCGCGAAACGTCATATGAGTTTGGGGACTATTTACTAGCGCAAAGAAGGGAAGTATGTGTACATTGCCGTAAATTTACCGCATCTTCAAGTTGTCTCGTATACATTGTATTATGCAATAGAAGGTCATTCTCGAGAAGAAAGCAGGTGGATTACTGAGAGCACCAACTCCGGTACCAGCCGATTCTACCAGAAAAGACCTAGTTTTGTAATACTAGGCAGAGTGTTGGAGTTGTTTGGAAGGGCGTTCCGTCGCGCCTTCCTTTCCTGAACCTCACCCATCCTCACTTCCAAAGGCTCCTTCCGCCCCCCACTTCACACTTCAACCTTCACCCTCTCTGCACTCGAGACTTCGCCCTCTGCGGATACTGATCGCAGCTGAATCGACTGCCTCAATCATGGAACCAGACGCGAACCTGGCTTTCAACAAGGAGCCTGAGAGCAACCTGGCAAGCACCAAGACTGACGCCAACCCCGTTGTCGCCATGGGCACTGATGATGCTAACTCGGTTGCCGCCACAAAGACTGACCCCAGCCTGACTACTGGCACTGAATCTGAGACCAACCCGGCTGATGCGGAGTCTGAGCAAAACCCAGTGGCAAACATGTCTGACGATGAAAAGCATCGTTATTTCATGAAGGAGGCCCTACTTATGGTGAGCCATCCTTCCCCATCTCCTCAATCTTACATGACATCTTCAAAACTGACCATGGCAACCTACAGGGAGAAAAAGCCCTTGCCGCTGGCGAAACCCCAGTTGGATGCGTCCTGGTCCACGATGATAAGATCATCGGCTATGGCATGAACGCCACCAATCGAACCATGAATGTAAGTTGCAATCATCTCCAATCCGTGGAAAACACTTGATCGCTGATAAATTTTCAGGGATCGCGCCATGCCGAGTTTCTTGCCCTCAACCAGGCATGCCGGAAGTATCGCCGAGCCATCCTCAGGGAGACGGATCTCTACGTTACCGTGGAGCCATGCATCATGTGCGCTTCAGCCCTCAGACAGTTCCATATCCGAAGCGTTTATTACGGTGCTGTCAATGATCGTTTCGGGGGCTGCGGTGGCATCCTGGGCATCCACGCTGAGTAAATTTTAATTCCAAAATGCCCAAACAAAACAAAAGATAAAAAAAAGAGCTGTCTGGCTAACTTGTTGGCAGTTCTTCGATCGATGCGCCCTACCCAGTGGTCGGCGGGATCTTCAGAGATGAGGCAGTTGCGCTGCTCCGTCGCTTCTACGAGCAGAATAACGATCGAGGTATGTTTGTGGATAAATCACCCTGTTCCCTTGCAGACCCAAGTCAAGACTAAGCCAAGCTCAGCCCCCAATCCACGAATCAAAAAGGGCCGTGGACAGCAATCTGGCGGTAATGGAGAGAATGAGGATGGTGGCAAGGATGATGGAGATGATTCCATGTCTGTTCTTGGTTGATGGTGCTCCCTTATTTTTTTGACTCTATATCATGGGACGTGGTGTCTGACATGGAAGATATTTTCAACGAGGCGCAATGGAATTATCTGGTTCATTTACAGCACGGGAGTAGTGGAGTTACCCGGGATTTCCAATGGAATTGCTTATCAATGGAAAAAAATTGATTTCTTTAATTCAGACGCGCCTTGAGAAAACACAAAAGGATATGTGTACAGAAATCGTGCAACTGTACGTTCAGCTTCACGGATAGACGAATAATTTTAGAGAGTTTATGCGGAGCCGGCCTTCGCCAATCGCTCGGCCTCCAGCTCCCTCTCTGCTTGTTGATAGTACTTGGCGGTATCGACACCATGCTACTTGACTGTTAGTATTTTCTCTAGGATGCGATGCTTGTGCTGTGGAGACTCACCTGGTCGTGGTTGAAAAAGTTGCCCCAGGGGATGACATGAATGAAGAGCTGCGAGTACCGCGAGTTGCGGGCAGCAACACCCTGAAGGTAAGAGGACATATGGGGGGCACCATACAATGGTTCGCCCTTCTTCACCTTGTCAACCATCTCCCGCATGTCCATCTCGACTTCCCTCTTGTTTTCAGTGAATCCATAGAAACGATCTGTGACGAGTGTGAGCATCGCAATTGCCCTCGAAGGGGTTCCGGAAGCATACTGCAAGATCGCTGATAGAAAACGTGAAGGCCACCGAGCAATCCAATTGTAGTTGCGAGACGCATGACGGGGGGAAGGCACCCCGGCCAGCTTGAGAGGGGCTCAATCTTTCCATGAGCCAGAACGCAAATGGAGAGACTGCACCCATTGCACCGGCCACGGCATAGTCCGAGTTCCGAGCATATCCAAATACACGTCGCATATGCCTAGAGTCATTGTAAGCGGTTGAATAAAGCATAGGGTCCGGGCTTCATCATACGGGTCGGTGTCAATGACCTAGTAGGAGCGTTAGCCAAGCGAAACATTGTGCAGGGGTGAGTGGATAGGTCATACAGGATAGTCAGTCGGAGTCAGTTTCGGCGGCACAACGGCCAGGTCTGCTTTGGGATCGGACGCCATGTTCGGTTTGCGGCAAAAGGTGGGATCGCGGGTTCAGTGCAGAGTTGAAGTTCGGAACATTGGAAGTTGGAGCTTAGTCATCAAAGTGACCTGGAGAGCTAGCCACTTCCAGTCTAGCGGCAGCCCCCGATTACCCGGGCTGCGATTGGCTCCTTCCGACGCGTTCGTCGCCACGCGTTTCTGGGGAACGGCCGAGCTGCTGCACTGCGGCGCAATTGCAAAGACCAAAAATCCACAACTCACGGCCCTGCGAACCCGAGGCCGCCTTCAGAACCAAGCCGCCATGACTGTCTCCCCAGAACGAGCGAGCTCTCCAGCCAACGTGAACGGTCTATTCGATTACGATGTTGGCCTCGAAGACATCTTCCAGGGAGCGAACGAATCCCAGGCCGATAACGCTAATGACAAACCGCAAAATGGAGATCCGTCGTCACTCGGGCTGGGTCTCGATGAAGAGGTCAAGGTCACCAAGAAGCGCCAGCCAGTAGCGAAGCTGGATGAGAATCGGTATAGTGATAGAGGCCGTCACTTCCATGAGATCGGATCTGAACTAACAATACACACGCAAGTCTACTTTCACAGCTCGGTGTTCCCAAGCTGCGGCGGGCAGCGAAGCAGAAGCTTAAATTCAAAGGAAAAGGACACGAGGTAAGAGTGACGCTTCGTTTGACTGCCGCGCACGGCACGTCGTGAGGAGTTCGTTGGTAAAGTCTGACTAACCGTTCCTTGAAACAGTTCTCTGACGCAGCTCGTCTGTTGAATTTTTACCAGCTTTGGCTGGATGACCTATTCCCACGCGCAAAATTTGCAGACGGCTTAGCTATGATTGAGAAACTCGGCCACTCCAAACGTATCCAGACGATGAGACGGGAATGGATTGAGGAAGAGAAGCCAAAGCTCTTTGCCGACACCGAAGTCACCCAGGATGCATTGAACATTCGCGAGCTTCCCACCAGAATTTCTTTCGATCAGAACGGCCCAGTTGCTGAAGCTTTGTCACGGCCAGTGCAAGATGGCTCGAATGCACCTAATGAGCAATTATTCATTGCGGACCCAGAGGGGGAAAGTCGATTACCAACCAGTAACCCCGAACCCGATGACGATGATCTAGAAGACCTGCTCAGGGAACAAGATGATGAAATGTCGGGAGCGGTTCAATTGACGTCTCGGCCAGAAAAAGGTGATCGGGATGACTTTGACGCCGAGTACGAAGCTATGAACGAACTTGGATTGTAGTAGTGGAAGATACCTCATACCTAACGACCGACGAAATTGAAATTTCAGTATTCACAAAACAGACGGGGGGAGAGGAGTATAAATCTAACCCGACTCCCGACTCCGGTGGTGGTTCTCCCAGGTATATAACGAATGAACCCTTTGCTTGAGCAATAAGAATAAACATATTCTACAGTATTGTAGCAGTCGAGCGACTACTAATATCTAAAAGTCTTCCGTACTGTGCCGCACATTGGTCAAAATATTCTTATGATAAAAATAGACATTTTTAACAATATTACATAGTGCTATGATATCACATGCGTGCTCGCCGCACATTGGTAAAAATATAGAAAACATGAAGACGTGTGCGGCGAGCACCCCAATTGCCCAACGTCATGGTTGGCGTGGGCAAGTAAAACTCCCGAATTCTGTTTACTCGCTGGCGGGCGAGGTAAACACCGAGAACTGGCCACCTGCCCCGGCCCAGTTCAACTGCTTTCCACGGACAGCGGTGTTGTCGATGACTGTGGCCACCTCAATGTCATCCTGGGTCCCCTGGCCAGTCTGGTAGGTGGCCGAGAAGCCCCAGGACCATGCTCGGCCATCGGCATCGACCACGAGGGAGTGGTCCGAAGCCGCCGCGACGCCCTTGGCCACAATTCCAGGCACTTGAGTGGGCTCGATCAAAATTCGGGGCTTCCCCCGCTCATCCTTAATCACGGCATCGTCCGCCAGGGTGTCAACCTTCAGGCCACTCTGGAAGCCATCCAGGCGGCCCCAAACCAAGCATTGGCCATCGGAGGTGCGGCCAATGGAATGGTGAGAACCACCACAGAGCTGGACCATGTTGCGGTCCGAAAGCGAATCAACGATAGTAGGGTGCACAATGGCGGCTTCATCATCGCCTGCACCCTCTCGAATTGCAGTTGCGCCGAAGCTGTTGAGACCCCACGCGTAAACAGTGCCGGTGGCGGAAATAGCAAAGGAGTGGTAGGAGCCACAGCCGATCGAGACAACCTTCTTGCGGATTCCGAACTCTCGGGGCTGCAAACCGTGGAGCTTGTTGCGCTCCACGATTCGGCGGCCCAGCTGATTCTGCTGTCCGGAACCCCAGGAGAAAACCTTGCCCTTATCGTTCAGCGCAAGGACATGGTTAGCACCACAGCTCAGGTTGGTGATTTTCTTGAGGGACGGGATGAGAATGGGAGTCATCTGAACACGGTGGGTCTCGTCAAACCCGAGGATACCATCGTTGCTCTAAGGGAAAAGGACACATGTTAGAATTAAAACGTGAAATCAAAGTGAGATAAATCAAAGCACAAGAAAACTTACTCGGAAGGTACCCCAGCCATAAACCAGGCCATCATCGGTAAGCGCAAAGCTGGAGCTGTCAGCGGCTGCGACCTGAACGAAGACTGTGCCTTTGGGGAAGCAATTGGCCGGAATGGCGGTCGGAGTAGATTCGTGGGGGTTCAAGCCGCTGTCCTCGTCATCTGAATCCGAGTCGCTGTTGTCGTCGATATCTTTGAAACCGCCCTCCCAGGCAGTGTCTCTGCCCAAAGCACCTTGGTCGTTGACACCCCAGGAAAGGATCTGGTTGTCGTGGGTGAGGGCTAGGCAGTGCATACCACCAACGGCGACTTGAACAACGCCGGCCTTGTCGGCGGCCAGGAGCTGATTTAGGCGAGGGCGCTTCACGTCAATAACGTTCTTCGCGGTTCCCAGGCCGAGCTCGCCAGAGCTTCCTCGCCACAGACGTAGACATTCAAACGTGTCTTCGGGGCTTCATTAATGACGACCTTTGGGGGAGGAGCCTTGGGCTCACGGGGCTTAACAACTCGTGGCTTCTTGACTTCGCGGGGCTTTTCCTCAACCTCGTCGGCCTTGCGCTTTCGAGACGTGCTCGTGGCAGTCGTTGTGGAGGCAGTCGTCGTCTTTGAGGTTTTACGCGACTTGTCCGTGGTATCCTTCTTTGTGGTACCTTTGGTGGCGGGAGCGGTCTCCATTTTCTTGGGGCGGCCACGGCCTTTGTTGTTCGTGGATTTGGGCTCGGCCTTGGACGCGGTCTTGGGATTGGACTTTGATGAGGCCTTCGAAGCCGTCTTGGGCTCGGCCTTTAGCGCGTTCTTGGGCGCAGTTTTGGAAATAGACTTCGACGTGGCCTTCGAAGCCGTGTTGGATGCGGCCTTGGACACCTTCTTGTCGGCCTTGGGCGCGAGGGTCATAGTGGAGGAGTCCTTGGGCGCGGCAGTGGCTTTCTTCGGAGCCATTTTGCTCAGGAATGCGACAAAGCAGCAGGAAGTTAGGAATGCGTCGAAGCAGTAAGATGTGAGGGAGACGTCGAAGCAGTAAGACGTGAGGAATGCGTCGAAGCTGTTAAAAGCGAGGAATGCGTCGAGGCAGGAAGAAGGGGCGGGAATGGTAAGGACGGAAGACGGGTGACGCGAGAAGGAAAAGTTGAGGGCACGAGGGAAAGGAAAACATAAATAATGCGGCATGCCGCCCGCGCAAGTGGATAACTATACGTGCTTACTAAGACACCTCCTACCTTTGTTCATACTACCTTTGTTTCGCTTCACCTGGGTCAGCCAATCTTATTGAATCAATCCACATGTTCACTTATTTATATCACGGGAGGCGACAGACCATGATTGGTTACTGAGATTTTACTCAATGTGTATGGACCTCAAGTCGTCAAATTGTTGGCACTTTACTCCTAGTGAATGCCATTACCGCTGGGACAAAAGGTGCATATGTAGTACATGTATATACTGTAACTACTAACTAGGGTACCCTAAGGTAATAATAATTACACAATAATATCACGAGTCATTCTGGTGATCTCCAGGAGTCGCTTCGTGCGAGCCAATCTTGCCGCACATGATGACATTTTGCCCAAGTGGCGTCCACTTCACTTCGCGCGGATTCAATGCCGCATGGGGATTGCCCTCCTGGTCGAGTTTCGAATCTGGGCTGACACCAACACCACCGCGACCCAAATAGGTGGGCGCCACAGTCACTATGATTGAGTCGATGAAGTTGGTATACTCCGGATTGAGTAGCTCACTCAGGACGGATCCGCCTCCTTCAATCATGACACTCCTAATGCCCTCGGATGCGAGTGCCTGGAGTACGGCTTCCCAACGTAAGCGCCAATTCTGATTGTATTCTACAATCCGAAGAAAGTCGCCTCCGTAGCCCTTGAGCATCATGAGAGTCTGCGGGTGAATTTCCGCCGCGGGTGACACCACTATCCAGGGGCCTTCCCTTTGCCCTCTACTGCCGTTCGTAACATGCGACACTCGGGATGGAGCGGCCATCGTCCCATGGGGTCAATAACCACCGGACGTGGCTGCCACATCCTTCCAAGCCCCCCGAAGCCGCCAGATCCTTCGAGGCGACAGTTGAGACCAGGGTTATCTGCAAGCACAGTCCCCACACCTATGAGAATCGCATCGTGACGCGACCGTAAATAATGGGTCATCAATTTGGCCTCGGGTCCCGACAATACTGTTTGCATTCCTGCACGGAGAGAGACTTTCGAATCCATTGATGATGCGTATGATAGCGTGACATGCGGAAACTCGCGCCGATCGGAGTGGCTAGGGAGGTAAGGGTGCAGAAAATCCAGCGAAAATTGGGGAAAGGGAAGCATATCAGGAGGCACCTGGGGCAGTGTAAGAACCGAACTCGATTGCATAGGTTGCGCCGCAGTGCTCTGGCCGACATCGGAACTCTGAGACTTGACAATCCCCCGTCCTTTCTGATACTCGTAACCTTCATGTGGAATAAGCTTGACCTCGGGGTTTTGTATGCGCCATTTGGCGGAAACATTGCGTAGATCTGTTGCGGTCAGGAAGCGACCACCTGCTTCTTGAAGCTTCTCAGGCTCCTCGTGAAACTTGGCATATATGGAAGAGGGCAAATACCCTTTGACAGCTTCTTTGTGTGCCGCTTCCATGAGCCCCGAATTGCGTTTTATCCGGTCAATAAAGTCAAGATCATGCGAGTGCACGGTGCTGCTTCCTCGAGTTCTTGCAATGGTAACTGTCGAATACGCGCCCTCGAAACGTACAACTTTTATCTGAAAGTTGCAAATGCCCCCTTCGCGTGAGCGTTTCTTTCGGGAACGTTGCCCCTCTGGCAAGGATGTGCGATGCGTCGGACGTCTTAATCGACACATATAGTAGTCTGTCGTGCAATGGCCCTCTTTGCTGGAATTGGATCTTTGCTTGACCCAGAAATTGTCAATGAACGGCCAATATGTTTCAAACTCCTCTAGACTGATTTCGATCGGATCACTGCACTCAAATAATACCCTTCGAATCCTCGCAAGATTTGGCGGGTTATTGAACATGCTCTGACTCGACTGGCCATCCGAGACCGTCGGCTCCACGCTTTCTGGCTCGCCGATTGCATCGTTCTTGTTAAAATCATTTGTCTCGGCTTGCCTAGCTTGCTTCTCCAGCGCGCCCGACAGATTCATGGGAGTTGTAGGGTGTCCGGGTTGTGGAGGGTCTTTGTTCGTCACGTCTTCTGATGTATTGTCCAGTACAGGCTCGATGTCGTTCTCTGTGTGCTCCATCCTATCCGTTGCCCTTCCGTTCGCATTGTGTAGTGATGTTGAGTCGCTCTCGGGCGCTACCGGCCACGGACTCGAGTCTAACGCGTGGGGTGCATCGTCCATGGTGTGCTGAGACCCGGCAGCGCGCAGACGATTTTCAGTGAATTTCCGGTCGATGGAATTGGCAAATCATTGGGGCGACGGTATATGGCGACTCCATCGGCGGTTCAAACGCGACGAGAAAGCGCGCATGCGGGCGCGATGTTGCGGAGGAAATCTGCATGAGGCTTGGCACGATGGCACAAGCCAACAAGACGCGTTTAATCTACACTATCTATGTGGCAGTTATTTGATAGCGACACGTTCCTAGGATGGTAATCTAGTTTGATCTCTACCATGGGGTATTTACACTTCTATGAGTACAGATAGAAGAATAAGATCAAAGAAAAGTGGTTGTAGAGGCCACCTTATTCCTGGAAATATAGATTGGGCTGGATTCTTTCTGTTACCAAGAATCAAGCCCTTTCCCTCACTGGGCCCTAGTGTAAATTCTAGTTCTCAAGGAAGCCTTAAACAGGTCGCCTTGCCTAGCGTAGCCTTTGATTATGTACCTGAGAAGCCAGGCAAGAATTATGGTCGTATGAAGTCCTGGATCTTCAGTATGAGGACGTGGAAAGTCGAGAAGGCAGTGATAATTCCACGCTGGAAGATCTACTATTCTAAATGCTTACTGCCAAGATATTTCAGATTCTCCGTGAGATTATAGATCTGGTGAGTTTGGTCCTATTCAGACCTTGACAGAGAACAATTTCATCCTCCTGACATGGTCTAAAAGTTTGAATTACTGAGAGTATTGGAAGCGTGGATACTCGGGCCTATAGTCTGTCTATTTTTATCATAAGAGGGAAAGTCGAACGGCATATATAAATACTGGCCAAATGGACTAACAAGGTGTATCTTACTTTTTTGCATCGTCGCAAATTCAATCTACATTGGCGGGGAAGTCACACTATGAAAATAGACTATTTCCCCGCCTGCACAAAAAGGCAGTGATAGCAGCCATGTGGACTAAGAATAGTTGTATAGCCTGAAGACGATGCCTGCACACACTAGCGTTGAATCCTTCCAATCTCCATGCCATCGGGTCTCAGGACTGGGAATATAGATGTGGTTGACCTTCAGGGGCCGCCCAAGGAGACAGATTGCCCATTTGCGACAGCTGGAATGATAATAAGAACAAGATAATACGTAGAATGAAGTTTTGAGATGAAACGCTTTGTAATTTCTCTTATTTGAATATGGATCCGAATATCTACCAGAGAGCCGAAATATGAAAAGAATCACAAGTTCGGAACTCATGAGATTGGTCCGAACTAGATGAGCAAGATTTGAATCATGCCGCGATACAGGAACTAAACCTCCGACGCAAAAATCACCTGATAGAACGTACCTAGAACGCTCCAATATCGGTACCGGCGCGAGCCAGTGCTTCATACACCTTCGGTGGCAACTTGTACTTGACCATTCCGGAGAATACCATTAGGTCCTTCGCCATGCCAAGCAGTTGCTCTGCGAATCCCTGGTGCGTAGCAGTGTCATAGGGTCCGGATGTCTGTTTGTGGCGCTCGTACCCGATACAGGCAATGCTCCACATGATGACAGGGCCGATGTTCCGTGAAATAGAATCAGGGAGAGACGAGAATGCATGAGCAGCGTTTCGAATTTGCGGCATAGAGCCACCAGCCCGCAGTGGAAGAACACCAAGACGGTCGATAGCCTGCGTAGATTTCAGGTGTTAGTAACTAGGAACTCGAGGCGTTTAACAATTAAGGGATGAGGATGAGCTCTGGAACTCACATCGAGCGCCTCTGGCCACCGGCCAGCTTCGACTTCAATCTTCGCATCCATCATCCGAATCAGCAGGGCGCAGGCATCCCGGTTCACTGGACGGATGCTTTCGTAGTACATCGGCTTCGAATCATAGAGAGTGATCATGTTCTTGCCGAGGGCAACGGGATCATCAACAGTAGTCAAACTGAGACTACTGCCAGGCTCATTCTGACCCTCTGCAACCCTTGGACGGAGAGGCTGGAGTTTGGATATGGCGCCACCCAGCTCAACCGCAATCGCATCCGACAGCGAACGGTTGATGATTTCGATGACGCGGTCGTAGTTCTCGGCCAGGTGATATAGAAGGACAGCATCAGTCACTAATCCCTTGTCATCCGCCACCGCTGCCGCTTGGACTGTGATGTTCTTTAAGAAATCTTGCTGGTTCGCGAGGTTGATCAGGAAAGGCGTTGCTCGATAACACCCTTGATCCGATAACCGTCCGCACGAATATCGCCTAGCAACTTCGCGAAGTCTCTGGTCTCGAGAATAAATTCACGCAGCGCCTCGTGGCACACAGATGACTGGGACTTGCCCAGGGAGCCAGGGAGATCTGCATTGAGACAGATCAAAGTGAAATAGTCGATTGCAGCTTCAACATTTCCAGTACGGAATTCACGTGTGTATTGGGTGATAAGGTACCCGAAGTTGATTTGCGGGAATTGCTTCACCGTGAATGAAACTAAAATGCCGAGGCCCAGAGTTAGCAAGAGCCGTGGGAGCAAAAGCAGAGGGAGGGGCGTGTCACTCACGAATTTCATCACCGGAAACATAGAAATCAGACACGCGCAAGAGGCCGTAGTACGCCAGTGCAATTGCAAAATGAACAGCAGCAACAGAGTCGTAGGTTCCAAGGTATGCCACAGCCTGCTCGAACATGCCTCCAAGAATCTGAAGGAGGAAGAATGTCCCGTAGCCACCAGGCCCGTCTTGGCCTTTAGTAAAAACTCTTTGACCAATCTCGGTGATATCGGTTTGAATATCCTCCAGGCCAAAGATGTCGCCCGCGGCCTCTTCGGCGCGGTCATCTTCCCGAGCGAGACTAAACTGCAGCCACATCCAATCTTCAACGCTCTGGTTGACACCATCGAGGCGTCGGCCGGTGAGATCACACCGGCCAATGATCTTGTAGCAAGCCATTCTAAATGGGTCAACAGTACCTTCAGGCGCATTGCGCAGGCGCTGCTGGTATTCACCATTGATCCTCTGCTGCATGTCACGCGGGAGTCGTCTTTCCTTCGCCCAGGAAGCAATGTATGTCACAAATTTATGATCCATAGACTTGAATCCGTGGTCTCCCGTTGCATACCGAACGGCCTCGTCGACATGGCCCGATCGAAGAAGATAGAAGATGAGGATCCAGCAGTAGTCAGGCCCAATCATCTGCAACTCCGTTCCGTCCGGGGCCAGGTCCTTCCTGGCCGCGCGAAGGCGAATATATGCACGAATTTTGTTCAACACACTTGGGATACCACCAACCTGCGCCTCGCGAGGATTTTTGGCAATGTCGCTTTCCACTTGGCTGTAGAACATCTGTTCGAGAAACTCCCTCGATCCTTCCAAAATTCGCTGCTTGAGTTTGATTGCAGTACGTGACTTGGTCGACTCGTCCAAGTAAGACGAGGCATAGTGACGCTCCCGTACAGCCATGGGATCCTCTGCACCAGAAATGGTGGGTTTCTCGCCAACGATATTAACCAAGGCTCGATAGGCATCGGAAATTTGGCGGGGGACCTAAATGAAGCTGGTTAGTCGGGGTAGAAAGAAAGGAAATCGGAACGGATTCTCTTACATCACCACCGGTTTCCAATTCAACGTCCGCAAATTGGTGAAGGACCGGGAAGGTCTGATCTTGGAGTCGGATAGTGTTCAGGTGTTGGACCTTCTCCGCGTACTTGCTCATCTTTTCACGCGAAGGCCGCGAGCTTGGCGACACAGTGGCAGCAAGACCCTCACTTCGCTCTGCTGGGTCTTCAAAAAGCTGGCGACTTGTCAGGCCAGCACCCGGGGTCCCGATCACAGATTTATCCAGACCAGAACGGCCGAAGACACTCCTGCGAGATGTCGCGGAAGGTCCGTTGACAGGGTTTATTCCCGCTTGCTTCGATTGTCTTCCTGACCTGCCGAAGGCTCCTTGCATGGTAGATTTCATGTGGCCAGCATTAGCTGCATCTTTCTGGGAAAGCCCGAAATGGTCGAAAATTCTCCGGCGTTGTTCCTCCCAATCCATATCCACCTTCTCTTCCAAGAATGTATCGAAATCCCTTTGAGCCCGAGAGAGGCTTTCCGCGACCATGGCTTGCCGGCCGCGTTGCTGGATATTCCGCAGGAATCGCTGGTTGTCGGGGTCAAACGTATCGGGCTCCCTTGCTGCGGTGAGAGATGCCTGCGGATCCAATGATCGGAGGTCTCGCAAAGTGCGTCCTGGGGAGATGCCAGAGGACGCAAGTAGATAATGACTGTTGATGCAGATAATGGTTAGCAATTAGTAACCGAAATCCCATCGATTTTGGATTAAGTGTTCACAACGTACGCTTTGCCTGTCGCGATATTCTGTTGAGAGTCTTTGCTCCCAGAGGTACCCAACTCTCTTGCCTTTCTGCGGATATCGTCCAAGCCAAGTTGCAGACTGGGGATGTCTTCAAAGTTGCCGCTCTGGCCTGCTGAAGTAAACGGCCGTTTCTTACCACGTTCAAGTAGACTGTTGAAAAAGGCGGGCTGCGTTGCTTGAGTCGAAGTTCCCCCTTGTGTTTGGGTAGTGGTGGACTGTTGCTGAGCCTGTCCTAGTAGAGAAGATTGGTCGGGCGGTTGCTGCTGAGCTTTGGGTTGGCCGAAAAGCGAAGATGTTTGGGCACCCTGTGTAGTTCCAACCGAAGTAGATGCATTGCCGAATGCACTCGTCGAGTTGGACTGGCCGAAAAGGCCAGTCGACTGAGGGATGGTAGAGCTTCCAAGGCCGCCCCCTCCGAAGAGAGAGCCCGAGTTAAACGCCATAGAGACTGCGCACACGATACCGATGAAGTTGAATGGAGATGTTCAGGCGGCGCGGCTATTGAAGCCGTCGGCGTAGTTGTCGCGAGCTTTGTCGGTGCGGTAAGATCGAAAAAACAAGCGCGCGTTGCGGGAGATGGGTGGGGAATCCGTGGAAACCTCGAGACACGAAAAGTGCCACAAGGATCAATTGCGGCCTCAGTCAGCCTGGAAGATTCACTGGGGGTTGCGCCAACAATCAGAGGGCGTGGAATTTGTTGCAGGTTGACCTGCAAGCTCGGCAGCCCAAACAATTCATTCGGACAATTAATAATCCGGTTGATCCAACTCTTTTCCGCGCGGCATCAATTGAGATCTCGAGTCTACAGACGCACATCTTTTACTTTTTGAGACCTCGCCTTGACCAAAGTCCACCCCGCTCTGACGTCTACTAGTTGGGCTCACTTTTGAATATCAAGCGACTGAAAATGCCTGCGTTTCAATCCAAAACATTCCGACGCGCCACGACCGCGTCCTCTACCTTCGGAGAACGGCTCGGGGCATTCTACCGGGCGCGCCTTGCGCAGCACCCTTTCCTCCTATTTGGTCTTCCGTTCATGGCAGTCATTGTAGCTGGATCATTTGCACTGACTCCGGCCGCTGCTCTTCGATATGAAAGATATGATCGCAAGGTGCAGCAACTGAGCCAGGACGAAGCGTTTGAGCTAGGCCTGAAGGGTCCTGGCGGAGAGGAAGGAATCAAACGAAACCCCCGTCGCAGGATCATTGGCGATGAGAGGGAAGAGTACTACGTATGTTCTTCCTGCAGCGTCCCCGAACTGATCATCTAGCTTGGCAGAACTCTAATATTGTTTACAGAGACTCATGGCCAAGGATCTGGATAACTGGGAGCAAAAGCGGGTGCAGCGGTTCCAGGGCGAGCCGGACGGCAGGCTATGAAGCTCCCTTGGACGTTTCGATATTCCGAGACCGATTCTTCTTTGTCTCACTGGTCGACAAAAAAATTGACGAGCGCATTTTCACCAATGAAGTGCTCCTGCGGAGCACGGGAAACCGAACTTGAATATGACAGCAGACCATAGACTGGACTTTAGACGTGGCTTGTTGCGGGAAATGCGTGGGCTGGCGGTGGCCGCCAGCTATCGCTGTGATCATCGCGATCGCTTATGTGCAATAGTGGCGTCCTGCCCCATTTCCAGCAAACGCCGACAAGGAGGCCGGCTACTCTCCCCAGCTAGCCCATGGATCTTACGGTCATGTCATTTTGACGTGCAAGGATGGAGCATTGGAGCAGGGAGTGGATACTGATTAAGTCCAATCTATCAGTGATCATCCGCTCCTAGGAAACTTGGATGTTTGTTCTGTATGGAGGACTGCGGTGCACCGATGCTTCTACAACTCGCATCTAAACTGGCGGGGGCGTGTTTCCTCTTTCAGCTAGATAGACTGCGATTGGTATCGGAAATGGTGAATCATAGCTTGCAGAATTAACCTAGACCGACTCGCGCGTCGGTGGCGATAACCCACGTAGTGGGGCCTACGCACAATTCAGGCCTTGAACGAAGCCATGGATTATTTTTCCTGTTGTCAGCCCTCCTCCTGTAGGCATCTATACAGTAGATTGTAAGCAAGCTGACAGCCGATCACTGGTCATTTGAACATCTTCATCTCGATCATCCCAGTGCGGCCGTCTAGTCCCCGGTCCATGCGTCCCGGGGGTCTCGAACCGAGGGTTGAGCCCGTGTTCCCCACAATAACGTCATACCTTTTTTCTGGAAGCCCTTCCCCCTCCAAGTTCAAGTTGCCGTTCCCTTAATAATCATGGAATGAGACCGAGTCTTCTGATATCAGCCTCCCCCCTCCTCCATTGGTTCGTCCTGGTCCTGGCTGGACCCTTTTCGCCGCTGCCCCTCTGTTCGCTGCTACATCATCTCGACCTTACGTCAGTCAACCTCCCCCCTCCCGGATGTGATCGTGAGAAAAGGTCTCCAGATCCCAGATCAACTGGACACATGGACATATCCTACTACCAATATCCCAACCACGGCATTCCCGTTGTTACCACAATTCCTCCGATCTTCGTCAAATGGTACTTTGACTGGCAGCATTGCTCTTCGATATAATCGTCTCGATCAGAAGCGGCAGGAGCAGCACCAGCGACCATGACCGGTCCTGGGCGATCACCCTCCTCGCCATGGGCGCAGGCTCCCCAGGGGTATTCCCACGATAACCGGACCGCGTCATCCTTCCATCCCGTCTTATCTCCATCGCAGACTGGCTTGCCGTTGACCAGTTCTGAACAACCCAGCCCCAATTACTTCGGTCTCAATGTCGAAAACTCCAGTAACCCACTAAACTCGAACCCCGGTTTGCACACGCAGAAGAACTGGGGCTCTGGTCCCAGCCCGCAGTCGTCTCTTCCAAGTCCTAAACTGCAGTACTACTCTCAAGCATCCGTCTCGGATGGACTGGTCAACTTGTTGAGATCCGAGTCCGATATCGAGAAAGGACGTCGCGAATCCGCCCTCCAGAGGCATGCTTCAAATGGCCACGCACCATTCCTGAAGGATGCAAAGCCATCGTATTCTTATGTGGGCCGCGATGACGTGAGCAATAATCGAATGCAGGGATATTCGAGTGGGAATGGACTAGCACCTGAGCAAAGGCAAGGGTCTATTTCACATGGTAAGCACACCTATTTCTCTCCGCTTCAACATTCAAATGAACACTCCACTAATCGTTCTGCCGCAGTGGATACGACATCCATATCGTCTCGATGGATTACGTCCGATCGATGTGCCCATCTCCTCCAATCGGGCCCCGAGAAAGTTCTTTTGCTGGATGTCCGCGCGTACACGTATTTTGCGCAGGCCAACATTAAAGGGTCACTGAACCTCTGTATCCCGACCACCCTTTTGAAGCGTCGTTCGTTTGACACGAAGAAAATCGAAGGGACATTCACCAACGACATCGATAAGCAGCACTTTGCCGAATGGAAAGTGCGTAGCATGATAATCGTGTATGATTCAAACACCGCCGATGCAAAGGACGCCGCCCCACTTTTGAATGTCATCAGCAAATTCGAAGCGGAGGGCTGGGAAGGTGAAGGCTTGATCCTACAAAATGGCTTCAAGGGGTTCTCGAGTCGGTTTCCGCGATTGGTATGTCGGCCACAGATCCAGACGGCAGGACCGTCCCCGAAAAAGCGATCCTCCATGAATATCAATCTTGGTTCCGTTGCCCCCGTTGTTGGAGGGTGTGCTCTTCCGGAGTCTTCGTCGGCGGCCAACCCTTTCTTCGCAAATATTCGTCAAAACATGGATCTCATGGGAGGAGTTGGGCAAATTGCCTTGAAACTTCCAGATCATATGACAGAACCCCGGCGGCAAAATCTTCCTCCGTGGTTACAGGTGGCCTCTGACGCTAAAGATCAGGGTCGAATCGTCTCCGAGAAGTTCTTAGACCTCGAGAAAAAGGAGTTAGAACGCATGAAGCAAGCTTTATCTTACGAAGAGCCCGCGGCCGCTGCCGGGGGTGCGGCCCAGAAATACCGTGTCGCAGGTATTGAGAAAGGTACAAAGAATCGGTACAATGACATCTATCCATTCGACCATTCCCGGGTGCGGCTTGAAGGTGTGCCACTGGGCGATTGTGATTATGTGAATGCGAATCACATCCAGGCCGAGCTTAGCAACCGGCGATACATCGCCACCCAGGCGCCTGTTCCGGATACATTTAATGTAAGTGTTGCTTCTACTTCGGTCACTCAGTTCCGTGCTGACGAAAACAGGACTTTTGGCGTGTGGTTTGGGAGCAAGACGTTCGACTCCTCGTGTCTTTGACTGCTGAAATGGAGCGTGGACAGGTGAAAAGTCACCCGTACTGGCGATCCGGTAAATATGGGCCATTCAAGGTGAAAGCGTACTCGGAGCGATTCATCAACGTTGAGTCCAAGGGCCGACCCGTCGACCTTGCGATGAAGGACTCGAACTTAGTTGGCAGCCAAGCCCGAAGCCCGGATGAATCTAATGAGAACCCGGTCATCATCGTCCGCCATTTCAGCATTCAACACTTGAACTTCCCCTTCGAGCCCTTACGAGACATCACGCAGATCCATTATCCTTACTGGCCAGATTTCGGTACCACCTCCCAACCTACACATCTACTCAACCTAATCGAGCAATGCAATAAGGTCATTCGTGCCACGAGCGAGCCTAAATTTGGCAGCCAGGAGCCTGAGCCGCAGGGTCAACGACCAATCTTGGTACATTGCAGTGCGGGATGTGGACGCACGGGAACGTTTTGCACGGTCGACAGTGTGCTGGATATGCTGAAGCGACAGCGAACACGAAACAAATTTGCTGATTCAACGGACATCGCCTCGGGGCTTCCAGATCCCAACTTGGATCTGATCGCGAAGACAGTCGAGGATTTCCGGACTCAACGGCCTAGTATGGTGCAAAACCTTAGTCAATTTGTCCTTTGTTACGAAAGCGTGCTTGAGTGGGTTGCGTCGCAGGACAAGGACTCATGATGGTATGATGATGAGCAGATACCCTTTTTCTTCGCCCTACATTTCAATTACATCTTGTGTTTTGCATTGCTGGGTGTTAGGGCCAGGATGATGGCTACATGCATTGAAAGAAAGAATTTTGTTTTAGCTTTATCGCCTCCAAAAGAATCAGCACATGAACAAACGAATTGATGATACCCAGAATTCAACGACCATGGTGTATGAGCAATGTATTTCAGGAGAGTTTGTACTCTCACTCTGTGTAGGTGTAGTAGATGTGATATAATAATGTATGCCTAGGCACCTAGGACGTACCATCGCATGAGAAATACATGAAACACCCCGCATGGTAGAAATGCGAGAAAAGCGAGAGAAAAATGCGCAAATAACCAAGACCATACACCAATGTACTGTTCTCATCCACCGCACTCTGTTCCTGCAGTCCCAGGCAAGCCAGAACCCGACGGGGGCCGTTGCCTGCGAGCCGCGGGCGGGCCCAGGCAGCAGGGGGACCGTGCGCCACCGTATCTCGGATGCAGACTATAACAATAACCCTCACCACGTCCGTGATCTTGCGCTCTTTCAAAAAACCCCAACCCCTTCTCAACTTGGCTGACCAATGCAATATAAAACATGGCACAGCTTATAGCACTGCCAGTAGAGCTTAAACAGCTCATTCTCCGAAGCTGCGATACGCCGACCTATTTGCAGCTGGCCTTCAGCTGCTGGAATTTGTTACTGATCGCATCACACACTCGTGTACTCGTGATTCACCACCTGAATGAAACTCCCGGAGGGCCTGAGGACTTTGACTCGATCTCTACTACGGGATTGTTTCGACTGTTGCTTCAGCGTTCGTATCGCGAGTTATACGGCGCTGAGCATTATTTTGAACGGAAACTCGTCAATCTCCAAGGCAAGGTGATGAATAGTCGCGCATGTTCGTTGCGATCGAGGGGAGAACCCGGTAGAGCTCTGTTGTCTTTTCAGAACGATGAATCAGTCTATCTTGTTAAGATGGACAACCGGGATCTGACGCTTCAACAGCGAATCAAGTTGCCTGCCATCAGCACTGGGACTGCTGAAGTCTTGTTTGCTGCCGAGGACACCAGCGACCACAATGGGGTTCACATATTACACATTGTCAAGCCACTCATTGATGAAGAGCCCTACAATGGCCACCCCTTTGTCCAACAAGCGCGCAAGGCGAATTCCAACGGCACAGTTTACCTCGCGTTTTACCCCCATGCCTTGTCCGGAGTCGGCATGAGCATCTGCAGTTTTCGCGAACAGATCGATTACGAGCCAATTGCCTTTGCAACTTGTCGTGATGTGTTTGCCATATCCTGGCACCACCGTCAGCACCCTGAGGACTACCAAGTTGTCCTCTACACTGTACCGCTATGGGCTGATCCCAAGGTTGAACACGGGGACGGTGATTGGGATGAACCAAAGGAGGCTAACCTAGTCGAACCTTGCCAGGATGATACGTCTCCATTAATTGGTAAGCCTGCGATTGTTAAAGTGGATCTCACACTCACAGTGTAAACTAATGTCAGCGTAGCGTTGGAAAAAAAATCATACGTTCTCACCGAGTTGAATGACCAGCTTGTGAGCCATGCTGGCCTTGAGGCAAAAGGACCAACGGTGAAACTAAAGTTCAACGACGAAGGAGGACAGCTGCTTCATTTCAAAAAAGCTCATCCGCTCTACGGATCGTTCCAAAAGCTCCACGACATCAGCCGACCCCGCATAGATGGACAGGGCTTGTTCTCAAGTCCAAATGGGCAACCAAGACTCCACGACAATGCCTGTCATGTCGCATTTTCGGACGAGTTGGCTCTTGAGTTTGCCATCGACATTCCCTTCTTCTCTACGCACCAAGCTGGTGATCGTTCATCTGGAGAACCTTGCCACTGGCAGTATCTATCGATAGGCATTGCCACTCACCGGGTGGAAAACTGGACAGTTGCGTGCCTGTTGAAGTCTGAGTCTTTCCCCTCAGCTTTCCGCTGCGACCACCAGCCAAACCTCGACCGAGGACGACGCTTTGATCAGTGGCAGATCGTGGCGCGAATGGACGGATATCGCGAATCGACCACCTCCAATGGACCCTTGATTGCCACCTCTCGTCTTGGGACTCGCATTGTCGTTGCGACCTGGAAAACGATTTATATTTGGCCAGTAGAGCCACATGCGTTGGTCAATGGTGACCCTAATGAGTTTTATCCCGCTTCGTGGAGCTCGACAGAAGACATGCTGGTGCTGCGACCTGTTGTGATCGAAATGGATGCCGTTTGCTCGCAAGTAGACTTCACAGACAACGAAGACGAGATGGTTGCTCTGACTGATCGAGGACTGATGTTGCTGGATTTCAGACCAGATGGCAAAGGAGGACTGGTTACCGAGAACTGGAATGATATTTTGAACCGAAGCCATTGAAGGACCCGGAAAGGATGGTAGCCATGGAAGACACGCCAATCCCGGTATTCATCCTCTCCCCTCCTTCTTGCTCCTAATCCTTTTGATCTACTATTTTGATCATTTATCATTTCTCCCCTTATGAGTGCGATTTAGCAGTCACCAGCTTCTAGAAGTAGAGTGCCAGATACCAAATGCATAGCGCTTTTTCTTGAGCACCAATGATACGTCTTTGCTTGGATCATTGACGAAAGCCCAGATGTCTAGAAAAATCTTTTAACTTCTCTCATAATTCGAAAAGGGTAAGATAGCTAGCTCCCTCAATGCGCGAGACGCTGGGTCAAGAGGCGCGACATCCGATAGATATTCCAGCAGTATATGACCGAAAGACACGACTCTGTTCGGTTCATTGACATGCAGAAGCGAAGTGTAGCCCACTAAGCACCAAGTAATTATAGAAAGTGATGGTATTAAGTCAAGAATATTTATGAGTCGCAATTTATGACTGGCCCTCTGCACCTCCAGACATGCTCAAGAATGCTACAATCAAAAGCACCCACCAGTACCTATCACAAACACTGGTTAGCTGCTGGGCGAGAATTACAAGACCACATGGTGGCCCAGTAGAGCAAAACTCACTTCTGCAAAAAGCTCTTCTCCTCCACCACGTCCGGATTCTCGCCATCTGGCCCAACAAAAATAGGTCGATTAAGGTGCGGTTGCGCACCGGGCTGAGTGGACACTAGCTCCACCTTGGGACTGGTAGTGTCAGGCTCTGAGGCTGCCAAAGATACGTGATACACCTCATTAGAAGGGCCGAGATGGAGACGGAAAATGGGTTGATGGTGATGGGCATCGGTCAACGCGGACAAGGAGACAAGACTTCCGACCCATTGCTTCGCACTCATCGGGGTTGAAGTGTAGAGGCCAACGCGAACGAGACCATCGGTGGAATCGGTCTTGGGAGGGTGGTAGGAGACGACATTGGACGTTAGTGAGGATGGGTCGTAGGCGAGACGCGCGAGGATGGAAGGTTGGGTCGAGCCGACGGGCCAGTAGAAGATATCGGAAGTGATGGGGAGGGAATCAGCGAGGGTGAAGACGAAGAGGAGCGAAAGGAAGCTCAGGAGGGCGAGGAGATGCATGGTGGTTAGGAGCTGGCGCTGCGGGCAAAAGCATGCGGCGAAGTCGCGGAAGTTGAAGTTGGCATCGCCGGCCCGTGCTCGGATCCACCGAAGTACATCGTGCAGCCTACGCGAGCGCATACAATGCGAGGTACCAGGTACGTACCGTGTCCCCAGCCCGTCGGGAATTATTGCCCATGGTCTGGTTTCCTGCTGCATTTCAATTGCCCCCTCCAGTGGTTCACAACCAGGACGTGCTTTCGCCAAGCCAGTCTGATCCCTGCGTTCCCCACTGCCGCGATGTCATCTTGTCATCTGCTCCCCGCCATTTTATCAATCGTTTTGCCTCTTGACTCCTTTCATGGTTGTTTGCTTGCCAGCCACGCCACCATACCAGACAAGGCTCAGGTAAATACCGTGGGACCTCTGTCTGTTTACTCACCATCCATTTCATCCTTTCGCAATTCTAATCCCATTGCCCGAAGTTCCACCATCGGAAGTAACACTGTTCAGGCGACGGCATAATGACTTCGCTGCCCCATCGTCGTCCTTCTCGCCTGGCCTCTCGCCAGGCATCTAGTGATCCTCGCGAGGATATCCAGGTCCAGCTGGATCATTTCATCGGAATTGACGTCGGAACGGGCAGTGCTCGCGCCTGTATCATCGACGCCAAAGGTGATATTGTGGGCCTGGCCTCTGAAAATATCGGTCTTTGGCAGCCGGAGCATGGCTTCTACGTAAATAAGCACCTCTTTCTTCGACCATTGCAATTGCACTTTGCTGACGCTCGTGCCTCAGGAACAATCCACTGATGATATCTGGCGCTGTATCTGCATCGCGGTGCAACGTGCCGTCAGCCAACACAATATCAGCCCAGAGACTATTCGCGGCATCGGATTCGACGCTACTTGCTCCCTATCTGTATTTAATCACGAAACCGATGAGCCTGTCTCTGTGACAGGGCCAAAATTCGACTCAGACCGGAATGTCATCCTATGGCTGGACCATCGCCCCGTTGAAGAAGCTGCCAAAATCAATGCTACTAACCACAACTTACTCCGCTACGTTGGGGGGACAATGTCCATTGAAATGGAGGTTCCTAAAGTCCTCTGGTTGAAAAATCACATGCCGAAGGAGCTTTTCGACAAATGCAAATTCTACGATCTCGCCGACGCCCTCACCCACATCGCCACAGGAAACGACAAGCGCAGCTTCTGCAGCGTAGTCTGCAAGCAGGGCTATGTCCCGGTAGGCGTAGACGGAAGTGTCAAGGGGTGGCAGGAGGATTTCCTATCTGAAATTGGCCTAAGCGACTTGACTGAGGACAACTTCAAGCGCATGGGCGGTGTTGACGGGGTGGTGAGCCCCTGCCTCTTAGTGTGCATAGAATCGATCCGCTAACAATGAGAATACAGAATGGTGACTACCTCAGTGCAGGGGAGCTTGCAGGGTACCTATGCGAAAAGGCCGCAGCAGAATTGGGCTTACCAGCTGGTATTGCAATTGGTAGCGGTGTGATTGATGCTTACGCGGGTTGGATTGGCACCGTCGGTGCCAAAGTCCACCTTGGATCCGAACAATTAAGCGCCGATGCAGCGAAGAACGATAAATCCCAAGCATTTTCTCGCCTTGCCGCTGTTGCCGGAACCTCGACTTGTCACTTGGCCATGTCTCCGGACCCTGCTTTTGTCAATGGGGTATGGGGACCCTACCGAGACACCATTATCCCTGGATTTTGGATGGCGGAAGGAGGCCAATCGGCAACAGGAGAGCTTCTGAAGCATGTCATTGAAACACACCCGGCCTTTAACCAAGCTCTGTCCATCGCAGAGTCCTACCACACCAACATCTATGACTACCTGAACGAGCATCTCAAGGAGATGGTTCATGACCAAAAGGCTCCTTGCGTATCCTACCTAGGACGCCATTTCTTCTTCTACGGAGATCTTTGGGGGAATAGGTCTCCGATAGCAGATCCCAACATGACAGGGTCTATATTCGGTCTCACAAGCGACAAGACCGTCGACGGTCTCGCGATCTATTACTACGCAACACTCGAGTTCATCGCGCTGCAAACGAAACAGATCGTCGAGACCATGAACAAAGCAGGTCACAATATCACCTCAATTTTCATGTCTGGATCGCAATGTCAGAATGACATTCTGGTCGGATTGATCGCATCCGCTTGCGACATGCCTGTCGTGATCCCCCGCTATATCCACGCCGCTGTCTGCCATGGTGCCGCCATGCTGGGAGCCAAGGCGGCTAGTGTCGATTCACAGGGTAAAACAGAGAATTTGTGGGATATTATGGATCGAATGAGCAAGCCGGGCAAGAAGGTAGTGCCCACAGCTGATGTGAAAGAGAAGGCACTGCTGCAGGCTAAATATGAGGTTTTCCTGGAGCAATGCTTTAAGCAGCAAAAGTATCGGCAGCTGGTGGACGAAGCTGTGGGTGAATGGGGTTCGGCCTAGATTTTGCGCAGGGACAAGTATTCAGTATGATCGTGTTTAGCATATGTGATGTAGTACCAGTTCGGCATTACCTATCTGATTTTACCGCAGACCGCAAGCCGAGCATGGTCGTTCTAGTCTATTGTGGTGAGGATTGGAGAATCATAAATGCCAGATGGTCGGTGACTGGCTCACTACCATCAAAATCTGACATGCAGCGTGTTTCACAAAAGGAATTTGGTGCAAATGGACCAGGCAAGAGCGTCTTCATAAAAGAATGGAACTCACTGTAGCCACAACCCTATTGCCTCCTGCCACATCCCTTCCTTCGTTTTTCAATTATCTAATGGTGTTGAAATCTGCTAATTCTACGAGTAAATAGAGCAGACCTTCTGTTCTATGAAGGTAACAATCTTGTTTTATGTCACGATGCCCTTTGCCCTGAAATCTGGGGCGTGAAGGGTACAGAGAATTGTCCAGGCGGCTGGTTACGTAGACAACGGGATAGGTCATCGGACAAGGAATAAGGTATGTTATGGAGCATAGAGTATCCAAAATAGCAAAATCATGACGGAGGTGGCAATTAATATTGAGATGGCACTATTCTTGAAATGGAATTTAAGTGAATCAGTCACCTGAGGAGTGTCGGGGAGGAGGTTGGACGATAGTAGTCTCTATCAATAAGCAAACATCAAATGTGCGATCAAAGATGCAAATTCGGAATCCGCTATGCAAAATACTATAATACGGGAATGAATCAAATCAGCCAGCCATGAACAAAGTTTCATAGAAAATCTGGACTCAGCTAGAATCCGCTTGGGGACATACCCCGTCAAGTCAATATGTTTAGACCAACCTAGTAAGCCCTCCCAGCCCGGGACTTGCCAACGGTGTGGAAAGTCTTCGACTGCAAGTTCATGGATGAGGATCCTAGAGCAAGAGTATCGAAACGATCCACGCCCATATTATCCATGTTGCTGTATCCCGACATGTAGAACCCGCTAACGACGACGATGTAGGTCAAGACGAGAATTGAGCCCTTGAAATAGTTGCTCTTCCCTTCGCCGTATACATACGATAACAAGAAGACACAGAGAATCACTGTGATCATATCCCACTGTGGGAAGATGAGACTATCATGGGTGTTAGTAACGATAAGATCCTTGGAAACAGGCCAAGTAAACACTAACTTGAAGGAATGGCTCGCGAGTGCAGCCGTGTCAATGGACTGGGTGTACAGAGCGCTGAAGAGGACGAGGGCAGGAACTTGTAGCAGGCAGACTTGCAATGCGTACGCGGAACCAATTTCCATGGACAAGGCGATATTGCCGTTCATGGCGAATGAAATAGCGTTCTGTCATACGTTAGTTTGGCGATCGATACAATTCACGAAAGAAAGGGGATACGTACGAGGAACTCAGTCGTGTTGGGCACCAGAGCGAAGAGAGTTATACCCAGGAACTTCTCATTAATATCCACACTCTCCAAAACCACGTCGACCGTGTTGACCAAGATCTCGGCGATAATAGCATAGAGGATTGTCGCGCCAAGGAGAATAATGGAACTTTTCACTTTACTCCAATTTGGTGCATCATGACCGCCGCTGGCGTGAGACTCGGCAACAAGAGCAGTAGTCTCGGGCTCATCGCCAGGGGGCTTTGTTTGATCCGCCAAAGCACGACCAGCCTGGCGGCCAGCAGTTTGCTGAGTTGAAAGTTTCCGATTGCGAGTGGCATCACGAGCAGCCACTGCCGCCGCCGTAGCCGCGACCTCGGTGACTTGACGAACAAGACGTTCATTGTCGTCGCCAGTCAGGCCTCGAATGGCCTTGGGAACGGGACAACCATCGTTATCCGCAGTTCGAGGAGGCACCAGATACGGTGAGTTACCCCTAGGGTCAGTCGAGGATGAACCGGCGCCACTTTCTGTTTGTTCCCAGTTGCCTGTGGTATTCCCGTCATCCAAGCCGTAGTGTTTAAGTGACTGGCCTAGAATGCGTTTGTAAAGATGGGATTCGCGTATAGAATCCTTAGAGCCTGATGCAGGACCGGACACTTCAGGAGCTGCACCCGAGAAAAGCAAATGTCTTGGCTCGTAGAGAAACGATTCTGGAGCAGCCTGGGCAGCCTGAGCCGCCTGAGCCGCTTTCTTCTCCTCCATCTCCGTTGCCCAAATCAAGGCAGCATGGGTTCTGAGAGTGAACCAAAGGCCAATGACGTACGACAGAAATAGTAGCAGGGCAGCAAACCATGCATAGGGTTGGACAGCCTTCTGGAAAAAATCATCTTGGACTGCGGCGGTTTGGGAGAAGTAGCATTGGCGACAGTCTCTGTTTTCTGCAAGTGAACCGGCACATGAATGGCAGTTCAATTCGTGCTATAATGCAAAGGTTAGTTTGATGAAACACTTCTAGCAAGGGTAGGAGGTCAACTTACACTGCCGTAAACTTGGTAGAAAAGAGTCGGTCCAAAAGCAGCAATGACAGCAAATAGCAACATAGTCGATGTCACACCGGCAGACTTCACATTGAATCGTTGCGTTTTGCGCTTGATGGCGCCAAAGCACATGGACAGCCCGGGCAAGAACAAAATACCAGCGAATATACTGCCAATGATACTGCCTTCCACAAGTTGCGCCTTGCCCTCGGTCAGGGCAACACAGTAGAGATACACTTCCACTACCGTCGAAAAGAAGGCGTTGATTGCGGCGCCTAGACCCATTGAGGATTGGGCCGAGATCGAAGCCACTGCCTGTCCGATGAAATATGCAAGAGGGATAACGGAGAAAAGCGCAAGTGTGAAGATTAATCCGGGGTGCGTCAGCCAGGACTGCAGACCCAAGAATTTACTCAGCAGGTAGTAGTCGGCGATCACGAAGACGACAACACCAAGCAGATTGATGAAGAAGATGTTTGTTCCGTCGATGGTGTATTTCCAATATCTTGTTCCAGCGGCCCGGTATGTGCAAAGGAGGATAGATGGTGATGAAGAACCCGAACTGATTCTAGAATAGGACGTGTCGGAATGGAACGATAAAGCGAGAGGGTGGCGTCGCAGATGGCTCACCAAAATGGTCGTCACCCGGCCCATCGGAATCCAGAAAACAAGAAGCCAGCAGACGAGCGAAACCATCAACATCAATGGACCCACGAGGAAATAGAAGAAGATGAAGAAGACGACACGACCCATAGTCCACTCCCCTCGGCCAAATAGGCGGCGCTTGGAATGCGTGAATTGAGAGTCATCGCGCTGCCCTCGCTGCGTTCGGCCCAGAAGACTGTCTTGTTCGCCAGCAGAATCAACGCTGTTTCGGCGGCGACCCACAAGGGACCGGTCCCTGCGCGGGCCAAAGAAGAGGCGTCCATGTTCCAAGTCGCCATTCTGCCACTGCTCATATTCGCTTATACTACGTCCTTCGCCTTCATCTTCTTCCGCGTAGTGCTCGTCAGTCTCCAAGAGAACAAAAGAGCCAAACGGGTACAACAGATAGCGCGAGAGTCCCGCAAAGACCCTGCCATATGCCACAGCACTGGAGGAATATGCGAATAGGAAGCATGCAATTGCAGCCAGCAACGCAACAAGTGCTAACCACCATCCGAAGAACAGGGACCAGAGAATATTCGTCAGAAAGAGGAGGGGGCTGACACGACCACCGGGGGACGAGTGAATATCCCCTTCGGCGGTCTTCTCCACCGAGCGGCTTTTTTTGTACAATGCGGGCTTCCAGATCCTAATACCAAACGGATGGGTCTCGTTGATAGCTTGCTGTCGGTCCTTCAGCGTGAAGCTCTCGGCGTCACTTGCGGCGTCTTCATCGTCTGTGTCATGCGAATCATCGGCACTCGCGTCTTCATCATCTTCTCCATCCGACTCCCGTAGCGAGGGAATTTCGAACGAGGCATCCATGCCTGGGGCTGGGAGGCCGGTATCATCTCCGCTGAGGTTATCCGACTCCGCTCGTGTCAGCGGGCTTGGTCGTGCACTCGGCCGTTTCCTGAGTGTAGAGCTCTGTGCACGCAAGGGACGAAGCCTGGGAGACGGCTGGGTAGTGGAAGCTTGCTGAGAAGCGATGTCCTGCTCAACTTCCCTGACATCGTCGTCGGTTGAGAACTCCTGACCCTTGTGGGGAACTTGTCTTCGGGACGACATGCGTCGGGTCACCGAGGGTTTTCTCGGTCGATCTGAGGCGGCAGACGCGGAGGCGAACTGGCGGGTGGAGGAATCATCCTGGGCCTCGTCGTGGCGCACTTCGGAGGTCGACTCGGTCGGTTGAATATCCAGGGTTCCTGAGGCTAAGGTATCAGCATGAGCTCATCAACAGCGGTCGCGTTACACGAAGATGCAATGTAATCTTACCGTAGGTTCTCCGGGTCGATGCCATAGGCCTCGCGGAAAATATCGAGGATCCCGGAGTGTAGTCACCGGCCGATGTTCCCGATGGGCGAGACGACGCCTCCGGGTTGTCGATGTCTCTCTTGTCCGCCATTTTCCACGGTGATCAGCGCAAACCAAAACGGAAACAGGAAAGCCCGAAATGACAGGATCGTCGCTGAGAAAAAGAAAACAGAGAAGACTGCTTCACATGGCGGGGCGTAAAGCTCAAGAACAACACACGGTCTTTGACCTCTGCTTTCTCATCAGCTGAGAGGCGTATGAAGCGCTGCAGGCAGGTTGCACACGGCCGTGTGGATGCTTGGAGCTTCAGATGACCCGTGGAACGGTTGCCAATCACGCTTGGCGGATGCCTGGCTGACTAATGGCGATGGGGAGCTTGCTTGGCAGTTTGCCTCGTTTGTCGATTATTGTGGGCCTGAGAGACCAGGCGCCAAACGCGGTCATGTGCTGCTTCCCGCAGCTTCGAGCTGGGCCGAGCTGCTTAGGTTCATCAACATCGTCACCGTCACTGTCTGCCTTATCCATTCGCCTATTTCCTATTCTTTTGCATTCGGCCGGCACTGCCAGTGGAAGCTCAATCCACGCACTGTGTCGTTGGACCCCCCGTTACTTTCGAATTCCCTAACCGTCCTTCGCTCATCCCTCCGTTCGCCATGGCGTTGGACAACTACTATCGCAACAAGATTGAGGGGATGAAGCTGGAGATCATCCAAGGCCAAGCAGTTCTCCGACGGCTAGAAGCACAGCGCAATGACTACAACTCTCGGGTGCGTCTGCTGCGGGAGGAGCTTGGTCTGCTTCAGCAACCCGGCTCATATGTCGGCGAGGTGGTCAAGGTGATGAGCACGAAGAAGGTGCTGGTCAAGGTACACCCGGAAGGAAAATACGGTATGTGCCAATCTTGGTCTCCGGCATGAAGCCCATTTGATGAACACGTGATGAGATTCTAACATAGGTTCCCGCAGTGGTGGACATCGCCGATGGCGTTGACATAGCGAAGCTCACCGTCGGCAAGCGAGTTGCCCTCCTGTCCGACTCTTACAAGCTGGAGAAGATGTTGCCGTCCTCTGTCGACCCACTGGTGTCGCTGATGATGGTGGAGAAGGTTCCAGACAGTACATATGACATGATTGGTGGTCTGGACCAACAGATCAAGGAAATCAAGGAGGTGATCGAGCTCGGTCTCAAGCATCCCGAGCTGTTCGAGTCTCTGGGTATCGCACAGCCGAAGGGTGTTCTACTCTACGGTCCCCCTGGTACCGGAAAGACGTTGCTGGCGCGAGCTGTCGCCCATCACACCGACTGTCGATTCATCCGTGTGAGCGGTTCGGAACTGGTGCAGAAATACATTGGTGAGGGTAGCCGCATGGTGCGAGAGCTGTTTGTCATGGCCCGAGAGCACGCCCCGAGTATCATCTTCATGGATGAGATCGACAGCATTGGCTCGAGCCGTATAGATTCCGCCAGTGGTGGCGACTCAGAAGTGCAACGAACCATGCTGGAGTTGCTGAACCAATTGGACGGATTCGAGCCGACGAAGAACATCAAGATCATTATGGCCACCAACCGACTGGATATTCTGGACCCGGCCCTGCTGCGACCAGGGCGTATTGACCGCAAGATCGAATTCCCCCCGCCTTCGTGAGTGGCCCCTCTTCCGTGCTTTGGCAGCATTGCCAAAGCATCGCCAAAGCATCGGTTCTCGTAGGATGAGGATACTGGGAATGATGCATGCTAACGAAGTTTTTCTCTGCAGGGTTGAGGCTCGTGCCGATATTCTACGGATCCACTCTCGATCGATGAACCTGACCCGCGGTATCAACCTGACCAAGATTGCCGAGAAGATGAACGGGTGTTCGGGAGCCGAGCTGAAAGGTGTCTGCACCGAGGCCGGTATGTACGCGCTGCGAGAGCGACGAGTGCACGTCACACAGGAGGACTTTGACTTGGCGACGGCCAAGATTCTCAATAAGCACGACGACAAGGAGGTGGCCGTGTCGAAACTGTGGAAGTAGACAGCCAAGACGGAGCGTGTTCCCCGGGGAGGGAGAGATGATCGACGACCATGTAGCACTAGTTCTAATCGACGGGCGCCCAATTATCCTTCCACCACTTTTGAACTATCTGGCTGGATCTTGGCCGTAGAATAAATAAAGATACACGACACCGTAGCGACGTGGGATGAAGGCCCCGAGTGACTCGATGCCTGCGGGACTGAATTTCCAGATGACTGCAATTGGACCGCAGGAGGGCCGATTGCATGATGCCGTCTTACCTAGCCTAGCAATTCCCTTCTCCATACTTGACTAACTACTCGAGTACTAAGTAGGACGGCGTAGTCAAAGGCAATCCTAACCCACTTGAGTATCCCGCTGACCTGCACATACACGGGTCTACCCCGGCAAGTGTGACGAGACCCCATGTCCTTCCATGACACTTGCCTCGTTGTCCCAACCGATATCGCGCCATCGCAGACTCACCGGAGTCCAGCAGCGGACTAGCGGGCTGCCTCCGCGGGAATGTGGACGCCAATAATGTGGCCATCATGGAGTATTACTTAGTAACCAATACATCTATACTGTAGTAGTAAATGGCCATGATTCTACCGTATAGTGCATCAATCTAGAAGGAGGGTGCTCAGCCTATCCGAATCGCCCCTCATTTACATATCATCATACCTTTACCATTCCGCAGGCACCAGCACAGCCCCAACAACGTCCCCCCTATCGACTCGATCGACAAGGGCATACCATGACTTGCTTGGCGCGGATCTCCCCAGCGTCAGCTATTTGGCTTGGCAGGATTGGCAGCGCGACTGGCGCGAGCGGAGGACAGGAGACTTGCGAAACACAGATTTCAGCCTCGGCGGCGCCAAGCGTAGACGGAGTCTAGAAGGGAGCAGATCGTCGGAAGGGAGCGTGTGGGAGTAATTGGACCACGACAACCTGCAGCTCTCGCCACTTCGGCGCCAGAACAAAGTGGAGCGCAGCGCCCGCGTGACCGGCGGATCAGTGGGGATCATTGTGTGTGCGTGTACTTACAATAATGTAGTGTGGACAGCAGATAGACTATGTAGCGGTACCTAAGCCCTGGAGTCTGGTACCCGCTCCACCCGCATTTCCCCAGCGGCGCCGCAAGTACCGGCCGTCTGGCGCCAAGTCACAGTTCGTCCCCCTTGCGGGCCCCAGTTCTTCGAGATTGTCGCGATTGCGAGGTTGAGTGCACAAATATTTAATGCTGAGTACTCCCAACCTCAACAGATCGGCACCTACTATATCCAGCATTCTCCTACTGTACGGGACCCTAAGGTACCTAAGGGCATGCAGTATACCCCGTGCTGACCGACTCTTATCGTTACTCAATTCTTTCATCCAACTCTCGTCTCCACCCCGGATCTTTAATTCCGTCTCCACCGGAGCTTCTTTGCCTTTGTCCTTTTTTTTTTTTTTTTACCTTTGGGGACGCGATCTGATCTGTAGGGGCATTTATCCGAGTCCCTGAACCTGAACCCCTCACCCTTGGTTTCATTTTTTTATTTTTTTTTTTGATTCCCTCCTGTCCATCCAAAACGATCTATATAAGAGCCGGACTATGTCCGACGCCCTCTGGGTTTCTTTGATCTCCGCCATTGACCCCGGCACCGACACCATGCCCGCTCTTCTGCAAAGCACCATCCACCTGCTCGAGTCCGAGCTCGTCAAGGCGCGCGCGGCATTGGAGGAAATTCAACCCCATGCGCCGCTCTTGCGCCTCGGCGATGAAGTCGCCGTAGGAGCCATGGAGGCCTACCGCCAGAACCTCATCGGACGAGCCCCCGATTTCTATGGTGCACGTCGTTTGACGCCCAAGGAATTGGGTCTCGAGCCTATGGTGCGCGACCTGACGCCCATGGAGATCGTTCCGACTCCCATTGCGCAGCCCCAGCCCGCCGCGCCGCGACGAGCACCGCTCGAGGAGATGTTGACCAATAGTCTGATCCTCGATCATATGGCCCCGTATCTCTCCACCCCATCGATGATGGCCCTGGCCTCGTCCTCACGGCTCCTCCACAACATGATCACACAAACGCCATACCTCTTCCGTCACCTGGATCTATCTCGCTGCAAAGGTGCTCAGCTTCGAACGGCCACGCCGCATGAAAATGACACAATGACAGAGGATGAATTCTATGCGACGCCACTACGACGAATTTTCTCCAGCCTGGAAAGAAGATCTATATTGCAGGATGTGCGCACGCTCGTTTTAGACGGCCTTCCCGTGCCGGCTGATCTAGTGGCCGACATTATCCTGACGGATCGGTTCAACATCAACATTCTATCGATCCGAGAATGCCGTCATCTCAACGAACGCAAGCTGATGCAGGTCATCCAGCATGCCGTTCGGCCCACTCGCCCTGAGGGAAACCCCCGGGTCAAAGGCATCTACCATTTCTCGCCCATGCATATCGCTCCACGACCTGTCGTACGGCGTCGTCGATACCGTGATTGGTGGAGTGACCGAGTGGCCAAATCTCGCAGCCCGAGCCAGAGTCCCTCGAACAGCTCATCGGACAACGAAGAGGAAGAGTTCTCAAAAGCCCCCTCCCACAGCAGAATGAATGGTACAGCCAATCTGGCAAGCTCTTCAAGCACAGCCTGGAGGAAGGATGGGCCCAAACCCTCCAAAAATGCGAGGGCATCATCGCTTTCGATGCAGTCCTGTGTCGAGGGCCACGGCATGATGTTAGTTTGTACACCGAAATAGACGAGGAGCACCCACCCCCAGAGGATCCCATGCTCGGACCCGCAGTGGCGACTGTTGCCCTGGGCCCCCGCGGCTGTGATGGATGCCATAGTTCCCCCGAGGGTCCGGCCATCTGGGGCCAATCCCCAGACGTGCAGTTTCCGTTACTCGGCCCCATGCCTTTGCACTTGTCGAGCGTAGCAGCCGCCAAGCGTCCTGAGCTGATTCCAGGGCGACACCCGGTCCTGATTGCCCGTTGTACCGACTGTCTCACCGACCGTTGGTGTCACCGGTGCAACAAATGGTTTTGCGCAAACTGTCTGCCAAACCCCCAACACGTCAGGGCCAACTTGTCCCCGCATCAGACCGCCATTCGTCCACACGGGGTACCCCGACACCCCAATCAAGAGGTATGCAAGAATACGTGATCTACCGAATGACAAAGTCTCGGCGGTGACTGACGATCTGTACAGAGACTACAGCGAGGTGTCAGCAAAGATTGTTGGGAATGTGGACCAACTGTGAGTACACTTCATTGCCCCTACGCCTCCCCGGGCTTGCTTTTTATAACTATTGAGATAAACGGTTTCTAACATGCCCAGTGTGCATCCTGCAAGCGTGATTGCCAGCGTACCTGTCAAAGCTGCCAGGGTGACTATTGTATCGAGCATAACGAAGGCTGTTCAGCCACCATGGTAAGGCGTACCCTTCCGACCTTGCAAATATGATGAATCTAACAAAGTTAGTGTGACTGGTGTAACACCAGTGCTCGCCACCGAATGCGCAGCTTCCACTAAATTTCTGGATCTTGTTTTTGTTTTGCGATTTCTTAGCGAAGCAGGTTTCTTGATATTTCTCTCTACTTTCACCTATACGCCGGGTTTTTCCTGCCATTTCATGGCTTGCGATTTTTAGCGCTTATATCCTTTTTTTTCTTTTTTTTTTTTTAATTAACTATCGCCGCTCTTCCTATTCCCAGTGTTTTGGAGCCTTGCAGTCCGCAAAAAGTGTCTATAATGCGATACCAGACTTGTTCTCCTGCAGTTTTTGCTTTTTATGTTTCTAAAATGAGAACAGGCGGCATTAGTCTTATCATAGGTATGATACCATCGTGAAAAGAAAAGTGTCCTCGGTTATTCCGTCTCAGAAAAGAAGAAAATGTTAAGTATTCTTACCTGTTGTGCCTTGTGTCTTTATATCTACTAAACTCGACTCGAAGACAAACTAAGGCAATGCGTTATAGCAGATTAGCAGAACCGAGCGTGGTGTCAAAACATAGTACTTGAAAAATTCCCGGACCCCTCTGCGCCAATAAGATCCATACTAGTAGTTTTCATCTGAAAATACGGTTGCTTATCAATATTTGACGGGGCTTCCTCTGGTTGATTGGGGGTCGGTGCGGACGTTCTAGAAATTTCGAGGTCAATTAGAGCATCCTTAAATCCAGTTCGATACATACAGGGACTGGATTAAACCAATCCCTTCATTTATACTATCAGTTTCGATCTCTTAATTTCGCCTCATAGCTGCCGCCATGTGCGGGGCTCCGTTTAGATCGTAGGAGTAGATAGTTGATAATCAGCTGTGGGGGCGCGGGGAGTCTTCTAGAAATCGACAGCTTCCCGCTCCACCTTTCAAAATTCCCCTGCGCGCCTCTTCCATTCTCCATCATGGCAGAGAACACGTTAAACTGGTCGGCCCAGCTGGCCGTGGCCCCTCCGCAACGAGGAGGTCCCCGACTGCCTGGCGACAAAATTACCCTACCCCAATCCGCCCTCGAACAACTTCTCGCCGCCGCTCCCATCCTACCGGTCTCCTCGAACCCCCGCGTGCATACCACCAATTTCGACCCGTTTAACCCTCACACATTCGCCGCAGAGTCTCGAGCCCGTGAACATATCGAACAACGGCAACAACAGCTCCCGCATCCGCTCACTTTCCGCGTCGTGAACCCTCAAAATGGTCGATTCGTATATGCGGGGATCCGTGAGTTCTCCGCTGCGGAGAACGAAGTCGCGCTGAGCAGCCTCCTACGGGAGTCGCTAGGAATTCCAGATGAAGATTTTAAGATACAAGTACCGGAGAATGACGGGATGGAGGATATGGAAGTGGATGAGACAGAAGGCCAACCGTCAAGAACCGGTCCCGCAGTCACCGTCCATGCGAAACAGTTGCCCAAGGGCACGTATGTGCGTCTTCGTCCGCTTGAAGCTGGCTACGACCCCGAGGACTGGAAAGCTCTACTGGAACGACATTTGAGAGACAATTTTACGACATTAACCGTCGGCGAGCTTCTGACCGTTCCCAGCTCGCGCACCGAATCCTTCCGATTTCTCCTCGATAAGGTCTACCCGGAAGGTGAAGGAATCTGTGTTGTTGATACGGATCTCGAGGTCGATATTGTTGCTCTCTCGGAAGACCAAGCCCGAGAGACGCTGCAAAAGCGACTAGAGCGTGCTGCGCGGGCACCTGGTACCACGAGTGGAAGCTCGGTTGGTGGTGTCCTCGCCCTTGGGGAGGATGTGGCGGCTCAGGTCTTGCCGGGGGAGTATGTGGACTATGAGCTCCGAGAATGGAAGCCTGATGAAACACTTCAGATTGAGCTCCTAACAGATGATCCCACCGTGTCTCTGTTTGTTAGTCCGGTCGGGCCTCGCCAAAGGGGTCGACCTCGGAGAGATATGCATGTTTGGGGCGATTTCTCATCGGATTCGCCCAAAAAATTGAAGATTCGACCTACCAATGTCGCCCTCGAGGCGGCTGAAGCTCTTTATGTATCCACCTATGTTGACAACCAAAGTTCTAAGGTCGAGTTGTCAACCTCCCAACCATCTCCTGTGAAATATCATTTGCGGATCTCAACAAATGATTCGGAGGAAAATGGTGAAGAGAACGAGGACGACTTCCACGAGCAAGACGATGTTCAGTGTCAAAACTGTCGACAATGGGTTCCCCAGCGGACACTGGTTCTACACGAGAACTTCTGTTTTCGCAACAATGTTTTCTGTTCCCAGTGCCACAATGTGTTCCAGAAGCGATCTCCCGAGTGGCAGAACCACTGGCACTGCCCCCACGACTCCTCACATGGCAATGATGAATTCAGCAAGGCCAGCCACGATTCGATATTCCATCGCAACTGCATATGTCCAGATTGCTCTGCTGGATTCGAAGGACTTCCCGCTCTGGCCCAACACCGGACCAATGACTGCCCCGGGAAGTTGATTTTATGTCAATTCTGTCATCTCATCGTGCCCCAAAAGGGCGAATCCGACCCAGATCTACTTGATCCCGAAGTACTGGTCTCTGGATTGACCCCCCATGAGCTTGTTGATGGTGGCCGCACAACAGAATGCCATCTATGTGGCAAGATCGTTCGACTCCGTGATATGAACACCCATCTCCGCCATCACGACCTCCAGCGCGTCTCTCGACCCGCGCCACGCGTATGCTTGAATAAAAACTGCGGTCGCACTCTCACCAACACTGGAAACAAATCCCTCGGTCTGTGTAATATATGCTTCGGGCCACTATACGTGGACACGCACGACCCAGAAGGCAAGGCCCTTCGGCGCCGCATTGAACGTCGGTACCTTTCTCAAATGATGACTGGATGCGGCAAACCCTGGTGCCAGAACGACTACTGCAAGACCGGCATGCAACACAAGGCAGAATCCGACTCTACCTCTCCACCAGCAATGAGCGTGCCCGACATCATGAAAGTCACGCGTCCTCTCGTCGATACGCTGAACGTAAAGACCGACGAATCAAATACCGCACCGTTCTACTTCTGCACCGACGAAACAGGCCAACACCGCAGGAATGTTGCCGAAATGATACACGCCGAAGGATCCATTGGCGGAGATAAAGTGTATGAACTTGCCTGGTGCATTGCCGGTGCCGAAGCGGCTAGTGGGGATATCGAAAAGACGCGAGAATGGCTTGCTAAATGGGCGCCTGCACAAGGGGAAACGTTTGGATAGATGCATATGAAGACTGGTCGTTGTGTTTAGATGGCAGACGGTGCGAAAGAACTCGGATTATTCGGTCCAGTCTTCGCCTGATGCCGTGAATTTTGACATTGCATAAGGATTGGTATAGGATTTACAGGAGCCATTTACATAGAGGAGCAAGAGCGACAAACAAGAATCTAATGATGCATGATGATATTTAAAAAAACAAGGCTGATTCTCGTAAAATTCATGATATTAATCAGTTCATATTTTCCCAAACCCATTGTGTGGCCCACCCAACAACCATTACATGAGCCTAGCCTCTAAGCCCATAGAAGCCGGAAAAATTCAAACCAAGACACACCCCTGCTGGCGCCATCCTTTTCAGAGCTTGAGAAGAGAAAAAAGGAATATAATAAGGGCTATTTTCTCAGGCAGCCCCCGTCTTCGCAGCAAGCGAGCCCGTGCCCCTGGAAGAGAAAATTCCCATGATGCCAAAAACAACATAAAACAACGCAAGAGGGTACGCCACCAGCCCTCTCATCCCGCTCATCCGGGCAACGGCACAGAACATGCCAGATGAGCTGTAAGTACACCAACCAACCGCGGCAGTAGTGAGGAGATACCCGAACATGGTATCCATGGGGAGCAGGATACCAATGAGAGCAGTCAGGACGAGCGGAAGGAAGCAGTAGCCCAGAACGCTTGCAGAGCGAGGGAAGGTCAAGGTCGCAGAGAAATGACCAGCAGCGGAGGCGCCGGACATGGAGGGCTTATGGTGGGGGTTGTAGTTCGAGGGGTCTGCGGCGTTGGGAGTGTCGAGGGCGGGTGACATCAGGCTGAGAATTAGGTGCAAGGCGACGGTACCGAAGACAGCGACTCCATAAATGTAGCCGTAGAAGACCTTTCCAGAAAGAAGCAGGAAGGTTCCGTAGAGGACAATGTATAGCAGTGCACCGTAGAGGTCGCTGTCGTCCATGAGGTGGTTATCTATCGAGGCGAAGGGGTTCAAGACAGTGAGGGTCTGAATCGGAGAGATAAGAGAAAATCAGTAAATATTTCCAAGTAAAAGGGAACTGCCATGCCTGTCCCCTGCAGAATAATGTACTGCAGAAGCAACAAGCATGATCGTCTCCTGAAACCGCAGCCCCAGTTGGAAAAAAAGCCCAAAACGATTACTCACCTTAGTCCTGATATGCTCGAAATTTACCCCCAACTCCTCCAACAATGGTGGTTCACCATCGTAGCCCTCTGTTCCAAATGCAGCCAGCCAACCTGTCCGTAAACCGCTCTGCTCACCCATCCTTCCACTCACGCCTGCCGCGGGGGAGGCTCCAAAACCACCATACCCCCCACCACCGACAGGGTAGGACTGCGCCGCGGGGTTAGGAGCAGCGCCGAAGCCGGCGCCAGCGCCATAAGAAGCTTGTGAGGGGGTCGTGTGGCCTGAGACGGAGGTGTAGGACGAGGGGAAGAATTGAAGGTTTTGGGCGGAGCCTTGGGGCGCGTAGCCCTGCTGTTGCGGATAGTATTGAGCCATTGCCGTCAACGGCGAGAGAAGACGTGAGCGAAGGCGCGCTGCGGAGCGTGGAGTGGCGGAAAGAAGGTAATTGGGTGTTGTGCAGGTTGCGGCTGATGTAGAGCTTGGGCAAGCTCGATGTGTCCATCTGGCGGTTGACGGTGCTGAGTCATCTTCCCGAACTTTCGAAGTAACCGCATCACATGTATACACCTATTAGTATACGCTCAGCATCAAAGCAATTATATTCAAAAAAGAGAGGTTTCCCCACCAAATTTGCTTAATATAGAACCATGTATGGATAGATTTGGTGGAGTTGGGGGAAAGAAGTGGTATAATTGACTTCGCTAAGCTCTAATCGGAAACATGTTTCTACAGGAAGTTGATGCCAATTCCCAGCTGGAGTCCCTTGCGACCCTCCTCGCCCTTTCGCTGAACCAGCGGAAGAGAAAAGTTGAGTTCAAAGCGGGCCACTGGGTGGGCGTAGACAATACCAACACCAGCCGCGATGCTGGGCAGGCCACTTTGCAGATCGGAAACAGTCGAGATAACCGCATCCTGGACCTCACCACTAGTAGTAGGGGTGGTCTTTTGCGACGTCCGCAGGGACAGCAAGCGGCCACCATTCAAGAACATTTGCATGCGGAAAGGCTTTTCGGCGCCGACACGGGGCAGCGGGAATAGCAAGTTCACACTACCAGCGGCGTAGACATCGCCGCCGAGAGCATCGGCTCCCTCACGGGGACCCAGGCCGCACAGACGGAATCCACGCACATCGGTAGGACCGCCGAGGAGGAAGCGGTCGTTGACACGGGAGAGTTGAGGGCGAGAATTGGAGTCCAGTCCCAAGGGGTACAAAAGGCCAGCGCGGAATCCAGTGGTGAAGCTGACACCACTGTCACCCTTGATACCGGGAATCGGAATCGGGATCGCGCCTTGTGTCTCAATCTCCGATTTCCAGAACGACACATCGCCCTTCAATGGACCCAAGCCGGCCACCTCATTGAAGACCTTGGCATAGTATCCACGGGAAGGTAGCATTGCGTTGTCCCGCTGGTCATTGACCCAGCTGTGGAATATGCTGCTCTTGACACTGTCACCAGCATCAGCCCGCACGGTGGAGGAGGCATTCTCGGCAAGGCCGGTAACCTGTCTCCAGTAGGCGTTATAGCCGAGCTCGTGGCGGTGTCCGGAGCGAGACAGCCAGCGAAGCTTGCTCCAGCCTCCCTTGAGAACCTCCTCATGGCTAGCCCAGGACTTCTGGGTAGCGCTGGCAATTCCGCCCACTTCCAAACGGAAGTCGGGGTCACAGAACAGCGGCGTCTCAAAAGCGGCCTGGTAGGCGGATCGTGTACGGGTTCCTAGCGAAGCATTCAGGTTGAGCGTCTCGGCACCACCAAACAGATTGCGCCATAAGAGATTTCCGTAAGCCGAGCCCTCTGCATTTCCAAGGTCGGTACCTGTCTTCAGAAGTACGCGGGATTTCTCCCGGACCCTGAGCATAACATCGATGTTGCGCAAGTCGCCATTCCGGTTGGCTTCGTCCAGGTGAACCGAGATGGGCTCATGGAACAATTCTAAATTCAAACTCTGGTAAGAAACCCCGAAGCAATTATTTCGCAGTAATTTGGGAGCTACCAACCAAATCGTCCAAGCTTGTCTGCGGTTGCCGACACCTCCTTCAATGCCTCGGACAGAGTGTAGGGTCGATTCTTGTTTTCGCTCAACAGCGGGTTGAGAACATTTTGTAGGAAGCTCCGACGGGTGTTCAAGGCACCGAGAACCTGAACCGAAGAGATGGAACACGGAAGAGTCGAGTTTTGGTCAAGCTAGATCGCAGGACGCGGTTAGCAGGGATCCCGTAAAGCTCCGCAAGCTCCAGATATGAAGGCATCTGGAGGCACAATTGGACAAAATACGATGAGGAAGACGGATTGCCATACCAATTCCGAGAGACGGGCTTGGGCCTTCTGGAGAATCGCCTGTGTCCGCTCGTTCACGGCCTGTTGCTGTTCCTCGAGGACCTGCGGGTCCTTGCGCTGTTGCAGGCGCTCGAAGATCTATCGCGTCAATTAGTACCGAGAAGCAGATATAAAATGAGGGACTATGCAATAGCTGCGTAAGGGAGAGTCGTACGTCTTCATCTTCGGCTGACAGGGAGGAGGACATGGTGACGGCTGCAATGGCCAGAACCGATAACGGCCGGACTTTCCTTTGGTCGCGTGGGAAAAGGGAATCCCACGTGACCGCCGAGGGGATCGCAGCGCGGCGAGCGGTCCTCCTTTGAAGTCCGAACGAGCATCAATCACCAAATCCACCAGGACGGGAGTCGTTTTTTGTTTCATCGTTTCTGATTTTTCGCATTTCTCTTTCATTAACTGTTGCGCACCCGATCACATTCCCACCAAGGAGATGGCGACTAAGGCGGCGTTTAAACGGGTGAGTGGCCAGACAATACTCTTGCACCGATGCGATGCGACAATGGACTAACAAATGTCCCACAGCTCACTCGCGAGTATCAAAACATCCAAAAGAACCCTCCGCCATATATAGTGGCGCATCCGTCGGAGACCAACATCCTCGAGTACGTCTTGCTTTTCTCGTTTCGCTATTGTTCTTGAACGCCTGTCTCTTATCGGCATCTCGTCATTCAATCTTCAACTAACCCACCACTAAGATGGCACTACATGCTGACCGGACCCCCCGACACCCCATACGAGAATGGACAATACTGGGGTACCCTGATCTTCCCTCCGGAATACCCTTTCGCGCCTCCTGCCATCCGCATGCACACACCAAGTGGTCGATTCCAGCCTTCCACGCGGCTTTGCTTGAGCATCTCCGACTTCCACCCGAAGTCATTTAACCCCGCGTGGGAAGTCTCCACAATCCTGATCGGGCTTCTTTCGTTCATGACCAGCGAAGAGATGACTACCGGTAGCGTGAGCGCATCTGAGGCCGAGCGCAGAGTCCTGGCTGCGCGATCGCGCTGGTGGAACTCGACCGGCGGCGGTTCGCACGTCAACGCCACCCCGGGTGTCTCTCGAACGACCAAGGGCATCAACAATGTCAAGGCAGGTGATGGAGGCTTAAAGTTCCGCACCGAATGGCCCGAATTGGATCAGGAGAACTGGACGTGGATGAAGGAGCACCGAATCGATACCAGCACTGGCCAGATCCTGCCCGATCCTAATTCCCCCGTCAAGTGCTCTCCAGAGACCAGTGCCTTACGCCGACGACCGGTTGGTAGTGCCCCGGGCTTCGGCGCCGTCATGGAAGGCGGCCATGTGGCGCGGGAAGCCGGACAAGGTTGGATTCGACGGAACCGAGTCTGGGTCGGCCTGGCTGTGCTCTTTGGCTACGCGCTCCTTTCACGACTGGTTAGCGACGTGCGCGGATAATTAAGCGTGGTAATTGGTGACACTGACACTCATTCTATCTCTGCTGGGTTCTACTATTTCTTTTGTGTTGGTTAGCGGCTTGCGGCATCTTTGGGCGCACTACAAGAGGGTCATGGTGTCTTTTCTCGGATCTTCTTGTTGAATACTTTTTTTTTACCTACTTTTGCTACCAATGGGAGAAATTCGAATCCGACGCAGATCCAGCAGGCATCACCGGTGTCATGTACAGAGCCGCGCGAGGCGTTACACCGGGCATCACCGGATCAGCGGCGTGGCGCTCAATCGGGCTTGTGCTCGCCCCCGCATTGACAACGTAACTACTCCTCTTCTCTTCTAAATCTGCCCTCCACCCCATATGCCGGTATTGATGCCAGCGTGTTCCTGCTCTTCATTCTGCCCTGGCCTGCGGGCCCACTATGGATCAGCTGCAGCCTTTTATCCTGGGTGCTCGACCTTCCCCTTCAGGTTCGTGCTGTCTGCGTCCCCTCCTCCGCGCGCTGGCGCTTGTTTCTTTTGTCATGTGCATTTATAGCTCCAAGTTATGAGCTCAGATCCGGACGGGCTGAGGGTGGGGTCTGTCAGGACTTCTTCCGATTCCCCATTTCTTCCTTCGTGTTCTGTCATGTTTCCCCCGACGTGCGCTGCGTTTTGATTGTTGATGAAGCTCCCGGAGGCGCTTATACTGAACCCCAACAATAGATTCCACGCAACCCGCAGCGCCACTGGATCGGCCGTCATTCACCTTCATCGATCATGATGATGATTTATCTTCGAAACGAATTAAAGATGTCAATGCTCGCAAGGCCATTCGATCACATGTTATGCGCGACGTCCGCCGTCGGGAAAGACTCGCCGGACTGAAACGTACTTCTCGACGGGAAAATCGCGGACAGCCGGTCAACGTCAAAGCACCATGTAAAGTGCTCGATGAGTCCGAGTCGCAAGAGGAGGACCGGAGACTGGTTTTCCGGGGTACGTCCCAACATGCTACCCCGTCTTCCATCTTCAGAACAGAGTATGGTGGGGATATTGTTGCCAAATATCGTCGAGGGCGCCCGACCAGATGGAGTGCAGGGTACCCATTATCATCGCATTTAAATCCGAATCCGCGCTCCTTGCCGACCTCGTGGTTCTTTGATCCCTTTTGCACGCTGCCCGGGACCAATGAGCTTCCTGCCATGGTTGCACATTTGGTATACTATTGTAAGTAGCACCCTGCGAGATCAAATGATTCTGTGCGTGTCTGCTTCGATGGCGAATTTTGATATCCCTATCAGTTATAATTCGGACTGCGCCTAACCAAACGGATTAGGGAAAACCGTTTTTGTCCCAGTGACTTTCCCCAATGAACTCAAAGGCCAAGACACCAAGGAGGTCGAATTAATGGTTCGCTCTTCTTTCTCGGACACCGGTAGCTTCTTTGGCCTCATGAGCATGTGCGCCGCGCATAGAGCGGCTTTGGCAGCCGATCGTCTCAAAAGCCTACCCATTACACGCCGCGCCGTACAGACCGGTAATGATCCCGATTATTGCATTATGAAGGCCAAATGCATTCGTGAAATGAATTCCAAAGTCCGCGATCCAAAACAAGCTTTGAGTAATGAGGCATTCGATACGATTGTGAACCTCTTGACTGGCTCTGTAAGAATCTTGTGGTGTGCCGTCGTATCAGCAAAACACTCTCATCTAATCTCTTGCTTTCAGCTGATCGCCGGACTATTCGACGAAGCCCGGATCCACTTGACCGGCCTCAGGCGCATGGTTGAGCTGCGAGGCGGAATCACAGACGAAAGTATTCGGTCAGCCTCGATGTTGGCCGCGATAATCACGTATGTGAATCATCCGAATATCTTGGGCTTTCTTGTGGGGAAATGTGACGATCTAAAAAAGAAACTATAGTGCCGACGTGAAAGCTGCCTCCGGTCTGCTAGTCAAGCCCGTGTTTCCATTGACTTGGGATGCACAGCCGATACCTAGCGAGATTCAGCAACGCATTCGACCACCAGCCTCTTCACCTCTACATCAAATTGGCTCTGGGTTTTTCGCCAATACTCTTCTCAGTCCCCCACTAATCCGAATATTGAACGTTATCCGAGATGTCATTTTCTATGGCATCACTAATACAACACCACCCTCCCCAAGGCATTCACCGGACCACCATTTCTTCCGTGTGCTCAATTGCGAATCAGAGCATCAACTCCTGAGTTACATCTACTGTGGCGATTCGACAGAAATAGGCTCGGATATTCCAAAGCTGGAGCTTCACCCGATTGAAGCTGTCACGCGGGTGGCCACAATCTGCTTCTTAAATAACTTCTTGATTGTCTCGCCTGCATCCTCTGGCCTTGGCCGAGCTCTAACTAAACATCTCGCAAAAGCCATCAGTAATTGTAAATTGTCCACTCTCCTCCATCTTCCGCAGGAGAATTTTGGGCTCTTTGCTTGGGCGTTGTTCATCGGAGCAAGGGGTTCTACCGGTCAGGCTGAACGACCTTGGTTTGTGGAGCGACTGGCTCGTGTTGCTATGATCTGCGGATGGCAAACCTGGGAACAATTGTCGAGAATTCTCTCCGATTACTTTTTTATCCCAGCCACACAAGGCGAGGACTGGCAATCCATTTGGGATGAAGCAATGTCTGGTTTTGTGATATCTTCGGATGAATCATGAAGCACATTAATTCTGTAAACAAAAATATCCACTATCAGCAGGCATACACTGAATGCAATCCTATGCTTACCCATTGAAGTATCATTAAAATGGAGGGCCAAAGCAAAAAGCTGCTTTCAATTAAATATACCTCCCCGCTATGCGAAAAGCCTGGCCATATCAGTGATGGTATTATAATTTTAATGTCATCATGATGTCTATAAATTATGATTGAATATGTACAAAGACTTGAATGTCAGTTATATACATCTTTCGGATCCCAAATTGTGAGCGTCTTAGTTTTCCCAGTCTTCATTGGGTCGTGACTTCTGACGGCAGACTCTTTCCTGCGCATAGGACCGGTAGCGGTCCAAGAGATCAGTTGAATCTAGTCCTTCAGCCCCTTGACGCGAAGAATAGTGTGTAGCAACTCCTTTTCCATCAATAGTCACATTCGGACGAGAGCCATTCAAATTAGTCCATTCCTTGAAAAGGTCCTCACTGGATCGGTGTTCGAAAATGTCGCGTAATGCCTCGACATCGTTTCCCCAGAAGCATCCGAAGTTCGTAGTGATGGGCTCAGTAGGGTTCACCCAAAGGGGGAACTTGTACAAGTTCAAGTCATCTAGCTCGAGGTGATGCAAGAAGGAATAATGCTGCTGGGCAGCAACGGTCCAGTCTCGCAGTGTCGGGCCGGTCTCCGTGTAAACTGATCCAGCAATAGGATCTCGATCCGTACCAGGTTCGCGAGGAAGCAACCATCTGTGGCCTTCAAAAGGTGCCTTGAATCCCTTACGAACTCTGAAACTCGCTGGTCCACGCCACGATGGAAGGCTAGACATGCGCCAGTCATGACTCAGTTGCGACTTGGATCGGGACGGCTGGTCGACATGGTATAACTCAGGCAAATAGGGGAGGGCAACTCCAGGATGGCTGTGGAGAGAAGCCAGGGCACCCTCGTTCACGACATTGGCCGAAACCATCAGTGTGTCGGGGTTTTCCATTTTGGTTTTGACAATTGTCGGGATGGTATGGTCCTCTAGGTAGACGACATCGCCGTCGATGCGAATGTACATCACATTGTCGCGAGTGATCTTCCAATCCATATCTTGACCATGTGGTGAGATAGCATATTCGGAGGTCTGTTGTACCAGCGAATTAAGCCATTCCAGACTGGTAGGGTCGTTCGTTTGCGGGATAAAAACGACTTGGTCGAGGAGACCATGGTTGTGAATCAGGTTTTTCTAGAATTATGTTTTAGTCCCGTCTCTATCTATCTCTCTTGAGACGATAAAAGCTCGGTCGGTCTGATCTCACCTGTAGATAACACTCCAGAATGGAGGTATGCTCGTGGTTGTTGAAGGGAACCAGTGCAACAATCTTGAAGCCATGTGGCTTGGGGAAATGGCCGGATCCACGCGAGAATGCATAGAAGGGCGAATACCTATTAAAAACCAAAGCCATTGGGTCCACGGGAAGGAGTGAGGGATTGAAAAATCCCACGACCGTGAAAATAAGACAGAGATATCCAAACAAGCTCCAAGTGAACACGATCGTCTTGTCACGCCAGGTAGAAGAGGACGAACCGCCCTGTTTGTCGTGATCAGACTCAAGGTCGTGCAATTTCAACGGGCGACCCATCGTGACGCCACACAAACCGGTCGGGCGCAAGCTAGCGGTTTCGAAGAGGTAGGAGATAGAAATTCTATCCTAGATGGGCGGACGGGAGTGATGGGCCCATTTTATGGTGGTCAAGGGCCTCACTTTGACTCTTTGTTCCTGAAAACGGTTGGGTTTCATGACTTTGCTGCGGGGGTGTAGTGTGCATTTTGAGACAGAAGCTAAGCTAATTGTCCAGAATCGACTTCGATTTTCCTTTGAAATCGAGTGATCGCCGCTCTATACCGGATTCGGGGGGGAGGGGAGAGAGGGAAACGGACAAAGGCGATCGAAGAATGTGCGTTGGAATGTGGAGCTTCTTGCAGCTGGATTCGGATTCAGACGAATTCAGACCATTTCTGATGTCAAGATGATTGTGTGCTGAACAGGCGCCACTTTGCATAAATTATAGTGCTCAAGGTCCTTAATAGCTCCCCAAGCTGGTAGAGCAGAGTACTGGAAGTATGACTCTGGTCGATGATCGGAAAGTTGAAACCCAACCACACATCTTGGAGATCTAGTCTGCCACTCGAAAAATATTTCTACAGAATATGCCTAATTACCTAAACAATTTAGTATTTGTGTAATTGATGAACCTCCGCATGTTAGAACCTCGCAAGTAGCAAGTTGAAGCGAAATGAACAGCCTCGGTCCTTGTTTACGCCGATGACGTCGCAACACGTGCCGGTTATCGTGTTATCGCCCGCCCACCGACCGCCGCTAAAGGTTGTCAATACCTCCTTCATGAGACCACACTGCAGACTATGAGGACGGTCTTCCTCGGCCGTTTTTGTCTTAAACGCGGGCTTCCGCGCCTCCCGCGACATCATTTCACAACATCATGGCGATTTCCCGTCAAGCGCATCCCGAAACGGGGCCCAGGACTCGGCGGAGTGGTGATGGCTACACTCGCGCCTATTGCATTTCTCAAGTTGGCGGAGGACTCGGAGGAGGGGGGTAAGACAGGCGAGATGCAAATGTTGAAGGCATCGCGCGATGAAATCCGTAAGTCGGTGCCGGCTGACGCGAAGGGCCTCTCGAAAGTCTGTCAAACACTCTGGGTTTATTGGTACTACTACGTCTATGATCCCATTGCGACTGGGATTCGATTTCTCCACTTGGCCGTTATATTTGTACCAGTTGCTGCTGCTGTGCCGGTAATATGGTTTGGACGGAGGGTTGAAAGTCGAAATAACGCGCGGAGCGGAACATTGTGGTGGTATCGCTTTCTCGTGAAGTCCATGGAGCGTGCTGGACCTGCCTTCATCAAGGTAAGTTACTCATATCTGCGAACATAAGATCAATCTTGATAACGAATTCACTCTCTAGTTGGGCCAGTGGGCCGCCTCGCGAACTGATATCTTCCCTCCCGAAATGTGCAGCGTCATGTCTTCACTCCACTCGAATGCACCCGCCCACTCGCTACACGACACCAAACGAACTATCCGGAAAGCGTTCAATGAGCTACCATTCGACGACATCTTTGAGGAATTTCAAGAGGAGCCTCTGGGCGTTGGAGCCATTGCGCAGGTGTACAAAGCAAAGCTCAAGCCAAGTTTGGCCTCCACCAACCAAGAGCTAGGGCAAGGACCTAGCACTTTGGGCGAGAAGGTTCGGAAGAATGTCGATGTGCTGGTCAAGAGCTCGCCGCAAAGAGTACCCTCGTCTTATGTCGCCATCAAGGTCTTGCATCCTCGAGTCGAGAAAATGATCCACCGCGACTTGCGGATCATGTCATTCTTTGCGTCACTGATCAATGCGGTTCCCACCATGCATTGGCTGTCTTTCCCGGACGAAGTTCAACAATTTGGTGAGATGATGAAGCTTCAGCTGGATCTGCGAATTGAGGCTTCGAACCTTGTGATGTTCCGCGAGAAGTTCAAGTCCCGCTCAACAGCCTGGTTCCCGTACCCATACCTTGATTACACAACACGCGAAGTGCTAGTTGAGGAGTTTGCCCAAGGTATCCCACTTGCAACTTTTCTTGAGGCCGGAGGCGGTGTTTACCAGCACGAGATCGCAAACGAAGGGCTCGATGCGTTCTTGCATATGCTACTGATCGATAACTTTGTTCATGCCGATCTGCATCCTGGAAATATCATGGTTCGCTTTTACCAACCCAGTGAACTTGATCTATCACTACGGAAACAGTCACGAGCAATGGATGCCCCTACATCAGCGGAAGTCGATGTGACCGAGGCTATCCTCGCCCGATTGCGCCCGTACATTGGCCAAGGCGAGAAGTGGGAATCTGCTTTGGCCCAGTTGAATGACGAGGGATACCGGCCGCAACTCATCTTCATCGACACGGGCCTGGTAACCCAACTCAACGACGTGAACCGACGAAACTTCCTAGACCTCTTCCGAGCCATTGCTGAGTTTGATGGCTATCGTGCAGGCCATTTGATGGTTGAACGGTGCCGCACGCCCGAGCAGGTCATTGACCCGGAGATCTTCGCTTTGAAAATGCAACATCTTGTCTTGAGCATCAAGTCTCGAACTTTTGCTCTCGGAAACATCAAGATTGGCGATGTTCTGAGCGAAGTCTTGACCATGGTGCGTGGCCATCACGTCCGGTTCGAGGGAGACTTTATCAATGTCGTGATTTCGTGTCTCCTTCTCGAAGGTATTGGACGAAGTCTGAACCCTGATCTCGATCTTTTCAAGAGGTCTGTACTCCCTTTCCATTTCTACAAGTTTGAAAGATATTCTAACCAAGTCTATATAGTGCCCTTCCCATCCTTCGACAACTTGGCTCCGGTTCCACCTTCTTACAGACCGTGCGTTCTGGCGATACTTCGATTCTCCGCGTCTGGGTCGGCCTCGAGGCTCGCGGGTTGCTGCAGGCCAGCATTGAGAGCGTAGAGCAGTGCGTCAAATATGATCTGCTGTCACCTAACATTTAAATAGATCTCTCCTTCTTTGTACTATAAATTTTTTATACGATAATTCAAATGACACGGAACGTTTTAAGCTACTAATATTTAACGGATTCTTTGGGTATCCATGCATAAAGAACGTTCATTAAACCAGCTGATAGATGTCAAAGGACATATCTCGATTGCCGCATTATCATTCAGTAAATGCATAAAGCCACATTAAGATGCAAAATAATAAGACACGAGTAAGTTATACAAGACAAGGATGTAAGAAGATATAGAAAAGAAGGCACAAGCCATATCAAAACCGTGGAACGCCTGGGCCATGTCTATCAAGTGTACAGAGGAGAGGGGAGAGGCATTGAATAACCAGTATTGCTTTGACCAAGTTCAATGGAAGCCGTGACCGTGACCAGGCTCGCGCGCTGCACCCCCCGCTGGCCCTCCACCAGACATCACCACCCCATCTCATCATCCGTTCAACGGCAGCGGTGGGAGAGTCCAGAGCAGGACGGATATCGAGATAGAAGACAGGCTCGCCGGTGGGCTCGGGGGGTCCGGAGTAGTAGTCGATCACGTAGCGAACCTCCTTGGGACCGGAGGGAGTCTGACGCTGCACGAACCAGTCATGGCGATCGAAGGGCGGGTTGGTTCTAATGCGAGTATGAGGAAGGTTGCATGTGAGAAAGGGGAAAACAAGACACATACTCAAATTTGGACGGGTAGGCCCACCCCAGAGCCTGGAAAATCTGAGCCTTGGGACTCAATTCCTTGGGGCGACCCTGGAAACGAATCAGACGAGGCTCACTCGCCTCGTCCACGGTGCCCATCATCTCGGCCTTAGCCAGCTCGAAAGCCAGATTCTCTTCGCCGCGACGGCACTTGTCCCAACCCTCCGAGAGACCCTTGGCAAAGGTACGTTCCCAGCCAACGATCTCGGTCCACGCACCCTCGTTCAGGAAGTTGTGTACAGCAACCATAGACTCGACCGCATCTTGGGGAGTATCTGTATGACCCTTCCGCAGCATCGCATTGTACATCTGCTGCGGAGAAGGATACTCCCAATTTCCTTCAGAGTCACCACGGGGAATGGAAGACAGTTCGCGGTCAACGGGAAGGTCAACGGTTTGGTTCGGGGCGCGCTCCTGGGAGATGGAAGCGAACATGTAGTTCAGCGGGTTCAGCTTGGACAGAGTAGACGATTTCTGCGGCGCAGCCGCAGGTTGCGGCGTTCCCGCGTTGGCGAATTTCGGCGCGGAATAGAAGGGAGAATCTTTGCTCATAGGGCAGTTACTAGGGATTTCTGTATTCGCGGGGCCAGCGGCGGGCACGGCGGGCGACGCCTGCGATGATTCATGCATCGGGCATCCGGGCTGTTGATAAGGGTCAGCATTTTATGGAAATGAAGATTGGAATACAATTGTACGCAACATACGGGAATAGCGGCCCCAGGGGTCGTGGGGTGCGGCGCCACAGGCACCTTTGGTGTGTCTGCCCAGAACCAACCCATTTGGAAGTGAAATTTCGAGTTTCGCGATGTCGCAGAGTCGATTTGCCTTCGCGCGCGATAAAAGGTCGGGGAGAAATTTGGCCCGCGACGATGACCTAATCGATGGGTTATCACGTGATATCGATCGGGCCATTCACGGACGAAATATATCCAAGCCGGCGAGAAAGTCGGATGAACGAAGAGCTTTGTGCCTGATCTTTTCATCTAACATTTTCGCCTGATTGTTTTTCATCCATCTCATACCTGGAAAAAGAAAAATTCGTACCTTCGCCAGACAATTCACTTTTTATTTCTATTTTTACTATCAAAATACCTCATGAAATGTGCCGACTATCCTGTTAGATGCTGCATAGCAGTATCCTTCACCAAGTCTTCCATGGTTTCCCGATAGCCCATCGAGAGGACACCAGACTGCTCATTTATTAGTATAGGAGTCTAGAAAAGTATATACTGCTAACATACCTCATTCTTCAGAAGCTCTTGCAGCAGAACAAACGCATTATCGCGATCTCTCTGCACTTGAGTTTCGTTTGCTTCGCCACCTTCCTCGGAAACCGAATGTTTTCCGGCCATAGTATTCTTGAGAAGCTCCATAACGTCGTCATTTTGTAGACATTCCACCACAGCCGCACATCCTGACTTGTTGGTCGCCATCAGAGCCAGTGCGAACCAGCCTTCACTTCGAACCACGGGCCATTGGGTCTGTGTAATCATAGCCCCAACCGGGTGCGCGACACCCTCATGCAGCTTGTAGAGCCTCTCCAGTAATGAAGACGCTTCTTCATCTCCATCGCGAGCCTTAGGACTGACGGTGCGACAGATCGAGGCGACAGTGCGTCCGATTTCTGTTTTGATCGGGGGCGAGTCTGTTTTCTCGAATAGCGACAGCAACAGAGAAAGATAAGTCCGTTGATGAGCCGGAGATTCAGAGTCCTCAGAAAGAGGAGCCAGTAGACGGGATATGTTATCCATCGACGAGATGATGACTTGGCGCGCGATCGTCGCAGCTGAAAATTGGACCTGCGGGACCGAGTCAAAAGCCCATAGGCGTGAGACCGCTGGGACGATTTCAGCTTTCGCAAGTCTGGACCGATTATCGCCAGAAATAGCCAAGTTCTTCAAGAATCCAAGTGCGGAGTGAAGAACCGCACCACGGGCGTCACTGTTCAGAACAGCGATTAACTGTTCATGGATCTTCATATTTTTAACCATCGTTTGACAGACTTCATCTGAGCGGGCCAAGTTGCCCAGCATGACGCACGCGCAGATCTGAAGTTGATCCTCACTAGCAACGACCCAAGACTTCAGAGTCTGCGAAAGCTCCGAGTCAAGTGGGTAGTGTTCCGCAAAGAGCGAGGAAGCAGAAATCTCGGCAAGAGCTGTGTTGATTTTCAGGCGAAGTTGAGCCATACTTTGGACATCTTCCTTAGTAGAGGCGTCGTAGTCGATGGTGAATGAGCGACGAAGAACAGACAACGCCTTTCCGACCATGCCATTTACGATGCAAACATTCTGGAAACGCTCCTTTTCCAGGTAAATCGACAGTGAATTTACCAAGGATGAGTAGTACTCGAAGAGAATATCATCATTCAGAGCGAGCTCCATGAGTAGCAGAATGGTTCCTTCTGGGGAATTCTCGACACCTTGCGCTGTAATTTCATGAATTTAGCGTTGGTGGCGACACTCATGTAACAGACACGGAAAAAAACATACCTTGTTCCGAGGAGAGCTCGACCAGATCATATGCGAACCCAAGTAGAGCCTCATTATCTGGAATGATTCCATCTATTAGAAGCCTCAAGATTATATATGCGGCTCTATTTTCCGCCATTTGAGAATGCGCGGGCTCTGCGTTGCGATTAGTTATTTTGTACATTGTTTTAGGCTGAGGAAGACGAAAAGCTCACCATAATCCATACAGATGTTATAGATTACCGGAATAGCTACATGAATGAGATCAGGGTTGAGGAAATGTCGAAAAATAGCAAGGGTGTAGTTATCTTTGACGACGATTTCTCTGTTTTCATCTGGAAAATGTCAGTCGCGAACAACACCCTATATCCACTCAAAAGAAGCTGGCACATACCTGTATCAGCACAAGAATTTCCAATCAGGCGAAGGGAGTGGAGTAGCAGGTCCGTCTCCACCTGCTCCCTTGAGGAAACGACATCCAGAAAGAACTTGAGGACACCAGACTGTCCAATTGGGACACGCCATGATGCTATAGATTGTCAGCACACATGTCCCCAATGAAGATGGGTATAGGCAAAACTCACGATCCCGACTTCCATTCGCGAAGACCTCAGCCGCCTGGCTCAGTAATCCCGAGTTTGTAGACCACAGCTTGCCCAGAATGGAATGAACACTCTGCAAAGACTCGGTATCCCGTTGGCCACGGCTTGCATCCGCATCTGCCTCATACAGGGCACCCTGAAGGCTCTTGAGATCCAAGGGGCTGCTTTCATAGGCACTCTCAATGGCGCTTTTCAAAGTACGGAACATCTTCTCTTGTTCGTCTTGGGCCAATGTCTCCGAGTGTCGCGGTGGGAGGGCACTAGGCATATCCGACAAATTTGAGAGGACCTGCTCAATGGATGGGAGCTCCAGCTTTGCTGCTGAGACAGAATTCTGGCCGGCATCTTCACTCACAGCCCCGGGGGCAGTAGATATATTGAGCGAAGCCATTTTGTTTGCTAGAGAAATCCAGGCGGCTGCCTTCGTGTGCCCGCCTGGTGTGGGGGAGGCTCGTTTCCTAGAATGAAACCGTCGAGGATGTCAAATTAGTCGAGCCGAGCCTCTGATATACCTTGACAACCTCGGTCACAAGCTTATGCAGTTGGCGGAGACACAACGCCATAGTTGAGCGGCGCGGGAGCAGAAGGTGGGAGTGCTGCCTGAGCGGATTCAGGCACCAATGTGGGCCAAGCCGTATAACTAGCGAACAAGACGAGCTCCAGTCGCGTCGCCCAGCTAGTTCGAAGCTTGCTGAAGTGTAATGGAAAACCTCAGTGAGATTATTGGCAGAATAATTATTTGCAAATAATCTATTACTAATTAGTAACATTAGAGCATAGTACTGTTGTTGTTTCACCCCTCAGGGTATACCTCGTTTCACGTCATGCGTGGCTCCGCCTTCCGCCTTCGGGCCAAACACTGGGGAGTCCAAGCTGGCCTCTGCCCGTCAACCGTCGAGCTCCTTCCACCCCCGTCCCTCCTTGAGTTTGTCAATTGCTGTAATCAACTTCCTTCACCCGGCTTCTTTCCTTCTTTCCGTTCGATTCAGCCTCTGTCCACCGCCACCATGACGCGCGCCCAGCAAACCGTCTCCGTCCTCCTCCTTGTCTCCTCCGTACGTACAATTCAACCGCGCATCCACCGATCACCGATGCAATTGAATACAAGAAGCGCGCTCTAACAATCCTTTAGCTCTACCTCGTACTCTATCTCGGCCTTGTCCCCCTGAACGAGACCGTCCAGACTGAAATCATCCCCGTGGTATGTTCGCGACTCCTCCCCGCGACTTTCTCCATATTCTCCACACTATACCTTCATACTGGATATTGACCATAGAACCTCTCACCAGCTCCCCTTCTGGGCCCTGATTGTCTTCGGGTGCTACCTCCTCGCCCGCCTGGGTGTCGCGATCTTCACTTTTAACGACGTCCCTGAGGCACACGCCGAGCTGCAGAAGGAGATTGCGCAGGCGAAGATTGAGCTGCGCCAGGGCAAGGTCGATGTAGACTAAGCGCGCAAACTGTGTGCGCTGTTGAGTTGTTGGATAATCAAGCGTGTTCGCCTGCAGCCTTAACCTTGACCTTGGGTGTTGGATGCGGGAGCCTGTCTACGCATGCGGCCGCCACCGAGGCCCTTACAAAACACGGTACTCATTAATTGCTATTTGCCATCAATATATCCGTTTGATACCCAGACAATCTATGGAGGACCTTCGTCTTGCCTGGAGTCCGCTTACGGTGATCATGGTCATGATCATGCGTGGGAATCGTAAAATAACACTTTTCTCTAGATTCGTAATTCATAAATCGCAAACAGCCCGGACCATCTATTATCAACGGAGAAGGCGCCGGGATGAGGCGCCCTCAAAAAAGCCACCAACAGAATCAAAGCGCCGCGCAGAATGAAATGCTGGTCGACCATGCAAGAAACTGTCTTAGATGATGGGGTTTTCCTTGGCCAGAGCGTCGTGCTCGTCAATATCCTTGGCCTCCCACGGATAGCAGATCCAGACGTCGTCGGTGGTGACAGAGGCGTGATACCGGCCGCCCTCCATCATGTCGGTGGGCAGGACGCCCTTCTTCGACTTGTTCTTGTTCTAAATGGAGGTAGCATCGTTAGCATTGGTAGCTAGTTATGTGGGGGAGAGAAAGAGTGGGCGGTACGCACGTGCAGAACAAAGACGAAGAAGTTCGTCTTCTCGCCCTCGCGACCGAGCTGCTTCTGAGCCAGCTGGACATCCTTCTCGAGCTCCCTCACGGCATATTCGAGAGTGGTGCGGGTATCATCGACCTCGTCGACAATGAGAATGTTCTTGCCGATCAGGTTGGCCATCTCGAGAGAGCTCATGTCGAGCCACTGAGTACGGGTGACCTTGGTGCCGGGAACCTCCTCGGGGTCACCGCGGCCAAGGTCCTCGTAGAGGGACAGACCGATAGCCTGGATGGGGATGTTGGGGTCACCGGGGCGCTTCAGGAAGGATCTGCCCAGATGGCTGTGTTAGTTCCTTGCGCTTTCGAAAAGAGTTGTATAGTCCAACACATGAGGCAATCGACTCGAGGGCTTACCGGAGGATACGAGCAGGCACGTAACCACCGCCACCAATGGCGATCATCAGGTGAGGGTGGAAGTCCTTGAGGATGGCATCGGCCGACTTCTGGCACAGCTTGTGCACCTACAGTACACTGTTAATTTTCTGTTGCGCAGTGCCGAATGGGGCGCATTTTCGGTCCTATCGTCGCAGCGGGTGGCCCTACAACCATCTGACGTGCTTGACGATCGATGCACAAAGGGGACTATCCGTACCTGGTTGTAAGTGACATAGAATTTTTGGACCATCTTGGCGGTTTGGGGGGTTTGAAAAGGAACTATAGGCAAATGCGGTGGCTGAATGCGACAAATAACCTTGGAGAAGGCAGACCAGGGTTCGTGAAGACCAGCAGGAATCGAGGAAGTAAAGACTAGGCGGATTGCAGAGAACTGAGGAGACGAAGCCCGCGGCGCCCACAGAAAAATTGTCACCAAAAAATTCGGATCGGCGGTTATCGCATCGCGGGGCTTATCTCCGCATTTCACTATTGACATATGACACTCCCCGGACTCGGCCTTGCGTGCAGGGCATTCATATCAAAACTATTCAAAAGACGACACAGACTCCCAGGCATATCCATCATCATGTTCAACATCTAGCACACATCATTCTGCGCCTCTACGGCATTCTAGGTATACCACGAGGGCGTGGGGTACTCGCGCAACAGCGCAAACCGTCCCAACTCCCGGTTTTTATACGCCACCGGGTCATGCAGCGAGTGCGTGCGGATGTCTCTCCAGAATCGATCCAGGCCAACCTTTGATGCGGTGGCCCTCGCGCCCGTCACCTCGAACACCCCCGAGGTCACCCGCAGCCCAACGTCGGTGGTGACGACCTTAACGCTCGCCACCCACTCAGCAACCTCCCCCCGTTCGTCGGCCGTCAGCGCAGCCCGGTTTCCCGAGTACTGGCCGTACAGCGCGGAAATCTGGTCGCCGGCCCTATCGGCAAGAGCCTCTGTGGCTCGGAGGTGGGCGAAGAAATTGCCATATCTCTCCAAGATGTAGAACTCGTCGGTGGCCGATTCCTTGTTGTCGCCGCCGAAGGGCCAAGGGCGGGTGGTAGCGGTGGTGTACTTTGCGGCAAAGTCGAGGGAGCCGATGGCGATTCCGAGGTAGAAGTTGCTGAAGACTAGCTGGATACTGTTGAAAAGAGAATGGAGGTTAGCTACATGCGGGGAAGCAGGTCAAGGGGAACGGGATATCCTTACGTCGGAAGGAGTAAAGTCGCAAAGGGAATCAGCAGGGTATCCTCCCGCGGCTTCTTCGATGCGTCGTCCCAGCCAAGGGCATCTTTCCAGGGCACACGAACATTCTCGATCTTCACACCTCCAGACTCGGTCAGTCGGAGGCCAATATTGTGCCAATTATGCGCAAATTGGATACCGGGCTGTCGCGTTTCAACCAGCGCAAAGATATGGCCCTCGGTGCCTTCCAGAACACCTTCCAGCACAGTGAGATCGGACACGACACCGCCGGTATTGAAATGCTTCGCTCCATTGAAGACAATGTGATCTCCATCGGAGGTGATCTTGAGATCGCTATCCCGGGGGTTCACCGCGCCACCAACGAAGTAGTTGTTCGAGATGATCAATTCATGCGTGCGCTCGATTTGCTCGGGCGTACCGACGACGTTGGCGGTAGTGGACCATAGTAGATGGTAGCCTAGCAGCATGCCAATGGATCTATTCATAAAGAGCAGTGTTAATACCACGCTGAATCAAGGGTGGAAATGCCAGAGTATGTGGCTTCTTACCCATCTGCTTTGGCAACTTCCCGAATCGCCTTATACCCAACACTCCACAGCTGCTCTCCACCTCCGTACTTCTTCGGACCCAACAGCTTCAGCAGTCCCGAGTGTTTGAGAAGAGCAATCTCCGCACGGGGTGATTTGTTCTCGTGGTCTCTTTGAGGGGCATCTTGGGCGAGAACTTCTGCTACTTCGCGGGCCCGGGCCAGCCATGTCTCAGCGGTGTCGGGGAGCGCAGACCATTTGGCCTGGTATTGGGAATAGACAGCGGGGTCTGTGGCGGGTACAATGTCTTGCGACATGGTGAAGTATCTTGGTAACCGGTTTAAGGAAAGAGGAGTCAGCGCGCTGAGTAGTTTTCAAAGAAGCACTGCCAGGGCAGTACTTTATATGTATCCATTGCGACAGACACCACATGTGCAATGACATGCTGTCGCTGTGAGATGATGCGATTATTTGCATGGCTCGTCATTGCCTGTCCAGAAATTGAGAGGAGGCATTGAATGGCTCGGATGGTCTCGTCAATGTTGTCGGCGATGTCGTTATCACGTAGGTCAAGCAGATCAGCCGGACCCCACTGCGGTTGAACGGAATGCAACTCTCGCCCGAGAGGTGCGTACAACTGCATCTCTGGAGTGCGGAGTAATAGATTGGATGGCGCGAAAAAAAATTGCATTTGAAGCATGATTATCACGCAACATGGGCTCTCTTCGGTTTCTCCGAGACTATTCCCCATTTCTTCTGCCGCCCCAATTACCTTGCCTCGTGTCCAATCATCCAACCCGATCTATAGGCAACGTACTCCTATACTCCTCGTAATGATCTACTGCACCTTCTTCTTCTTCCCAAACACCCGCGTAGTATCACCGAGCGGCAAATCCACAAGCGAATCCTTCAGCAGCAAATGGAAAACGATATACCATCCCACAAGTCCAGCAAGGAAGCAGAAAACACCACCGGACTTCTTCAACGCAACAGAAGAGGCAGAGTGTCCATCCGCCGCAGCGAAGTAACTCGCCGCAACTGTCAAGAAACCCAGATCCACAAACAGGAAAACAAGAATGTACGCGACATTGCTTGGAATCGAAGCAACCAAGAAGGTGAACACGAAGACAGTCCACAGTATCATGAAGAAGCCGACCGCGTTGTTATACTCCGCCGTCTGGCCCCCGTATGCCTGCACAACGCCAAAAGCAGGGGTCAAGAGAGCGCCATAGCCAGCGTAGAAAAGGCCTTTTGGATCAAAATTCAACATTGGGCTCCTGGATACCATTCGCAGGAATTTGAACATACCGAAAGCACTAAAGACGGTGTAGGCAAAGCCATTGCCGATAGACAGTTCCCATTGCGCAGTCACGACAAGACCAAATGCCGCGATAAAGAAGAAGTTGCCGACGAAGACATTATCTGTCGTGACGCCTCGCCATTCCATGAGACTCAAGGAAAGGGTGGTGAGGGTTGTGCCGAAGGCCCCTAGGGCCAGGGCAGACTGTAAATTGAATCAATCACCATTCGCCGTGGAACACATCACAATTAACATACCCCTGCACCGAGAGTCTTTGGCTCTATGACAGTCGGCGAGGCTGTGACGCTTTGTCGCTCAACATCCACCGCATTGTCCGGTTTCTCGGTGCCGATGGTTGTATCGTGAGCCGCAGAGGTCATCTTGTCGAGTAAAATTCAAAAGTCCACAGAGTCGCGATACGATATGAATTTTGGCGACAATTAGAATCTGCGAGGTAATACTCGACTTGATTTAAGGGGGTATAGCTTCGTTATAAAGTACGCGATATCACACCATTACTTCAGCCGATGGCAAAAAGTATCCTGCTCGGTACTTCCAGGGCCGATCTAAGGTCGGGCTATGGAAAGCTACGTCGTAAACAAGTTCGACCTAATTTTGAGTATTTGCAGGTTAGTTTGGGATACTGCGGCTCGGAGTGGGGGGTGTTGTGGCATAATGGCAGGATTGTATGATGTGCTTCTCCGATCTCGAGACATGGGGTAGGGTAGCCGCTTTTCAGAGCCGAAGATTGAAATGACTTCATAATCAGTTCGCGCTCGACGATTTTATTTCCATTTTTATCTATAATTTGGGTTTGTGCATTAAACAAACCGATCCGTCTCTGAAGTTTCCGCATCGGGTTTGATATGGTGAATCTCGAATCCTCCCTCGTCTCGATCTTCGCCTTTCTGCGGCCAGAGGATCTGGTGGTGCAGGATGGCACGAATCATCATGTAGCAAACAAAAAAGTACATGACGAGCAACGGGAATATTGCCGCGCAACCAATAATGTTGATTGCTTTGCAAGAGAAGGCTTTTCCAATGGCAAAGGTCGCTGTAATCAATGCGGTGTTGGGGAAAATGAACGAAAACCAGGTCATCGAGAAGAACATCCTCCCCGGGCCAATGGCCGACCAGTGGGCTGCACTAGCAATGATGAAGAAGAAAATGGCTAATCTAAAAGGAAGTCAGCAAAGGAGTAGGAATGAAACAGAAGGGGAATGGCTTACCCCCAAAGCCAAAGAGAGACAAAGTCTACCACCACTCGCAGAACATCCGCAGCCAAAGGCCCATTACCCATGAAATCAGCCGGAAATGCACGCTTTGCCTCGGCAGCCATGTTGACAATACCCGCGACAGTAAACCCACTTGGTCCGACCGACACGAACATTCCAGGGCGGATATTTTCCTTGGGGAGTTTCTGCGTCATGAGACGATAGATGAAGGCGGAATAGACCATCATCGACACCAAGAACCCGACTCCTTGGATAGTAGTCCCTCCAATGATGATCCGCAGGGAGCTTTCCGGATTCAGTTTTGCACTCAGAATACCAGCGTGGGGACCGATGATGAGCATGGGGTATGCGGGAAAGATCCAGATCGGTGTCATCTGGGCGATGGTAAATGTTTGCGTGGACCATCTATAATAGCATTAGCGCTTCGTTGTTGACTGAGCAATGAGAAGAAAAACTTACAGCAGCAGATAGATCCCGGCAGATAGGATGACAGCAAGAGCAGCGTCGATCCAGAACAATATCCCGACAGCCTGGATTAACCACGGCCCTGCTTTCTCTGGACCATATTGCGAGATGTTGATCAAGATAGTGCCGAAAGAGACAACAGATGCAGGTACAAAGAGGGACTCGGTCGGATGAAGAAAGGAGGCCTTGAATGTATAAGGGTAGTGATAGAATCTCGCAATCAACAAGCCCCATATGAAAAGATACAATGCCACATTAATCAAAAAGACCACAACGCCGATCGTATCTAGCCCTCTAAAGCGATATGGAACTAAATCAACGTCAGCCCAGGATCTCAGATCCTCAAACCAGAGGATGACTGACCTTGATATAATACATTCGCCAGCCCACCCGTCGCCATCGTCATGGTAAAATAAGCCCAAGTAACATGGCGAATGCGTTTTTTCCAACTCAGCGTCGTGGCCGACGCATCTGTCGTCCAGCGGCGCAGATTCGAACCATCATGATCTAAACAATGCGCCAACTCTTTATTGCTTGCGGCCTGTCTGTCCGCTGCCCGCGACTCGACTTTGTTATGCCAGGCAGCTTCTAGTGCGGAGGTGTGGACTTGGCTGCTGGGGCTGTCCGCCACGCCGAGAATCGAGAGGGTCCGCTCAGCGTCCTCTATTGTCGGGGTTCTGTAGCCGTCGTCGCCGGGGCTGCGCATGTGTCGGGGAAAATCTAGCGGAGACGACATGATGCGGGTCGCCGACTTTGACTCAAGGCGTGACACGTTGGGACCGCAGCGATATGGCCTCGTTTTCACTTAGGCAGTTCCAACATGCGACTAGTGCCCAGACGGATGGCGGCAGGCCTATGCCCGATACTCGGAACAAGAAAAAGGTACCTTTTCAACCCTGTCCAACGACGATCAGGAACGACTGGCGAAGGCGTAGATCGAATCCGGTGGGCTCGACTGCGGCCATGGACGGGGGGCTGTTGGGGCGGGGTTTGCATCTGGGGTGGACACAACCTCTTTTAAAAAACCCTGGCGAAATAGATTATCACCGCGACGAGCGTACCTCAGGGATCGCCGTGGAATTCGACCAGATTTGTGGTCGTTGGTGGGTCACATTTGGCCACCGTTTGGAGGTCATTCGCTGAGTTTAGTTGTATGCGCGGAAGTCGGCACATCGCGGGGATCCCCAAGCGGTCCACTGCATTACCGTCTCACTAAAATACGGTGTCTTTCTGAGTCTACTCTACTCAGTCTATCGATTGTGCTTCTAATCGGTCGTTTTGTATACTTTGTTTTATTTATTTCTCTAATAGCAGGATTGAGCTTATTTCATGCTTCCATTCTCGGCCTGTGACGCCATACATCAGACAAAGACAAGCATGACACGGCAGAACAGGAATGCATGGCAGCCATGATTGACATGCAATCCCAGACACTCGGTGCATATTTCAAATAAGCATATTCAAATGGCCTACCGTTGAGGTCATAGTCATACTGTAGATGCATACCTCGCTGGTCGGGATACGGCCGGGACCCGCCGCGATCCCTCAGTTGGACCGAATCAATCCCTCTTGGCAGTCGTCGATTTAAGCTTGAAAAGACGATCGCAAACTTTTTTTGTCTCTAGCTTCCATTTCAAAATTGACTAGCAGACATACTCGGTATCGATGTACCTAGGTTGACTGTCCCAAAAAAGATATAGGGTTTAGGGTTGCAGGGAGGCTCTTGTGATCGGATGAGCCGAGGCATCTTGAGCTCTGCGATAAGCTGGAGTGCACTTCACCTCCCTAACAAAAACGCAATCATTCCAACCAATTCACCTTCCAAGACCGAAGATAACTGTCTGAAACCATCCCCTGTCGCCGTTCGAAATAAACTTCAGATCCGCCATGCCAGGAGTCACGGATACCCGCAAATCCGTGCTGATCACTGGGTAAGACGCCAGTCGCATTGCGCCAGCTCCCACACTGCAAGCAACGGACCCTCTGACTGTCCTAGGTGTTCTCCCGGCGGCATTGGAAATTCTCTTGCGCGCGAATTCCATCGGAATGGATTGCGCGTGATTGCCACGGCCCGAGAAGCGGCGACCATCGCCGACCTGGCCGAGCTCGGGATCGAGACCTTGAGTCTGGTCGTCGATGAGCCGGAGAGTGTCAAGGCTTGTTTCGCGGATGTCGAATCCAGACTGGGGGATAAAGGGCTGGATTACCTGGTGAATAATGCGTGGGTTTCTCTTACTATTCCCGGCAGATCTGATATGGCTAGCTAACAGTGCGACAGAGGCCGGAGTACGTTTACTGAGAAGCTTGAAGTTTGTCTATTTCGGCAGAAACTGACAGATATCGATGTATAGATTATACCGTCCCGGCCATGGAAGTCGAGATCCCCGAGGCTCGCAAGACGTTTGAGACGAACTTCTTTTCTGTCATTACCATGTGCCAGACATTCCTGCCGCTCTTGATCAAGGCCAAGGGAACTATCGTGCAAGTTGGATCTGTGGCTGGTGTTCGTCCCATTTGACCCAATTCCAATCCAGGCGTTCGGATGGAAAGAGCTGACCAGATATGCAGATCATCCCCTACGTGTTTGGATCTGTCTACAACGCGTCCAAGGCCGCCCTGCACTCGTTTAGTGATACCCTACGAGTCGAGCTGGCTCCATTCGGGTATGTCAACGCGTTTATTTTCCCCTTATTTACATTGCCCGTTCTTTCGTCGGATTATATCGTCCGGTCTATATTTCATCTCAGTCTGGTATTAACTATCGCAGGGTCAACGTCACTACGATCGTTACCGGCGGCGTGCAATCCCGGATCGCGCGAACCCAGCGCACGCTGCAGCCAAATTCGCTGTACTTGCCCATTGAAGAGGAGTACATGCGACGTGTCACACACAGCCAGCATAACGCGATGCCAAATGAGAACTACGCGCGCAGCGTGGTGGCTCAAGTGCTGTACGGGTCTGCTCCCTGGCGCTGGCTGTGGCCCTGGGCCCAGGGCCGCAAGACCTGGATCTGGGAGGGACACCGGAGCTGGCTCATCTGGTTCTTGTCGGGCGGCTGGGCGTGGTCTGGCCTGTTTGGCCGGATCATGACGAAGATGTTTAAGCTGTGGAAGATCAAAGCCTCGGGCCGATGAAGTCGTAGCTGGTCTGAGCTATTTTTTGCCGTATAATATCGTAATGTGGCTCTGTGTCCTCCATTTTCGAGCAACTTTCTTCCCTTCCAATATCGTACCCTGGTAGCAGGTATATACTCAGCTCTCTTACGCAATGAATCTGTTATAAATATCTAAGGAAATACCGACGGAGGTTCCGTGATATTCGCGTCTGCGCCCGAGGCATGGCTTAGTCATTCAGGGACGGGCGCTGGTTGGCTGCGACACCCGGTTTTACCGCGACCGCATTGTCATCCCGAGAAAAAGAAAGCTGTTCTCCCGATCCCGACTCCCATCTCTCCCCAAGGGCTTCAAGATACCCTCTCTTTTCCTCTCCCCTCTACACCCCAGCCATCATGTTCCGATTCGCCCGCGGTCGCCCCATTGCCGCGGCTTTCAGAGCCGCTACGGTAAGTTTCAATCCCGATCCCGTTACCTATCGGGCAGTTGCCCGTTGTTCTCTCGATCATGAACTGACCCGATCGTGACGCGACATATAGGAATCCTCCGTCCAGTCCCGCCTGGCCCAGCAGCAGAAGCGGAACCTGTCCATCCACGAATACCTCTCCGCCAGACTCCTTAAGCAGGTACGTGAACCGCGTATTCGATTCTGCGCGCCCATCATGCAGAGTCTTTTTTTGAGTCCCCGGGTCAACATCGAGTCGAAGTCGGATCGCTAATCGAATTCACACAATAGTATGGCATCGGTGTCCCCAAGGGTGAGGTCGCTCGCTCCGCTGAGGAGGCTGAGGCTGTCGCTCGTTCCATCGGTATGATTCCCTCCAATAACTGATACCCCCTTCGCGCTCGACTAAACATACAATCTTCCAGGTAACGATGACATGGTTATCAAGGCCCAGGTTCTTGCCGGTGGTCGTGGTAAGGGTACCTTCGACAACGGCCTGAAGGGTGGTGTTCGCGTCATCTACTCGTGAGTGATCCCCTCCCAATGCATTTGGGATTATTTTTTTTTTTTTCCTTTTTTTTTTGGAGTTGCAGTCGTGTTAACCTCAACCTCTCCAGTCCTACCGAGGCCAAGATGTTCGCCGACCAGATGATCGGCCACAAGCTCGTCACCAAGCAGACCGGCGCCGGTGGTCGCCCTTGCAACTCCGTCCTGATCTGTGAGCGCAAGTTCGCCCGTCGCGAGTTCTACCTCGCCATCCTCATGGACCGTGCTACTCAGACCCCCATCATTGTCGCCTCCTCGCAGGGTGGTATGGACATTGAGACCGTCGCCAAGGAGAACCCCGACGCGATCATCACCACCCCCATCAACATCAACGTCGGTGTCACCGACGACATCGCCCGCACCATTGCCACCGACCTCGGCTTCTCTGAGCAGTGCATCGATGACGCCAAGAGCACCATCCAGAACCTGTACAAGGTCTTCATGGAGCGCGACGCTACCCAGATCGAGATCAACCCTCTGTCCGAGACCTCTGACCACCAGGTCCTGGCCATGGATGCCAAGCTCGGCTTCGATGAGAATGCCGAATTCCGCCAGAAGGACGTCTTCTCGTGGCGCGATACCACACAGGAGGATGCCGATGAGGTCAAGGCCGCCGAGCACGGTCTGAACTTCATCAAGCTGGACGGTGACATTGGCTGCCTGGTCAACGGTGCCGGTCTGGCCATGGCCACCATGGATATCATCAAGCTGAACGGTGGTAACCCCGCCAACTTCCTGGACGTTGGTGGTGGTGCTACCCCCGCTGCTATCAAGAGCGCCTTCGAGCTCATCACCTCCGACCCCAAGGTGTCTGCCGTCTTCGTCAATATCTTCGGTGGTATTGTCCGCTGTGACGCCATTGCCCAGGGTCTCATCAACGTTGTCAACGAGATGGGTCTGCGCACCCCCATCATTGCCCGTCTCCAGGGTACCAACATGGAGCAGGCCCACAAGCTCATCAACGAGTCCGGCCTGAAGATCTTCTCCATTGAGGATCTGCAGAGCGCCGCCGAGAAGTCGGTCCAGTTCTCCAAGGTCGTCAAGATGGCCCGTGAGATCGACGTTGGTGTTGAGTTCACACTCGGCATCTAAGAATCGCTTCGTGAAGGGGCATGCATTGGGTCGCATCATCACAAACTTTAGAGAACATCGGTGATGATGTGGCCTGTTCCTGTGTCATTTAATTTTCTTTTGTCACTGTATTCTTGAGTGTTTCTTATGATCTATATCATTCCTAATAGGAAGGGGATGTGAGAACCGAATTTAGTCATCGTATCGTATAAGCTCGTAGCTTCTAGTGGCTTATCATGCGCTCTCTTCAGATAGCCCCCGTATCCTGCCTTCTGTGCTACACTAGTGTAGTAAGCACCCCAGGTGAAATAGGGACTAAGTGTCACTAGGTCATCGCAGGACAAAACAAAGGAACTACTGGACAATATTATTGATGGAAGAATGGTCAAGAATTCATCATCTAAGATCGTGGTTGGCGAGCATACGTAGGTACGTACAGGTTCCATATATGTAGTGAGGATATGTATATCTCATGGACACCATAAGCGCTTAAAAGGTTCCGATCATTTTGATAATTGCCACTGTTTACAGAATATCCACTAATACTGCTTCCTAGGAATTATTTGGAGCAAGTACGTTTATGCAATGATGGTTCTCAAATGGTGGGTGGGGTTCACGTCATTTCTGCCGGGCAAAGTTCATTCGGTTCGCCGAGGCCCAAGCGTTGGGACTCTCCGTAGGCGGACTAGTAGCTGAGCCCGCCGCCCTAACAACGGCTCGAATCGTCCCAGTCCGTCTGATCAACCATATCGTCCAATATGAAAACAATTCCCTTTCATGTTTTTGTCGCCCGTTCCTATAATACATAAGGCAGCATACTTTGTGGTAGTTGGTCCACCGCTCCTTCCTCGCAGTGCGTGGCTGCACTCCCTAGAACTTCCAACCTCATTCACCTCGACACCATTTAATCTCTTCTCTTCATTTCCATCTCAACACCACAGATAATTATGACCTTTACCATATCAAGTTTCACGTTTCGATAGTCCTATCATTTCACCAGCCTCTCTGGAAGCAAAACCATGGAGTTGAAACTTGACACCGTGCTGGCGCAGTTCCGATATCTGCCAAAGGCAGAACGCATGACAATGTATGTTTTCCCCATCAAAACCATAGTGACGAAATTCAGTTGGTGACATGTTTGCAGACTTTATGGAATCTTAGACCAACTGGGTCCGCATGAATACCGAGCCGCGCAAGCTCATCTTAACAACACATTCCAATATGACATACTGGGCAATTTACCCCTCGAAATAGTCGCCCAGATTGCTGAGTATCTGAATTTGGGCGATGTTTTCCGCCTTCTTAGGGTGTCGCGACACTGGGATTATACCCTTTCTTCGCCCATAGTTCTCATGGCCACTGTCAAGGCACTGGGATCGTGGGTTCCGGATCTTTCTTCTATTCCCGATCCTTATGCCTTTATTCGTCGTCGATTTTCCATCGAGCGAGGCCTTCCCGCGGTGAATGTTGAGTTCAACACCCAAACAGATGGTTCATCACAAGAAAGATCGAATATGGAAGACCCGTGTTTCTCCGGGGGTAATCTTGCGTGGAAGGACCGGGGCGATAAATCGGTACACGTTCTCAACTTATGGACTGGGCACCACTCCCAGTTCACCACCGAGAACAGAGACACATTTGGCATGCTAGGTGTGTCAGATTCCCTGGTCGCTGCCATCACTTTGTACTCTGGGTATAGTTCCTGATCGCTCAAAGACATGTTCGTCCTCGGGCCCGTACATGTGCTAATCGTTGACCAGATTCGTGCATGTTTGGCATATTGCAACACAGGAGCACGTCTCCTTTCGCCTGCCAAATTCGCCTCTACCATACCTGTCAATGTTTCTTGTCTGCGGTACCACGGTGGCTGTTTTCTTTGATTACGGCGTTGTCCATTGGCGGTTCGATACACGCATGGCTCACATGTTTAATTGGGATGGAATCCGTCTTCCCTTAGCGATCGACACTGACCCGCACGAGAACAACCTGGTCATGGCGTATCTAGATTCAGCTCCCCTTGAGTCTACTGTCCATGTCCAGAAGCTCGAACTGGACCAGGGTGTCCTGCGTTCTGTATCAGAATCAAGCGAAGAGCTTTCTTTCGTGGACAAAAACCCCAGTGACGTTACATTTTTAGTCCGTGGCGCCAGAGTCACCAATTCGGGTCAAATCAGTGCCGAAATGGAAGTACGCATGGCCATCAATGGTGCTTCTCGTGCTGTCATTGGCCATGTCGCGTTTGAAAAAAACCTCCAACTTACAACATACGCTTCCTGTCTCGAGCATAATATTGGGCGCCGCATTTCTCCAAGCCCTGGCGTTCTTTACGCGTCATCAGAGGAAGGCGAGGGGGGTGTGTATATTTTCCAAGGGCAGTCACCCAAGTCATTGACTCATGAGCCATGGCTGCATAAGCCTTTCCCGCGCGGGGAAAAAGTCGAGTCTCTTTGTGGAGATGAGAATTTTAGTATATTTATCAGCAGAGAACATGTTCGGATCTGGTCCTTTGATGAGACCTGGGTTCCGGACAGGATGCCATGGTCACGAGTCCTGCATCATGACTGATCTGATCGATCCAGCAAGGACCGTGAGTAATCCTAGTTGTGTGTGGTTTTATTATTATCAGAGGATAGAGTAGAGGAGCAATGGGGTTTCCGGCTAAGAGAAGGGAGAAATCTGATGGCTACTCAGGATGATCAGTAGACTGGCAAATTTGCACTGTAATATTTCGGAATATTGTATTTTTCTTTTTTTGTTGTCTATATTTGCAGCTGAGATAAATGGCCATGTTACGAAAAAATGAATATTATTATTAGCTTGTCGATATGCTACTGGTATGCTGTTATATGTGAGTGCTTCGTTTTCTGCCTCAGGCATAAAGGTTCTAAATACTCCTATAGTCACCCCTATAGCTCCCTCGCATACATATCAGCCATTTCTCTTCATAGCATCAGATCGTAGATTATTTAGTGATTTCATCTGATCTTTCTTTCATCTGTATTTCATATATGTCAAATGTAGTACTAATACTCGTCTTCGTGATGGCTTCGCGGCTGCCAGATTGATCAGCTCAATGCCCTTGTCCTGCAATTCCCTGCACGGTCTAGGCTGGTCCACGGTCGATCTGGATCCCAGAAGCGAAGAATATTGCCCGGTCCGCTGTTTGGCACCCTTTTGGTATCCTGGATACATGGAACGACTGTGTCTGCCGCCGAGGACGCCCGCGCACTGAGGATTGACCACCGGGCAGAGTATATCGGGTGGAGCAACGAGGTCTCATTCTTCTCTTCTCCCCCTTTTCTGCTCCACCACCTCGCGCTGGGCTCTCCCACACCTGTGCAACGCCAGCAATCCGCATCCCAACCAGCCGTCCCGAGCCTGAGCTGGCAGCTTCAGCTTCACTTGCAGCTGCCCGTGCAGATCCGATCGTGCCCACCCCCCCCCCCTTCCCCGCAGCATCACCTTCTTCTCCGTCAATCCGGTGGCGCCATGATAGATCAGGTCCTGCTGTGCCGGTGTTGATCTGCGCCTCTCTGGGCTCGACCTGTCTTCTCCTCTTCGCACGTTCTCCCGCCCACGAGCGCCTCCCCAACGGTCGCGTCCTTGCCTCTCGACCTTTCGTCCTAACTGCGCCTGCGCCGACGTTGACGTCGACTACTCCCACCACGGCGACGGCGGCGGCGACCACGAGGCCAACCGAAGGCTACTGCGAGGCCTCGAATTGGCACTCGCCGCAAGCTCTCCCGACTACCCATCTGCTGCATCTCGCCCCTGTCGCGCGCGATGAGCGGCGTCGCCGATCCTCCCTCCACCCGGTTCCTTAACACTTTCACCGGGCCTGCAGATGCCCCCAGCAAGACTCGAAACATCCCGGTTCTCCCCTCCACCCAGCACCACTCCGCGATGGAGATCACCCCTCCATCGCCGGCGACCGTGGGCGCTCCCGTTCACAGCAGCCCCGACGCCGACCGCACCGGCGCAGTCAATACCAATGGCTCCGACGTCGGCACCCCGAACAATCCCCCCAACCCGGCTGTAGGAGCTGCGGCCGCAGCGCAGCAGCCCAAGGTGGTCCAAACGGCCTTCATCCATAAGCTCTACAAGTAGGTTCTTTTTCATCCTCGGGGCCGTGCTGCGATGGCCGGGGGCGCAGAAACGTTACTAACATAATGTGCATAGCATGTTGGAGGACTCTAGCATCCAACATCTGATCTCCTGGTCAAGTACGAATGACAGCTTCGTCATGTCTCCTACTTCGGAATTCTCCAAAGTTCTTGCGTGAGTCTTCATTGAGTCCGAGTCTTTCATCCCAGCTTTTTATCACATGTCGCGGAGAGTTGCAGAACGTCGCTAACTCCCCACAGCCAGTATTTCAAGCACACCAATATCTCCTCCTTCGTCCGACAGCTCAACATGTACGGGTTTCATAAAGGTGTGTCGTTATCTTGGACTGGTCGGAGCAATTGCTGATACGGATGAATAGTGAGCGATGTGTTCCATACTGGGTCGCCAGACTCCGCGTTATGGGAGTTCAAGCATGGGAATGGCAATTTCAAACGGGGTGATCTCGTTGGTCTGCGCGAAATCAAGCGCCGCGCATCTCGACATGCGCTGATCCACCGCGATTCCTTCCCGAGCCATAAGGCCGCGGCCTCGCAACCAGGCACTCCAGCAGAGCCCGTCCCAGACGCAGCCGAAGCTCGATTGATGAACCTTGAGCACACTCTATACGATATGCACAATCGCCTTGTTCGGGCCGAGGAAGGCAACGTGCTGTTGAATTCACGATGCCAGAACATGGCTGAGGGCCTTTCCAAATGCTATCAGGTATGCGCGGCCACCTGGAATTGATTGAACGAAACCGAGAATCTGACCGATGAACTAGTGGACGCATTCAATTTCGCGCTTCTTGTCAGCTGTCGTGCCTGACAAGGAGAGCCCTCTATATCGCGATAGTATGTTACACCACGCCATCTGCTGTCACATCTGCTAACAGTTCTCCTATAGTATCGAACATGCAAAGAGAGGTGGAGAAACATATTGAAACAGTTTCCCAGGAATCTCTTCTGGCTCCTCGTCAGCCTTTCTTTGGTAACATGGCCCATGAACCCGGCCCTCCTCTATCTCCTCGTCAGCTGCCACAAGATGACAGTCGACGCCAGTCCATGATGGATCCCTCCCGATCAAACATGATCCGACCTCCCGTGCCGCCACATCTTGCGGTGTCCCCGGGGGTCGCCGATTTGGTTCAATTGGAGGAGCCAATGCGCCATCGAATTATAGTCGTCCCCAGCCTCCGCCGGTTGCCGTCCAGCAACCCGCTCCTCATCCTCTATCCATCTCAACACCTCCCGGGCCCAACATGGCCCGTCGCCATACGTTTGCGGATATCAGACAGGCCGACTGGCCGCCGACAGGTACCTCTCCATTCCCACCGGGCAACCCGGGTAGTGGTCCTTGGCCATCGTCCCCACACCGGCCCCCTGCGAGTGACCAGCAAGTCCGCGATGTCCTCGCCTCGTATGAAATGGGCGCCCCGCGACGTCTTCAAGACCATTCCCGCCATGCGACACCACCCGCAAACGCCGAGCCATCGCCATCAATGTTGAGTGCGGACAATGGTTGGACCATTGGAGGCTCCCGATTTCCTCGCCAAGAGTCATCTTTGCCAGCAACTCGTCGATCCAGCATGGCTAGCAACGTTCATTCCCTGCTCAACCCCGCCGACACCGCGGAGAGACCCGAAGAAGACCAGCAAGACGACCGCAAGCGCAAGCGATTGGAATGAACAGCCACCAACCAGATTTCCTGAAACAAAAAGATCTTTTATGGCAAATACCCGTGCGCTGACTTGATCAGCCACATTATCGCCTGACCCGGACCCGTCGCCATCACCATCAATCCAAAACTGGACTCAACTTCGGCGTCTTGATCTAGATCAAACTACAAATCGACAGAGCACCCCGGGCACGTACGACCCTTGGACAGCACCCTGTATACATGAAACAGTCGAGCTCAGCCTTGTGTAGAATGATCGACAGCCCTACACTCCTGCAGCCCTGCCGAGACTGGGCTCGGGCTGTTCCTTCGCGTTTGTAGATGATTTCAAATTCCTCTCTTCACGCTTTCACCTCATTTCTTTACTTTTTCTTCTCTTTTGGGGATCGGTTCACTCGGAGATTCCGAGGCACGCTGTTGGTGTTGAATGACAAAAAGCCAGGTTCTGGATTGAGTCCTTCAAAATTAAATTTCAACAGCGTATTCTTCATATACCCCTGGGGTGATGGTCGGATCAAAAACCAAAAACAAGAAAAAAAAATACCGATGTGACATCTAGAAGAGACTGGAATGGAATCTGTATTCTATGTATCTGTTCATTTAATTAATCGAGAACCGAGACATTTGTGACAGCCTCATCTAGTTCCAAAATATTGGATCCTAGTATTCGACGAAGAATCGCGGTCGATGTAGGCGAGGCAAATCCCATATTTCCTGGCCTACTGGCGACGACTCCGTAACGTTGCAAGGCCTTGCAGACATGTCTTGTATAGGACATGGTCCTATTATATTGAGCAGAGTATACTGTCCAGCAGTATACAACTCCCAACTGAGTGGATCAACAATGCAACCTAGGCCAAAAAAGGTCCAGGGCAAAAATCCGGCCTCACCTCTTCTTTTTCTTGTTCGCCCGCTGCGCCAAAATCTCATCCAAATAACTCGTCGCCTTCTTCTTGCCTCTCGACTTGGCAGGCGCAGGAGCAGACTCCTCGCCTTGGGCCGGGGCTTGAGTTGAAGCTTGCGCAGCAGATCTATCTCCGCTGCCATTCTTCCTCCTCCTCTTCCCGACCATAGCCGCCCTCCCTTCCTCATCATCGTCTTCTTCATCCTCAACAGCAGTCGCCGCCGCACCGTTCGTCCCATTCTCAGAAACAGCCGCCTTGGCAGCAAGAGCTTGACGAGCCGCCTCGGCTTCCCTCTCCTTAGCCTTCATAACCTTCTGATAATTCCTCCCGAGCAATTGTTTCCTTAGCATGTCATTCGAGCTGAGTTCGGATCGATTCCAGGATCCGTCCGCCGCTTTTTCAGGGAGGGGTGCGCCGACGCCGAGTCTAGTGGAGTTAGCATCGCACATCAACCACCCATAGTATGGTTCAGCGGAGAACATACGTTTCCGGTACAGCGGTGAAAATCTCATCTTCTTCGCGCTGAAGCTCTTCGTCTGTTTTGGCGGTGGTGGAGCTGTCGTCTTCTTGCGGGAGCCAGGAGGAGACGAGGCGTTGGCTTCGGGATAAGACGACGTTCGCGCGGTTGAGGATTATGTCCGATTCTGATTTTGAGAGGGACATTTTGCGGTCTCCTCTTTTTTCCGTGGGGTAGGATTTGAGATGATAGTGGTTCAATTTGAATGCGGCAATCAACCTTAATCACTTTTTTGCGATAAGATATCGAGGGCGGTGAGATTTCAATTGTTGTCTAATCGACCGGATATTGGCACCCTTGTTCCAGGCTCCAGGCTCCGAATGCGACTTATATACTTGTGATTTATTTAATTGCGGATTAATTATCGCTTCCAATTGGATATAGATTTAGTCATGGTCCTTGCCCAAAGGCGTAAAAGTGATGTTGTGTTGAAATTTGCAATTTGTATTCTCAAGCCAAGCGAAACGCTTATAATACTGATTTGGGACGAAATAAAACGGACTGCCACTGAGCAGAATATACGAGCGAAAGGAGCTGTTCCTAGGAACTCTTGTCTAAAAAGACGCGTAATCAGCGGTTAAACAGGAATTATCCTTTAGTAGGCTATCGAAACCTTCCTGCTGCTTTATGTGGGGAAAGATAGGACTTAAATATTATAGAATTTGTGCTAGACTGTGGTGATGAGTAACAGTCCTGGGGCTGAACTAATCCAGAACATAGAGGCAGAAGCAGGGACGAAGGTTAGTTCTTAGACTTCGGTCAAGTGAAGCATGCTTTACCACTATGAAGTAGAGAAAGGCTAGAGTAAGTTCACGGCAGATTCATATATCATACAGAATAGTAGATCATGGTCGACAAACGCTGAGCTCGAAGTAAGCCCTAGAGAGTAGAAGCATGATAACACACGGTCATTTTTTCGCCCGGGCTCCTAGGAACTGCCGTAGGTAGCAACGCGCTTATCTTCGGAAGAAGTGAAAGAAAGAAAGGAAGGCTGGCGTCGGCGAGCTGGTGCATCGGAGGTGAGCGAACAGGATGTTCCGGGAGCGCCCAGGGTCGCTCAGGGTCTCTCAGGGCTGCCCAGGGTTGCCCAAAGATGCTGAGGGAGCAGCTCAGGGTGGCGGGGAGACTAAGTCATGCTGGGCTCCGGGAGCCGATCGCTTCCCGAGGCGGCAGTGGTACCGTCACCTTTTATTCATCCATGCAAATGTTTGTTCACGAGAAGTTTTGTACTTCGAGTTCGGGGTTCTTCAAATCCTCGACCTCTTCTGAGGAAAGGGGATAATTGGACCAGAAGGCATTGCCGGATGAGACTTTGAAGGCTGTTGGATCACGATCACGCTCCAAGACAAGTTTGGTAGCGTTTGCCAAAGTGTCGAAGAGGTGTTTTTGAGATCTCCAGAGAACAATACGGTCTCGGTGGCTCATTCGTACTGAACGCTGGTTTGCGGCTGGGAAGGTATCGAAAGCAGTATCGAGTGTCTATCGAGGTCAGTAATTATACTCAGACTCAGTAAGGGGAAGAAAAAGATAAGGATGACTTACAACACGCAGGGCCTTGTGTAACTCGATCAAATTCCGCGCAGCCTCGCTTGGCTTAAAGGCAGAATCTTGCGTATTGAGAGAAAGGCTCAGCCACGAATCCAAGAGCATCTCCTTGGCATCCCATCTCAGCTTTCCTCCAAAAAAAGCAGCTGTCAATGGCGAGACCGGAGAAATTTCATGAATGAAGGGCATGCCTGACAAGGACGACGCTTTATAGTCGTAAACGACCAGGCATTTTGGTAATTTTTGGCCTTGCTTACGGGATTTGATGCCCGCCATAAACACAGATCTCGCGGCCATCATTGTGCGAGGATCAGTATTTGTAGTGAATTCGTTCGAATTATCTCTTGGGCCTGCAAGGCGTGGGAAGAGACAGTGCAGCAGTAGCGCTTTGATGAGGGGCGTGTTATTCGAGTTGACGTTGAGCCTAGCGCCACCTAATTGACCTTCACTATCCCATTTGTCCTCTCGAGGAGGGATCAAGGCTGCGGATCTCAGATCACCCAAAATCTGCTCACTGATGCGATGAGCAGTCCTCCAGCTGCGGTACCAGATTGAGTGATCCATAGCAAAGTCAAGCGCTGAAATTTTTCCTTGTTCGTCGAATACCTTCCGAACGCTCTTGAACGCATTGATCGCGCTAATATGATCGCTCCCTGATCCACTGGCAAATTCAACCCGGTTGCGAAGGACCAGCTTCGCCGTTGCTGTATCTGTGGAGCGTAAAAACAAGGGTGTGGTTGAGCCAGTCGCTGCCAGCGCGAGCATCGGGTCAAGACAACGGAAAATAATACCCAGCATGATCAGCTTTCCCATTGCTGGAGTGTCAGTTGGCAATTTAGCCAAAATACTGCCCAAAGATGTAAAATTCTCGCCATCATCCAAAGCCGACAGCTGTTTCAGGGCATCCACATTCACAATCACGTCTTCGTCCTTCGGCGGTTCGATAAGCTCTTTGAGGAAGCCTAGGATGGTATCATCACCAGATAGCAATCTCGCACGCAGGCATGTTGTTTGCAAATTGCCCCTAATGATTTCCGGAATCTGTTCGACCCGAAGAGTGTCATAACGTTTCTTGGTCCCCAGGTAGTAGTATTCTCCAGCCTGAACTCTGCCTGCCCGGCCCGCTCGCTGTTGTGACTGCGACTGCGTGGCCCAGCAGCAAGCCAGTCGACGAGAGTGGTTTTTGGTGTTGACGATCAACTGATTCACTTTTCCTGCGTCAATCACGTACTTGACATCTGAAATCGTGACCGAGGCCTCAGCAATGTCGGTCGATATGATGACTCTTCGACAACCGGTTGGTATGTTCAGAGACAGCTTCTCTTGCTCCTCGGGCAAGTGCGAATGCAAAAGGATAACCCTGTACATTTCCTCATTCGAGAAGTCAAAACCAAGTTGGGGTCCATACTGCTGGAGCTTCTTCTTCAGATCTGTCATGGGCTTTAATCCAGGGAGAAAGACCATGATAGACCCGGATTCAGTCCTGGATAGAAGGTCGAAGACTGTCATACCAAGCAAACCGGCTGGCACCAGAGAATCTTCTTCAGGGAGCGCATTGGGCACCTTTGAAGAGTGAGGAAGTGGAGTCGACTTTTTGTCAGGCGATTCTTCACTTGGTCCAGCCTCGCTATCAATGTCGCCGAATTCGGAAAGATGCCTGTGCAGGTATTTGGCAGTATCTGCGTCGTCAACCGCATTTAATTCCTCGCCCAGTGGAGATGTTTCCAAATTGCCAAGTATCTCATCAAGATAATAATGGTCCACTTGGTATTGGCGGCCTGGGACAGTAATATGGGGAGCAGGGATGAGCGATCCGTCCGGTCCTTCCATGGAGAAGTAAGAGGAAAACAGATTGGTGTCGACAGTTGCGCTCATCACAACGATTTTCGGAATATCAGCTCCTGAATTTGAGCAGTGATTGACAAAGCGTTTCAGCAAAAGCATGACAAAGTCAATGCCAATATCTCGCACATGAACCTCGTCGAGGATGATGTGAGAGAAAGTCTTGACCAGATCCGGCACGCTTTGCAGATAGTTCAAGAGGATTCCGGTTGTACAGAACGTGATAGCACTGTCTTTCCTGGATAGCCGGCGCTCAAATCGAACGATAGAACCAACTGTCTGGCCAACAGTTTCATCTCGTTCCTGGGAAACCCGATCTGCCAGACGTTGAGCGGCAATCCGCCGAGGTTGAGTACAAATTATATTACAGCGTCCTCCATCGCCTTGATCAATAGCATCATCCAGGATAATCTGAGGGACTTGCGTGGATTTCCCAGAACCAGTTTCGGCGACAATGATGCTGAAAGTGTGGGATTTCACAAGGTCTAAGATCGATTGTCTGAAATCTGCGATTGGTAGAGCTGCCACCTTTGAACGGATCTCCAGCATTTTCGGATCTTTTGACTCTCGGAGTTGTTTCAGAGCCGCTGCCAGTTGCATTTGTCTTTTATCTTCGTCGAGGTGGAAATTGAAGTACTGCGGTTCAGGAGAGAATGCTTTTTGTTCTGGTATCATTTTTCGGACCATTTTTGAGGTTTTGAGTAGGTCATTCCGGGACATTCCCATTGTGGCAAGTAGATCATCATCAAGGATGAGATGAGCATTGCCACGACTGGAAATGATTTCCTTCTCGAGCAAGACCTCATCTTGTTGTGGGACTTCATTATGCGGTACATGCGCATCCTGTGGAGAGCCTTGGTCTTTTGACTGAGAATCATCTTGTGGCATCGCATCTGCCGGGGTCTGCTCTTGTGGTAGACATTCCCCTTGTGTTAGAGCTTGGTCTTCAGATGAAGCCCGAGCCTCGGCTCTAGGGAGAGCCTGAGTCTTTGAAACGGCGTCCGGGAACTCGTCACGCGCTTGGGTGACTTTCTCTGTTGGGATGATAATATCCCATATACCAGCGAGTTGCATCTTCGCAATCAGTATCAGGTAGGCACTTGTTCTCGAGGCCCTTACGGACAACGAATGGAACTTTCTAATATTCTCCAAGGGAGCCCTCAACTCAGGTTGACCCGGCATAGTAAGTTCCATTACGCGGATGGCGTGGCCGTTTGTGTTCTCGACCGACATCTCAGTGAGCTGGAAGCGGCCGTCCTGCTTCATTTTCAAGAAGCGGGAGTACTCTTGTGCGTTCAGTTTGACTGATGGTGTGGGATCTGGAAGCTTGCCACTCAAAGCACGCTTGATATAGAGGTCGTCCTGTAAATCTTTCCAAACTCCAGACTCTCGAAGCTTTGAAATGAGCTTGTTTTTTGCGGCTTTTTTCGCGGTCTCATTATTGCTCCCTTTGCCCCTGGCTGTAATTTTGTTCGGCATCTTGTCGAAAGAGCATTCCGCGACGTACTTAACGCCGGTTTCTAATTTCCGTTTTGTTGGAAATGTGAGGTGAACCAGCTGCTTATACCTTAGCAAGCCAAAGATTTCGAATTCTGCTTGGCTGAGAAATAGGTCGAGATCGGAATCGACGGATGGTTTAGGATTTTCTTGCTGGTGTAATACATCCGAATGGTTGGGTTTTGTTGAATGGTTTGATTCCTGGGATGAGTTTGCACTTGTCTGGGAATGCTCGATGGGATGAGTTCTGGCCAAATCGGGTCTCGACTCAATCGTATTAGTGATCCCACGACCTAGGTGAAGGCCGAATTGAATGTTTTCAGCACCATCAATCGGCCTCATGTGTGATCCCCCAGGTTTAGCTTTGTTGTTTCCAAAAACAGCGGCCGCGGAATTTGTACGGGTTGTGTGCAGCTTTCGTCGAAGGCGTTGCAGCGCTGCAGCCGGACTGGCGCCCCAGCGGAGGGCTCGAAACGAAGATTCATATCGATTGGGAGATGGCAATTGTTTCACGTTCCAAATGTATGCGTACGCGTTTGTCCGGGTAGTCATTTTGCGCGGTTGGGCGTTCGCGCGGCCTCGTAATAAACACGCGCTTCAGCCGAGCTCGGAGTCTTCAGCCTCCGCAATTCGACTGTGCTCGCATGAAGGGTAGTGGACTCGAAATAGACTGGAGTACGGCAAGATCGTGTGGGCGAGTGTCCAGTGGCTGCGAGGCAAATTTGGGCGCAGACAAAAGAAAAGTTGAGATCGCAACAGCGGACTTGCATGGCCGTCTTGGCATCGCGCGCTCCGCACCGGCGCCTGCGGACTCGTCAGGAGTGTGGATCGAAACATAGCACGACATGGTCGTTTGGGGAGTGCTGTATTGTAAATGTTCCCTGAATACTGGAATGCGGTGTATTTTTCTTGTGGCTTTTACTACGCATATGGAAAGCATTGGCATTTTGAATGACATTCGTCGCATCATAAACGGTTTATACATATGTACAGTCTATCTCTATACTATCTAAGCATGGTTTGATCCCACGTAGTGGCCTCTAATTCAATCCACTGCGTAATATACCAAGCACTCTGAAATCGCCACAAAAACGAAGGCGCCCCTCATATGGAGACAAGAGGATTAGGCAGTTGCCTCTTGTTTATGCTTCACCTTCAACTTCTTCTCCGTCTTCATGAACTCTCGAATGCCAACGGGGATATTTGAGAACAAGTCTTCGCCTTGACTTGGTGCCGGCCAATTTGCTTCACTTCCACCGCCATCATCATCCATGCTGACGCTGGCCGAATTAACTTCGGCTCTGGGTGCCGCACGCATATCTCCTGTACCCTTCTCGGGACCGCCCTTGGCTTTGGCCTTTTCAACTCTTGCAGCCCATTCTTCCATCTCATCTCGGAAACCATCCCAAACACAGTTCACGCAGCCACTCATACAACAATTGTCTGGCTCCTCGGGACGGGGCGGTATAGGAACGCCGTTGATTGTCTTCCATTGTGACACCGGCGGTGCTTCTCCTGGATTATAGCGCGATTGGCGACCAGGACCTGCAAGGCGAGTGCCGAAAACAATTGCCATTTTCTCTTGAGGTGTTTGTGCTTCGGCGATACTTGACGGGGCCGGTTTCTCTTCAGGCTGAGCCTCGGTTGGGCCCCCAGTGCGCGGGCGCTCAAGGTATGGAGACGGTGAATTCAGAATCAAAGAATAGTATCCCGAATGAGGGTACGCCTGGCTGGAATCGGTGGATTTGGCAGGGGCGCCTTGGGCGTGGGCGTGGGCGTGGACATCTTGAGCCGCGGAGTGGTCACGGGCGCCCATGCGCCGAGGGGTGGGGATCAAGGCATATGAACAATATGCGGGGGAAAAGGATCGCAAGCGATGTGAAAAAGGAAGAGAGGAGGCTCTCATCCTCCTGAGCAAGTGCCTGCCCGCCACAAGACACTCCATTATGCGTGCGAAGATGCAAGTTCCTCGGCGCCCGCGAGATTAAGTCATAGGTGCAAACACTGCAAACATCGCTGTTTATGCGCGGACGGCGCGGGTCGAGATCGATCGTCCGAAGTGATGAAATAACGTCAACAAACGCATTGCAACACCATGAATTCGCCCCCCAAGCGCCGTCGCACCGGTGACAGATCCAGTATTGCCGTTGGCGCGTCGCAAAGCCTTGAACCGCCCGAGGAAAGGCGATCTCCGACGCGCTTCTCATTCCAATCGCCAACGAGAGCAAGCCTTGCCAGGTCGCACCCCGATGTCCTCGAACGCGCGCTCAGCAGATCTCCGACTCGACGGTCGACCAGTCGCGGGGCTCAAGATAGTCACCCTGAAAATCCGGCGTCGACAAGTTTTGGAATTCGCGGGCGCAAAGCTCTGCGACCATCTTTGGGCCCCTCCAGTCCATTAAAAGCACCGCGGCTGTCTGTCGGAGCAGCTGAGCCGTTGTCATCACCCAGCCGCCGCGCAAGTGGTATCCAGGCCTTTTCAAAACCACCCCGCAGAATGTCCAAGAGGATCTCTGCATCAGCCTTTACGTTTGGATCCCCGGTACCCACGAAGCCTATAGAACAGGATACCCCCGAGGGTCAACTCGCTCTAGAACTCGGCAGCGTGACACGAGAAACAGACTCTGGACCACTTATGGATACTGGGATGGACGGCGCATTTGATAATGATAACCCTCTTGAGCCAGAGCTCCCTCCTACACCAACACAGCTTGGCCTCGAGAAGGCGCCCGATCGACCAAGGGACATGTTGAGCAGCAGTCCCAGCATGAGACAAGAGAAACGAATGAAAAGGCGCACCGCCGATGCTCGCCAGGGAAGTCCCTTGAGGCCTTCAAGGTTCCGAGCCCCCATTCCGGGGAAGGCTCGGATTACGCCGACGAAGCTGAAGAAGGGATCTCAGCTGCAGCCCTAGAGAAGCAAAGGGCTCGCAGGCAACTCGAAGCGGAACTACGAAATTTAAAGAATGATATTTCGGACTTGGCGAATTGGACCGGGAAAATAGAGTCTGGGGCGGACTTGGAACTAGATAAGAAGGGGCTTCACAAACTTCTTACTATGCTTACTGAGGAATCCACTTACATCAATCGCCCCTTACCACAGAAAGCACCAACACCAATTTCGTCCCTCCTCTCTACGTTGCTTCCATTCTCTACCAATATACCCCGTCCAAAGCCGTCATCGCCTATGCCTACGAACCCATTCGCTCTGAAGGAGTCTTCACAATCGTCGTCATATCTGACAATTTTTGCCCCATTAGCACTCAATGCACACATCACTCGTGCATCGCACACGGACTCTCTCTTGGAAACTCACACATTACAATTTACGGCGCCGCCTCCATTTCCGCGCAGCATATATAATGTCCCCGTCGTTTATGAAACAAATCCCGAGACACAGACCGTTACTTCCGTGTCTGTACCTACAGACAACGAAAGCAAAAAGCGAAAGGTCCCTGAGGCACTTCGTCGATGGATCGATGCCCGACTCGAGAACCCTCTTCTACGCCTTGATGTTGCAACGCTTTGTTGGGGTATCAACCGTTACTGGGAAACATCCGTGACCCGGGCTCAGATATGGGCGCGGGTCGACCAAAAGTACGGCCGGGACTCTTCGACACGCAGAGGCAAAGATCCTACCTCGGGTTCGCAAGACGGAGTCATCACACTTGCAGAAGTTCGACGGTTGGTCCCTCATCTCGAGCGAAGCACAATGGTTGTCCACCCGAAATCCGACACAAAACTGCGAGTACTCTTGTCGAATGTATTGGCGATGGATGATTGGACCGGGGAGCCACAGCTACAACCTGAGCTCAGTGTGTCTGCCTTAAATACCAGTGGTAATTCAAGCAAGAAAATTGATCAAGAGGCGAAGAAGGTGTTTCATGCTTTGTTGCCGCAACCAGGTGCGGGCACCTCGCAAGGTTTGTCGGGGACGATGCATATAGATGCTATTTTGCGGGCAACGGAGGGTGCTCTCAATGCATTGTCGAGTCATAATTAAGGTTTTGTTCTTGAAAGCGTTGGCGCAAGGATCGGCATGTAGCATGGAGTTGTCACTATATACCAGGCGTTTGACCAATTCGATATATTTTCTGTTTCTGGGTTTATTGAACAACAGGAATTTTTTATCACACCTGCGATCGAACAAAGGCATCACGTAGGTGACTGGGTAGATGATCAGATAGCTGAACAACTGGAGAATTGAGGTGGCTGAGCAATCAGCCTGACGGTTATCAAGACCATAGTCGACGGGATATTCGGCGTCGAAACTGGCATCATGTTTGATCAAGGTTCTAGTTCTGTTTTATCTGAGCGAAGCCATACAGGGGTGTGATCTGAGACAAAGGGGGTTTAAAAGCATCAATCTCCATTCAATTCATTCAAGTGGAAGGGAAACCACACGTTGACTGGGTGCAGGTCTTGACAACATCCATGGTTTATCGACCTAAGGAACCAATCTGATTACGGGTATTTACTAGACAATATAGGCGTCGGATCAAAACCTACTGACGCCGAAATAGATAATGTTTGAAATCGGAACTTGGAGTCAGTTACGTCACGAAGTCACAATTCTTTCTCTTTCTTCCCAATATTACAAATATACTCTCTCGATCTACTCGTTCTTACATCGTGTCTGTATCCAAAATCAAAACCCAGTCTCCTGCCTCACGTTCACACATCATCTTTCGCCTTGAAGACTCGAAAATGTCGTGATATGAAAGATGCTCCTCAGGCTGTTTCATACTTCTTGGAAGAAAGTGCCAAAATACCCTGCCATACTTCATTTGGATGAGCGCACCTTACAGAAGATCTAACAACGCATCTCACTAGTCAACTAAGTTTGTCTATTCCTCAGCTGCAAAGAGCTCTTCGGACTATTGTTACGATAGTGAAGCACAAAGATCTTGAATTTCCACGACTCTTGCGTATTAGGAATCGATACTGTGCGTGGACAGTCAGGATGTGCCGCAAACTCAACTCCTTCGAGCGAAGATCGCCGCTGGGCCTACTGTGCAAGGTGCTTGAAAGTTCACCCTTGGAAAGATCGAGGCATTTACTGAGACAATCAGCTCTGGAGAGATCTTGCACATACTACGCTGGTATAGCCGACCTATATCCCTGTATTTCTCCAACAATTCGAGATCGAGACCAGCTTGTCAAGATCCTCAAATCACTCGCGAAGCCAGCCAAAACAAATATGGCCTATTTGGCTATGACTTTGACAATTTAGGACGACCCAACCTCGGCCACGTCTGTTTGTTTAACACTAGGTCTGGCTAGGATGTGCGAGTTACTTTGATTTTATTTATTAAGGAAATTGGCCAGTTATGTGTAGCGGTTCGGCATGCTATAAGTTTCTCTTCCTCTAACGCTCATCTCATCGCCGCCTACCTTTGCTTGTTCTCGTCAGGATCTCATATCTCTCATCCCCAGGGATCAAGCCGCACAAGATCTTCACCTATACCAGACTTCAATTTCTTCAACTAGTCCCTGGGATGCTGGTCTCAAAAGCCTGTCCCATGTGTCCGACATTGGTTGTAGAACACGCTGTGTCTACAGACATGAATTAGGCTGCTTTCTCGGTGGTTCAAAAACTGGGAAGTTGTGAATGGCTTGCAGACCGTCCTTGGCTTGACCAGTGTCGTCTCACCAGAGCATGGTTTTCGCATAATGAACTATACCGGTGAGCTTATCAAAGGATCCGCAGAGAAAGAAGACTATTGCTGAAATACCTTGAAAGGTATCGGTCGCAGAACTTGCGGAAAATGACGCAAGGTTTTCACGGTCAGTGGAAAAGTGATTACTGCCTGGAACAGAAAAATAAGGTTGCCTCAACATCAGCGCGAGCCTCACGAACTGCAGACAAGGGATTCCATGGAGCTGGTACCATCCCGAAGTTTCTTCTTGTAGTGCCTGCAGCGTCGTGTTGATGAAGGAAAAAGGAAACATTATGTGCATTGATGGGACAGCTCATTTATATCTTAGGGCGGAAGACTGACTGAATGATTGCTTGATAAACTAATGAGACTTCATTTCATCCAGTACAGGACATGTCCAAGCTCCAACATTTGGCATCCAGCATAGAGAGTGGCGACAATATATATGTATATGAATTGATGCTGTCACCCTGATATATAATTGAAGCCATTATGCCTATTTAGTTCGCCCACCTCTCCATCTCTCCCATCAGGATCGAACTGTACGGCTTCGACAGACCCTCGTAGAGCCGCAGAACCTTCATGCCCGGTGCTTTGAATATTCGCCTGGCTGATTTCGCCATCGTTTGTTCCTCTGCCTACTGTTTGGCCTATTTCCCCTTGAAACGCACCTGCACTGCACTACAACAAAACGTAGACATACTGTGGGAATCTCAGAAGTATTTTCATTTCATGATGCTACTTCGGACAATGTAGTGGCCATGACATGTTTCCAGTCATTCCTTTCAGCCTATACAATCCCAAATACCTCCCACCCCCAATTGCCCACTAGGATAGATCCATAGCAAAAACCGCAATGCTTTTTTGTGTGTTGCTGACCATGACTCCAAGAGCCAAAATGCCAGAGATGCAACATAAACCGGAACGAATGAGTATCAACACCAACACCAAAAAAGTCGGAACGAAAACGATTTGAGAAAAATTGGGCGGTTTTGCATTTCGAAGGATCTTCCGAGTTTCTTTCTTTTAGAGACAAAAAGGGGGAGTTTTCAAGTTGAGGAGAAAGGGGGAGGGGAGGAGAGAAGAGGGTTTGGTTTCAGTTTGAAAGGAAGAGAAGGAAAGAGACACCACGCCATGCCACAGTACACTCATCCTCGATCCGAAAAACCGACCCGATCATCATCATCAGCACGAGCAGAAAAATTAACACATTTATTTCTTGGCATTGGCCTCCTCCTCAGCCTTGGCCTTGGCGCGAGCCTCACGCTTGCCGCGGTGGCGGGCCTCAGCGCGGGCATCACGAAGGCGGCGGTAAGCAGCCTCCTCACCCTTGGGGAGAGAGTCGCGCTTGACGTCGGTGACAGCGTCCTCAACGGCGGGGTTGGTGATAGGGAAGGTAGCACCAACGCGAGTAGCGATACCCTCACGCTTGCCGTCGGCAAGAGCGGCCTTGATGGCGTTGACGTCCTCGGCGGAGGAGTCGAGCTTCTTGAACTGACCGCTCTTGCGGGGGAAGAGAATCAGGCGGGCCTTGTAGTCCTTGAGACGGGCAACGTTGGCGACCAGAGACTCCTTGGAGTAGTTGGTGCGGCGGTGGTCAACGGAGATACCGACGGTGGAAGCGAGCTTCTTGGGGATGCCAGCCTCCTATAAAACAGAAAGAAAAAGAGTAAGCTTCTGATTTCCTCAAATCATTCGTTTCCAAATGCGTGGTCGATTTACCTTCAGCTCAGCCAGGGTGAAACCACGGCCGGCACGGACACGGCGGTTGTACTTGACGGTGGGGCATCGCACAACGGGACGCAGCTTGTCGACCGGACGGGGAGCAACGGCAGCAGCCTTGGCGAGACGGTTCTCACGACGACGGTGCTTACGGCCGGGCTAATCGAAGATTCATGTTAGTTGGTCCAGTCTCAACAAAAATTTTCCCCCTCCAGATTGTCGGACGTCGATTCGGTCGGCGAGACAGGTTTTCTGATTTGAGGAAAGAGGGGTTTTCGAATATGTCGTACCTGGTCGAAGTGCACGCGAACACGCTTCTGCCAATCCTTGCGGAAGTCTATTGAAAAGTTGTTAGCCATCTTCAATTCCATGCCAGATTCAAGGTCGTAATTCCAACAAAATCACTCATGTCGAGATTTTCATTTGAGACGACAAGGCGCAAAGCGTTGGTTTCGCTTGTCGGGTTCACTCACGGTTCTTCTGGATTTGGTTGTTGTGCTTGATCGCCTATATGTCCAACGAAAGTTCCATCAGCCTTCAATGTTCCAAAGCACATGTTTCGCGACGAGATTTCTCCAACGAGCGTATTTTGTTGTCCAATTCTTCTTCGCAGTTCAGGGTTCGAGGGGTACGCACCATGGTGACGGATGGGGATCGAGCCGGGTGGTGGTCGTCGGAGGGTTGCTGGTCAAATCTCCCTTCAAGCGGCAGAAACTGAAGTGCCTATTTTTCGTGTGGCCGTCGTCCGGCGCTCACCGCTTCGCTTAGCGAGCCCTAACTAATCCCGATTGAGAGCATCTGCCAGTGTGTTTACTCAGCAGGCCCGGACTTCCAAATGGGGACTAGCCTTCCGTGGAAACTATAGGCGAGCATCCACCTGGAAATCCATCTCGTGCGCACTGCCAGGGATTGACGATGGAAGCCTGCAGTTGGTTATGGCTTGACTTCAACTGATAATAATAATAAACAAATACAGTAGCAGTATGGGATCGAAGTTGTTCTCAAATCATGGGTTTTGATTCTATTCCTATTGTACAACCATGCAGGGTGATTTCTGAGCATACTCCTGCTCTCAAGCCCTATTTGCCTGAGGGCTCCTCGGCTGCATCTGGCCGACCTGTGCGTGAACAAGTCGTTCAGATGCAGCCTCCAAGCCCTGTCATCGCATCGAACGAAAAGAACCCGATTTTTAACGCCATTTCCAGGTGAATTGTAGCCATGGACTGTTACCAGGACCTTGCAATAAACAAAAAGGGGCGAAACCATAAACATAGAGGAAAAACAAAACAAACTTCAGTCGCTTCCCAAAAAAAAACATATGCCGTAAAGAATTCATGAATCGTAACGGTTCCATCGAGGGAAGACCAGTCGTAACAAGTGCAAGCCAGCAGGCAATGATCAGCATTAGGTCATGAATCGTATTCAGTGGAAGACACAAGCGTCAGGTTCGTGCAGGAAGTGGGGTTTCTTAGGTTTGAATACCTAGACCCACTCCGGCATTCGTCCTGGATCTCTTTGCTGACCCGTTCTGGTCAGAGCCAGCCTTGCGCTTTTTCGATTGGACACGCTCCACGCCTGGTTTCTGCACTTGGCCGAACAGCTTGGTCTGGAGAAGAGTGCTGGTCTTCGGGGCCGTGGAGCGCATGTTCGACTGCCGAGTAGTCAGGGCCTCGTCCTCAGATTCCGGGCCGGACAGCGAAACAGTGCTGTCGCTATCGTACTGCTGGTCCCGCGAGCCCTGTCCGGGCGTCGTGTATTGACTTCCCTGTCGAACAGAGCGCTGTTGTTGCGGGGTCACCGGGACTGACGATGGGGCACCATAAGAGCTGTGGGGTTCGTGCAGACGGTTGGTGAATTTGTCCGCAAAGAGAAGAGCCGCCAGACCGTCGGTAGCCTGTCCACGGCAGATTGTCTGCATCTCATTTTGCATTCCAGGTGAAAGACAGCCGTAATTGTAAATTTGGGTGAAATGGCTCCGGTTCTCTTCAATACGACGTTTCAGCATGTCGTTCTGCTCAGTCAACTCCACTGATCTAGCGGTGGCATCGTCGAAGGCTCTCTTGGCGTTCCGAAGTCGGCGATCAAGAAGAACGTTGACATTCTCAAGCTCTTGTGATCGCTGAATCGCAGCGAAGTAGTCATCTGCAGAAACCTGGGACGGCTTGGGAGTGAGGGGCTCAGCGGGGCGCGAGCGGCTGCGGTATTCAGCGCTCTGGAGGATCTCAACTTCGCGCTTGGCGAGTTGGTGTTCGACCTCAGCACGCTTCACAGCTTCATTACTAGCAAACGAGACCAGGCTATTTTGCAACTTGAAGTGCAGTGCGGACATGCGAGCCTCTTGGGCTACGGCGAGAAGATCCTTCGCGATCGACCGCAGTTGAGTCTCATTGGCATTGTCGATGTCCTCGGCGGAAGGCAAGTTCTCTGAAGCGCCGTAGGCGTCGCACAAGGATTTGTCCAAATCAACTGGAGTGATCAGCGAAGGGCTGATGGAGCGAGAATGAGAGCGACGCAGAGGAGCGCCAGGAATTTGCGTGGAGGGCGGCGGGGTCATGTCAGATGACGAAAGAGGTGGCGGAGACATGAACTTCTTGCCTGAGTGGGAGGATCGTTCTTTGATGATAGGACCACTCAGATCTGGTGACGGAGAGAGAGTCGCTCGGCGAGCTGGGGTTGCCGGGGCAAGAATCTCGGCAGGAGCAGCGAGGGAACTTTGGGTGTTTTGAGACATGGCCGTTGATGTCGAAATGAGGTTGTGGTCGAAGACTAGGGGGCCAACCGTGGGGAACTAGATCCTCGCACTGGTATCATGGGTTAGTTATCGCCTATCGATAGAGAGTGGAGGAGAATAATGGAGCCATTGAAAGGCGGTCGGGCGCATACCGGAGATGAAAGGTGGGGGAATGAGCACAGCTGGACTGCGCGTACGGATTCAAGGGTGTGACAAGAGTGAAGGGAGCGGTTTGTTGATCTGTGAAGGGATATGAAGGGGAGAAAGACATGGACGTCGAGGGGAGTTGATATCGTGGAGGAGGGGGCTGGGAGGCTGGAAACGGCGAGTGCGAAATGCGGCTGGGGACCCAGCGGTGCTGCCCGGCCTCAGCCAACCATGTGACTTTGTCGCCAATCACATACTCCCAAATGGTGTCCACGTTCCCCGATGCGGCTAGACTGCCGATCACGGGACGCTCAGGGCAAGTAAATAGCCGCGAACGAACAAGTTGGGGCGGGTTGGGCTGGCAACCGATAAGCTACATGATTTCATCGGATCGATCAGGTTTCAGCTGGGAGGGCCATTTGTTTCATGATCGGAGCGGAAGAGACAGCTTGGGATATAACGACAACAAAGCAGCAGAACAAGCGTTGTACACGCGGCGGTGGAACATTGGCCGAACATACCAGAGAAGCGATTTTTTTGCATCGCTGGAATGCTCGATACTAGATATAGCGATGATTGCCGGTGCAGCCGGTGACAGGTTTCTTGCCGGAAATGCTATTTGACAGCCACCGAGAATGATTCGACAATGCAACATATCATTAACCTTGTTCCTCGGTGCCACAATGCCTACGAGCAGGTGGCCCGTGATCGGGAGTCTATACTCAACTGGGCTAAATCATTGAGCTTCAGGTAGGACGCAAGGTGCAGCTTGCCTAGGAGGCTGAAATCAATGAATAAGTGGTGATCCCATTTACCATCAGATTTCATCCAAGTGTCGAATTTTGTTCGATCAGTACTATCTACGAATATTTATTTATTTGGTCGTTTAGAGTTGAGATAACAGGCTTTCGGATGAGTTTAACTCAACCATCACATATGGGCATGTGCGACTCAATTATCACACGGCTAGATAATACTAAGTAAGTTTCCAGTCTCAGTAGCCCATGAATCTCTTTCAGCACTGAGATATGTGGGTGCCACACGCACAGTGCCCTGTTCTTCCAAAGCCCCAGCGTAGCTCAGACTGCAGCCACACAGGCTTTAAAAAATAATAATAATAATAATAATAATAATAATTATTATTATTAAAAAACTCTTCTCCAATAGCGATTTGGATAATGCTAAGCTAGGGCGTGGATTTATTGAGCTGCTGGAGAGCTGTGGAGGGTCTGGTTGCTTGACGTACTGAGTAACCTCCTCTCGCGGTATACTTAGTTGGTGCCTGAGGCGGCGATCGCGGGATAAATGTAAACAATCCGATCTCCAATCACTTCGCTTCGAACACATCGGGCATCTCCAGGGGTTTAGCCTTTGTGCTGTCATGAAGGTAGACCTGCCACTTTTCCCTCCGACCTCCTTTGCGATTGCTTCCCCACCTTTTGACATTCTTTGTCCTGCACGGACACTGCCTGGTTTTCCTGACGTGTGGCCGTTCGCGCGCCCTGGTCCAATCTCCGGATCACACTCAGATACACCAACATGGACAGCCAGTCCAAAGCAGTCACTCGTCCATCGAGCAGTATTCCGCGACCGGTTTCGAGATTGCCCTTGCCGACCACCTCCGCCTCGAAAACAATCCGCTCCTCACCTTCGCGCGATAGATTGCAAGCCGATCCTGGCTTGGATCATAGTCGCCTACGTCGCCCCTCCTACGAGTCTCTGCTGAAGAAGCCTGCTCCACGCTATTCATCCCCATCGAAGCCACTCGGTGGAACTCCCAAAATATACAATGAGACGACAAGTGGCGCGGACGACCTCGAATCGCCCGAGGACGCGAGCTTGGTGGGGGATGAAGAGGGTCAAGAGGCCCGCGGTCGTGTGAGACAGATTCGACCATCGCTGTCGGACCGGACCATCGAAACCATGTCGAATATCCCCCCATCACCGGCATCTGTCAAGCGACAGTCAGGTTTCTTCAATGGAGCTAGCCCGATACGATCTCCCTCTCGCACACCGTCGAACGTGTCAAGCTATTCCCGATCACCATCGCAATCATCTTCTGGCCAGACCAATAGCAATGAATTTTTATCGCAGCCAGTATCCAAGATTCGTCTACCCTCCCGAAACCGTATGTCTGTCGCTGCATCTACGGCTCTCCTAGCCCAAAAGACTTCCGACACGAGCGAAAGCACCTCAAATATGAAATTGCCATCGGCAAGACACAGCGTTGCTCAGGGAAGTGGCAATACCGAGACCAGCACACCCCTCAAAAAAGCATCGATGGACAAACTCAACAACAAACTGCCTGCGAAACCATCACTTGCACGACCGTCCCCGGGTAAACCAGCCCCGAAGCTCGTAAAGACAGACATGGGGCCACCGGAGCGCCCGCTGAGCATTCGCAAGACAAGAAAGCCCCAAACGGATTCCCCTTCGGCAATGAGATCCCCGTCTACTGCTTCTCGTTATGTGTCTGCTGCATCGAGTTTTCAGGATGACCTGACACCAGACCAACAATTAGAGAACGAAACCAGAAAAGCCTCCAAGTCCTCGAGCGCTTTGCGCGAAAGCATTGCCAAAGCCAAAGCAGCTCGAAAGGCAGCGGCAAAGTTGGACGAAAGCAAGGAAAAGGCCGCACCACAGGTCCACCCCGCTGATTCATGCGGTAGTGTTGATGTGGAAGACCCATTCAACCAGCTGCCCAGGGGATCTAATATCGCAGTGCTAAAGAAACGTGTGGAGGGCGCTCGTATGTCGGGTACACTGAACATCGCCGCGCTTTCATTAACCGAGATCCCCAAAGAAGTCAACGATATGTACGAGTTCGACCCCGATGCGACCAATTGGTTCGAAAATGTAGACCTGGTCAAATTCATTGCAGCAGATAACGAGTTGTCCGAGGTGTCTGATGCCACCTTCCCTGATGTGAACCCAGAGCATGTCGATCTGGACCGGGATGAACGAGGGCCCCAATTTGGAGGTCTAGAGGTATTGGATCTTCACGGCAATATGCTAAAGAGCCTACCAATGGGCCTTAGGCAATTGCATCAATTGCGGAGCCTTAATCTATCAAACAATTCCCTTAGCATGGAAAACATCCAAGTTATCTTCGAAATCCCCTCGTTGGTGGATTTGAAACTGGCAAACAATCAGTTGACAGGATCATTAACAGGGGATGTGAGCCGACTTCCACAGCTGGAGTCTCTCGACCTCCATGCCAATGCGCTGACCGCATTGCCCGACGAACTCGTCGAGTTAACCTGTCTCAAAATCTTGGACGTCGGTGAAAATCAACTAAAATCTTTGCCATTTGAAGCACTCGGCAAAGTTACTCTGCGAACACTTAATGCGCCCAAAAACGCGTTGACCGGTACTCTTATCCCGGCGTCTGTGGCCTGCCTTGAGCATTTGCAAACATTGAATGTTGCGAGCAATGCGATTGAGATTTTCGCGGAAAATGATGCCCTTGTCTTGCCAGAACTTCAGAGTCTCTTCATCGGCATCAACCGCATCAAACAGCTACCTTCCATATCGTCGTGGAAGTCGCTAGCAGTTCTTTCTGCAGAGGATAACCGTATCACGGACCTTCCAGAAGGACTGGTGGAGCTCAAAAGCCTCAAGAATGTTGATTTCACTGGAAATAATATTGCTCGTCTGGATGAAAAGATTGGCTTTATGGAAAACTTGTCGATATTCCGTATTGCCAACAACCCACTTCGCGAACGCAAGCTGCTGAGCATGACCTCGGACGAAATTCTTCTGGACATGCGCAACAGATGTGAACCGGACCCCCAAGACACCGACGATGAAGGATCGGTGGCAACCCAGTTCACTCTTGCTCCGGAAACACCGGCGCTAGAAAGCGGCTGGCAAGTGAAGTCTGGGGGTGTCCTTGACAGATCTTATTCGGATTTGACGGAGTTGGAAACGGAAAAGTTGGAGCTTATCAACACGCAAGACGTCCGTTGTCTTTACCTGCAACATAATGAGTTGCCTCAATTTCCCGTGCCAGGACTTGGAATGCTTGCGAAGGGTCTGATTGAGCTGGACCTATCTTACAATCCCTTGAATAGTTTCAATCTCGTCTCATCAGCTCTTGAGCTCCCGAAACTCCAGATTCTCAACCTGAGTGCTACAAGTCTGACATCCATGGATTCTCTCCTGGCCAACCTTCAAGCTCCGTTGCTCAACCTCCTCGACGTTTCCAACAACCGCATCACCGGGCCTCTGCCGCACATTCGCAAGACTTACCCCGAGCTCAAGACCTTTATGATTTCTGACAACCGAATTTCCAGTCTTGAATTTGAGGCTGTGCAGGGGCTGCAGTCGCTCGATATTGGCAACAATGATATCGATTATCTCCCGCCGAAGATTGGTCTGCTAAGCGTGGAACGGTCTCCTCGTAATTGGGGCACTGGATCTGCCCTGAGACGATTCGAGGTTGCGGGTAACCGGTTCCGCGTTCCTCGTTGGCAGGTTGTCGCCAAGGGGACTGATGCAGTGTTGCAGTTCTTGAAGGAGCATATTCCTGCTCAAGACATGCCCGAATGGGAGCAGGATGATGTAAATGCTGAAGAGTTCTAGAATTAGCCGATTGCCGGTGACGAGTTTGGAAGACGTGAGACTTGCATTCTGCTGTGTATAATATCTTTCTTCTTTAACTGTATATACTATATGAATATTGAGTGCATACGGTAGGCTCTTCGAATATTTTCTTTTTTGAAGATAATTTTTCCAGTGTTATATGAGGGTATCTATATCTATGCACAGCTTCTCATTCCACGAGCCCATTCATTACTTTATTCAGCGTTGATGGACTTGCTAACTTCGTCCATGACCTTGAGCCACGTCTTCGACCAGACAGTAAACTTATCCTCAGCAGGCTGCTTGTCACTGGCCTCCACTGTCTTCCAAGGCGCCGATACAGAAGTTACAGCCTGAGTGGCATTCTTCTGGATCTTCTTCAAGAATCCGGTTGACCTACTCACATCATTCTCATACAAAGCCCCAGCAACCTCATCAATTTGATCCGGTATTTCTCCTAGGTGAAGTAATAGAGACTCCAACTTCGCAACACTTGTAGTCGCAAACAAAGGAGCCTCGCCAGCATTCTTGAGTCGGTTGTTGATAATGGCCGGGTAAATCTGTGCAATAGGCTTCAGGAGGCGCAGAGTAGTTTTCTTCTGCTCCTGCAGCTTGGCCGTATTTTCCTCATCGTCGGAAACGTCATCGTCATCACTGTCATCATCACCAGGCTTGCTTTCATTACCCATCAAATCATCAAAGAAGTCATCACCGTCTTCCTCCGGATCCCACTCCTCAATCTCCTCCACGGCATCCCGAATAAGATCCCGCCACTGCTCAACCCGGAACATAACGAAGCCAACCACACCCTTATTCGCAACTGCGGTCAAATTGTCGCAAGCATCCCATACACGACCAGCTGCAACAGTGATCGCATCCTTTTCAGACTGAGATGGTGGCTCATCTGCTCCTTTGCTCTCTGAATTATCTTTTGGGGTCTGGTCGCCTTTCTCTGGCAGGCTATTCACCAGCCGCACTAGCGCCGAGAATTCCGACAAGGTATTTCGTGAAAGCACAAGGACCTCGGAGTGATATGCTTTTGTGTATTCGCCCGGTGTAACGAGAAGGGCTGCGGTGATCAAGGAAGGCAGGACGGAGTCGTTCACGGCGCGGAGGACGGTGCTAACGGCGGAATGGGTGAAGGGCGCTGTAATGGCCAACAGCGATAGTTTGGTTACCTGCGCCCTAAGAGCTGCGGACGAAGCTGCTAGGAGGGGAAGCGGCTTTGCATCTTTAGAGGAGTCCTCGGTGGTGGTTGTGGCCGAGTCGACAGTGGAAGATGTGGAGAGAGTGCCTTGGAATTGGTCGAGGAGGGCGAGAGTGGAGGAAATGAGGGTTGAGAATTGAGTCGACATTTTCGGCGTGCTGTAGTAGGTATGCGTGCCACTGATGGGCGGGGGTACTGAGGACTGAGGTGGGAGGAAGAGGAATCTGCGGCTGTATGGACTTTTTTTTTTATCGCGGGGCTGTTTTCTAGGGCTGCGGGGCCGCTCGGGGTTAGTCGCGACATGATTATTTCAAGTTACTTTAAGTTATATTGCTGTCTATATCGTATAGTTGGATTAAATTATGGTTCAATTGTACTCCAACTCCTCTGTCTTAATTGTCTCTCAAAAGACTGATTACTGAAACGATCCGTCCATAGTTAAGTATGTCGTTTTTTCAGCCTGAGGCATCATATCTCAGGCAAACGCAACAAACAGCCGCCGTTGAAGCTGGAGCTTCTGCGCAACTGCCAACATTATTCCTTGCAACCACCAGCGATAATGGGAACGTCGAAAGCCCGCGCATCGACCGCGGCTGCGAAAGCAGCAAAGCCTGCTCAGGCTCCAGAAGCACCCTCCCAAAACCTCCCCGACAAGACCTTCATCATCGACAATGGTGCGTACACAATGAAAGCAGGCTACGCGGCGGACTCCGCGGAAGAATCCCTGTCTGCTTGCACCTCGATCCCGAACTGCCTCGTCAAGACTCGCGATGGCAGCATTGTGGTCGGGCCACAGCTTGCAACGAATGTCAGCGATTGGAACGAGGCGATGTTCCGCCGTCCAGTGGAGAAGGGCTATCTCGTGAATTGGGAAGCGGAACGGGAAATCTGGGAACAATGTTTCTTCGAGGAAAAGGCAACGGCGCGGAACAGGAATATTCGAATCGCTTCTCCGGAAGAAACGACGTTGATTCTGACTGAGGCTCCGAATGCCATGCCTGCTCTACAGCGCAATACCGACGAGATGGTGATGGAGGAATGGGGGTTTGGAGGATATTTGAGGTGTTTGGGTGAGTAATACAAGGATATAAAATCTCCTATCCGAATGTGATGATAATGCTGACATGAGGCTATTGCGCAGGACCGACGCTGAACGCCTGGAACGAAGTCAACACTTTATTCGGAGACCCACTAGCTCGAAAGCCCGGCGCGGACATTTTGCCTACCGATTGTCTTCTCATTGTTGATTCCGGCTACTCGCATACGACGGTTACCCCGGTATACAGAGGTGTTGCGATCCAGCGCGCGATTCGCCGTCTCGATATCGGTGGTAAACTCCTGACAAACTATCTCAAGGAGGTCGTGTCAATGAGACAATACAACATGGTGGATGAGACATATATCATGAACGAGGTGAAGGAGGCCGTCTGCTTCGTGAGCAATGACTTTAGTGCGGACATGGAGCGAACCTACAAGGGAAATGTGAAGCGCCAAGCACCCTCGGACGACAGTGTGGTGGTAGACTACGTGCTTCCCGATCCAAACGCGAAACGAAAGGGCTTCATGCGACCTTATGATCCACTCCTGGAAGCGAAAAAGAAAAAGGGAGCTCTCTCTGGTTTGAGTGCTGAAACTCTGTCCGAGGATGTTCTTGTCTTGGGCAATGAGCGCTTTACAGTACCCGAGCTTCTATTCAACCCTGGCGATATCGGTATGAAAGAGGCAGGAGTGCCAGAAATGATCATGCAAAGTTTGTCGGTTCTTCCGCCTGGGCTGCATGCTGCCTTCCTGGCAAATGTGCTTGTTGTGGGCGGCACTTCTTTAATCCCCGGCTTTATGGAGAGACTGTACGTTTCCCTTTACAACCAACAGATGTGGATCGCGGAAATGCTGACTTTTGTTTTTGAAGGGAAACCGAGCTACGCCAAATTGCATCTGCCGATTGTGTTGTGAGAGTGCGACGGGCCGAGGAGTAAGTGATATTCTCTTTCAATCTACTTTTTGGGCATTCAAAATATTAACGAGAATAGCCCAGTTCGTTCTACTTGGATGGGTGGATCGTGCCTTGCCCATAGCCGCGAAGAGTTGAGCAAGGTTGCCATTTCCCGGCAGGAATATCAAGAGTACGGGTCTGGATGGGCGTGCCGCAAATTTGCCGGTATTGCCTAAGCAATGATTTGGTACCAATGCCGGCCGAATCGGTTTTTTTTGGGGAGTTCTGGAGTCTTCTTCATTTCAAGTAGACAACTTGAATGTATAAATGATACCCTTTGTTTTGATGATTGCGTTTGGCCAAAACCGTCCTGTGCTGCGTGGTACGCAGTTTGGGTTGCAAGAGCCCAGAATTCAATGTCGTTCTAGTAAACAGCAGAAATTGGAGCTACTAGTATGTACAGAAAATGATGTAACACTGAGTCGTTCTCAAAGTCGATGTTCATACCGCGCCGAGCCGTTGTTGGTAGTGCCTGGATGAGTACCGTGGATAGGGTTGGGCTGTGTCCAAACTGGGTATTCGTTTTACAAGCATGGTATTAGAATTTCCGACGCCCAGATTGGAAATAACAACACCGCAACAGACCTGCTGTAATGATTTGGCTTCGTACCAAGCAAAAGGAAAGACAATGCACCTATCACATATGTAGCCTTTGTGTCATTGTTGGTCGTACCTTGCTGTTGCATCCTGCAGCAGTGATCTTCCACACTCGCATTCAACAACTTTACTGGCTAAGGCTAAAGAAAGGCAGGTAAATTCCGGCGAGAGCCGCTTGGAAGAATAAGAGTCAGCGCTCCTTACCCAGCCAAGTCTTATCATCCCCGACGGAGAAATGAAGATTATTGACAAAATGGCAGAAGCGTTAGTGACAGCGTCCTCGACGATTCGTGGGCTCTCAGACAGCCTTTTCCAAGCAATACATCGTCCGCGGCGACTTTCAGATGACAGTCAGAGCCCAGAGCCGTCGCAGCGACAATCGATTGATTCCAACTTCTCGAGCTGGAGCGAGTATCTAACGGATTCAGAGATCCTCGATCAACTCACAAACGAAGAAGCCAACGAACGGATAACTATGTCTTCTCGGCCTGAAACGAATCTTTGTCGCGATGCACCGGCACATATACTAGACGAGAAAAAGACTGGGCTCTATGAAATGCTGAAAAACATCTTCAAGAATGCATTTATCAGTAAAGAGTCTGTTTCCACCAATGTTACCAAGTCTTACCAATTGATATTGACACTTTCAGTACCAGGAAATGCGTTGGGTGCTATGAAGAGGTTCGATCTAAGAATATAGTCGTTGCACCTTGCGAGCACCAATATTGCCATTCGTGTTTACGCATGATGGCCTTGACGTCCCTGGGGAGCCTGTACATGCTTCCAGTTCAGTGCTGTGGAAAAGGCATACCCAAAAAGCTACTCGCCCCGACGCTGAGCACGATGGAGAAGCGACTCTACGCATATCGATTGGAAGAACAAGCAGTCCCTCCAGAGCAGCGGTGGTATTGTCCCCGTGCGAAGTGTCGACGGTGGATTCGACCAAAATACCTGAAGCCATCATCCAAGTACCAGAGATGCCCTGGATGCCGGTCCTTGATATGCTCCTTGTGTCGAGATCTGGTCCATGGGAATATTGAATGCCCCGAAGGACCTGGAATGGGAGGGTTGATGAAACTCGCTCGGCGCCATCACTGGCAGAGGTGTTATCGGTGCCATGCTATGGTTTCAAAGAGTGGCGGATGCTCACATGTAAGATGCCTATGCGGCGCGGAGTTTTGGTAAGTTAACTTCCCATTTCGAAGATGGGACGGTGACTTACATGTGTTCTTCTTCGAAGCTATAACTGTGGCAATCCATATGCAGGTTGTCTTTGCCGAGGAGGCAACCCCGTTTTCAATGGCATGGGTGCTGCTGGTGGGAATGAAGGGAATGATTATCAAGAGGCTCTTCTTCTTGATGCCTACGAACAAGCTCAGAGGGCAGCAGAAACCGTGGATGTAGAAGTGAGGGAGACCAATTCAAACTTCTGAATTATGGGTTTCACCTAGCCAATGGATGAATCTATTGAACAGATCTTTCAGGCTGAGACTGTCGTGCGGTCGAATCACACCAAGAATGGTTATACATTGATTGGGACCACGTAGGATGATAGGATACAAAAGGTATATATCGCAAAGAATAAATAATGATTTTTGCTCATCAACATCATACTGGCCGGAAGGCTATCAGTAGTCGTAGAAGCCCTTGCCAGTCTTCTTGCCCATCCAGCCAGCATCCACCATGCGGCGCAGAAGGCCGGCAGGTCTATACTTGCTGTCACCAGTCTCCTGGTGCAGAACATTCATGATAGCCAGGCATGTATCGAGACCAATGAAGTCCGCCAGCGTCAGAGGACCCATGGGGACATTGGTACCAGTCTTCATGATGTTGTCAATGTCTTCACGGCCACCAACGCCAGTCTCGAGACAAATCACAGCCTCGTTGATGTACGGCATCAGGATGCGATTAGCAAGGAAACCAGGCGAGTCAGCGGAGACGGAAGCCACCTTGCCCATGCGTTGCACAAAGGCAATCGCCGTGTCCATTGTCTCCTGGGAGGTCTGCAGACCGCGAATGATCTCGACACCCTTCTGAACGGGGACGGGGTTCATGAAGTGGGTCGAAATGACTCGGGACGGAGCCTGCAGATCCGTTGGGTCAGTGGTCGTGGCAGCCGCGATCTTGGTGATGGAGATGGACGATGTGTTGGTGGCCAGGATGGCATGTTTGGGCGCAATCTGGGCGAGGTTGGTGAAGATCTTCTGCTTGAGGTCGACAATCTCGGGGACAGCTTCAATCACAAAATCTACGGAGGAGAGGTCGTCCATCTTGGTGCTGGGCGTAAGGAGGCCACGAGCAGCATCGGCGGCCTCTCGGGTAATACGCTCCTTCGAGACATCCTTGTCAAGAAGCTTGTCTATAACCCAGTAGGCCAGCATTAGTTGTCAGGTTCTTTAAGTCTGCACTACCCCAACAACGGTCCAAGTCTAGACTATGCGGGCGGCGGGACTGGAGTGAATTACCGGCGAACTTGAGGCCCTTGTCCAATGATGCCTGGGAGTTGTCGATCAAAGTCACAGGAACTTTGGCCTTTTGTGCAGCAACCAGAGCAATTCCAAGACCCTAGAATAGCCTGTTAGAACCCCTGAATCTCCCTATGCGACAATGCGACTGACCATTTGACCGGCACCGATCACACCGAGGGACTTAACCTCGGCAGCGCTGGCGGCGGCGGTAGAGCTGAAGCCGCGGGCCCCTGCCAGGCCATTGCGACAGACGGAACGAAGAGAGGAGGCGAACATGGCTGCGGACGGACTTGAAGGATGGACAAGAGACAAGAAAGGACAATCAGGAGCGAAAGGGCAGTTATAGATATTCACGTGCCGCTGGGCGGTCCGACGTCATCGGCTATCTTCGGCTCCGGCGGTGTCACCGTTTCTCCGAATCGCCGAGGCGGAACGCGTCGAGACGCGTTTCCCATTTGAGATGTAATTACCTCCTGCGATTCAGAACCCACCATCCCACCATGGAGCAGGAGGCGGTCGCGATCGGCCATGATGTCCAGGTCGTGGATCCGGATGTGCGCGGTTATGTGTACAGTCTGGTCACAGCTGTGAGTGTGCCCGTCCCTGGTGATCGAAGTGGCCATACATCTACTAACGCGCGTGGTCGATTAGCTAGGAGGATTCAATGGCGAAGATATAGACCGATACGTGCTGGGAGACGATGCTCTAGCATGTCTGCGTGATATAAAGCGATGGCTGAAGTTGTACGATGAGAAGAACAATCGAATGGACGTGGCCAGATGCCTTGGAGAAGCGAACTTGGTTAATGGTGATCTGCTTCCGATTCTGTCGATCTGGTGGGCTAGCGGTCAGAAGAGCAAACATTTGACACGAATTGCTCTGGCATGCTGTAAGTTAAGAGTGTGATGGTTCCCTGGGATTTGTTGCAAAGGAAAACAGCTAATGTGGAAACAGTGGAACTCCTCGTGCCTCTGACCTGGCCGATCGAATTCCATAGCCAGATGACTGTCAATCACCACCGTCACACCCCATATCTCCAGCAAACGCAGGTTCAATACAAACGCGGTGTCCTTAAGCAGGGCGGTTCGAATCTCCTGCGCGCTGTCATCCGAATCGCCCTGCCGAGTATGGCAGTCCCCAGATCCGAGCGCGAGGGCCGAGATGAAGGAATTTTGAAGTTGATGCTCTACTTCCTGCGCAATATCGCAATTATCTCGACCAATGCACGGCTCGCAGCAGAAGGCGAGGAGGAAGAGACTTCGAGGTCGGCTACCATAAATGCATTCCAGGAACAGGATGCTTTCGCTCTTATTTTGACGATGTGTTCGAATGTCGGCGACGATTTCAACATGCAGGATGTGGTCCTGTTGGAGATCTTGTTCCACCTGGTGAAAGGTGTAAATGCCGAAAAACTGTTCATGGACGACGATCAAAGAAAGGCCAAGCGGACGGATGAGCTGGGCGACTTGCTGCAGAAGGAATCCCTGGTTCGGAGAGAATATGCAAAGAACGCACCCACACGACACGGTCGTTTTGGAACTATGATTTGGGTAAAGCGAGACGATGCGAAGGTTTCTACTGTTTCGGGACAGGATGTTTTGCGGGATGACCAGACCACCCTCCACAAGATGGACCAAAGCAAGAAGTGGAACAAGCCTCGCCATCGCCGAAGAAAAGAAGACGTTGTTCAGAACAACAACTTCAACATGCCCGCACACCTCTCTTCCTCTGCCTCAAAGAATCTGAAGACATTCGTCGAGGAGTTTTTGGATTCCGGCTTTAATCCTCTATTTACCCACGTGCGGAAGGCCATTGAGCGCGAAGCTGAAAGAGTTCTCGATATCAACACTCGTCAATTTTTCTATACTGTCGGCTGGTTCCTTGAGGCGGAACGCGCTCGCCGGGCCTCGCAGATGAAAAAGCGTGTCCAGGAAGGGAAAAAGGCGAAAGACACAGAGCCTGATAGTTATGGCCTTGTTGCTGGAGTCTTGAATCAGGAAACTTTCATCACACTGAATCGAGCCATGCAATCAAGCTTCGACAATAAGGAGTGGGATGACTTGAACGCCCAAATGCGATGTTTCACTCAAATCCTCCTGACCGTTCAGGAAATGAATGCATCACCCATTGAAGAGGACCAAGAAATTGCCGAAAATATCCAAAATCGAATCTTTTATGAAGAGACTACGCACGACAGAGTCCTTGCCATAGTGCGTGGGTACAAGGATCAAGGATTCGGCTATCTTGATGCTGCCACGGAACTTACCCATGTTTTCCTTCGAATGCTGGAGCGCTATTCCAAAGAAAATTCCGACATGCAAATCAGATCTCGACGCAAAGCCAGGCGCAAGAAGAAGGCCGAACAGACTGCCGGGCAAGAAGGGGCAGGAAATGATGAAGAACAGAAGTCCGAAGACGAGGAGATGGAAGACGCTGCTCAAGTCAGCAAAGAGCGAGCTTTTGATTTCAAGCGCTTTGCAGCTAAATTCTGTGTTCAAAGCTGCGTGGATACATTTGTTGCATTCACCGAATTCTACCGGGAGTTGAATTCGGAGCAACTGAAACGTGCGCATCGTTATTTCTATCGCATTGCGTTCAAACATGAGATGACTGTGCTTCTCTTCCGCTTGGATATTATCAACCTTTTCCATCGAATGATCAAAGGCCCTGGTGCAATGGACAACAGCAAACCAATCTTCAAAGAGTGGGAGGAATTGGTTCGCCAAATCATTCGACGGCTGGTCAAGAAGATCGACCAGCGTCCCGCTTTGATCACCGAGCTCCTATTCAGCAAAATGAACTCGACTGTTTTCTATCTCGAATACGGACATGAAAGGCAAACACTGTCTACGGCGAAGCGAGCTCCAGCAGAACTTGAAATAATGTCAAAAGACGCCACCACTCGAGAAGCAAAATTAGGAATTGTTACTGGCGCACTCGTTCTGGATGGACGAGGAGATCTTGTGGAATGGGTTGTTGATACTTTGAATTCAGCCGCTTCTGAACGAGGGGCCTGGGAAGACGAGTATGAGGCTCGTCGCGCAGAGAATCCGGAAGCTGCCAATGCCCCTAACCCTTTGATTCGTACGTTTGACATTTTCACATCAATATCGACTCATGGGATCAATTGCTAACACTGATATAGCCGTCAAACCTCGCGACGAATTCGTTGAGAATGCCTTGTTTGCAAATGCAAAGCTCCGTCTTCTCATGAACAGCGCCGGATTCGAGAGACTTGGTGTTGAGGATATACCCGGCGCCTCCTGGATTGTTCCGTCGCGGATGTCGTCTGTTGAGCTTCGTGAAGCGGCTGCGAGACTGAGCAAGTCAATCGCGAATCCCATCCCCAAGGGAACGGATGAGGATCCTCGGAATATGCTTCGCCGCAAAAATGGCTCTGCTCGCCATAGCCTCGAACAGGCAAATCTTAACGTCAACTTTGGTTCCGACTCCGAGGGCGAGGATGAGGTTCCAGATGGTATTTTGTTCCCGCCGAACCCACGATCCAAGTCCAACGCACTGGACGATCTCAAAAAGAAGCGCAAGAGGAGCAAGAAGAAGGACAACTCGGAGAAAGAGCCTTTAGATGAGGAAGTCCTGGAGGCACGTCGCGAAGCACGCCTCACTAATGCCTTGGCCCGTCAAGCTAAGATCAAGAGTGATCTTTTCATTCATGCCAGTGACGAGGATAGTGACGAAGAATCCAATCGGGAATTCTTCCGCCTCGAAGAGCTACGACGGAAGAAGCAAGCGGAAAACGTCAAGAAAGCTCTGTTGACTGGACGACTGGAAGAAGCTGGCGGGAAAGGGAAGAAAAAAGCCGGCGCAAAGAAACGTAAGAACGATACTGGCAAGTCAGCAGCGACCGCGGAGCCCAAACGTCCACGGCATGGATCCGGATCCGTTGCAAGTGTTGATGATGACGATGATATCCTTATGGCGGATATGGAAGATCAATACTTTCGGTCTCGGCAGGATGCATCAACGAGTCGTGGAGCTCGTGAAGAGGAGGATCATACCCTTCTTACATCTGCAGAGGATGACCTTGATTTTGACGACGATCTTGTCTTTAGCCGGGAACGCAAGTCTAAGGCTCAGGCTGCTGAAGCCAATGCGGATGATGATGAGGAAGATGTGCCTGTGGTCTCATCCCGTCGCATGCGTGGTGGCTTTGTGATTGAGAGTGATTCGGAGTAAAGCTCATGGATGACATTTATGATGACCTTATGAGGCGTTTGGCATTTGGGAGCGACCGGGTCCCACATAAAAGAAGATACCTATCTTCAGGACAATTCACTGTTTTACTTTTTTGTTCCATTTCTAATTTTCCTGTGAATTCCTTGGAGGACTAGAGTCATGCCAGCACGCTCGAATTGTGCTACGAGTCACCTTGCAGAGACTGAACTACAGGCGTAACAGGCCATCCTGTTTGGGCACCCCAATACAGCACGCCCTTGATGACAGCATCCCTTTTTCTCTGACCACGAAGCCAACGGCCACCTAGAATCCCTCAGTCAGCGCGATGTAGTTTTCATATGGAATATATCCAAACTTACAAAAAGCAATAGGCCCAAACGAATTGACCCACACAGCTTCAGATTCACTTGACAGAGCCAGAGCACATATTTCCGAGCTTGAGAGCTCGAGAGCTAATGTCAAGTTTGCAAATTGTCTCATATTTCCGATAGCCGTAGTGGCCGTCGACGACTCCGGTGGAGTCGCAAGAAGTAAGATCATCGAGGCGGTCTTATAATATTGACGAGCCGCAGCTGGAAAATTCAAAGTGAGTCAGCTCTTTATAGACACACGAATCTGGCCTTTAAAAGACAGGAGCACAAACCATGCCATCCATGCAGAGTGCCATATAGTGGGAAGGCATCAGGTCTGCTTTCGGCTCGGGGGAGGATCATGTCCGTAATGGGCTCAAATGAGCCAGGGAGGCTCTTCTCCCAGTCGCCAAGGCTGCGATTTAAAGACATCCAGCGATCGACGTCCAAGGGTTTCTCATCGAAACAAAGGTTGATGGTTTGTCCAAGTAGGACGGTGACGGCATTTGCTTCTTCGTCATCCGATTTTCGGGTTTTGGCGAAATGGTCGTCCGTGAGTTCGATCATTAGTTTTCGGCGCTCAATGAGTGCCATGGTGATATCTTCCCGGAGGTAATTCCAGAATGCTGCGTGTGTGAGAGGTGTACCTGGTATCAATAGACATGGATCACAGGATAAGACAGAGTAGCATCCTTGCAGGTGGTTTTGAGAACCGTGGTTTTCTATTAAAGCTCCCCGTCAGAGGATCTCAAGCAAAGAAGTGGAGTGTTCCGAGTGATCATAAGGATCCCTCAAGCGACTCACAAGGTCGAAACAAACATCACTTACCAGATATAATCTCATATGACCGAAGTAAGCAGATTGCCGCCAGCGTGTCGCTTTTCGATTGATAACCCATAGGCCCGTTGCGTGTGATTTCCAACAACATCTCTACACTCTCCAGATGGTAGAATTCAGCCACGGAACCCATTTTCTCCTCGCCATTCTTTCTATGGGCTAGATTGATGGCCGAAAACGCCAGTATTGCACTTAGCAGGAGCGGACTGTCGCGGGCACGAACGGGTACAACATCTGTGAAGTGTCGTTGGCGATCGTTCAAGTCATACCAGGCAGCAAGGTTGAACACGTAGTTCTGGTATAGACGAAAGTTGTCGAAATCTTTCAGGGCAGCCTTTGGGTCTTTTGTTGATACCAAGGACTCGAGGCGACTGACACTCGATTCTGGGGCCGGGCTTGGTCTATCTGCTGACGGCCAATGACACCTTCGATTTCTTTTCTGGCATGATGAACAAGTAGGATGTTTGCCATCGCCTGTTTCTATAGGTTAGTGTAGGGGTCGTATCCTCTAGACGACCAACTTACACCGCACGCGGCGTTCCCGGCATTCTTTACTTTAATACTTGTTAGACTTGTAAATTCCCCAGTGATCCTTCGAAGCTCACCAACCTGAAATTTATTAATAATCGCAGTGCGGCCAAGGTAAAAAAGGTCACTTACGATCTCGAAGGAATTGGCGGGGCATGTCGAGAATCCGGGATGCACTGCAAATGCACTGCAGTCAACAATGGCACCAAAAGTAGCGTAGCGAAAGAGAAAAGGCGAAAGGGGAAGGCGAAAGGCGAAAGTCAAAAAGCGAAAAGCGAAAAGCGAAAAGCGAAAGGCGAAAGGCGAAAGGCGGTGGGCCAAAAAGGCGGGGGATCCGGGGGCCAGGCTTACCTTCCCGATTCGGCCGCCCGACAATTCTATAAGTACTGCTGATGATTGCCCTGCTGACAGTTCTTCTCTGCCCTGACCCATTACTGTTGCAACATGTTTTCCATATTCAGAATGGTCAGACGATGCCCAGCCACGCCTCTCTCTCGGGCAACCCGCTCTTTCGCGACAGCTCACAGCTACCCCAATGCCATCAAACCATCCAACACAGAAATCCAGAATGGCCAGCTGCACCCCAAAAACCTCGAAATTGCCATCCAAAGCCTCTACCACGATGGACTTGTGGTGGTCAATGACGTGGTACCCCATGAAATGCTGGACCGATTGAACGAAAAAATGATCGAAGATGCATACACTCTCTATGCGCGCAAGGAGAACAGTCCTTTCAACTACAACCCCAACAACCTCCAGCAGGATGCGCCTCCAATGCGGGAGTACTTTGAGCCCCAGATTTTCATGAGTGGGTCACTCAGACAAATATTGCGATAGCAACGAGACAGGCTAGCTAATACCTCACGACTAGATTCCATCGCAACTCAAATTACATCAACAGCGTTGGGACCCCGACCCAAATGGACATTCTGCTCCGGGAACACGGCCATGCCTCCAACCCCCGAATGTCCACCTGTGTCGCAGCCCGTGCACTCGGACGCAGACTTTGAACATCCGGACCACCCCTTCGCCTTGGTCACGAATGTCCCGCTCATCACCATGACTCCTGAAAATGGCTCGACGGAGGTCTGGCTGGGCACCCATCAGGATACAAATATTCATGTTCAGGAGGGATTTCACGGGGAGCGTGCGAGCGGACGGATCAAAGAAGAGGAGCTGGAGAGGAGAAGATCTATCCGGCCACCTTGCCAGCCTGTCGTTCCGAAAGGATCAATTGTTCTTCGCGATTTGCGACTCTGGCATGCGGGCGTTGGAAATCAGACAGATGCCGTGCGAGTGATGCTGGCTATGAGTATGTTTATCCTTGGGTGTCAAATAGTGGTGGGATCATGCTGACAGTGTTCTTTTATAGTTCATTTCTCCCCGTGGTATTGCAATTCGATGCGATTGCAGTTTTGCGAGGACATGAAATCAGTTGTGGAGAGTGAGCAGAGGCTAGAAATTCCGGTGGATTGGGCGTCGAAAGAAGAGGTCAGCCAGCAGTATCTGAGCCGGGCATTTGGCAATGCGTATGATTTTAGTCAGGGCGGTCAATAGTCAAGAGAATGAAGAATACATACAATTTAGTATAGATCTACTAATACCTACCGGTACTAGGGAGTAGTGCTTTTATGTTTCATAGCCAAGTAGATGCCAAAATTGACTCTCTGGAAAAATCAACAGAAAATAATCGCATCCGTTCTTGTATTCTACTGCTAGTACTACTTTTCGGCAAGTATGTTGCATTGCGATTGCTAAGCATGACTCCGAATACGAGGCTGCCCTCCCCGCTTCGTTTTTCCCCTCTTCAACATCCAGCCCATCTTCAACTGGCCTCACCGAAAGAAGAGCAGCAAGAAAAAATGGCAACAAAAATTTTAACAGCTTCCTGCCGCTGTCGCAATGCTCACTTCACTGTCACGTTACCGACGGACTGTCTGCCGTTGAAAACACACATGTGCCACTGCAGCGTCTGCCGCTACACCCACGGGGCGCCCTGCAGCTTCCACACGCCACTGCCCGTCGGCGTCGAGCCTGAATTTATAGCCCCATCCAGACTGGACAAGCTGACATGCTACGGTGAGCCCGGCTCCAAATCGGGGCTGTATTTCTGCAGTACCTGTGGCTGCCATATTGGCGGGTACTACGGACAATGGACCGTGTCCACAGCTATCTTCGATGCTAACCGAGACGACAATATTTTGCTTTTTAACGCACACATGCTTCCTGATTCATCACCAGATGGAGGTATCGCGGCGATCTTCTCAACAGTCGACGGACGCCAATTACAGATCGATGATCTAGACGGAAAGGCCCTTCCCTCGCCTGTTCTACCAAGGGAACTTCAAAGTACGAACGAGCAACTACGCGCCCAATGCCACTGCGGCGGTGTCTCCTTCACCATTGCTCGACCTAGCGCAGCCTTCCTGGCCAGCCCCGAAAGCAAAGGGGTGGGTCCCGCCCGACACCAGCAAGTGGCTCGCATGTCTGGATCTCTGCGACGACTGTCGACTAGTCAGTGGAGCAAATGTCATTGCGTGGATGTTTGTCGCGCTGGATCATATCTCGCCGGCTCCGTCGAAGGATGGTTTCTTAATTGGGACTGCGAAAGCCTACCAATCCTCGGACGATGTCACTCGCGTCTTCTGCGGTACCTGCGGTGCAACGGTTTTCTACCATTGCAAGGAGCGGCCACATATTATCGACGTGGCGATGGGCATTCTGCGTGCGCCGGAGGGTGCCATGGCGGAGAATTGGAGTGTTTGGAGAGCTGGGCGTCCGGCTTGGCCGGAGAATGGCATGCGATACCATGCTGGGTTCAGCCAGGCGTTGATTGAAGGGATGAAGCAGTGGGGGAAGGAACGGGGACATCCGCAGGATTTTGTGATTCCGTAGTCTCGTCAGATTGAATATACAGAATCTGCAATATATGATGCCAGGGCAAGGGTATAGATGGTAGTAAATGGAGATCGGCCGTGGATAGCCGACCCGCAGTTGGCGACCCACTATCAAAATGAGTCAAGCGGGCGATTATAAATTCGAGCTGTCACTTCCGCAACTATACAACTTCATATATAATTGTACACTGAACATTGCAATTACGAGTGTACACGGACAAACCATGACTCAACTCCGCTTCGTCACCCTCGACGTGTTCACGCTGAAGGCATACGGCGGCAACCCGCTCGCCGTCGTCTTCCTTCCCGAAGACTCCGCCGCGGCCCTGACCCAACGCCAAAAACACATCATCACCAAGGAATTTAATCTCTCCGAGACCATCTTCGTGCACCCGGCGCAAGACGCCTCCAAGCGCACCATCGACATCTTCACCATCGAGTGCGAGATCCCCTTCGCGGGCCACCCGACCATCGGCGCCGCCTCATGGTTCCTCTGCCACGACCCGGCCGTCGCCGCGGGCAGTGCAGTCACTTCTCTCGTGACGAAATCGGGCGAGATTCCAATTTCCATCGCAGACACTGCGACGCAGGCTGTTGCGGCGCGCATTGCGCATAATACGCGCATCCACGCCTCACGGTTGCCCGTCAAGGACTTGCTCTACTACCACCCGAACATGGAGTCGTACTTCAAGCCGGATGTGTCATTCCCCTTGTTCTCGATTGTCAATGGCATGAGCCAGACCTTCATTGAGCTGCCGTCGCTGGAGGCATTGGCGGCCGTCACGACGTCGACGGGTGGCGAGCTCGTTCCCGTGCAGAACGGCGACTATCTCGACGAGGGGTGGAAGAACGGGCTGATTTGCGTCTATTTCTTTGTGCGTGATGTCGACGACAGCGTCACCCAGCAAAAGGTCATCCGGACACGCATGATGCTGGGCTCGCTGGAAGACCCGGCCACCGGCAGCTCGGCCAGCGGACTGGCGGCGTACCTGACGCTGACAGAGGGCCAAGCCGGACAGGCCCATAGTTACCATGTGGTGCAGGGGGTGGAGATGGGGCGGCGCAGCGATATTGGCGTCAAGGTCAGCCTGGACAGTCAGAGGAAGATTGAGGAGGTGGTCTTGACCGGCGCGGCGGTGCAGGTGTCGGAGGGTAAGATCACGGCGCCTGAGTCAGTGTAATCCTGTATCTTGGATGAAGTAAAAAAAGGGAAGATGCGGGCTCCGAATCGGGTAATTGTTTGTATGTGCAATATTTTATGACTCAATCTGGATGTGTGTCTGATTCAGTGGGGGCGGGGATCTTCCTCAGCCTTGTGACGATCGTTTGTATTATTGACCTTTCTTAAAGCTGTGCTTCGCCTGCGATTGAGGCAGCAACATTTGCTAGTAGCTCCGACGTACTTAAGCTGGCCTTGTCCAGAAGAAAGTTCCAGCCACACTTTGGCGCGTGGATTTTTCAACTTGCGGAGTTGCTGATGGCTCTGACTGCCCAGCCGAATCAGTCTCTTTCTTCTATCGTGCCTGTCTTTCCAGGACATATTTCACGTCCACAGCCTTGTAGTGTACGAAACGCGAGGCTGAAGGCTCATGTTCAAAATTATTTCAGCTCGACTCGGCGACCGGGGGCTACAAGGACAAAATCCTCGGAGTTCATAGAAAGGCGAGTGATCGAAAGAGAAACACCATGCTGATCTATACTAACTAATACCTTGTATAGATTCTTCGCCTTGCCACCAGAATTACGCAACGAAATATACCGACTTCTCCTCGTCCAATGCTGCAAATTCTACTTCACCCACCTCGACACCTGCAACGATGAAATCAAAGTAAACTGGGCCCGACCTGGCCCTAGTCCATGGGAAAGAAACGATGTCATCAGCTGCGCTCGCTGCCAAATCCACGGCTATCACATCCCCCAGCCCATCATCTTCAAATCTCCATTTCGCAGCAAATGGGCCAAGCCACACACTAACAACTACCTCTGTTGACAACTATTACTGGGAGGCAGCCGGACGCGATCGTGGAGACCCCTTCATGCGCTCTGTTCGCTGTCTTTGCGCACGACGCGCTAATCTCGAAGTCCTCCTCATCAACAAGCGAGTCTATAGCGAGGCCGCGCCCATCTTCTGGAGCGAGAATTTCTTCGCGTTTGAATACCCGAATCTCCTCAGCGGCTTTCTTCGCGCAATCAGTCCGCAGACACGGCTATGGCTGCGCAGGATATCATTTATGCCGTCGCATGACCGGGTGAAGAATGATGATACCACAATCTCTGATGACAGCTGGCATTCGCGATGGGGGGATGCTATGGACGATCCGTGGGGCTGGGATGACATCAAGAGCTGCTGGCAGCTTCTTCGAGGGTGCGAGGGACTGGCACATTTGGAGTTGGATGTTTACTGCCTGAGTCGGTTGGATTGGGCTACTTATTCGAGTAGTCCATGTGAATGGATCTGTGATCTTCTCTCGCCGACCCGGAGACAACGAAATATTTCCGCGACGCATTGATCACAGTCCGAAGATGTGGCTGTCGATTAGTCGACGGAAACAAGTCCAGACGCCCACGACAGAGCTGATAGCTACAGGCATGAAAGGATCGCGAGCGATCAGGTCCAAGGCTCAAGCGACACTAGTATCAAACGACCCTATACGAGATCTACGGGGGAGACATCTACCCCGTCCGAGACGACGTCGACTGGCATTAACGAACGAAATTCTTTTCAACATTCAAGAAGTAAATTCAAAGCTTCTTCTCCTCAACCAACTGCCTCAGCACCTTAATCGTCCCCTCAACCGCCATCCGACTCATCTTCTTCTCCCTCTCATGAAGCTCCGCCAGTTCCTGCTTCGAAATACCGGGATGCCTCCACTCGAAAATATAGGTCATATAGAATTCCCCTTCCGCACCTTCACTGATAACATTGCTCACACGACTTCCGTCGGGCTGCTCGAATTCGACGCGACAGGGCTCAAACGCCGTGACAACTTCCTTTACTTTCTTCTGCGACTCGCGGAACAGGACCTCGCGGACCGTTACCGGGTTCCCGGATGTGTCGGTCGACTCGCTCAGGACATCGGTCGACTGGATTGCGGCGGAGACGAAAGTCTCGGCGGAGCGAATCTTTAGCTGGAGGCCAGCCCAGATTTGGTCGCGCGTGAGTGGGGTGCTGCCCGCTGGGTTGATGGGGGCTGTGAAGGCGAGGTTGTTTGCGGAGGACATTTTGTTAATGGGGTTTTAAGTATGCGCGCAATTGAAGTAGTAATTGAGGGTCTGATTTGCATTTGGAGCTGTTGAGGAAGCGTGCTTTTTATGTTGAGGTTGATTGCGTTCGGCGTTGCGGTGACCAAGCAAAGGCGAATGACGTAACTGAGCCGCGGTTGCTAAGCTCGGGCTTTGTGGAGGCCGAGCTGTTTTCGCAGTGAGAAACAGTCGAAGCAGCGGCTTATGGTATTCTGAGAAATGCCGGGAGGGGGGGGGAGGGGGGAGAATAAAAAAAATAAAAAAAAATAAAAAAATCATGTTGAAGAATAATCGTAGATCGGCAATTTTAGACCATTTTGCAAAATATTGACTGAGACCTGTACGGAAGGGTATTGCGACCAGAGCTCACTTTCCAAGTTCAGTTAGGCTTGACGCCTGAATTATAGAGACCTGTACTTCAATTTGATCGCCCTATGTATCAGTCATAAAAACAGCCCCATTAGCCCAAGCCGTCTTCTGAACGATCGCTGAAGAGTCATTTGAACAGTCGCCGGCCTACCTCCAAGGCTGGTAATATCGCCAATCCTAATCTTGTACGGTCGATGAAGCTCCAACAAGTGTTATGGACACAAAATATTTTCTTATTTCTAATAGCCTTTCATTTATCGGTGTTGGATTAGTCACAATATAAAAAGGGCATGAACGTGGGCGAAAGAAAGGAAAGTGAGCTTCAGCTGTTATACCCTTCCGTAGACCTGTCATAAACCCGTCGTGTGGGAGTAGATTACACTCTACTCCAACGCCTCGTGGAAGGATACAGATATACACCACATATAATAGCACATTGAATGTATCAATAAAATGATATATCATCGTCGCCAACTACTTCGATTAATCCTCTTTTGAATACATCAAATCCGATCGAACTGTATACTTCACACCCCGAAACACATCATCCCCACAATGCATCAGATTTCTCTGCGAGAAAATTAGGATGGATCCTGTCTTTGGAAACACACGCACAGCATCCTTGTAGCCCAATCCATCAATGAACGAAGTCGCGCCGCCTAATAACGACCCTTCCACCTGAGGAGAATCCTCACTCGAAATCTCCTGTTCATCCAACATCTCCTTCGACTCCACCTCATCATAAAGCTTCCCGCCCAGTATAAGCCGATTCTCCTTCTCCGCGCGCTTCAAATAAGGTCTCAACTCCTCCATATCCTGCTCCCCCTCCCCATTTAAATACAAATGAATCGTAAAAAGCGACCGCTCCTTCCCATCTGGCGTCACATAACACCCATCCCAGTGCGGACGAAAGTAATCACCACCCTCATACCGCAGAAATCGCATCCGCTCATTCAAACTAGACACGGCGAAGACTTCATTCCGTCGCGCGGGCCCAAGACCCGTAACGGTAGGCTGGTTTTGAACGCGCTCGATCCCAAAATCACGCAAAAACGGACGTAATCGGTCTAGTATGCGCTGGGAAATGTCAAAGGAGTCGAGGATAATTCTGCCGCTCTTGCGCGTGTCGACAGACATGACCTGTTTCCCGTTGCCTGCGTTGACCATCGCGCGTTCCCATACTGGCGCGGGTGCGGGTTTTGAGGGGTCTTTGGTTGTTTCGTCTGTTTGCGGAGCGGTTATGGATTCTTCGGCGAGGCGGAGGAGTTCTTTGCATTCGGTTTCGGTCATGAAATTGTCGATGACGGCGGCAAAGTTGTTTTTGAATGCGACGATGGGTGGTGATGTTTTTTCGAAGTCGATGCGGTAGGCTTGAGGGTTTGCTGATGGGCCGCTGAGAAAGGCATCTGGGATTTTGATTGATGACATTGCGGTGATTTTCGAAGATACTTGGGATTTTTTCTTTCTCGCCTGGGAATCAAATTCTCAGGGATATGGGAGGGAGAGGTGTGCCTTTTAACTGGTGAGGCTTCGACAGCCTTGTCAGCACTAGCTAAGCCAATTCCCCACAGTGAGGCTCTGCGGGCTGTGCTGCCTGTAGAAAACGTGGCGGAGCAAACAATCTAAACATTTAAGCTTAACAAGGATGGGATGAAACGGGACAGTAAATTCCTAAGTAGGCAGCGAAAAGTTAATTTCGACTCATAATTCAAAATTCCGATTTCTGAGCAACACCCTCCAGTTCCTGAATCCAAGGCGCACGATACTTGGTAAAGAGCTCCATGGCAGGTTTGGTCTTCTGCACGAGATCAAGGTCGTCAACAGTTCCGGCCTGAACGACGGCCATTCCGGAAAATTCCGCGTTGTCGGCTGTTTTGTATATGATGCCTCCGCATTTATCGCAAAAGTGCACTGTAAGATTCATCCCGGTTTCATGACGTTGGGTGCATGTTTTCTCTAAGCCAGTTGTCAAGTGGAAAGTATCGCCAGGGACCATGAAGTTGGCTGTGTGTGTGCTGCCGCTGATTTTCTGGCAAGAGAGGCAGTAGCAAAGTGCCTATAAATTAGTGTTAAGTGTCTAAGGCCCTAAAAGAGTGTTGGGTAGTCGGGTTGTCCCACCATTGCCTGAGGCTCCCCGGCAAATTCATATTTGAGGTTTCCGCAGAAGCAGGATCCTGACGGCATTGTGGTGGTGTTTAGTATCGGAAAACCGAGTTATATGATTCCCTATGTGTGTTTGAGAAATATGAAGCTTCGAAAACCTTGCACAGGAAAATCTGAGGAGTCTCTGACTAAATAGCTCGGAAGCTCCTTCGTACGGCTGCGTCATGAGTGCGTCTTCTAGATTTTTAGCTTCTCTTACATCTGCTTTGGTCGCGGTCGCCTGATCAGTATTTTTTTGGTCGGCTAGAAAAGACGCTCTTTGCAAAAGGAAGACCGATCCTGCGTATTCGTGTTGTCAGCGGCTTTTATGCGGGTGATTTACAGTGGTGGGGTAAAAGTGGCAAAAGGCTTATCTATCCACGGCTGATTCTGGTGGCTCCGTTTTGGCTTTTAAAGACCGATCTCGGCCTATATTCGAAACTCTATCGTCCAGCACAAGAACGAGCGTGTGTTCCAGTTAGCTCTCTGGCTGGGAAATATGCAAACAAATAAAAGAGAAAGAAAAATATCGACAACGAGCCTTAAAAAGGAAAAAAAAAACATACAACAGCAGGGATTCGCATGTGGTCACCCACCATACTACTAACCTGCCGGCGTGTGGCTTAAGTACGGCTGAGCGGACGGGAAGCCCTGTTCTCCACACCCTATGGTCGTATGTACAAGATTCTTAGTTTTTGTGGAATATATACTCAGAAAACAATAATCACTTTAAGCCAGTAAAACTTCGCTCACGGCGACACTCCATCAAATAAACCTTTTTAAAATCGAGATATAAGATAAAATTTATATCTCGCTACAATATGCGACCGATAAGACTAATCATCGATGCGTTGTGTGTGAAGTGTCTATACCCTAACATCTAAATATATCGTGACCTGTGAAACTCTCGTCAAAGTTGACAAGCTCCGTGCATCGAATTTTGGCTAGCCATCCAGAAATCATATCTATTCTCAAAGCCAGTAATGCGGGTTCCTGCCTCCACATTTCCCCGTCTCGGGGCATTGTCCATCATTACCTAACTGCCATTTTCCATACTAGAGACCTTTGCTTGATTTCCGGCATGGCTGCATTAACGTGAAGAGTTCTTCTATTCGGCTTTTCTCGCATTATCAAGTCTCAGATTCTCACATTTCCTTGAATCCATCATAGGTAGCACGAGTTGTTATATTCTCCGCACTTGATGCGAGCATTGGGTAAGTGGCTCTTTTTGTACGACTAACCTGGATGACACCAAACTATTATTCGACGGAGATGTAGAGTACAGCGAAGCTCGCAAATTCAGCATCGTTGACAAGGCGCTTCCGACGATTCGCGAGCACGATGTCTTGGTAGGCCATATGAACAATAGTCAGCATATACTCTCACGTCTAACAAGGTGCATAGATCAAAGTCAAAGCCTCGGGCGTGTGTCGCACAGATCTGCACATCCACGACGGTGAATTCAGGGCCCAAGTATGTCAAGCTCTCACTCTCACTCTGCCAATACCAACACCGTGGTATAGTTCCCGCTTGTCCCAGGCCACGAGACCGTGGGTCAAGTCGCAGCATTTGGCAGTCAGGTCGAGGGCTTCAAAGTCGGAGATCGCGTGGTAGCCGACAACTCCGAACTATGCAAACACTGCTACTACTGCTGGCGAGGCAGAGCGCTTTTCTGCGACAACTTCATCGCGCACGGGGTCATGGTCGATGGTGAATTTGCGGAATATGCCGCGTACCCGGCATATCGCGTATTCCAGTTCAAGAATCTGTCAGATGTGGATGCGACACTTTTTAGAACCTGTTGCATGTGCGGCACATGTACTGGATAAGATCGCGCTCCAGGCCGGATCGTCTGTGCTGTTGTTCGGTGCGGGGCCGACGGGGCTAATCCTCGCTCAGCTGCTTCGTCTGAATGGTGGATGTCGAACGGTGATTGCTGCGTCACTGGTCTGAAGAGGGAGCTAGCGAAGTCGCTGGGGGCGGCTGATGAGTTCGTGGAGCCCTCGCGTGAAGCGCGGGCTGCCGTTGATGAGATGGAGAAGCTTCGCGCGGGTCATCCGTATGGGTTTGACATTGTTGTGGAGGCTACTGGTAGCGACAAGATTCTGGAGGATGCTATCAATTTTTGTCACCAAGGGAGGAAAGCTGGTTGTATATGGGGTTATGGGGACGAGGATTTTGTTTCCTTATCGCCTAACAAGATCTTCAAGGAGGGAACCAACGTAATGGCTCCTTTAGTCAGACTTATAAGTTTCCGGCGGCTATTGATCATTTTAGTGAGTGTCTAGCATCCCTTGCATGATTGATTTACTAATGAAGAATATGTTGGGCAGATGGAAAGTGGGTCAAGGTTGACAGGATAGTGAGCAAGACTTTCAAATTGGAGGAATGGCAGGTGTGCCTTGATGCTATGAATAATAACTCTGTGGTCAAAACTGCAATTGTATTTAACTAAAGAATATACCCTCAATAGCATGGAATTTCTCTAGAGTCTTTTCCTTTTCCTTTTCCTTTGCGTTTTTGACTGCATAAGCCTTTCCGGCACTCTACGCCTGGTGATCGGGTCTACTACACGACCATTCACGCAACCCCGAGCGTAGTCAAAAATGCGGTGGAGGAACGACCTCAACCCCGCAAGCGACTAGTACTTCCTAGGAAGAAAGAAAGCAAGCAAGCCCTAAAGGCCTTCACCGCGCCGAACAGCCCGGGTAGCCCGCCGGACCCACGCCGAGGCCAAGCGCGGAAACCCGGGCCGGTCGCGTTGGTGGGGTTCGATAGGGTCTCACACAACGAATTTCAAGAAATAGCAATGTGATGGAGGGAGAAAGAAGAAGAGGACTAAGGAAGTAAATGCAAAGGGTATATTGTTCTATAATTTGTTTCTATAAGGAAAAAGCGTAGTACCTCATGAAGGAGTCCGGCGCTCGTCCAGCTGTTCATGAAGATAAAGACGTCCCTCCGTATTGACGAACCCGCCAATACCAAATGCCGGGATAATGCGACACATGCGCAGGAGCGAGGCGCCGATCCAGTCACGACTAATGCGCGACATGCGATCTTTGGTCGGGAGGACTTGTGGGCGGTTGTAGACGTCCAACCCGAAGAGGTGGATGGGGGTACTGATAAGCTGGACGGATGCGGGGATGGCGAGTTGGGCGATGAGGATCTTCAGGTATTCTTGTGAAGCGACGGCGTCGGGGATGGTTGCGGAGACCATGGCCGGGAGACTGAAGGAGCCGAAGATGGTGAGACCGTCGCGCAGGAGGAAGGCGGAGTATGTTGCAAGAGGAATGCGCGTGCGGCCAATTGATCGGACGGTCTTGGGGGGTGGAGGTGGTTTGGTGTCTGAGGATGCGGATGCTGTGGATGCATTTGGTGTTGCTGGTGTGGTAGATGCTGTCGATGCTGTCGATGCTGTCGATGCTGTCGCTGCTGCTGCTGATGCTGTGGGAGATGCTGTGGGAGATGCTGTGGGAGACGCTGAGGGAGGGGCGGCATTGTTGTGGCCGAATAGTTGGGCGAATTTGACATCTTTCCAGATTCCAACGGAGGAGTTGACCACGAAAGTAGTTGCGAAGGTGGTCATGCCGGCGATGGCATGGTCGATGTGGGGATAGACTTTGTTCAAGAGGGTTTCGGACATGTTCGCTGTCGCGAAGGTGGCGGTATAGAGAGACCAGACGAGGAGGCTGGGTCGAGATGTCAAGAATGTAGCCGGCTGAGTGAGCGAAAACCAGAGATGTCTGCGGAATGCAGGAAAGAGAGGCTGGTTGTAGAAGGACTTTTCGACGACGAGTCTGGATCGTGTTAGCTTTGGTCTGTTTTGCGACTGTGATAGGGATATGAACACACCTGTCAAAGATCATCACCGCGGGCGTTATAAGCGTTGCTGAACCTGCAGCAACGAGGGTATCTGCCGCCAGCAGCTCGCCGAGCCGGCTGTGGCTGCGCTGGATTCCCAGCGGCATGTGCTTGTTCTCGAGGTTTTGGGACATGGTGTGTGTGTATATGTGTGTGTGTGTGTGTGTGTGTGTGGTGTATATATTCAATAACAGCCAGCCACGATCAATGACTGAACGGGCCGTCTGATAGTGTTGGTCGTACCAGGCGTTGGATTAGAGGGAATTGATATGGTCTGGTAGGGACAGGACGAGTCCAATTAGTCTTTAATGAGCAATGGTAGCAGTGACCGGGGAGCAGCCGTGGGAGGCGAAATCGATTAGATAAAACAAATCCAACGCGGGGCAGTGCAATACAATTTCTCCATGAGCAACGTACTGTGGATCGAATCAGGTACAATGCCGGTTCCGCCAGCCGGTGAGGAGCGTTTGGCACAGAGGGGAGAGTTCCTAACGAGGGAAACAGGAAAGAAAAGCAGCTTTGTGGGATGGAAGATGTATGACTACCGATCATTTCACGCGGTGCCCACCACCATCTTATCGCCCAACAATCTGCTGTGTCGCCCTGATTCATCGCTTTTGTCGTGGTGAACACTTATAGATCGATTCTGCCAGGCCGAGCCCCCGTCGGCGTTTCCTGCCAATTACAGGGCAACCGGCCCGGCAGCCGGTGCGGCATCCGTGGCCGTGATTGGGCGGCGGAGCCGCGATGATCGCCCTTATTTTTCAGGAACCCGGCGTTCTAGAAGATCGGTGTACCCTTCCCTAACACAACTCCTAAATCGCTAGTCGCAGTGACTAAGGACGGCGGGAGGGAGTGGTCTTCCCGACGCTCACAGCAGGTCGCGGACGCGTGGGATTGCCCCTAGGGGAATGATGTCGTGCTCTTCCCCCGCGTTCCCCCGATGCTCTGTGGCCTGCCCTGCTCCGGGTCACGGCGGAGTTTTCACCGCGGAGTGGGGTTTCTCTCGCCTTTGTCGAAATTGGGCATTGACAAGAGACAGGGCTGGGGTTGCTTATCGGCACTTGCGTCAGTGCTGAGAACCTATGTGAGGGCGCTCAACAAACAGACACGATGCCCACTTCTTGCCTCTATGCAAGCAGCACATATTGTAGGACTTCCAAGGTAATACTACATACTCAATTTCGACTCTTTGGTCATATGAATGGTCGGACCGGTGGTGTTCAAAAATCTCGAAGGGCCTTTAGATCAGGTTATGTATGCAATCTGGTGCTAGGGAGATCATGCTTTCCCCACGACTGCGGAAACTGGAAGTGTTATCGCGCTATCACTTGCAATCAGCCAAGAATAATCGAGGGCTGTGTTTATATAGGGGTGAATTTTTAATTCGTATTCAACCCCCATGTTATTAGTATACTGACACCTGTTGATGAAGTTCCGGTGTTCAAAGTATCTCCACATCCGGCCACGAAGAAACCATGCGCTACATATATATATTTTACAAATAACGGGAAATCTTTCGCAAGGCGACCGCAAACTATCGTAGCGTATTTCAGAATATCCACCGAAGATTGAGTACCGAGAAAGATCAAACGAATTTGACAAAAGGGGGCGAAAATTGGCCAAAAGCGTACTGGGACTAAGCCCCCGGGTGTCAGTACCAACACAAAGAGCGCAAATTCGTATTTCTAAACAGTGACACGTGATGCAGGACATGCGGCGATAGCTCAGTACTCTTATGCCCGCCTACTACTGAAATGTGGTTGGCACTGTTGAATCATTGGATGGCGGCGAATGGATCACGTGTAGTCACATGATTACCGAGCCAAGTCATATGACTTATGCCTAAGGTGTCAAGAGCTGGGTTTGCCGTTGTGGTGAGCGACAATGTACAGTATGCTGATTCGGTAATCCCCCTGGGCAGCGCGTACATCTCATTCGGTACTATTGAGGCAATACAGCAAAACCGACACCATCGCGCCACGAGAACCCAGCCTGATTATGAAGAACATCCTCCTGATCACCGGGGGTGGTGAAGGCTTTGCGGAGAGTGGAAACCTGGAAATGCGCATCTTCCAATAATGATGTACCAGAAATGGCCGTGATTGCCGGCAGGCAAACTGGTTGCTGGGCCACGTCAGTTCAGCAGCTCGCAGGACGGTGGACTCGGGCGTTGACCCCTCCCCAGCCCGAGTCTCTAAGAATAATCTCTCGAGTCTCCTACCAAACACAGACATCTAGTCACCTCGACATACTTCTATTTGCGAAGAAAATGCCAAAGACGTTCAAAAAAGGTTTATTCATTCACTTCGAAAACAGAAGAAGACTGGGGAGGTAGAAGCTCAGATCAGCTAAGCGGGGATCCAGAGGGGCAGCACGACAAACGCTAGACCGTCAAATGATGTCAGCCAGACCGCAACCCAAACGGTCCCGTCAATCGAAACCCTCTCAATCGGAACCTTCCAGCCATAAGACCAATGGCAAACTGCCTATGACCAACCTGAGGAGAAGCAGAAACAGATTTTGTCAAGCATACAAGTCCCTTCCGAGTCAAAGGACAAGAAAGCTAGCTCGAGAGAGATGCTCAACGAGATCATTCGGGTGACAAAGCAACAATACGAGATAAACCAATAGAAGTCAGAGGGATAGTTCGGAAATCCTCGCGGAAGATCATCGATGCGGTACTATCTTTTAAGGAAATCATTACAGCGGTTGCTGCGCTTGACCCTACACAGCAAGCAGCTAGTGCTTGGCCACTCGTTCGCTGGGTTTGACAGTATGTATTTCCAGAAACCCAGGATGGGCTAGTATCTTTATTCTTTGGCTGGTACGCTATATGACCCAGCAGCATCATGGCGCGCGGAATGAACTGTTTGAATCATCGGAGTGCCTGGCCAACGTACTCGCGTAATGTGCCTTTATAGAACAGAGATTCTACCTGAAAGGGCGAGTGGATATCCCTATTCATACGGGAACCGCAATGATTAAGGTCTACAAGGCAATTCTGCACTATTCAGTACGGATTCGGAACGCCCAAAAGTCTAGCTTCGGGAGAAATTTCCTAGATTGTGTCACTGCAATTACTGGGCATCCATTTACGGTGTTTAAGACGTCAGTTGAAAAGGACAGGGGTAATTTACGTTCATGGACCGAGCTAGGTGGATATCTTCAGCATGAAAAGAAGGCAGAAAATATCGTTCTCAAAATCGACAAGCTAGGCGGATCCTTGAAGCTATTCTTCATGAGTTTATCCTGGGACGTCTACATATCGTGGAAGGGGCATTGTATGACAGTCATGTTTATGAACATGAGGATATATTGCCTTCCAGGGACTAGGACCGGGTTTCTTTCCCAGATCACTCATTGGGATGAGACAGATGATACGTTCATATTTTTGTTGAATGGCATGGCAGGGACTGGGAGGTCTACCATTGCATGGACAGTTGCACAAAGATTCACGGACCGGGGACTGCTTGGTGCCACGTTTTTCTTCAAACGAGGCGAAGCTGATAGTGGTAAAAATACATGATAACTATCACGGGCCAGCTGGTAGATCGACACAGAAAATTGGTGCCTGCTGTCTTGAATGCCATCAAAACGGATTCAAAAATTGGATCACCTTCTCCGAGAGAAACAATTTAACCAACTTCTCTATCAGCCCCTCTTGAAGCTCGACCCAGATCAAACTAACACGATTGTGTTCGCCATTGATGCTTGGACGAAAGCGACGGGGATGATGATATAAAGCTCATACTTCATCTCTTGTTCAGATTACGAGAGATCAAGTGGGTGCGCTTGCGACTGGTCTTGACGAGCAGGCCTGAGATTTCGCTTCGTCTCGGCTTCGAAATGGCAAAGAACCACCAGAATCTAGTTACCATGAACATCTTGCTCCGGTGATCGAACGCGATATTTGCCTATTCTTTGACTACAGGCTTTCGGTAGTACGACATGAACATAAACTCCCCTCTAACTGGCCGGGACATGAGCTTTAATGAGACTAGCTCTGTGATAGGCCCTATTTTAGCACAAGGGGTGACTAATTCAGCTGAGTATTGTATGTCAAGGGAAAAGTCACTGAGATCATTAGTGCCTAGATACATGGCAGAATCGTGTGCATAACTGGGTCAGAACGTGTTTACGAGAATACACGCATCCTACCCTAAGTCCCTCTTGCCTACCACCTAGTCACCTGGCACCGACCAACCTGACTATTCTCTCTACACTTAACAGAACTGCTAACCTAATTATAACTAGCAGAACAGTAAGAACAATCAGAACTGTTGGTATCACCAGCTAGGTACTGTGTACACAGTTAAGTGGACAGTGTGTATGCTCCAAAGCAAAAGTCAATTGATTCATGTAGATAGATGTAGATTGATTAGTCTAGTTGGAAAACACCCCTAGATCCCACACACCGGCCCTCGGCGGTCACAACACCGGAGCCGCAGCCCAGTGTAAGAATGCGTACACCAAGCAAGGGATGCTATCCATCAGACGCTAGCAGTGGGTCATCGCTAGTTTGTTCCGACAGGAGGATATGCCCCGACAAGAACAAATATATATTTACTCTAAGTAACACAATAAAGACAAGGGATAAGAAAGTTCAAATCCTCACACATAATTAACTAATAAAGTTTACAACTAGTTAGAGACTCCACAGAGAGACAGTCAGACAGATATTGCACCAAGGAATCACTTGTGCTTACTAGTACAGTAGTAATTAAATTATGCTCAACCTTTTCATGCTTAATCAAGAATAGGTTTAATTGCACTTGATTTTTTTCAAGGTATCCATGTGAAACATGTAAGCTCTTAATGAAAACTTTTTATCTGACAGTATAGAAAGCCCTTGGAACTCGAACGCCTAGAGGGGAACTCAATCACCTAGCGGATAGCAATGCAAAACTTGTCCATCTACAACAAAACTTCAGTTAGCTTCAAACCTGTCGAGAGGCTCAAAATTCAGTACTTACAGTAGAAAGAGGAATCGGGTGTGGCCAAGAAGACAAAGCTCGTGGCAGTTTCACTGGCTGTTCCAGGACGACCCAGCATTTTGCCAGCGCCTAAATCCTTCATAGACTCGGCGTCACGTGTATCTGCTTGGATAGGAGTGTAGACAACTCCAGGACTATTCGGTCTATGTTAGAGTAATCGAATCAAGAAAGATATGCCGTCATGCACCACTTACGCGACCGCGTTAACACGAATGCCCTTCGACATGAGTTGTTTAGCAAGGGATCGTGTAAATCCAACGATAGCGCCCTTCGTCGCTGCGTAATCCACCATACCGCTAGTGCCGCGGAATGTAGTCACGGAAGTGTTGTTGATGATGCTAAATCCATTTGATTAGTTGTGTCTTTTGAGATAATCGCGGAAAGCAACACATACGAGTCACCTTTGGACATATGCGGAAGTGCGTATTTTGTGATTGCCATCATCTGCAGGATATTGGATCGGAAAGTATCTTCGACCTTGTCAAGATCAATTTCGGCAAAATTACTGCATGAATACTGTGTCGAAGCATTGTTCACGAGCACGTTAAGAGCTCCGTGCCTGTGACCTCTAGGTCAATCATTTGTTCCTAGGGAAAGGAAGGGGCACGTACTTCTCCAGGTGTTCTTGAACTGCTTGCTGGCAAAAGTCATATTGTCGGAGATCGCCAGAGATAAGATGACACTTTCTCTTCTCTGATTCAACCATTTTCTTTGTATTTTCTGCGTCAATTTGTTCTTGTGGAAGGTAGACAATTGTGATGTCGGCTCCCTCTCTTGCCATCAGCACCGCTACTGATCGACCGATTCCAGAACTACCATTAGTCAGAATATGTCAGAAATTTACGAGGAGTGCATGCAAGTTGTAACATACTCTCCACCCGTGATCAGAACCTTTTTGTTCTTCAGCTTATTGGCGCCGACATATTCGACTGGTCCGTTGCTCCCGTCGAGCTTTGTGACCTCGCTAGGCGGTGCCATACTTTGTTCCAAGCTAGAAATTTTCGGTCAGTGTGACTGGAAGATAAAGAAGGCAAAAAGAGTGAATATTTGAAGTGCATCTTGAAACGCGTCGATCAAAAAAAGAACATTTTAGAGATTACCCAGGCTTGTCTTGGCTCTGGCTTGCCTTTGGCGGCTGAAAAGTATTTTCGAGAGTCGACATTTCTGCGCAACAATATCCTAAGTATCGAATTCAATTGGTTACTCGAAAAATCAGAACTCGAGATTCATCTATTGATTTAATAAGACAACTTGGTGATGCACAAGCCGGTATTGCGAAATGGTGGGTCTGCCGTCATCCCTACGTCAAATGATTCTCCAATGAACAACAGGCCAATTTGGCCACAAACATGTTTAGCAGTAGCTTGAGGGAATGATCAAAAGTATCCCGATTTCACGCGAAATAATCTTGCAGATGTACCATTACTTGTTACCTCCCTCCTTGTACTCTTGGTTCGCACCGCGCCCAGCGCCGCTGATATCTGATTTCCCGCCCCGTAGCCATAAGACGCCAAATGCTGGCACAGCGAGGCAAGCAGCCATAATCAACCTGTAGTGCAGTTGGAAAATTATATTCTGTTTCGCTTTGTTCGACATGCGGTCGATGAACTTACTTTCGCTGACCGCCAGGCTCTTTCTCCTTTGCCTTTTCGTCGACAGAGTAGCTCCTGCGCGTGATCGAGGAGGCCGATGAGGGGAACGAAGTTCGCGTAGATACCGGTCGCAAATGATGCGATCCTAATGTTCGTGTAGACAGTGATCGAACTGCGGGTGTCATGCTGATCAAGGGGAATCGATGAGAAATCGGAAGACTGAAATGATTCGGGAGCGTAGTAGACGTGCACAATAAGCTAAGATCGATGTTCAGACGTGAGAATAAATATCATGGGTTCCATGGGACAAAGCTGGAGCAAACTTGCTCTACGGGGCGATGTGAACATAATGAGGTAATTCCAACTCGAAACGACGTGCGATCGGGAACGATTCTCCGCATAGGTCGTGGAGCGCCACCTCTGGTTAAGATCTTTTTAAATGAAAAGCTCACCTTTTTTCTGGCCAGAAAAGCCGACTTCTTCTGAAAATTACCGACTCTTACCGTGAGACATGATGCGTACACGCGGGATTCGTCTCGTGGCGTTCAAGCTGCAGAACCAATTTGCACCACTCCAGTCCTCCCCTAGAATTCTATATACTGCCCAGGCTCAGGAAGTTGGCATCTATCAGCAATATTCTACCACTGGATATGGCGACGGGGAAGGCGATCCTCATGGACAAGATCCAACCGCCCAAGGTGTGAATCGTCGAACCCGTGAGATCGAGCACCCAGGGCCGTCGCAGCACAAAAAGTCGAACTCGGAGCCTTCAGGCCAAGCAAAAGATTCTCCGAGAAAACAGTCCCATATCCAAGACCAGCTAAAGGAACAGGAAGGATCTGAAGCGTCAAAAGCGAAATCTGGAAAGCAGAAAGGGTCCGACGAACAACGAAGAGCCGAATGAGGCCACAACTAAAGATTTGCACTGGGTATTCGAGCTTTTGTTGCGAAGCTTTGCGTTCTGCATCTATTTCAGTAATTATAATGGACACCGCTGGAGCCGTCCGGATCTTCTGCTAGCGTATCTCGAATTGGCGTGATCACCTAACCAGAATATGGGTTTGTTTTGTATGTCGGGGCTAGGATTCTGAAACTGGGAAGAGGAAGCCAGTGGTTTAAATCAAACACATCCCTGGTCGATCCGAAGTCCTCTTTTGCGATCTTGTATAGAATATATGTAGGAATTCTGAACAGATTTACTCCTTCGTTGTAGAGGAAATCATCGATCTCCTTTTCAAGCCATATCGCGGCCTGGAAATTTGTTGTCTTGCACACCCGATAGAGAGACTCAATCTTCGGCCTGGCCCAAGTAATCCACCCTGAATACGCTTTCGCATCTCTGAATGAATGTACTCCAATTATTTCGATCATCTGCAAATGTAAGGAAGCTCAACCGAGCGGACTGGAGAGTCGGCTGCTATTCAAGGCACGATATGGGATCATGTTGGGTCACAATAGTCCAAAATGGCACAGCTTCGTCCATTTTCAAAACGGAATATGTTTCAAACCCACAGGCGGGGAACTTGTGATCTTTCAGCACTTGTACTCGCCATCCGGGCCCGTGGTATAGAGACTGGTCTCTTCCATATGGCCTGCCTGAATCAGTGCATTATGAAGAACCGGTTTCTTTAGTATTGTGAGCAGATGATCTCGTTGTATTCCTCCCCAGGGTCGTCGAGGATCGTGCGTGTGATTTCCGTGCGAAGTTAGAGGGCACTGCGTAAACTGAGCTCGAGCACGTTATTTCTCCCGGTAAGCGAGAGGCCGTGTCACGATGCGGAAACCGCGAAATCTGTCTTTTGGTCCTTCGTCGCTTTTCTGCCAAAACCATGCGAACATTTCACCAGGTTGATCGTGGGACGCCCTTGGCCACCCGGGTAGCAGAGCATATTTCAACCCTGGTGGTAGCGCTCGAACAATTGGTCTTTGGTAGAGCATAGAGTAATGATAGCCATGGGTTGCAGGGAATGTGGCGAGTCCATAAACAAATGCCTTTTCGTCGTAATTTCCGGCTTAACACTTCGTCCTGCTGCTGGACCAATCTCCGATAGTATGATGATGAATTAATTTGCCCGATGTAGCTTGCTCTAAATATATGCTGCTATGCGGAGTGCTGTCAGGCCTGCCGACAGCTTGAAGGTGGTCGCCCGCCCACTGAACGATTGTTTCCATGGGTTGCAACGCAAGCCCCTGATTGGTCGCCCGAGAATGTATGCAACCATGACAAAATAGACAAAATAAAGAAAAAAAATCCAAAACGAACGTCGCCTCCCCTCTACCCACTCTCCTTTCCACAATCAGACTTCATTCTCTGATCTACTTCATCCTCCACCGCCTTCATCTGCGCAGCCCTCTGGGCCGTCGGCTGCCGCTCCTGCGCTCGCTTGCATCAAGGGAGTACAGTGGACCTGGCACTGCACTCCTAACGGGCACCATCCTTCTCCTTCCGTCACACTGTCCTGAGGGGTCATCCTTTTTCGTCGCCTTTTTCCGTGCCGAGTGCCAATGGGTCGACTGCTAATCTCCGATAGTATTCCCAAAACTCGCCCGGTGGTGGTCCAGCGAATCCTATCTCTCTCACGTGTTTGATATCCAGATACTCCAACGTAATCATCGCCTGTGCCGACCGGTAGAAGATATCCTCAATATTTGCCGCGCATGTGCCCTTGAACCACAGAGGGTAATCTTGATTCTTGAAATTATCACTCCTCCCCAGCAGGGCTATTTCATCGCCCTCGTAGGCCTCATCACCGGAAAAATATTTGAGATTGTATTTTGCGTGAGGTTACTGATTGCCTCTTGATCCGAGTTCCAACGTTGCAACTCAGAAAACAATCCAGATATTTCAGCCAGAGTCCCGGAGCGAATCGTGGAAATTGTGCGGTAAAGAGCGGCGTGAAAACTGAACAGCTCAACGATATCAGCCTTAGGTCAATGATCTAAGCAGTGATCATAGATACAGTCATATTATTTGGTAATGCATGTCGCAGAGTGCATCGTACCTGAGCACTGTGGGGTGTATTAACACGGTCGTCAAATTTCGTGGCGTGACTTCTGACCTTAGCCCTCCTTTTCTGACACCCTGTGCAGGGAAGAGAAACGTCATGTCGCGCTTTTTTCGAGGAGCCCTTTCTCAGACATGGCGGAAGTAGACGACACGGACAAAAACTTTAGATTCGAGAGCGGGCTCCATAGTGATGAGAATTTGGGTCGAAGCGAGGAAGTTTAATCAACATAGACATTCATGACTTTCAATTTAAACATTGAGAAATATATATAAATGTTCTCTTCCAAGCATATAGCTTACACGACCGCAATATATGTTCGACTCTATCTCAAATTCCCTTGCATTATCCTTGGACTACCTTGTAATTTAGTTACTGGCAATGTATAGCAGCTTAATCAACAAGAACCTGGGCATTGACAGAATAGATAGTGGGAATGTTTTGACAAAGAAAACCAGCGAAGCTGACAAGCGAGTCAATATTTCATCTATCATCTTGTTCAAGGTATTTAACTGCCTCCTGATATGTGACCTGACTTTGGATTTTCCATATAAAGCAAGATATTTCATCATAAGCTCCCGAGCGAATCGTGGAGACAATACGACAGAGAGCGGCGTGAGAACTCAAAAAGCTCGGCAATATACGCCTTAAATCTACGATCACTGGTTGAATCGTAAATACGCTCGCATTCTTTGATAACGCATCTTGCGCAGGGGATCGCACCGGAACACTGTATTTGGTGTATTAGCTCAGTCATCAAATTTCATAATGAGCCTTCTGACCTTGGCTCTCTTTTTCTGGCACTCTGTGCAGGCAAGAGAAACATTGTGTCGTTGGTTTTTCCCAAGGATATTGTTTTCAGCCGTGGAGTGCTCAATTTATTGTCCATTGGCAGGATCTCGCGCAGGATATCCCCCAACATTGGAGAAATAGTTCAGTGACACGCTCTTTGCAGGTAGAAAACTTTCGATCTAAGAGTTGGCCCTTGAGGTTGAAAATTTGGAAAGAATTATGAGACCCTGGGCTCCAGGGGGACAGTCATGTTCCTTTTATTTTTTTTCTTCCACATCCTTGCTCTCAGCTCTCTTTGTTTGCTAGATAGAATCAGCTGTCAGTTTGCGGCACTCGAAGCTCGCTACAGGCGTTATCGCATATGCTCTGATCTTGCGAATGAGCGCGACTTCCAAACTGGGACCCTATTACTAAAGTTTGTCACCGATAAGACTGCAGCTAGCGGCTCAAGAATGATCACCCAAGAAGTCCTGCAGTCCTTTCGCCAAATTAATCTTGGTGTGCGGAATGATGACCATCATCTGAAAGCGACCGCACGTCGTTGGAGCTGTCTCTGTCACGAGGCGGAGGAGATTGCAGCTTCAGGGCACCTGAATGCCAAGTTTGTGGGACTCACTTGCGAAGATTCATCTCGTACAAAGATGGGACGAAATGGCCACAACCTATGCTAGCCGCAAGGGCTGTGGACATGCCAGACACAACTCCTCACAATTGAAATAACGTTTACTGAGAGTGAGCAACGAATGGTGGATGATGAAATCAAGTTGCGTAATTTACGGAACAAGGCTGCCTCTTTCAGCCTACTGATGGGATGCTGTCCTCGAATGGGATTGTATTACGCACGAGTCTCTAATCCGGGAGGATGATGAGCCGAATAGTGTTCAAATATACTCACTATTGTAAGTCGAGCACTACCCTTCCTTGCAATCGTCCCTCGTCCATCTCTCGGAAGACTCTTGCCAGTGAATTCATATTTTCAATGCGTACACGTGCCTTAATGATTCCACGAGCTGCGAAATCAAGTACTTCGAGGGCGTCTTGGCGATTGCCAACGGCCGAGCCAGTTATGTTATATTGATTTGCGATTATCGCGCCGGGGCTGGCAGAGTCAATAGGCTGTGTTCCGTGCTCTGGCAACCCTACGCACACCAATGTGCCGTTGAAACGCAGAAAGCGCAGGGCGCTGGCATAGGCTTTGTCAGAACCAGTGCAGACAACCACAGCATGGGCACCAAGTCCGCCGGCTAGCGCTATGATGTGGGAGGAGATAGCAGCCCCTTGGTCATCTTTAGGGAACTGGGTGATGTCGACAAAATGCTCTGCGCCCGATGAAAGGACAATGTCAGCCTTACTGGGCTGATCGACACCAATGACTCGAAGACCCATGCCTCGGCTAGCGAGCTGCACTCCTAGATGTCCGAGTCCACCGCCAGCGCCAGCAATCACTATCCATTGTCCTGGTCTCGCATTACTGCGTTTGAGAGCAGCGTGCACAGTAGTTCCTGCGCAAAGCATAGGGGCTGCCTCAGCAGAGTTGAGGCTGTCGGGAATAGGCGACACATAACGTGCCGGGCTGACCACATATTGCTGAAAGGTCCCTGGGGTGAAGTAGCCGGATATTTCCTGGTTGAAACAAAGACCGTCTGATCCGGCTTGACATGGCTCTACATACGTCAGGAGAATGAGACAAAACATGAACGAACGATCGGAGGACGGAGCGGGAGACGAACCACAATTGCCACAAGTGCTAGACACCCACTTGACTCCGACACGATCTCCAATTTTGACACCCGCTGTGTCGGCTCCTGAACCAAGTTTGACTATGTGGCCGACCCCTTCATGTCCGCCCACTTGGCCCTTGGGCGTTGGGACGGGCAGCGTGTTCCACTACAAGAAAAGTGAGCCAACGACCAAAGCGTAATGGTGAGATTCACGTCAACAAGATCAACAGAATAGGGATCACCTGCGTAGAACGTACAGAATTCATCATTACGCCAAGATCCGAATGGCACACGCCCGAGTGAGTACTGAATTCCGCGTTAAATCTGCCCCACAACTCAAGAAGGGGGGCTTAGCCGTACAGATAGATGAGCACGTCACCAGGGCCTGGTTCGGGTACGGGGAGCTCGACGACTTGAGTCGATATCGTTCCAGGCTGATTGTAGACTATTGACTTCTGAACTGAGGGGATTTCCATGACGTCAGACACGCAGTGCAATAAGTGCTCGACCTGAGGTTTTAGACCTTTCTGCTGCGTAGGTGTCAGCCTTAGAGTTGGGGCCCCTTGGACGTTTATATAGCACGACTTGTACTCATGCTACAGGGGTCAAGGATCGATAATTGTATCCCGATCAAACTAGTGCCACCAGTAAAATTTCGTAAGTCGTGGACTAACACATCCAATCAATTTCCTTGAAAACGAGAGTTTGTCATCGGATCAAGTGTTTTCGGGTTCGTCTAGCAGGCCACAAGCGGTTCCCTCTGAGTGGCTAACAGATGATTTTTAGTGCCCCACGGCTACAACGATTATCCATGAGACTGCCGAGGCAATTTACCAAGATCATGCTTCTCTGCCGCCGAAAGATGATCCCTTCTCAATCAGCCTAGTAATTGACGTCGGGTAGGCGCTTAGATAGGCGAATAAACAAATTTGGAATTGTATCCTCAGTGGGGCTTCTGCGGTTTCTTATTTTTATCATCTCTCTGACAATGACATTCTATTTCAGCCCTTATGGTTTCCACGAACATATGCTATTGCATCAGACTAAAATATTTGCGTGACGCAGAACCACGATCTGATTGGGTCCGCGCATGTTTTACATGTACCACAACGTTTGGCATATAGGAAAGTAATTTTATACTAATAGCTTATAGATGAAGTCTCGCTAATCAAATGAATTTCATTCTAGAAATACTAATGCGACAGCTTCATTTGTTCCCGACGTTTTCTCCACTGCCTCCGCCCTCTCTCGCCCCCTGCAACCACCATTTTGGTAGGCGGCTAGATAGGTAGTAGTCCCCGCCCCCAGCTCCTAAGACCCGTGGAACTCGTGCTTATCATCGTCTATCATGATCCTGGATTATCGGTCCGGCGCTCATGGGAATTCTGCCGCTGATATATGCGCTATACCAATAGCAGAATAGAACTGCCTTCCAAGACAAATTAGGCATCAACATATGCTCGTGTGCCTACCAAAGCCACATTCCTTGGATCCTATTTCCATATAATCGACCCATGCCAAATAACCGGATAATTCCTCTCGTCTACTGATCCGTCCTTGGAAAAATAATCGGCCTCTGCCACTCCAGGAACGCCCATCGGATTCCGGGCAGAAGCTCGAATCTCATTTTTGATATTATTGCCCGCAGTCATATATCATAGGATTTCAAGCCCTAGATACTCCTCCCCTGTCTGATCGCATTTTATCCAAACCTCCCACTTGCTATCATGGGCATCGCTTTGGATGCTCTCTACTTTGCTCTTCATCCGAATCAGTTAGGAGCGCTAATTCAATGGTGAGCTTAGACTATCTCCAAAAAAATGTCCTCTCTAAAATGACTGCCAACACTTACTAATCCTTCATTTATCAATCTTGTAGGAAACTACGACATGCTTCTCTATACAATAGAAACAAAACGCAACAGTCTGCAACAGCCAAGGTCTGTTTTGAATACTTGGATAAGACAAGTCGCAGCTTCAGCCCCGTTATCAAAGAGCTACACCCAGAGCTGCTCTTGCCCGTGTGCGTGTTCTACCTGATATTGCGTGGCCTTGATACGATAGAAGACGATACATCGATTTCCCTCGATGTGAAACAGTCACTCCTTCGAAGCTTCAAGGACCATCTTGACCAAGATGGCTGGAACTTCACAGGAAATCGACCCGAAGAAAAAGATCGCGAGCTGCTGGTGCAATTTCACAATGTGATTGCCGAGTTCCGGAAGCTAGAACCGACTTACCAAGCCATTATCAAGGATATCACTCACAGAATGGGTACTGGTATGGCTGATTTTGCGGGGAAGGCAGCTCTAGGATACGGGAAAGTGACTTCGGTGGAGGAGTATGATCTCTATTGCTGGCATGTAGCCGGGATCGTTGGCGAGGGTTTGACTCATCTCTTCGTGAAGGCGGAGATGGGCGACAATACTCTGATAAACCAGCCCTTGTATAGATCAATGGGTCTCCTCTTGCAAAAAAATAACATCATTCGCGATGTTCGTGGAGATTTTGATGACGGTCGCCAGTTCTGGCCCAGAGAAATCTGGTCTAATCATATCGACAAGTTTGAAGATCTTTTCGAGCCAAAGTGTCTCAACAATGCCCTCAATTGCAGCTCCGAGATGGTTTTGAATGCCATAGGACATGCCCGTGACTGTTTGTCATATCTTGCGGGCTTGAATGAGCAGAGTGTGTTCAATTTCTGCGCAATTCCTCAAACAATGGCTTTGGCTACACTTCAGCTATGTTTTCGCAATCCCGCAATATTTCAACACAACGTCAAACTCACAAAGGGAAATGCGTTGCAGTTGATGGTTGATTCTAGTCAGGGAATTGAGGGTGTGGCGAAAGTCTTCTGTCATTACGTTCGTCGAATTCAACAGAAAAACAACCCCGAGGATCCGAATTACTTGAGAATCAAAGTTGCATGTGAAGAGGTAGGTGCTTTCATAACAAGATGAAGGTTAGTTAATGTTTGCTGACCTGATAAGATCGAGGAATTCGCGAAGACTCTGGTGCCAACAAAGAGTATTGATCTTGCTAAGGAAAAGACCGGTGCGAAGGGGCATTGGGCTGGGTCTCATCCTGAACAAGTGGTTGTCTCTTGGGCAGTCGCCTCAATCTTCGCCCTGGGGGTTCTGTGGCTCATCGCCCGTACAAATTTGTTTTGATTTTTCTTGAGATTCTACTAGAAAGGAAAACGTTTGGGCTACAAAAGTGGCAAACAGAAAATGGCAAGAGGGCGGTCGGTAGATTGCGATTGTCGATTTAGGTCCTGTGTTTACCTGATGCCGAGGCTAATAGGCTGCTGCCTGACTGCCTGGGCGGGGATCCGTTAGTGTTTTTTTTACGATATGATAAGCCAGGCAAGCAATCATTAAGTGTTGGATTTGGTTGTTGGCGGTAATGTCGGTAAGGCTTCTGGAGGGCTATTCGGTTCCCTATCTTTCCCTTCCAAGCAGTCGAATTCATTCATGACACCTCAGAAAGTAACTCTGTATCCATGTTTTCGCTTTGAGAGCAACCGCAGGCAAAGTGGTTTGTGCTAGAGTCGAAGTTTGTGCTCTTAGCTGAAATTCTAGAGGCTTACCAGTCTTGTGGGGTTCTGGGCGTCCTCGAGTGGCGACTACGTGAGTGGTTCGAGCGGTACAATTTCTGACGGGCGCGTAGATAAGCGCAAATCACTTGATGGGTGGCGCTGGCCAAGCCGTTCCCGCCCAGATTCACGAATTGGGCATGAGCACTTCTCGTGGCCCGCGGGGCCCGAGAAAGACACCATCCAAAGTTGCAACCACTTCATCATCATTTACAGGAATCTGAGATTTGGAAGGCTTTGGTCTACGTCGAGGAATTCATAGTTAATCTTTTCACATGACTTCGCCACCTATGCCTTGCTAACGATGTGCATCCGGACACGCCGTGGCGGAGCAATTCCACGGACAACAATTTCACAGTCGCGTACCATAAAGGATATTCTAATTATGGAACGGTAAGCAGGAAACGCTTGGCCATGACGAGGCTCCAAGTTCGATTTCGAAATTGACACGTTTTGCATATAAGAACACAGATAAGAACTGCAATTATTAAGTGCGTTTCGTTATTGCACACGGCTAGGGTAAAGGTTACGAACATAGAAACACACACATACTGTATTTGTGATGATTTCGACGATATATGGTACAGGACTTTTGATTCGGTCATCCTAGGGATATCGTGCACTGCATCTGGATAGTTGAGATTTCTTTAGCACGAGCTAAACTGTCTTATAACGGGACATTTCCACTTCAATTGATCCCTAATTGTCTATATCATCCAAACACCTTACCGTGATAGCTGCTCCTTTCAAATGTAGCTCGTCGAGTACGTTCATGGCAAAACTGATCCGAATTCCGTTTGCCTTTGGATATACGAAATACACAAGTCTGCTACCCGAAAAGGTTGCACTTCCCAAAGGATCATGTTAGAGTCGGCTCCGACTTATGCAACATAGCCCATAAGTGGATGCTTCCAAGATTCGACAGTTTCTCTCCACAAATACCCTATAGATACCTCGCTCGAGCAGATTCCATTGATCAATAACATCGATAGTTACGTTTACGGCTGCAATAGCAAACGAGCTAAAGCCGTAAGTACTAGCCATCTCGTATAGGCCAACAGATACTATAACCGTATCTATGCTCATGATGGAGAACTGAGGATAGAAACCCCCGTTGATCGATTTTTCCATTGTCACAATGTCAGGTTTCATGTCGTCACCCAGATATTGAAAACTAAAAAACCTACCTGTTTTTCCCCTACCCTACTGCACCTCATCTGCGATAAAGAGGATATTCATAGATTTGAGAAGCTCATAAATGCCTCGGGCGTAGCGAACCTCGTCATTCACATTTCCATATCAAGTATCAGCAGACATATAAGAGTAGCATCATAGAAAAGCGAACCTGTATTTGTGAGATAAAATATTTACCAGTGTTACTTCAGCGGCATCTAGAATCAGCGAAATATCAACTTGCAGACTTTCGACTCACCAGGGATACCTTGCCCTAACTGCTCTACCAGAGCCTCCTGGATGTGGGGATGGTAGTATCCAGTGTTAACAGCACTGAACAGACCAATGAAATCAATGTATTCTTTCCCACCGACGCCCTACGTCCCTGAGTCAGGGCTGAAATTTAGGGATTCCATGTTTCCCACCACCTCCAATCTGACTCACCCATAGCAGAGATCCCTGGCCTTTATCGAAAGAATGGTTGATTTGATTATGATAGCGGCATTCTCTGAGATTGGATCTGTACGTGAGACGATAAACGTCGTCTTCGTTTACTACTACTACGACTACGTCTACCTCTGTCTTCAGTTAGCGATTTGACCACGCTAAATGCTGAATTTCATGGCCGTAACGTCGAAGCGGAACAGCATTGCCGGGACCTCGGGCCGGAATCGCGGTTATTCGGCAGACAAAGATGAGGCATTTAATTTACCACCTGCTGCGAAGGCAAAAGTACCTAGAAATAACCCGAAATTGCTCATACAGTTTTTTATCTTCGACTTCCTTTTTCTAACATCATTGAAAAATGATGTACAACCACAGCTATCGAGACCTGATCAAAACCCTGCCAGTCTCCCAGGCAGATGTTGACTTTTTCACCAAGATGCCTTTTGTCCATCCCTATTTAAACACCTCCGGTCCATATCAGCTGGTCCCTTTCATTACGCGATATGATAAGGGTGACTTGTCCGACATGTTCTTCAACAAAACGATCAACACATATGACACCGTCCCACGGGTACTAGCTTTCATGCGGAAGCCAGATTCTTTGCAAAGCCCAGTTCATGATGATGAGGATATTGATCCATTGCAACGTCTGGGAGAGCCACATTTCGTCGCATTTTGTCAGCTTGAGTCCGGTGTGAATGGTTATATCAACACTGCTCACGGAGGTCTCCTGGCATCCTTGCTAGACGAGATACTAGGCCTTTGCGCCGAGACATACCGGATATTTGCCTCGGATGAACAAGCGCCTTTGCTTACGGCCGATCTTCAGGTGTCATACCGTTCACCCGTGCCCACCCCTAGTGTAATTATGATCAAATCATGGATGAGACGGAAGGAGGGTAGAAAGTGGTTCCTTGAAGCAAGGATTTTGGACGAAAATGGTTTACTCAAAGCAGAGGCAAAGTCCTTGTATACTAGGCCACGATCTGCAATATAGAAAGAGCCATCCAATGACTCTTTCAGCGATAGGATCGGCTTATAAGAACGGCCTGATCAGTCAACCACTTTCTTCACGCAGGTAGAAGTAAGATGAATCAACAATGTTGAAGAATCCAAGGGAGACAACGAAGAAAAAAGGCTTACATTCATGGTGAATAATGTCAAATAAAGTATAAAACGTCGTATCATGTAGAATTCCCTTGCCCTTGAAAGCCAGCTATTCTCATTCATAGGTATACAAGTACAAAACTTACTTGTTCAATGGGGACCAGCGCTAAGGATACCGACTGAGAACGTGAGCTCCGACTCCATGCCCCTTTTCTGTTATTAGCTTACAACGCTCAAATGCATATCAATTTATTCCGAACCCTTGAGGGGAAAAGTCTGTTGGAAACTAGAAGCGTACATTGCAATGAGCCCAGTTGAAACTCGTCAAACGTTTAAAATACATAGATGTATCACCGCTCTTGTCCAGTATTGAGCCTGTAATCGAGTATCACGCAATCTTGCTATGAAAATTGCTCCGGTCAGACTGCCAAAGCAAGATTTCAGACGCATAGCATCCCAATATAGCTAATGGTAGATTGGCGACTTACACCGCCGCGCGGCCGCTTCTCGGCTTCTAAGAATCCTTGAACCCGCTCTTGTTCTTTTTGTTTTTAGACAAGAGTAGAAATAAGTCGTTCGTTGCAGGCTGTAAAAGAACGAAGGATTTCGCTTACTGCATCTCGTTCGCTGGCCCGTCGTCGCCAAAATAATCTTGATGCCGGTATAAATCCAATCTTTCGTTCTTTGAGATATCTTCCCTTGATGCAAAGGTTGAGTTAAATAACTCTTGTTCCATGCCATAAACCAGGCCCGCATCTCTGGATCGTCCTCTGGCGGTAAGAATGTGCAACCCTGTGTTCCTGCCTCAAGATTCTCCGCTGCATAACTGTCTGGATTCCACGTGCCGTAAGTCCTGCGAGGGGGAGCCTTGATTCCCCACCCGATATCCGAAGATTTGCCAAATTTGGTGTTTGAATAACCTTGCTGTGTTTGAAAAAAGTCCAACAAATCCAAAATCTGGCGTCCAATACTGAGAGGCCCACGACCACACTGAAATTCAACAAGTTTTCTCACATCATCTAACAGCAAGCTCGGGATTGTGCGTTCAAAATCCTCGTCATTCAACCCACCGACCGTGGCATGTCGCATCTGAATATATGGTGCGCTGCCTGTCGTAAATTCCAACAGTGTAAGTTGACTGAAGAGGCACCACTACAGCCTTTTTCGGAGACCTCTCTCCGGTTGGGGGATTCTGGCGGGTTCGTTGTCTAACCGGAGTGAAACTGCAGCAGCATGTGCCATTCCTAACAAGAAAAACGTTTCTTGTGAAGAATTTGTCTCACAATAGCCCATTAAAAGTAGCCCTTGTATTGATGTATAAGACTTTTCGTTCATCTGTCGAGGAAAAAGAGACTGGGAATTTATTAGTTGTGACGGTGAAGTATCTGAATCAGCCCTAACCTTCGCGTTTGAGTAGAAAAAATCGAAAGCTTGCTCCTTTGAATGTATTCCATAAGTACGAAGCGTTTTTCTGTCGCCAACTCTGATCGATGCCGCTAGGAAAGCATTAAGAACGAATTGGCCACAAGATGGAACGTCCCCTTCGTTCATAGCCGCGATACTGGCCATTTGAAAGAAGGTTATGACAGGAAACGTGGGATAGATGAACTGTAGGAAGCATCCCACCAGATACTTTCGCAAGCCGTGAGGCTCAAAAGACTCTAATTGATCCTCAAGGCAGTCGAGTCCAGCTTCGACGCCGTGAGGCAGCAGTATTGACACGCTAGGTTGTGGAGGTTCCTCTTTTTGTCCCATGTTGCTTGTTTGGTCATCTGAACCGGCGACGTGGGAACATGATAATAAATCACTTGTGCCCTGGCTACCGGATCTCTGAATCAGAGGACCAGAGAGGTAAGTTTGGCAAATAATATCATCCAACGTGCAATTTGTGCATGTGCCCTCTAATATTTGTACGTCGCAGCGAATCTTTTTCCGCTGGCAATTGATACAAGCAGACCCGGCTCGCGTTCTCCGACGAGTTTTGGGTTGTGCATGGGAGGAATGACAATTCAATTTGTTTGGAAATTCTTCAACGTCGTCCGAATTCATTTCAGTTCCAACAATCGGCGTTCACAAATGAACGACGGTTTTGCTTTCTGGTGTCCGGTAGCAAATGAATGTTGGGGTAGGTTATAATGAGAAAAGCCTACTAGACCTTAACTAGTCTGGTTTTCCTTTTTTCAATTCTTCTTATCGTATCCTTGAAAAGGCTTACGCGGTCTCAAGTCATTATCTACGCGCAGACAGAAGAGACTTTCTTTCATCAGCCATTTGACTTTGGATGGAAGTATCCGACAAATATATGAATGAGGACGAGAAATTTAGGTCAAGAAGGCGACAGTCATTTATGACCGATTTAGTTTGCACTGGTTAGATGGCAATTTACTAAATTAAACGAGTTCTCTGTTCCTCGGCTTTCTACCCAGTCCATCTCGACTATTTTGTGAATGCCTCTTGATGATGAAACTGACTCTGCATTTTTAACTAGGCGTAAAACTAGAAAGGGACATTGTTCTGTAGGTTCCACATATTTTTTGCTAACCAAAAGTCAAACCATCCCCCGGCGCCCGATACATAGCAGTCAGAGGCTCGGTGTCCTCGGGCCCCGAAAAGAAATGGACTTGCCGAGGCTGTTAACGGGCCACGCGAGACACATTTTCCGCTGACATGCTTGGAAAAAGAGTTGTCCACAAGCCAGTTGCGTCAGAAAATACAAGTAGAAATTGATTCGTGAAGCTCAGACAGGATGCAAAGGATTATATCGACCACTTCAAGGTGAAGACGCTGGGAATAAGGAAGAGATCAAAAACCCACAGCGACGAGAGGCAGCGGGAGTAATACAACGCCGATGAGAGACGATATCGAAGGAACAGGGCATGTTGAAAAACGGCATGCCAACTGGAGCAGATGTGGAAGCAGAAACATGAGATGGTGCGTCAATACGGGGATGGGATGTCGCCGCATGGCACGGCGTGTGCTGGCAGTAGCCGGTTACGTTCATTTTGAGCGTTCTATGACGGTTTTTGTGAGATTATCACCTGTTTTTGAATCGCGACATGCAGTGTTTTCTTTGTATTTGTTACTGTTGGGCGTGGCGTTTGGACGAGTTCTTGTTTCCGACGGAGGAAGCACCTGCATAGCCATTACGTTCTAGTTGGGCTGCATCAGGTTAATAGAACTTTGAATTGAATTGAATCGACCACTTCACTGATCAATCCGACAGAATCTATTAGGGACCAAAATTTGCATGGACACGTTAGGTGATCTTCTTGTTCCATATACACAGATTCAACCATCGAGCGTGTAAATGGGCCGACGCACGGTGGGAAAAAGTTCCTAAAAAAGCATGCCTAGCAAATTTACAGAAACGCCCGCAATATAACCCAGTGAATTCCTGAAAGCAGTTGTATTTAACCCCCCTTGGGCCCAAAAATTATCTATTGAGATGCGCTATGCAAACGCACAAGAACCTGAACTGGGGCAGTGGTCGACGTGTATTTATGTTTGACAACAGTCGACTTGTCCATGTTTTCCACTCCATCAAATCGCTGAAGCATCCGCACAACGACGTAACCAGCCTCAGTCAGGGCAAACTGCTGTCCCAGGCAAATCCTTGGTCCGCCATTAAATGGTATAAACTCCCATCCCGGTCTGCGCCCGGTCCACCTTTCAGGCCGAAATTCATTAGCGTCGTCACCCCAGATGTCCTCACGGCGGTGCATGATATGCACGTTGTAGGTAACTTCCTCTCCAGCGCGAATGTAGATTGGCGATGTACCATCTGCACCACCTCCTCGAGGGAGAGTGGTGTTTCGGACCGCGCGGCGACTATTCTCCGGTACGACTGGATGCAGTCGCAGAACTTCAGATAGAACATGTTGCAGATAGGAACATGATTTGAGCGACTCAAAAGTGATGGCAGTGTTACTGGAGCTCTCTCCAAATGTTTCAATGACGACGGTACGCAGCTTTTCGTAAACCTCCGGATGACGAGATAGTAGGTAGAAAGTCCATCCTAGAAGGCCTGCGGTTGTGTCTCTCCCTGCTAAGAGAATGTTGAGAAGCTGGCTACGAAGCTCTTCGGGATCTTTTGTCTCCTTGACGAGTTCCTGAAGAAATACATAGCCAGACTCAGTCGGGTCCCCGGGAGCGCTTTTTTCCGTCCCTGACTGTAGTTCCCCTGCGAGAGCGAGATTGACATAATACCGGGCAAATTCCTGGATTTCTGCACAATCTTTTCGAAATTCTGCAGGACAGTAGAGAAAGTACAGATCCATCAAATAACTTCGTAACACGACCACCGCATTGGCTCGGTCAAAAGACTGACCAAAGGACAAACCGTCGGGCAGAGCATCCGGTGTAGTTGTCCCAGGTTTAATTCCCTGGATTCCTTTCGATGAAAGAATCTGGGAATTGACACTCTGTCCAAAGAGAAATTCGGTGGCGGAGTCAAGAGTTAGGTTGAAAAACAAGGGCGTCAAATCGATAATATCTGTCCAAGAATCGTGATGAACTGGGAACCTATCCAAAAGGTGTTGTACATGACGTTCCTCAAGCTGCAGGTCGGCGATTTGACCGCGAGCGAATTGTGGACGAAGTAGGGCGCGAGAATGTTGCCTACCTTCAATGTTAATGCCTAGTAATATCGGCTTTATGAATTTGCAACGTACCACTCCTTTCCATCCGTGGTGAAAATACCTTTTCCAATAACCGGACCGAACAAATTACGCCGTGAAGGGCCAAGCTCAAAATCCTTGAACTGGGTCGCAAGCATAGCTTGCACATTCTTCGGGTCAGCTGTGACGTGATGCCAAGTACCCAGGATATTCTGATTCCACGTTGGGTGTCGGCCTAGCTCTTCATAAAGCACCAACTCATCATTCTGGAGGATTTGCTCCCGCATCATGTCAATATAACGCTTCAGAATATCAATACCGAACGGGAGCTTGCTCGGTCGGATGAAAGCGGGCTTACAACCCATTCGCCGAGCTCGTTGGTTATGCAATATAGACATCAAAACCCAATGGAGAGAATAAATGACGACAATCGCCGGGAGAGCGGTCGACAAAGTCAGCTGTTGAAATATAATCATTGTTGCAAATATTTCAATCACGATGGTGATATTTGAAGATCGCTGTAGTTGCTTTCTTGCTGGGTTTATACGCGATATATATATTGAGCGCTGAGACGAACTTAGATCCGGACAGGGTGTACGGCTGACTTGGTCTCTCGAGTTGACTATTATGAAACAATAATTATACCCCGCTTTCGATCCTACTTTCGCGGCAATCGTCAAATACCTATCATCAACGCCAGCGATGTATGTAGGTCGGGACCCACCCCACGGGTCCCGCGGGACCCGTGGGACGGGCCCCATGCGACGCTTATCATCGTATATCTAGCCGCTCAGTCTTCAAGGTAACGAATCGCCATTCGATCGCCACCAACGAATTTCCCGCCACTCCCCAAGTGGGACCTGTTATATATCTAGACGCAAGCGTAGTGGGCCTATTTAGACATCTGGTGAATTTTTTTGGTTGAGCTCTGGGTTCAACTCAGTCCTCCATTGGTTGTAACGTCTTGGGTCGGTCAAACTAGGAGCCAACCAGTGTATTTGGGCGGGAGGGGACTAACAGGAACCGAGGCTCGTCGGTACTACAAGGACTATCGCATTAGCTGGCAGTAATTCTGCATTCAAACTCAATTTACCCCTTGTCACCTGACGCTTTTAAAGAGCTGTGCATACGACAAGAATCGGATTAACAGCTTTTGAACCAATCTTTCCTTCCGATCCCAAGCCAATCACTAGCCATGACGCTGACGCGAAAAACTTCCGTTGCCGCTAAAATACCTGTTCAAACTGCCAAGGCGATTGAATCAAAATCGAATGCCACCCCCAGATTCACTGACGGTGCGTCAGCTGAACTCGAGTTTGGGGGTTCATTTGGTGCTGCACTGTTGATGATAGGATTCCCTCTCTTGATGTGGTACATGTGGATTGGTGCAACGTACTATGATGGCATGCTTCCTCTTCCTGCTGCCAACCAGACCTGGGCTGACTTTGTCGTCCTCCTATGCAAATTGGTTTATGAGGGATCGTATCCAACTGCGAAAGCATGGGCAATATACTGGACATTCTTCATTATGGAGGCATTCATGTACTGCTATATGCCTGGAGTTTCCAATCTTGGCCGCCCACTGAAGCACGAAGGTGGTAAAAGACTTCCCTACTACTGCTCAGCGTTCTGCAGTTTTTATGCGACGCTAGCCATCGCCGCAGTCTTGCATGTTACGCATGTATTCCCTTTATACACTCTGATTGACGAATTCGGATCTATTATGAGTGTCGCCATTTTGTCCGGCTTCCTGAATAGCTTCATCGTCTACATCCAAGCTATAGTGCGCGGACGGACCCACAGATTGTCGGGTTCCCCTATTTATGATTTCTTCATGGGCGCTGAGCTGAATCCTCGCATCGGTATCCTGGACTTCAAGATGTTCTACGAGGTCAGAATCCCGTGGTTTATTTTATTCCTTATCACCTGCTCTGCCGCGGCTCGCCAATACGAAACATATGGCTACGTCTCGACCGAGGTACTATTCTTGATTGGAGCACATTACCTGTACACCAATGCTTGTGCCAAAGCCGAGCAGATGATCATCACAAGCTGGTAAGACTACCTCAACCTTTTGAAATCCGGTGTTAACGGAGCTTACTCCGAAATAGGGACATGTACTTTGAAAAACTGGGTTTTTTACTCACCTTCTGGAACATGGCTGGTGTGCCCTTCACTTATTGTCATTGCGCCCTTTATCTGGCAAACCATGACCCATCCGAATACCACTGGAACCCTTATTTCCTTTCAATATTTGCTGCAGTTTATATCTTCTTCTACTGGGTGTGGGACAGTGCAAATGGTCAGAAGAACGCATTTCGTCATAGGGAAAAAGGTCAGCTTGTCAAGCGGAAGACATTCCCTCAAGTACCGTGGCAGGCTATCGAGAACCCGAAATCAATTCAAACCGACACGGGCGATAATATCATGGTTGATGGCTGGTTTGCAATAGTCAGAAAGCCAAATTATGTTCCCGACATGTTTTTTGCTATGTCCTGGGGACTTATCACCGGATTTAAGTAAAGTTTTCCACCTTGCAAAGGCCATGAGTTGCCATAACTAACGGGTACTAATAGGAGCCCATTTCCCTGGTTTTATTTTGTTTTCTTCATGGTTATGATCACCCATCGCACGATTAGGGATATCAACAGATGCCGAAGGAAATACGGCGACGCATGGAAGCGCTATGAGAGAGAAGTTCCCTACCTGTTCATTCCAGTAAGCTTCCAATTGACAACCACAGTGGTGAAAATCTATTGACATCTTCAAAGTATGTGATTTAATTTCCGTCTGGGTCTTTTGCAAATAGCTCTTTAGTCTCTCTTATAAGGGGACCTTGAGTTTCGGAGCCCACGATATCCGATTGATGGGATTCGCCAATTTTAGGGAATTTGCACCCTTTTCTGGTCAGATATAGCAATGAGGTATCTGTTGATGTAGAAGCATATCTATTCTGCACACATGTTCTTCGTTGCATAGGGCACGGTATAGATTTATAGAAGAAACTGGCGAGCGCCTTCTGTTTCTGCACAGTTAGTTGGTAGAAGATTTCGAACTCTGAAATATTGTTGCTTCATGGATTTACGCAAAGAAAATATTTATTCATGCCTTTTTACACTGATTACTCGGAATATTTCAAACAAGAAAAGCTGTGAATTCCGTTGGCAAGCGTGGAGAAGGGCGCTTTCTATGAGAACTGCTCGGGTGTACCAGTATGACATTGAAATTTTCTACCCTGATCCAGAATTTCACACTTACTGGCGATGCCAAGGAATTTGCTAGCACGCAAATGCTCTGCGCTGCTACGCCCTTACCCTAGATCGGAACAAGTTTGTCATAATGGTGGCAAGCGATATTCGAGTCGAATTACGTTGCGACTCCGGACAAAAATTAGCGCGCTGTAGTCTTACTAGGGTAGTCTTACTAGGGGCAGGAGGCGAAGGAAACAAGTAGTAGACTATCCAACCAAGCAAGCCTTTTATTAAGCTTGGATAATGCGATACACGCCTGGTACAGACGGGAATTCGTCATTTGGTGGCATTTGTCCTGAGAATAGCCTTCATCGGGGTCAGAATGATACGCCTGGATTCGTCTATAATCTAAGGACTTCCTTTCAGTCATCCGAAAATGGATTACAAGCTTTCCGAGCGAAGGTTAGGCCAGCATTGGGTGAACAATAAAAACATTTATCGTTACGCTCCGAGGACATGAACTGACGCTATTATTGGTGCCCGCAAGTGGCCTGGGGCTAATGAAAATAGAGTTTGATGCCAGCATCAGTGGCGCTCAACCTTTGCACGACCGCTGCTAGAATTATTGAGCATACTGGCGCGTAGATAAGCCTCTAGCTTGGTGATTTAAAGTGGAGTGCATAGAACCGAAATTTACTAGAGCCACCACCAGCCTATCTTACATGCAGATGACTTTGGGAGGGTATATATGTTTGCTCGCAGGAGGTATTTACCGGAGGGTAGCTCTCAACGCAGTATATCCCACTACCATCTCTTCCATACGTTCCTCTTTTCTATACTGAGAATATTCTCAACGTTGGCGAGAGAGGTATTATAATCAAAAACACACCCAAAAAAGATATCAGTAATACCGGGATGTCTGCCACAAAGTCCTCGCTTGGCCCAGTTCTCCAGTCAATGGAGACAAGGGAAGAGGGGCAGATCTTCGATGTGACGCAGCTTGATCAGAATCGGTTTAATATTTGGAGCACCATAGGTATCCAATTTTCAGTTATTGCAGCACCCCTTGCTATTGTCAGTTACACCACGCTCATAACCGGGGTTGGAGGTAGCCCTTTCTACTTCTGGGGATTCCTAGTTGCCGCAATTGGTCAAACACTTGTGGCTGTTAGCTTGGCTGAACTAGCGAGTGCCTATCCACATACTTCTGGTAAGGCCTAGCTCACATTAAATGTGCGTGACTTGCTAATGTTCTCTATGCCTATCTATAGGGCAAATATTTTGGACTGCCACTCTAAGCCCCCGCCAACTTGCGCCTTTTTTGAGCTATTTCAATGGTGCAATGACTACATTTGGATGGATCTTCGCTGCATCTGGGAATGCCGTATTTGCGGCAGATTTTTTGGCTAGCTTTGGGCAGTTGGTCTCTGACGCATACGAGCCTACCTCATGGCAAATTTTCCTTCTAGCGCTTGCTAGCATAATAGTGGCGCTTGTATTCAACACGCTGCTCATTAACAGTCTACCAGGCCTCACTATCTTTATGGTGGGTTTTTTGAACGTGGCTGCCTTGTTTATTTGCATCACCTTACTCGCTGTCGTACAGCCGAAAGCATCGGTAAATACAGCATTTATTGACGTTGTCAACGAGACCGGCTGGTCCTCTGATGGGCTGGTTTTCTTTCTTGGCCTTCTCCCTGGCATGATGACTGTCTGCCTTTTCGATACGGCAGCCCACATGGCGGAAGAGCTCCCCCACCCTCAGCGACAAGTACCAATTGTGATGGTTGCTAATGCCATCCTTTCTGCATTGGGTGGTTTGATAATGGTCATTTGCCTAATATTCTGCACCACTCATCCGGAGAATCTTCTTCAACCATTGGCAGGCATGCCAATCATTCAAATTTGCTGGGACGCTTTGCCATCGACAGCATTCGTGATTGTCGTATGTCTCGTATACTGCGTCATGACCCTGAACGGCCTGGTCAGCATTATCACAGGTTGCAGCAGGGTAATTTGGTCTTTCGCTAGAGTTGGCGGTTTGCCGCTGCGAAATTTGCTATCTGGAGTCAGCCATCGTTTCCAGACGCCTTTCAACGCTGTAATTGCATCATGTTTAGCGTGTGCCATCTTCACTGCCCTTTGTTTTGCACCTCTCACTGTTCTGAGCGGACTGTTTGGTGCATCGGCGGTTTGCTTTACCACATCCTATGCCATGCCGACTTGTCTTCTTTTGGCTAATCGTCGAAGTATCCCTTCAACCCGATATTTTAATCTTGGACGAGCGGGCCCCGTCATAAATATTATGGCAATCTGCTGGATGATAATAAGTGCTCTTTTTGTTTGCTTCCCCCGATACGTGCCTGTTGGCTTGGAAACCATGAACTGGGCACCGGTAATCCTCGGGATTGTTATCTCAATTTCTCTTGCAAATTGGTACGTGGTGAGGGCATTTTATGAGAGCCCCCACAGTCTGAGACATGATCAATCGTGTTGAGTTTGCGTTCAATGGTGATTTGATGCTGCTGGAAATAATTGTGTACATCAATTTGCGGCAAAGAAGATGAAATTTGCAATCAGTCTTATTATCGTATACATTCAAAGTTGTTGTTGACAGTATATACGTTTTCCTTTCATGTGTAAAGCATTACTACTTCCTATATGTCAATACCTCACGTTGTGCCCGTGATACACGTAAAACATGCGCAGACCAAATTAAATCGTACTTTTGCATTACGCAAGATATATAACAGTCTGATGCGATAGCATATGTTTGTGCAATCCATAAGGCCCGAAATAGACAGGGTCATTTTCAGCCCATAGATTCTCAAGCATCGTCTTCATCTTCATTACCACAAACAGTGGCTCTCTGTTGGATAATACTTTTCTAATCACATCCCATTCTGTTTCATTGATTAGGCATGACCCGATCACGATAGTTGGCCAAAGGAGAACGTTCCTGAGATGCGTGTCCATCAAAGTTGGTATAAGCATCAACGCACTCAGGGCATGCCGGCGAACGACTGACAATCGGCTCTCATCTTCCGCAATCGTACCACACCACATAGCGTCGTATGCAAAAATTGCCAGCGCGTGGCGATAAATTGCTGAAACTGAGAGACTTTGTTCGTGTTCAAGGTTGATTGCGGGTTCTGGTAAATCATCGGCAGATCCAATAGTCTCAATGATGGTGATTAATTGAACGAATTCCGCCCAGTTTTCCGACGAGCACTCTTGAAACATGATCTCCGCTTGACGGCGCGTGCAAAGAGAAATCACCCGCGGGATAACCTCTAGACACTGATAGATAGGGGAAACAATGGCTCCAAAGATCTCGTAGTTCTTCAGGATGTCCCAGGAAAGCAGGAGAGAGCTGCGAGTATCCAGCTCAGACTCTGTCCCGTTGTTATAGGGTGTAGGACTGGCTATAAGGGCCAGGTAGGTGTATAATTCAAACGTGAAGCCACATAGTACTCGCATGTTACTTGTTTCCGAGGAAGAACTCAGCAGCCGACGGACAATTTTTCTCCCAGCTCGAATATGCATCATTGCACCGTCGTCTTGTGCAAGGCTGAAAACCTAGGAATTAGAGAGTCAGATCCAAAAACATGTATCAGAACATGAGCGTGGATTAACTGTCACTCATCAGGATCCTGAATCCACATCCACGACCACTAAGGATTTTCGGAGAATACTGATCAGATGGGGCAGGACGGACATACCCCAATTAGGTAGAGGATTAGCTGGGCCAGCAGAGCTCGAAGCCATTCGAGCGGCTCATTCGATTTTCGAGAAATGGCGCCTTGTAGCAGATAAATCACGTGTCCATAATGTCGGTAAACCCATGTGTTGATTTCTGGGGAGCTTTGTTTACGGTCCAAGTGGGCCCCTCCAAGAGCGAGCAGCGAGTGGAGTATCAACTCATCCGAGAAAGCCAGTGGGAGCAAATGCGTTAAGAATGGGTTCTTCTCGGGGTTAACGGTGGTCATGTATCTGCTGGTCTCGGCGACAAAGTGGGCAAGAAACATGGAGGACACAGAGCCCAGCGAGCCCATAGAGCAACTCGGCGGTGCGATAAGACGAAAGCCCTCGTCTCTAAACCCCGCACCTTCACTGAATATTGAAATCGGAGACGATGTGTCCTCCCCGCAGGGATTAGAATTATCAATAATATCCTGAGTTGGAGGTGCAGTATCATGAAAAGACGGTAAATTATCGGGATCGGGCTCACGCTGACCAGTACCTGGCCATTGACAAGCTTTTCCTTTCAGCAAACAGCGAGTACATACTGGTCGACGCTCATCACATTTCTTGTGCAGACGCCGACACACTAGGCAGCCGGATCTCGAACGTGGGTAGGGAAGTCGTACCCTTTGCCGTGGATACCTGACGGCATTTTGCCGAACCCCATGCGACATCATGAGAATACTGCGAGGCGAAGATAGGGAAGAACTCCAGACGGCTAGATAAGACGGGCGGGAAGTCGCATATTAACTAACTATTCGGCGCAGCTAAAGTTCAGGGAACCCCGCATGCTTCCAGACGATTAGATCAGCCGTTCGGGACCCGCGGGGAAGCGGAAATGACTACTTGACGCTAATAAAGTTCGGTGAGTAAGTGCCCCTGTGAGTGACTACCATATAAATTATGGTACGGGTCAATCCACCCAGAACATCTCTTGGCGCCCCACCATGCAGGGCAGTGAACCTTGTGATTTCCAGATAAAATTATACATTGATACACACAGCTATGTAGGCGAATGGATCTCCGTTTGTTGCTACTAGTCGGTGTTACGAATACATGAATCGAATAGGCCAATGCGTCACGTAATCCATGGAGAAGGCCCGGACCATTATTCGAGCTTGTGGACCATATATTCGTTTCGTGTGTTATCAGTTATGAGCGGTTGGCGGTTAGATAACGCATGATAGCCGATCGAATAAAATGTCGCCTGTTATGTCCAAACGAGCAAGGCAGAAGAGTACAGGGGCAAAGAACCATCATTTTGACTGTTGAACCGGGGCTACTGGAATGCTGCCTGCTGTTCGCTTGTGAAATGTGAGCTAATAATATCGTCTCCATTATACATAAATAACAACACGTACGCCACGAAGAATCGTCCAGTACACCGACTTCATCAAGCAATTGTTCAAAGTGAAGATTCCTTCCGGCTCTACAGAATCACCAAATGCCACCCTCCATGACTCCAGCTTGTGTTCCTCGTGTATCGGCAACCGATGATCCAGAGAAAATCATCCAAGCCCTACATCAAGCCGGTGCACTCATTATCGAAGGTCTTTTGTCTAGAGACCAGGTGCAGGGGTTGAACCTCGAACTCGACAAACCGTTAGAGGCCATAACTTCGGGTTCGAAACACAAAGTCGGCGCAATCCAAGATTTTCACGGCAGCAATACAAAGCGCCTCACAAATGTTACAACCCATAGCAGAATATTCCGTCACCAAGTACTTGAAAACGAATTGGTTCACGCGGTGGCTGAGAGTGTCTTTCACCAAAACTCCGGGACGTACTGGATGGGTGCCGCTCAGGTGATCCAAATTGGACCTGGAAACAAAGCTCAAGTACTTCACCGAGACCAAGGCCAGTACCCGGTTTTTAATCTATTGGGCTCGAAGGCTCCGGAGGCGACCATCAATTTTCTCATCGCCCTGACGGATTTTACCGTAGAAAATGGTGCGACCAGAGTTATTCCCGGCTCCCACCTATGGGAGGACTATTCTGACATGGGATCGCACGACCAAACAATCCCTGCTACTATGAAAGCCGGCGACGCTGTTCTAATGAGCGGCAAGACCGTTCACGGTGGCGGGGCGAACAAAACTGCAGAAGAGCTCCGTCGTGGCTTAGCCTTCACGCTACAGTGTAGCTATTTGACACCCGAAGAAGCAAATCCGTTCATCATCGGATTGGAGACCATCAAGGAATTGTCTCCAAGAGCACAACGCATTTTGGGATTCCGCTCACAATTCCCAAAATCGTCACCCGGTCTTTGGCAATCCGACTATTGTGAGCTTGGAGACGTTATTGGTCTCTCAGGAGACGATCCTGCCCTTGATCGCTTAAGGAAAGGAATCAACGTGACGATTTAAGCAGACCATCATCTATACCCCTGAGTAGACAGACGGAATATGAAACGGAAGTTTCATTTGTTTATGCGGGGTGGAGTCTCAGATCACCGCTATTTAACTTATGTATGTGAATATAAATTATTTTTTGCGGTATTGTATAGTTACCTACACGTCTCATATCAACTACATTAACGTGACGTTTAAAATTCCGGCCAATATCGATTTATTTTTCTTTTCTTTTCTTTTTAGAATATTGAACCTGTTTCCCTAATCATTAAATAATTGGCATTGCGATACCTTTCATTGAGTAAAGGCTGAGATAAGCTGCCTTTTGTAAGTATATGAGCCTTTAACAGCACAATTGACCATATTATGAATATGGGCTTAAAAAAAATGACAAAAGGTTTGATTTTTTTTCCGTAGTTACATCTTGTCCAAGGTGGCTCAAAAACATTGTCATTGGTAAGACGTCATGTCATCTTCTCATCCAGCTGCGGAAAATACTATTAACTATTTCCGTCTGTTGGTATCACCAGCTAGGTACTGTACACACAGTTAAGTGGACAGTTTGTATGCTCCAAAGCAAATAGTCAATTGATTCTTGTTGATAGATGTTGATGCTCAGTCTAGTTGGAAAACACCCCTAGATCCCACACGCCGGCCTTCGGCGGTCACAACACCGCGGGGCCACAGCCCAGCGCAAGAATGCTTACACCAAGCAAGGGATGTTATCCATCGGTCGCTAGCAGTGGGTCACAACCAGTTTGTTCTGACAGGAGAATATATCCCGACAGCTAGCATACCCAATCACGACAACACTTTCCTGGATCATACTTAAGAGTCCAGCGGGATCTGAAATGACGATAGATTAGAATCTGTAAATTAATTGCCGTGGGTAGATGGGAAAGTAAGATTAGCAAGCGCTGGATTTGAACATGGTAGGTATCTCCAGGCACGGAAATTTGTTGCCCAACCATCGACGCTTCTACATATTTGTTAGATGATCCCAGCTGAGATGCATGGATCTGCAATTTGGGTTTCCGAAACCGCCACCAGGAGTTGTGGTAAGACCCCCAAGCGTCTTATCTAGTCGCTCTTTACATTAACCGCCGTTTATCTACCCGGTGTTAGTCTTCACGGTGACGCTTAATACTGGTTTTCCGGGAACAGTACATGGGGCCTAATGGACATACCAACACTACGGTCGCCTGAGAGATACAAAAGCATCCTTCCCAGCGACAACTTAAAGCCGAAACTCAGCGCCAGAGAAATCAATTCGGTACAGTGGGAACAACACATTTTTCTCGTTCTTCGCACTCGATTCAACAGTCATTTTCCTTCTTGATCTTCTTTACCAAGCATAGCCCAGTATGGCCTCAATGGATACGGTGCTAGCAGGGTACGAAGCCCGGCAATCTGCGCTTGAAGCAAGCAGCAACCTCTTCTCCCAGGGAATTGCCTGGGTTGGAGGTGACCTGGTTCCGCTATCACAGGCACAAATTCCACTCCTCGACCAGGGTTTCCTTCATAGTGACCTGACCTATGACGTCCCAGCTGTATGGGATGGACGATTTTTCCGCCTTGACGACCACATCGATCGATTGGAAGCGAGCTGCGGAAAGCTCCGGCTTCAGCTCCCTCTGCCTAAGTTAGAAATCAAACAGAAATTAGCGGAGATGGTGGCCAAATCTGGAATTCGCGACGCCTATGTGGAAATAATCGTCACTCGCGGCCTCAAATTCGTCCGCCAGGCCAACCCAAAAGATATTGTCAACAAAATCTACATGTTTGTGCAGCCCTACGTTTGGGCTATGCCACCTGCTATGCAACGTGTTGGTGGGAAGGCTGTTGTTGCAAGAACGGTCCGCCGTGTCCCTCCGGGATCAATGGATCCCACAGTCAAGAACCTACAGTGGGGAGACCTGATACGTGGCCTACAGGAAGCTGCTGATCGAGGAGCCACCTATCCTTTACTGACGGATGGGGACGCTAATTTGACCGAAGGTCCCGGTTACAATGTCGTCATCATCAAAGATGGTGCCTTATACACCCCCGATCGGGGCGTCCTAGAAGGTGTCACTCGCAAAACCGTCTTAGAAATTGCGCAAAGGAACGACACATGTGTTCATGTACAAGTTGTCCCCGTTGAGATGGCTTTTCAAGCGGATGAAATATTCATTTGCACCACTGCCGGAGGTATTATGCCTATTACATCCATTGATGGCAACGCTATAAATGGGGGTCAGATTGGGCCTATCACTAAGCTTATCTGGGATGAGTACTGGGACTTGCATTACAACCCTACCTACAGCTTCGCGATCGATTATGCGGAAAGCTAGAAGAGTGAAGACAGCTATTATATCATACTCGTTTATGTTGTGATATGTCGTATCGTACCGGAATCAATTCCTAACCTCACGGAATTGCCAGCTTTGATTGGAAATCAAACTGGAGGTTGCATGTGTATATAAACCCTCAAATTTTCTGTCCAGAAGAAAATAAGCAATCTTCCTCTGAATTACAACAGTTTAAAACATGCCATTTGATCATCTTCCTTCTGCCTTCTTCAGCCTAACATCCCCCACCAGTCAGAGGATTGTCTTAATATCAATGTCCAAGTCCCGAGAGGTGTCAATGACACTTCGATCTGCCTGTTCTCATTTGGATTCACGGTGGAGGGTTGGACCTCGTGGTTCTCTGGGATCTGAGGCAACTGCGCTCCCGGGTGTTATTTATGAGGTGGGTGGTGCTGACCTGACCAGCTGTATCAATCCGTTCACATAATGATAGGGCGCCAATCTAAATCAACACAGCGTGGATATGGAGCAACCAGTCGTGTTTGTATCAGCCAACTACCGATTTATATCACAGTAATATCAACAGCAACGCCTGGCTCAATTCCGATTCCCGATTAGGATCGACCTCGAAATGATACAGTATGTATCGTCTAACCAAACAACAACAAAATGTACCATTTGTCATTAGCAATATGGTTGATGAAGGCACGCTGTTCTCGCTGATCAACCAGCTAAATGTCACAAGTGATGCCGACATAGTGGCCTAGTTCCAGACCATTTACTAGCAGAAAATCCCGCGCAATTTTATTGAATAGCTCGACGATTTCTACTCATCCGATCCCGCGTGAGGATCTCCGTACGGTACAGGCTTGAACTATCAACTCGGTCTTCGCTACAGGAAGTTTACATCCATGATTAACGACTATACATTCACAGCCGGAAGAAGAATGCTGCTGAATGTGACATCTGGCCATCAGGATACGTGGTTATCAGATCAAGCAAAGCCTTCCCCTACTGGGTCAAGTTGTCTTTTTAATGCTCTTCATCTCATCAATAATCTGATTCTGGGGTCGTTTCACATCCCCAATGATGTTCTCAATGCATATTCAGAGTTCCATGCTGCCCTGAATCGCTGAAAATCATGGGCAGTCTTGTTAAATTTGCCAATACTCTTGATCCGAATAGGCAGGGTCTCGGTTTGACTTATTGGCCAAAATATGACCCTGATAGTCATCAGCTGTTTCATTTCGGCGAAGACGGTTGCAAACTTATTGATGGCAGTTATTGGAAGACTCAGATGGACATTATTGAAGCGAATGCCGAATCGCTGAGAGCATGAGGCTTGGATTTTGGGTCAATGTGGTTCAAGGCGATGACTTGGATTCAGCATTGTTTTTGTTCTTCTTCTTGTTATTTTCATTTCAATTTTTCCGAATTTATAACGCAATTCAATCTGATGTTTGGGTTTTGCTGTTCTGCAGTTAAAGAGAAGGATTGTTGTCGACCTGAGAATCAATGGCTCCACAGTTGAGCTTCTCGCCGGCAATGACACCGGGTATATGAGCTTGTGGATCCCATACGGGTGACCCATTAGCAGGCAGCAAAATTACTCGGTCCTATCTGTCTGGTGCACCCGAGCAACTAGCTGCCCATATCCGTTATTAGATCATCCTAATCTCGGAGGCAGGAGCTTGTTTTCTTCAGCCCTGTAGGGCTGAGTGGATCTGAGTGGTTCCTTTCGTCCAAGGTGCCAATAGGATCCGACTGTTTACGCTGGCTAATGTTTTCCAGTCTGAACAGTTGTGTCGAAATGGAGCCCTGCGCAGAATATTACGAAGCAGGCTGCCACGGGCGCCAATGAATAAAGTCAATTGACGATGTTTTCCCCTTTCTTCCGGGAAGCGGCTGGATCGTGCCTGCCACAATTTTTGGCCTCCCACGCGTTGCCACGATGGAAGACGTCAAAAGCTTTTGTTCTCGCTTCGAGTGTTTCACTCTCAGGCTAACATGCGCAGCGCTTTGTTTCGGACTGTCTGGAATGTCTCGAGGTATGCTTAAACCGGTCCATCCCGCAGACGCGCGATGAAAGCTAAGAAACAGGACTCGATGAGGGACTCATTTCCACCACCGTCGCCCAGAAATCGTTCATCGATGAATTTAGTCTTCAATCAAAATACCTCGATGCGTCACAGCAAGCCAACCGTCTCTCGAACATCACCTCGATGGTTCACATCGGCAGCATTCCGGGTGCGCTGATCGCTTTCCTCCTTTGCGAGCGCACCGGTATGCTCTGGTCCATTCGCCAGCTGTGCGTATTGTGGATGGCGGGGACCATCATTGTCATCACGGCGAGTGGGCGACTTGGTCAGATTTATGCCGGCCGCTTTATCATGGGTTTAGGGATTGGGCAGGCAGGGGTTGTTGCGCCGACGTATCTCGCAGAAATTGCTCCTCATAATGCGCGGGGTTTGCTCGTGTCGTTTTTTGGAATGTCGGAATATATTGGGATTATGGTCGGGGTGAGTGAAGGAGATGTATCATATGGCTGTCGTGAGGCTGTCTAGACAAGCTGACCGTTGTTAGTATTTCTCTGCGTGGGGAGCAGCACTGCACATCTCGAGCAGCTCGTCTCAACAGTGGATCATACCTCAAAGTATCCAGATCATTGTGGCAGGAATCCTGGCTCTCACTTCATTTCTCTGCGAAGAAAGTCCTCGATACCTGTGTCGAGTAGGTAAATGGGACCATGCAAGGAGCGTACTGGGGAGGATCTGGGGGCTTCCAGAGGACCATCAGAAGATTTCCACAGAGATCGAAGGAATCCGGAAGCAATTCGAAGATCAACAGGAGTGCTCCCTATACAGATCGTGGATCGGATCTCTAAGGGAGCTTTTCACTGTTCGATCAAATCGAAAGAGCTTGCTTTTTGTGATCTCAGCCCAGGTCCTCAGCCAGTGGTCTGGCGCAAATTCCCTCACCAGTGTGTCCATCCCGGGGGAAGCGTTTGTCGGGCGTTACAGATACTAACACAAATGCAGCATATGCACCCGAGCTCTTCGCCCTGTTTGGTGTGGCAGGTCAATCCGAGAAGCTGTTCACGACGGCTATTTTTGGCGCGGTGAAATTTGTGGCGTCGCTGTTGTGCGCGATTCTGTTGATTGACCTTGTCGGTCGCAAGCGATCGTTGATGTCGGGGATTCTGATCCAGCAGATTGCAATGTTGTATATTGCGATCTATCTGACCGTCAATACTGGACGAGGCGATGAGTCCCCGTCGAGCCAACGGGCGGCCCTGGGAGCTGTTGTCTTTATTTATTTTGTCGGGATTGGATGGGCGATGGGGTGGAATTCCATTCAGTATCTGCTAAACGCCGAGATATTTCCCCTACAAGTCCGCGCGACCGGCTCCAGCCTGTTGATGTGCTTTCACTATGCCAACCGCTACGGGTTGTCCAAGGTATGTATGTCTTGGTACCCACCATGCCTTTCGATCGCTGATTTAAATAGACTGTTCCATCAATGCTATTGAAAAACACCCTCCAGCCTGAAGGCACTTTTTGGTTTTTCTCGATTCTGACCTTTTTTGGGTTGCTGTGGACGTGGTTCTTGCTGCCGGAGACTGCCGGGCGCACGCTGGAGGAGACCAACAGGCTATTCCAGTAGTCCCGAATTGCAATCTGAGCAGATAAACAGCATAAATGCCCATGTTTCCTCTTATTTCCTCTCCGAAATTAATTATCACCATCTCCTGTATGGGCTGCAGTTGCGTTCAGCCAATCGTGGCGGGCGGCTTGGTCATCGCGGGCGAGTCTTCCGATCTCTCCCGCCCGCCTACCTTCTCTTCTTCTTCCATGCCGCCGCGCGACAACCACGATGCCCCCCAAGCAGGCTGGCGACTCTTCCTCGGCCCTGCGGCTCTCGCAGCGCCGGCCGCTAGCATGTCAAGGTACGGGTTTTGCTTTTCTGTGCGACCTCAATGCTGACACGCTGCAGAATGCACTAGGCGGAAGCGAAAATGCGACAAGCAGATCCCCTGCTCACGCTGCCGGCGGCTCAAGCTGAACTGCTCAGTGGAAACGGTCCGTCTAAGACGTGATGCAGTGCAACATGCATCGGAGATCCAATTCCTGGAGTCACTCCTTGGCGATCTGGACTCATTCTCGACGGAGAAACTGCCGCAGATCACCCAGAAACTGAGGAGCAGGATCACGCGCCTCCAGACAGGCGACGCTGTGATGAAATCTGATCAACCTGAACAACCAGAGCAACCGGTTCAGGTAGATTCAACGGCGGCGGCGGCGGAACCGGTGCATCTGCCCGAGCCCGTCGACGAAAAGCAGATGCGAAGTCGATTCGCCGAAGCCCCATCAGACAATACGGACCCTCCACTGCTAACGGCCATCGAGCATCTCGCCTGGGGCCGCAATTCTGCTGGATGCTATCCACACCGGCGATGTGGATGTCAATATCGCAGAGACAGCCCGGAATTTCTGTCGTTAAATAGTGCATCTTTTCAAATATTCGGCTCTGCGTTGGAGTCCATGGTCGATTTCCCCAGGACGACTGAGGCCCAAAAGCTCATCAAGTTTCATGTCTATCACCTCGCATGGCACCACAACTGCTTTCACGGACCAACCTTCCTTCAGCAATGCGAAGTCTTCTGGACAACGGGAAGGTGCGATCATCCCCTGTGGGCTGCACTTTACTTTGCGGTGCTGAGCTGCACCATCAACTCGATCCAGAATAGCCATAAGCTGCGGTTGCAGGTGGACGTCAATCTTGACGGGATGCAAACCACCCAGCAACTTTTTTCAGCAATGGTACAAACCATGTACAGCTCGCACTTTTTGAACAATATCTCAATCTATTCAGTTCAGGCGGTCGTGATCTCAACGGAGGTTGCACATAATCTTGGGTTGAGTCAACTCAATGCGACACTGTTCAACGCGGCAGTTCGTATCGCCGAGTGCCTCGGACTGCACAAAATCAAAGACCATCCGGCCATATTATCCCCGAACAGAGATCAGTGGGAAGAGCGAGTGGAACGCGAAGTCGGTAGAAGAGTATGGTGTCAAATGATCATCCAGGATCATTTCGCTATCCCCTTTACCGATACCTACAGCATATCGCCGATGCACTATTCAACAAGTCGCCCAATGAATGCGGATGATTACAATTTGGTCGAGATGCCGGCCAGTATTCCAACCATCAGCACATACGTTCGCGTTCTCGTGAACCTGGCAGCGCTAATGCCCGACTTATGCGACGGACTTGGTCCGATGGACAAGAGAAAGCCTCCCCGCGAGCAATATGAGCGCATTCTGCAAGTAGACCAGAAAATGCGGACAATCGTACAAAACATACCACCGTTCCTGCTGCGACCAGATAAACAAAAAGAGGCCCAGATCCCGTGGCTGCGTATCGCCCGACGCAGCCTTGCGATAACGGCAGCAGAGAAGATCATCATGGTCCACCGACCATTCCTGTTTCACTCCTTCCACGACCCAAGATACACGCATACAAGACGCACCTGCGTCGCCGCAGCGATGACCATATTGCGAGAACATGAGACAATCGTCGAGGAAGACGACCTCTCCATCTGGACCCACAGCGCTTTCGCCATCACAGCCGCAGTAATCCTATGCTTCGAGGTAAGCTCAATCGTGGAAGAAGCAGACAACGCGAAAAAAGACCTATATAGGGACGCTGTGATCAGCGCCCGCGACCGGCTCGCCCTGCGACACTCTGATGTCCTCGCGCAACGGGGCGTAGCCCTCATCGACGCGATCTTCATTTCCGAAGGATCCAGCATCAGCGCCGTGGAACTCAAGCCGGGAAAACCCATCGATTTCAATCGGATATTTGCGAATTTCTCGACATTGAGCAAGATGAACCCGAATGCTGACGTCGATGATATGTCCATTACCAAGCTTCTTGGTAGTACGCCTGAGGGTTCTGGCTCTGCTGGATTTGATGCTGATGAAATGGCCTTGGCGTGGAATCAGGAGGAAATTGATTTCGATGCTTGGTTTAATGGTGTCTTTAACACTCTTCAGACTTCTCCTCTTGATGTTTGATCGGACCGCGGGCGGACGATGGGGGTAATTTTCTTTTATTGTTTTGGGGGTCGGAGGATATAGCAGGGTCATGTACGAATGAAAACTGTTCACTTATCTAATTTTTCTTTTCTCTCCTTTCTCTGATGACACGATAAATTAACACAGTGAGTCCCATCATCATGCCCGCTCATAACGAGGCTGCATTGCCATCCTTTGGAAATTCTTGAAAGTTCCTGGGGGCCACAGCCTTGCGGTTTAGGACTGGCGGCTCAATATCAGCTTCTCATAACGACTAAAACATCTCTTAAACCCACCCTCCCACTTCGATCCTCAGCCTCAAATACTAAAGACGCTTCTATCCTCGCTCCTATCAAGCATCAACAAGGAAGCCATCATCAAAATACCTTCCAACACCGCAGCCTTCCTAATAGAGCAAGAAAACCCCCTCGAAATTCGACCAGCTGACTACCCCTACCCCGAGCGCAACCAGCTAGTGGTCAAGAGCAAAGCAATCGCCATCAACCCCATGGACCGAATGATGCAGCAAATCAGCAAATCTATATTCCCCTGGATGGAATTTCCGCATATTCGGCTCGGACGTTGTTGGCGAAGTTATCGAGATCGGGACGAATATGACGAAGTTCAAAGTCGGAGATCGAGTCAGATAAGGACTGTCTGGCTTGTTGAGATCGGCAATAAATATTAAAGTTCCAAAGAGAGGTATTCATCATGAAACAAGCCAACAGTAGCTGTCGATAGACCAGTCGGGGTGACCACTGCATCCTCATAGGGAATTTTGTCCGGAATAGGGGTAACATATGTCTCGTCTAGCAGGGTATACTCCTGAAAAGCACCACTCAGGGAAGTTATTTTCGTAGGCTTGAGAGGGACGTCGGCGGCAAGACCGGGCGGTTCAACCAACGTCGGAAGCAACGCCATTCAGCTTGCTGTCGCATCCGGCTACGAAGTGATAAAGACTGCATCGCCACAAAGATTTGAATACGTGAAAGGCCTCCACGCATCAAGTGTCGTCGACTATAAGAGTGAGACGGCCATCCAAGGCATGATCGCTGCATTGAAGGAGAAGACACTGGCGGGCCTTCTTTCGGTTGCCCCTGGCTCTGTGGAAACTTGCTACCAGGTCACGTCTCAGTCGCAAAAAAATGAACTTGTCGCATCGTGTCAGCCTTTTTCCGATCCACCGGCTGGAGCTACGGCGAAATTCATTGTGGGTAACAATATCAGAGAGGGCGAGGTGGGACGTCTCGTTTGGCAGGATTTTCTCTCTCCGGCGTCAGCGCAGGGAAAATCTGTCAATGTTCCGACTACGGAGGTTATTGGACATGGTTTTGCATCGATCCAGAAAAGCTTGGAGGGCGCAGGCGACCCGGCTAAAAACGCTGTTGTTACCCTTTGACTAAATAGGTGGGCTTGCGGATGTGGTTCGATGAGCCGAGGTAGTGAACAACAGTTTTTTTTACCTAGCGGTCAAGGAAATCTACAGGGGTTGCAAATCTTGTCGGGGATTGGCTGTTGGGCTTGATGAGGCTCTTCCTCCTACATGAGGTCAAGGCGGCTTAGGTAGGCTGTGCATATTCGTCCAATCAAGCCATTTTGCAGATGACGGCCCCAAGTTTTAGTTTCCTTGACTGCTTTGCCTTCACCGCAACTTTCTGAGCCATGATCGCCATATTCAGACTTTACTGAGAAGACAATGCATAATTTTGAGGAAATTCCTCGTCGAATCGGAACTGAAAATTCCTATGTAGGAAAAGGATCAATTTTCGCTACCACTAGTAATCAAACTGAAATCATGTCTCATCAATATCCATCTCATGCTCAGAAGGTACGATATCTTCACCGACAGGCTCTGTGCCGAAAAGGTCCTGCAAAAATTAGAAAAGTAAAGCCAGTAGCAAGGGAAAGCACTTACCAGCAAAGACTGAAGACTCTCTGAGCCAGCATGATTCCGTTTCTGAAATCCACCGCCGGCCAGCTGAAGCTTCGTGCGTTGTCGAGACAGGACATTACTCTAATCTCGGATTAGAAACTACCAGTAAAGAACAGTAAGAAGACTAACCTCTTCAACAGTGCCTTGCATCAGATAACGCACAATCTTGACCTGGGAGGCTTGGCCAAGCCGAAGCGCTCGGCCGATTGCTTGAGCTTCAATAGATGGGTTCCATTGTGGCTCGAGGAGATAGATGCAAGATGCGGAAACCAGGTTCAGACCAACGGCACCTGTGCCGAGAGTCATGAGAAGGACGTTTGTGTCATTTGGGCTTTCGTATGTTTTCAGCGCTGCCTTTCTTTTCGATAGGGGCAGTGAGCCGTCTATCATCGCAAACGAGATTCCGTTACTGGTAAGTAGCCCAGCGACGATAGAGAGCGTTTTTCTCCAGCTTGAGAAGACGATACTGTTGAATCCGCGTTAGCAGAAATCAGATGATCAATTGCCTGGATATTCGGTACCAATTCTGAGGACGGCTCTGAATGATGTCATTAAGAAGAGCCAGTAGCTTCGTTGGATAACTCTCGCGTGGAACATGATGACCATGTTCGCCAGTCGCCTGATGATTTGCCGCATGTCGAACTGCGTCATAGGACCTTGGTCCAGTGTTGTATTCCTTGCAGCCGTGACATCTTCCCTTTTGTAAGTGCTCCGCCAGACATCCCTGGCAAACTAAATGCCCGCAATCCGGCAGCATGGTGGCTTCATCAATACCAGCTTCGTCATTCCGACTACTGATCCCATGAACCTTTCGGTCACAATAAACGCAAAAGTCCTCACCAGACTGCTGAAGCAGAGAGAAAACTTCATCGAGATCAACCGGCATCTTACTCGCCATCTTCCCATTATTACAGAAAAGCCGCAAAGCAAGCAGCGACTCGAGCACAGTTGAGTTGAGCTTCCCCTTGCGCTTTCCGCTCACTGCCATGTCGATCTTCATCTTACAATCCTGCAGAAGGTCCCGGTATTGGACTCGCTCGGACTGTGACATCGACAGCTTCTTGACCTGCGGGTCTGGGTCAGGGATTCCAATCAGTTCCCTTGTTCGTCTGATACAGACTGCGTGAAGGAGGGTTTGGAGGTTTTTAAATCGATTTCGTGCGCCCGAGTTGATTGGATGTGATATCAGTTTGCGAAAGGTTGAAGCGCGGTCTAGGACTGGAACTTTCAGGAAGGCAATGAGGGCTCCCAGGTCTTCAATGTCGTTTTGGATTGGAGTGCCGGTGAGACACCATCGATGCTGAGATGATAGACTTGTGACAGCTTGAAATTGTTTTGTGGCGCGATTTCTGATGTAGTGGGCTAGGAATGGGAAGTCAGCCAATTCGATGATCGGAGGCTATGTATATTCATACCTTCGTCAAGAACAATCCTGAACCAATTCACCTTCGACAGGATACTCTCTCCCCTGCAGAACTCTGTCGCTAGGGTAGCATATGTCGTGAACACAATGTCTCGCTTGCAGAGTAAATCTCTTTCAGAGTGTCGTTCTAATCCAATGTGCTTATGGAATGTCAGACTTCCCGTATACGCGTGTCTGGGCCAAAGTCAGTGATTTCCGGAACAGAAGTGTATGCAGGGACCTCACTTGCGAATTTCATTAACCCAGTTGTCAATGAGTACTGCGAAAATGGTCAGTGGGCGACCCTGGGAGTATCAATAAGCACATTGATCCACGTACGAGTCGACGGGGCCAGTATTAGAGTTGCTTGAGAATTCGCTCTCTTTTGCTGCTGAAACACATCGGCCTCTGCTGCCGCGAATTCTCGTGCCTTGCCAAGAGACCCAGCCACGATCGACAATATGACCAAGGACTTTCCTAGACCCATCTCATCGGCTACAATACCGCCTCGGGCGTGCTCAGGGCGAGGGCGCTTCTCCCCATTGAGGATATGCTGGTAGCTATTGAGAAAGGAGTCAGAGATGAGTCCCATCACACTTCGTGGCATACTTACAATGGCTCGTCCTCGTCTGTGTCATTATATCGCCACAGGCTTTGCTCGGGGGCATTTCCCCGTTTTCCCGTCGGGCAATAAAGTCAACTGCTTCCTTCTGGTGGCTGCGAGCGGGGTCAGCACGGGGGATGTGAGTTCCTGGAAGCTACCCGACGGAAGTACTCACGTCAAAAGTGACGTTTGAATCCGGCGATCCACGGAAATGTTGGTCGTCAAAACGTGCTGCAACAGAATACCCTGAACGTCCAACAGCTCATCATCCTGAGAGGCAGGAGACTCTTCTTCGGGCACTTGATTCTCTTCCTCGCTATCAAAGATGTCTTGCGAATTAAAATTGCTGTCATCGGCAAAGCAACCGATCGGAAGAATCTGGGGGTTTCGATATTTTTTTCCTTCAAGTCCATAGCGAGGAAGTTGCAGAAAGTTCTGGGCCTTGCCGAGAATGTTCCCTACTTTTTCAGCAACTTCTTGCGGCCCATATACATTAATTTCGACAGTCAGGGGCTTGTTAGAATTGCCTCCTGCATCATATTTCCATATCTCGACTGTTTTCTGGAACTCTTTCGCGGAGGTATAGGCCCTGAGGCGCACTTTGTTGATCTGAACCACGCTGCACAGGCCGCTGCTGATCTTCTTGTTCAGACGAGCGAATTTCTCATTCCTATTTGCGAGTGAAAAGAAGTCGCCTTCCTGAATCAGCGAAAAGGACTGGTCCCACGTAAAAGGGGAAATGTTAGGTATCGCCTGAGTATTGCACAGCTGGGTTTTGACGTCGATTATCTAAGCCGGGTTTAGTTGCAAATTATCCAAACTCAGATTGGGTAATTTTGTACAGATCCAAAGCATATTTCCTCATCTTGCACTTCCTCGGGCACTGAAGGTAGTGTATTCAAATAGTTCTCCCCATCATCGTCCAGGAATGGCCATTTGCGCTTGCGCGCTTCATCCGCCGAAAACATGTTCGGTGATTGCCAACTCGAACGATTGTTTGAACAGATCAACAATGCGATTGTGAGAATATCGGAATTGTCGAGGGACAGCAGGGATTAGCGCCCGGGTGAAGCGGACCAGTTGCCTCCTTTCGAGTGGGCGCTTAAATGTTCACAGGACGAATCGCAATGCCTCAGAGTCGCGTTAAGATAAGTCAGTGGCTGTGATGTTTGCCCTGGCTATCGATCTCGATTGCGATGTCCTGCAAGTAATCGAAGCTCTTCCCTGCTGTTGGGCTTCCGGGTGAGGCTCCCGTCAGGCAGCGACGCGGCGAGAGGGGCGCAGGCGCCGCCACGCTTATCGTTGACAGGCTGCCGTTCCCTGTTTCTCTTTCGCACTTTCCCTTGAAATGTCTGCGTGGGCAAATTGGTCATGTCGTGGTCAACAACATGTCCACCCCAAATTCGTCGTCTGCGTTCGAAAAGGCCTTAGAAACGTTCAAAGGCAGTTTGTCCAAGAGGGACCAGAATACCTTCAAAGCTGCGACATTCCAAGATCTGCAATCCAGCATTGATGATCTCCAGAGGACGCAGCATGGTAAGCGGCAAACAAGATGGCTGAAAAGACTGGGTCCCTTCCTCGAAGCCATGGATCAGTGGGGAAAGGTGGTGGAGGTGTTTTGCAATAGCAATGAGATAGTGGCATTCGTTTGGGTACGTCGATGGAAGCCAGCCACAGGCATCAAAGTGCATCTCGCGCTGGAGGATTCTACGTTTTCATTCTCACTATACTCACATAATTTATTCAACCCCAGGGGCCCGTGAAGTTTCTTTTGCAGGTCGCTAGCAATCATCAGAAGGCATTCACCGAGCTACTTGATACCTACGAGGCGATTGGAGAGCATCTTCCTCTCTTGTTGCAGTACCAAGACCTCTTCCGTGTCCAGCCTGAGATGGTACGAGTGCTGTCCCTCATATATGAAGACATTCTCGAGTTCCATCGATTAGCGATCCAATATTTTCAGCAGCGCTGTGAGCATCCTCTCGCGTGTGATCTTCGAAAATGCCCTACTTACGACCTTATAGCATGGAAGCAGCTTTTCGACGACAACTGGAAAGCCAAGAAAGCTCGATTCGCAACAATCATCTCCAGCCTCGGAAGACACCGAGGCCTAGTCGAGACCCAAGCGAATATTCTTCACATGCAGGCCTTCGATGATCTCAGACGGCAGATAAACGATCATCATGACGAGCAGATGCAAGGCTTAGATGATGCACGTCAACTTGCGGAGAGCGGTCGGGGGAGATCGATACAGGAATTCGAGCAAGCACGCCAGATTGCGGACAGCAACCACCGGGCGCAGCTTCAACTTGAGGAAAAGAGACAGATGAAGAAAGTTTTTGATTGGTTAAGGGCTCCGAACACTGATTTCGAGCATTACAAGTTGAAGAAAACGCGCGAGATATATCCGAATACGGGAAGATGGCTGCTCGAGCATCCTTCGTTCAAAGAATGGCTCGACCCCGACTACGCAAAGATCCCTCCTCTTCTGTGGCTGAATGGAATTCCCGGTTCGGGTATGTACTCACCAAGCCGAGTGTTGGTTTCTCTGATATACTAACAGCACCTACAGGCAAAACCGTGCTCGCTTCCATAGTCGTGGAAGAAGCTCGAAAGCTTTCTCGAAAATCAACAGTCCTTTTCTTCTACTGCAAGCACGATGACCCGGAATTCAACAGCTTCATAGCCATAGCAAGGGGTCTCTTAGCGCAAATATTGGAGCAAGAATTGGACTTGCTGCCTCACTTCTACGAGCAGTGCTGTATCAGCAAAGAACCAATCTTGCAAAATCCCGAAAGAGTCCAGAAGCTCCTGGAAACCGCCCTCGCCCACTGCAAAAGTGCGTATATAGTACTTGATGGACTCGATGAATGCAAAAGGGACGATCGCAAGGAGATCTCTTCGTGGTTCAGAGAGCGAGTTGACAAGCTCCCCGCCAGCGAGCCATGGCGATTGCGCTGCCTTTTCACAAGCAGGGATGACGGCCACGGAAGGAAAGATTTCGAAGACATCGACACGATAAAGATTCGAGCAAGCGATATAGCGGATGACTTGATGACGTTCTGCCAGCGACAGGCAGATCAATTGAAAATCAATTTCCATCTTACAAATGATCAAACAGACAGCATCTGTGAGACAGTCGCTCAAAGAGCGGGAGGTATGTTAAATTGGCGGTCGGGGTTTCACTCCAATTTACTGAATTGTACACTAGGAATGTTCCTTCTACCAAAGCTGGTATGGAATAACCTTTCTCAACAGACTTCGCTCGTAGGTATGGAGCGGGAACTTGATCCAAGTGTGTATCCAAAACAGCTTGAAGATGCGTACGTGCCCAGACCAGCCACACTTTGGTTTTCGCAGCTTCTAACAAACAACAGGTACCGTCGTATCCTTTCGCAAATGGAGACCGCCGACAGTTCCAGAGGAAATAAAATACCGCGAGATGTGAAGCTAGTGCTCCAGTGGCTTACGTTGGCGAGAAGGCCCCTTGCGTGGCGTGAAATTCAGGTGCTAAAGTCAATCGATCGACAGAAGCAAGAAGTTGATTTTGAGAGACATAAGTTCCGGGTCGAAAATGCAAAGGATCTTTGCGGGTCATTTGTCAATGTCTTAGATGACGGAACCGTCGAATTGGTTCACCTAACTGCAAAGCAGTATGACATCTCGCCCTTCAACTTTCGAATACTTGCTAATTCTGTCGAAACATAGCTTCCTGGTAGATGAGGGCATTGTCGATCCTCTGGTCGGAGATATTAAAATGGCATCTCTTTGTGTCGATTATCTCAATCTCCCCATATTTGTCGGTTCAATCTCCGATCAAGCTGCCCTCCGAGGTGATTATGGATTTATGGAGTATGCGGCGCTATACTGGATCAGACACTTGGAAGGAGCAATTGCAGAAGCAAGACGAAGACTCGCCAGAGCAAAATTACAGGAAGACCAACAGCCCGAGGACAGCGAAGATGAGGTCGAAGCATTTGTTCATCCAACCTTGCAGGAAAAAGAATACTCACGCCTCATGTCCCCTCTTGCAGAATCTTTAGGTGTCTTCATTGAGCACCATTGGGCTTCACCAAAGTCATTTCTTGCCGTATCTGATCGCAACAAGAGAAACCTCAAGGTATTCGAAAACACCGCATCATACGAAAAGCTCCAACAAGTCTTCGTGTCTAGCCGAAAGCAGCTGCATTCCTTCGGACCCATTAAAACTGAAGAGCTCGCGACAGACATTAGTGAAATCGTCAATGACGTTCGTGAAGTGATCAAAAATGCGTTCTCAGCATCTCCAAGCCCAAGCGCCACCAAGGAGATGACAGACAAATATGGACATAATCCATTTCGATGTGCGCGATTCAGCTGTCGATCATTTACATTTGGCTTCGCAACACCGGAGGAACGAGAAGGCCATATGGCAAGGCACGAACGACCTTACAGATGCAACCATGAAACCTGCAAACAGGGATTCGATATTGGCTTCTCCTCTATCCCCCAGTACAAAAGACACATGAAAACGCACCACCCAGATCCATCCCAAGCAGACCATGAATTCCCGACCGACAAAGAAATACAACTCAGCATCCGCTCAAAAAGAAACGAATCGAAATCAGCAAAAGAACTCGCTCCCGCGGTCAACAGAGACGAAGCCAGCCCACAAGATACCGAAGAAGCCTCGCCAGAAAGAGAGGGATTTGCAGCACCGGCGCCAGAACCAGAGATCCGACCTCGTCCCAGGATGCGATGGCAAAATAAGAAAGACCTCATCTGTCAAGACTGTGGGAAAGTGTTTACCCGGGCTTTCAATCTCAAGTCACATCGCTTGACGCATCGGCCCAGTTCGGAGTTTCCTTGTGATCATTGCCGAAGGTCGTTTGTTCGACGAAGCGACTTGAATCGTCATATGAGATCGCATACGGGGGAACGAAGCTGGGTTTGCGAGGGGTGCCAGAGAGCTTTTGCTCGATCGGAGACTTTGAGAAATCATCACCAGTCACAGAGAGGGCAGGACTGCCTTCGGTCAATAGAGAGACGACAACAGCAACAGCAGCAACAACAGCAGCAGCAAAATAACAATTACTACGGCCTTGAGAATCACGATTTGATGCTGCCGCCGATCTCCTTTTTCATTCAGGATTGAGACGGGGCATGAGCTCTGGGGTTCAATCTTCCCGGTTAAATGTATCAGATTCATTATCTATATTGAATCGATATATCGCTAGCAATGCTTCATTTTCATGGTATCTCCAAATTCAACCATCTATTTGCCAAAGACCTTGAAACGGTTCTCAAGGGGCTCGAAGACCTTCTCATCGGGCTGGGAGGTGGGAGTACCGAAGACCAGCTGGGCATCCAGCTTCCACGAAGCGGGCAGGCCCCAGGTCTTGGCGATCTGCTCGTCGATCAGGGGGCTGTAGTGCTGGAGGTTGGCACCGAAACCTTCAGACTCCAGGGCAAGCCAAACTGTGAGCTGTTAGTAATTGATTCGCAGTACAAAGTCTATTTGGAAAGCACTCTTACCGAGGTACTGGGACATGGCGTTCGATTCCAGGGCGAAGGGGTCAAACTTGTCGGCATAGAGGGCAAACTTCTCCTTGATAGGAGCGAGAGTCTCGTAGTCGACGAAGAACAGAACCTATTACAAAATTCAGCGAAGGATCATGTCTCTTTTTCACCCGGCATACGTACAGTTCCGTAGGCGCCACGGAAAGACTCCAGCTTAGGCTTGGTGCTGCTCTCAAACTGCTCCTTAGGGACGTGACCCGCAGCAACAAGACCCTCCATAGCCTGGATGGCAATATCCCACACCTTCTTGTGCTCCTCCTTCAAAAGCAACACAATACGGGAAGTCTGGGTGTTGAAAGAGCTGGGGACATGGAGCACAGAGTCCTGCACAATACGCTCAATGGCGTCGTCGGAAATAGAGCTCTCAGCCTTGAGACCATAGTAGGTACGACGGTTCTTCACCAACTCCAACAGAGTAGAGGTGGCAGTGTTCTTGAATTCGACAGCAGTAGAGCCCATTGTGAAAGATACGATTCGCTGATAAATGCTTAAATCGAGTGAAGTCGAAAAAAATGCCGACAGCGGCAAGCCGTGGGGGTTTATATCAGTTCAAGAGCGGGGATCCCATTGTTTGACATCCTCCAATCAGTCCAATTTTTTTCTACAGTCCTGCGAATTATGCAGCAGAGGCCCGGCATAAACGGACTGGTTATCGTCTCCCTTGCCAATGATAATTGCGGTTCCTTCGCCATAGTCCCCGCCAAATCGATAATCTGGCACGGGTGGGCCAATCAGGTCCCCGTGTTGAGGGCGGATGCTCGGAGTTTGCAATTTCCGATGATTTTGTAAGCGGATTTAAAACGCCCACATTTCTGTTGCGATTATGAATCGCAAAGAAGGGTTCTTGTCAGCCTGACAAAGCAGTTGTAGTAGAACGGTAACATTTAGAGCTAAGCGCGGAATCAGCCGCTCAACATGCGGCATTTATTTGTCAGTTATCGGAGGTCATGCTTCAGTCTACCGCAATCTCAACCTCGGATTCGGTTTCAATCAGGCCTGATCGCAGAGACGCAGAGTCTGCCTTGCGACATTTTTGACGACCGAGTTCTTATTCAATATAGACCAAAGATCGCCCAATTCCTCGCGATTCCGCCAACATGGCCGAGATTCTTCCAAATTTTCGATAGGGAACATTCCCAAAATCGGAAAATTCTTTTTAATATTCTGCAGTGTAAAATCCCAAAGCGTTCGCTGCTTAGGGTCCAGATCAAGAGCCTCAAAATACGTCTTGTCCTCATGTCCAGCATTGAAGGCGAACGGATTCTTCCGCAAATCGAATAGCTCTTCCGGGCCATGCGTCTTGAAATTTCGCCGGGAGGTCGGGCAGTGGTTCCGAGAAGTCGGGAACAAGTCGAACAAGACACCCTCTCCCACCAGTACTTCGAGACAAAATGCACGCGAAAGCGAAGTGTGAGTGTACTCGTTGATGTCGATCTCTTTGAAGATCCCGACTCCGACGAGAATGCGCATTACGCGGGTAATCGCAGAAATATCCACATTGCATTGAGAGGCAAGGCTCGCAGCGGTGATGTCTCATTCGGCTGGGATGCTGTCGAAGGCATCTAGTCCCAGTAGAATGTTGAGAGAGGCTAGCTCAGATGTAGTCCGCCACTACCGAGTTCCTATGCCGTATGGCTCTTTTAGCGTGTGTCGGATCTTGTCGATGCGTCTCAGTAGAAAATCCCTACTCTCATATTCTCGCGTTTAATACAAAAGTCTATCTGAGGTGCTCACCGCCGTTGCCTCTTCCACCGGCATCGAAGACTTTACGACACGGATGACACCTCAGATACCCAAGTAAGATTGGACTCCGAGCAACTTCGTTTATCGAGTGATAAAACACCAGAAGAGGCTCTCCTAGAAAGGCAGGGAAACCAAAAAGCTCTTCAATCTCTACAATGAAGATCTTGAAGACAGTGATGAGAACTTCGATGGCTTCGCTGCATTCCCTGAATTCGAATATATAAATGTATATGTGTATATTGAAGAGGGGAACGCTCGATGGCAGCACGCGCTGAGACGTACGGGTCGATTCAGCAGAAAAACCACCACAAAACCCACGCGTAACAATCAGGAAATAGCGAGAACCCCAAGTGTAGGGGTCAGGTCGGGGGAGGTGTAAGAAGGTGTATTCTAGAACTAGCTATCCGGCCACCGTATACTGCCGGCTATGTCACATAGTCTGGATGGCACCCATGTAGTAGGGGGAGACCCTCTCCCCACTACAATATATATATACAACCTGCGACAAATTAGCCGGCGGGAGTTATCTTCCGGAAAGAAGAGTGCAAAGCTCTGAATAACCATGATTTGACGGAAATGAGGCGAGAAAATTGGAATCACACGCGAAACTGGTGGTATTGGAGGGGGCTACATTCGAGGAAAAAATGGAGCTTTGAAGAGCATGTTCGAGCTATGCAGATCTCATCCTCAGTGGTACATGTATAATGTCCTCGTTGAGAATTGTGTTGCACGTGGAGGCTGTTGTGGTCGGGACTGTGGGTGCTGTGTTGATCCTGGACGAGCTAGTGGCATGGTGAGCGAGCTGGGCGTTGGACATCGCACCTTGGCCTGCGAATGTTGTTCGAAAAATCGACAGTTCAAACTAACGACAGAAGAGGAAGGGGAGCATTGGGATCTGTTTTGTTTGATGGATATGACAAATGGAATCTCGATGAATATGATCCCTACCGGTATCGAGTCTCCCTTGCCTCAATATGGGGCTTAGCGGGGACGATTACCAAGAGGATCCCGAAAAGGGTGAGGACTCGTCTGAATTTGATGAAGTTGAATCAATAGAGACACTCGTTGACAAAGCTGTTTAGTCCTTGTTTCATGCTTAGTCGCGGTGAGGGAGGGTAAAGGACAAGGTGAAATTCGATCCATTCTATGGAGGCCGACCTAGAACCCTACGGGGATCTGCTGAAGACTACAAGAATTGCTGCTATGAATTTCGAAGCTACTGGCCTATCCAAACTTAACTACAATATCTCAAATACTCACTCTCCTAATATTTGTAGACAACACGCCTCATCCTGTTGTATACTTCAAAAGCGGATAGACTCGGCATGGCAGGCGCGACCCCACCGCGCGGGGTGCCGAATTCCCACGCGCGCATCAACCAAAGGCCACTATGTCTTCACTTTCCACAGCTTCAACCAAAACATAAGCCCACCACATCTCTACCGAGACAGATCTTAGCCCAGAGCCGCGAGCGAGCATAGCCATCGGCCTCCAAAAGCGATCGTATCACTTCAACAATGCCCATCATCAGAGATTTCGCTGCGCCGGCGAACGCAAAGGCCCTGGAATTCCCCGAAAGCACCGATTCAAAGCTCTTCCTCGCCTTCATCTCCTCCGATGACCCCATCACCGGACAGCCCTGGTGCCCCGATGTTCGCGCTGCGCTGCCAAGCATCAACGCCGCGTTTGAAGCGGAGAATGCGCCGAGCGTGGGTATTGTCCAGGTTGGTCAAAAGCCAGAGTAAGTTCCGATCATCTTCAGCCTTGCATCGGGCTCGCGTCTCGCCAAGAGCCTTCCTACGAGAGCTACGCTTATGCAATGTTTAGGTGGAGGGAGCCTAAGAACGTCTACCGAACAAACTGGAACATAAACAACGTTCCAGCCTTGGTACGCTACCAACGACTGAACGGAGAGGTATCGGAGACAGGACGATTGATCGAAGGCGAGATTCTGGACAAAAAGAAGCTCCAAGATTTCCTTGCTTGAATCACACGACGAACCACAACGTTGTTATGTTATTAAGACGAACCACTATCATAAGCCTCCTTCAGCGTCTGACACTTCATCGAATTCCACTCCATAGCCGACATCGAAGACGACTCCGTATAATCCTGGCACTGAACCGATCCGTAGCTCGTATACGATTGCACGGCACTACCAGAGCAGTCGTCCGTCTTGTACACGCTGCACACAGCATTTTTGAAATTCCAGGAGCCGGGCGTTCGGAGTGGACTTGAGGAGCAGGGGATGAACATTGCGTCGCTGGTTGAGACCCAGCGGCACCATGCGTCGGCTTTTTCGTCTGTGGACATTTTATATCTCGGAGGCTGGTGCATAGTGTTGTTTTCCCAGGGTTGTAGCCTTCTAGCAGGTAGAAGTCGCCTTTGCAATTCTTTTTGGAGAAGATGTTTAGACTCCATTTGCTGACGTTTGGGTTCGCGGTGGGCTCTTCTTGCTTGGTTGTTGTTGTGGTGGTCTTTGCTATTGTTTTCATAGTCGTCGTTTTCTCTGTAGTCGTGGCTGTGGTCGTGATTGTCTTTGTTGTGCTGGTACTGGTCGTAGTTGTACTTTCCTTTGTTGTCAAAATCGTCGATCTTGTGGTAGATGTGGTGTCTGATTTCGCGACGGCGCTCATAGCAGAACCTTGAGGCTTACTAGTTTCCTTTATCGGCGGACCAACAGCGCTCAGACCGGCGGTTGTTGTTGTGATTGTGGTAGCCTTGCTAGTACTGCCTGTCGTTGAACTAGTCGCTGCTCCTGTGGGACATGCATGGTTGTAGTTGACCGTATCTGTGCAAAAGCCACCGTTCACACTGCACTATTCCAATCTTCATTAACGAAAGACACCGCTGTCTTGCTTCCCAAAAGAATTCACCTTGCAGTCGGGAGCAATGCAGGGATTCAGATCCACAAGGTCGGACATGTTACTCGGACGCGCTGTTCCAGGGACTTGAGGGCCACATATGGCTTGGGGAAGGGCCACTGGCATTGGAGGAGATCCAGCGCTGAGGCAAATGAACGTTCCAACAAAGATCTTGTCCCAGCCATTCCAACCAAATGTACCTTTATTATAGCTTTCGATATCGGCAACAGTGACGTGATATTGCTCGGCAAGGTTGGCGCATCTGTCTCCGGGTAGAACGAGATGGCTTGTACAGAGAGGATCATCTGGTTCCTGGAAGACGTTGCGGAGGTCGGGTTCTTTCTGTATTCAGCTTGAATGGTTAGTGAAAGTTTCTGGTAATATTGGACGGAGGAAAAGCACAGTACTTGGGAACCAGACGCTGTGTGGAGCAGAAGTCCACAAAGCGTGGAGAAATTACTCAGTGTGAAGACTCGCATTTTGTGCCTGTACGAAACGGTTTACTTCCCTCCGCACATCCGAGACGACCTGCTTTTAATACTGAAGTCGGTAATTTGACTGCGTCAATGAAAAGAATTGTTTTTCTGGGTTAGCAAGGGTCTGCATAAAATATGACTCGGAGCACATCCTTAGTGTGTGGGTGATCTCTCCCCGACTGTCAACAAAGGATGGACTCGGATTTGACTGCCATGCTATACACTCTTCCTTTGACTCTACCAGCTTGTATTCAGTCTGGTAGATGATGCAGCCGCCACCATTTTTTGTTCTCGAACTAATTCTAGCGAAGCCTCCAAACCGTCGAGGGCTGAAACCAAAGTGAAATGAACTAGTAGAAGAAGACGGTCTGGTTCGCCTGGATCTGATAAAGAGGAGTCTTTGGGTCTCGCTGAGGCTCATTTGACTTTAACGGACTTGTTTATTATTGGCAGGGCTTTGATTTGATCGTCAGGGTTCCTGCAAGCCTTCTTTAAATGCAGTACTCAATCTTCTTCGGCTGCAGGCGACAAATAAAGGGTATATATGCTCTCAGATAATTCTCTCTACAGACCGAAAGAGGGAAAATTGGAAGGAGTTTTGGAGTGCCGATATTTTCAAATAGAAATTTCTTACCTGGTTTCTTCATCCCCGCATCCTTCATCACCATCTCACTTCCCCGGACTCGCCTACTTCAGCTTGTTGATCTCCTCCACGATGTTCTGGGGATCCTTCCAAGCCAGGGTGACGTACCTGCATCTCATCAGTAAATTGAATTGACGGGTATCGGTAGGTTTTCGGGGGTTAGGACTTACTTTGTGTGGCTGCCTCGGGCCACAACGTCACCCTTCGGGTTGGTGAACTTGATGTTGGTGTAGGCGAGGGTTTTTCCGACTGTAAACGTGAGCTCGGTTTCTTCAAATAGGTATCAGATATTGACATACACTTGTCGCAGGTCACCTCCTATTTTCTAGTTAGCATCTAAGATCATTGAAAGGCCTTTTTTTTTTTTTTTTTGAGAGGTGGGGGGGGGGGGGGGGGGGGAACACGTACGGCCAAGATCTTGTCACCAATCCGGCCTCCCGAGTTGAGATAGGTTACTATTGAAGTGTCAGTTATGGTTTGCTCGCACGCTTATTAAGCTTGTCGTTGCTGTATCGCTTACCGTTCAGGTCCGTAGACACTCCCGTCGCAAAGAGGCCACGGGAGGCTACGGCCAGGGAGCCACCGAGGTCCACTGTTTCCATAGTAAGTGACGGGTCCAACATCAAGATGGGGTCATTGTGGTGATGTACCCATGCTAGCGATGGTACCTCCATGAAGGATGCTCAGGCGATTCTGTACAGTGTCAGACATTTGAGTCCCAGAATTCGTAGGAGGTTCAACCAGCATCAAGATGAGGTCCGACTTAGTCTTTGTCCACTTACAGTGTGCTCCTTTTGGATGAGCAGCTCAAAGTTGACTGTTCCGGGGCGTGCAGCTGTAACTTGGAGCTAGAAATGCGAATCAGCTTTGCTTCCATATTTTGCTTTGTGTGTGTTCCTCTGCGTACATTGTTAAGAAGTCTGCGATGATAATGTTAGCCATGTTTTCTTCCAGTAATTGCGATGTTGGGAAAACCGGCACTTACCGAGGTTCTAGACCCGAAGTAGCTCGGAAGGACTCCCAGACCTATCGATATTATCAGCAAGTGTACCCCTATGAGCCAGAATTGCACGGGGACTTCGCACAGAGCGAACGAAGCGAAGAGTAGTCATTATGTCGAATGAGCGAATGAGCAAACGGATGCTGGGGGTTTGACGAGGGAGAAATCGCGGCAGCGACGCGGCAGTTAACCGGCAGACGCCAGGAACTGCGCCTGTGGCCGCGTCGCCCGCCGGAGCCCGCATCATGACCTCACCGCGTACCTTCCCTTTCAGCCTCCCACGGCGACTCTCAGGTCAACATGGCGGCATCTACGTCCCGACCTCTCGAGTACCTGGAGGGTCTGCCCGGCACGACGTTCGAGCAGCTGTACCGGCAGCCCTCCACCGCCCTCGCCATCTTTCGTCGCATGCTGCCTGACCTGGGTATATGAAGCTGTTTGAAACGATTCTGACATCCACTAACTGTGAGGATAGCAAAATGTTTCGTGATGGCGCTGCTGTACTTGAAGGATCCGCTTCCGATGTCAGATCTTGAGCTCTGGGTGAAGACAGAGAGCAAGAGGTGAGGCGCATTGCTTGCTGTTGTATTTTCTGGTAACCAAGCTAACTGAGGTCTTTTTTCAAGGCAACGGGATAATGCGATCTCGATCCTCGGACGACTTCATATACTCTCGTCGACGTTGACCGATAGCAAATCTCGGGCATACATGATCACCAATCCTTTCGCCGCATCCCTTCGACAAGCGCTCATGGGTTCCCAAGATTCACAGTCCTTTGGTGTCTTCTCCCAGATCCCGGGGGAGAACCAAGTTTCGGTGGCCAACTTGGACGAATATGCGCGGCAACAGTGGGAGGGTGTCCTGGGGTACATGGTTGGAACGAGTGCGTTCGGTGGCACACGCGACGTGAATCTCAGCAAGGGCGTGAAGCAACTGCTCCAGGCAGGTCATTTGGTCGAGATCCGCGATCGGCGCGTGGACATTACCAAAGATGGATTCGGATTCGTGCTGCAAGATGTCAACACGCAGGTCTGGCACATCCTGATTCTCTACGTGGAAAGCGCGAAAGCGATCGGCATGGATAGCGTGGAGGTCCTCTCTTTTCTTTTCCTGCTCAGTAGTCTTGAGCTGGGTCAATCATATGAGAAGAACCACTTGACATCCAATCAGTTGCGGACGCTTACCGACCTAGCGGACTTCGGTATCGTCTACCAGGAAACTCCCGAGGCCACGCGTTTCTACCCAACCCGTCTCGCAACCACCCTCACCTCCGACTCAAGCGCGCTGAGCAACCCCGTGGCCGGCTCGATCACTGGATCATCTGGGCAATCAGTTGGCGGTGGATCAGGCTTCATCATTGTCGAAACGAACTATCGACTCTACGCATATACCTCTTCCCCGCTGCAGATCTCGCTCATTTCCCTCTTCACCAATCTCAAGTACCGCTTCCCGAACCTGGTGACCGGCAAAATCACCCGACAGTCAGTGCGCCGAGCGATCGAAATGGGCATCACAGCTGACCAGATTATCTCGTATCTGATGTCGCATGCCCATACTCAACTCCGCAAACACAACGCCGGCCACTCCACCACCAACACCGCCGGCATCCCGCAGTCAATTCTCCCGCCTACAGTCACCGATCAAATACGTCTCTGGCAGCTGGAGCGAGACCGTCTTCGAGCTACAGCAGGCTTCCTCTTCAAGGATTTTACCAGCTTGGCCGAATACCAGGCTCCTTGTCAATATGCGGAGGAAATCGGTGTCCTTGTGTGGAAGTCGGACAAGAAACGGATGTTCTTTGTCACTGGACATGAGCAGGTTGTCGCTTTCCTGAAAAGCAGGAATCATTAGCTTTATATTATGGAAAGGATGAAAAGTTAGGGGTTTGCATTGATATGGTACATGGATTTGGGAAAAGTCAATCAGCTCACGGCGTTGTTGGTGGGAACGGTATTTACGAAATTTACGATTCTTCGCAGTTTACACTAAATCAACAAGTTGTACAATATGAATGAACATACAATATGAATGAACATTTACTGCTGCTCCTCTATATGTAGTGAATCTGTTTTCAAAATATCTTGAATGGTTTGATTGTTCATCCACTAGACGTAGCGCCGTACGACTATCAGATGAAAGATTAAACTTGGGACCAAAAACTTGGGATGGATCTATGCTGTGCATAAAATAATGAAAATGAAGCAAAAAAAGCCCCAGGACTGATTCGAACAATCGACCTCCGCATTACAAGTGCGGCGCAATAACCACTATGCTACAGGGGCGATATACCGAAATTCGACAAGTGAATTTGAATCATGCATCTCCATTTCTTCTGTTTGAAGAAAAATCATAACATACAATTTTCGTCCGAATTGCAGATCGTTTTTTCGTTGGGTAGTAACTTGGCACCATCAGGCACCGTTACGGTTATCGCTGAACATGGCGCTATGACGTGTACCTTGTTCGCAGTCTTGATAGGTTTGAAAAGGGGCCTTTGTGAGAGCAGGTGTGAGTCACTTTGTTGCTTTAAGGATATGCGATGCTTTCCATGCTGGGAAATGTCCCATTGTATACTTCCTATACTTCCCTGCATAATCTTCCGCAGAAGTTGGAAAAGAATACAGTATTAAAGAGTTTTTAGAAAGGGCCCAGAGATGCAAAGTATTCTACCAAGGAGGAAGTTACGTTGCTTGTCGAAATAAAGGAACCCCTATGACACGACTAAATCTACGCCGGTGTATTTTCTTCGGCTTAAAGGGCACGATTTATGTCGGAATGAATGTCAATTTAAAGAACCGACCACCGTCCAGGACTCCGTTCCACTTTCCGACGAAAACTCACCCACTTTCCAAGCCCTTTCATCCGATAGCTCATAAACGTCTCACCCCCGACAACATCCGGCAACAAAACTTTCAGGTCGTATATCCTTCTTTCAGACGGAACCTCCGTCTTCAAGTCCCCATTCAGCCACGAATTCAGGTCAAGAAAGTGCTCGATCTCATCCTCATCCTCTCTAAAAAATTTCTGAGAATCATCTTTCTCCTCAACCCTCATGACCTCCCTCAATACATCCGCCAAAAGTAACCCATTCCAAACACCCTCCCGATGCGGCGCGGCTTTCAACAATCTCATAACAAGCTTCCGAATCTTAGGCACCCGGCACTTCAGTCCGGTATAGTAAATAGGTGGGATGAACCCGGACTCAATCGTAAACGAATGCTCTATCCCACTTCCACTTCCATTGCCACTTCGTATCATCTCATGCAACTCTTTAATCGGAAGACTGATCGTCGACCAACATCGCCACGATTCAAAGAAAGCAGATAAAAGCCTGACGAAATGATCCGTGTACTCGTCGAAAATACACTCCCCTTTCTCAATGGCCAGGGAAGCTGACGCCATTATTACTCCCATCTCGTGGTATGTTTTCAAGAGCAGGAATCCAACTTTATCTCTCCTGGAGGCCTCCGCGTCCAGCAACGTCATGGAAGCATTATATGATTTCCGCCAGAGGGAGAGATCTACCAGTATCCCCCGCTGCGTAGAAATGAGTTCATCCATTTGCGCGCGTCTCAGACACAGAGTGATATCCGAGGTCTGCTCAAGATGGTAGATATGTCTCTTGAAACAATGAACCCTATTCAGCAAATTATCCAACATCTGTCTCGCCTGCACGGGACTCGAAAACGCGTCCAAGAGCGAATAAATCTTCGGGTCGCGAACCATGCAAAGATGCGCGGGGACATGCCCAAACATGGCGGATTGAATCGTCAATCGCGTATACGACTCGATGAGAGCATCATGCACCGAGTCCTCGGCTGCACTCAGCACCTTCGGCGTCATCGACCCCAAGACATCACTGTCCACTGCAGACTGCGGAGACGAAATGCTCGACAAAAGCTGAATCCCATATCGCAAATGTGCACTGCCCATCTGATACTGACCCCTCAAGTACTCCAACGTCACAAAAAGCATACAAGTAATCAGCGCCACACGAATAGCCTTCGAAGACGTCGCCGCTTTCACAAGTCTCAGATGCCGAATCGCCTTGTTGTATTGCGAAAGTATAAATATCTCCTCCATGCCCGCCCCGGCAGTATACATTGCCGGCAAAGCGCGTGCCAGATCCGCACGATGAGCGGCCGAAAGCGCAACGACTGCGTGGCGCACGGCGGGTTCTTGCGCGCTGGCTTGGAAGATTAGCATCTCCCAGAATTGGGAGGTGAAAAGACCAGCAAATTTTGTTGATGTTTTACGCATGAACCAGTCGAAGCTGGATTGTTCTTCGTTGGTTAGACTTCCTGTTGGTACTGGGGTGTTGTAGATTGATAGGGATTTTGTGGTGTGTGGTTGGGTTATGCCTGCACTGCCGGGTCTAGTGGTAGTTGTTGTGCTGGAATATGCGCTGTAGGGGGTTCCCCCGCCGCCCCAGATGCCGTAGCCGTCGCAGACTCGGCCTGTTGAGAGGCAGCGATGGCAGGCTGGTTTTTTTTCGTCGCATTTCACGCGCCGCGTTCTGGGGGGTTAGCCAATATCAATTCAATGATGTTGGGGTGGGGGTCCTACTTGCAAGTCTTGCAGCCTGTTTTGACGTTTCGGCGGCCTTTTGGGGCTAGCTTGCTTTCTTGTGGAGTCGGCATACTGCCAGGTAGGTACGATATGTATCTCAGTAGTAGTAATGACTCAGTAGATTGTACCTTCAGGTAGTGAGGAAAAGTGTTGGAATGGAAAGAAGTCCAAGAGGGCGCCAGTAAACTGTATTCACGGCATAGCTGAAGGCCATTGGGCGGTTCGGAAACCCAGCGTCATTATTGGCTGGACTTAAAATAAATGGGTCCGTGTAGTTAGCCCCGGAGGCCGATATTAAGTCCGGCAGCTCCAACTTCAACCATCACTCATTTCGCCTGCTGCTCGGAAACTACACGGCTTTACTGGCTAGGGATCATCAGATTCGACATCATAATCCACATGTAGTTTGAAATACGGGATTACTCGGTTTCATGAATCTGTCCGTCGAAAGATATATAATGGACGGTCTTTCTGCTCATAAAACACGGCACCGATACAAACTATTCATTTGGACTATCTCCAAAGACCAAGTTCATATTGAATTGGCTCAATCCCCTCGACTTGACGAAAATGTCTCAACCCCTTCGAACTCTTGGGCACAATGGTCCGCAAGTCACCGCTGTCGGTCTCGGCCTGATGAGCATCGGCGGCATCTACGGCGAGGCAACTTCCCTCGACGAAGGTGTCGCCTTCCTCGACCACGCCCATGCCACGGGCCAACGCAACTGGGACACGGCCGATATCTACGGGTCCAGTGAAGACGTCGTGGGCGAATGGGTCAGGCGATCCGGCAAGCGCGATGACATCTTCCTTGCGACGAAATTCGCGGCGCAGCGGACACCTGATGGGAAGAATATGACGATCCGCTCGGATCCCGAGTACGTTTATGAGGCCTGCGAGAAGTCTCTCAAAAGACTGAATGTTGAGACGATCGATCTCTACTACTGTCATCGGGTGGACGGAGTGACGCCCATCGAAAAGACCGTTGAGGCAATGGTCGAACTGAAAAAGTATCTCACCCAACACTGACGATCTACGATGCTCCGCTAACATTGCGTTTTTACCAAGGCAAGGCAAAATCCGCTACCTGGGACTATCAGAAGTGTCCGCAAACACCCTCCGCCGCGCCCACGCCATCCATCCCATCAGCGCACTGCAGATCGAATACAGTCCCTTCGCACTCGACATCGAGAGCCCCAACTCCGACATCTTGGATACGTGCCGAGAACTCGGGGTCGCCGTGGTGGCCTACAGCCCGATCGGGCGTGGGCTGCTGACCGGGCAAATCACCTCACTGGCCGATCTTCCCGAATCCGACTTCCGACGCCTTTTGCCCAAGTACTCCTCGGAGAATTTCCCTCGCATCCGGGAACTGGTGCAGGGGCTGGAAGAGGTGGCGGGTGCGCACGAGACCTCCCCCCACTCAGGTGGCCATCGCTTGGTTGTTGGCGCAGGGCTCTGATATCATTCCTATCCCGGGGACCCGCACGACGGCCCGTATGGATGAAAATACCGCGTCGGCGCGGGTGCAGCTGTCGGGCGAGGAGGTGGAGAGAATTCGGGCGTTGGCTAGCCGGACGGAGGTGATTGGAAATCGGTATCCTGATGCGTAAGTGTTTTCTGTTGTTGTTCTTTGTGTTCATGGAACGGAAGTTGACCGATCGCAGGATGATGGGGAGTATCTTTGGAGACACTCCGCCGCTGTAGATTTACAACCATATTGATTTCCAGATGTCTACAAATTGTCAGGAGCTCAACAACTATTCGACTTGCTGGTTTAAATAGTAAAATAGTATGAGCAATATAGATCAACATTTACATAATGCCCTTGTTCCGCCTCATCTTATTGTTACGTTAGCTGCACTGTGCCCCTGAAATGCCAAGCCATAGGGCAAGGGGCCAAAAACAATGGCATTCATCCTCCTCTCCTCCCAGGCATTCTCGCTCGGAAACCGTCACGTCTGCGATGCTCGATCTCGATCCGACTGATACGGCCAGATCGATGCATGCAATCGACAGATAAGCTTAAACGCAGGCCTGAGCACGTCCAGACGAAGCTGCGAGTGGGTCATACGCCAGCCAGTCCCCAGCCCCAAAATCAACAGCCCCAAAAATCCCAGAACCCCGCGGAACCCGACTTCTTCCTTCCACGACACACTCCCTCCGCCTCCCCGTCTGCGCCTGCGACATGTCCTCGTCCAGCGAGGCCAGTCCAGGCAACTGGATCACCGGCAGCTACACCGGCGACAGCAATGGGGTGCGCATCACCATCGCCACCTTCGTCGGCGTCGCGTGGTACAACGTGATCGAGTTAATCGTCCTCATCTTCCTCACCTTCAAGCGCTACCAGGGCCCCTACTTCTGGAGCATGTTCATCTCCTCCGTCGGCATCCTCCCCTACTCCATCGGCTACCTGATCAAATTCTTCGACCTGACCAGTGCCACCTGGCTCCCCGTCACCTTACTCACCGTCGGCTGGTGGTCGATGGTAACCGGGCAATCGTTTGTGCTATATTCGCGCCTGCACCTGGTACAAGGGAACCAACGGATTTTGCGCGCCATCAAGGGAATGATCATAATGAACATCTTCCTCCTTCACGTACCAACGACCGTCCTCACCTACGCCGCGAACTTCTCGCAATCCCCGTCCTCCATCGCGGGGTACGACGTGATGGAAAAGCTTCAGTTGACCGGCTTTTGCGTGCAGGAAGTGATCATTTCGAGTCTGTACTTGTGGGAAACGAATCGCATGCTCCAGCTCAACCAGGACCGCGGCAGTCGCAAGACTATCATGCAACTACTCGCGGTAAACGTCGCATGTATCCTGATGGACATCGCGCTCATGATCATCGAGTTCATGAACTTCTACATCTTCCAAACAACCCTCAAGGCCACCCTGTACAGTATCAAGTTGAAGCTTGAGATCGCTGTCCTGGGAAAACTTGTCAAAATCGCACACCAACATGTCTGGCAATCCGCCTTCGAAGCCGGCGGCGGCCAGTACCCTTCCTTCGTGGACCCGACTCGCATTGCGGGGGATTTCAACCATGCCGCCGAGTCTTTGCCAGCAAGCCAAGGCTCCAAGGGCCGTGCGACCGGCCTCGAGGCTATCGATTACCATGACGATATTCGGTGAATGGACCCCCCAAGCCCCGCATCATTTTTTTTCCCTCTCATCACCATTCGCCAAATGAGACGCCCCCACTATATTCCGAATACCTCAAGGTCGCTGCTACGCTTGTCAACGCCGACACGCAGCGCTTCAACGCGACTCGGCCCGAAAGTCGACCAGCGCGGGGAAATTTCCAACCTGCTGGGTGCTTGCTGTTCGCGTGCATTTCCACTGATTGCGGTGGAACCATGGCCACGCGAGAACATGATAATAAGTCGGATGGAACCCTGGTTCAACAGGACAGGCCCAACCGTGGATCAAGCCCAGGACCCTTTGCATAGATTACGATGTCATGATTAATGTCTTTGATACCTTTTCGACTCGACAAACATACATTCAATTTAATATTGATATCATCTCTACTTTTAGTTATACATATTTTAATGATTCAAGTGAAGAGTGGTTGTTTCTAGAACGCGTAGAAGCATAATACCGATGAGCCGGCGTCGATGAACAAGATGGAAAATGATACCATATGCGATTGAAAAGTGAAAGATAAAAGAGTATAAGCTTCTGGCGTAATCAGTAGGGAAAAAAACGAAAGAGGATAGGTCGAATGCAAGCGGAGCAAAGGAGGACAGCGGTCCGGCTATACATTTGTACGAGGGGAAGAGGTCACATGACGTGTTCCTGGAGTACAGAGTATACAAACGCATGTTGCGATATCTGCAGTGATTCACCATGGATTCAAGTAAACGGGGGATGAAAGAGTCAATACCATACAGACCTTCTTTCGATATAGTAATGACCAGCTACTACTTGCAGGAAATAGCCCGATTCGCATTGGAAGAGTGCGGATGAACTCCATCATGTTTGAATCAGGAAAGTAAGAGGCAAGAACTCTTGCTGCCACTAATTTCTGTTGCTTAGGATTTCTATACCCGATTATAATGTTAGATATACTCTGAGGGCGATTCTATCGCAAACTACCTGAAAACAGGAGACTAAATAGCAATCTGCTTGACATAACCCCAAAGCAGGATGCAGAACAGGGGCATGAGCATCGCGGAGCATGAAACCTCAGCATACAGCATAGCTCGACACTGCGCTGGAATACCCATTCACGCCACCTGTTCTACAAATAAACATATGCAAAGAACTTCAAGTCAAACTGATTTGCGTATGGAACTTCATTCTGCCGTGCTAGAAGAGATGCTTTTGCTTAAAAAGGTCCGGGTTTATACTCATAGTTAGAGCATAGAAACGATGACCCATGGGTAGGAGGTCTATCTCATTTTCTATCTTAGGTAGCCCATGGGAACACATGAAAACATGGGCTAAATAACAATGACCCATTTCCCATTCCATTTCCCATTCCCCTTCTCACAACACATGGGAACCCATGGGAATACGGGCCAAAAGTCAATGGCCGGCCCATTTACCATTTCCATGGGTTATGTTACACTTTACTGATAGTTAATCAATCGCTAGTAAATTTGCCGCGTCTGGGACTGAATCCCTCTGCTTCTTCAAAATCACCAGAAATTGAATCATGCTTTGCACTGAGCATGACGTTATTTCCTTGTATACCATACGCCTGCTTCGACGGGTCTATAGGCTTTGCTGTACATCAGGACGCATGCTGGACTCAGTCATTCCCGTAGTCCTTGCGATCCGTGCAACGGCTTACTAGAAGCTTACAGGTATATCAATTACTAATGAATCAACAGATAAACAAATATCATTCACGCGCGCTAACACATCTCTAACCATCCTGCTCAGATTCATGTTCATATATCATCCTCCTCCATAACCTCATCCTCATCAACGAGACCATCCTCTTCAGGACCCGCCTCATCAACAATCATGGATCCATCACCCAGAGCCATAACCTTAGCCTGAGTCATCTCAAAGACATACTGGCCCAAATGCTCCACGCTCTCCATAGGCGTACCCTCAATTTCGGCGTCCAGCGCGCGCGTACTGGGGAACATTTCGCCAGGCGCAAGCATCAACTTATCAGGACGTGCAAGAAGCAGATCAAAAGCTGGCTTGAGTTCGTAGCAGGATTCGAAGACCTCGCGGCGACCCAGGATGTACAGGCCGAGTCGGGCGCGGGAGAGGGCGACAGTTAGACGACGGACGTCGCGGAGGTAGCCGACTGTTCGGGTACGGGTTAAGGAGAGGATTACGTCTGGGGTATTGTTAGCTTGGGTTCTTGATGGAAATGAGAGGGAATCTTACAGTCATTCTGCTCTCCTTGATACCTATCAACCGTCGCCACGATCTTAGGCATACCGAACATCGAATTCTTCGCGCAGCGGTGGATCAGCACATCCCGAATCAAAGCCGTTTGGCCAGCATACGTAGCGAGAATCGAGATCTTCGAGGCTGGGTAGCCCAGTAAACGCATGTACTGGTACATAGCGACCGCATACTCCGCCTCGCCCAGGTTCTGGATGAAGTGCGGTGTGGGTTCGCGTTCACCCTCGCCCTGGTAATCCGGAACATTGATGAACTGGTAATCGAACTTGAATCCCGCATTGGCAAGCTTGAACTCCTCCATGGTCTCGACCGAGGGCAGATCGCCCAACTCGGGGTATCGCCAGCGGAAGAGCTCTGCAATGCTAGGTCGAGCACGGCCTTGCCTGTCTAGTGTAATGACGGGAACACCGAGACGCGCCAGACGAAGGAACAAGCTATGTTCGAAGTGTGCGTATTGGCGGAAAGCCATGTTTTGGATGACGGGCGAGTTCTGGAAGTGGTCTCCGCAAAGGACAACTCGCTTCAGGGGATGTTCGCTATTATCGCTCTTCACGTTTTGCAGAGCAGAGGGAATGAAGCTCTCGATCTCGGTGATTTGGGCTGCTTCTTCCATCACGACGTTGTCGTAGTGGAAGCCCAGATCAGCAATTTCTTGTCGACGCATCGCGGCGTGTGTGGAGGTCATCGCGATGACTCGGGCCTCTTTAACCAGGAGATAGTTGGCCTTGTCGCGGGGCTGGCGCAAAATTTCGAATGGTCGGATATCCTCGAGTTCGGCAAAGATTCGGTCAATGTGTCTTTGGCAGCCCGAGGCAATATCCAAGATCGATTCCTTGGAGGCACTGGCATCGAAAAGTGGTTGGGGAGCATTGGAGAAGTAGCCGTGGAACGGGAAGGATGTTATGATATCCTCGTTTGAGGCGTCGGACTTGGCCTGTTCCCAGAATTTGGTCCATGCTGGCTGCACGTAAACCGTGTTGAAGTAGCCCGCAGTCTCACAGGAGTTTCCATGAGCTCCCTCCGCCTGGATAGAGCCTGCCAGTCGTTGGACTTCAGATAAGTAGATGTTCCGGTTATCGAGGAATGATTCTACCCGCCCATGTTTGCTGTAGTTCGACTCTGTATCCAGTTCCTCCTCACCATGACCCAACCGCAGGAGGTGACGCTCGTCGATATCGAGGGCAATGATCTTCTGGAAAAGTTGGTTGAGGGCTTGGTTGCTGTGCGCAATTAACAGCGTGCGCTCGCCGGGGAAATTATGGTAAAGGTTGTTAATGATTTGGGTGGCAACATCGGTCTTTCCAGTACCGGGGGGTCCAACAATGACCGTCAGTCCTGGCTGTGTACCAGAGGCAATGGCCTCCACCTGAGCTGAAGTAAACCGGACAGTGTTCAGTTTGGGCGCATCAATAGGATACGGTCCGCGGTTAGGAGGCTTGTAAGTCGAAACACGCAGTGTGCTGGGAGCCTGCTCGGTCTGTTCAGCTTGGCCCTTGCGACGCTTCTTCGGGGGCACTTCCACCGGGGCCGGTTCACCCTCAACAGTCTCAAGCACATAGGGAGGCCCAAATCTTGATGTTTCGGCACCAGATGGCTCGATGGTCTTTCCAGGAAAGCTTTCAACCAGATGCGACCAGTCGAGGAAGGTGTCCCGGAAGTCCACCGACTGGAGTCGGTTGGACAGTCGCGAGTATTGAGCTCCAGCGGGATCACCGTATCCAAGGAAGATGTCTTGAAGCCACGACGGAAGGGGCACATCAGAGACAATGAGATTCTGCATTGTTTCCAGAATGGACTTGAAGTTGTTTTCCCGGCCCTTCCGACGCGCGATCACATTGACCAAGGAATAGATATCGGGCTTGCCCTGGGCCTGAAGGTCCTTGTCGGCCTTGAACACAGAGGCTTCCAAGTTGACAAGTAGGCGACGAATTCGCGGGCGGGAGTTGTATCCATTGGACTGACCAGTAGCTGGCTGACGTAGCGGACGGCCTTGGTCGTCAAGAATCTGCACGATTTCTGCCGTGCGAAGATGGGTCATGCGAGGACCCTCGGCATCTTGATCACGGATTCCGAATTGAGCAGGGGATGTGGACTGAACCGCCAGCAGGTAGACCACATCATTCGGACGAAGAGCCTCCCATTCTTTGCGAATGTGGTCTGCGAGTCTTCCGACCTCAATGGGAATCTCTGCGCGGACGAAAGCCGGGTTCGGCGAACCAACCTTGGGCTGAGCCACTTCGATGATGGCAGGCTTGGAGATAGGAATTGCCATGCGCGAGAATCCCTCAAACTTCACGCTTCCATCGCGATTTGCTCGGGGCTGCATGCGCTTCACGACAGACTCCATATCCTTGCGGATCTGGAAGAAGGCCTCTGATCGGTAGAGTAGGAACGACCGCCACAGGAAATCACCAATACTGAGGTACTGCAGATTCAACTTCGGAATGGCAAGGGGCCTAGATCCATCATAGGTCTCGTTCCTCAACAAAGCCGGGTTATAGAGATCGGCATCCGTCGGAACAATGTTCAATTTGGAAATGGCCTCCTGGAATGAAGGTTTAGACTCATAGAATGAAGCGAGGACTTCCGTATACAGTTCTCGGTCTGGGGTGATACCAGCAGACTTGGGGTAGTTGGTACGGAACCCAAGATGGGAGCACAGGGTCTGGAGTTCGAAATCCTCCAATGAAGAAAGCTGTCCTTCGAGTTCAGACCGCTGCGAAATGGTTCCAAGGTTGGATAGTGCGAGGATCATGAGTTTCTCCCGGAAGAACTTCATGGCCGTCCTCTGCAATCGCCCCAGATCCTGGCAGTGGATGTCATAGACTGCCTGCGGGGAAAGCGACTCGCCCGTGTAGTCATCAATAGCAAAGTTGACAAAGTGCCTAAGAAGGTTGTAGAGGTCTCGGAAAAGGGCGCTTTCAGGCTCGCGGTAAAGCTGCGAGAGACTAATGATGGGCAAAAGATTGAGGTCCTTGAGAAGCGTGTTCACATAGCGTCGGGTTGGAAGTTGGCTCAACAAGTCAACCAGCAACTCCATGAAACGCTCGCAATAGAGAAGGTTCTCCGATTGCTCCGATCCATTCAGCCTTTGCAGGAAATCCAACAGCATGGTGTACAGCCAAGCGCGTTCAAATCGGATCTTGGCCTTGGTCGCATCATCCCCAGCATCAAATCGCTTGCCCGCGGCCTTCCAGGCCTTCTTGAGCATGGGAGATTTCGCAATAACTCTCTCTCGGGCATCCTCGCTGGCCAGGTTGTGCCAAATCGAAATCGCAACGAGCGGGGCGCATTCTTTCCGGATCAAGACGTTCTCGAGCGATTGGAAGGCACCGATAATGAACGAGATAATGGACATGCGCGAGTGCGTTGACAGAGAAGGGTCGATGCTCATCGACAGGATTCGATGAAACAGGGTCGAAAAGTCGTCGCCGCGGTCCGAGAAAATGTCTGTATTCACTACATCAGCATTCATTCCCCAATCAGTCAATTCCAGCTCGTCGCATTCACTCACCCCATATCGGCAAGTGTTCGCGATATTTAACGCTCACGATCAGCGCGATCAAAAGAACATGGTGATTCGAAGCATCTTCGGTGTACGTCGGCCACAAGAACCTGCCATCACGTTAGTCCTGCGGGGGAATCACATCAAGCCATCCAGCGCGGGTCACTGACTTCTCCAGCACATTCAAATTCTCCAAGATCAGCAGCGAGCGAGTGCTGAACCCCTCAGCCTCCAGGGGGTCCCACAATTGCTTCTTGATCACATCGGGCTTGACCTTGCGCACCTTGACGTCCAGCCAGTGCGCCTTCGCCAGCTTCACCCACGGGCTATCCTCGCGGAAATCAACCACCGTCGGCCTGCTTTCGAGACTCTGCGCCATCGCCGCGCTCGATTGTCCCGGATTGTGATAAACGAGGGCTGGTCGAAGACGTGCGTGAAACTGCTCGGGTGCTGGAAGTCGCGGGCCGCGAAGCTGGGGGAGCTTTTTCAGCAGGTCTTGGCGTTCCTGTCCGCCGAGCCGCAACTTCCTCCGATCACATCGCCCTCTCCGTTCTTACCTTCGCTCGTGTCGCAACCCCCCATTCCTCCCCGGCCCTCTCAACGATGGCGCCTGTGGAAGTCGCTGCGGTGCGCGTGTACAAGAGGCTGATCGACTGGCTCTTGGACCGCGCGGCGCAGGCCAAACCCGACGGTCAGATCGAACCTCCGTTGACCGAAGCAACGCTGGGCGACTCGATCTGGAAAGTCCCCGAGGAAGACCAGCATGCAGTGCAGCATCTCCAGCCGCAGACTCGATTCGCGGCCGTCGAAATCGCCTTCCGAGAGAAGTTTTATCACCTTCTGGTAAGGAACAGACTCATCCCGACCCGCGTCATGACTTGCGGTCATAGCTCACCACTAAACTCTTCCCTCTCACAGGCTTCCACCTCGATTCATGACCCTTCTTTCATTCATATCTGGAATTTACTCGACATCATCTCCATCTTCTCCGACAATGGTACGTCATTTGTCCCGCCATCCACCTCCACCCGTCTCGACACGCGTTGTTAACCCTCACTTATAGAACAATGCGAACCTGGCCTGATTTTCTGGCTCACCGAAGAACTGCTGGACAGTCAAACGATAGACAAATGTCGCCCGGTCTTTGAATATCTGGAGTCGCGCCGCGAGCGCAATATCAAGGTACGTCTCGAGTCCCGTTAGGATGTGTCGGGTTCATTGACAGGTTCATTGACACTAACACTCGTCCAGAAACATTTCAAGCAGAAAAGCCTGGTCATTCTCAGATTCTGCAACGAACTCCTCCGTCGATTGTCACGCGCTGAAGATACCGTTTTCTGTGGGCGAGTCTTCATCTTCCTTTTCCAGAGCTTCCCGCTTGGCGATAAGAGTTCCGTCAACCTACGGGGCGAGTTCCACACCGAAAATGTCACTACATTCGACGAGCCTACTAAACCGGCTGTCGAAAATGACGATGCAGATACCACAATGACCGAGGGCAATGAGGATTCTACCACTGAAGGCCAAGCAGAGGAAGCATCTACACCTCAGAACCGTGATGCTGGTTCTACCCCTGCGGGCAAGCCTCAAATCCCCAAGGTCGTCGTGTCTAGGAGAAAGGATGAGAAATCGGAGAAACCGGTTGACCTGGATACGCTTTACCCCATGTTCTGGAGCCTCCAAGCCTATTTCTCCTCGCCAACCAAGACGTTCGACCCGGAGCATTTTGAATCATTCAAGACCTATCTGGAAGCCACCCTATCAGCTTTCAAAAAAATGAGGCCCGACCTCGATACTCAAACCTCACAACGGTCCTCCGAGGAGGCTCGCAACTCGCACAAGCGGAAGCGCGAGGCAGAGGAGGGTGAGGTCGAATCCAGCTTCAACCCGAAGTATCTTACGAGCCGGGAGCTTTTCGACCTGGAAATCAATGACATGGCCTTCCGACGACACGTCCTGGTCCAGGCCCTCATTCTTCTTGACTTTATGCTGTCTTTGACACCCGACGCAAAAACACGATTCGCCAATCTCACCAACAAGTCCGTCCTTTACGGCTTTGTGCTGAGCGAACACGATGCGAAATGGGCGGCAGGCATGCGAAACAAGATTGAACAGTATTTGCGAGATGGGACCAGCATGAGTGGAAACTTCTACTATCGCATGGTCGCCACCGTTCTATCCCGGGACAAGAACTGGTCGCAATGGAAGGCTGAAGGTTGCCCTCCGATTGAAAAACCAGCCGTTGCAGCGACAGAAGAAGTAGAAGCCCGTGCAAATATCAACAAGGCTTATCCCAACAAGAAAATCCGTTCAACGCCGATGGGCTCACTGGATCTTACATTCCTCTCGGACGCTCAAGCCTTGGCCAACACCGAACGACTCAAGGAAACAGAACGATACTCGGTCCCTACTGCCGATAGTGTCATGATGAGCATGCTGGACGATGACATGGACATTGATATGGCTCAGTCGCAAGAGGAGAAGGAAGCTGCGTTGAAATCGAAGGCTAGCAAGACGTGGCGCATGCTTCGTTTGACGGTGAAGAACAAATTCGCCGCATTCAACAAAATCGACGACGGGAAGAACCTGAATGCTCTGTTTGAAAGAACCGGGGAGGCCAATGAGCCGGCAGAGGCCACGGCCAACGAGCCTGAGCCTACTGAGCCAACTGAGCCTGCTAAGCATTCTGAGCCCGCCGAGCACACCGAGTCTCCTAAGTCAACCGATGATACCCAACCTGCCGAGGAGGCCGGAGCCACCGAGCCCACAGAAAAGACCCTAGAAACCCCGGAGGATACTGTCGATGCAGGAGAGAAAAATGTACCTGCAGAGGACCAGTCTGCAGAGGATAAACCTGCGGAAGAGGCAGAGACTCCGAACCCATGAGCCAGATGACGATAGCTGCAATTTGAATATCCGATGTCTACAATAGGCAAGATTTTAGAAAAACCATTACCGTCATCCAATGTATTATTATTAAATGTTTTTTTTTCTCTCTCTCTTCAACGTCCTTCGGCGTCTATTTGAAAAGAACAAATATTGTGGGGACCACCTTGGCAGTAAATTAAAACATCATAGAGTGTATTCGCTGACGAAATTCTCCACCGCTTCATGAAATTAGTACCTGTTCGTATAGAACTTCTGCTCTAATCCTGCATAGCCAAATCCACAAAAAGCGATGTACGGCATGAAAAAATTGTAACCTACAGGCTATCATCGAAGCTCCCTACAGGGTGGAAAATTACAAGTGCTTTCTTGCTAACCAGCCTTTAGCTAATCATTCTTTTTTTCGTAGTGTTCCCATACTTCCTTCTGCTGGCTTGCTGTTAGGTATCACCCTGGTGCTGCCGTGGCAAGAACCCTGCTTTCGCGAACTTTGCAATTTTTCACACGCGAAGACTCGGCTTTCCAAGTTGATAATACAACAAAATTAGTCCAAGACACACTACTTCAGAATCTCCATTCATGACTTCTTTATTTTTTGTCCATTTTTGAAAAATCATAAATCTTATTGAAAAATGTGGGCAGAAAAGAACATTTTGTTTCACATGTCATAAGCACAACCGTCAAAGGCACGGTGTTGAGCGAGGCTAAGATTCTCCAAATATAAACACTAAGCACACTAGCGATTGTAATATGAACATACTTATAGTCTGGACACAATGAATATGTACTTTCGAAAATGCAGCGGCTTTGAATCTACTCGTTTACATTCATCTCATCCTCTCTTTCGACATAAGGAAGCGCATAACGTTGCCCTCAGTGCAACTGATTCCATGCTACAAAACAAGTTAGAAAATGGAGATAATGCCATGACTGCTCTATAAAAGCCACCTTCAGCACGCACCAAGCAATAATCGCCAAGATAAAAGTATACAATCTACGAGACAATAATCAACCACCCCTGACAATCTTGGAAGAACACCTCATACCACAAGCCGACCACCGCGTCTAGTGCGGCTTCCGGGGATAATCCCTTTAGAACTCGCCGACGGCGAACCGGCTTTGGCGCAGGCAGGGAGGCTTCTTAGGTTATGGCTTTGGCCCCCCTTTCTTCGGTAGTGCGGAGCAATACCCGCAACGGGTATCGTTTAGCAGCCAGGGGATCACATCCGCCACTTGAATCGCTTGCGGGGAGGTATATGCATCGATATCACGGCGCAGTGAAGAAGCTGTGTGATGTATCCATTCGATAATATTTGGATGCAGGTGATAGATAATGTTTCGTTTCTTCAGGGATTTTCAAGCACGGATAAAAACGGATACGGGTACGATGAAGGTTCTGAAAGACATTTCCCTGTCTGTTTCTTCCCTATAGTTCTCTCTCCTCGATTCCAAGCCCTGCATACGCGTTCTCACTCCACAGAATCTTCTGCAGCCCCGTTCCTTCCTTCCTCGTGTTTACCGAGTCTCATCAATTGCGCGGCAAACGTAAACGAAATGTGGGTTCAACCAGCTTGCAGGACTCTTCCAACGACCCCACCGCAGAATAGGCTGCGGTATTTATTCTTGAGTATTTCTGTCGATCAGCTTGCACATCGGACCATATCCAGCGACATGGTTGCATTGTTGAGGTGTTGTCTCTGATTTCCGGGGCTTAGCGAGGCAGTGAAGACTAACGGCTTAGCTTCAACGGCGATCAACCGAAACCAGGAACGACGGACTTTTTTAGCTGGGATTCACCGACTCGGGCTCGGCAGGACTAGCACCGACAGCCAGGAGACTACACTGGTGTAAATAAATAAAAGTCGTATTAGCTACCGACGTGGGGATCAAGATTTCGTCCTAGTTGATCGGCAACTCTATTGGAGGCAGTGAGAGGTTCCTGCATGAAATCCCACCCTTTCGAGTCAGATAGGCATAATAATAATATTGCTTTGTTAGGAACAAGGGCAATATTATTTTGTTTTTGGCCCTTTGCAGCTGCCCTCGGAACCCGATCCTTCGCCCCGGCCTAGCGAGGGGGTGAAAGTGTAAAAATCCCGTGGGAGGGGGGGGGGCCGGAGCGTCGCAGCCATGTTTCACTTTCTTACGCCCTGCCCCCGACTCCCAGACTAACAGACTGTTGGGAGAGTTCGGCGTCTGAAATCTCATCAGGAAGCACGGGTAGTCGGAAGCAAAGTGGACTCGCCCTGTTCTGGTCCGGGGGGCACCTTGGGAATGCAGATCCGGCAGGCACAATTGTGATCACGTTTGCTGTGCACATACAAGGCCATCGGTATGTCAGCCAGGCCGGCTTTCCGAATTAGCCGCAGTTCGCACGAAAGAGAGAAAAAGCAAAAATTAAATCCCCGACGCACTGATCGCATTGCGGTGCCTCGCAGCTTTGCGAGCCCACAATCAGACAACGGCCCACTCGGCGGTGTCGGAGTGTTGCGAGCTCCACCGCACAGTGGAGTCGGAGGCCCCTATCGTGTGTAAGTAGGGGAAGGAGACTCGTCTGTGCTTTCTTACAATAACGGTCCTCCGATCTGATCGACTGGAAAGCACTGGCCATGTTCAGTGCAATCGATAGGACAATCTGGTTGTACTTTGGTACATATTCTAGGACACTTGCCAAGAATTGTCTTGGAACTATACGCTGCATGAAAGTTAAAAGATTTAGAAAATCAATAGCTTCGGAGGAACTGCAAAACCGTTAGCACCGCTCCTGCCCTGTCCACTTCCAACGGTGGTTTCGCAACAGCCTCCCGGTTCGGGAGTGTGCGCCAGCCTGTGATCCGTGGAAACGGGCGCGTCGACCTGTCAACCCGAGTTTCGACTCTGGGGCCCGCTTCGAAACAATGGGTGGCGGGAAATCTATTCCAAGGGCCAGGCTATCAAGCTCAATAACCTGACGCAGGTAGTACCACGGGTAAGAAGGAGGCCAATGCCATGTGGTCGACATGATCCACGTGTACCTGGCTCGCTCGACTCCTGCAGTTCTGTACATAGTTAAGTAGACGATCTGCAGGGCAATCATCCCATCGGCCCATCTTGCCGCTGAACGGAGTCGTGTATGTAATCGGGTATCGCACCTGCGCCTGCGCTACTAACAGGTGCAGGACTAGGGTGCAGGCGAGATCGGCTTGCGTCACCCTCCGACACCATCGGCTCGCGATGACGACGTGCATGCGCGCGATACGAAATGAAGGGCGGGCGAATCTTGGCGAGTCCGAGATTAAAGTTGCGCTGCGATCGATGCTGCGATCGGATTCCCCGCAACTCGTTTGTTCTGGAACAGTCGAGCTTGGTCGCGTTCCTAAAGCCATCAGCGTGGCGTCGCCAGCGCACGCATTAGGACATCAATAGAGCACGCCAGGACCTGCACCGGCGAGTCTTGCATCTTCCAGTCCTCGCCGTGCGTCCATCGATTTCCCTTTTCTTTCTTTTTCCTCTGCCACACTGTTCCCCGGGTCATCCGAGATCACCAGGCAACCGCGTCATGCCCAGACAGGAAAATGAGAAAGATCAGACGCTGGCCAGGGATGCTCCGCTGTGATCGACCAATTTTCGGCCGTAGAGGGGCGCGCTGAGCCCTGTGATTCGGGATGAGAGCCAACGGATCCGAGTTTTCTCCCCCGAAACCGTGCGAGGCGAAGCGGGTGGGGATGCAGCCGGTTAGCGCAGCGGAGTCCAGTCCACCGTGCATGAGTTCGGAGAGCCTTGATCGGAGCGTGGGGCAGTCTTGGATTGTACTGTGAAAGAAGAGTCCTTTCCAGATGTGCAGCTGGTCCCACCGGCTATTGAACCGGGCGAAGTATGTTGCTCAACGACATCAGAAGAACAAATTGGAGCGCCGATGAATATACTTCCGGGCCGGGAGTCGCACCGCAGTGACCTCATTGCGATCGAAGATGAGCAGTGAGTGAGTGATATTATTATCCGCTGTGTCTGGGAAGTAGGAGGGAATGCGGACGGAGTAAGCATTGAGCAGTTCAGGTGGTTAAGGCGGCGAGGTCACGTTCTCGTATCGATTACCGGCCAGACTCACATTCCGTACTATTTACTCCGTATGTACTGTCGTACAGTACAATTGTATACTTAGACCCTACGACCACCCCGGGCACTACAGGGCACTACAGGGCACTCAACTACCTCGGCACAGGGTCACCAGATGGAAAAGTCTGGAAGTCGCAAATTCTTTGATCGATCCATTTTCCAGGATGGCCTCATTTCAGCTGCAACTTGGACTGTTTCATGCCCGGATGTGGAGATTCAAGGAGTGCTCTACCCGGTGGATCCAAGGCTTCCCGGGCAACGGTTAACCCCGAGTGATGCTAGCGCACCCCAGGGCTGGGAGGACTCCCTAGAGCTTCAACGGAGTCTCGTCCGACGAGATATGGAGTATGCAGACTCGCCTCCAGCGACGGTGGATGGGGATCGGGCTGGGAGACTCAGGGGAAGTGAAACTGAGGCTCTCCGGAGGCAATTCTCCATCGACTCGGTTTATCCGAGTGGTCTTCTTTGGCGGCAGGTGAAGTACTCTGATGCACACGTGCGAATGACTGCCCCATCGCAGTTTCAGGGCTCGATGCCAAAGCCAATAAGCGGCTGGATATCTTTGCTGGTCGTGCCAGTGGTTACCAACCACGGATGATCGCAGGGCCCCCCATTCGGGCCTTCTTTTATTTTCTCCCTCTTTTTGACTGACTGAAATCATTTACCCTTGTTTTTTCTTCTTTTCTGATTTCTTTTCTCCTGGTCCAACCCCCCGGGACGACTCCACCTCATCCGACGCCTTCGCGCCTCAGCAGCGGGCAGCTCGCTGACTGGCTGCCGCTTAATATCGCTAGAAGCCATTCCACATGGCCGGTGAGGGAGAAAGCAAATCACAGAGAAACAAAATAAATAAATAAATAAATAATCCAGCCCAGGGTCTGCAATCCCTATTCGGCCAAGGGCTCACGCCCTCGAACCAATTGGCCCGGCTTATGCAGGTATCGACAACTGGCTTGTGTCTTTGCTACCTACACTAGGGCCTAGTGTATTGAGTGACTAGCTTCCGCCTAACGGTATCCACGTCGGAAAATTTTCTATCGGCCGTGGCGCTAGCACACCGTTGGCGACTAAAGCTCTGAGGAGAAAAACGTAACGAACGCTCACGTCTCGGTACAAAAGCATAGCCCGTAGAGTCCCGCCTCGTGGGCTCGTGGTGGGGTCCAGGCTCCATCGACCCTCTTTCACGCTGAGAAATACTGAGCGCAATGCCTAGAAGTGGGTTATAGCTATCGCAGAGCTTGTATGGGTCTCGTGATTCAGCTTTTCGGTCCCCCCTCTCTCCGTATCCGGTTCAACCGGAGGGCGAGGGGGGGTTATATTTCAGCTCGGGCAGAACCGCGATTCGCCACAGGACCCAGTGCTGGCCGTGGTCATAACTCATAAACTGGGGGTTTGGTGGTCCTATGCTCCGTTGAGGCCGTGCTCTGCGCACCTGTCTCTGTTTTGGTGGTATCTACCCCGTACTTTGTCTTGTTCACCAAGGCCAGAGATACACTCAAGTAGGGTTTCTCTAGCTGACGGGGACGGGGGATTCTCGACAGCCTTATAGACAGGTACGCCTGCGTAAAACAGAACACTAGAGCCGTAGCGAGGTGGACCAGATCTGTGCATCCTTTGCACGATTGGTTTTAGGTCTGATACTCTCGTAACCTGGCCATTTGAGAACCCGGGGTTACATCTCTGGGACTATTCCACAAGGAGGATCCTTCGCCTCCATAGATCGCTGATCGTTACCGAGACGTGCGCGCAGGCCATGATCAAACTGGCCTTACGGGCACACTCCCTCTGGCCCACCCTCCTCTTCGATTTGAAGAATTTTGTGATCTTTCAGTGCCTCGGTCTTTCTGGTTGCCCCTGTTTGACCTTTGCTCGTCTCAACTTTCAACTTTCAACTTCCTTTCTTTCTGTCTCTTTTCAATCTTATCTGGCCCACCTCTCAGTGACGTCTTACTTTGACTTTCAACCGTTTCGGCCGTTGCAAGGATCGTCATCCCACGAACCCACGCGTATACTTCTTGGTTCCCCCCGTTAGTCACAGCGTTGGGCCTTCTGACTGGAGACCTGACGGGTGGCCAACTCTGATTCCCTGGTGGACCCTTGTGGCATTGCGTCCGTTTTAATATCCCAACCGGGCTGGTATTTCCACTCCCGCTCGCTAGAAACCACCGTCATCTCAACGCCTTCCGCCCATCTCGCCTTTCCTCGAGATCTCCCGATCCTAGTGACCCATTGTTTTGTGGACTCAGCAAAGCTAGGTGTTGCACTGGTGGATTTTCGACTCGTGTCTCGCCAACTACCAACCTGCGTAACGATCTGCCCTGCCCAGGTCAAAAAGGTTGGCATCGAAGATCAAGAAACTTGGAGCACCAGGTGGCTTGTTGTCACGTCTTCTTTGACGTCTTTCTCACAACGACTTCCTGCACACTGCACCCATCGGCGCTTAGGGAAACCTTCTATCCGTTTCGCCTCCGCCAACCTTTCCCCTCTCCTCTTCACGCAATATACATCCCGAGAGGCTGACGCTCAAACGCTCTGGACCTCGTCACCCTTTATTCCGTTTAATTGCAGAACCCTGAGTCTGTTGCGCAAGCGCCCCGGCACTTCGATCAGACCCACCTTCGTCTCATCTCGGGGAAAGGACGCATTAGTCTCTTGTTTGTCCCTTTTTTTTCTCTTGAGATTTTCTTGCTGTGTTTCGTGCGTTAAGGTGTTGTTTGGTGTGCTTGGAAAGGACACCCCTGGTCAAATCCCATATCTTCGACGTTGACGTCGACGTTCATATCTTCGGTTTCTTGTCTCGTTGATCCGAGCCCTAAAACCGGTGCAAGAGTAGAACTCTCTCTTACCATGTCAATCGGCGGCCCTTGTCTCTGGGTCCCTTCTTTATCCTCGCCAGCTTCCTCGCCCCTGTCGACGGTCACATCCCATCTATCATCGGTTGCTCGTCACGGAGAGCGGGTTCCTTCGCTGCCACGGACCTCCTCGCCGCAGTTGGCGCTGCCTCGGGAACGACTTCCCGGTCTGTTTTCTCTCGGACGGTCTGCTGAGATGCAACGGGCTGGTGCGACGGCTGAGAATGCCTCAACCACCCCGATGCCGGTACACACTAGTTCGACGGCTGCCTCGGGCTCGTACGGGGGAGAAATCCCTTCGCGGGGTCTGGAGAGTCATGGGAGGGAAGATCTACTTCCTCGAGTCAAGTTGGAGATTCCGGGGTTGAATCAAATCAACTATGGCATGTCTCAGCAGCCTCATGGCGGATCTGGTCATGTGGGAGAGGCGTCGGATGCGTCTCAAGTGAGTCTGAATGCGAAGGATCAGCATGACCAGGAATCTACTGTGAGTCCCTCGGATGAGAGGGCCGATACAGTCGACACCGAGGACAGCAAGTCGCCATCACTGGAGAAGAAGAAGATGAAGCGATTCCGGTAAGCAGCCGTTGCATCGAGAGTGAATAGTAGGAAAATTGCTGATCCCGATCTATCGACAGGTTGACACACAACCAGACTCGTTTCCTCATGAGCGAATTCACCCGTCAAGCACACCCCGACGCCGCTCATCGAGAACGACTGTCGAGGGAGATTCCAGGCCTGACGCCGCGGCAGGTGCAAGTGTGGTTTCAGAACAGGTAGGCCTTCCATTCCTTTCCCTCTTTTGAGCTTCAAGTTACCACCTCGCTCACACTCCCTCCCACGCAGACGAGCAAAGCTGAAGCGTCTCACTACCAATGACCGCGAGAGAATGCTCAAATCACGAGCGCTGCCGGACGACTTTGACACGACGAAAGTGCTCCGCACTCCATTTGAGAGCAAGTCGACCGGACAAACACCCGTGGCCTCACCGCACGACTACGCCCCGAATCCCGATTTTGCAACACTGCGGACTCTCCGGACGGACTGTTTTCAACGGCCAAATGAAGACGACTACATGGTCTCGCCGCTGAGTTCTGCGTCGACCGCAGGAACGTACATGTCCTCTGCTGGGCAGGGGCGGACAGACGGCTTGTCTCAGTCCGGCATGATCTTTGGTCGACCGGCGGCGTCGGCTTCTATGTCAGATTTGCATAGGACGATTCGGAGTGATTACTCGCTCACTCGGTCCAGCAGTCTCTCCGATGCGTCTTCGCAGCAATCTACTTTCCACCCCAACATGCAACTTCACAATCGATTCGCTCCGCCATCAAATCAACCTGGTTTGCCGTATGGTCGACAGATGGACTATAGTGTGCCCCGACTCCCAGGTATGATGGCAGCCTATGACCAGCCACCGACATTCGAGGGCTCAGTCTCCCCAACCGATTCACAGGGTAACCAGCTGCCCTACGACATGAGCAATCTAGGTAGGTGCACTTATTTACAAGCAAAAGCAAGAACTAGCCCTAACAAACACCAGGCACCCAACCCCAAAGCTACCAACCCCACCTGGCCATGTCCACAGCAAAAGACTACAGCGGACTCGGAATGACCTCACAACTGAACCACGGCCGCCCAATGTCCACAATGCAATCTCTCCCCCAACAAGACTACCGCACCTTCTCCTACGCCAGCCCATCCGGCTCAATGGGCACAATACCCTACACGCAATCCAACTCCTCAACCATGAGTCTCCCAACCTCCTTCGCCCCCACCGAGTCCGGATCAACCGCTCAAGACCCAATGAACCAACAAAATCCCGATCCCCTCCGAAACAAATTCAACCCCCCATTCAGCTACCCCGGCTATATCCAGCAATGATGAGGTGCGGACACTTCCATTGCAACAAAGATCTTCTGCAACATTCGCGGGTTTATTTCTCATCCAGCTTGGTCTGGCTTCGCCTGGACATTATATTGACCAGAGTATCTCTGGCTTACTTTTTCAATTCGTTTCTCTTTTCCTCTCGGCCACCGGGCATTCGATCCATATGAGCGTATTTTTAATCCTAATTTTATCATAGCCTTTTCCTACCGTCAATTTCTTTCTGTCTGCTTTGGCCTATTTCTACTAAGTTGTCCCTCTGCATTGTTTGGTTTATTGGCAAGTTGTCGTTTATGGGTCCGGTGGTCCAGCGTTGTCGTTTTTCTCGTGGTTGAGCCCAACATAGATTTCACCGCTGGTTGGATTTTTAATGTTAATTGCGTCTTCCTATGCACATATATTTCTGGGATATCATCGGCAAGGGCTAGCGAAGCCGTTAAGAATACAATGGAGACTTGTGTGTATATTATGTTATAGGCATAGATCATGGTTTTTTTCCCTCCGAGATATGGACATACCATCACAATCCTTCGATACGGGCAATCCATGTGCAAGCACCTCATTTGTTGGTGCACATGTCTACCCTGGCTTTCTGGCGTCTTTGCTTTTTTCCGCCTATGAGAGCACACTGCAGTACATTAACACTAACCACAATGAGAAAGGTGTCATGCTTCTATCACATCAGGTAGATTAAAGATTCGACGCTTTCCTGCTCAACTCGTCTACCCCCCATACCGTTGCTGAACAAACCCGAAGTATCACATCAAGTGGTGCGGCCCGATGATTTATGGGTTAAGGTAAGGGGTCGGGGCGGGTATGCAGATCTTCGCCTTATCACCCGATGGGCTTGCCGCCACACTGTCTAACGCTATAAACAGCGACAAATAAACTGTTTACAAAGACTGAAGAATACTGTATAACTTATCATGCGTAGACATCTCCATTGAGTGCTGGTTACATCTGAACTTGTTTTTGTCTCAACACTTTCTCGTCCTACTTACTACACGAGATCAAGGGGATAAAGAGAGTGTTCTTTTTAGGAAAAACACACAATATAGAACACAGTGCGGAAAGGTGTACTTTCACTAGATATTTGATCTCAGGGCCAAGGGGTATTACACAACATTATATATTGGCGACGCCCTGATCTTACGTTTGATCTTATCTCGGCTACGTTATGACGGCATATCATCAATCGTATCTTTGCATCTAATACCGGCATGAGGCTTTTCAATCCTGATAATGTTTCCAGTCGCAGAGTCAAATATCACAGAGAAAATTCCTCGCTCAGTCTAACGCAAGAGTCCATTAGATGCGACGAAAACATAGCTCCTCCGACCAAGATGTCGAAAATAACACCAAAGACACCGAACAGACGAAATCATTCACCGTCCTCCTCGAGACAGAAAAAGATCTTTACAATAATCACTCTGTCCTGCATCAATGTCCTTGCCTTCTTCTCTGAAACAATCGACTTTCCCGCCCTGGAGTCCATGTCCAAGGCACTAGACGATCCTTCTCCAAAATATACCTAACTCTCAGGGTCTATATGGTACGGACCCCTCCCACCTTTCTCACCCTCATTCTAACACACATAAACATGGAAAAGATCGCCCAAGCCCTCGCCCCACTCCTAACAGGCACCCTTTCCGACACAAAGGCGGCCGCCCGATCCTCCTCAACACCCTAGCAGCTTCGATCGGGCTGAACATCGGCCTAGCCCTACAAACCAACTACGCTGTCTTGAGCCTATACTACACCCTCCACTGGATTACCCAGGTCTGGCGTAATGACGTGCTCGATCAGACAATACAGAACTGCTTTGAAAAAAGCAAGATCATTTATCCGAGCACTGATAAGACGCCTCAGCTAGAATCGCTTGAACTCAGGCCTCTATATCAGAGCTTGATCGAGCGATTTCCTTCAGGGGAGATGCGCAGGAAGTTTTGTCTTTGGATGAATTCCTGAATCCGTCAAACGAAAACGACGTTGCAGAGCCTGATTTATCCGATATAATCGCTGATTTCTCTAATGACGGTGATGGTGCCCAGGATGACGAATATAGATCTGGGCCACCAGTGGATATGCCATCTTGTATCTGAGGCGATTAATAGCATTCAGAATGCTATACTACGGGCTCAGCATCAAGAGGGCACTACCGAGCAAGATATCCGTCGTTTGGAGGACATAGAACGTCTTTTCACTACGCTACAGAAGGATGGGAAGAAGCAGAGGACACTGTACGATTGATGGACGCCCTGAATAGGAAATTATACACGTCGATTAATTATTCCAGATATATTAGTCATCCTACCGCCTTGGGCACAATTCATATTAGGCACGTAAATTCTGTTGCACGGCGGGGCGTGCTGAAAGCGGGAGCTGACTATATATCGAAAACACACAGCAACTTGGACATTTCCCAACGACACGCGCAAACACGAGAAAATATCACATTATGTCTAGCTGATGGTAAAATGGATCAATCTGAAAGATATGAAATCTTTACAAACCTCGCAATTCCTCTGAAAATGGATGTTCCTGAACCTTCCAGGCAGTGTTGACCTTGAATACTTAGAAGGTTAGCACTAGCGGGGTCTACTGCACTCCCGCCATGTCATGCATGCTTCTCTCATCGAATCACTGACGAGACAATGGTCATCCTCGTCTGCCCTGCCAGCAACTCGTCTGCGATGAGCCAGTGAGAAGTCGCGCATTTGTAGTGGCCAAAACGGGTAACCAATCATGGGCGACTAGTCCAGGAATGTCACATGACTATACCGGCAGCGCCTAAACAGCCAGCCAATCAGCGCGCGCGCATTGGCAATCATGCCAGCAGTTGTGACGCAGACGGGCGCCTTCCTGTTGCTATAAGAACAATTCGCCTGTTCGCAGGTTTTCTTTTCCTATTCTCATCAGCTCAAGCTCAAAGCAATCCTTACTTGATTCTCTTGAGTCTCAAACCTTTGGATTCCGCGATCTTCGTGAACGTTACTTCAACTTCAAGCACCATCTTCGAAACTACCGATCTACATCACCAAACCACCGCCAAAATGGTCCACCCCGCTTCCACCTGCTGCAAGACCTCCCAGGACGGAGGCTGCGTCTGCGCCGCGCAGGCCAAGTGCTCCTGCGGCAAGGAGAACGCCCTCCACTGCTCCTGCAACAAGTCTGCCACCGAGAACACCATCTCCGGGCCCCGCTGCTCTTGTCGTATGTCTCCTACAAACTCCTACTAGAACCCCACAGATATCACATCGAGAACACTGCTAATCTATTAATAGGCTCCCGTCCCGCTGGCCAGTGCACCTGTGAGCGCGCCGTGACCGAGAACCAGGCTATTTCCGGCGAGACCTGCCCCTGCGGCAGCCGTCCCTCTGGTAAGTTTTTCTACCAGCGTAAACCCCGCTAGAATGCCGGGATATCTTCTGCGAACCGGTGCTAACTTTATCTCTAGCTTCCTGCACCTGCGAGAAGGCCGAGGGTATTGAGTCCGCTCTTGAGGTCGACTTCACCACCCGCTCTTGAGATGTTTGTTCGAGATGGCTGATTTGCATTTCCTTTGAACATGCTGTTCTAAGGCGGCGTCTGGATGATTATAAGGGGTTCATTCAATTGCTTTGTACACTATTCTTTCCACTTTGTGGTTATTACGAGATATCAATTACATCGGTATTCACAATTTTATTTTTGGAACAAGTAATACTGTAGACATGGGGCGTATATACTGTGTCATGAATCATTCGTGGATATCTTTGATCAGCAGAAACTGAGGGTTTCATCGCATCTCAAATATAGCAACACCAGCTCCAAATACTGTTTGTTGAGACAGTGATCACGATCCAAATAATACAGATAACACGTAACTCATCAAACTGAGGCACACAGTATACCTTACGCTATTCAGTAGCAGATCGTACACTGTACCCTTTGAGGTACTACCGTACTAGTGTTAAGGTACGGGGTAGCACCGCCACAGCGCATCAACATTAATCCTGCGCCACAGCGGAACCCGTCGATCGACAGCGGAAGTGGCCCAAGGCCAAGCACCATGGGATTCTCTGCTCGACCTGCTCCTCGGCCACTCTTGGGGGTCTTTTTCATCGACTGTTCTGCGTACGTTGCACCTACCTCATTCTGTCCGGGCCGACGCGCCACCTTCCGCACGCATTGATTCCTCGTGCTGACTCCCGCCAGCTTCCCGACCGTTTAACCCCCTGTTTCCCAGCGCGCCAACAAACACCACCTCCCCATTCCTGGCTGGCCAATGCTCCTTCGAAACCTCGACGCTTCAGGGACATGGTTGTGTGACGTGGTCAGTCCGATCGCGAACCCCTGAGGTGATCTCCGCGTGGCATGCGAGTTGTACACTCGACCCCACCCCGAACTCCTGCACCTACCTGCAATACACCCACACGCCCTGAGCTGAACACCAGCCTGCATCAAATTACAGCTGCAGTCAGAGCCAGACCAGAATGTCGTCGATGCGGGGACTGGTCCAGTTCATCGCGGACCTGCGAAATGCGCGGGCGCGAGAACTGGAAGAGAAGCGCGTGAATAAGGAGCTGGCCAACATCCGCCAGAAATTCAAGTCGGGCAATCTCAACGGCTACCAGAAGAAAAAATACGTCTGCAAGCTGCTCTACGTGTATATTCAGGGCTACGATGTCGACTTTGGTCATCTGGAGGCGGTCAATCTTATCTCGTCGAATAAATACTCCGAGAAGCAGATCGGGTATCTGGCTGTAACCTTGTTCCTGCATGAGGAGCATGAGCTGCTGCATTTGGTCGTCAACAGTATTCGAAAGGATCTGTTGGATCATAATGAGTTGAATAATTGTTTGGCGTTGCATGCTGTGGCTAATGTTGGTGGTCGTGAGCTTGGAGAGGCGCTGGCGACGGAAGTTCACCGGCTGTTGATTTCACCGTGAGTTCTCCCCTCCCTAGGTAAAAAAAGCCTTTGCTGATATTCTGCAGAACCTCGAAAGCCTTTGTCAAGAAAAAGGCCGCCCTCACCTTGCTTCGTCTTTACCGCAAATACCCCGGGATTGTCCGCAGAGAATGGGCCGAGCGAATTATCTCGATTATGGATGACCCCGATATGGGAGTCACCCTCTCAGTGACCTCACTGGTTATGGCGCTCGCCCAAGACATGCCCGACGAATACAAGGGCAGTTATGTCAAGGCTGCGCAGCGGTTGAAGAAGATTGTGGTCGACAATGACATTGCGCCTGACTACCTCTACTACCGCGTGCCATGCCCATGGATCCAGGTGAAATTCCTTCGTTTGTTGCAGTATTACCCGCCATCCGAAGACAGCCACGTCCGCCAGATCATCCGCGAATCCCTCGCCCAAATGATGGCATCTGCCATGGAAACCCCCAAAAACGTCCAGCAGAACAATGCCCAAAATGCCATTCTCTTCGAAGCCATCAACCTCCTTATCCACCTCGACTCTGAGCATAACCTCATGATGCAGATTTCCTCCCGCTTGGGCAAGTACATTCAATCCCGCGAGACCAACGTGCGATACCTGGGTCTGGATGCTATGACACATTTCGCCGCGCGAGCCGAAACCCTTGACCCGATCAAGAAGCACCAGAATATCATTCTTGGATCTCTCCGAGACCGCGATATTAGTGTCAGGCGAAAGGGATTGGACCTGCTGTACAGCATGTGCGACACTACAAACGCGGGTCCGATTGTCAACGAGCTTTTGCGATACTTGCAGACCGCGGATTACGCCATTCGTGAGGAAATGGTGCTGAAGGTTGCCATTCTGACCGAAAAGTACGCGACAGATGCGCAGTGGTATATTGACATGACACTCAAACTGCTGTCCCTGGCGGGTGACCACGTCAACGACGAAGTATGGCAACGAGTCATTCAAATCGTGACCAACAACGAAGAGTTGCAGGCATATGCCGCCCACACCCTGCTCGGCTACATGAAGAACGACTGCCACGAGAGCCTGGTGAAGATTGGGTGTTACGTGCTGGGTGAATTCGGTCATCTCATCGCCGATAACCCTGGATCCAGCCCGATTGAACAGTTTCTGGCTCTGCAGGCTAAGATGTTTACTGGATCTGACAACGCGCGGGCCATGATCCTCTCATCTTTTGTCAAGTTCGTCAACTTGTTCCCCGAGATCAAGCCGCAACTCCTGCAGATTTTCCGCCTGTACAGCCATTCTCCCGACTCCGAGTTGCAACAACGAGCATTCGAGTACTTGTCGCTGGCGACTCTTCCTACAGATGACTTAATCAGGACAGTCTGCGATGAAATGCCGCCGTTCTCCGAGCGAACTTCTATTCTCTTGTCACGCCTGCACCAGAAGACGGCCGGCACAACGGAGAAGAAGACCTGGGTGGTTGGCGGCAAAGACGCCAACGCCGATAAGCAGGAAGTGCTTCTGGCCCAGAACACTGGTCTCAAGCGTACCTTCACGACGATTGTTAATGGCACTCGGACCGGATCGAACGGCACACCGACCAGCGGGGCGAACGCCTCGGGCTTGGGCGATCTGGCCGGCCTAGACTTCAGCGGCCCGTCTCCGCCCGCTCCCAACCTTGCCAGCGCAGCCCACCTGACCCCAGACTGGGACATTGGATTCAACCGTCTATACTTCACGCAAGAAGGTGTGTTGTTCGAAGACGCACAGATCCAGGTTGGACTTCGCTCGGAGTATCGTGGTCACATGGGTGTTGTCAAGCTGTACATTTCCAACAAGTCCACCTACTCAATCACCTCCTTGACAACCACCATCGATAACCCGGCCTCTCCAAACCTGAAGATTGACACAAAGAACCTCCCCGACTCGACCGTCCACGCCGCGGGCCAGACCCAGCAAACGCTTTTCTGCGCCGTACATAAACCATTCAGCGATGCGCCCACCATCCGTATCTCCTACCTGGCCGGTGCCCTGCAGGCATACACCCTGCAGCTCCCAGTCCTCATGCACAGGTACATGGAGCCATCGTCACTGTCAGCTGAAGACTTCTTCAAGCGCTGGCGCCAGATTGGCGGCGGACCGCTGGAGGGACAACAGACGTTCGGCGTGACGGCGAAGAACAAGACTGCCACAGAAGGATTCACCCGCAGGACTGTGGAGGGTTTCGGTTGGAAGATTCTCGAGGGCGTCGATCCGAACGAGAGGAACCTTGTTGGATGTGCCGTGTTTCAATTTGAAGGTGGAAAGACGGGTTGTTTGATGCGGCTGGAGCCGAACTATGAGAAGTCGGTATGTAGCCTCCTCCCCCCTTCTCTTCATCAGAAATGGATACTAATGTGGAATTAGATGTACCGGGTTACGATCCGCGCAACACAAGAAGGCGTCCCGCAGGCATTGGTCAAGCAGATGGAGCAGAAGCTTTCGCAGGGAACTATCAAAGATCCATACGAGTAGTACTGCATTTTTACTTACAAGGCGACGGGATATGTACTTATATCAGCTCTTAGCCAATATCAGCGAGGATTCAGATCTTCGATTGTTTATACATTCAATAGACAGCATTAATACTTTTCCCTCACGCTGTAATCTGCGCGAGCTCTGCAGGGGTAGTGTATATATATAGATCTTCCACCACACCTTCGAACACTCTCCTCACCAGAATAAAATCTAAATAACCCTCGCCTCATTCTTAGGCGGCCTATCCCCAAAGATCGTAGTACCCACCCGAACCTGGTCAGAACCTAACGAGATAGCCCCCTCAAAATCCTGACTCATCCCCATACTAAGCTCCAACTCTTCACCCTGCAACCCTATTTCAGAAACAATAGCATCCCTCACCTCCCTCAGCCGAACAAAGTCCTCATTTTCATTCTCCACCGTCGTAGCCTTCGACCGCGCAATCGCCCCGATGGTCATAACACCCTGCAACTTGAGTCGCGGGCACTTCTCCCGAATATGCCGCGCCAACCCCGGTGCCGAAGCAGGCTCGATGCCGGCTTTGTTTTCCTCACCGGATGTATTGACTTGCACGTAAACGCGTAATCGATCCTCCGGATCTACGTCCGGATCTGAAGCGTCCTTGCGGGCAGCCCTCTCTTCGTCGTCAGGTTTCCGCTCCCCCCATCCCTTGTTCAGTAACGTCGCCTTCTTCTCAGAGTCAACACTCTCAACAGCCCAGAGACCCCGTACATCCCGCGCGAGCGTGACGCATTTATTTGATTGCAGTCCGCCGATGAAGTGCCATTTGATTGTTGGTGGGAGCAGGCGGGATTTCTCAAGGAGTTCTTGCAGATAGTTTTCGCCGAAGTGGGTTTGTGTTGCTGGGGGTTGGTGGAGGGCGAGGATGTCGGAGGCGGGTTTTAGTTTTGAGACGGCGACGAGCCGGACGGGTTTGGGTGTTGCGCTTGTGCTGGATGCTGCTGTGCTCACGCGGGCGCTTACGGCAGCGAGGTTGGCGAGGAGGGTGCTTGTTCGTGCCGGGGTTGCGGTCATGTTTGTGGTTGTCATTGCAGGTTTGGCGATGTATAGTGTGTTGCTTGCTGCCAGCGATCTTACTGGAGCTGAGGGGTAGAAACGTGGTGCTGGCGGCAATTGCTCGAAATAGGAATTCCCCGTCTCCAATTTAATTTGGCCGAGGCTTTTGATAGCGGCCTTAGGCAGCGCCGCGGAGATTCCCGAGTCACATGACCTGACATATCCCCCAGACTCGGCCGCGATCAGGCCGAGATTCAGGCCACAAGGCACCGAACGACCCTTGCTTTGTCCGCCGTTTGCAGTGATCGACGTGAGATCATACCCTGCTTGATCTTCGATTCCACGATTCACTCGATCGGCCCATGCGACGCTAGGAATGCCGGTTTTACACTTTACTCAACCAGCACTGCCGCCCAACGGTGCCACCTGCCACTCCAGTGGTACTGTAGTTACCCCTCGGCCAGCCCTCGGCGCCAACTGACACCTCATCCGGTAGCTCCGGGTCCTGGCGGCTACCCAGACAGTTCCGCGTCCAATCAGGCCGAGAGAAGACCGGAAAAGAAAGCCCAGGGGCAGGGCGCCGGTTGAGTGCGGATCACGTTCGCACGCCGTTCAGATCTGAGCTCTGAAGAAAGTCGATCTGATTGTTGCCTTGTTCGCCCTGTTCGCCCTGTTCGCCCTTTCGTTTCGAACAGCTTTGATGCATCTATTTATAAAATGCTCGCGCCGCGTCAACCTGCTTGGCTATTTTCTTTCTGCAGAGCAAAGGGTTCACTGCACATGCAGCCCAGCCTAGCTCCAGCCTGCTCGGTTTTAGTTACCTCACATAACCAGCCCAGCCGCCAAGATCCGTCAATGAATTTGGACAAACCCCGTTCTAAAAAAACCCCGCGCCCTCGCAGACCGAAAGTCGTGGACCGGTCGATACAACCCCGTCGCAAAATGTAACCCGTCAGGCGCCGGATTGGATGGGGCAGGGCAGTGAACAACGGTCCACACCCGCGCGTCCGCTGCCACTGCACTTGACTGCAGAGTATTTATCTGACCGAAAGTCCCGGGCAGGGCATCGTAGAATCCGGCCGCTTCTGCAGTTTCTTTGACGTCAGACCCGGCACAGACCACGGTTCCCGGACGGCCATTCACTCCTAACCAGCCGTTATAGATCTAGAACATAAAGAGTCCGGACGTCTGCCTTTTGCGACCGCTTTTACACTCCAACCTCCTCGACCGTCCTCGACTCTCACGATTCAGCTGGTCTGAAACTTCTCCTCCTTCCCCTATTCTCTCTCCTTTTCGTCCCGGTAGGACGCTCCACATCCGGCCCATCCGCCATCGGCACACCTACTCCGATTCACCCAGGAGAAAATCACCCAGTGTATTTAAGTCGCTCCCGCGCTCAATTCCATCCTCTGAATTGTACCAGCACGACGAGGAGACGTCCGACCGCTTCGATCGACCTCGTTGGCGTCAGCTCTCCACCCGCTCTCCACTGACATCACCGGTGGACCAAAGCTTGACGCAACACCGCAAGAAAGCTGCATCTGATTTATCCATTGAAGTCGATACATTGAACTCCCTGGAGATTCTCCACAGATCGCCGAAATGTGCCGCCAATACTACACCCTCTACGAATGGTGCCACTGCGAAGAAGAAGCCGGTCACAGCGTCTGCGGTGGGCAACGCCGCAACAGCTGTCCCGGCGTAAGCGTCGAAACGGTCCACATGCACTGCTTCTGCAACTCGCACGCCTCGCGCGGCTTCAAGACGGAGAAGAAGAGCCGTAAGCAGGAAGATAAGTGGCGGCGTCGGTCGCAGAATTCGCAGACCTCTTCCGCGTCTGATTCTGGCTCTTGGGATGAGAAGGCTTCGATTGGGAGGAGGTGGTTTCAGTGGTATCAGTGGCGGGGTTTGCGGTCGCGCTAGAGCCCCTTCCCTATCCTGCTCAGGGGTGGTCATTGATGACTCGGATCATCAAGGTGCTTGAAAGTGCGAATGATGATCAATTTCGATTCGTGTGATTTTTTTACTGGAGGCCTTTTCTTTTATTTTCTTTTTTCATGACTTGATTGGTGATTTTTGATTTTTTGAATGTTTTTTTCTTTGGAAAATATTCCATTCAGCTTGGTGTTTGGGAAGGCGTATTGAGGGCAATGTCTCACGACGACGACCTGGGTGGTTTTATGCTTCATGTTGACCTTACGAGATTTTGTTCTTTTTCGATAGAGGATTAGAACACTACAATCGAGCTAGATTTTTCGAGTCATACAGTGTATGCTGCAGTGTTGGATATGTAAGCGGATCCCGGATCGGGATTTGGGGTAGAATTGGTCAGGTCTTGGCGGTATTCTAAAAGGCATTGATCCAGTGTCAACCTCTTTGGGAATTGGGTTCGAATCCCTAATTCTTCACACTGCCATGATGGCAAGAAGTGGAATTTTTGGTCTGTAAATCAGGCATCAAAAACGAGTTCCGACAGTTGCGAATGGAGGTGGCTAGAGGCTGATTAGGTAGGAAGTCGGCAGATGGTCGGGTAGACAATTAAATAAGTGACTGAACAAGTGATCAATTAGTAGGTACACTTCTATTGGTAGTATGCTACTAGGGTGAGAAGGAGTGCCGAAAATAGACAAGTTATGGTGGAAACTAATTCCGAAATTGGCAGCATACTTGACCTGCTCCGACTTGCGCAGCTACGGGACGCCAGCGAGGGTGGTAGATGGCAAGAGAGTATTTATAGAGATAGAGCTATATTGAATTAATCCGCCATACACATAAATGAGAGAATGTGCGTTTGATTTACCCCCGAAGATGAATGAAAAGGGAGGGTAGTTTGGAAGCTGGGATGAGCATGGTGGTCCCGTGATCTCCACAGTTTATTGCAGCTGCTCCACCGGCGATAAGATGGAGACCCCGACTTCACGCTATTGTAGGTAGAACTGTCGACAGGAGGCACATTAAAGTGATAAGTGAATTGATAAATAGAGTAGAAGAAGGCGTAATTATATTGTAGTTATAGAATATCAGACATATTCAGGTGAAACACGGTAGACCCAACGAGCATGCAAGAATGCCTGTTGTTTGTAGGAATGGAGCGATCGGCTGGCCCCTTGCCCGTTGCGACCACCCAGCAACATTCATCCCGCATCTCCTTTTCCTTCACCTCATCCTCTGCAACTGCCAAACACAATCCCATTGTCGCCTGTCGGGTCCTATACTTCTGGTCGCGTCCCGCGCAGGTGTATGAACCCGTCTACGATCTGGCATAATGGAGCCCTCCAACGCGCCCCAGGACGATCCGCCTCCCAGATCTATGGACAAGGCAGCTCCCAGCAACCAGACCATTCACGACAATGCCTCCAATGACTTGAGTGACTCTTTGAATCGTCTATCGCTGGCCAACGCCATGGCGACACCTCTTCCAGCTTCTCCTTCACTGCTGTCGCCCCGCGGCGCAGCGTCGCGTTCCCCAGTGAATCCAGCGCCATCCACCCCTCGGCGCACCCCCAGCTTAAATTCCCTTCGTGATGAGCGTAGGAAGTCGACTCCTCTCCCCATTCTACAAAAGCGACAGTCGACAGCGTCTCTGCGATCAGTTTCAAATCAGACAATCCCGCCCTCCCCTCGCGCCGACTCGTCACGTCGCTCTTCCGCCACTATCGCGGGGTCCCCGACCACCGCCGCAACACCTGCAATCATGCCGCCACGCCTGGCGCAAGCCCCTGAGGGTCCGACAGCTGCGTCAATTGCTGCCGAGCATTTCCAGAAAGAAGTCGACCTCCACCAAATGGTGGACCTGGGCGCGAAGACAACCGTTCTGGTCCATGATGCATGCTATGGACATCGCTTCTCACGCCCGCGCGCCTCGAAAACTCAGCTGAGCAATATTTTCGAAAGACCCGAGCGCATCCGCGCCTGCGTCGTGGGCATTGCAGCAGCATACGTCCGGCTGGGTCGTCGTCATGCCGGCGAGAAATTCGCACCTCACCCCAACCTCGACCTTCACTCTCTCCCACCTCCTTTTCAGATGCGCAAGACATCGCGCACTCTTCCTCTCACCAACGAGGCTGTCACCAATGTCCACGGAACCAAGTGGATGGCAGACCTCAATACCATGTGCGACGTCGCCGAGTCGCGCCTCGCGCTGACCGGAAATGAACTGGTTCGACCGCCTGTTCAAGGTGAAGACGGCCAGGCTCCGAGTAAGCCCCCACTTCACTCAGGCGATCTGTACCTGTGCTCCGAGTCCATAAATGCGTTCGAAGGTGCCCTCGGCGGCGTTTGCGATGGTATCGACGCCGTCTTCGGACCGAGCCTGACCTCGCGGGCGTTTGTTTGCATCCGTCCGCCTGGCCACCACTGCTCGGCCGATTTCCCGTCCGGCTTTTGCTGGATCAACAACGTCCATGTCGGCGTTTCCTATGCAGCCACAAACCACGGATTGACCCACGCGGCAATCCTGGACTTTGATCTCCATCACGGGGATGGCTCGCAGGAAATTGCCGCGGACCATAACTACAAGGCCGCGACGGCTCCGCGCAATTCGCCGGCCTATAAAAAGGCGACAATCGGGTACTTCAGTCTCCACGATATCAACTCGTACCCCTGCGAGGCTGGCGAGCCCGAGAAGGTGCGCAATGCCTCTGTCTGTATTGACGGCGCCCACAACCAGCACGTCTGGAATGTCCACTTGCAGAAGTGGACCACTGAAGCCGAGTTCTGGGACCACTACGAGACCAAGTACAGGATCCTGATTGACAAGGCACGAGCGTTCCTCCGCCACCATACCGAGCGCCTCTACCAAAACCCGCATGGCCCGCAGCCCAAGGCAACCATTTTCATTTCTGCTGGCTTCGATGCTAACCAAGGGGAATATGCTGGCATGCAACGGCACGGGGTGAATGTGCCGACTGGGTTCTATGCCCGATTCACCGCCGATGTGGTGCGCATGTCGGAAGAAGACGGCCTTGGTGTGAATGGTCGTGTGATCAGCGTGTTGGAGGGAGGCTACAGTGACCGAGCACTGACCAGTGGTGTGCTCAGCCATTTGTCTGGATTCGGCACCGACTCGACAGATGACGCGGTCAAGCCCGAAGGGCTTAGCGATAGTGTTTTGTGGGCTTTTGACAAGCTGTCAACTCGATCTGAGGAAAGCTATGATCCTGCATGGTGGTCCGAGAACATGCTCACCGAGCTGGAGGCCGTCACATCTCCCCCGCCAAAGGATGATCGCGAAAGAGGATATTGGAAGGAGACTCGCTCCTCCTCAGCCAAGAAGGTGACGACTCCGCGCAAGTCGTTTGGATCGAGCATCGCTATCGAACCGAATCTTCAGCCTCTACCTGAAGTGGGATGGGCCACAGCAGCCCACGAGCTCTCCAAGATCCTGATCCCCGAGACCCGTCAGACCACAAGCTACCGGTCTGAAGAGCTCAATGCCGAAGCTAGTCGCCAGCGTCGAGAGCGTCAGATCGCCTTAGATGGCGGTATCAACCCGGACATCATCCCTCCGCCGCCACCAACACCGATTGATGAAAAGCGACAGCTTCGCGCGCGCAAGTCCAAGTCACCTACACCTTTCTACTCGCCTCGTGTTACGACCTCTCGGCAGCAGGCAATGCAGAAGGGCCGGCGCACTACCATCAACAGCAATGATGTCTCAGATCCGACACAAAACTCTCCCACAGTGGCCGCAAGTCGCCGCAAGAGTACCAGTGGCGTTGCACCGGTCGAAATGACGAACCTGACCAGTTCAACCAACGGAAACGAGAAACTAAGCCGAATGCCATCGTCAGCAGCGTCTATCAAATCGACCGCATCTATCAAGTCGAAAACCGGCACCGTGACCGGCCTACGCAAGCCCAAGTCCCGCCCCGAGACACCCAAGCGCTCTTCCAGTCCTAAAAAGACACCCCCCGTACCCAAGGTACCTAATGTGTTTCTGGAATCAGATCCACCGGCGCCTCAACAGCATCCGCCACCCCTCCCCCTTCTGATGATGTCGAAAATCTAACCTCAGGTTTAAAAAGGATAAAGTTAGTCATGTCATCCGCCGGAGATCGGAAAGCAGATCGAGCGGATCGCGCAGCAGATCAAGCAGCCAGCGAGGAGAAGCCCAGAGAAGAGCGCAAAGTATCGAGAGGGCGCTCGCCGCGGAAGCCGAGCAGCAGTACAAGGACACCGCGCTCGAAATCAGCTGTATCAACCAAGTCGACGCCAACAACCCCCAAGTCGGCCCCAGCCAAAGCCAAGTCGGCCCGAGGAACGACACCCCCTCTGCCCGTTCCCCCGGTGGGACTGGGCGTGGGCGTAAACGTCGGCGCGGCGGATGAAAACAAAGAGAAATTCCCGATGGGTCTGGACGGGGCACCCGATATGGCTCGAGTCATCTTACCGTGGGAAATGACCACTGAGAAAGCCACCGAAACAAGCATCGCCGAACCAATGTACTCGGCCTCCAAGCCCGCGGAAACAATGACCCCATCTCTCCCCACAACGCGCCCGGTGGAATCAAATTACGTCTCTACGGGGATTTCACAACCCCATACGCCTGAAATGGCCACTATGCCCGATGCATCGACCCTGAGTTACCCAAATACATTCTCGCCGGCCACGACAGCCGCCTACACCAAACAGGGCTTGCCAGTCTTTACGTCCAGCAGTCCAATCCCCTTTGCACCGACCGATCAGCAGCCAAGGACTCAGCCGCTGCCTCAACTTCCGCTCCAGGAGTCCGCGCATCAACCCCGGCATGTCCCCAATGACGAGGATAGTCCTCTTCAGGCGCCGCCGCCGCCGCCGATTGTGAATAATTTTTCGCAGAATCCGCGATTTTATTCTCAGTGATTGTGGTTCTGGATGGAAGAATTGGCGTTGGCTCGTTCTTTGCCTTTTTATAACCGGGCTGAATCATCGCGGTCTGATTCTTATTTTTACCATTGATGTTCTTTTCCTTTCTTTCTTTTCTTTTCTTTTTTTTTTTTTTTTTTTTTTTTTTTGTGGCGTCGGATCCGGACGGTGTGGTGTGGTCATTTGTTAATATATACCCCTTTTGTATGGACTTTTTTGCAGGGGTTAGGTCTGGATGTACCATATGCAATTCTCTATTCTCATTCTACTCCAGCAATGTAGTATGTAGTAGTAATATGTTTATACAATCTGTCCCCACCAATCGCCACCCCGCCAGATAAGCCGCCCTCCACCAATCGCCTCGGTTCTTTCCCGGCTGTTCCCCGCACGGCGACGCCCGACATTCGGAGATGCTCCTGTCGGCCAACCCCGACTTCTACAAAACCAGCACCATCCCCATCTTCTCTCAATTGTCCTCCACACCTCTCACTCCAACCGACAAAATGGGCAACGACAAAGTCAGCGCCTACTACGCGCCCACGGGCGGGCTCCCTCTCAATCGCAGCTCCTCACCGACCGCGCCATGTTCACAGAAGCCTACACCGTCATTCCAAAGGGCACATTCCGTGACATCGTGACCAGCTTCCTCCCCTTCTGGGAGCAGACCCGACTCTGGGTCATCGCGCGCCCCCTCTCCGGCTTCGCCGAGACCTTCTCCCAATACATCATGGAAGTCCAGCCCGGCGGCGGCAGCTCGCGCGCCGAACTCGACCCCACCGCCGAAGGCGTGCTGTTCGTCGTCGGGGGCGAAATCACCGTCAGCCTCGATGGAAAGTCACACATCCTCACCGAGGGCGGCTACGCCTTCCTCCCGCCAGCTAGCGGGTGGACGTTGCGGAATCAGGGCTCCACGACAGCGCGATTCCACTGGATCCGCAAGGCGTATGAGGCTGTCGAGGGGCTGGAGAAGCCCGATCCGATCTTCCTGAATGAGAAGGATGTGCCCCCGACGCCCATGCCGGATACGAATGGGGCGTGGGCGACGACGAGATTTGTGGATCCGAACGATCTGCGCCATGATATGCATGTTACAATTGTGACTTTTGAGCCCGGTGGTGTTATTCCGTTTGCTGAGACGCATGTTATGGAGCATGGGCTTTATGTGCTGGAGGGCAAGGCTGTTTACAGACTTAATCAGGATTGGGTTGAGGTTGAGGCGGGCGATTTTATGTGGTTGCGCGCTTTTTGTCCTCAAGCTTGTTATGCGGGTGGTCCGGGGAAGTTCCGGTATCTGCTTTACAAGGACGTTAATCGTCATATGAAGCTTTCCAGGCTGTGAGGGTGTCGCAGTGTGATGCGCCGCTAATGCGGCTGGTGGGGCTTATGCATGCCTCGAGGTATGGGACGGATTGGGGGTTTGGTGAAGTCCGCTGTTTGGCAGCTGGTTAGATGATGGATAAACGAAAAATGTTCTGTTTATGTACAAATTATACCATATACTATTTCAACTATTACTTTCCTCTTTCTCGCATTTGTAGTACCAGCTTCTATCAATTGTCAAAATGATCGACCTGGTCGAAAGTCTCAGTGGTAGTATAAGACGCTATTCAAGAGATACCAAAGCAAAGAAATTAAATCCGCATCGATTACTAACAAACTTATACCAATCTATATGAATATACCAAGCCCCTCCTCCCAACACCGACACTATCTACTCCACCTGCTTCGCCATCCCCACCCTCCTTGGAACCTCACCCTTCCTCCTCCCCCTCCGTCTTCCCCTCTCCCAAAAGCCCCCTTGCCAAAAACAAAATTTAAAACAGAAGACACAAGATCCGACGTAAACTCAGGAAAATTCTTGATAAGCTCGCAAGTAAGCACCGGCTCCACCGGCTCCCAAAGTCTCTTCAGGTTCGACACAATAGCGTCCGCAACTCGCCATAAATAGCATGAGTCGAGTAGATCTCCTCGATCGTCTTCGCAAATGAGTCTGCATCCGGCTTGTCCATTAACGTTTGGAAAATTAGGTTTTGGACTTGGATTGTGGATCAGGTATTTCGAAGTAAGAACCTTCGCCGTACATGCGCGCATGGAAGTAGCAGGGCCCGCAGGTTATTAGGAAGTCGGTGGGTGGGGATGAGTCGGGAGTGGAAGAGGTTTGGTCGGTTTCTGTGTCTGAGGGAAGAGAGGGGGAGGGGGAGCGAGGGACTGGTTTAGGGCTTAGTAGGTTGGCTTCGAGAGATTTTTGAAGAGGCGGAAGTCCGAGGAGACGACGCCTCTCGGGATGGCGTAGTCTGCTTGGTAGAGGAATTTGAGTGTCTTTTCGAGTAGGATTGGGTCTCGGTCTATTTTGAGAGGTTCCTATAAGACCCATAGCATTAGTGTTAGGATGATAAATTTCTTATTCGGAGGTGATGCTTTATACCTCGGAAGAACCTGTGCATAGTCTATTCAGGTGTTCTGATTGTTGGCAGAAGATGAGTTTATGAGCAGCGGATTGTCTGCATTCACAGATTATGGTCAAGCCGCTGTATTCCGAGTTGAGATGCATTCTGTGGATCTGAAAACGTTAGAATGGATGCGTGCATGGTCCGATGGGTTGGAGGTGCTGACCTTGCGACAAGATTTTGGAGGGTATATCGGTCCTCTTTGATTCTTCAGGTATGACGGGTTCGGATACCACGCTAGAAGGGAGTCCGAATGTTCTCTTTCCAGGGAGTGCCTTGACAGGCATGGTTAGCGTTATCCATCTACGGGATGGATGTTACATTGTGCAGCACAGATGCTGCAGAGAAGTGGAACTCGGTGCTTCAATTCAAGATGGATAAGATGTCGATGAAGAGGTATCTACTATATAGTCATTGAGGGATTGAAGATAATGCGGTGTCCATTGAACGCCCTTTGGTAAGAAATTGAATGGAACTAATCTTAAGGGTATATTACGTGTTCGACAATATCAAAGGTTTCGGGCGATGTGCATCCCTTGATTATGCTTTGTTAAGCCTCGCTCTATTAGCTACCGAGCCTCTAGGCTTTCATCCCTTTGACTTTGAACAATAACTGACTCGGGAAAACTGCAGGTGACGATCAAATGGATATTCTTTACAAAATGAGCTCTTAAGCTTCTACGATAATTTAATCATCTAGAAGACAAGGTAGAATTGTCTAATGTGCTGTCTGTATACATCGGGAGACGAACCCCCGACCGCCGATGATGAGCTAAGCCACTGGAAGCTTCTCCGCATTAGTCAAACTTGCCAGCGACTTCCATCTCAGTTGCGGACCTCCAAATATTTCCTCAAGTTTCCCCGATCTTTCTTTCTTTTGCATTTACTATCGCATCCTTTCATTCAGTCATGTCCCCCATAAATATGTCCCGGGGCACGGGGGCCAGCACCCCGCAATCCGAATCCTTCACTCAAATGGCCGACTCCGACCTCGAATCAATCGGCCGCCACTGCCAATTTGAATACTGCGGCCAACTCGACTTCCTCCCCTTCCGCTGCGAATCCTGCAAAAGCACCTTCTGCCTCGACCACCGCAGCGAAACAGCGCACAAATGCACCCATGCCGGCGAATGGGCCCGCCGACGAACCGGCATAACGCAAGAGAACCGAACCGCGCCCGAAAAACCAAACATCTACAACTCAGACCAGTGCGCGCATGTCCTCTGCAAAACTCTCATCAACACTCTCAAAGACCCCGGCGTGCGCTGCCCCAACTGTAACCGCCAGTACTGCCTCAAGCACCGCCTGCGCGAGGAACACGATTGCGCCAAGCTTACCCCGCTAGGCGCGCGGCCAGGCAACGGCGTTTCTCCCAATGAGACGATTAAGTCGATGTTTGGCAAGTTGCGCGGCTGGGGGAAGGAGAAACAGACTGCGACGGCGAATTTGATTCCGAAGACCAAGCCCAAGCCGAATAGTCCTGCTGCGCGCGCGGCTAGTGTAACGGCTATGAAGCGCTCGGCGAAGGGAGAGAATAATGTCCCTGCGGATCGGCGGGTGTATTTGCATACTGTTGGGACGGCGGATACGCAGGCTGCGGAGCCGCCGGCGGGGGATTTCTTTTTCGACTCAAGGTGGAAGGTTGGTCGGGTGCTAGATGATGTGGCGCGCAGGTTGGCTGTGGAGAATTTGAATAATCGGGCTGGGGGTGAAGAGGCGCGATTACGCATTTTTCACGTTGAGTCGGGTGATTTCTTGGAGTTTTCGGAGAGTATTGGGGGTGGAAAGGTGAAATCGGGCGATACGATTGTATTGCTTCGTGGGGCGGGGGTGGTTTTGGAGAAGTCATGATGCATTGCATTGCATTGCATTGCACTTTGCATTTTCTTTTTCTGTTATTTTTTTAGAGCATTTGATACCTAGAGCGTTTCTCATGAATAATACCTGATCTACACATGGACTTTATGAGACAATTGAGAGCATTTTGCAGAAATAATCTTTTTCTTAATTTCAAAACTGGTATCTTCTAAATATTATAACGTAGAACCATGACTCAATTAAACAAACAACACTCGCCCAGATCTACGCACTCATCTTCATCTTGATGATCTTGTGCGGCTTATATCCAATGACCTCAAACTCATCCTCCTTCCACCCATCAATAACTGCGCTACCCCGGTCCTCACGCTTGATTCGCAGCTCAGGGAACTCAGTCGGCTCACGAGTCAACTGCTCATTCAATGCATCAATATGATCAAGATAAATATGGGCATCGCCCATAGTATGAACCAGCTGACCAGGGTGAAGATCCGCAGCATGAGCTAGGATATGAGTAAGAAGGGCATACGAAGCAATGTTGAACGGAACACCGAGACCCATATCGCAAGAACGCTGATAAAGCAGACAAGACAGAGTCCCCTTCTCATTTGGCCGACCCGTCTTCTCATCAATCTTCATAGTCGGCGGGAACGAGACATAGAACTGCGCAAACATATGGCACGGAGGCAAAGCCATCTTTTTCAGATCAGCGGGATTCCACGCAGACATAATAATGCGACGATCGAAAGGCGAGTTCATAATCTTGTCCACAACATCTTTCAGCTGATCAACACCTTGTCCCGTATAATCCGCCTTGGCATCCTGATACTCGGCCCCGAAATGCCGCCACTGGAACCCATACACGGGGCCTAAGTCGCCCTCCTCGCGGTGACCCAGTCCAACCTTATCAAGGAACTCGCGGCTGCCGTTCCCATCCCAGATTTTGATTCCAGCCTCAGAAAGCGGGAGAGAAGATGTACAGCCGGAAATGAACCACAGCAACTCGGCGATCACGGCGCGCAGGAATACCCGCTTCGTTGTGAGGAGGGGGAGGATGGGGATCGGGGCTTCGCCTTCGGGATTCGGCTTGGAGAGAGAGAAGCGGAGTTGGTTTGGGAAGGCGATGGCTCGCGTGCCGGTGCCGGTTCGGTCGGGGCGGAATTCGCCTTGCACGAGGATGTTGCGGATCAGGTCAAGGTACTGGTGCTCCTCGTGGGAGGGATCGTGGGGAGGATTGGGAGTTGCGGGGGCGGCGGGGGCGACTTGTTCTTGGGTCATGATTGTTGTGGTCTCGTGGGACAGCTCGGGGTCTTTAATTATGTCTTGCTGTCTGTCTTTGTGGTGACTGTGAAGGTCTCGCGGCCGGCGGATCTGATTCGCGTCGACGCGACACGCTGTCACGTGAGTATATGGGTCACTTTACCCAAGGCATCAATGTTTATCCGTAGCAGTCAAAAATTAACGGCTGTGATTTTTGACCAATTTAGATGTAAACGAGTTCTCGATTCAAATCTTTCGGGCTTCAGACTGTTTTCAGCCTAGCTTGGAAAAAAAGACACTGCATTGTGATATCTCAATATTGGCACGGGACTGACTAGACTAAACTACCTATTCTATTCGTTTCTAAATAAAGGGCAAGATCACCGAGCTAGGATACTCCTCGCTGCAATGAATAATGTGCTTGCCGCGGTTCAATTCATGCTCCGGTCTCGGACGTGAGAAAGTCTTATACTCGGCAATGCTGGGGTATTGTCCACCGATCTATGCCATCAGTTAGCAAATCTGCAGACAGCAGAGAAAGAATGCGACATACCTTAACGCTGATAGATTCGTCCTCATCAAAGTCGACACCCATCGCCCAAATCCCAATCTCCAGCTTCACGACCGTACCAGGAGCGACCTTTTCCTGGCGTTTGTGGGGGTGGAAAGGGAACTGAGAGTGGATACTTCGCGAAGAATCAATTTCCCGGTGGGAGGCACGCAGGATGCCGACCGAACCAAGATGCAGATTCAGACTAGCCTGCTCTGCCTCGGGAATTTCATCGATTGATTTGACTGGCGTAGCATGGAATGGGAAATTGAGATGCATCAGCTCCTTCCCATTCTTATCCTTCTTGCGTAGGATGACGAAGACGGTGAAATCGTCACGCTCCTCGCAAGACATGTAAAGTACAGCCTTGGGCAGGCCGATGAGACGCGCCGGCTTTTCGAACTTATAATTGAATTCGGCAACACTGTGGCGATCCTCCGAGTCGTATTCGATCCGAAGTGTCTGTGGATAAGCAGTTATGGAGAGCTGTTGATCATTTCCGAGGAAGAACTGTCGGTACTCGGTTGAAGGCGCAGGAAAATCCTCAAGAACAATGTCGTCGATTGCTTCACGATCTCCGAATTGCAGAGCAGACCACCGAACCTTGGGAGTATCCTCCCAATCATTCTGTTTGCTCTTGAGGTATCGATCGAAGAATCGGCCGAGCTCCTCATTGGATTCGGGAACACTGTATAGTTCATACCATTCCTGCTTGCTTCCCCACTGAATCCATTTATTGGTATGAGGCACCTCCAACCAACCACGAATAGATCCCATAGTGTGGATCGAGCTCACATCAGATCCGCGAATAAAAACCGGGCATTGAACTTTGGTGAGGTCGGCTCTCTTGTCTTCCCAGAAGGGACTTGAGACATTTGAGCGGCGATACATCTCTTCAAAGTCCTCTAGACCAGAGCTCTCACTTCCGCGAACAATTGCCTTGGCAATAAGATCAAAGTTGCTCATGGAGAACCAACCACCGCGACAGAACTGCTCGCGATAAATATCACCAGACCCCTCCCAGGGCGCAATGGCTTTCAACGAAGGAGGTTGTTGCGCAGCGATGAACCATTGCGAAATGGCAAGCGCAGAGTTGCCCGCCATGCCGACTCTCCCATTACACCAGTCCATTTTCGCAATGGCTTCCACAACATCGTACCCGTCCTCTGCATCTTGTGTCCCCATAACACAAATCTGCCCGTCAGAATGCCCAGCGCCGCGAGTATCGACGCTGACAATAGCATAACCGCGAGGACACCAAGTCTGCGGATCCAGGCCTTCGAACTTCTCCAATCCACTGAGATCAGAGGGCTTCACGCAGCATTTCCAAACACACATGGGAAGCATTTCCAGCGCACTGTATTTCTTGCCGTAGAAAGACCAGCTCAGCACGGCCGGGACTTTCTCGTCGGTATTCGCGGGTCGGTAGACATCGGCGTATAAACGGACACCGTCGCGGACGACAATCTCAACGTCGTGGTCAAGACGGATATCGCTTTTGAGAGCTTTGGCATTGAATCCATTCCAGCCTTTGGGGAGGACTTCAGATTTCCCGCATTGGCATGGCTGGTATCCGTTTTCGCCGACGACGGGTTGGGCAATGCGCTTGTATGCGGACTGAACGGGAGGAGGCATGTCTGGCGTTACTGTTCTGCAATAAGAGAATACTTTCTTAAGATCTGGGTTCGCGGACAGTTATACCCCGACTTTCGCAAGCACCGCGGTTCAAAGCTGCGTCGCGTCGCGTCTACTATTTCTCCCCTCCCCCACCGAAACCGCTGACTGTCAACCCTCTCCGCTTGCCGATAGACGACCGACTTGTCTGATGCAGCGATTCGACTCGGCGCGACTTCCCCCGCAGACCGAAATCCGGGGAAGTGGGGAACCCGCCGAACCTTGTGTACCACGGCAACTCTGTCGTCTCCAGATCCGGAGCTGCCCACCAGCAACACGCCGAGCGGGGGCGGGGGATCTCCAGAGAATGCCATTTCCCAAGATGATCAGGTTGTCTTTGTCGATGGGCCGATGCAGGACGATCGTTAAATGTTATTTATGCTCCCTCAAGTTGACCATTACAATTCTCCCTCAACGAACTCACATACTGAGATATAACACCACGAACGAAACACATCATGATGTCTGCCACAGAGGTCAAGTCTGCTCCAGCCGAGCCTGAGGTCAAGCCCGACTTCAGCTGTCCGGATCTGGTCGTGTTCGAGCCCCGAACCTACGGCGACTGGCGCGACGAGTTCCACAAGAACGGCTGCGTCGTGATCAAGAATGTGATCAGCCCTGAACGCGCCCAATATTACCGCGAAAAGCAGATACAGTGGCTGAAAAACTTTGAGCTGGGATTTGATGAGAATGATGAAAGTACTTGGACTGCTGATCACTTGCCAGTGAGCTTCAAGGGAGGGTAAGCAGACACAAGCAAATGGTCACTGGTACATACTGACACCTACTAGGATGTACTTTGCCTACGGCTCGCCTCACGAGAGAATGTCCTGGGAAGCCCGCACAGAGCCCGCCGTCATCGAAATCTTCGAGAGGCTCTGGGAGACAAAGGAACTCATCTGCTCCTTTGACGGAATGAACATCTCCATGCCCCGACGCAAGGACGTCCGCTGGAGCCCGTGGCCGCACTGCGATCAGAACCCGGAGCGCAAAGGGTATGATCGCACCCATCGCTGAGGTTTTTACATGCTGACAATTCCCAGGATGCAAGCCGTCCAAGGCCTCCTAAACTACGCCCCCAACGGCCCAAAAGACGGCGGTCTAATGCTAATGAAAGGATCCGCCAAGCTCTTCGACGAATTCTTCGCCTACAAGCGCGAATCTTTCGACCATGAAGACGCCCCGCCTCCCGAAATCAAATTCATGGACCTGTTCCTGTTCAGCGAGAAGGATGTCAAGTGGTTCCAGGAGCGCGGCTGTGAGCTGGTCAAGGTCAACATGGAGCCGGGTGACTTTGTGCTTTGGGATTCCCGCACCATGCACTACGCCTGTCTTCCTGAGGGTGATCAGATTCGTCATGTTCAGTATATTTGTATGACGCCTCGAAGATTCGCGACGCCTGAGACGCTGGAGTTGAAGAGGGAGTGCTTTGAAAATTATACTGGCACTACACATTGGCCTCATTGGTATGTTTCCGTGCCGGGTCTGGTGAGATATGATACTAATGATGTGCTTAGCAATGTGCGTCCAGCCAAGGAGAAGCCTATGCGTGATGGGAAGGTTTGCCCCAAGGATCGCAGTGAGCCTTTTGAGAAGCCGGTCGTTACGGATACTGTTTTGAGGTTGGCTGGTGTTAAGGCCTATTAGTTTTGTTTTGGTGCTCTTAGATCAGCTCAAGAATGAATATGATGTTTAATACCTTTTATTCCAGTCTACAGTATTCCAGAATTATTACGTTTAGCATGGCGAGATTGGTGAAGGTGCTTCATTTCACTGTGGTTCATTGATGGCTTCTATCTACAGTTTTGGTCTTCCACTGGCTCTCACTTTAGGAATGATGATTGTAATTTCCTCAAGATGGGTAGTGTACATCAGTGAATGTCTGCATTCTAATTTTCAAGTCTCTTGTTATCTTCGAATCATCAGTCAGTCCTTCTCCTTGGAGAAACCATGTCGCGGTTCCAATGAAAGGCCGAGATAACGATACCGACATCTCCCCGGTGGGCGGATGGACAAAGCCCCTCGCCCGCAACCCCCGCTCGGCACCCATCATGTCAACCGCAGCCACTTCCCAATTCGCAATTACGAATGCACCCCACAACCCCAGTCCGGGGAAGCGGGGACATGCTGTGGATACCCGGTGACAGCAGCGCTATCGCTAGCTGCGCAAAAGGCAATGCCTGACTGGCTGGCCTCGACCAGTGCGATGAGCCATCTTTGCCGAGTGTTTAGCATTTGTGGCTGGACCTCTATCTCTGCGGGGTTGGAAGAACCAGCGTGGTCCCGAGAATGTCCTTGGCCTCGTTAAAAGATGTTATCTCTGAGAGTCTGGGGATATTAAACAGCCCGAGGGACCTGCTGTCATCATCGCAAGTGGGGATCTCGCCTCAGCTGAGTTCCACTTTTCAATTGCGCTGCATAATACCGTGCAGGCCTGAATCGACAAATCCCACGGCCAAAGTGCTCTGTGGGCATGGAAGACGCTGAGAAATACATTGGTCAACATGTCGAGATGGTGGAGGACAATGGTGGACCTCGACCGCTCCCCGAGGCCGGCAAGGTTATGGGGACGGTCAAGTTAACTGAGGATACGATTATCTACATTCCCACTCCGACTGCGGACCCGCAAGGTACTCTATGAACAAATATCCGATAGAGATGCAGTTGCTGATGCGTGGAAGACCCTTTGAACATGGCGCTCTGGCAGAAGATTGTGGTTCTGATGGTCATTTCAACCTGTGGGTGCATCAATCGAAGGAAATCACGACCTCGACCCTAACCCGCTGTTACCAACAGTTTCGGCTCTGGGATTATGTCTTGTCTCTGGTTTTGGAGGGCTCTTGACATTCTATATACCCGACTACGTGGCTGCGGGTAAGGACTATGCGGATATCACCCAGTTAATGACATACCCGACATTGTTCATGTGAGTCTTTCCCAGAATAAAAATCCTCGAGGACAGTTCTAACTCATATTGTATAGGGGAATCGGTAATCTCATCGGAATGCCACTCGCCATCGCCGTCGGTCGCCGCGTCGTCCTCCTTGTATTCACTCTGGTCCTCATCCTCGGAGCCGTCCTCTGCGCGGTTGCAGAGACATATGAGTGGCACCTGGCATGTCGAATGGTACTCGGACTTAGTGCAGGGCAGAGCGAAGCGTTGGTTCCTATGATCACACAGGTAAGAGGTCAATTCCATCCTCCATTCTGATGCAGCGTTAACTGCGGAAAAGGAAATCTTCTTCCTCCACGAGCGAGGAAAGTGCTTGATGATTCAACAGGCCATCCAAGTCCTTCTCACAACAATCTGGGTCCTCTTTGCCAGCCCCATTTCTGCCGCTATATCGCCACAGGGCTGGTATTTCCTTGCCGCTGGCCTGGCAGGCCTTCAATTCCTTGTTGCTCTGGCGCTGCTTCCCGAGACGAAATATGATCGCGACCTCTCTGCTTACCAGGAGGATCTGTCGGATGATAATGCTACTGGAAATGCAGACATTGAGGCCTATGGTCCTGCTAAACCAACTGTCATGGTGTGCAAGCAGAAGCCACCCCTCGATTTTGTCAATTACTCGCCTCGTACGTGGAGATCCGATTTGCGTCTTTGGATTGGCAAGCCTGAATGGCACAAGGCCGCAGAAGTTCTCAAGGTAGACAAGCCCCAGGTGCTAATGCCTTCGTTTCATGAGGCCTGTTGCGAACTAACATTCAACTCAGCAAACTGTGGAACTACTCTTTTTCCCCAATGTCTTCTGGGCCCTCTGTCTCAACGGACTAACCATCGGCGTCAACATCGCCATCGGAACAACATACGGCACAATTCTCACAGGCTCCCCATACAACTGGCCCGACTCAAGCACCAGCTACGTCAACTGCGGACAAATAATCGTCGCACTAATCGCATTACCTCTACTCGGATCCGGATCCGACAGACTTATCCGATGGCGAGCTCAACGCAACGGCGGCATGCACGAACCTGAGACACGAATCCTCCCTCTCTTCTTCCCCATCGCCGTTGGCCTGTTCACCTCTGTACTGTATGGGCAGGGAGCAGCACACCCAGAAAAATACCACTGGTTTGTATACGTGTACGCAGTGGCCGGATATTACTTTTGTTTTGTTGCCGCCAATATCGTGGCTATAACGTATCTTTTAGATAGCTATCCGGCCCGAGCGGGTCCTCTCTTGGTGATTATCTGTGCTTTTCGGGGATTTATTTCGTTCGGAACTAGTTATGGTATCTCTGCCTTTGTCGAGAATGATGGGTATGATGGAGCTTTTGGAATTTTCGGTGCGCTGACCGCTGCGCTGGGTCTGCTTGGGGTTCCGATTTATTTCTGGGGGAAGAATATTCGGCAGTTTACTGGGAAATTTGCGAAGAGCAAGACTGACTGAGATAGTGAAACAGTAGAAAGAAACAACTTTTTTTGGTATTTTGCTGGTTTTCTATTACCCAAAATCAAGACGTCAACGACTTTTTTCATGTTTTGATCATTTCCGTGGAGCCCAGCAAATAATCAAAAACATTTTTTGGCGTTTTGTGGTTTTGCAGAACACGAGATCCAGACAATTCTCAACAGCCTCATTCAAATCATCAATACCATGGTTCATGTACTTTCACCGTCATTCGGATGGCGAAAAGCAATCATTTACGCTCCGACTTGGTGGAGGAAGTGGAAGAAGTCGGAGTGTAGGAGCCCCCAGATGACTTCGACGTTGTCGAACCCGAATTTTTGGTGGCGTGTTTATCTCCCGCACCTTGCGCCCTGGAGGCAAAGCCTCCAGAGGACATATCTCCTCCATTTTTTGTCTAAATAGTTAGCTCTGAATGAAGAATCCTGGGTCGATGTAGCATACCTGTGAGGATTGGATCCTCTCAGAGGCCCCCTTGGTCATGGGGTGGTGGGGTGTTGTATGACGCATTTTGGGTGGTGGTTGTTCTTAATAAATTGTAGGAGTAGATATTTGATGAAGGTAAGTCAGAGAAGGTGGAATAGCCTGGATTGGCCACATTTTTATAACTTTAGGACCTGGCCTCAGAAACCAATAGAAACGTTTTCTGTTTGTCATTTCTACAGAATACTCCCCAACTTCAGGTTTCTGTTTCCTTCTATGACGACGCAGAGTTCGATACAACAAACAGAGTGTCCGAATCATCATGATCCATGAACATTCCACAATAGGCGGAGAATTTCATAGGAAGTCGTCATTGGATCGTTTTCTATTTTGTGTGTTTGTCTTCTCGGGCTTGGTAGGTGTCATTGTGATGATGGCTGTCAGGCTTCATTTGCAATACACTACTGGCTGGTTTGTTGCTCTCTAGAATCAGATGACTGCGATTTCAAGACACGATCATTAGATTTTCCGTCGGACGGGCTTTTCGTAGGGAAAATAAAATAGAAACAGTAGAAGAAATCATGTAACCCAAGTAGCTCCCAACAAATCTACACGTATTTTAATGAAATCCGTAACAACCTAAGTTTAAATGAAATTTTGACTCTATGCTTAATGTTAAACACAATCAACCTTAACACCACAAAGTCGTGGCCCGAAATCGGGGAAACCCCAGGCGGCGAGTCGGAGGATGGCCGACCTGGTCAGTGCGCGGGAATGCGGGGGCGCGATTCCGGGGGAACTAACGATGCCGAGAGCGCACCGAGGGGGAAGAAAAAAGCAAGCAAAAAAGGGGGACCTCCAGTTTCTCCTCCCTGTCCTGTCATATTCTGCGGTCGCCGATCGACAGCTCCCCTGTACCATGGAGAAGAGGGCGAAGGATATCGAGAATGTCGTAAGCATCCCTTGACTCATTTGCATTGCACCCTGCCTACCCTAAGTCACCTAAAACTGACAAGGAAAGGATCCTGATTTCGACGTTGACAGTCTTGGTCTCGGGCCTGAGATTGAAGCTCGGGAGAAAGCTTTGGTTTGGAAGCAGGATTTGCACATTGTGCCTCTTTGTGCGGCGATTTATCTTTTATGTTATTTGGATCGCTCGAACATTGGTTTGTCGTCCGAGGTTCTTTGGGCTGTATCTGGATAGAGCTAACGTACGCCAGGAAATGCGAAAATTCTTAATGAAGATACCCGTAATGACCTTCTTTCGGAGACAAATATGACATCTTACCAGTACACGTGAGTTGGCCGGGTTGTCTTTGCGTTATACCTTTCCATATCTTCTTTCGTTCCATCTGGGCTTGTCCTATCTGGATTCGTCTTTATTTACATTCTTCTGATCTGTGCTAATTTGGACCCAGCATTGCACTAATGGTCTTCCTAATCGCCTACGCCCTATTCGAAGTACCCTCAAACTACTTCCTAAAAAAGCTAAAACCAAGCGTACGCCTCCAACCCACAACTTACATACAGTATCCAACTAACCAGCTCAGCGCTGGATTTCCTTCCTAATGCTATCCTGGGGCGCAACAACAATGGGCCTCGGCGGCGTCCACAACTACGCCCAAGTTACAGGCCTCCGCTTTCTCCTCGGCGTCATGGAAGCAGGCTTATTCCCCGGCTTCGTCTACTATTTAACATTCTGGTACCGCACGTCCGAGCGCTCCATGCGCGTGGCTCTAATCCTGGCCTCGGCTACATTGGCAGGCGCCTTTGGCGGGGCTATCGCCTACGGCGTCGGACATATGAATGGTGCGCACGGGTTATCTGCCTGGCGGTGGTTGTTTATTATTGAGGGCGCGCCGTCTTGTGCGTCGGCTGTGCTAGTCTGGTTCTTTTTGCCGGATTATCCGGAGACGGCGAACTGGCTCTCGGCTGAGGAAAAGGAGCTTGCGGCGAAGAGGTTGGTTGTTGAGGGGTCGCATGGTTCGGCGAGGGCTATGTCGTGGGAGGATGCGAGGGGTGTTCTTGTTGATTGGAGGTTGTATGCTCATTATGCGGTTTGTATTCATTTACCAAGTTTTTTGGCAGGGCAATCTTGACGCTTACTAGGTGTATTTTGGCATCTCGACGCCTTTTTCAAGTCTGTCGCTTTTCACGCCGGCGATTACTTCTGGTCTTGGGTATTCGAATCTGCGCGCTCAGTTGATGACCGTGCCGCCGTATGCTGTTGCTTATGTGGTGACTGTGGCAGTTTCATGGTCTGCAGACCATTTCAATAGGTATTCTCGACTGGTCTTGAAAGCGTCTCGATTCATGCTAACTCCTCCAGCCGCGGTCTGCATTCTGCGATTTTCTCCTTCATCGGCGCGATGGGTTTTCTCGCTTCTGCCGTTCTCCCTGCTGATGCGTACTTGGTAAGTATCCTCGATATCATCAAATGAATAGCAACTAAATTACAACTATCTTAGCGTCGGTATGGTTGCCTCATTGTCGCAGCCAGCGGCGCCTTCGCTTGCATCCCACCACTTCTCGGCTGGCTTTCTTCGAATATACGCTCCACCGCCGGCGCAGGGCTGGCTATTGCATTGAATGTCTCTTTTGGCGCGCCGGGACAAATCGTGGGAGTGTGGATCTATAAAAGCGACGAGGCGCAAAAGGGGTATCCGACCGGGCATTGGACTAATGCGGCGCTACTGCTTTTCGTAACACTTGGATGTATTCTCCTGAGGGTATATTACGGGTGGCGAAATAAGCGGCAGAATGGTGATGGTAGTGGAAAGAGGTTTGCGTACTGATAGCTCAGGTTAGTGTGTCTGCACCAGTCAGTTTTTGCTGTGGAACACTTAGTGTTGGGAGTCTATCTCAGTGGAGGAATATTTCACGGCATCAGTCAATTATAGACGACTACATGATTTTGCATACGCTAAAAAATTTTATTTCATGTCCCCACAAGATTTGACGTCGGGACTGTTTATTGTGGGCTTGCTTACGACCTCGGGATCAATGTGATGAGTCTCATGGCTTCGTTGATGCAGGGAGGCCGGAAATGCAAGGCTTCGGGCCGCGGTGTACCCACCGTGTTTCGTTTAAGGGAGGCCATATATAAATAGATCTTTACAAGGCCATTGTGACAGGCCGGACTTTAATGGGCGGAGTGTCCCTGAAATCCTAAAGCGAGGTCATCGCAGGATTTACTACATTGGAAGCTCACTAGATCAATGCTGTGTAACCTTTATCCCGTCACCTCACAATTTACTGCTTTCTGATATTTGTCATGTTTGGCCAGGGTGTGTATCTTATGGTGAGATGAAAAGACGCGAGGTTCAAAGGTAGCGGTGATGGGTGATCTGGCTTGACCAACGGGCTCTTAGGGCCATTTCAATTCGAGCAAGTCAAATATTGTCCCGCTTCAGGTTTTAATGAAGTAAGTAGCTTCATAGAAATACAAACGAGATTAAATTTATCACTTACTATATTCGGTAAAATATCTCGCGATCTGGCGTTGCGATCCCGGTTACATTGTCCGCCAAGCTCTGGTCATCAAACGAAAGCCCTCTTCGTGCGATCAATGACTATCAGAGTGTACATGCTTCTTGGTATAATAGAATTTCCCGCATTCAAGAGGCTTGTAGTGCCGGAGATTAAATTCTGACCGAACACATGGTAACGTGATACAACCTCAAATATGGTTCTTATTTTAAAGTCGAGGTCAATCTTGAAATCATCCCCACTACGGTCAAATATCACACGCTGACTCAAAAACGAAAGCATATTCCTGAAAAGCCGTATCTGTCGATTATCTTGTACCCAACGAAAGGTCCAATCTGATGTGATTTCAAAGAAACCCCCAATCCCAATCCCAGTAGCGAAGAAAAAAAAAAACAAAAACAAAAAAAGCCAACGCGTCCCGATCCATTCCTATCCCATACAATCCATCCAAAGAAACTCCGCGTCAAGTTCATCAGAGCAAAAAAACAAGTGCAAACAAAGGAAATACTCTCAGTTCTCGATACTGGCGCCGAAAGACCGAGCAATAATCCCGTCCTCCTGCACACACCGCTGATCGCGCCCTGGTCCGGTGATACCCAGCCAAAGCTTGGAGTTTGGGCCGCCGGCCCGTCCCAGGTAACACAGGAACACGTCGTCCTCGAAAGTAGAGGCAATCACAATGACAAGTTCTGCGTATGTTGCGGGTACCCAGCGTGTAGTGTACATACAGGCCCACATGCCTGCTCGTTGGGCAGGGTACCACTCCGTCGTGCCCTAAGGTGTAAGTCCCTGATGGGATACCTGGCTGGATACCTGACGGAAACTTCGAGGATGCTGGCGGACCCTGGCTGCATTGTGCGTCGGCCATTGACCGGCGTATTGTTTTGCTCCAGCGTGCAGGATGCGTTCGAGAGCGGAGGCGAGAAAAGGGATTGAGCCCCACTCCTTCTTCACCGTTATTTTGGAAATTTCATCGCCGCGGCCGAACTGATCTTACAGACCTTTGGATCGAGTCGTTTCTGTCGATTGCCCTCTGTCGAGTCACATCGCGTCAAGTCGAATCGAGCCGGAGAATTAGGACACCGTTCCTGACCGTTGACCGTTGGCCATTGCAGAGTGGGTATCACGACGACGACCGCTGGCGGGGTCACACAAACCATCTCGCAGACCTTTGTGCTAGGTATGCTGGAAAGGACTGGCGTCACGGTTTGCCCGAAGTCGCGAACTCTGCATCTGTGATGCGCCTGCCTGCACCTGCACCCATAATGTACGTATTCCAAACCACTTCATTCACGCGGGCACAGCTGCATTTGCAGGTGTGTGCTGTCCAATTCACCGGCCGGGGAGAAGGGCGTAGATCTCGTTCGTTCTGAGAAAAGAAGGGCGATAATGCGATGCGAGGCGGAGGTATAGTGCGTGGATGGGGAATTTTTCGACCTGCGCGGTGCATGCAAAGAACAAATGAGAGCAGCAAGGACGTATGAATTGTGTCGGTCACCAAGGACAAAAGAGCAGCAGCAGGAAAATGATACTCGGGGAAGTGTCAAAACGGTTTTTCCCAATGCTCGCCGGCAAAGAAGGGATTAAAACAAAATGGAAGAAGATAGCCACCCACGCAAAAGAAATTTGACAAGACAAAAAAAGATTCAGAGCCCGCTTGCTCCACGGCCATAACCGGTAGCCTGTTGCGGGAACAGTTGGCCGGGATAGACGGTGGAGGCGCGAGGCTGCTGGTTGAAGAGCTTCAGGGCGACTTCAGCGGCGTCTTCTTTGGCATTGTTGATGTATTGGCCGTCATACCAGTAGCGGGCGGCGATATTCTGTCCTTGGACGGTGACGGTGCTGGACCAGGCGGTACGACCTCCTAAAATGCGACGCAAGGGCAATCAGTATCCCGCTGTCAGAAGTAAAAGTCGGTGTACGGTTCATTCTGCAGCTCCACAGCTGCAATGCCGAGACCTGCAGTGCGGCGGGCAAGGCGGAGCGGAGTCAACATTCATGGATGGAGGCAAACGGGGATTTTTGGGAAGGATAAAAAGACGGTGGAGGGGGAGGGGGAGGGTGGAGGGGAGTATCTGAGGAAATGAAGCGGAAAAAAATGGAGCGGGATCGGGTAGGTACCTCGTCGATCGGAGACAATGTTGAACACAGGGGGTAGAAGTTTGGTTCGTCTGCAATGCTCTGGAGGAGGTTAGACCGCAATTGAATGGGAAGGGTCATTATGAGCAGAGAAGACTATCGTCAGTGGTGGGGGGCAATGCTTACCTTGTAGTTGGTCCTGCCAGCTCGGCCGGGTTGCGGCTGGGGGGCTATTCGGGACGGACATGATCAATTGATGAAGAGATAATTAGCGATGGTATCGAAGAATCAATTGACCAAATATGAAATCAATTAATCCGACGTCAAGCTTGGGTGCTCAAGTGTTGTCGAGTGGGGGTTGTGTTGTGTGGTTGACGTGGACTGGGGACAAAGTTCACGAGAAGGAACAAAAAGCTCCGGGGAAAACGACGATATAAGAAGACCAATCCACCCCAGCTCTCAAAATCGACCCGGGTACTTTAGTGTGTTCTTGCGTGACCCTTTTTCTTTTTAATATTTTTTTTTTTCGAAAAAACGGCGAACGGTGATTGACATGCGGAAGCGGGGAGTCATATATACAGTGGGCCATATCTTCAACCCCTTGGAAATCAAAAATACCGTTCTCGGGAGGGGTCATGAAATTTTTTTTTTCTTTTTTCTTATTTATTATTTTCGTAGCGGGGCTAGGTACTAAATGGAGCCTAACACTCGCTGGGGTCGTCTAAACCCCAATGGATGACGGGCTTATGCAGGCGAGTGGACAGGCCCAGTGTAGCGAAATTCCCCCTCCCTTCCTGCCTGACCAGTGAAGAACTGGCGGATGCGGATCATTTTGTGAGGCTGCAAGCTGGAACGGCCCGGCGCACACCAGAAACTTTTGAAGAAACGCTAGACCGAGGTCACCCCCGTCAGGTAGGCCGTAAGGGCGAGCCTACCCACTTACTAGTGTGGTGGTGGTGGTGTAGCTGAGGTATCTTCCACAGAAAATACTCAACATTCTCCCAGGCAAGGGGATACCGACAAAATGACCAAAAAAATTAAAAAATTAAAAAAAATTCTTCACTCATGACTTGAATGCAATCCCATCCCAATAGTATTGCATGGTCACCATGAGGCGAGGGAGGGCGAGCGACAAGGGCTGAATGAACAACTCACCACGCTCCACGTCGAGGATGCCCTGTCCCTGCCTCATCGACCAGGCATCTCGCATATCGAACCGAACGGGTGGAATGTCTTCCAGAACAACCGCTGGTCTGTGAGTGATAGCTCTCGACGGTGTCAGTGTGGTGGTTGTGGATGGTGGCCCAAATTGCCCAAAGGTGGAGCGCGTCATAGCTCCATGCCCAAAAGTACTATCCTTTACCTTACAATTGCAGTGTGTACCCTAACCGCGATCAGTTGGGCTGACACCTTTAGGAGCGTGCCAGCTCATCATGGATGAGATCATAATTATTCTTTTACTCTAGTAGACTGTAGAAATCATCTATGTGAGGTAGCTGCCATACGTACAGGTACGTGTATGGACAGAGGATCGCATCCTGGTCACGCAACTCTCGATAGACCTATCAAGCCATATCCCAGTAACTTCCTTACGCTAGGACACTTCCCTAGGATACAGTAGTTTAAGTAATGGAACACTGCTGGAAACCGGGCCGCTATGCAGACCACGAACTCATCCAGGTTGCAAGTGCGCAACAATATCCTTTTGCTGTATGGCATACTTAATCCGGGCCCTACAGTAGGTAAGCTAGGTTTGGCCTAGGTAAGGCCCAAGCCTGAGCCTAAGCCTGGCCTTAACTACTACTGGGAGGGGCTACGATAAGTAGGTCGCCTCGTGCTAAATGCGACCGCCTCAAACTTTCTAACACCTACCATACTCTCATGTCCAGCAAAAAATCCCACATCTAAGCAACTAATATGTGGTAGGATAAAGAGGTAGACTAGCCACGAATCTTGGGTACCCATGCATCTGCACACGGATCCATGGTTCGTCAATGCATGCGGCTAGAATGCCAGCTACAACCTTGACCTCCTCTGACCTACATTAGGAGGGAAGTGCTCTACCCGCATAAACCACCTAGTGAGTAGGATTGTACTAGGACTAATTCAACCAGGAAGTACCGGGGATATTCATACGCAGCCGGGCCCGGCAGATCTGGGCTCACTCGTAAGCGCCTTGGGCCCCGCAACCCTTGGGAAGGGAGCTAAGGCAGCAAGTCCCGGAATCTTGGGCGCGATAATCCAGATTCATTCGCGGCCAATCGATTTCTTGCATGTGCTGCTCTACTACTGTATCCTAGGGTAATGGGTAAAACACTGACAGATACCCTGGTCGGGGTAATGTGCCTGGAAACTTCGCATCGACTGCCGAAGAGAGCCCCTTCCCTAAAAAGAATCTCGCAAGTGACATCATAAGTCTACCGATACCTCCAAGTACTTTGAAGCCATGGTCCTGATATCCTACACTTCAGAAGCGGCCAGGAGCATAATGCACCGCCAACAGAGCAACGCAGACTCCACTAGTAGATAATAGACATAAGCAGGTCCAAGTCAAAGCAACCAGCTTCGCGCAACAAATACCTCTCGCGGACATCGAACATGCCCTATCTCGCCTCACTCGTACCTGAAGCTACCAGGGTAAGACGACAAGGAAGGATGAGATCCAATCAATCCACCCGGAGCGCGTCGGGATCAGTTGTTCGCAGTACCACGACGGACACGAACGAACTGGGGTTGGGAGCCAACCTAGAACATAACCTGTCGAGGTAAGGTACTGGTTGGCAAGGCGCGCATACCCAGCCTAGCAAGAAACGGCGGCAGATAATTCAAGTTCACCATGTCATAAAAAGTTAAAAAAAATCGTTCATGCTGTCGTAAATCATTTGCATCAAACATTTGCATCGAGACTGCATCTACATCAACGCAGGTTCGTGCCAGCTCGTTTCTCATGAAGATGAAAAAATCATTGTACAAAAAAACATGCAAGAAGAGAAAAATCAAGATTGCGCCTCCACCTGTACCTTCCTATTCCCGTAAGTGATGTTCCGGTTGAATTTCCAGCCTCTGTCGAGTCGTGTGCAGCTGAATCCCCTACCTCCTAGCGAGTGTCTCCATTCCTGTGTGATCTCCAGCACTGTCGTGTACGCGTAAACACAGCTGCGAGGCTAAGCAGACCCCCTCCTCTGAAGCGCGCCGATCAACCGCGGTCCCATACGCTCAAGCCTACGGGTCAGTGTGCGCGTGGGATGGGACCAGGGTGTTCGGCGTGAGTGCCAGCGACGGCGGATGCAGTCGTCTACTAGGGCTACTAGGCCTGTTGCGACGATTACACTGGAGATGGTTAGCGTCCACGTAAACTAGGGTGTGGGTGATAACGTGGTCGAGTAGGATCCATTACAGGAGTATGGGCAGGGATAGTCCCGAATAAGATACTGCAGGACACAATCACCCCAGAGGAAAAACTTACTCAGCAACATCGGGCATCTTCTCATAAACACTCATCTCACTAATCCAAAGCGAGCAAGGCGGCACCCAACCACCCTTACTCTCCTCCTCAACCGCCTCCAGCGGCGTGAGTATCTCCGGCACAAGGTGCGCAACCGTTTTGGAAGAGCGCATATCAACGAGGTAAAACGAGACTTCGCGCAAATCTCCTTCTCGCCGCGTCTCCCTTCGCCACTGATATTTCGTCGACCAGTACTCGTATTCATATTTAGTTGTGCCGGTGCCTTTACGTCTTAGCTCGACATGCGCGTAGTTGGAGAATTCGAGGAGGATTGTTTCGGTCAGTGGGTGTCTCTCTTCCTCTTCCTCTCCCTCTTCCTCTTCCCCAGGTCTTGAATAACATGGTGAGGAGTGACAGTGTGAGCGACTGGGAGGTGGAGCAGCCTCATACCCCGAGTCCTGCCGTTTAATCCTCAGATCATGCGAATGCTGCGCCGACGAACCAGGCCTCAAACTCGCAAGCACACTACTCCACGACTTCCGTCTCCGATCCGGGCTTGAGGCTTCTTTCCGTGAAGAGTGACATACCTCCCGCCCCGAGTCTCGGCAGTACCGACGGAAAGAGAATTTGCGCGAGAAGAGGTCGTACATCCGCAGATGGAATAGTATCACGTCTTGCTGGTAGCCCGCGCGGCAGGGGACGAGGGTGTCGACGCGGAGATTCATGTTTCCGTCGATTGTGGCGTCGTCGTGTCGGATTAGCAGGCGGCGGGTGGAGGGGAAGAGACCTGCGAAGGAGCTGGGTGTTGAGGCGAGGGCGTCGGTTGGGAATGATTCTTCGCGGTCGTTGACTGAGTAGTTGTACTGTTCCTCCTCTTCTTCTTCTACTTTGCGGGCGTGCTCGGAGCGGGTTGTTGAGGCGTAGGTTGTTGATGAGGTGTGAGGGTCTGCTTCATGGTCCTTGTCGGTGTTGATAGAGTGGGTGGGGATGAAGGGATCTTCGTCCGAGTCATCTTCGATCTCGACTTGGATTTGGTTCGAGTCAAAGTCGGGCCAATCGTTATCTTGTTGTTTGGCCGTGTTGCTGACGATGGTGGGTGCTGTTGACTTGGAATGATCTGATGTGTTGGTTTCCGTTGAGCTGGAGCTGCCGCCGCCACCGGAGGCCTGGCAGGATTTGTAGGAGCCCATGACAGCAAGATTAAGTATCGTCAGGGTTTCAGCTGAAGTCTCCTTGAGTCGTAGACGCGAGAACAGTGAGCACTATCCGTATGGAACTAGAGTATACACTGGCAGGACCAGTGCATTCACTAAAGTCGAAAGTCAAGATGAAATATCACATGCAAAGCCACTGAATTAGAGATCGCTCTGATCGAAAGACCGGAGAGCTTGGTTTGTTGCAGTGCGATGAAATATATCCTTCTTTGGTCGTTGCGGGAGGGGTATCAGATTCCCATGACGCAGTGGAAATGCCGGGTATGCGAGAAGGGGGAGGAGGGGTTTGCAAGGGAGACAAGAATCTGCCGACTCCTCTCTCGTCTGCAGTGCAGTGCAGCGTCTCACCACGCGATCGCAATCAGGGGTATTGTGATATCGGAGGGAATAGGCGGGACTGGGCGAACCCGGGAATCATATGACAGTCCGTTCCGCCTTCCCATATACTATCAGCATATATAAGCAGTAGTTCTCAGTAGTACTATAGTACTATCAGTGGTATACGTCGAGCTCTGGTAGGGTAGGGTATGTAGAGTCGGGTGATGGAGGGGTTGGGCAAATTCCAGGGCGAAAGTGGAGAGATGCCCAAATCACTATAACGTCGTACACCGGACAGCCAGCAGCGCTCAGCACTCGCAGCACTGTAGTGTCTGACGAGGACTGGAATCCGCAATGCAAATGAAACGATAAATGGCCTGGCACAATTTGGTCGCGGGGGTATTTAGAAGTCGCCGAGAATGTAGGAATGTCACAAACTTGATTCTCTACTCCTCAAGTGCCCTACTGCAATGTCTACTGCCACTACCACTGTTAGTATGTAGGGTAAGGTTCGCACTCCGTCATCACTTCCACGCCCTAGTTCCACCTCTACCTCCTGTGGTAAAGTTGAACGTCCAGCCTACAACGGCACAGCAGCCACTACTCGCTCGCACCGCCGAAGCCTTTCAAACCAAACCGAACCACTAATTTCCTGACTCTGACCGTCGCACAGCGTGTCGGGCATCGCGGCCATCGAATCAAGACAACCTGACCACCACCATCTCCAGCACAGAACACCTCGTAAAGCACAGTCCGTGGGCCATTCCCACCGGTGCAACGCTCAGATTGGCGGCCCCTCCCCCCCACACCAGCCAGTCAGCGCGAGGTCTCGGATGGAGGCTGCAGAGAAGGGCCTGGACTGATGCTGTGTGTTGTCGTATCACATGGGACTCTCGTAGGTATTAAGGAGGCCTTGGTGAGGGTGTCTGATCGCACTGCCCAAGAGGTTGATTGGGTGTGTTTACGTGGACGTCATGGAGACTCGGGTCAATTTGGTGGGGCGCGGTCCGGTCCGGTTCCAAGAACGACTATTACAAAAGGTATAAGTGTATACACTCACTTATTGACCTAGGAGGGCTTACGGCTCTGCTATATAATATTATCACTGAGCATAGGTGAGTATAGGTATACCACAGACTACAACACATGGGATATCGTGCCTGGACCCATCAGTCGGGTCAGGGTTCGCATGACGCGAACCCCCGGTGGAGACGCCGATGACGGACTGACAACGCAGAGCGATCGTCTTTGCTGCCGTTATCGGTCACCACTACACTCTAGCATATACTCCAGTAAATACTCGAGTATGCTGCTAGTAGGTAGTCGTGGTGGTAGCAGAGTTGAACTGAAAAGGCATGACGACATGTCGGAAGGAATCAATTTCCGGAATGATTCTACGGACTCGAGAGGACTACGTATTCCTCGAGGACTTCCTGTGGGCTGAGTTTCTCGAAAATTGGCACTCTATGACGCAGAGAAATGCACTGGGCAGGCTGACGCTACTACTAGTAAAATAGTAGTAGGTCTATACTGCTGGCATCCCGAAACGCCCGAAATCACTGGTGATTCGATCTAAACGAAAGAGAACTCAACCCACGAATTATAGCCGAGATTCATCGCTCACTGTCGTATATCAGTGGCATCGCCAGTATCATACCAGAAAGACAAGTATGCAGGTCTAGACCTGCGCGTAAAGCGGTCGCGGAAGCTCGTCGCCCGGCTGAATCGCTTCCGCGCGACAGGTCGGATGGTTGACGAGGCCATCGCGACTACCTGGGACCGGTGCCCGGAATCCCACGTAGGCTTCGCGGCGGGCTGGTTCGCCGACAGTCACGGACCAAGTATGTAGTCCATAGTATGAGGCGATGGAGTGGACGAGCCAGCGGCTGGGACTGTCAGCTTCGCTCGAGTAACCCGGCCAAGCATGACCAGCACGAATATTGGATAGAGGTACTGAGATACCCCGAAGAGGATGTATAACTCACCCAAAACCCGCCGCCCGGTCCTCCACCAAACTTTCAAAAACCATCTTCTCCCCATCCCGCTCATCACGCCCACTCATCTCCTCTCTCATCTGTCGGAGCGTCTCCCTCCGTTCCGGCGCATCATGCATCTGCCCATTCCGACCAACAAATACAATCTCATCCTCTGAATCACTCGGCGCATCCAGCAACCCCTCATTCTTCAGAAACGCCTGCTTCTCATTCCACTTCCGGATGAACAGCCGAATCTCCTCCTCCAGATCCTGGAGCAGACCGCGCGCCGCCCGCGCATGCTTGAGCTTCATGCGCAGATCCTTCGGCACGCGGTGCTTCTCTTCGACTTTGCCATTGCGCGGGCTTTCGGCCATGTGCGCGTAGTGCACGTCCCAGAGCGGGGCCAGGTAGTACGGCATGGGATCGTGGCGGGTGTATGTCGGGCGGATTTCCCAGTCCTTTGAGGAAGGGGGTTCGGCCCATGGGTTATGTAGCAGTCGGTCTTAAGAGTCAGCTTGCCTTTTCGTCTCCGTGGAATTTGGGAGCATACCATTCTCCCAGCGCTGTCGGCGACGACTCCCGTCCTTCCCTTTAAGCAGCGCCTCGCGACGCTTCAGGCTATCCCGGCGCAAAGGTTCGCGACGACGGAAACTCACGGTGGGTGGACGGGACTCTTCGGGCTTGGAGGCGACCACCTTGACTCGTGGCGATGGGGTTGGAGGTGTATCGTCGAGCGGAATCGAGAGGGACACGGTGGTGCCGCGCAGGCTGGGGCGGCTCGGTGTCGGGGCCTGGGCCTCGCTGTCATTGCGGGGTGCCGGCCCCGAGTCCGAGAGAGAAAGGTCTTGCAGGGACGAGGCGGCTTGTTCGGTCCAGGCGGAGATGGCGAGGGTCTGTTGCGGCGAGAGGCTGCCCTGAGAATCCTGGGGGCGTAATCTCGGATGAATGGCCATAATGGCGTATAGCGGAGTCGAAAGTGTTAGCGAGTCTAACCGAATAGCAATACAACAGCAGTAGCAATAGCAATAGTGAGTCGAGCGAGAGGGGTATATGGGGTTGCCGGATGGGACGAGACTTAAGTATGGACTGGACGGGGGGACAAAGAAGCCTGGCAGTCGCGCGGCGAGATAACGAGATAAGCCCACGTCTGCACGGGACTCGCGCGCGTCGCTGATTGGGAGTGAGTCATGAACAGCCCTAACCCTATGGCCGGATTGGGAATACGAAGACGAGGCAAACCGGCTGGACTAGGCCGGTTCCGAGGATCACCACCCTATTTAGGCAGGGTGGCACTGATCCACGGTAGACTCTCCAGGGTTAGGTAAGAGTCCCTCAGGCTGTGTAGTCTAATGAGTATGGCTGTGTCAGGCAGCCACTCCGCAGGGCTGTGAGTCACGGGCTTCCGAGCAGCGCCGAAGTGGAGTTGACCTCGGATGCTCCACCACCCCCGCGCGATTCGTGAGGAGGTGTATACACAGTCACGGGCATTCCCAGCAGATCAGCAATGGCAGCCACCCCGATGTTATTTTATGTGTTATTTCAATAGCGCTTGAGTATGCGAGATAGTAGTAGACTTTTCCCTAGGTAAGTTAGCGAAGTAATAGCAAGGCCAACTATTTATAACCCAAACGGACTAAGCTAGCGCGGGGTCCGAAAGGGGCTTGGCGCCCAAATGGAGCTGCCAAGGGCGCGTGATGCCTTGATCAGCCTAGCCCCCAAACCCTGCGGCTGTACCTGGCAACCTACAAAACCCGGCTCAGCTGTCCTTCCTTCGTATCCTTATTCATCCTGGTTGCAGAACCCTCAACATGAAGTTCCTCGGTGCGCTCAGCGCATCCGCCTCCCTCGCCCTGGCGGCCGTCATCCCGCAGCAGGAACCGCTCGCCCAGACCATTCCCTCCATCGTGCAAAACTCCCAGACTACCCGATGGCTGATCGAGTTGAGCCCGTATCAGACGCGCTGGGTGACCGAGGAGGAGAAGTGGGCATTGAAATTGGTATGTTTCGTCTTATCGCTCCTTTCCTCTCATCTTTTCGTCTGATCTTTCTTCGGACGCTAATGCTGACAGGACGGCGTCAACTTCATTGATGTCACCGATGAATACAAGGCCGGCGAATACGGCACCCTGCACACCAAACGCGTCGTGCACTACCCCGGCCAAATGGAACACCAGAACGAAATCACCCCGTTGGCCGCAGACCTCTCGAAGAGCAACATGCGGAAGAACCTAGAACACTTCACCTCCTACCACACCCGGTACTACAAGTCACAGACGGGCATCGAGTCCGCCCAATGGCTGTACAACCAGGTCTCCGATGTCGTGAAGCAATCCGGCGCCAGCGACCACGGCGCGACCGTCGAGAAATTCGACCACGCCTGGGGCCAGTTCAGCATTATTGCCCGCATCCCGGGCCAGTCGAACCACACCGTTGTCCTGGGTGCGCATCAAGATAGCATCAACCTCTTCTTGCCGTCGATATTGGCTGCGCCGGGTGCGGACGACGATGGTAGTGGAACGGTCACGATCCTCGAGACGCTTCGGGCCCTGTTGCGGTCTGAGACTATCTCCCAGGGTCAGGCGGAGAACACGATCGAGTTCCACTGGTACTCGGCGGAGGAGGGCGGTCTGCTTGGGTCGCAGGCGGTCTATTCCAAGTATAAGAAGGACTCGCGCGATGTCAAGGCCATGCTACAGCAGGATATGACCGGCTACGTGCAAGGGACTCTGGATGCCGGAGAAAAAGAATCGGTCGGTGTGATTGTCGACTATGTCGATCAGGGTTTGACCAACTTTATCAAGGAGGTCATTACCACTGTAAGTTTTCTGTATTCCTTTTGCGTCAGCCCATTACTAACTCTCGTACCAGTACTGCGACGTCCCCTACGTCGAAACCAAGTGCGGCTACGCCTGCTCCGACCATGCCTCCGCCAGCCGATTCGGCTACCCCTCCGCCTTTGTCATCGAATCTCAATTCGAAAACTCGGACAAAAAGATCCATACGACTGAGGATAAGATCAAGTATCTCAGCTTCGACCACATGCTGCAGCACGCGAAGATGAGCTTGGCATTCGCATACGAGCTGGCTTTTGGCCCCTTCTAGATTTTTTTCGGGGCATTCATGTTTATGACGGTTGGGTTTGGCGTTTGAGAGATATACCTAGGCATTCTATTCTTTTAGCATCAAACAAATCCACGCGGTGCATGCCGCTTTTCGGGTTTGCGCGTGCTTTGTATTTCGGTTAAATCTTACCTCCGCTATATTTCGGTCTAGATCTGTATGCACCTAATTTGACTCGATACGACTTTCGGTAGTTTTTTTTTTCTGTCATTAATTCCTGACGTAGCTATCATCCACCCGTGCAATCTCTAGGAATATCTCAAAACATGACGCAAACTTAGCCCCACGTGATCCACCCGGTGAGAGACCCGGTGATCGACGAATATATTTCACCAAGCCAGCACCATTGCCCCTCCAACACACATATCCGGCCAAATCAGCCGGTTTCAATTCTTTCCAGCCCTCAATTCCTCCTCTGCCTCACCTCCTCAACACCCCTCACACCTCATCGCATCGCATCCACCACCACCACCACCATTATGACAACACGCCCCTACGCCAAAGAACTCCATCTAGCAAAGCTAGCCGTGCAACGCGCCGCACTGCTCACAAAGAAACTCCTCTCAGCAGTAGACAAAGGGCACTTCGACAAAATCGACGCGACGCCCGTAACAATCGCCGACTTCGCCGCACAAGCGTCCATCATCGCCGCCATCCACGCCGCCTTCCCAACAGATCAGATAATCGGCGAAGAAGACTCCACCGCCCTCCGCTCGAATTCGGCGCTCCTCGAGCGAACCTATGAGCTGGCTACGACTACACACCTCTCTGACCCCACCGCCGAAGCGCACCTGCACACTCCGTCGTCCCGCGATGAGCTACTCGAGCTAATCGACCTAGGCGCGAAGCCTGTTTCTTCAAATCAAGGCCGAATCTGGACACTTGATCCCGTCGATGGGACTGCTACCTTCATCAATGGCCAACAATATGCCGTCTGCCTAAGTCTAGTCGAAGACGGGATACAGCGCGTCGGCGTCCTAGGCTGTCCGAACCTCCTCCTAGGCTCAGCCGTTCACGAAGACGCCGTCGACCGCGACGGCTACGGCCAACTCCTCTCCGCAGTCCGGGGCCAGGGAACCACGATCCAACCGATGGGTAACGGCGGGTTATTGGATTCCGAATCCCGACATCTACCCCCCATAACCTCCATCACAGAAGGCCATCAGGTACGGTTCGTCGACACGGCAGCCGCGACCTCGCAGCGTCTCGATATCCATGCTAAGGTCGCGGCGCAGCTGGACTGCCCGTGGCCGAATAGTGTGGATCTGTGGTCTGCGCAGATGCGGTATGTGGCGATCGCGGTTGGCGGCGGGTGTAATTCGTTTGTGAAGGTGCCGAAGAGTGAGGCTTATCGCTCGAAGATCTGGGATCATGCAGGGGGTATGCTTCTGGTGCAGGAGTTAGGGGTTAAGGTTACGGATTTGGAGGGACGGGATGTTGATACGGGGCGTGGGAGGACGCTGGCCGGGTGTTATGGGATGGTTGTTGCGCCGGAGGCTGTGCATACGAGGGTTTTGGAGGCTGTTAGGGTTGCTAGGGGGTTGTAATTACTGCCCAAGTACAGTTGGTAGGATGTTTGGAGGATCTACGAATCTGGGGAGAGGGAGTTCGAGGTGAAACTTTTTTCACTGCAGGGTGTGAGCATCCTATAGAATAAGCTAGAGTGGCGGTCTAGTCAGCATGATACCCAAATGAGAAAGTTCCTACTGTTATTTTTTCTCGACTGTAGTAGTGTACATGTTTGGCACTGGCCTCTTTCCCCGCGGGGTCTAAGCAGAATATACATCAGCTGTATTTTGTTATCTGCCAGAGATTCGAGTAAGTATTGTTTACAATCGGCGTAGAAATAGAATTGTTTATTACACTAATAGCCATTCCACCAAGTCTATACAATAAAATAAACTAATACTATAGCTGCCTGTACTAAGCTCATATACATAATGCCACCCGGATCCGCCAGGCCCGTGCACAGATCGACCATGGCGCCATCAGGCGCAACCCCTGCGTTGTTTTATTTTACATACACATACACTCGAGTGGACAAGGTGCTGCCATACTATAAACTCTTGAGTACGAACACAACGCATTGGCAGCGGTTGTACGGCCCCACCTAAAATCAAGAAATGCCCTCGACATAAATGACGGCACCAAGCTCAGCAGGTCCCCACTTTCGCTCTCCACCTACTGGCTACACTGACACTGTACAGCTGTACCACTGGGCAGTATACTCGTTGGCAAGTGGTACTTGGTATGTACGGTAATGATGTCAAACAATCTGACCTCATAGCCGCAGGCTCCATTCCCGCTGAATGGCCGGCCAGACCTGGTCATCCGACCATGCGGGGTTCGTCGCAGACTTAATATGCCGCCTCCCACCTGGACTCACCTGCTCTGCTAGACCTCACGTTGCGGGCCATCACGTTCATCTCTAGCACCTGTGATCAGGATCGAAATGGCTATCTACAACCCCTTCGCCCGGCGCGAGACGCACAACGCCCGCGCGCTGAATCTCTATCGCGTCCTCGTGCCCCTCACCTGGGCCCTCGTCGTCATCGTCGGCGTCTACTATTCGCTACACTCGCCTGACGATGTGAAGAAGAGTAAGAAGATTTGGAAGCAGGCGAATAAGCATAAGACGCCGTTTAGTCAGAATACGACTGTTACGGGGATTTACTGGTGAGCAGCCCATATATTGAGGTGGTAGCTATAGCTATAGCTATAGCTATAGCTTGACCTCAGCTTTAGTAGACACCTACTAACATTCACAAGGATCCTCCTCCTTCTCTCCCAACTCAGCTACGTCTGGCATCTCTTCTCGAAAGATGCTGCCGTTGTTGCCTCCGCCGCCAATGTTGCTGGCCACTTCATCTTAAACAACCTCTTCACCTTCGCCTGGATTCTCCTCTGGACCCGCAACTACTTCTGGGGCGCCGAAATCATCCTCATCGCCCACCTTATCAACCAACTCTCCGCCTACTGGAGGCACCCTGGCCTGCCGACCTTCGTGCATCTCTCCGCCGTCGCGGGCCCCCTGGCGTGGACCGTCACCGCACTGTTCTGGAATGGCGCTGTCGCGACGCATAGCCATAACCTGCCCGGTCGCATTATTGCGAATATTTTCATCTGGGTTATTCTTGCCATTGGGTTGTTCCATGTTTCTGTGAGGCAGGATTATATTATTGGGTATTGTTTTAGTTTCTTGACGCTTTGTAAGTTTGCCTGACCATCAGCATATATTTTGTGGAGACGCTAATGCAGTATCCAGCTCTGGCTCTGCGACAGTTCGCTTTGAAGATCATTGCCTTGCAGTGGATCTTCGCGTTCGTCGTCTTTGCGCTCTTCACGGTCACCTCGCTCTATATCTCTAGTACCAAGTACTACGGTCGCGACAGTCTCTTCCGTCGTGTTGCGCATCCCGAGGCCTCTGATCGCGAGAGACAGCCTCTACTCAACGAAGAGGCGTGAACCCCTCCCAAAACTACGCGTAAGCTGTCGTATGTTAGGCTCGACATGTGAGTGGTGGAGGTCACAAGTGCAGTATGGGTGGAATAGTGCAGACTGGACTGCCCTGCGGGGCGAGCTAGTGCGTCCTTTACTCTGGCGATGATATTTGAAAAGGAAGTTGGAATACCTGATGTTTCGGAAGTATGCCGTTTACGTGATACGTTGGATCATCCCCACTCTCGTTTATTCATAATACCTTTGGCGTTGGCATAGTTATGAATTTGTGACTTATGAATTCCTCATTATTCTATAACACGAATTAATCAATCTACGAGTGTTTATGCATTGCGTCGCTTGACCCACTTGGTGGATCTTGAACCGTGCTGCGAACCATCGCAACCATAAGCGATCGAGTATATTAAAACGAAGTGGTTAGAGGATCGCGCAAGGATGGTCCAAGTAAATCTGAAATTCATATCCAGTAAAAACCTATATCGAAAATTAAGCCCTATAAAATTGGCGTTGTCTCACCCGGTGCAGCTCCTAGTGGTGCAGTGTTGATCCTTGCTGTGGGCGTTGCCAGGGTAACCGCAACACTCCGCTTTTTGTTGATGCGGAAGGTGCGGGCTGGACTCGTTCCGTTCTTCTATTCTACACAACACCTTCAACACTTCGTCCTCACCACCATCTCCGTTTGGCTATTTTCATCTCTATACGATCGCTTTCGATTGCATCTGCTGTCAACTTATCCTCAACGTCTGGACAGGTCCAGGTGGGCATTCCACGATCGACATTCCTGACGAGCTATCTACTAACGCGACTCGCTGCAGACCTGCCCTGTCTTTTCGAGTGCTTGTCCCACTGCGCACCCTTTCTCGTCCGTTTGCCCTTAGTAGCCCTACTATGAGCACCTAGGGTCGCATCATCGCAAGCATTCCACAGTTCACGTCATGAACCGTCACCCTCCGTCTGGCTACGGCGATGAGCCGCCAGCCTACGACCACGAGGCTACCTCGTTCCTTTCTCACGACGATTCCCCGACCAATACTGCCAGACCTAACGGTGCCACCATGCGTCTGTTGCCTACCAGTGGTGACATTGATGCCGATATGAATGACTCTCGAAGCTACAGAGCGCCGTCGCCTTCGCAGTATTCTTACCAGCCTGAATACGCTGATTCTACTCCGTACGTGTGATCTTTGTTACTTATTGATTCCCCGACACATTCCCATCGTTGCTCCCGCAATGCTGCCCCATATCCCCTCCACTTTTGAATTCTCCCTTGACCCCAAACGCGGTGGCACTGACCAGTGCTTGGTGGGCTGCTGAGGAATGAGCTCGCTATTGGACGAGGATACCTTGTTCCTGGTGTTCTTGCGGGTGCTGGTCCGCCCATAAACAATGTACCCATAGTACTTTTTGTACTTGTTGTACTCGCTACCCAAGCCCCGCGTCATCTCCACCTGCCTATACTCTGGCAGATATTGCTTCACAATGGATTTGTCGCGACCGAGAACTAACATTCGGACGCGCAATAGGACGGGAGCTGCTTCAAGCTATGACAATCGTTACTACCAGGTCCCCTCGGCTACTTCACCTTCGCGTCCTCCCTCCAGCTTGGGAACTGCGCCTACAATTCCGCCGCCTACTGCCAGTCTGGCCGACCCTTCTGTGTATCCGTCTATTCCCCCTCGCACCGGCTCTCCCACCCGTCCATGGAGCCCTGGTCATGTTCGTCCTCCTTCCGTTTCGAGTGTTGGCTATGAGCGCGCCGATATCAACGGAAGCCCTCGCCCCGGTACTCCCAGTTCCCGATATGGCGGTAGTCCTCGACGCCCATTGCCACCCGCACCTCTCTTCTCTGGTCCCGCTGCCTCAACTGGCCCAGACACCAGCATTGACATCGGTGATGGTGTTGCTGGCGAAGATCCCTTCGGTGGTGGCGGCCGTACCATTCACCACAACTCGCGCGGCAGTGTCCGATCCTTCATGAGCGAGTCTACTATTCTGGGTGACGAAAAGGATGCCATGTCCAAGGTCGACCTCGAGGAAGAGGTCGAGGATGAGGACGACGGCATGATCGACCCTAATCTCCACTATGGACCGGCTCCCGAAAAGCAGGGTCGCCGCGGCGTGCGCTCGACTCAGATGGTCAAAAAAGAAGTCCAACTCATTAACGGTGAGCTGATCCTAGAGTGCAAGATTCCGACCATCCTGCACAGTTTCCTGCCTCGTCGTGACGACCGCGAGTTCACCCACATGCGATACACGGCTGTTACTTCTGACCCCGATGACTTTACGAACCGTGGCTACAAACTCCGTCAACAGATCGGTAGCACAACCCGCGAGACGGAGCTGTTCATCTGCGTGACCATGTACAACGAAGATGAGATCGGTTTCACCCGCACTATGCACGGTATCATGCGCAACATCAGTCACTTCTGCTCTCGTACCAAGTCCCGCACCTGGGGTAAGGACGGTTGGAAGAAGATTGTGGTCTGTATCGTGTCGGATGGTCGCAAGAAAGTACATCCGCGCACTCTGAATGCTCTGGCGGCTCTTGGTGTCTACCAGGAAGGTATTGCGAAGAACATCGTCAATCAGAAGCCTGTCACGGCCCACGTCTACGAGTACACCACTCAGGTGTCTCTGGATTCCGATCTCAAGTTCAAGGGAGCTGAGAAGGGAATTGTTCCGTGCCAGGTCATTTTCTGTTTGAAGGAGCACAACCAGAAGAAACTCAACTCACACCGTTGGTTCTTCAACGCTTTCGGTCGCGCCCTACAGCCTAACATCTGTGTTCTTCTGGATGTGGGTACCAAGCCCCAGCCAAATGCGCTGTACCATCTCTGGAAGGCCTTCGATCAGGACTCCAATGTCGCCGGCGCTGCCGGTGAAATCAAGGCCGGTAAGGGCAAGGGTATGCTGGGATTGTTCAACCCGCTCGTCGCCAGTCAGAATTTCGAGTACAAAATGTCCAACATTCTCGACAAGCCTCTCGAGTCGGTCTTTGGTTACATTACTGTGCTTCCTGGTGCACTGAGTGCCTACAGATTCTTTGCTCTGCAAAACGACGCCGACGGACACGGTCCTCTCAACCAGTACTTCAAGGGTGAAACACTGCACGGTCAAGACGCTGATGTTTTCACGGCCAACATGTACCTCGCCGAGGATCGTATTCTCTGCTGGGAGTTGGTTGCCAAGCGTGAAGAGAGATGGGTTCTGAAGTTCGTCAAGAGTGCTGTTGGCGAAACTGATGTTCCGGATTCGGTGCCCGAGTTTATCTCGCAACGACGTCGTTGGTTGAACGGTGCTTTCTTCGCCGCTGTTTACTCCATTTTCAACGCCAAGCAGATTTGGAAGACGGATCATACCCTTGCGCGGAAGATTTTGCTGCACATCGAGTTTGTGTATCAGACTCTCAACCTGATTTTCACTTACTTCGGACTAGTAAGTCATTCTCTCCCTTGATTTTAACGAGGCAATGCTAACTTAGCCCATTTAGGCCAACTTCTACCTCGCGTTCTACTTCATTGCCGGCTCGCTTACTGACGAAAAACTTGATCCATTCGGTCACAACATGGGCAAGTACATCTTCATCGTTCTTCGATATGCCTGTGTCTTGGTCATGTGTCTCCAATTCATTATTTCGCTTGGCAATCGACCTCAAGGGTACGTATTATTACCGTCTCGTAAATTGTATGATAGGATCCCGACACTAACTAACCCCGCCCAGCGCGAAAAACATGTACCTCACAGGCATCGTCACTTACAGTGTCATTATGTTCTACACCATTTTCTGCACCTTGTACCTGGTTGTCATGGAGCTCATGTCCCGGGCTGGACACGGCAGCTCCGATTTTAAAGTGTCCGATACTCTCATGATGAACATCGTTTTGTCCATGCTGTCCACTGTCGGCCTCTACTTTTACACTTCGTTTCTTTATCTCGACCCATGGCACATGTTTACCTCGTCGATCCAGTACTTCCTTCTGATGCCTAGCTACATCTGCACGCTCCAGGTCTACGCCTTCTGCAACACCCACGATGTGACCTGGGGTACCAAGGGAGACAATGTGATCAACACGGATCTGGGTACTGCGAAGGTCATCAACGGCTCCACGGTGGTTATGGAAATGCCCTCTGAACAACTCGACATCGACAGCGGCTACGACGCAGCCCTCCGCAACCTCCGCGACCGCCTCGAAGTCCCCGAGCCGCCCATGTCCGAGTCGCAGATGCAGGAGGATTACTACCGCGCAGTCCGTACCTACATGGTTTCCATCTGGATGGTCGCCAACGTCATCCTCGCCATGGCCGTTTCGGAGGTCTACGGCGTCGACAGCGGCGGTACCAACGTCTACCTCGCTGTCATTCTTTGGGCCGTCGCCATTCTGGCCGCTATCCGTGCCGTCGGTTCTACTGCTTACGCTTTGCTGCACCTGATCCACAAGATCGTCGAAGGAAAGACCAAGTTCGATGCGGGTAACATTACCAACTTCGCCCCGTCTTCCTTTGGTCGTTCGAGTGTTTCGGGCGGTGGTTCGGAGAGTGGTTCGTCGCGTCCGAATCCCATTCGGTACAATGGTGGACCTAGCTTTAAGGACCGCATTAACGAGGCGCGCTGGTCCGTTAGTCGTTCTGCTGGTAAAATGATGTTCTGGCGCAAGTAGAAGCCCCTCCAAAGGCTTCAATGCTTGTGCTCAATGCTCGATATGGATTCCCCCTCTTGCCATGATTTGATCTGAAATTTTTTTTTTTTTTTTTTCATTTTTGATGAATTGTTTTTGCTGTCCGTTTCGAAAGACATTTAATGGTGTTGTGGTGTTTACTTTCTCTTCGGTGGAGATATTGTCACGATAGGTTTTGATTTTTGCTCTTCCATGAGCCATCTCATGTCCAATGTTTCATGCCCATGTCTTGAGTTATGGCATGATGTCCTTATGCTTCTATTCTTATCCTATTCTTACCCTCGTCCGCCAGTGACGGTAAGACTCAACTCAATGATTATGGACATTGATCACCTCCCTCCCCTTCCTTTACACTAAACCATGTCTAGTTATAGACTATAACTCCCCAACCTCAACCCCAACCATGTCCTTAATTCCCACCCCCGTTCCAGGAAGACAATTGACGTATTCAACCCCGATATCTCCCGCCCGTAAAACAGAAACCTCATGCCAAGTCCGAAACTTCCTCCCATCCCCGAATCGCCGCGCATGCCTCACGGCCCCGGCGTGAATCGCTAGATGAGATGGGTGTTTCGACGCCCAGGTTTCGAGGTGCGTGAGGGATTTGAAGAATGCTGTTACGCAGGATTCTTGCAGCTCTTGCATTTCAAGTGGCTGATTGGGGTCTAGTAGGATATGACTGTATGTAGTTGCGGGTGTAGTGGTAATGTTCCGCAAGTACCGCACACCCCAAGCACCACTCTCAGACCCCCATAGATGCTCTAATCCAGTTCTGAGTTTCAGCTCGAGGGTTCCCGTGTACGCTGTTTTTTCGTCGGGTGTGCAGAGTGCCCAGTATTGTCCCGAGCGGATGTGGACTATATTGTTCGGATTCGTGGCTGTAATCGAGACGCCTAGCCCGATATCCACTGGCAGGTTGAGGCTCAGGGAGGTGTTGGATGAGGATTCATGGGCGTGTGATGAGCATTCATGAAATAAATCCTTAGCGGAATCAGGAATCCGATCCCGTGCTGCACCCCAGTACCCCGTATTCACATGCTCCTTCAACCACGTCCCCGGCAACTGTGCAAGTCCGGGTAAATAATCTGATTTTGAATAGACTGTCTCGAGACGGCCGGTGTCTGAGACGAATGTTTCCTTCCAGAGTCCGATGTGCGGTTTTATTGGATCCGGCAACGATGCATGTATGGATACGAGGTCTAGTGCTGCGAGTGCGGTTTTGTATTCTTGTTCTGAGGTCCAGTAGCAGCTCCAGATTATTGATGTGTGTCTTCGTCTGGTTGTGGTGAGAATATCGTCTAGGAGGAGGAATTGCTCTGTTGAGCTTGGGGTGTGGTGTGTGAGACAGATGCTTATTGCGGAGTGTGGTGCTGATAGTTGTTCCAAGGTTTCTTCTTTTGTAAGGGTGGGTTGTTTGTGGTGTTGGATGCCGATGTAGGCTGTGAAGACTTGTTTTTGGGTTTCTGGGAAGACGAGTTGGAGGCGTGGTCGGGGGTTGTGGCTTTCTGGTTGGATTAAGGGGTATTTTCTTTCCATTTTGTTGCTGGTGGTTTGCATGATGATTGTGAACTGGGTGTGTCGGGAGCTCCGTTTGGCTTTTGATGAGTCGTGGTTTCTGGGCATTGTGGTTGCCGAGGTACTCGTTTGATGCGGGGTTGGTCTTGATTTGATTTTGTCAAGCTCGCGAGTCGCTACATGGAGATCATTCCGTTTGTGGCTTTCAAAAGGTAGTTAGATTTTTTTTTTCCCAACTCGCTTTTCTTGTATTTCGCGTCGACTTGTACTTGAAATGACTTCTCTCTGCTGGAGGTCTATGCCTTAGGCTTTTTGTCCGTTGGAACTTTCACATCAGATAAATTCACGTATGTGGACGAAGTACTGCTATCGGCGGTTGTTTAAGTTGACTGGGTTATCGTGATTGATGAGAATACTTTCTTCATCTAATGCACCGTTGTGAGCCCAGGCCTCAGCACAATATCTGGCTTGAACAATCTTTTCTGCCACTCTTTCATCTGATAAAGCTCTCAGATGCAATTTGTTCCTCGATTTTTGGTTCATAGGTGCTAGTATATTGGTCTTTTGCATAATAGGTGATCTTGACCACTTCAGTATCCCAATTATCCGCACATAGCTAAGCATTCCGAGTTTTATCCGCACCTATTTTCCGATTGGCGGGTATTTCATCTCAGCGCAGTAGCTTAGCTCTCCTGGGAGAAATGCAACAGCAGCCTCGAGTCCGCATGTCGATCTTCAGCATTGCTTCCCCGCTCCAATCTCCAACCGACATACTACCGTAGGAATCCTTAGTTATGTTACATCGCTAATCGTCTCAGGGTGTATCACTAGGACGCTGTCAACACAGTATAAAGCTCTGGAGATGATCAGCATGCAGCAGCCAAGACAAATTCCTCGCAAATCTGCTTACCATGAAACTCCATCTAAACATCCTCGGCATATGCGCCGCAGTGACAGCAGCTGGCACCTACAAGCCACAATACCGAATTTCCCCGATCGACGGCTCAAAGATCGCCTTACCAACAAAAGAACAGCTAGACTTCCAAGACAAGGAAATCGGCGTCCTCATCCACTTCGAGATAGCCACATACCTCGACATCGACGGCTGCAACAATGTTCCCAACCTCGTGCCAAACGTTGATCTCTTCGACCCTACATTAATCAACACCGATGCATGGATGGATACGACGACGGCACTTGGTGCCAAGTACGCCACGCTGGTTGCTAAGCACAATTGCGGATTCACCACTTGGCCGAGCAACGTGACTTTTCAAAATCGCGATAATGAGACCGTGTCGTATAATTATACAATTGCCCATTCGCCTGTGCATGGGCAGAATATTGTGAGGAGCTTTGTCGATTCGGCTCAGAAGTACAATATTGGTCATGGGTTTTACTATAGTGTTGTCGTGAATAACTTTCTGAATGTGCAGAATTCGGGGGTTAGGGCGGGCTCTTGGGCGCCTGGTCAGGTTAATATTACGAATAGCACTTATGATCAGGTTGTTTTGGATCAATTGGGTGAGCTGTGGAAGGATTATGGGAGCTTGACTGAGGTGAGAGAACTGACGCGAGATATAGCCCTGAGTTTTACTGACTTCAGTTCCAGATCTGGTTTGATGGTGGATATAGTAGCTCTCAGCAAGAAAAGGTCGAGACTCTCCTTGAGAGTACCCAGCCACAGGCAGTTATTTTCAACGGATGTGATACCGATGGCAATTGTTTATCGGCTAATTCCAGTAAGCGCAATCCCATCCCTATTCTACGCGTTTCATCTCAACTCACTATCACAGTCCGGTGGATCGGCACAGAAGAAGGACAAGCACCAGAGGAGAATTGGTCAACGTATGGTCCTCAGCACCTTTGTTTTAATCAAAAATACTGACTGATTAGTGGCGTAACCAATGACGGTGGCGACCCTACAAGTCCCTACTTCTGCCCAGCCGAATGCGACACCACTCTACAGACCGAAGACCGCTGGTTCTTCGGCGTTGACCAGCCACTGCGATCCATCGAAGAAATGATCGATGTCTATCACAGGACAGTCGGTCGCAACTGTCTTCTGGAGCTTGATCTCACACCAGACCGAAGCGGACTTATTCCCGCCAGCTATGCAGCTCGGTATAAGCAGCTTGGAGATTTCATCAGCTCATGCTATGATAATCCAATAGCGCCACATGCAGCGCATTCTGCGGACGATAAGGGTGTGTACACCATCAAGTTTGATTATCCGACTGCTATCGATCGGATCGTTTTGATGGAAGATCAGACGAATGGTCAAGTCATTCGATCTTATCAAGTTCAGGCGAAGGTTGTTGACAGTCAAGATGCTAATGGTACATTTTCCGTGTCATTTTCCCACGTCTCAAACGGAACGAGCATTGGTCATAAGAAGATTGATATCTTCGAAAAGCCGATTTCAGTGACTGAAGTTCGAGTCAAGACCACCTACGTGGATACTCCGAAGTGGCGGTCCGTTTCGGTTCATCTTTGTGATCAGCTGTCTACGAATTCATGCACTTCAACTGAAGCTAATTAGATGAAATCATGCAATGAGAAGACGTAAGATATCTTAGCCGTGAAGTAAGGAGCACATCTATAAGATTTGCTCTATATTACACATAGCACTGAAATAGCTCCAGTAGCACACAAGGTACCGACAACCACCTCAATTATTCCTGCTCACAGGAAAATAACGGAACGCCACAAGCTGAACCATTTTATTAGGATCAGAAACGTCCTTCTCCTCATACTCCCGAAACCGCTCAAACCCAGCCTTCAACAAAACACCCTGACTCCCCAAATTGGCCAACTCCGTAATAGCAATGAGATGCTCCTGCACCGCCCCCTCCCCATTCACCATGTTTTTCTGGACATTCACCTCCCGCTCCGACCTAGGCAACTCCTCCCAAGCCCGTAACCAAGCACTCACAAACTCCGTCGCAATCCCCTTACCCCAGAATTCCTTCCGGAAAATATACCCCAATTCCGGCCAGCCATGTTCTGCGGGGTACAGATGGCAGCCGCCCATTCCGATCAGTTTTCCGCTGTCCTTGAGGCAGATTGCACAGTTGAATGTCTTGGCGTCGTTGGGCGGGAGAAAGTGATTGAGCTTTTCCCGGGTGGCTTCGATGTTGGGGTCGATCTCGCCTTTTGAGGTCCATCTCATGACTTCTTCTTGGGTTCGTAGGACATATAGTGCTTCGGCATCGCTTGCTGCAAGGGGTCGAATGAGCAGTCGGTCTGTTGTCAACGGGGACCGTGCGTCATGTGGCGGGAGTGGAAGAGTCGGGAGTGAGGCCTTGACGGTCACGACATTGTCTGGCTGAGGGTACCACATGATAACAGGGTGAACTTGCGATTATATACCTAAAGGCTCTTCAATTACATGTATATTTGAATAAATTCGTGGATGAGTCATTCAATTTACTTTGAGCGGACCGTGCGAAGGCGGTGCGAAGGTTGCCGCGGCCACCCGCGGCTTCGAGTTTCGCTTAAAGGTCAAAAGAGAGGGCATGGGTATATACTTTGATCGTTAGGGTGAGGGGGAAATATGAGTATTCCCTGCTATTTATCGTGTATATACAGATTGAAGGTAAGGTTATGGTACCTCAGGTACCTACCTCATCTTGTATGCGGCTAATGCGTATCTCCTTAATTATGTCACTGTAAACAATAGCTTTCCGTCTGCGAGGAGTATATTTCACATCCGTCGTCTCCTTCTGTATGCGATGTCCGATGGTGCCGAAAATTCACACTAACGCTCTATGAACTGCATACTTTGTCAACTCGTATTCCCATTACCAGCACGAGTGGTGTCATGGATAATCTGGCGAAGAAGGGAATCACATGCCCAAGAATCGCGATTGGCGAAAAAGGCGAAGATGATTTACGCAATTTCATCACCGTACGAATGGACCGCATCAATTCCCTCCCCGTACCAGACAGGTCGGTGTGCCAGCGTTGAGAGCGAAGAACATCGACAAGTTGTCTCGGCATACTGGTAGCAACTATCACAAGATCGACTGAGCCTTGAACGATATTAATGCCTTGGACTACGTGGATGGCATTGACTCGATCCTGGATAATTCAGGCAAGGAATTGGCTGAGCATATCAAGGTGGAGACAAAAGCTCAATCAAATTCGCACTTCCGAGGAGCTGGCGGAGATCAACGAGATCATTCTGTGGACCACATATGCACAGGAGCAAATGTCAACGGAGAAAATGACAGCTGTACTTTAACTAAGAAGCGACGCGATTCCGCTTCGTCCTCTCGAAGCTTGCTTCAAGAGCAAGTTTCTACTGTTTGAAATTGAGAGTGATGGCTTCGTGGATTTCCGATCCTCACAGACCTTGGGCGCAATCCCAAGTCGACGTCAAATCGGCGCACACAACGAACAGAACGACACGAGTAACCATTCCAGTGATATCAACGTCGTTCAGCACTTCTTAAACAACGTCTTTCCACCCGCTCTTCTCCAAAAACTCGAGCTAGAGCAAAATTTGGCTGGTAATAAAATCCAGATCTACCAGGAGGACAAGGACAGAGCGCACATCCGAATCGCAGCTAGCTGTCTCCGTGTTTGGCTAGAGAAGCAAATGCGAGATTGACTGTCTTGCAGGTATACGCAGCCCGCCAATTGGTTCACCACTTATCCAAGGATGACCTGGCTCTGGTTGATCATGATTTGAAGAGCAATCTTGGACCGGATCTGGTGGAGCTTTTCTGCTTAACAGCGCGTATTAACAACCTCTTCTGGTCTAACAAGCCTGCACCGGCTTTCCCGTCTTGGATTCTGTAGGGTGCTGACGTCGAAGAAATCAAGACGTGGCTTGGGAATTCCGCTGTTGCTGCCGAACTTGACGGGCCTGCCAGGGCATGGACTACCAGGCTGCTGGATAGTGTCAGCAGTCAGTTTGAAGTGCTTTTGTTTCCAACTGCGAATCCAATTGCGGAGCTTTGCTTCAAGGAGCCTTCAACTGCGCCTTTGGCGAAATCGATGTTCCATTTTATTCTCCAGTGTCTTTCCAAGGTAAGCTAACAGATCCTCGGTCGCCTCGTGGAAAGTCTTCTAACGCAATAAATTTCGTCAAGCCAAACGATTCTGAAACTGGTTTAGTTGAGAAGCCTTCCTTGGAGCAGATTTACGATGCAGAAAAATGGGCTCAAACCGCGCTTGGTCTTCCAAACCTGATTCACTCGGGGAGGTTCAGATGGCATTTGTACTAGACGGCTTTGCTAAGGAGTCGGAAGCAGAAGGACGCTGTCGTCATGTACTGTTTCTGGTTCCTTCGAACTTGAGAGTGTCACACACACTCGCCAGACAGGTCTAGTCAGATGCAGAGGCAATTCAAATCCTCAGTGACCTTATGAAGAAGTTTGAAAAGGACTCCACCTGGTTGGAAACTAACAGCCATATTCTAGCTGAAATTGCCTTCGATCTGGGCTTCCGGTACTGGAACAACAGCCAATCCGAAAATGCTGTCAAGACACAGTCAAAGTGCATTGACTACAACCCCACTCACTACCAAAGTGCACAGCAAATTCTGTTCAAGTATTGTTCCAGCGAGAGGTGGGGCGATGTTATCGAACTCCTGGATAAACTTCGTGTCAACTCTGAGAGAGGTAAAATACTGTGGATTCTCCACTGCTCTTGGTTATTCAGCATCCACCCACATTGCAATAGTAATTGTATGGTAATTCGGGTCATTCTCGGAAGAACTGTGATGTAATACGCAGTTTATAGCCCCTGGATCATTTTCAACAGATCGGAACACACAGACACACTCTCGTTAATCCATCTCATGCATCAATTGGCCGTCCCTCGATACTAGATGATACACGTATCCGACATCCTGACAGTTATGAGCCCGGTTAGCCGCGCCGCACACGTGTAACTGCGAGCGTACCACCCCTGGCAGCACTGCAGCAGCGATTCGCACGATCGGGATACCCCTGAACGCACGCATCACGCGAGAAATTGGAACCTCGCCCCGCGCTCAACGCAGCAATCCCGTACCCTTGAACCTAGCATCAACACAGCATCAGTATCATCGCGAGAGAAGACAGGATGGCCGATTCACAAAGAGAGGAGATGGCAATGATCCCACCCGATCAGAAACTACGGGCGGAATCGCAGTGGAGGATCTGGATAGGACATATCAGGTCAGCAGCCATATCTGAAGATGTGTGGAATTATCTTGACCTCGAGAAGTCGGACGAAGAAGTTGAACAGCTTCCAATCGCACATCGGGAACCTATGATGCCTGTGGACCATCGCGGTAGAGAGAAGGATATCATGGACCTCACTGATGATGAGTTAAGGAGATGGCAGTTGCAGATACAGCTGTATGAGCGGCAGGAAACAAAGCGACAGCGGCTTGTTAAGGCTATGGCGCGCATGAATAGCCTTATTACCCGTTCAGTAGCCACTGAGTTTCACTATCTTATTGTCGATGAGGAAACTCCAAGGAAGAAGCTATTGAAACTGGCAGAGACATTCAAGCCAAAGCCTGAGAATCGACGACAGGAGCTCCGACGTGCGTGGAGATTGATGATCAGGCAACCTGCGAGAGATGTTAGCATTGATCAGTGGCTCACACAGTGGGAAAGCTTATATGAGGAGGCAAAAGCTGCCAAGGTTCCTGACTGTATTGAGAAAGATGATGCTATTCGTGACTTCCTAGATGCTGTGCAGGGGCTAGATGACACCTTCTGCTCGGGATGGCGACGTGAGCTTCGTATGAACACGACTGCTACGTTTCATGAGGTTATTGCCGATTATCGCAGCCGCCGTGGAGATCTAGCACTCACTTCTGGAAAGAAGCAACCGAAGATGGCCTTCGCAACCCTGGATGGTCAGAAAGAGGCAAAGCCAACTGGGAAAACAGAGAAGACTTATCGAACGAAGTGCCCATGCGGATACCCTCGACACCACTACTCAGAGTGCTGGTATATTGATGAGACCCTGCGAAGTGACGACTGGAAGCCAAGAGAAGGAATTGCGAAGCGCTTAACTGATGCTATCAAGCAAATGAGTCCTCAGGATCAACAGAAGATCAAGCAGCTGATGGAGAAAAAGAAGGAAGCACCATCAGCGCAGGCTCAATTAGCAGTATCAGAAGAGAAGCTTAGCTTCTTCATTGCAGCTGCAGCATCAACCGGTCAGCATCAGGTGACCAAACCGCTCAGAAATCGCTGGATTCTTGATTCAGGCACTACCCTGCATATCTGTAATGATCGTGGGCGTTTCAAAGTGTTCATCAAAGGGGAAAGCTCTGTTAAAACAGGTGATACTATGACTGCTACTACAGGGTATGGCACTGTGGACATGGTAGGCCAGGACCCTCAAACTGGCGAGCCTCAAGTGGTAGAGCTCACCAATGTTCATTATTCCCCGGGCTTCCATACCAATCTGATATCCTATTCAAAGATTGAGGATAAAGGATATTGGTGGAATCCTAGCAAGAAAGCCATTGTCAACAACAGCGACAGTCCAGTGTTACATGTGCGAAAGGAAAAGGGATTATACTTCATGGAATACTGCTCTTCTGATGCAGCCTTTGCAACCAAGCAGTCAGAAAAGCCACTCATTTCAGCAGCATCAGCCAGGCGCTGGCATCGTCGGCTAGGCCACGCATATAGCCAGAAGATTGAACTGTTGCCAGCGATGGTGGATGGAGTCAAAATTGATGGAAAGAGTGAAGACAACTCTCATGGTAACCCTGAACGATGTGAGGTCTGTCAGATCACCTCTGCGAAACGTCAGATATCAAGAAGACCACAGGGAGCCACATACGGGAAATTTGGGAGAATACACTTTGACCTTGTTCAAATTGACCCTGCCTATAATGGTGATCGCTGGTTATCCCATTTCTATGTGGATGGAATTCGATTCCATGCAGCATTCACTCACGAGAAGAAAAGTGGTTGTCAGCAAGCTGTGACACTCTTCTGTGCATATGTGAGGACCCAGTGGAACCTACCAATCCGAGCCTTTCGCTATGATAATGAGCGTTCAGCAGGTCGTACGGTAGAGCAATTCCTAGCAGAGGAAGGCTTTGTTGTTGAGCATAGCGTCGTTGGAACGCCAGAGCAAAATGGCTTCGCGGAGCGATCTGGGGGGGTGATAGTCACTATAGCACGCGCACTACTGCAGGATGCAGGTCTTCCGAAAGACCTGTGGCCAGAAGCAGTCAAAGCAGCTGTTTGGATAGTTAACAGATCGCCCACGAGGATGAGAGATGGAAAGTGGATTGTCCCATACCAGGAAGCACTTCATGTCCAGCAAGACCAACCACCACGAGTCAACCTTGCCAACCTCAGAATCTATGGATGCAGAGCGTATGTACGCAAGCAGGGCATCCCGAATGCAGCGAAGATGGAGCCTCGCGCAGAGATCGGTTATCTCGTTGGCTATGAAGCCTCAAATATCTGGAGAGTATGGTTTCCACAGAGAGGAGCTGTACGGGCAGTGCGAGATGTTGTCTTTGATGAGAACCAGTTCTTCAACCCACGAGAACTAGACAAACCACCAGTCAGCGATATAATTGAATCAATGCCTTGGATCACTGAACAGGATGAGGAAGAGGAGATACAACACCAGATAGTCCCTCTTTCCTCAAATGAAGCAGGAAGCAGAGAAAGCGCTGCTGAGAACATGCATGAACAAGCAGCAAGACATTCAGCAGGAAAAGCAACAAATTCGCAACAGAAGGAGGGACGACAGATGGCTACACCTTCACCAACGCCATCAGCATCACAGCAACGGGCACCTTCGCTTCCACCAGGAACATTCCCTAGCTCACCGCCACGGGAGTCATATGACCATGCTGAGCAGCTTCAAAATGAGCTCACAGCTGCATCACCCGCACAGGAGACTCCCAGAGCACCTAGAGATATCGATGGTGACATTTCAGAACGAAACATTGTGAGAGGAACGAGAAAACGACGAACAAGAGAGGATGACAACTTTGTCAGCTTTCAAGCTATCTCTGAGAAGGAAGAGGATAGCGTACTCGCAGCCTTCGCTACTGGATTAAACAGCTCCCGCACACACGCGCAAGTGCATCAGGATGAGTTACCTCCAGAGCCAGGAAACTGGAAGGAGATGATGAACCATCCTTACCGAGAGGGATTCCTGGCAGCTTGTGCTCTTGAAATTCAGACAATCAAGAGGAAAGGCACATATGAGGTCATACAACGACCAAATGACCACAGCATACAGATTCTACCACTCCGTTGGGTGTTCAACTATAAGGTTGATAGCAATGGCTATCTCAGCAAGCTCAAGGCCAGAATCTGCGTGCGAGGAGATCTCCAGAAACTTACCACAGAGGAGAAATACTCGGCAACCCTCGCTGCACGCACTGCACGAGCAGTCTTCTCATTAGTGGCTGCTTTTGACCTTGACACTTACCAGTATGATGCTGTCAATGCATTCCTTAATAGTTGGATTGATGAGGAGATCATCACTGAGATGCCAGAGGGTTTCAAGGAACAGAGGCAGTGCTGGAAACTCAAGCGAGCTCTCTATGGCTTACGAAAGTCTCCAAGGCTATGGCAACAAGAAGCGTCTAAGGTCCTGACTTCTTTTGGCTTACAAGTTGTACAGGAAGACCTCTGCCTCTTCTCCACAAACGGCATCATTGTTTTCTTCTATGTGGATGATATCATCATCGTCAACCATCCAGCCCAGCGCACACGCGCAACGGAACTGCGCCAGAAGCTTAATGAGCAGTGGGAACTACGTGACATGGGAGAAGCAGCGTGGTTTCTTGGAATCCGAGTTGTTCGAGATCGGCAGGAGAAAGCACTCTGGCTCTGTCAGGACTCTTATATCTCTTCTATGGCAAGCCGGTACCATCTCACAAATGGCCGCAAAGTTGACACCCCACTGCCCTCAGCACTGGCACTGAAGCCATATGAAGGAGAAGCAACTCGACAGCAGATCCATGAGTATCAGCAGAAAGTTGGATCAACGCAATATGCTACCACAATCACCAGACCAGATGCAGCAAAAGCAACCTCTGCGCTTGCACAATTCCTCACAAATCCAGGACCTGAGCACCTTGACGCCATCAACAGGGTCATTACCTATCTATATCACACGCGTTCTCTTGCTTTGACGTATCGCTCACGTCCACATGGAGACATTGAAGCAGTATCCTTCTTCAGCGATGCATCATTTGCGGATAACAGAGATAGGAAGAGCTCAGAAGGATATATCTGCAAGATGTTTGGTGGAGCAGTTGATTGGCGTGCCAGCAAGCAACGTACGGTTACCACTAGCACCACGGAAGCAGAGCTGCTAGCGATTTCGGAAGCCGCGAAGACCATGGAAATGTGGAAGCGCCTATTCTTATCCATCCGCTTTGATCCTGAACACCCTTTATCGATCAATTGCGATAACCAGCAAACGATTGGTATACTCACCAGGGAAATACCTCATTTACGTACGAAGCTTCGTCATGTCGACATACACCATCACTGGCTTCGACAGGAGGTTCAAACTGGCCGGATACATGTTGAATGGGTGGAAACAAAGGATATGGCCGCGGACGGCCTAACAAAGCAGCTCCCACGACAGAAACACACCGAGTTCCTGCAACAACTGAGAATGGAGGATATCCACACTTTGTTGGAATAACCTCAGCAATGAGAGCGGATGCTGGGGGGTGTGTCAACTCTGAGAGAGGTAAAATACTGTGGATTCTCCACTGCTCTTGGTTATTCAGCATCCACCCACATTGCAATAGTAATTGTATGGTAATTCGGGTCATTCTCGGAAGAACTGTGATGTAATACGCAGTTTATAGCCCCTGGATCATTTTCAACAGATCGGAACACACAGACACACTCTCGTTAATCCATCTCATGCATCAATTGGCCGTCCCTCGATACTAGATGATACACGTATCCGACATCCTGACACTTCGCTCTATTGGTGACGGATCTAACCTCACAGCCATGGCCTTCGACCAAGCAACAAACGACGAGTTCCACGAGGTGATAATGAGAATTGTCATCGGAGGAGAACGCTACGGTCTTCTTGACCAGGTATACCCAGGAGCAATTGAGCTTGCATCAAAACAACAAACCCACAACGATACGCATACCTCCTTCGATTCAACTACACAAACTTCCTTTCCAAGATGCCGAATCCACCAATCAACAGGGTCATGGAATATCTGGAGACAGCTTTGAATGAAAACCTCCCACAGATCACCTCGAACCTCGTGGTTCTGTTCTTCGTCGTGGGGTATAACCTAGGTCGAATCTACTACAACAAAGCTCAAGAAGACAAATTGGCCGGAGACAGGGAGCTCGCAATGAGCTACCTGCGAAAGATTGTCGATATCGTACCCGAACAATTACCAGAATGGCAACTCCTTCCCCCGCGCATGTTCGCTGCTCGGTACTACCACCAGGAAGGAGACGACGAGGCCGCCGGGCGCGAAGCCTGTCCATCCCGACAACTGGCCCTCGAACCCTTGTCGGACGACGATGAAGGCAACGAACTATCTGCGTTCTGGCACATTCTATTCTCAACGATTCCTTTCGGCGACGAGAAGAATGCCACTGCCGCCCTGGCCATGATTGGAAAAACGTTCAATGCATGGCCCCCGTTCGAGGAAGCTTTGCTTTTTGAACTTGAATGTGATGATAATTGTGGCCATGTTTGGAAAGATCCGGGTGATATGGGGTGGTGCAAGTACTGATTTAATGTTGCTTTGACTGGCGAGTGTGCAAAAGCGATCAAGGCTGGCGAATTTCGTCATAATACTAGTGACCCGGGTCATGATAATTTCTACATCCCTAGATTGGATGCTGAGAGGATGAGGAATATGCCGAAGTGTCATCTGCCGTGGGGTGATGAGGATACCACATTGGAGAGGTGGACGAAGGAGATTCGGAGGATGCACCCTGAACACTGAGTATGATGTTTAGTGTCTACCTAAGAGTACCTCGTTTTCAATATAATCATAATCAATTTAATTTCAGCAGGACACAGATCCTCTTGGTAGTAGAGTGGTAGGACATTGTCAGATACGAACTTTGAATATGCTTCACTTGATGTATAAACATTATGGTTGATTTACCCGAACCCATTCATTTGACTTTTTAGTCCCATCTACCAGGCCACACTCTCCCCATTGGAGTTGACAAAGTGGCCGGATGTAGTTGACTTCTTCGCTGCATCAATCTGTAAAGACGTTAGCAATACTGATCTGGTCGTCGCAATCAGGGCTCTTCATACTTGGTTTGTAATGCCGCGAACGGTATCCTCAACTGTGACTGGTGCCTTCTCTAGCCCAACCAACTGCGCATTGCGACTACCCATGTCGGTTTGAACGAGACTTGAGACGTCTGCATTAGTCTTCTGGTTCTTTCCTGAATGAAATTCTTAAATCTGAACTCACCCCGGATCAACCGACAAAGTAATCAAGTGCTTGTTCTCGGCATCAATTTTCTTAACGAGGAAGTTTCCAGCCACCTTCGACATGCCATAAGCAGCAGTCAGCGTGGGGATCTGTTCAATCCCGGAAAAGCTCGCTAGAAGGGTAGAGATATAGATGAGCTTGGGGGTACTGGCTTTCTCGAGCAACGATGCCGTGGCTTTGAACAGTCTGAGCGGACCCAGAGTGTTTACTTCAAAGTGGGAAATTACATCCTCGTCAGCCATTTCCTGTACCGGACCCCAGTGGGTGCAGACTCCCGCATTGGCGATCACAACATCGATATGCTCGATATGGTGTTGCGTCTGGATAATAGACACGGCCTTCGTAACGCTCGATGGGTTGTTGATGTCGAGCGGCACGACAATCAGACCAGAGCCCTCGCCCTTTGGCAACTTTTCGAGGTCTTGGGCTTTCTCGGATGAGGCATCTCGAACTGTTCCAATGACTGTGGTGTTTGGTTGGGCAAGGTAATGTGCCAGTAGACCCTTTCCAATGCCTACATTGTAAAAAACCGAATCAACCTAGAAACTTTCAGCGCTGGGATGATGTTGTCGGCTAACCTCGATTGGCTCCAGTTATAAGGACAACGTGACTCATCTTAGGTGCAAGTTGCGTGCCGTCGAAACTTGACAATTTGAAAAAGTGGATAGCCGGTGACTATCAAGTTACTCGTCCTGTTTTCTGCGCGAGATCTGTGAATTTATATCGTCGCGTGGACAATGGCGCTAAACCCCACGAATCAAGCAAAGACGGGTAAACACGGACATCCAACAGGAGGGGTTCGAATTGCATGCTGCTTGCCTTCCGCCGCGTGGCTAGTACTTTAGTTCAATAAGCAAATCAGAATGTCCGGATCGAGCTTAGTCGGTGGATCAGTTTCACTCCGGAAGGATCGCCGACCAGCCTGGTCTTGCTTTTCGGTGATCAAAAGCGGCAAAGGCGTGAGCACTAGAATATAATGGGGTGCCAAGATTCACCCGGCATTATCCGAGTCATGTACAGTATTTACATGCTCGTAGAATTTTGCATATTGTCTTTCGGTGCTTGCGAGCATTTGGGATAAATGACATCAGCCAAATAAGCAGTTGTTAGTCCAATTGATACATTACCCCGATGAATCTGGCCTCATGTCTACACAAAAACGAAAAGACAGTGCCGTTTGAGGTCACTGGTGTCGCATATCTCCCCACCGCTGTCTTTCTATACCTTGCTCTCTTTCAACGCATCTCCTTCCTTTCTCAACTTATCTTCTTTTTTCCAATCATCTTCTTTCTCTCTCTCGACAACTCTTCTTTCGTATCTTGTTTGCCCTCTCTACCTCTTATGTCATACAGAGGATTCCTACAAAAAGCCACAGAAGACCGATACCGGCACAACTCGAAGCGGCTCGAAATGATGCCTGAATATGGACAAATCTTACACTCATTCGTCCTCGAAAAGTGATTCTCCATCTGAGTCCACTCAATTTTTCCACGCCTGCTTTATCACACTATGATACAACAAAATCTACTCTGACTTGGCCATATAAAGGCCCAAATCAGAGCACCGAGCTGAATCAGGATTTAAGTGATGCAAAATATTTGCTTAACTTGGCCATGATTTGAACGGCGCACGACAATTGCTCACTTTGGCCTGGGCACAACAGCTCATATCAAAGAACCGGGCCGAATCATGAGACCAGCTAATCAAACTCCGGTTCTTCAGGGCCCCTTTATATGCTTGTCTTCTATAGCGACGGTCATTTGCACGGATTTGGTGTTCAATTTTGTCACACCCACGTGTGCCCAACATTTCAACGTTCCAGAATACTTGGTCCGGACTTCATGTTCGATGGTGTACAATGTAAAGGGCTGAAGCCCAGGATATAGCCTGGGCTATGCCCGTACACCAGGTGATCGCCAAGCTTCTGGGGTATCCAGTTCACCGCTAGATGCCCCCTATGTTTACTTTCTTTAAGCTTCAGATAAACAGCATGTTAGCACCGCTCAATTGAATCAATTCGACCGTAGCCCTTCACATACAAACCTACGCAAACCCAGAAATACGCGAGTATCAAGTATGCCTTGGCCCCTTTGCTATCACTCCGGTTGCCAGAAAAGATGAGGGATAATTTAATTAACCTCCATTCCGTTCGAGGCTGTTCAGTACAGCAATTATGCTAGCACAAGTCCGGCCGGGAGCCTTGATGCAAGCTACATCCACTCAAGCACATCAGCACAATGAAACACTTGAGAGCTCTTCAATTGTTTCACTCCTCTCTAAAGCAGTAATCTGTTATCACCAGGCCCACTAAACAGCAGGACCCTTCTTCCCATCCCTTACAACCTCCTCAACAAGCCTAGCCGCAGCAAGCGTCTCCTCATCCTTAAAATGGCGACCGGCAACCTGCAACGCAATAGGCGCACCCTCATACCGTTCCGGACCTTCATACTTTCTCCACTCCCTCTCATCCGCCTCATTGCGCGGAACATACTTCCTATCCTCATCGGTGAGGGCATCCAACTTCGCATCAACAACAAGTCCCGATGGGATCGTCGCAGCGGGAACATCTAGCAGGTTCCAAATCGCAGTGTAATTCCAGTAGTGCGACTCGCCCATGACGGCCGCGACGCCGGGGTAGTTGGGCGAAATGATAAAGTCCACGCCGCGGGTCTTGAAGAGCGCATTGTATTCGTCACGGAAGGTATCGCGCTCGCAATGCAGTTTCCAGGTTTCATGGTGGGTGAGTGGGTTAGGTCGGCCATAGGAGAAGGCCCAGTCGCTCAGTGGGAGTGGGGGTTCACCAGATGTGCGGAGCATTTGGCGTTGTAGGCCTGCGGCGTCGGGGTAGTAGAGGGCGGACTAGATTTGTTAGCTAACGGTAGTGTTGTGTTTGAGGCTGGGGACTTACGATGACGTCCCAGCCATAGCTGTGCTTGTATGGCTCCCAGTCGACGACCTTGATACCAGCTGCGAGAAGCTTCTCCTTTGCAACCCGCAGAGCACGAGTGACGGGAGGATGGGGACGGACAACACTATGGCTCCCTGTTAGTAGCTATCCCGACAGGCTTCGAGGGGCAACATACCCATCATCCCACATAATAGCTACGGTCATATCCTTCTTCGGAGTAGCATTCTTCCAAGGCAGAGGCACCAGCGAGGTCTCATCCTCCCACGGCTCCTGATCAATAACTGCCTTCTGGAAGAGTTCCAGGTCGTCAATTGAGGCCGGGCCCATAGGTCCAACCACACCGTGGATATCTTCTTGTCCAGCCGCAGCAACGTGAATACCCAGCATCGGGTTACGTCCAGAGGTAGGCTTGAAGCCATAGCCACCGCAGAAGGCAGCGGGTCCTCGGATTGATCCACCAATGTCAGTTCCAATTCCGAGAGGCGAGCATCGGAAGGCTAGCGCTGCGCCCTCGCCGCCGGAGGAACCACCTGGTGTTAGGGTCCTGTTAATCGGGTTGTAAGTCTTGCCGGTGATGTTGTTCTCCGAGCAGAGGTGCTGTTGTAGACTGTTAGATTTGCGGCTTTGCTGCGATTGACAGGACGTACCATCAGGGCCTGAGGCTGGTTCGTGCGGACGTGGAAGACGGCACCGGCTTTCCAGAGAAGCTGAAGCAAGTGTGCATCCTCATCCATTACTCTGTCGACCCTAATACAAGTTAGTATGTGCAATTTCATCAGAGGCGTGTACATGGCTTACCAAGCAACGTATCCAGTATGGCAAGTCTTGTTCTTGAACCCGACATGCTCCTTCACGCTGATAGGCACACCGTGCTGCACGAAGAGCATTAGCAAGCTGATAGATCATCTCGTCATAGAGCCAGTGTCTCACAAGAGGCCCAATCAGACGCCCAGACTTCTGATAGAACGCATCCAGCTCCTTGGCACGAGCAATGGCCTCGTCGGCCAGGAATTCAGTCGCGAAGTTCAGCTAGATCTTGTCAGTACAACACCATATATTCATCATAGAATCCTCCTCACCAGCTGATGTCCTAAGACAGACCGCTTCAAAAACGCCACAACAACTTCTTCAGCAGTCAAATTCCCCTTCCCCATCTCGCTCACCAAGTCCGTCGCCGACTGCTCCGTGATTCTGAGCTCGCGCTCCGTCAACAACCCGCTTTTCCTCGGGAAGTCGAGCACATTCTTCTGTGTAACGGGCGGCAGTTGATCGGTAGGTGCGAGCCATTTTTTGGGGACCGAATTATTCAGGAGATCCCTGCCTTTCTGCGCCTGCTGTTCCCAGCGTTGGATCGTCATTTTGAAATCTGTTGGTGGTGGTCACAAACTCGGGTGGGGTTGATAGCTCAAAATGCGACGGGGAGGTTGAAATAGGATAGTTGACGAAGGGAGAGATGAAGTGATACAATTGTTTCCCCCTCATTCACCGAGGTCCCCCGCATACGTGACCTGGTGGGACATGAAGCGGAATCGGAGCGAATTCGTGGCTTATGATAGGCACTTGAGGGCGGAGACCCCCGCGCTTGCTGGCAAGGCTACCACGCAGGGACGAGTGGAGCGATTGAGCGGCTCCCATTTGATTGTGCTTTTTCTAGCTGTCGACAACCATTTTCCTAAATGACCCTTGAGGCAATGATCAGCTGCGGAGTAATTCCGTTTGTCGATATGAGGTGCTCAAACCCCTCATATACAATACAGAGTTACCGAAAACGCTATGCCAAACTCATACTGAAGGCTTGATTTTAAAGGATTTACGGATGTAAAAGATATGTGCAGGTACAGCAAACAAAAAAAAAGATCTCTCCCTCGGGGAATCGAACCCCGGTCTCCCGCGCTTATCATTGTTAGTGACAAGCGGAAATCATGACCACTAGACCAAGGAAGATGGGTCAGCCGAGTTACTGCTCGGCCACTTGGTGTTGGTTGATGAAAGTGGAGCTTGAAACAGACTTTTCACACCCGCCACGCGCCACATCGAGTAAAAAAACGTTAAGGTATAAAGGTATAAAAAGAAACTCTCCCTCGGGGAATCGAACCCCGGTCTCCCGCGCTTATCAGTGTTAATGACAAGCGGAAATCATGACCACTAGACCAAGGAAGATGTGATAGCCGAGTTACCGCTCGACCACTTGGTGCTGGTTGATATCTGGAGACGGAAATTTGTCTTGATGTTCATCCACAACAGGTCAGGGCCTCGCACATTGTACCACAAACAACTTGGCACCGCAAACTCTTTTCCCCAGCTGCATATGCGTCGCCTTCCACTAGTACCTCCGGCTGCAGGGTCGCGGAATGAATCCCGTACGCGTGGAAGCATTCGTTGATTGTTCGGGCTGTTTTCAAAAATCCGCTTACCGAGGGATCAGAGACGACGACGTGCACTGAGGCGAGGGTTTTTTGCTGGTTGAGGCGCCAGATGTGCAGTTCGTGGATGGATTGGACACCAGGGACCTGGGAAATGCTTAGTATGACAGAAAGAAAAGAATTCTGCAGGATGTGATTACCTTTTCAAGGTCATGTTGTACGTCTCCCGGATCGAGTCCCATTGGTGCGCTCTCGAGCAGAATATGGCCGCTTCGTCGGACTGCGCCCTGTTAGTTTTGCTGGATGAATCGATGAGGGAAGCATACTCAATGGGATCGACGAAGCAATAATCATCAGTGCAATTCCCACACTGACTCCCGGATCGGCATAGTACCGTCCATCATACTTGGCGAGCCAGATAACCAAGGCAGCAGCCATGACACCGAGGTTATTTGCTGCATCGCAGATAACGTGCAGCAAAACACCCATCATTCCGAGATCGCCATGGTCGTGTCCACCGTGTCCATGGTTGTGTCCATGGCTGTGTCCATGGATATGTCCATGAGCGTGGTCATAACCATGGCCCGACACAGCGCCAGGCTTTTCGTGGGTAAAATGCTTGTGGTCATGATGCTGGCTCTATCAATACAATTGCGTCCGCGAAATTTGGCTCTCAGAAATTACCTTTGAAATCGAATCACTGCTGCTATCGCTCGTTGGCGATAACCCAGCTTCTATAGAAGGTGGACCCAAGTCATGTCCGTGTTCTAGATCACATTAGCATTGACACGTCAACACTGCCCAAAATGCATACCATGAAGGAATAAGGCGCTTATAATGTTCAATCCAAGTCCGATACACCCAACAATAAAAACAATCTTGGGTTGCTCGATGCCTAGACCATGTCGTTAACCAGCCATATTCAGAATCCGGCTCCACGGGATATGCACGGGTACTCACGATGCAGGGCGATAAATCGCTCGACTGACTGAAGGAAAATACTAATTCCCAATCCAAGAAGGAGGACTCCGTTAAAAAATGCACCTAGAAGCTGGGCGCGCTGCCATCCAAAGGAAAGATCTTTCGGGGATTCATTCTTTTCTGAGACCTAGATCATGGAGTTGTCAGAATATATCTCCACTGTCTCGTTGACGAAACGCACCTTCAGCGCTGCTAACGCAATCACGAAGCCAACCAGGTCATTTAACTAGAAAATAATCAGCGATAAATCTTTCTCGTAGCTTGCTAAGTTTTTGACGCACATAGTGGAATGCATCTGCGATAAGCGCAAGCGAGTGCGTGTAGAATCCGACTATCTTTTCGTGAGCACCAATTAGAAAGTAGATATATGGTGATTAGTACGAACCAGAAATCTCCCCTAGAAAAAACAGCGTCGATATGCTGATGACCACGATTAAACGCGTCGAGCGCGACAACCTGAACGGCATGATAGACGAGTCCCAAGCAGAGTGGGCGTGTCCGATCCTCCAAAAGACACCGACGGCGCTAAATCAAGCGCAAAGTCGTCACGTTGGATCAGTATTTTGTGTCTGGATATCGAAAGACGTCGTAAGAAGGTTCAAAATAGTGTGGACAGTCCACGGAACAGGGTAGAAATTTCCGAAGCTCAAAAGAATCTGCAGGAAACAAAAGCCTTTTACTTCTACCTCGAGTCGGTTCAAAAAGGAATAATTCAAAGGCTGGAAAGCTCGGCGCGATGATCGTGTAACTAGGTATGAGCGACACGATGAGGTCCGGCCACTGGTATGTTGCAAACGGCATGCGTGAGGCCTTCCGGGTCCTAACCAAACTTTATAGGGGTGAGCTTTTTCTTTCTTTGATAAGTACTTCAAGTACTTCATATTGACACAAAGCATTGCGTTGTTGCGACTGAGTGTTTTTGCATGGACAGCCTACACAGATTGTTGAAGAGTCTCTCATTGAGACCGCAATCACAGGCTGCAACCTTGTTGGAAAGCGACCAAACCGGGGATTTCTAGGGATAGGAATTTATTTTCCCCAGCCCTACTGGTGCACGACATTAGATTTGGGCGCGCCGATCCACCTGAAGAATGTGTGCCACACGTCGGTACTCAGAGCACGACCTCAGGCACCAAGGTTCGCTGCAGCAGAATGCAAGATTCCGCGCGTATGAGCAGAATTACAGCAAGTGAAGTGTGCAAATTAAACTTACGTATGGTTTTCGTATATCGTAGCTAACACTTGCTATAAGTCATTATATCCAATTTGGAAACGCCCGGGCGTGTCAGCTCAAAATTCCTCGCAAAGTTAAAACGCGCTCCACCAACACCAAAACCCTTCCAAAAGGTTTAGAATTTACAAAGATCAAGCAGCAACCTGATCAGAGAGACCATCCAGCTCCCGATCCCAAATCCGGTGCTGCGAAACATACCAAACAAACCGCTCAGCAAATCCCTTCGACTGCGGCCCAACGTTCGACACCTTCAGCGCGACATCCCCATGACCGGTCAAAACACCATAGGAATCGACAAGAGGATCACCCTTTCCAGCAGCTTGAACTTCATCAAGTCCGATCTGGCGCTTAATAAACGGCACCGCCTCATTCAGACCAGCGATCGGCTTCAAATGCGCAAAAGATTCTGTAATCCAGAACTTGGCAACGCCATTCTTCTCCAGCACCGCGATATGACTTCCACCAGGAACGAAGACCGCGTCGAAGAGCGTCGACCGCATGCCCGAGAAAAAATTGTCCGGAATCACCTTCTGGCCTTGGTCAGCGACGACGCCTTGGCGCTGGGCGCCGATCGTGAAGACGAATGCGTTCTGCGCTTCTAGGACCTCTTTCATGCTGATGTAGGCGTTGTAGTCGAAGCCGTCGGCGATAAGGATGGAAATTCGGCGGGTTGCGATTGTCGGTTTCGAAGGGAGGTACTCCAATTGGCTCAAACCCTTGGCTTTGGTTCCCTTGTTTTCGCGGAGGGGTTTTGAGGGCGTTTTGCCGCCGACGTTCTTTGCGACTGTCTTTGCCAGGTCGAGGCTGATGGCTGCGATGCGCTCGCTCATGCGTTTGTAGACGATTTGGTCATCGCAGTGGTCCAATTCGAAGGAGAAGGCCTTTGCCAGGTGCAACTTCTCGATCTGTGAGAGGGAATTGTAGAAGACTTGGGCCTGGTTATAGTGCTCCTTGAACTTCTCTGACAGCGCCCGCTGCTTCGATCCCTGCACCTTGGCCGGGTATGAGGTAAAGCCGCCCTGAGCAGGCGTGGCAGGAGGATTCGCCTCATAGCGGTTCGGCCAATAGTTGACAGTGCCCTTGGTGATGCGGTGTCGCAGGGCACCGTCGCGGTTGACCATACTCATATACGGACAAACAGGACGGTTAACCGGCAACTCCTCCCAGTTCGCACCAAGTCGCGAGATCTGCGTATCGAAGTACGAGAAGTTCCGGCCCTGCAGCAGGGGGTCGTCGGAGAAGTCGATTCCAGGCACGATGTGCGAAGTGCAGAAGGCCGCTTGCTCGGTTTGGGGGAAGAACTCGTCCACGTTCCGGTTCAGCTCCAGCTGTCCGATGTACCGGATTGGAACGAGCTCCTCGGGCCAGACCTTTGTCGCGTCCAGCGGGTCGAACTCGAAGTCGTCAAGCTTTTCTTCAGGGATGAGCTGTATGCCGAATTTCCAGCGCGGGAATTGGCCGGCGTCGATGGCGAACATGAGGTCCTTGCGGTGGAAGTCGGGGTCCTGGCCGCAGATTTTCAGAGCTTCGTCCCAGACGAGCGAGTGGACGCCTAGTTCGGGAGTGAAGTGAAATTTGACGAAGTGGCGCTTGCCCTCCTTGTTGATGAGAGAGTAGGTGTTGACGCCGAATCCTTGCATCATTCGGAATGAGCGTGGGATGGCTCGGTCAGACATTTGCTATATCAGAACTATTAGCATTCATTCATCCATTCACTCTTCAAGAAGTAAACTCACCCAGTAATTCATATGCGTCGTCTCAGAATGCATATACACAAAGTCCCAAAAGTTATTATGCGCACTCTGGCCCTGGGGCATCTCATTATGCGGCTCGGGCTTCACAGAGTGAACCACATCAGGGAACTTGACCGCATCTTGGATAAAGAACACGGGGATATTATTTCCAACAATATCCCAGTTGCCCTCAGAAGTATACATCTTGACCGCGAACCCCCGTACATCGCGAACCGTATCCGCGCTCCCCTTGCTCCCCTGCACAGTAGAGAAACGCACGAAGAGAGGCGTCTCACGCGAGGTATCGGTCAAGACGCCGGCGGTAGTGACGTCCTCGGCGCTCTCGAAGAGCTTGAAGGTACCGAATGCACCCGTCCCGCGGGCATGCACGACTCGTTCGGGGATGCGCTCGTGGTCGAAGCGCATAATCTGGACACCGTTTAGTATGAACCTCAAGTGCTCGAGAGTGGTAGACAGACCTTCTCGCGAGCAATCTGGTCTTCCAGGAGCGCGGGCCCGGTGCTCTTGTCGTTTGCGACGCGGAGCCAGTGGTCTGGGTCGGAGATCTTGATGCCATAGTCGGTGGTCATGTGGTCTTTGTCATTGACCTCGACGGTATCCTTCTTCATATCAGCGAACTTGCCATCCGCGGCCATGGAGTTGGCCTTGGCGGTGGCAGCAGCCTCTGCAGCTGCAGTGGTTGCCATAGTGGAGTATTCTCTATTCAGCTAGGCAAGAATAGAGAGGTGTGAATTGGAGGGTGCGGAGTGTCAAACGAGGCGGGAGGCGCTGTGGAAGGCATGACTATATACTTATCGGACATCAAGAATATTGTACAGCAATGATGTAACCACCGTAACCCACATGCCAATCACAAATCCAGAGAATGAAATCAAGGCCCATTACTCACCCCGACTCTTCTCGATCGCGATTCCCACCAAACCCCGAAGCTCCTGTGGAGAAGAGCCGTCATCACCCACATCGCCAGTCTCCTATAGGATGAGCTCTACAGACAGTCGGATGGAAATTCCCGCTCTGCTCTACCATTGCTTAGAAAGATCGACCCTACAGTTCAGACTTCATTGTTTATTCAGAGTACCCTAAGGTATCGTGGTACAGTACATATCGCTGACAGCTGAAGATGATCTCCCTATGACCCAGTTTTCGGTCATCGAACCACGAACCAAACCTGAATCGAGCTCTCCCCAAAACCTGGGTCTTGCCCCGGAGACAGGTATTGCGAATAGAGAATTTCTCTTCATTCGCGGGTCGCTTCCGGACTACAGTCTTTTTTACCAGAATTACTGCAGGTCTATTTTATTTCTTCGTTCCCTCAGCTGTTGATCAAGGTTAATTCCTGCTTCGGGAAGGCTGATCATCTTCATCTGAACCACTTGAACCCCATGGGCTGCATTAGTGATGAGCGAGTCTGGGCCACCACTCGCTCACTAATTATTGTTGGGATATTCGATCGCTCTGGATCATACGCTGTCACTGCCCAATTCAGGTTATTTTCTTGCTTGCTCCATCCAGAGATGTGACGTCATCGGATACGCGATCAAAAATGGCATCCTCGGCACATTTGGAACTCGATTGCACTTTGTACATTGATACAAAGTATCCGACTGAGTAGACTCTTATTGTAGACTGGAGCGGGACGGAGGTGCTGGAAATGATATATACAGGCTATGTAGCAATTGCGGATAAGATCTATAAGACAAAAGACCTCTTGCCTCATCAACACCTAAATGACTATGTACTAGACTGCCGCCAGCCTACATGTTATCCTCACTCCAATGACTCCTCGTCTTCTTCCAAGCATCTCTCTCTTCCTTGCTCTCCTCCACAGACTGTCCAGGACTCAACAACCCGCGCTCCACCCACTCCTTACTCCCCATCTCGGAAAGTCGTGAAAGCGCCCGCGCAAACGCAAAGCGCTCCTCATCACCACTGAAAATAGAAGTATTCTTCAACGCCTGCACCGACATGCCCAGATCATCCATCAGGTTGCGCATAGCGTCCGAAAGATCCGAATGGTCGCCGCCCTTCGTGGATCCCTTAATATCCTCAGGGGAGAGAAACAAATTCGCCAGCGGGACCTCAGTGGTCAGGACCAACTTCGCCCGGCTTTCGTAGACGGCATCGATGAAGGTGATGAATCGGCGAGCCAGGTCGCGCTGGTTCAGATTCATGCCGGGTACATCGGTGACGATGAAGGCGTCGTAGTGTCGGACCAGCTCGAGGTAGTCTGCGGCTCCGGTCGCGGATCCGATGAGCTGGTTGAATGAGAATTGGGCAGCTTTACCGCTAGCGCGGGGGACGTTGATTGTTCGGCCCCAGACGATTTGCGAGTCTGCGTGGGGCGGGTCGTTGATTGGGTCGCCGAGGACGTCAAACCATCTCTGTGCGTGTTGTTCTGCGCTCTCGCCGAGCGGGTGGTGATAGACTGCTGCCGGGGGACGGGGAATTTTACGGTAATCTGTTGGCGAATTGAGGTTGATGACGTTCAGGTCTGTTTTGAGGAGGTTGATGCAGGGGATGAAGGATTCGCGCTGGATGCCATTTTTGTAGAGGTCGTCTGGGTGTCGGTTGGAGGTTGTCACCAGGACGACACCGTGGGACATGAGGGCTTCGAGGAGTCTTTTGGAATCAGCACCTTCATTCCAGCAGCTGAGGCGAAAAGAGTACTTACCGTCGCAAGATCATCGCATCAGCAACATCCGTACACTGGAACTCATCAAAGCAGAGAACGCTCGCCGTCTCCGCAATATCGGCCGCAACCATGGGCAATGCATCGAAGTCATTTCCATACTTCATCTTCACCACATGCATGCGCTTATGTACATCCTGCATGAAATTATGAAAATGGATTCGTGTCTTCGTCTTAATGTTTTCCGGGAGGGTATCAAAGAATAAGTCCATCAGCATGGTCTTTCCGCACCCGACATCGCCGTACATATACAGGCCCTTGGGCAGGTTCTCCGGGACCACAGACGTGGCGGGTTGTTTCGATTTTCCGCCAAACAACGAGCCCAGGAAGGATTGTTTGGGTTGCGGGTCGAGCGATTCGGGACTGGGGTGGACGACCTTTGGTGGAGTATAGGATTTCAGTGCTTCGAAGAGGTCTTGCAAGTTTTGGATGATTCCTATGAGACAGCGGAGTTAAATTGGCGTTACATACTTCCTCTTTCTAAGCCCGTGCAGTACCTTCAGGAAGGAATGAAACATACCTCGCTGATAAGGATCATCTCTCAACCGACCCTCCTCAACCCGAACATCATACTCCCTCAACGGCCCATCAACAGGGCCACTCGCGGCCACACCGGACTTCACACCCTCACCCCCATTCCCAGTAACAGTCGCAAGCTCCCGGCGAGTAGACCGCACCTGCACCCTCCGCACCGAAAGCGCAACCGACGAAGCTCTCACAGGAGCCGCCGTAGCAAGATCCCGCGAACCAACCGGTGTGAACGAGCGATCACCCACGCGTAACGGGGCAGCGCGCAAAGCCCGTCCGCGGGGTCGCAGCGCCGGGAAGCACTCCGCGCAGAGCTTTGCTGAAGGCCGGCTCATTTGCTCGCAATAGCCCGCGTGCGCAAGCTTGTTGTTGACTGTCGCAGGCGTAAAGTGAGACTACGGGCGTACGTGGTGGCGTAGCCGAGGTATGGAATTGGGAAGGAATTGTTTTCTTCCGCACGGAAGGATCTCGGGAGCCGATTGTTCTGTGTTTCTGCTCGTGGCGAGGATGGGGTTGTCACAGCTAAGACCCGTCAAATGCAAGGCTGAAAGCAAGATACAATGCACAAGACGCTGGAACGAATCGCACTCGTCTCGGCGGTCGGCAAGTGTCCCTTGGGCGAAAAAGCGACGGGCCGATGACCGAGTCACGTGGATCGGTCTCGGTGTTTGGTCGGGTGTCCGGCATTCACTTGTGGACGCCGAACACATCAATCGCTTTTTCCTTTGTGTAGGCAAATTCTATATCGAATAGATATCAAGTGCCCGGGTGGTCTAGTGGTATGATTCGCGCTTAGGGTTCAACTCTGAGCAAGATTGCGCGAGGTCCCCGGTTCGATCCCGGGCTCGGGCCCTTCTTTTTTGGGGGGGGTTTTGCCTATTTTTCTCTATTTCTTTTTCTACTCGTGGTTTCTCTATCTTCCAACAATATCCAGCTGATAAATGAGGCTACGACTCTTTTCTTTACACCCAAGTATCGTGTTTACTTTCCACTGATCCATAGTGCTGCAAACGTAGCAAATGCCGACATAATGAGAGCAGTCACAAACTTCCTAGTCTCCAGTGTTGGTGAGTATAGTGTATATTAGAATATGGCCAGAAGTGTAATTACGTTAGAAGAAGTCTGGATTGTATCACTAACATTTTCCACGTTAGTACTAAGGGAGATGCCTCCCCCAGAGCATGGCATGAGGACCCTTCAGGGCTAATTACCACAGAGGATATCATCGACAATCAGATTGCGGCTCATTTCTTGCTACCAGTTATCGTACATAGTCATTCAAATAACCACCTCTTGATTTAACAAGTTGGTGGCACATCATCTCCAGGTGCACTTTCCGAACAGTAGCTACGGGATTTCCTTCTAAGTACTGTGAATCAACCCTCTCAGGGTGAACGAGAGTCAGACTCTCCGGGTCATCTTCCGGATTGCTCAATTCCAGTATTGTCTCCATCCTTCCACCTCCGTGCTTCCATAGTTCCTAGCAGTACCACCGTGGTGTGCTTTCAGGCATTGCAACTTGACTTGATCCCTCTCATGGTGCACCAGAGTCAAATTGTTCGGATCGACTTCCTGGCTCGTGATTTACAGTGTCGTCCCATTCAAAGCTTCCAGCTCCGCGCTTCCATCGTAGGATTGAATAAGTGGAGCTCGGCCCCCGTCTCCAGCACCAATTTCTGGAATCATTCCTTCGTAGAAGACGGAGGGGGGGATATGGAAGAGGGAACGTATGAGCAATATTTAAGAGGAGAGGCAAAGACGTGGAGGCATGGAGGAGAGACGGAGAGGGGAGAGACATAACACAGAAGAGGTGGATGAAGAAGGGAGATGGAGGAGAAAGATGAAAGAGAGACTTAACATCAAATCTGTTACTGAATCCGATGAAATGAGATAGCTTGTTGAAAGATTGCTAGTAGATCGTTAGATTGTGGCTTCCTGGCGCAGAGAGACTTATCTAGAATTTTCTATTTACCAACTAACAAATAATTAGCAAATGGGCGATAAATATCTTCTACAATAGGTCTTCACTTAGTTCTCACCCAGGCCTCACTAACTCCCAAACAAACTCCCATTGAATCAAGGTCCACGTCAGCTTCATAGAGGGCCCCTCTTCTCCTAACTGGACAGCCAGGTGCACCCGCTCCTGGCTGTGCTATTGAGGTGTTCTTTCAGGTACTGCTTCTAGGCACTACGAGTCAATGAGAGCCTTTCCACAGTGTACGAGGTTCAGGCTGTCTGGATTGTCGTTCGGGTTGGTCAACTCCAAGGTTATCTTGTTGAACTGCTCCACTTCCGTGTTGCTACCGAAAGCAGTGAAATATGAGAGCCCGAGCCCTATGTACAAGGTCAATTTCTCGAATCTGTCCTCCGGAGAAAGACGGAGTACCGGAGAGGTATGGAGGAGGGTGAGGATGAAAGAGGGATATGTAAGAAAAAAACACGGAGGATAGATATAGAGGATAGATATAGAGGAGGAAAATGGAGGAGGGAGGGAGATGAAAAAGCTTATTATAAAATCCATTTCTGAACCTTACGGAATGAGATGTGATAGCTTGTCGATGGATCGTAAGCACCTGCAGCTTGTTAGATTGTTGATTCTAAGAACAAAGGGAGCCATGAAGAAGTTTGGCTTTACCAACCAACAAGTGACTTGCTTCGCCAACAACGTGCATGACATATTCTTATCCCGCCATAGAATCTCCTTAAAACTACTTTTGACACAAGGGAGTAGCAGTATTGCTAATTGTGCGCCTCCGGGCAGTCTCTGAAGAATCTGGAGCTCTTGGTCGTACTAGCAGCAATATAGTTGCTGCTGCGCTTCAAGGTCCTAAAGCTATAGTTTGCTGTCGGCCGTATCTTAAGTGGCTGTAACATCAGCTGCACCACTGTTGGTGTGTGCTAAAAGGGAAGTTTAAGAACAGTTGGAGGAGAAAGATGGGAGGAGCGGTATAGATGTAAGAGGAAGCTAACACCTAGCTGAGCTAATGGCTAGCAGACTGGATTGTAGACGAAACGTTTTCCACATCAGTTATGAGAGATATTCTTTACCCCTACCCCCGAAGCAGGGGATGAGGCCCCTCCAGGACTGGATAACAGAAAATTTGATCGACACTAGATAGTGATTTGTTGCTTGCCACCAGATATCGTACATAATCATCGAAATAACCTCCTTTGGGTTCACCGACGCAGTCATACCTCTTCCATCCTCTCCACCATCACTCAACCGGTGGCACGTCATTCTCATGCAGGGCTCCATCCTCCCCTACCTGAATGGCCAGACGCACCCTCTTGGCAGTTCCATCGGGGTGATCTTTGAGGTACTGAGCCTCGACCAGTTCCCTCTCGGGGTGCACGAGAGACAAGTCATCGATATCGTCATGCGGATTGGTGAGCTCTAGCGTCATCTTGTTGAATTCCTCTACTTTCTTATTTTCAATGAAAGCAGTCGACGAAGCGAGCCCAGGCCCTGTGTACAGGGTCAATTTCTCAAACCGATCCTTTGGCGCACCTGGTTCCTTCGATTGTCTGTGTCTGAACTCAGAAGCGTCCTTTCGGAGCTTGAAGAACTTGGCCCCGATCTCCCGCGCAGACTCATAATTGAGCTTTGGTTCCAGCGGCTGGCCATGGTCTCTGACGCTTCCGATGCGGACGTGAAGGGTCAGGTTTCGGAGGTTTTGGAAGCTTATGGCGAGGGCTCTGAGGGCATCGTAATTCTATTGAAGATAGGGGTTAGCTTTTCGGTTATGAAAAGCGGGCACGAAATTTGGATAACTTACCCATTGGTTCCCATCGTCACCCACGCGTTCAAAGTAGATCTCGAGCGTTTCCAGCTGCGGACAATTCCGATCCAGATGGAATAGTTCGGAAGAACTCAATGGGTCATATGATTCCTGAGAATCCCAGTTTTCTGAGAGGCGGACAACGAGATGGCGAAGCTTTTTATGGGCGGCGACTGTCTCGACTGTGCAATCGTAATTGGTAATCTCGAGGGTTTGGAGACTGTCAATGGAAAGAAGGAACCTTTTCAGCCTATCTTCGGCCACTTCTTCTTCTTGGCCAGCCCAGACCGAGATTTTGAATTTCTCCAGCGAAGAGAGTTGAGAGGTCACACCACTGAGTTGTCCCAGGAAATCTTCCACGTAGTGTGGCTGTGGTCCAATTTCCAAGGACGTCAGGGAAGACCACGGGAATTGAGTTCGCCAGTTTGACCATTCATCTGGATGAATAGAGTGGCCGTTCAGCGCGAGATGCTGAAGAGGTGGAAATATTTCTTGGCCAGTCAATTCGATTCTGGTCAGCTGCTGCGGAGGAGGAGCAGGGCCCATCATTGTGAGCGAGCAGGACTTGAGGTTAGGACAGGAAAAGAAAAGATCCCTGAAGGCTTGCATGTAAGGGTGCACACCCCCCGGGACGTCATGGCGGAGTTCGCGGAACAGCGTGACTTTTATGGTCGTGACACAATGAAGGGTTTCAGAGGGGGTGGGTTCCCATCCTTGAACGGCCAAGAGATGCAGCTCTGGTTTGTTCGGATGAAGGCGCATGCTGTGCATGTACTGACTGTTAAACGAGAGCGGATGCATGAGGCTAATACACGCATCAGTACAGTAACACCCGGGCAAAAGTTTGAGCGAGCTTACCGGACAAGCCTCAGGTTTGGGAGACTTTGCACCAGATACGACAGGTAATCGTGGTCCTCGAAGTCATCGCGGACCCCATCCGAGTAAACGGCTGCGATTTGAGGGACAATGAGCTCGCGCACGAACGAGCGCAACCACATATTCCGGTCGGATCGTAGACGACAAAGCAAGCCGAACGGCTCCTTCATCAGCTCATCCATACGGTTCGGCAAAGTGACGGATCGGTAGAGCAGTGGGGTTGCGCATGCCCTGAACCCCCAACAGACAAGGCACAGACCAGCCAAAAAGGATGGGCTTTCATCGCCCAGCTTTGTTCCGAGTCAACCAGTTTGTAAAGCTAGATGTGGGATGTGAACAAATCGCTTACCAGTTTCAGGATCATGTACAATACATCTAGGCTTAGATTTTCCATCGGGCTCGCCGATGTCATGCGTAGTCTCTTCGGTGGTGGAGGGGAAGCCATCGCGGCGACACGCGGGAGGCGTGCGAGGCGCTGGCTGGGACTGCGCCCGAGGAACTGTCTTGGATAAGATCGATCGTATGAGATGAAGCAAAGTTCAATATGAAATGGTCGGGAATGATGTGGTGCGGATGAAAGTGAAGGGTGCTGGGAATGTGAGGGTGTTGCAGAGTCGAAGTGCGGCCCGCGTGTGCGTCGATGCCTTATACCAAGCCCACGATACTTAAAGACAGGGTCGGCGAAGTCTACCCAACCATTCACTTTCTAATAATACTGATAGAACAATTCACTGTTAATGACATCAAGTGCAATTTTTATTTCACTAAATTCGATCCAAACATTCAATCGTCGATTCAAATCCCAACTCGTCGAACTAATGCCATGAACACCCCATCATATAAATCAAAACAAAACCACCGCATCCCCGTACCACATATCCCCCAACCAACTCAGCCGTAACGCATGTCCTCCAGCCAGCTCAAAGGTCCCCTAACCCGAGGGCGCAACACAATCAGGCTTATGCATCTTCCAATCTTTCCGCTAACGCTCCTTGGAACAACACTAAGTATACCGACACCGCGAACAACCCAACAACCGCTCATCCAACAACGATCCTAACCAACCCAGCCATACCATACATCCAGCAACCCACCCAACCTAGCATCCCCTACTCCGAAGAAGCAACACAATTAGGCTTATGCAACTTCCAATCCCTCCTCTGACACTCCTTCGAACAATACCACGTAACCCGACACCTCGAACACCTCAACAACTTCTTATCCAAACTCGTCGTAAACCCACAAGCAAGACAAGACCTCTCAACATTCTCACCAGACTGATCCTGCACATTTCCATCCAGAAAGAGACCAGAAAATCTCAGCAGCGAATCCTCGAAGCGCTTCCAACAAGCCTCCGCTGTCTTCAACTCCTCCTCCTGCTCAACCTCAACAAGACACAAATCCGGCGAAACCCCGATCTCCCGCAGTCGAGTCGACATGGCCCGCGCAAGGACATCGCTGGTCGTGGACCAGGTGAATGGGGCCCAGGGGGAGTTGTCGTCAGGGAAGTGGTAGATCGATCCCTGGTGGTCGAAGCGGGTGATGAATGCTTCGAGCAGTAGGGGTACGATCGCTTTTGCTTGCTCGGCTGGTGAGAGTGTGCTTATCCGCGTCCGGCCTTCGAAGTGGTCGTGCCCGTTGTATGGGTTGCAGATGAAGACGCCTTCGCCGCCGGCTAGTGGGACGGGTTTTGTGATGAAGACATAGTGGTTTGGTAAGTGAAAGGCGTCGCATTCTGGACGCCGGAGGGCGTTGAATTGGTGGACTTGGGCTGCTGACATTTTTGCTGCGATGTTCAGCTGCTAATGGTTGCCAGTTAAAATGAGGGCGGAAGGTGTCGATCCGCGAGTTTGCGGGGTAAGATGCGAGCTCACTTATTAGAGTGATGGCTTGATGATTTTGTAACAGTATTGTTGATTCGTTTCTGTAAGTGGCAGAGATGCAATTCGTTGTTTAAGTACACAAAAAAGATGGAATCGTACCCTAAGGTAGCGAGCACCGTACAGCTTCACCAATCAGTACTCGTAGATGTCGGATTTAACCAATCAGCGACCAAGTTCTACTCGTTGGCATATGTCACCGCCTGCGAGTGAGCGTTTCTGCCACCGCCTTTCTCCTGGATTTGATAGTATTAAATCATGTGACCGTATGACTCGAGTTCTCACCAATCAGACGGAATACGTCAACCCCAACTGGAATTCCTCCGCTGCTCCACACCAGGAAAATAATTTGGAAAAAAAAAAGAGAAGCACCCAAGATGGAAAAAAAGAAGGGCCCGAGCCCGGGATCGAACCGGGGACCTCGCGCAATCTTGCTCAGAGTTGAACCCTAAGCGCGAATCATACCACTAGACCACCCGGGCACTTGATATATGCTTGCTCAAACTTTGCCTTTATACGGGTGGTGAGGGTGCCTTGTTTCGGAAACGGAAATCGATGAGCTTTTACAGCGGAGATAGCCAGCACCACTTCAGTGATACAAATTCTTCGGGCTATAGGATTAAGATTATCGCTTTCAATTTAGATTCATGTCTACAAGTAGTAATTGAGTAATTTTCACCTCGCTTGATGCATTGTGGAGCATTTTTGCTTTCCCAGGGAAATATGGCTTGACAGATATATATTGACCGACTGAATTCCTCATGGTACCCTAACCATTCTCCCGTACCACATTTGACATGATCGAGTCGACGACGCCAATATTTAATTAAACAACACGATAAATCACCATGGCACCTTCATTAGGAACTACACAAGTGTACTATTAAGACATATATAATCACATTACATATCACAAGTAACCTTCAACACGTTGGAAATAAGGAAACCTTAATATGCACAAGCAAAATATGTACATGTCAGACAGACGGGGTATGAAACCCAAACACAAATATTTGATAAGCAACGAGAAGTGGAAACGAAAAGAAAGTCCATCGAGAACCAAATCCCGTGAGATGCGAGCAAACGTAAGCGTAGGGTAGCAAATAATTGAGAAAGATAGGAAAGAAGATCAGCATTAGCAAGTAGCATTTCGCAGTCAACACATAGGTAAGAAAAAGCCATGCCATACACCTCGCATCATATTCGTTGCACCGCCTATCCGTTAAACCAACTGGAAGCAGAGCGCTGAAGGGCGATGGAACTCGAAACGTGAATCATTTAGCTAAAAAAAGGGAGGAATGCCGTAACGCCGATGCACCATGCCCATTGCGAGAAAGGAAATAGGTGGGAGAAGCGGTAGTCGAGAAAGGCGGTATGCCAACCACAACACAAACAAGACCAAGACAAGCTACACCCCAACCGGAAATAAAGTATGAAATCGAAGTCTATCTCAGCAACCTAACAAGAGCCGGAAACATGGGAGAGACAGGCTCAGGGGATGCTGACGAAAAGAGTCAACTTGGTATTGCGCTGCATGGCATTTTCCAAATCAGAGTCCGAGATCAAGTCGACGTAAGTCCCGGAGCTTTCGTCGCGGTACTGCACGATGATATCCTCCTGGATCTTCAGTCGATCGGAAAGTTTGTCTTTCAGATGCTGCATGCTGACGCCCGAAGGGATGCGAATCGCTATCAAATCATCCTGGAAGAAAACCTTCACCTTCATCGCGCTCGAGTTCGATGTACCAGAAGCCTGCGTCAACGAGGACGGCTGGCGGTTCATGGCTGGTGGGGCCCCGTTCGAGAACGAGGCCGGCGCACGCTGCTGCGAGACGCGGTCTTGCGAAGCATTCATGGGGACCTGTGACGACTGTCGCGAGACGCTGCGGCTAGGATCCATCCCCGAGGACGAATGGTGCGAGTCGCCGGAGTAGCGGACCTCTTCGCCGAAGGCGCTGGGGTCAATTTCGAAGTCGCCTTGGCGGGGCGCGAAGAGTTGTCGGACGAGTTGGCAGCGGGCGATGTGCGGGGGCATGGAGAGGAGTTTTTTGATGTATTCGTCGAGGTTTTGGCGGCGGCCATTCGAGATGGCGTCTGTGACGTGGGTGACAGGGCCGGGCATGAAGGGCAGTGTGCGTGGACGGCCGCGGTTGCCGGCTTCGTCCTCGAATTGCGTCAGGAGGGCGATTTGGAAATCGTAGAAATCGTGGTAGTAGCGTGAGAGTTCCCAGCATCGGCCGTCTTCCATCTTGGCTTCGATGATGTACCAATATTTGTCGTTGTCGAAGCAGTAGCGGGGGATCGAGGCAGCTACGGGTGCGAGGAGGGGTGGTTGGTATCCTTGCTGCGAGCCCTGCGACATAGGCGCCTGCGACGCGAGAGTTCCTTTGCTTGCGTTGCGCTGATGGTATCCCTACAATAAAATTAGCGCGATCACAACGAAAGCATTGTATATAAGGGGACACCCACGTAAGGACTGCCATTTTGGCTCATGTGGCTCTGCTGGCTCATGGACATCTTGTCCATGCCCGAGGTGACGGCCGCCACGCCGCCGCCCGCGGGGCCACTTGGCTCGATCTTGCCGAGGGTGATGCTGCTGTTCTTGTATTCGGCAGTCATCTTCTTCCACTCCTCGACCTTGGGGACACCGGCGCGTCGCACGGCCTCGAGCGGATCGGTGACGGCCTGCCCGGACTGCATGTCGCGCAGCTCGATGAACGAGACGGGAATCAGACCCGGCCCACCGAGACGACCGATGGGCTTCGCGACAAACCACTCCGGGTTGGACTGAGCAATGACAATGATCGCCTCGCCGGCGCGGGCATCGAGTTCGTCGGGGCGCTCAGCCTGGAAATCATACTGGACAATACCATAAACCATGGCGCCCTGGCCCTTGCCGAGGGCAGACATCCTGAAGCCGGCGAACTTGTTGGGAGGGGCGGAATTGGGGGAGTCAGAGAAGCCCGAGTCGTGGTGTTCCTTTTTGTGCAGATCGACGGAGCCCCCGCTGTCGCGTTCGTTCTTGCCGATAACCTCGAAGAAGGAGACGGGGACTAGGCCGCGGGCGTCAGGGATGAGCGGATTGCAGGCCTCGTACCAGTCGGAGTCGTCCTCGCGGCTGATCACGTGGAAGAAATCGCCCTTGCTGAAGGCCAATTCCTGCGAGGTGCCGGGTTCGGGCGCGTAGTCGTAGAGGGCTTTGATCACCTGGCGGGGAGAAAGGAGATGCGGTCAGCGCACCGCAAGTTGTGGGATGGAGATGTGGGACATCGGGAGGGGTGCAACCGAGGGGCAGAATCGTCGCCAGCACGAGCGCGACGGCGACGGCGCCCCCGCGTGCGATAGATCAGAACAAGGGAGGGGCACACACCTTTTTTGGCGGGAGAATGGCAATGGCCGACTTGGGGGTTATGGAGATGTGGTGCGGGTGGTGCTTGGGCTCTTTCTCCCCCTTCAAGGACCGCCGGATGGCCTGGATGCGGTTTAGTTTCAGTCGCGATCTCGCGGGAACGGGGGACATACCTTCATCGCGACCGACATTCGGAAAGCGAAGGGAGTAGTGAGGACGGGGAGGAAAGGAGGGAAACTGGACTGCTGGTATATTCGTCCTCGGGCCAGTGCAGTTCCCCTGTGGATGGTACGCAGTACTGCTGGTACGGTACTGTCCCACGGTGGTGCACTCAGTACGTCAGTACACGATGGTATCGCTTGTACCACAGTTATCTACTCTAAGGTACTTCACTCTCCGGTATTCATGTACAAGGTGTCCAGACAGACCATCTCCTTAGCCTTGCCACTCTCCTGTCCCTCGTGCTGTCTATCGCGCTGGTACGGTAATACCAGTACACTGCGCCCCGTTGGGCACTCGTCAGCTCGGCGGCTAACAGACTCAATCCCACCCTGCCACTCTTTCTACTACAAGTCTTCCTAGTATTCCCTACGGCACATACTGCCTTATTGTGTGTGTGGTACGCGCTTAGTTCACGAAGATTCGCCATCACCACCCTGTGAAAGAAAAGGATGACGCAACCGTGGATAGCCCACGCATGGACCATGGATGCCTCTGCGATGTGCGGACGATCTTTGATCTTTGCGAAACGAACAAAGAGCACGAGTACTCTAGGCCTTGCCATACTGTATATTAGGGTACGGTTTGTAGCCCTACTGAAATGAATTAATTTACCGATCGATTGGCGACTGGGCTGGTACCTGCAGGGTCATCGCCACCACTAACCATATAATGAGAGTATTCTTGACCACAACCTCGGTCAATGCACAGTACCACAAAGCATCCCCACAGTCCAACCATTCTTAAATCTACACGCTGAAGAAAGTGTCAGCGGCGCCGATCCCATGATGTCAACAAGCCCACGTTGACTCGATACATCAGTTCCCTACTATCTGCCCTATCAATCCTGAAGTATACACATCATTTCATCTACTCAAAACATACCATACATTCTAATAAGATACATGCACACTACAGATCAAGATCTCTACAATTCCCCACACTATCGCATCCGACTAACCACAAAGCATCTACCCCACCACTACCATAACATAGTAAGTACCGTGGCGGTCGTATAAGCGAGACCCGACTCATCACAACTTTGAGTGGAAAGAAAACGGCCCTGACCCAACTACCAGCACAATGGAATGAGCGAACCAAGGCACACGCATTCTCGAAGACCGAGAGAAGCGGTGCGCCAGTCAGGGCGAGCGGCGGCGGGTCCATCCATGGCTGAAGCGCTGTGGGACCCACGTGGTGGAGGCTGTTTTCCGTGGGAGAGCGAGGAGTGCGATCGACAGAGGGGAAGTGTCAGGATATCCAGAAAGAGGTGTTGGGTGGTACAATACGTGGGCTGGGGGTAAATGGTAATTTGGAAACGGATGATGTATGCCGTTGGTGGCGGGTTGTGTACATAGTAGCTACGGTATATGACTGGAGATAGTGGGGTAAGTCTAGATCATGGGTTAGATTATCTTTTATGGAGTACGTACGGTGGCTTGGGGGTTAGGGTAAAATTAGACGGTCGACATCACCGCGATAGGAATATGAGGTATATCGCGGCCACGTCGAATGCGGAGTAGAAGATACAGGTATAGTCTTAATAGAGGTATACTCACAACAGTGTAACGACTGATGAAGAACAATTTGCATTCGAGGTTACGGAACAAAAGGTACCTACCCCCAGGTAGTCCGTATCTACTCGGGCGCACAGCGCCTCAAACAATCCAGCCCGGCCAGCAGCAAGATCACGCACGAGGATGGTGGCCTCGGGGGTCTCGGACCAGCACACGGAACTGGATTGTAGAATGTTTTGCGTAAGACAGAAAAAAAAGGCCATCCCACAAGAAAAGAAAGAAGAAACGATGCCCATATGCACAAACTCCAGAACGAAAACGAAAATTTTGCTCGCTGGTTAACGCCTGTCGCTGCTAAGGAGAGCCGACGAGCCCAGACTGTGGGCAGGGTGGTACTGGCGGAAGGGGTCGTGGGATTGACGAGATCCAGTGACCAGCCTAGGAGTGATTAATGGTAATAGGTTCGTCGGGTAAGATGAAAGTGAAAAGATTGAAAAACAAATGAGGGGGACTTCGGTTAGATCTGCCCCTTGATGTCGACAACGCGGAAGGCTTCGGCCTTGCCCCGCTCGATGGAATTGGCGGCCTTCTCGGTTACCAAACGGACGGAGCCGTTCTTCTCCTCGAGAGCCTCGACCGGGCAATTGCCCAGGATAAACCGGGCGGCCTGCTCGTCCGACTCGAAGCCGAGTTCCTCGGTGATGAAACGGAGTTCCAATCCGAGTTTGTACCTACAGTCCGATTAGTGAACAGCTCATGATTGACACAAGGGAGAAACTCACGCTTTGCACATAGCCGCCAGGGCAGACAAACGTTCTCGATCGACAAACATGTCCATGAGATATGCTCCCATGTTGGGAGTATCCAGATACAGCTGGAAGAAACGGTGATAGTTACCCATTGCGAGTGCGGACCGAACCTCGAGAGCATGACTGACCGCCGCATTCTTCTTGTCCTCGGCAGTGATCTCGGCAAGTGTATCATTGATGGCCGTCCAGTTCCGTGTGTAAATGAAGTAGAGAATGCGATATGCCTTGAATTCCGTCGGGTGCCCGCCCAGCTTTTGCGCGTACAGACGCCGGAGCCGGGTTTGGCACTGGTTGTACTCACCAAGGTCCCCTTTCTCCAAGGCGATGCGCGCGTGAAGCTCATACACGTTCACAGTGAAGTCATTCTCGATGTGTTGGACCACCAGATCCTGACGAAGAGACTTGAACTGGTCACAGATGTACGTGTAATTGCCTTGCTGTTTCCACTTCTTTTGAGGAGATCCAGGGTCTTTCGCAGAACAGGGAGTGGCCGGACTGTGTCCGGGTTGGGAGGAGCAGTCAAGCGGAAATAGTTCTTCTCCAGTGTCTCGCATCGGCCAATGACGGGCCCTATTGCAGGCTGAGGCTCGGCAGGAGTAGTAGGGGTGGTGGGCGTGGTCGAATTTACGGTACCCTCAAACCGTTTCTTCCGCATCTCCAAATTAGCTTTCGACTTACTGGAGTCGTCTGTGGTCATTCGTGCGCGCTTCTCTGTGGAAGGGTAAGTGGATCGATCTTCAGTACGATTGCCTTGGTTAGCTTGTCTCCACGGTGGGAGATCGGTCTTGTCGACATTGGTCGACTTGCGCTTACGCGAAGCGTCTGTAGTGGTGGAAAATTGACCCGAGGAACCCCAGTTCGAGACGTCCGGGTTTGCCAAAATCTTGTTGCGTTCATTTTGGATCATCACCTGGGGCAGAATCATCCGATCCCAGTCGATCAAGTGCATTCTGTTGTCCTCGGCCGCGGCGGTGATGACGGACCGCAATTTTTCTTGCATTTCCTTGCTGTCGACGCTGGAGACTTGGTTTTCGGGGGCGAAGCACCGCTGGACATATCTGCGGACCGCGGGAGTAAACCCGGTTCGGGATCGTGATTCGGGGGCTGCCGTGGGAGGAGGTGGTGGTGGTGGCTGGGCATATCCGTATCCGGTCGGTGCTGGCTGGGTTGCTGTGTTATGATGTTGGGTAGGGTGGGCCAGACTACGGCGGGCTTGAACCGGGATGTACGCCGGGGTCAGAGCTATGAGCGGTCAGGTCAGTAATGTTGACAGACAGAAACGAGAAGTAGGGAAAAACACATGTCACTCTGCCTGAGATAGACATCTCAGGCGTGTCCCAGAGATAAATAATCACGGAGGGTTGCTCACCAGTGTTTGGAAGGACGGGTGTAGTCATCTCCGATGGCGCAGATGCGGTCGCACGCCACGGCGGGATGCTCGAGTTCATGGCGAGTTCTCTAGATGGGAAGCGTTGGAGGTTGCAGGGAGATAAAAAGAAAAGACGGAAAGTCGAGGGAGGAGTGGAAAGTAAGAGGGCTACGATGGGTGGTGGGATGTGGAAAGTGGTTGAGAGGAGGAGAAGAGAAAGGTGAAAATCTCCCACAAGTAAAAGGCGGGTGTTGGCTGGCAAAAGAGGAGGTGGTCAGCAGGAAGGCGCGCGAGATAGATGGTGCCTGCAAAGTGCCACACACGAAGTTCGCTTACACGGCGGTACCACGGACTATCATTTCTCCGGAACCCGTTATCTTGTTATCGCGTTAGATGGCTGCTGCTGCTGGAAGCGACATGCATGCGAACCTGCTAGATGTTCTTCAAGTCTCTGGACCTGACGACGGCACTGCGGCCCTTGCTGTTACCTGACGAGGCCCTCCTCTTTGTCCAGGATGCGGTGGGGTTGTACGAGGGGTGGGTGACCAGCGCCGCTTGGCGGTGTTATGATTGACGCCATATACTGATACGGACTCGACAGGAAATACAAGATCCCCAACTACCAAAACGGCCACGCTTATTTGACCTCGCATCGAGTCTGCTATGTAGCTGCGGACGAGCCGCGCAAGTACTGCGTCGCAATCGATCTCAAGGAAATTGATCGGGCCGAGTACCAGGTGAGGGGAGCTCTCTTTGTCCCACTCCCATGATCAATGCGGGGGAACTGCGGGCTAACGTGTGGATTGCAACACAGGCCCGATTCCTAAAGTCGTCGCCTAAAATCACGATATACCCAAAACCGCAGAGTAACAAGGCCGACAAATCTCGCAGCGCAGCATCGAGTCCTGCCATCTCCCAGCAATCGACCCTCCATCCCGTCATTCGGACCCCTCTTCCGCAAGCCGGGACACCACAGCCAAACCCGTCCCCGAAGCCAGTCAATGCCACGTGGATTTGTCCGATATGCACCTTTTCAAATCCCTTGCCCTCCAACTTTGATCCGGCGACAGCAACAGCTGCCACTCACCTCCCGCCATGCCTTGCGTGTGGTATTAAGCCGCCGTTTACAACTGTGCTCAAGGCAGCAATCAATGCGGCGACCAGCCGAGAGCCACCCACACCATTGTCAGCTGCAATTTCACCTGTACCGCAAGATAATGGCAATTTACATAATGGAAGCCGACCAGGCTCGACGACAGGCGGATCAGTGTCCTGTCCTCGATGCACGTTTGTCAACCATCCGTCGCTGATCGAATGTGAGATATGTGGAGCACCTCTGTTGACTACAGGAGGTGCTTCTTCGATGCTCGGGAATGAAGCAAGCCGCTCGGACTCGCCGGCTCCGTTCTTCAGACAGACGCGGATTACCAACACCGAGGTGACTGAGAGCATCAAGCTGTCGTTCCGGGATGGTGGTGAAAAGACCTTCCATGAAAGGCTTAAGGATGCCCTTGTGCAGAGGAAATGGCTTCTTCAAAACGCACCACCTGTACCTCCACCGGCACAAGCTACCTCATCCCCTAAGCCGTCAGCCACGGCAGCCTTCGAGAGCCCTCAGCCGTCTACCCCGCGCGTATCAGCCGTGGGCATTGCGGGTCTAGAGCAACGGGGTCTGGAGGCTCGCATGAACAATCAGTTGGTCATCGGTAACGCCTTCGAGGACCTGGAGGCCTTGATGGCATCGGCCAAACAGATTGTTGCGTTGGCCGAAACCCTGGCGCGAGAGTCCGGCATGTCTACGAACGAGGGCTCGGCCGAGACCAACGCGGTCTTATCTGAATCCGCGGCAGCATTGGGCATGGTAACCACGAAGGATATGCTGAGCTCCGGGTCAGAGAATCTTTACCTTTCGGAACTGTCACGCAATCTGGCCGAGTATCTTACAGATGACCGCCAGGGAATTCTACAGCGGGAAGGAGGCATTATGAGTCTTATCGATCTCTGGGCAGTCTTTAACCGGTCTCGCAACGGAGTCGAGTTGGTCAGTCCGTCCGACTTCCAGCGAGCAGCAGAACTATGGGAGAAACTGCGACTTCCCGTCCGTCTTCGTCGATTCAAGAGTGGACTGTTAGTGGTTCAGCGATATGACTGGAGCGATGATAAGACGGTTCGACAATTGCAGGTGTGGATGGAGGAATTGCGACAAATTCCACCAGAAGAGCCGGTCCTGTGGGACTGGCAGGCATTCGGTCGAGCTGTGACGGCGCAAGCAGCGGCGCAGCGCTTCAAATGGAGTGTCGGTGTGGCTGCCGAGGAACTCGAAATGGCCGAAGACCGGGGCGTACTCTGTCGAGAGGAAGGGCTCGAAGGACTCCGGTTTTGGTCGAATTGCATCGCCGATGGTTCCTACTCGTAGTGCCGTCATCATCGTAATCCGAACAAAAAACGGGCCGGACCAGATAAGAGCAGGATCCATGGAGATTCTGGCCGGGTACATGTTGAATTGCTGGCGATGACGACGGCCGCATTCTCAGATAGACCAACTATGGAACCATGCCGCCGGACTAACGCAAAGGGGCAAACAGGGACGGAGCAACCTGGTCCAGCTGCGGTCTCCGCCGGGGTTGAGGCCCTTTCCGCAGCGCCTCGTCGCCAATCAGCATCGCCGGGCTGTCTGAAGCGGCCAAGCGCGGGAATGGGATGACGTCATACTCATGACTTGGCCAGTGCTTAAATGACTCAGCATCACTGATTGCGGGGTGGTCACCTAATTGGCCGATCCTGTGATGGGCGGGTCTCCCCCGGGCGGACGACTCTCCTCCTAAAGGCTTCCCGCCAGGAGTTACTTGAGTGCCGCAGCTGCTCTTGCCTCGTTGTCTTGTCATCTCCTTCCACTTACCACCTTTGCTACTTCATTCCTTCTCTCTAGCTCTCTTGACTACTCTTTCTGCACTGAAGTGGACCTGGTGCCCACTTCCCCGCGACCCGCTTTCTCGTGGGATTTCGAGTGGATATGATCGACGGCCTAGGACTGCTCGATCTCCACACGAACTATCCTGTTTCTCGACTATAACCCTTATTCTAAGAATAAATTGATACCGTTGACCTTTCCTCCTCCCTCAAAGCCTCCTTCCAACCTACTTGCAACCAACAATGAGCTCTGCTATGACGATACCCCGCGCGGGGGCCGGAGTTACACGCCCTGCCCTTTCACAACTAGTGGCATCTCACACCTCCCACAGTCGGAGCCTGATGGGCTGTGCCCGCAACTATCACTCTGGGCGAGACAGAAAGACCGAACGAATCTCCCGCCGCATTGATAAATATCATCGTCACCCCGAAGCCAACTGCCGCCGTAAGACCGAGTCACGCGAGGATTGGCCGGCGACTAACCACCGCATCTCCGCCTGGGGATTTGGCAGCTGGCGCCGCTCTCGCTCTAGCTTGTCAGAACTATCATCGGGAAGAGAAGATGGTTTCAGTGATGCAGAGCACGAGAAGATGGCTCGTCGAATGGCGTTTGTCAAGAAGCAGGTCCACGATGATCCCTACGGTGCACTCTTCGGACGCAGATTGGGTGCTTCTTACATGGAGCAGAACAACGCTCGCTGGCCGAGCTTCCTTTGGTCTTTTGTGGATGCAAGGCCCGCGCCAACCAAAACCCCCTCCAAAGCACACCTTCAAGACTACAATTTTAGTCGTTCTCAGTCAAGTTCACTCGGGAACCCGGATGGACTGCAATATGATCCTATCAGCGGCCGCATGGTGCCGAAGCCTCCGGCTGAATCGAATGTGCAGAGTAACAAAGCCTCTGTTGACTGTCCTCCTGGTAGCGAGGTCGAGGCGAAATTCGCTTCAGATCCGACTGAGCCCGAAGAAAACCAGTTTCGCAAGCCCTCAGCTATGGTCCACTCACAGAAAATTGAATGCTCGCCGGGGAACGCGCCCGATGCCCCCTTGAAGACTGACCCAGATACTGTGACACAAGCCAAGGCTACTGGCGTGAAGAATGAGGAGCCTGACGAAAAGCCCAATGTGAACATCTCTTGCGCGCCGGGAAGTGAGTGGGAAGCTCTCTTCGTTTCCGAATCAGCCCGAACAGAAAAGCCCCAGGCTGAGACCCACGAGGTTAAGGACACTGCTGCCAAGCACTATGGTTCGGATGCCGGTATAAATACCCGTGGAAACGTCGATTGCCCTCCTGGCAGTGAGCTCGAGGCCAAATTTTCTACTCAACTTAGTCTGGGACATCACTACGGAGCACCGGTTGAACCTTCAAACATCGAGTGTGCGCCTGGAAGCGAGGTTGAGGCCAAGATGATCGCGGATGCCGGCACCCACTTCACCCAAGAGGCCCAACCCTCTTCCGGCAACATCGACTCTGCTGCCAGTATTGACTGTGCCCCCGGTAGTGAGCTGGAGGTGTTGTTCACTGCCGACCGTGCTGCCGCGAAGACAGCTCAGCAGCCGCCCCAGCCCGCCGACTTCGGCAACAAGAAGGCTCATGTCACCATGGACTGTGCCCCTGGTAATGAACTGGAATCTTTGTTTGTGTCTGAGGCTGCCACCGCCGGTGTCTACGGCGAAACCGAGGACGTGAGCCCACTGCAAGCAAGCGACATCCGTGCCCGCTACATCACAGACGTCCAGCACGACGGCACCGAGGACCGAGTCGGCGACTTCCTCGCACAGAAGTCCAAGGCCGCAAACTCCAGTTCAGCGCCATTCCGCATTCTAGCCTACGACGCCGCCGCATCAAAGGTAGCCACTTCTGAGGCAGACTCATTCTTCGGAGCTAACGAGGTCGTTCCTCCACACGAAATCTTCTCCCGCCTGCACAACCCAGCAAAGTTCGTCCCCTACTTCGAACAGATGCAACAGGACGGCTACGACATCGCGACCGGCGGTGGCGACATCATTGTCTTCAAAAAAATCTCTCACGCCCCGTTGAACCCAATCATATCGCCCGACGTCACCGCCAGGCAAGAAGCTCTGGATGCCAACATTGCTAAGCACATCCGTCACGACTCCTACGATACCGTCCAACCCTCCCACCCTTCCACCTTCAAGGTGAGTCGGCAGTGAAAAATCTGCTCCTATCGTCGTCCTAACCAGGTCGACCTAGCCCTTTCCAGCAGAGTCAAGCTCGGAACCATACGCGCACCATTACTCGCGTGCAGAAGGATCATCGTCTTCGGGTTCGAACCCAAAGCCTTTCGCCCATCATTACTTTCGTGCGGAGGATCAACCCAAATCCAGTCCCGATTCCTCCTTCCGCAAGACCTTTCGCAGAATGGCCCTCACCGGCACCGTCGCCGGCGCATGCTGCTACGCTGCCGGTGTGGTGACGGAGTTCTTCCGTACAGGCGGGAAGGATGGATATGGAATCGACGGGTTCACTGCTTTTGAATCCGAGAGACGTCATCGTTGACGGCGCTGCGTTCCGTCCTACGATCAATTGATATGGTATTTACTTATGATTTCTATCTTGGAACCATTCGATTCTTTCGATCGCGAGCCGGTCACTTGTTTGCCTTGCCCTTTGTTAAGTTTGGGGGAGCAATTGAGCAGTGCTCATCTCTTGCTTGATAATACCCCTTATTCCTTTGTCTACTTGCATTATTAGGTATGCATTAGGACTAGATAAGAATGGAGACTATGCCTTATACATTCAATTCTCATTTTGCGAAGTCCTTAGGCCTCATGATACTTCGCTCCGAAGATAGGAGCGCTATCATCTATACCTCACATGCCCCTACTGCACCGGGAGAACACTGGGGCGTATGATGAGATAGTCCGCCTCTAGGAGACTACCTTCTCTCCACCAGAGGACACTTCCACCTCCTCTCACTTTCCTCAGCAAACTACATTTACCTTCTCTGCCTTGATTCCGGAGGCTGGCAACTCATTTGAAATGTGTGATACCCTCCTTTGTCTTGAATCCCGGAATTCCTCTCTTATAAATTCATCATCACCCCAGCTCTACTTCACACCCATCCACCATCTCCAACCATGTTCCTCTCTGCGTATATTCAGAGATCCCACCTCCATCCCACTCCAGCGCTCACATCCGAGCTATCGCTCCTGCCATCCTCAAGTACCGCTCACACCAGGCGAATTCAACTCGCAATCTATCTCACGATACCCAGAGACATAACAAAGGGAGTCTGCGCACCGATGCCTCTTCCACGCCAGAATGCCAGCATCGAACGATGAGGGACTGCAGGACCATGTCCTAACAGCCTGAAACCCAGCAGCCCTTTTCATACGGGCTCTGTTCCTGGAAATGACAATTTACGCGCCCGACTACAGACCTACCGGACAATGCAATTTGCGAAATGATGCGCGGAATGTGAGTTTTGAAACCACGCAAAACCTCACACTATCAACGCGAAGTCAGAAATATTTCTCGGGCTTTTATGAGTTTCTTTGTCCTAAAGGAACGAAACGATATCCGCAGCTCGAACCTTTCGAAGAGTTGACTACGCATCAGACAGCTACACCTGCTGGAAAGACATCGGACGCCCGACAGTCGGTGCGGCGCGCTTTGCTTGGAAAGAGCACTTCGAAGAGAAACGAAAACTCTGCACTCGGAGAGGGAAGGTTCAGAGCCTGCTACCTGATATACGAGCATTCCCAATTCACCCAGCTGCAAACACACGAATTTCCGAAACGGACGAAGAGAACAAGGAACGTCCAGCCTGGACAACCTTGAAGACGAGTCTGCTTCACTGGAAATGATTGACTTCCGATGCCCGCAGATCTAAACTGCGAGATGTCGACCTTTTCGCCGAAGCCCCTGCGACGCCCTCTTATTCGACAGAGGAGATGGCCCTGCGACTCGTGATGAGTCCCAGTACAAAATGGCCGACAAATGGTTGGGTTTGCGCGGTGACCTTACAAGGATGGGTCCACCGCAATCCAATTCGAATTCGTAAATGGATCGCCGCGATTAAATGGGTCGCTCGGGATATCCTAGTTTCTGGTAGGATGAAATCGCCGAAAAGACCCATTTCCGCTCTCTTGTCCAGGGTCTCAGGTACCATAAGCACCTGGAAAATCATGCAGCGAGATTCAACCAGGCCGGAATTGCGTCGTCTATATAGCCCAAAATTGTCATCTATGGCGAGAAACCTGTCAAGCCACCGGAGTCTGAGACGATGATCCCAAAGCTAGCGTTGAGGACTTCGAGGGAAGCATGACAAAAAGTGTTTCCGGTTATCGCTTGATAAAACACAGCTGGGATTATTCCCGAATCGCCATGAAGCGAAATGAACATCCGCCAACCTTTCAGAGCTGATCAATCGGGTAACAGCGCCATGTGTGCAGTGAACAATACTACAACGTCTCAACAGGGTAGCCCAACAGGAAAACTGCCGCTACTACGTTACCCACGTCGAAGAACAGAGGCCAAAATTATTCGCCAGCTGAACATATTTCGATATTCGCGCGGTCTCATCACCTTATTCGGAGTACAATGCCTCATACCCGCATGGCCTAAAGGCAGGTTGACGCGGCAAATGGCTGTCAACGCTGCTCGACGGTTGAATCAGCACTGCGAAGTCTGCAAAGAAAAGATGATCTTGGATCGGTACAGGTTACCAAGATGCGGCCAGGATGCGAAACAGTCCTGTCGTTTCCGGGTCGTAGAGACTGTACAATGTGTCATGAGAGCTTGTCCGGGAGTCAAGTTAGTCCTTTCACAACTCGGACGTAAGAAAGGAGCGGTAAATTCTTGAAAATTCGCCCAGCACAGATCCGTGCCGCGGAACCTCGGCCTGGTCGAGTCCTTGCGAGGAAAAAGTGGAGCGGACACAGAAGGGACTGGGCACGAAGGAATTCAGTCGAGTTCCCATTGCAGAAAAGAAAAAGGTCAGCACCGGTGCCTTCCCGACTACGGATATGCGCATGAAAGGCCAAAGAGGTTGTCCTATCTTGGCCTCAAGTTCATCTTTTCACGGGAGGGAATATCGCGGGACTGATCTTTGGCCGCGAAGGCCGTGGCTAGGTTCGGGAGCTCAACCACGATACAAGGTTGGTTGGTCGAGATACCGATTGAGGAGCTGTGAAGTTCATGAAGCTGTGAATTGTTATAATTCTCAGTCGTTTCGGTACTATATACAGTGCGAAGGCAGGCAAGTCAAACAACGTCAAAGGAACAGGACTCAATAGGACAGTCCTGTTTCGACACTCGTCCACATGTTGCTAAACTTCTGGCATCATGATGGATAAAATGCCTACTGGGAAAGTGAACGAAGCCTGGTAATGTTCCTAGCGCTCTATACATGGCAACAAGCCATCAGACTTTTACGACAATGCTGTCAAAAGCGACTGTCTCAGGTCATCCCGGAGACGTATCGCCGGATTCGCCAATACTCCCTCGAAAGGAGGCACATCCTTTCTAGAGTTCGAATGATTCTGGTTCGGGTGTTAAAATAGACTAGAACCGTCATTTCTTGATCTGGGGTAGGCCAAGAACTTTACTCGAAGATGAAAATATCATCTTCACGATTGGACTTGTCAAAGGTTGGGCCCAACGCACAATTCCTTGTGGTGCGATTGTTGGAGAAAAAGACAAGCTGACTATGCTTGAAAGAGTTGTGACAGAGTCTATCCCCGGTGAACATGTCTGTCTTGTTCCCAAATTACTGCACGGCATCCTGAAACTCGATGACTGAAGAGGCAAAGCGACGGTGTCAATCTTGATTCAGATGGGCTTGAAGAAAACGCCATACCCCCAACCTTCCCTCTGAATTTGGAATTGACTGCAACAATACGGAGATGACCATTACGGCTTGCGTTGACAGCCGCCAGTCCTCAACGTTAGATAAAGGCTGAAGGGTCTGGTATGGGCGCATCATCGTTGATAATTCTTCGATTTGATGAACGATGGATGAATACGTGTCCGTCACCTAGAGGCATGTTCAATTGTGCTCGGTCCAGAAAAAATCCTGGAATTGCCCTGGGAAAATGAAACCAGCCAATTAAATGCGGGCAAAAGCAGTGGAATGTGAAGTGTCTCGCTGCTCTCGGGTTCCAAAGTCTCAGGCCCTGGTCGCTCTGTGCCATGTTCAACAGAATGAACAGACCAGCTGGAGATATCGGGGCATGAAATTGTCACGAACCAAGATATAAGCAGATAGCGAGCGAATGTGTCTTGCTCAAAAGACCTACTGGTCTAACCGGCGACTTCCTGGCAGTTGGCAATGCCATGTTCAATGCTCTTCGAACAGCATGGGTAAACCCTATGAGGAAGAGTTCGCAATATGGCTTCGATGAGACATGTGGGATATTATTCTCCTTCAGAAGATTCTGGAAGCAACCGCCCAGTCAACTCCGTGCTCCAACACATCCACATGCCAGGTTATTTCTAAATGTGCTAAATGCCACAAGAAGACGAAGGGCTGAAGCTCAAGCCGAGGGGACGAATAAAGAAGCGTGGAAGTTGTCGATCATTATATATCCGGCATCTTGAGGCTTGAACTTGGCCTGATACAAATGACTTTGTGTCCAAGTCTGAAGTGATTGCTTGCTTGTCTTTCACCTTCTACTAAGACATCGAATGTTCCTTCTGAGGATATCTATTGGACTTGAAAAACACCTTCAATCACGGATGCTGAGTGACCCGAAGCCAGAGGCAGCCAAGTAAGTATGCTTCTCACCGATCCTTTATGCACGGCTTGTGAGGCTAACTATACGATCTACCTACAATACCAACACAGCGTTTGTCCGCGTAACAAACGCAAAAAAGCTTCTATGAGCTGGACATGTTCTCGCGGCCAAAAAGGACGACCAGGGGTTCAAGCTCTTCCAGAAGCTACAGTGCATACCTGGCTCTTTGGTCTCTGAGCATCGTTATACTGAAAGATCACGGAACATTGTCTGTGACGACGAACTGAATTCTACCACAATTCCCACATTTGTCAACCTCGCAGCAAATGAGCCCCTGCAACGGCAGGAATGAGATTTAAGCTCAATAGATGGCATGAGCATGGCATCAGGAGATTGTCGACCGCTTTTAGCATCGGAACAGCAGGTAATTCGGAAGGCTTCGTCAAAACCCTGCTGTGAAGCCGATACCGCGAATTCTTAGTCACCAGGCTACATACGTCCAACCACTGTCGTTAGATGATGGTAGAGTGCAGCCGTATTAGAAGCTCGCTGTATATATTGCTTCAACTGGCGCAGATCATTACTGTGGAGTGGTGCGCGTGAAATTCGGATTGGCGAATCATGCTGGAGCTGCGGGAAGTGACCATGTCCCACTCAGCAAACCCCGATTACTTCGGCCTGTCAACAGCCCAGGAACCTGAGACCTTTTCTTCTTGTTCCATATCATCGGAGCCCATATCAAACCAAAAATGCTGGCTGTGCAGACCATGGAAACCTTTGAGTCAGCCAGTCTATGTTTCCTGTAACCATGATGTTTGGGAGCAGCAAAGCGAGGTTTCCATGAGCAATAAATCATGGTATGCTCCGAGTGGTGTTGGGAGTACCTTGTGGTCCCCGATACCTATGTTGTGAGTCAAAGATGGAACCCATTTGATATGGCTTTCGACATGTAATTAGAAAAACTGTCCTGATTCTGCAACCATTCGCATATTCGGTTTGGGAGGGTCCGCGGCAGATAAGTCGCGTCAGTACTGCTGTCAAAGTGTGTCTGTGCTGCTGGAACTGAGTTCAGTGCGGAAGCTTCAAGGGAATTCCTGAAGAATGCTTTCTACACGTCACCAAAACATGAGCCCTGCTGCCTGTTTTCAGAATTTTGAGACATCAGCAGTCCATGCTATTCCTGGATGAAGATCATGTCTCAACTTCAGAGTCTATCAACGCCATCTCTGCAACACAGGCATATTCCTCTTCCAGAAAAGCATCTAGCAAAGGGATTCTTCATGATGTGCCATTATATCTGAATCTATATAGCACGGATTGCAGCACAAGACCTTCATGTGCTTGTCCACAGCAAAACTGATTCCATGTTTGGACTGCAGAAAAAAAGCGCACGTGTTTTTCTGCCGTTGCGTTTTAATAGCTCGTGAGCAAAAGCCTCAGTCAGCCCGCGATAGGTTATGACCAGTGAAGGAAGTCAGCTGTCATTAGTTGCAATGGTGATCCAGAAGGAAACTCTTTCCCAAAAGATTGCTCAGGTTTGTGGTGACTTGCGTGATTTAGCTTTGGGCTTTATATCCGACGCAACTTGTAGACGGAGAAAAACGTCAGTACCTGGTTACAAATTCGAAGCATCTGAGGGAGAGCTTTATCACTGAGAAGAGCTCCCAGATAGCTTAGTTGGGTTGATCCAAGCGCAGGATGGACTTCGAATCGATTTGAGCTCGATAGCTTCACGAAATGGAGCAGAGGTCGCTCATCGTCTGCAGCATTTATAGAGGCAACCCTGAGTGATTTGGCATAGTTGGGCTTGATTTCTCAATTCTTATCGCATACATCTGGACTGTATGTTGTACACCAAGGACCCTACCTGTTGGGACCGCCCAATAGTAAGAGTACCTGAAATCTTGCTCTATAATCACGAGCGACAATTCCATGAGAGTTGTTCGCGAAAGACTGAATATATGCTCATGTACCACGGCCACCAAGACGTGGTGGCGAGTTGGTTCTTATGGAAGAATTCAAATTTGGAAAATTTGGAGCAGGATGCATCCAGCTGCTTGCATATATGGGTAAGTCAAGATGCATTCCATGCATATTTGCTTATCTTATCAAATGGTACTAGCATGCACAAGCCTATGTCTACAGACAGAGAGAAGAAAGCGGCAAGAGATTTCCACAATTTGCGGTATGGTGCCAATTGTACCCGTTGTGAAAGAGACTCATCCGCTCCTGGGAGATGAACACGGGCTCCCAGATTACAAGCTGCAAAACACTTCGGCAACATTCGAAACAGAGGAAAGAGCGGCACAGAGACCTGGTAAAGGCAGACCATCGCAGGACCGACGCACTTGGCAAAAGCCAGAGCTGACGATCTGCAGTGCACCAGACACAGCTGATGGGCGCATTGTATCTGACTACGGAAACATGGCGCTCGACATGGAAGCGGATCGTATGGTGCACATGCGGGACTGCCCTTATGTCCTTGGTCTGGCCTGGGTTCAGGGGATGATAAAGAATGACTGACCAACGATGGAGTCACTTCACCGGCTCAGCTCGCTCCTCACCTTTTCCTTCAAACCGTACGAAATATTCTATAAACATGTCTTCGACTTCCTCAAGCCGGAAATCGAATATAATTTCAACAATCAGAGAATTCCCAGCAATCGTTTACTGGCCCACATCGGATATTCTATTGTTGTTTCAGATGAATTCTGGGCCCTGAATATCCTCCTTTCAAAGCTACACGCGGAGAATAACCGCGTTCCTGAGCTTGATAACTAAAAGCTCCCATCGACCATCATCTACTTCAAGCAACTGATTCAAATTGGTCTTGTTGCTTGGCAGAGACAAGAAGCAAGGAATAATGAGCCGGAGACCCATCATGCGCGGTGCTCCAACAGGAAAGAATACTGGACATGAAGTACGAGAAAAATATCTCTATGGTGCGACCCAGGCAGATGCGCAGACTATTCTCATGCAAGCATTCTCAAATCTGGAAAGTTGCCCCGTACAAGTGGCAGAGCGCGTGGGAAATGCCACCACTCTATACCAGACAGAAGACGAGCAGATGGTCATCGTAATGGTGCATATGCATGTCACTGAAAGAGCGAGCCGTTACCCAGTCGGTTTTGAGAACACCGGACATCCGCGCCGAACAACCTCTATATGAGCCTGCGACCTAAAAACATGCCAGAGAAATCTTTGCATATGATCTCTATCCAAAATTTGAGGTCACTATTAAATTGGATACCGTGATGCTTCAGCAAGGTCTAGAGTCTAGATAAGACAAGTGTTGTCATCCGACGTGCTCTAGATCACTTGCGCCAAGATCAAGTCACTCTCGACGATTTTGATCTCCTTGCCATTAGATTCGCCGGTCGTTTTCCCCTATCCGAGGCCACCTACATCAAAGATATCTTCACATCTTTACAACCAGGTCCGCAGATTCTCAATCATGATCACCTACGCGATCTCCAGATGCCTGTCGTGGAAGGTCGAACTCTTGGACGGCGCCGATATTTCGTCTCCCATCCGCTTCGACGAGTAGCGGATAATCTCGACAATTCCGACCTTTTAGAGAACGACAAAAAACCGGGATGGACTCCGTGAAGTGGGCCACATTCCCAGATCTGCCTGATTTGACGTCGAAGTTCAATGCCACATCTCTCCTTTTCCACACGCATGGATTCGCGCTTGTCGCGTCGCTGCCTGTCCGGTGGCTTTAGGGTTTATCTTTCCATTCACTCCACGGAATCTTTTCTCTTTTACTCTCCTCACGACCTCACACCGATCGGCCGCCAGGACTAGTACCGCGTTGGGAAATGTCTTCCCGTACATGGCCGTACATGGGCGCAAACAGCTAGATCGGAACCAGGTACATCTGGGTGTCGTTACTGGTCAGTGACAGAATTGACAGCCTCCTTGAATGGGAGCATCTCTCACGGAGTACATAATATTCAATCGCAAATTCTGCCACCAGAACCGTGTTCCAGGATAGTGTTCAAGGCCCCTGAAGTGGATCGCAGAGTTCCAAAGGAGAAATGCCTATGCATACGGGGTTTTTCTGTTATCGAATTTCACAATCTACGCTCACTGAAACTGGATTATGGTTTTGTCTGGCAATCAAGTTTCGCTAGCATGATGATCATCATGCGATGCCTTGTCCGAATATTCTCTCAAACACGATTTCCAGGTTTGAGATATTATCGTTGGTCGAATTCGGCTTGAATTTCCCATTCTTTGGAGTGATGAACAGCTAAGGCTGTCACCCTCACCGTGGGTTTATTGTGTATAATTCCTCCAGGAAGGCGTCTCCATTCGCGGAGATGCCGAAGGACGCACGCCCCACCTCGGGCATGCCCCGCTTAGCTTCACGACTTCCTAATCTTGTTTCGCTTGGGATTTCTAAGCAGCCTTTAAGCTTAAACCTCACCTCTCCTCAGAAAACCCGCCCTTCATCCGCATATCTCAATCAACTCTTCTTTCGACCAACATTCTTCCTGCTTAGACGTATACACATTGTGACTCAATATGGAATCGTCTTTGAAAGGGTCCACTGCCCTTGTTGTGAGTACTTGGTCAACATTCCTTCTATGTGAAGATGTTAATCAGATTTCACCCACAGACGGGCGCATCAATGGGCATAGGAGAAGCCATTGCACTTGCGTTGGCGGGCAAAGGAATGAATATTGCCCTCCTAGCGCGAAGCAAAGTAGGACCCGAAATAAACATGATTAACTTTTTCCGCTTACAAAATTCAGGATAAATTGGAAGCCGTTCAGGCACAGATCGTCGAAAAGTATCCCTCAGTCAAGGCTCGCGCCTACGCAGTCGACATTCAAGTCCACACCGAAGTCGACGCCGCGGTGCAAAGTGCCATCACTGAACTTGGCGAAATCGAGGTATTGGTCAACAATGTAGGTACAACCTGCGTATTTCCGCAGATTTTTATTACAAGAGTCTAATCACTGCTACCAAGGCTGGACTGGCGCTCGGTGCACCCGCGCGCTTCTGGGAGCTCCCAATCGGACTTATCAACCAGATGAACGGCACGAACATCGCCGGAGTCATGTACACAACACATTCCGTGCTGAACAGGAGCATGTGGCCTAAGAAACGTGGCACAATAATCAACGTCTCCTCCGTAACTGGTCTGGAATGTCCTCCTTTCAACGGCGAAGCTGTTTACCATGCCAACAAGGCCTGCCTGGAGGGCTTCACCAACAGCCTTCGGAATGAGACGGCCGGCTCAGATATTCGAGTCCTGGCCCTGAGGCCGGGAGTTGTTGCTGGCAATTTTCATTTGCAACGTGTGAAGTTTGACCAGGACGCGATGGATGAATTCTTTTATGGCTATGAGCCTTTGGCTGCTGCCGATCTTGCGGATGCGGTGTGCTTTATGGTTAGTCGTCCTGGACGGACGTCGATTAAGGCTTTGGACTGTGTGCCCACTGCTCAGAGGTCGTTGACTTGTTTTGATCGTGAATGGAATTCTCGACAAGGCAAGGAGGCGTGATGGCTTCGTTCGTCTCGATAGAAATAGAGGGACTGAGTACATTCGTGCAATGAAACCTTTTTTCTATTCAAATAAATGCTGAGGTCCATTATTTCTGTGCCACACTTATTCCAGCCTAGTAAGGTTGTATTTCCCGATTATTATCCTCCTAGACATTTGTAAGCTCAAGTTTCGGCGGTCGGATTGCCTTGCGACCATTACCACAAAGACGATCTTTGTCACCAAGAGTCCCCACATCGCTGCATGCCAGCGGCAGCAGAGAACGCATCCTTTTAAACCGCCTGCATCCCAGTGCCCAGATTTCGACTTCGGCACCTACTGTGTCTTCGATGACCACGACAATTGACACCGCGTAAGTGTTCTGGAGGCAAATGTTGCTGTTAATATTTTATTTTCTCTGGAATATACGGACTGGTCGAGCCACTCGTTAAATTGTGTCTGGTACTTCGAAATTCTGTGCACCACGAAATCTTGTCTCCGGCACCCCGTGTAATTTTTCAATGAACAGTTTCTTCAAAGTCCAGAGCGCAAGTGTAGAGACTTCGAATCCCGGTGTTCCATCCTCGGCCACGGGGCCGATCCGCTTGAGATATGGTGGAGACTAGGATCTCTTTTCTAGTCACCGCACTTCCTCAAGGCAGCGCAGAAAACAAGGGCCTCGTTCTCTGTGACCGTGCAGCTCGTTTCGTGAGCGCGTACATGAAAACGTGACCACCTGCTTAACGTAATGAGCGTGGCGGGTTGCCTTTGTCCCCGCGTGGAGACCATGGATCTGGGAAAGGACGCAGCCCATCCACGTTTCCACTGGGGGTTCATACTTCCGCTTCGAATGTCACCAAAGTATGACTAGGGTATCGGTCACAGGCACAGCCAGGAGGAGGTACACCGGCAGATAAATACATGACCAATGCAGCCGGCGCCATGGTCGAAATATTCTTCAGACCTTACGCCGCTGGGTACCTGTTAGTAATACTTCGTTTTCCTGGAGCCAGCGCTCGGGATGGTCGAGAGTAGCCTCGACTGTTTCCATCCTCGCGTTGGCTTGTTGTGGGATGGAATTGGCGGTCGTGGTATTTTGGTACGCATATTTGCCAGCCAGGAACAAGAAGGTGGCTGTAGGGATCGCAGTGTATGTTCGTTCAGCTGAATTGATGAGGCTTTCTCGAGAAATGGAAGTCAGCCGGCATGTTTTGCATTAACTTGTAAACCGAAGACCGAAGACCGAATTGAGCATATCTTCACGTCAAAAACTAAACGCGAAAGAAACCGATCGTCGAGATTGCCATGAGCAACGAAATGGCACCTGAGTTCAAAAATTAGTCGATCCGAGTCTACAACGAATATATCCATACAACTTACCAAGTGGTATGTTCATATAAATACCAGATCTTTCCAGTGAGCGGACCAGATAGCAATGGGCCGACCATGAGTCCTAGGCTATACGTCGCCTTGTCACAGCGAGAAGTCCCTTGAGCGACCTCCGTGCTTTCCGAAGATACCGGGGTCTCGTCTTCCAATTTTGCCAACGCGGCTAAAGCGAGTTAGAATTCAGTATTCTATAAAAGCAAATTAGCAACGGAATGATACTTACCCAGTAATTGAACAGTCCAGCGCCGCGGATAAAGGAAAACATTGTCCCGACACCGAAAAGCCCCGAAACCAAGACGGCTTCTCCATAGCCCTCTGGTCCGGCCCAGGAAGCGTGTTTGTGCCTGGAAAGTCCGATAAATGTAAGCAACGGCGCCGTGAGATGCCACGCAACGCCGGCAGAGTATCGGGTGCTGATTCGGTCACGCACCAGCCGATGACAGGGCCGAGGAGGATTGCCGAAAGTTGGATCGCGAGGAAAACCATTCCTACCAGTAACATATTCCAATGAAATACGTTCCGAAATGTAGTGGATGTCTCGTTTCGAACAGGATATCACAAGCATACAGAGAAGCACGTTTTCGCGAATGCTAGCCAAGACGCAGGAATCCCGAAACATGATACCACAGAAGCTTGTCGATGAAACGGGTGTCTGTAAGGGGATGTATCGCGATCGGGCTGGAGAAGTGTTGATGTCTCAGTATCTTCTGGCATAATCTCTTCGTCGATTGGGACTTCCCTTTTTCGGGAACGTGTGATATTTGACAGATTTTTCTTATCAATCATCAGCCAGGGGGCAGAAAAAGCAAGTATTAGTAAAGCCAAAGGCACACTCCACATCGGCCAGTATCCCATGAGCTCGAGGATTGCGCCCGTGGCCATGGGTCCGGCGAGGAGTTCCTGCCGCGATAAATGAGAAGGCTGTGCCGATTGCCCTGCCGACGTGCTCGGCGCCCATGTTCTCGGTTAGAGTTGAGAAGGCTACAATCCAGATGGCGCATCCTGACATTGCTTGGATTCATCTGCCGATGAAGACGAGTTCGACTATTGCGGTTAGGGTTAGTTACTGATGGAGATGAAGAGTATCTCAGCGACTTACTGTTTATCATTGAGGTGATCAGGGCATTGCCGATGAAGCCTCCTGCTAGAGCCATCAGGAGTGGTGTCTTGTGGTTCGGGGTCTTGTCGGCGAAGTGGTCGAACAGCGGTGCTGGGAACACGGCGACAAGTCCATGGGTAGCTAGCATGGCTGTCGTGAATCACTGGGTCAGGGACGGGTTCATGCGTAGACAGACCTCGAACACGTGTGGGAAGATCGAAACTCCAAAGGCATACAAGAATGACCCTATGGATGATGCGGGATTAGATGAGGGGCTCTTTTAATTTGTGTACTTTGTGTGATGACTTACCTGTAAAGAGGATAAAGATGGTCGTGGGCAAGATGAATGCCTGGGAAGCGCGCCAGTGCGTGCCTCTGGGAGCTGGAAATCGAAATCCATCACGAGAGAGCAGCATCAACCCCCAGGAAGATGGAGAACGATGAAAATCATGCGAGATCGCATCTTGGTTAAGAGGGCGGCAGCGTCGATCATTGCGGCAGGGAGGATGTGGAGAGAGGGAAGAGTGGATCGGATATCACCTTGCAGGAATACGCAAACCCGCTTGACCACCTCGCAAGGCGGCGAGGTAGCCACCGCAATGCCTCAAATCGGGCAGAAAACATCTTCTGTATCTTGATTCTCGTGTGGGTGCACTGCTATTCGCACGATCTCTTGAGTGAATATGAAAATTGTCGAGGAGTAAATCCGTACTGTGAGCCGGGATCGACGGCGCAGCGCTGGTATTACCATCTGCATCATCTTGCATTAGTGCATGAGACCCTTGCTTGATCCATCGCTCATAGCAATGGAAAAGGCTGCAATCAGCCCCGCGCACAATGCAGGATTCAATCATGGCACACTCAATATGCAGGTGCAAGTAAGTCTACTTGGGAGAGTGGATTCTACGGGAGTTCAAAACGTGGACCACCTCATAAAGAATCAGCAGCATTGAAATTTTCCTGAGCTCTCAGATTGATTCATTTTCAAAAAAAAGTCTCCCATACCCCATCCTTTCTGTTAAAAAATATCTTCAAAGCAGCCTTCTGACTATTTCATTTTCAATTTCTTTTTCCAGATACTGTTCTCTCCGTGAAGAATATCTTTCAAAAATCTTCAAACTTACTCTTCGTAAAAATAGTGGCTCAGTCACCGTTGTACTGGCCACGCAAATCCGGAACCGACATGCTTCGCCCCCGGCGATCTGGATAAAGATGATCATTCTCCGTTGGTATGATCAAAGGCTCCTCGATCTCAGGCTGGTCTGCGGGTCTGGCAGGAGTCGAAGTAGTGACTTTATCTTGGTTGGGGTTTGTGACCTGGATGCCGAGACGTGCAGCCTTGTGGACGAACCTCTCAAACATATTGAGGGGGGCTAGAGAGAGCAATCTTTTCTGACTGAGTGCGATAGGCACTTACCACTGATTGCTTCGAACTGGCAGACTGAGTCGTGGATCGAGGAGGGTTTATACGGGTCACTTTGAGCTGCTGAGGTGTTCCGTACACGATCTCCGTCGTCGAGGAAGCCGCCAGGGATCCTTCACACTGGCTCTGGGATTCGTAAAGAATAGGAGTTTCTGGCTGAATGTGGCCGGGACTTACCTCTAGCTGTCCAACACTTGACGGTTCGCTGTTGGCGTACTGCGGGGAGGGCATGTTAGAGGGTGATTGGCTGATCGCAGGGCCGGTGGGTTGGATTTGACGGTTCAAGTGATCACGGAAGGGCAAAGAGGAGTAAAAGCGGCTGGAAGGACCGCGTGTAGGTACAGATTGGCGGTTCGGGTACTGGGCGACGTACTGAGGACCGGGCATGGCGGAGGGGAAACGGCCGAGTGAGGCGTTTGCTGGTAAACCCTGGTGATAGTCAAAGGGCTGGGGCTGGAAGTGAGTATATGCCGAGGTGCCCCATCTATGGCCTGGGTCAACAAACCTTTCACTGAGACAATCGGCCCAGTTGTTGTACCAGGTTGACTGGAAAACGACGGGAACTGCATAAACATTTCCACCGAATTGCAGTGGATCCAAAGGCAGAGCTCCTGGCTGGGGCAAGTATCCTGGCTGTCCCCAGCGATCCCATGGGTGAATTGGCTGGGCAGCCGCGAAATTTCCACGGGGTCCACCATAAGGCTGGTTGTAGACCGGCTGGGTAGCTGGCGGGTTTGCAGCGCTGTTTTGACGGGAGTGGAAGGGACTGAGCAGCACTCTCTGTCGTCCAGAGCGTGGCTGTGCCCAAACATTCGGTCTGTTGTAGTTTCGCTGAGCCGAGGCGGGCCTGAAGAGACGAGCATCAAAAGGCAGGTTGTAGCCATGCGGGGGAAGAGGCGGGTGTGAATAGCTGCTGACGCGAGAGTGTGACGGGCTCATGGCGACAGCTGTCTGCTGCGAAGAGTGAGGCTGTACCCCGACGGGATGTCCGACATACGGTTGGTAACCCTGCTGGCCAGTTGGTGCCATTGAATAGCTGCTCATACGAGAATGCGATGGACTCATGGTCAAAGGTCTCTGTTGGCCTGACAAGCGACGACGCCGTACAGAAATATTCCGCCCACAAGATCTTGGCTGAGCAAGCGGAGCCAAACCGGGATGACCATAGGGCTGTGGATCTGCCGGTTCGTGACCGACTTCGCCGGGTTGCAAGGGCTCCATTTGATGGGCTTGAGGGGGTGATGTTTCCTGGGCATCTCCTCCCTTATCCGCAGGCGTAGCCGGATCGGCATCTTCCTCTTTTTTCTGATACTCGTCGCGCAAGATTCCGCAGTACGAGTCTCCCGATATAAGGTACTCCAGAAGAGCAAGAAGGAGAGAAGCGAATTCAGAAAAATCACTTTTGACCCTCAGATCATACTCACGGGAGACCTTGACCTCGAACATCCGTTCTTCAGCGGTCCCGAAATACCGCTGTCGGTGCGTCAGGCTATTGAGCCAAGTTCTTTTGATCATCTTGCCGGGAAACCAGGCCTTTGCAAGGCTGGCTTTGGTCCCGTGCATGACGACGTGGAATCCTTCCTGGTCTCTCAGGAACGCCTTTCGGGTGTACAGAAAATGCTGGTTCGAGAACAGCTGGCCCAGGAGGAGCTTGGCCTTGCTCCAGAGTACGGTCTCGAACGGCTCCTGGCGCTCGGTCTAATTGATTAGTTAGTTTTGTGTTGTTTATCACTCACCTTTCTCTCAGTTCAGCACATACCGAGGACCATGTGAATGCCGGACGGTAAGTCCGTTCATCATGGTCGAATTTCATGGCCATGGAGCCATTCGTCGAACGGGCGTCCGTCTCCTGCCGGCCGTTGTTGCCCTCATACCAGGGGATGAACCGGCGGCGCTCGGGTCTGTGGATGGGAGAAGAATCGTTAGCATTTGGTCTCATCATACCAGAAAGGATCAAAACCAGTCTGAGAGATGATTGAATGAATGATTGGAATCACTTACCTCAGGGCCACCTCGCTGTGCGCCCCCACAGCCTTCTTCAGCGACACACTGTCGCTGATCTGTTCGAGAATCTCGAACATTACCGTGTCCTGGGCGTTGATCGCCCCGACACTGAGTGGGGTGGAACTTTGCTCCATACCCGCCTCCCAAATCCCCTTCTCGAAAGGGGGAAGATGGGGAAGAGCCACGAAGGCCTTGTGGAATGGACCCGTGGGGATTGAGGACGGGTCCACCTCAACATTTCGAATGTCATCAGTGGTGGTCGACGGCCAATGCTTTCCACTGATGATTTCTGGGATACTGTTAGCGCTGAAACTGATAACTTGCATGCGGGTGGAGAAGAATGAAAAGGGTGGTACTCACTGTTGTCGTCCGCCTTCTGGCGAAACGACTCTGGGATCAGCTCACCGGGGAGCTGATTCAGGTAGTAAACTACCTTGAAACCACCTACGGTGGTAATGCAGGCCATTGCGGGCAAGGGAGGGGCGAAAAGAGATGAAGGCGATGGATTTCGGAGATAAATGTCACGGAACACAAAGAGGGGGAGATGAAAACGCGTTGGTGATGACTTTGTAGAGGAGAGGTTTTTTTTGGCGCGATTCAGGGAATCTTTATGTGTGCGTGTTGTTGACGCCTACGGCAGGCACCCCAGGTGATCATGTGACGGCGCACCTTCCGGATTCAAATACAGCAGAATTTCCGGGTTATTCATCTAGAATAGGGGGGGGGGGAAGCCTTGAGCTGAAATTCAATCTCTAAATATAAACAAATCCACAACACGTGTTGCGTGGCGAATAGCCCGCTCACCATCAGTGAATCATGGTAAGCATGTCACTCATCAAATGTACACAGAACCTTGGGGAAATAGACCACTCCTCCACCGTTAATGTACACGCCACAGTCAAGTTTATTGTTCGCGTTTTTCAAGTTATCAGTGCAGGTGATGTTTTTCCAACCACTGTAGGTGACTGTTCCTGGCGCATCCGATGATCCTTCATAGTAGCAAGGCCACTTGCCCAATGGACTCAGGTATCCCAGTCAACTTCTCCCCTGCCAAGATCGGATGTAAAATTGAAGCTGGGAGGGTAAGGAACCGAGTCAGTGATAATGTCGCTGTGGTCCCATTTAACTAACTTTGCTGTCAATGTCGGAATCTCTATAGACGTCCGCGGCCCCGGAGCAGAAGTCTCCATTTCCATCATCGAACTTTTGCACGCCCCAATCCACGTATCCGGGGATAGTCGATCCCTCATATTGTTATAGGGCAATAGCAATATCTCCAGAAATCTTCAGTGCTGCCGAGGCTGCCGACTGGGCGGCAGCAGCGGCAGCGGCCGTGGACGAGGAATAGACCGAATACTCGGAGGCAATGACGCTGTTTACGCCAACGGAGGTAGCTTTTACAGCACATGAAAGGGCGTTGTTGACATCGACGTCTGCTGGCACGGCGCTGGTACAATAGCTGATCGTTCCGTCAGACGCTGTCACCTTTGCTCTTGTAGCTGTCGAGCTGGTCAGGGATGGTGGTGTTGTTGTTGTCCAACCACAAGGATTTGTATCTCTTCTGCCCGCTTGTGCTGGGCATTTGGGCGTAAACACCGGCTAGTCCATCGCACTAACAGCCATTCGAGATCATTCCAGATCTTGGTATGCGTAGCATGAGACAGAGGGGCCAGTGGTGGTGGCATGGGTAGCAAAAGTTGTGGAGGGAGCCATGTTTTTCGAAGAGGAACCAGATCTGCCGGAAATAGAGCTTCTTTGAGATATGTCAGCATGTGCATTAACGTATTCGGTAAGCGAGTCGGCCACGTCACGCATTTTTGGCCTTGGTCGAAAACCTCACTCAATTCAACCACCAACCATGCCTCCAAAAGCGTGTCAAAAGTCAAGAAATTTAACTAGCAAGAAGGAAGAATCTTACTTGCTATTGGAGCTTTAAAAAAGCACGAAATTTCGAATATTCGTGAAGCAGCACGTACTTATGATATACCTCGCTCTACTCTTCAAGACCGATTACGTGGAAAGGCATTTCACAATGAATCGCGCGCCAACTCCCATAAAATGAGTCAAAATGAAGAGGAATCGCTTGTACGATGGTTCCTATTGCTTATTCAACGTGGAGCACCTCCCCGACCGTCACATATACGAGAAATGGCCAATATTCTTCTTACTGCGCGAAATATCACACCTATTCAAACAGTAGGAGAGAAATGGGTATACAACTTCATCCAACGACGTGATGAACTAAAGTCATGCTTCTCTCGACGATATGACTATCGGCGTGCTCAATGTGAGGACCCTAAAGTTATAAAGGAATGGTTTAATCGCGTACAAATTACCATAATGCAGCATGGGACTAGATATGCAGTGAGAATAGTATTATTCCTATCTGTATGCCTGCCCATTCTTCGCATCTACTGCAACCTCTGGATGTTGGCTGTTTTTCACCATTAAAGCGTGCATACGGACACCTAGTGGAGAAGAGAATGCGCCTTGGGTTTAATCATATCGACAAGCTTGACTTCCTTGAAGCTTTCCCTCAGGCGCGTACAGAGATCTATACTACTAGCAATATCTGCAGTGATTTCTCTGCTACTGGGCTAGTTCCATATAACCCAGAGAGGGTGCTTAGCCAGCTTAATATTCAGCTGAATACGCCAACACTACCAGGCAGTCGGTCAACCAATTCAGTACCTAAGACACCCTATACCACCAGGCAGCTCGAGAAGCAGGCATCTATAGTGAAAAGAAAGCTTCAGAGGCGCGTACAGGAAGGCTCCCAAAGTCCTACCTCTTCATTAGAGGTTCGATTGGACAAAATCATTACAAGCAATGAAATTGCTTTAAATGAGGCAGTTCTTATGCGTCAAGAAATTCGCGATTTACGAGCTGTACATGAGAAACAGCTTCGAAAGCGGAAGAAGTCTACTAGGCAGCTTACTGCTGCAGAGGGTTTTTCTATTCAGGAGGGCCAGGAACGATTTCTACAGGAGAATCAGGTCTTTGAAGCTCAAGATACTGTGACTAGGGATCCAGGGCTTCCTGCAGTTGGGCTACGCGTACGCGCGCCACCGCAGTGTTCTAATTGTCATATTCGGGGGCATACTAGGGTTAGGTGTCCTAATCCGCCTAGTAATTAGTTTTATATAGAAATGCAATTGTTTTGTTGGTGAAAAGGTGCTTGAATCTCACCTAGTCGTGGAAATCGGGTGGCGGTGGCCGACTCGCTTACATGGCCGACTCGCTTACCGAATACGTTAATAGGCAATCTAGATAATCCACCTCCAAGCTAACTATGGATTCCGACAGTTTTTAGGGCCGCACGTGATCAAAGTAGCCATGAGAATACGAGGTAACTGCCAGAGTAAACCTCCTGCCATGTTGGCAACTTCGCATATGAATGGAACATATACCTACTTGACGTCCCTGTTTCTATCTTGCCACTTCCTCTTTACCGTGCTCGACAGTGAACTCATCGTTGTGCGACGCTTTTCGACCTTGAGCCCCTGATCGGCTGCAGATCTCTAAAAAAATGAACACTTCTGTGTCAAGTTTGACAACTTTCCCTCTGGAGGTTGTCATAGAGATATGTCGGCAGCTTGAGGCCCCCCAGGACCGATTGAATCTTGTATGCTGTTCGCGACAATTCCATAAAATATTCCTGCCATTGCTCTATCAAAAACTATGGGTTGGGGGCGACCTCCTCCGCCCAATTGTCCAGCTTAGCGAGACTCTTGCTAAGAACCCGTCTCTCGCAGCGTGTGTGGAGGCCGTACATCTGTCCGCCTGGGAGACAGAACAGGGAACCCACGAGGCAGACTTCGAGAAAGCGCTGAGATTACACAAAGAATATCCTGCCATCGATGGTGAAGATGAACTGTATGATTGGTCGCTAGATGAGAGCGTCCGTTTAGATCGCATTGACTACGGCCCTCTCTACGAACAGGCACAGCGCGTGACTCGCTCTACAGACAAAGCAGACTTCTGGCTGGATGCGTTGCAGATCGGAAGTGGCGACGCATGGATTGCACTACTGCTTACCTTCTTGCCTAATCTGCGGCGACTCGAGGTTGAGTTCCCTTCCGGTCCCCTGTGGCTCCACTTTGTGATGAGATGGGCTGCAACTCGGGACGTGATCTCTCTTCCGGCGGCCTCTTTCCCGCCAATCTCTGAGGCGTATGTGGACTGGAGCCCCCACGACATTTGCATATGTGCGGAGCACGTTATGCCTTTCTTCTTGTTACCATCAATGCGCCGGTTTTACGCGAGCGATCTGGATGGCAGCGTAACGGGCGGTGATGACGAGTTATCGAGGTCAACCCCGATGTATGGGACCTCGTCCGTTACTCACATTGAGATCAATGGGTGTAATGGGGGATGGGACCTGTTCAAGGTGATAGGCTCCTGCAAAAGCCTCCAGTCTTTCAAATACAATCACCGGGGCTGCCTCGACTATAAACCAACGGAGTTATACGGTGCTCTTCTCCCAATGAGAGAAACACTTGACACGATATGGCTGGATATTAAGCAGAGGCACAATCGGCATGATGACGATCACCAATGCGATGATGCACTTCCTTCCTTCCGGGACTTTGCTGTTCTGAAAACACTCCATCTCAGACTAGGGAACTTGCCGGTTTTGAAGGAGAGAGAATCCGACATGTCCCTTGCTCAAGCCCTTCCGCCTTCAATCGAGACCCTGCAAATTGCGGATACAGGAAACGTCGGGGATCTCCAGGTCTTTGCCCAAAAATTGCAAGATCATGTTGGCAATGGCTTGGAGTCCACTCCCGCATTGACACAGATTGACTTCAAACCTTTGTCCAATTCTGCAGAGGTATCAGCATTGGTGGAGAGCATGACTTCAATCTGCGCCAAAGCGGAAATGAAGTTCCGAGTGCGCGGTATTCCCGGTGGTCGGACTGATTGGGGTGCTGCTGGGTTTGCACCACGTCCATCACGACCTGCCAAAATAGATCGGTTCTGACTTGACCTTCGGTGGCGATCCATACTTTACCCCGGACAGTAAAATATTTCTGCGGATTACATCTCGGATAAGCATACGCAGCCAGGGTTTAAGGTGGCGTCCCATAGTGCAGCTACTGTAGGCTGTTGATTAAGAGTTGGGGGATGTTGGGGATGAGAGAGGAGCGAGTATTTTTGTTACGATACTATACAAAGATACTCTTGTAAGTTTGGTTAGGCTCTGTATTGATTTTAGGACGCAAATAGATTAGGTTTGTCGAATAACTCATTACGGACTCGTGCATGAATTAGCTCCTTAACATTAGGGGTTGGAAATAAACTTGTCTTGCTGCAGCCGAATGAGGTTTCGGCCCGCCCTGTACAGGACTTCCGGAAAACGGTGTCACCACCTACACTCTTTCCTTGTTTCCTGAGCCCCAATGCCAAGGAACGCTAAACTATTTTAGAAACAATAAAAATAATTTGTCCTGTTTAGGCCTTGGACTGTAAATTACCAGATCATCGTATTAGCATTGCCGACTGTTTATTACCTGTCAAAGCGTGACACCTGCCACCTCATTGCCCCACGTCGACGTTCCCAATGCCATTGAGTTCTCCCAGCGGTGCAACGAACCATGGCTCCCAACCTGGCCAAGTCTACGCTCATGTTTATTCATGTTATGATAAACAGTGGCGAACTAAGTACCTCCCAAATGGCTGAAGCTGCTGGCTGCAGCAAGCGCGCAATCATAAGGATCCGGTCTAACCTACGCCTATTTGGTAGCATCAAAGCTCCTCCCACCAAAGGTGGGCGGCCACGAAGCATCACGCCGATAATGCTAGAAGCCCTGTCCCATCATCTACTCGAAAATCCGGATTTATACCTTCACGAGATGGAGCTCTTCTTTCTGGATGAATTCGATGTATCCATCCCGAAGTCCACGATCAGCGATGCCCTACGTCGCAAAGGGTGGTCTAAGAAAACACCTTGACAAAAAGCAAAAGAGCGAAATCCAGATTTGCCTGATGATTACTGTCATCTCATCTCAGAGTTCTGCTCATACCATCTCGTCTATGTGGATGAATCCGGATGTGACAAGAGGATAGGGTTCAGAAGGACGGGCTGGTCTCCCCTTGGTACGACACCTGTCCAAGTGTCGAAATTCCATCGGGATCAACGGTACCAGATAATTCCTGCATATACCCAGGATGGAATTCTACTCTCTCGTGTCTTCCAAGATTCGACAGATGCCGCATTCTTTGAGGATTTCATTTAGGAACTTCTGCAACACTGTGGCAAATATCCCGAGCCTAAGTCAGTTCTCGTCATGGATAATGCATCCTTTCATCGTTCTGAGAGGATTGAGCGAATGTGCCTTGAAAGAGGGGACAAGTTAGTGTACTTACCGCCGTACTCGCCCGACCTGAACCTGATTGAAGAGTTCTTTGCTGAGTTGAAACCGTTCATTCGGCGGCATTGGCAGTCTTATGCAGATAATCTCGGCCAAGGGTTTGATAAATTCCTTGACTGGTGTGTTGAGAAGGTGGGGACAAGGGAACATAGCGCCAAAGATCACTTCCAAAACGCAGGTCTCGATATTGAAGAGCTATAGTGGAAAATTATCAAATGTAGAGAAAACGAGAAATCTCTGAGAGACAGTACAGTACCAGCGGCCCGCCAGCACTTTTAGCAACCCTCCAGCGACGAAGTTAGCGTCTGTTTGACAGTCACCTGGGCATAAGGGCTCCGACCAGTGTACTTGCTTGGTCAATATTCTCGCAATAGTTGGTTAGGGGAAATTTGGCGAAATTCATCGTATATTATTTCGCTGATCAAGGGCATGTCGTACTGGTACGCTCACTGTTACCGATTACTAGTATTCCGGCTTTTGCATCTCGCTCTGGGGGGCAGCACAAGGGCCCTCTATCTCACGAGGGTTTAAAGAAGGTTCAACTATGACTGAAAAATTCACGAGAACAAATCATAGCCTGCCGAGCGACGAAGAATCCCGCTTCTCCACTTAGATGGTCTTCGCGTTGCAAGTCACAACCAACACGGAAGTATCCCTCCGCAACTCCCACCGTCACCGTAAGAAAGCTAACTGAGAAGAAACTCCGGAAGCTGCAGAAAACGGCGTCAGGAAAATGGTAGAGGACCTGCTTAGTTTGCCCTTTTGCTATTTGCTTAATACTAAACCCTCCGGAATGAAACTGGGCGGCTGTTGTTACAGAACAACTAAAAACGAAATCGACCATTGCCACCAGCAACTTGAAATACAGTAGAAAATGCTAAAACCATAAGCCACTCAAATCTAATCGAGACTTAGCGTACACGTGAGGCGTGAAAGGCCTCCCATAGATGAAAGCACAATGGCGGTGCCATTACAGGGTCGGTCTCATGAATTGAGTTCTTGTGCGGATGATACCCGAATCTCGCAAGATGAAATGCGCAGCCAGGGCCTCGGAGACACTATTCAGTTGTTAATCTCTCAAAATTTCATTTTCAATTTCCAGTTTTGTAACCCATGCAAACTGAGAGCCAGTGTATAATGTGGGACGATTTTCACATAGTATGTAATCAATTTGTCTATAGTCCTTTTGAAAATCGGATTGACCAATGCTTACTGTGGGGATCTGTCATAGTCACACCGCCAAGGCGTTGGCGCAGATCAAGCTCCTTACACAATGATTACGATGCAGATTACCGCGTGCAGTATGTGGTATCGGGTGGCCAGGATACATCGTCAACTTGTAATGAGCCTTGGGAGATGTGCCAATTAGGACCACCATCTGAATGTTGGTTACAACCTTGTTCCACTCCCCCACATTGCTCTCTCAATCGTGAGCTGTCCCTGCTGAACCATGCATGATTCCTTCAAGTGTGCTTACTTCCAGCCTTGCGCCCAGAGCTCTTGGCTAGTGCATCAGACGCTTCATGTTACCGAATGCAGCATTAGGCCTCCCAAGTCATTCAGCAAGCCGTCTGGCTGCCTAACCTTGCCCAGCCTTGCCAAGATGATCTTCATTCTCTACAAACAGAGTGGTATAATAATTCAACATCAATACTGACTCCTGGTGCAGCACTTAAAGGTATAAATATAGCTTGATATTCTCCCCAGAATCTCAATTCCTCATCAACAATCATCTCTAAAGATTATTTCTCACTAGGATTATTTCCACTACAACCTTCCGGTATGTACCATTCCTCCTCTTCAAAACACTTTCACTAACTCCCTCAGTCCAGCAAAATGAAATACATGTTCTTGATCGCCTCTTTCCTCGGCCTGGCCATGGCTGCTGGTAACTGTCCTGATTTCCCTTCCTGCCATTGTCCCGGGGACCTCTGCAGAATCGGTAGTGGAACCCCTGGCGACGGCGTTTGCTGCGAAGGCAAGACTTGCGTCCAGCAATCCGGAAGCGAAAACTGGGTATGTCTTTTGTCTCCTCCGGAAATGATTTCAAACTATAACGCTGACATTCTTGATATAAGTACTGCCAGTAGTGGGCTCTGCGGTCACTAGAGGGTGTCATGTATCAGCTGTGGTGAGGGATTTGGTAGACACTATACACATGTGCACTTTTCGATTCCGAGACTTGGAGTTGTTCCAATAGCAGAATCAATACTCTCACTCCTATACCTTGAATTTTGTGTGTAGTTGCGATAGATCGTAGATCGGTCAATAGCTCCCAAAAACCTTGCAATATTTCAATCTCATCATATGAACTGAATACCCGGACCTGTGAATTACGGGATCTGGTTAGTTTTGTTACTTTTAGTTCAGCTCTCTAATACACTGTCACGTAACCTCCCCTTCATTTTGCTCCAACATAAAAGACCCGACCTCGCCTCTCCCACCTCTTTTTTCTTTTCTTCGCTCTCCCTGTCCCATCTATTTGCACTCAACGTCACCCCCTTGATTTTGGCCCCCACTGCAACTGCGCCTTGACTTTTCAGCTTGTCACACTGCCCCTTTCATTTTCCCAAAGTTGCCGCTCGACCCGCCACCCAGCTTGCAATGCATATCGCCCAGGAGCGTAACCATTGGAATCCAGCCGGTAGCGGCATCATATCCCTTCATGTCGATGATCCTACTTTTTCCCTAGGAAGGTGACTGCACTATACTACGAAGCTACCTAGGTCTCCTCTGCCAGTGCGCCTTCTTCGTCTGATTCTGGTCGCCTCTTTCACATCTGCAACGCGCTGGTATGCGCTCGACGCCGCATAATCCTCTCCGTCCGCCCCATCTGAGGTTGCATTGCACAGCCCCGGTGCTACAGACTGACCCCGGACTGACCCCGGTTGTCTGGTCATGAATACCGCGGTGATGATCAGATGTCGTCATCGTCGGTCTCCTTGGTTTCTCTCCAGCCAGTCGATGAATATTTGAAAGCACAGCCGGTGATGCGGGTCAATAGCGACAATGCCGCACACCACCTGTCCTCGGTTGTTGCTGCAACCTGTGGCCATTGCCAGACAGCGACTTCGAAATCCATTATCCCGCCACTATCTAACGAGCAGCGAAGGGCCAGATAATAAGCTGAAGACTAGATTAAGCATGCATTGCATGAGTCATCGGTTAGGGCGGCGGTAATCATTTCCCGTCAACCATAGCCTGTGGTTGTTGTATGTGAAATTGGCGTAAGTTAACTCCAATTCCAGATTGGCGAGCAAATATCTAATCATCATAAGCGAGAGACATATTTGAGGATTGAAATTTATCAGTCACAATATCCTCTGCTGGCGATGGGGGCGCGGATTGGGCTTGAGGTTCCACTCGGAGAGCATGCCGCTTATCTTGTCTATGGATGTTTTTGCCTGGGATGGATAGCAAACTTGGCCATTAGAAGGAGATTACTAAATAGCACAATGAAGGTCAGTATCTCAATTCAAACTCTTCTCTTGTCCATTCATATTCTGTAATGTTCATGCACTTTTCCCCTGGTTGTCAAAAGAACAAAGTATACTCATGCGATCAGTGGTCAACTGATCGCGTGAGTATACATTCTGATGGAGTGATAATGTCATTATAAAAGGAGGTGGGAAATATGGAATTGTGGTCCAAACTTACCCAGAGGAGCCTAGTTGGTAAATATTGGTCGTCACGTTGTAGGCTGTTCATGGGTCTCCATCTTCTGGAAAGAAGCCAAACTCAACCAGATTGTCATAAACTAGCTCTACCTAGATTATTGTTAATATAAATATTGCAAGGAGCTCATGGGAATTATTGAATTATTAAGGCACTGAAATTCACAAGGTCCCTGGTCTATGGTCTCAACGGTGGGAACCAAATAGAAAATTCCACGTCCATCCCAAACCGTATGAAGGTCGAAAGGAAGATTACACCTCCATCTCCTGAAGTGCTGTATATAGCATTGCCTTCACCGGTAGATATCTTGTTCGCTTTGCGGCTTTTTATCTCTTCTGAAATTTTGTCCTCTGATTGTGGGAGAAAGTATGCTGTGAGGTTTCCAAGATCCAAGATGACGCGAGTACTGAGTTTCCTATTGAAAGGCGTGGCTGCATGGCACCAGTCCGACTCGGAACTTCCATTCAATGTAGCTATTTGATAAGCAGTCTTGTAGTACGGACTGAAGGTCACAAAATTGCGCCCTTTGCCAGCACTGGCTGTGTTTCCTTCCAATATAGTCTTTTCCCCCTCGCTCGTGGCGGGGTTTCCCTCTCCAGATTTCGACATATCGATGTCACCAATGCCAGCGATACCGTACGTCAAGTCAGTTGTGCCATCTACCGTCATGAAGCCACTTGCCTCTGTTACACTGAACTAGCTTCCCCCGTCCGAACTTGCCACGAACGGCCAACCGTAGTAGATAGAAGCATCAAGGGTACCTGCAACGAAAGCGCCGAAGCCTTCCTCGTAGTCTTCCCCGCTGATATGGCACTGGTCCGTTGTTTGCTAGTAAACGGGAGCAGTCATATCCTTCTTGGCTCGCAAAGCATCGTCAGAGCGATACAAAAAGTCAGCAGCGGTAGAGTCTGAGTACATCTGTTGCTATAAAATCGCCGAATCAGACCAGTAACGCTTGACAAGATCTCGCACCGCTTTATCAGAACTGCTTTCAGACTCCTCTCTAGGCGAATCAACTATTGCTTTCCAGTATCCGGCCACATTAGAGTAGTCAATGCACAGGCTAGTATTGTTGTTGTCACGACGCATTAATTTAATATTGAAATCAAAAGCAAAGTCGTAGACTCGTGAGGTTGGGCTGCGCCTCCTTACGTGAGAAGACAGAGATTGGTCTAAGTTGATATGGGATCAGTGGCTTTCAATCTTTGATAACTAAACATAATAAGCGCTTACTATTGGACTCGTCGATTGAAATGGTTCGGCGAGTGAATTTGGAGCGCACTATTTCTCGAGGTCAGAACCATGTAATCGCAGCTAAGTACAAAATGAAACTCACATCGTCGGTCATTTCGAAAACAGTCCCTTCCACGCCCTTTTCCATGATACGGAAGCATCCACCAACATCATCAGCCAGGCAGACTACTCGAGCTGTCAAGGCCTTATTCTCCTCGACAGTGCTCACATCCTTAGGGCAATCCAAAAAAAACAAATAGATCTGGCTTATTGTCTCGCTTCTTCATCGAGGACTTACATCCTCGGATGGTCGCTGGTCGGGTGGGAAGATATTTTTGAGATCAACAAGGGTGAATGTGGACTCAGTATTGCCGATCAGAGATGCATCAGCCACAGAGCGGAGAGCAGTCAAGAAATCATTATCCTGGTCAACAGTCTATACTATCAATCCTAATAAGCCCATGCTATTGGCGTATCGAATCTTCGTTTGGAACGTTGTGGCATCATCATATAATATCCAATTGTCATCACCATAGACAAAGTATCGCACGGCAGTATCCTTGTCGAGATGCGAAGTTGCCCTGGTATTATACAAGATGTCTGTTATTTCACGATAAGAGAGAATACCAGCGGTACCAGTACATCTACCTACTTTACCAGGGCTATTAAAAATACACCCGGGCTTCCGGCAAGAGATATCTGTCAATTTGAAAGATCGCCCGTAGAATCTAAGTCCCAGAACAATTGCAGAAGGATCAATGTCAACTTTCTAGAAAAGATCGAGATCAAGATCAATTTCGGTAATGTTAGTTTGAGCTAATACCTGGCTGCCAATAGGATTGTCGCTATCCCATACTCTATGCAGGTCATATGCCATAAGGTTAACCCAATCAACATAAGCTGTCATAGCCTTCAAGTCGAAGTGTCTCAGGTACTAGTATGAGGTTGGCGCGGTGAATGTAACAATATAGCCCCTTCTACTGGCATCAATGGCGGCCCTCAACTCTTTCAAAAATTTTGTATAGTTCACGCCGTCGGAGCTACTACCACCGCGGTTATCCGCACTGGGGTACTCCTAATCGAAGTCAACACCATCCTATCCATACTCAGATAGCCACCCAAGTAAATTCTTGATGAATGCGCACCCAGTATACAGCAAACAGGCTGTACCTGAACAGCTTGGATGTGGGAAACCTAGCTTCGGATACGTATTGAGGAAACAAGTGATTGGGAAATTTCAAAACACACCTGATGTCTTGAATAAAGGTGGGTATAGAAATCAGTTTGGCTATGCCAGAAATCGTTCCGTGGTCGGCACTTCTCAACTCGTAGTCGCTCCTATCCTAATCCCGGCTGTATAGCCTTCAAATCAGACCTTCACTCCTTCTGTCGATTAAGCAGGGTTGGATGTTCAACCCCCGGGGCCTACAAAATCGCTTCACACCTTCATTTCCGTCAAGTTGTGAGAAATGGCCCCCGCGATTTCCTACCCAGCCCCTAAGTCGCTGGCCCCCGGACCTAAGCCCCTATCTTTAGAATCGCTATGACACTGTACATGCACCGATCGACTCGGAGCTAAGCTTCGGTAATATAGTTCAGTAATGCTTGGCCAAGGTTTTTCCCGAATGAGATCACAGACACTACCCGGATGGGAGTAGACTCATTCAGTCAGGTAATCAACCTTGACTGAAATCTAGAACCCAGGCCTTTCTTAGTGTCATCACATCATCTACTCTAGCAGAACCGGTTTTCTAGAGATTGCCGTGTTTGAATTCTTCTGCGACGGCCCGGGTAGACATCTGCAAGGGGCTGGATAGTATGGGCTCACGGTCCCGGGTAAGACGCTTGGACCATCACACCCAAGCTCACACAATGTTCTGAGTGCCATTCTATGGCGCAGCAGGGAAGATTTATGCATATCTATCTTTCCTAAATTCTTTTGAGTTCATTCTGCGTTTTCGATTGACTCTGACGGATACGATATTTTGACCTTTCATTTTCAATCTTGGGACTAACTTACCACGATGTTAGGGGTCCATCAAATGTTGTTTTGAGGTGTGGATAAGAAGTGGATTTATTTCCATACCTAGGTATCATTTATGGTCGCATTGTGTTCAACATTATGTAGACTGTAGATTAAATATAGATCAAATGTAGATCAAATAGGATAATAGTGTGCGGATAGTTATGTTGGAGCACCGCAGTGTGATGGCAAAATGTGGCAATATATTTTACACGATGCGCCGAAAATGTCATCCCACAAGTGGTCCTTTGATGCTCCTAGAAAATTTCGACGAAGCACTTTGAAATCACATCCGACATCGCTGGGTGCAGCAACAGAGAGGTGCAGCACTTTTTAATGAGGGGTTTAAGGGGCAATTCCGTTAAAGCGTTGGTTGTTGCATCGAGGGATCAAAGAGCCCACGCACACATTGAGGCATGAAAATCGCGCTTGCGCTGTGATTCCAAAGTTTACTTCGAGGGAGGTCTTTTTCAGAGAGGATTAGTCAACCTTACGCACGTGGTGCTCGGTGATAAGACGTCTATAAAGGCGGTCCGCAGGTGAAGCAGCGATCCTTCATGGACCACGGACTACACCATCATGCTTAATTTAAGATCCTCGGCATAGTATTCTCCCACAACATTAATGTACCTGCTAGTATGTCCATCGCGTACACTGTACTGTGTTGTCTGACCTTGGAAAGATTTTTCGAGGTGCTCTCTTCGTCCACACCATGACTAATCTGGGATTTGGTAGAGCTCGAACCATGACTGAAGCAAGGCTGACGAGTCCTGCAGAACAGCCCTACCGCACAAATGTGAATTCTAGACTCAACCCTCCACAGAGTGAAAAATGACATCCCCAACGGCTAGAACGTCCAGAACACCCCGTGGAGACCATGACACGCCCAACCTCCACATCAACCAGCAGACCCTCGACCGTTGTGAGTCCAGACTGTCCATATTTGCAGGTCGCCCCACCCGGTGGCAAGTCCATCCACGTGACTTACGCTGCGTGGCGTGTTAGTCATGGCCATTAGTCAGCCAATGACCGTGGACCGCAGGTGGGCCCGACAGCTGTGTAAGCCAGGAACAGGCCTAGCGTGCCGGTGGTCCATGGTTGTGCTGTTTATCCCATTTCCCGCGCTTGAACTGCGAGATACGAAGGCGGGATACGAGGTGTTCGTGGTGAGAGACCTGTATAGTCTTATAGGTACTTGATGGAGATACATATTCATCACATGTGCCCTAAGGTAGTTGGTGTCAGGAATGGATAAGGCGGGCACCTACAGAGAATGCGGCTTATACTTCCCAGCTTGTCTTAGTTTACGGCTATATTTAACAGCTCGGACTTTCTTTGTGTTGGTCCTCGGTGCGCTTCCAGAAGACATATCCTTGCTAGACTTAATAACTCCCGTGGTACGCCGGAACTATAGATATTTAAAGCGCTGCTCTAAATAGTGCAGAATGAGAGTATTCCCAACTGCCAGTCCTCATAAGATAGGTACAATAGAGATGAGCCACAAATGCCGAGGTGGGGAGCACGACACTCTGAAACACGCAAATCGTAGCGAGGCCGGTCGTCGCGAGCAAGCTCTCCACAACACTCTCAAACACGACAAGAATGCTCTAATGACGGGGCATGACGATACAGATGGAGGGGGAAAGGCGTGCCCCCTTCATTCCGATATGTCAGGACTAGGCACGTGGTGTATTTTATCTTCTTTTGCGCCGATCGGTGATGGAAGTACATAGCGTGAGGTCTATTTTGCAAATCTCCTCGAATTGTGCTCAGCTCGTACTTCCGTGGTCGCAGGATGAATTATCGCCCACTATCGTCCACACTATCGAATGGCTTCGGGCCACGCTCCAAATTGTTCCACGACCGACGGGTCGAATGACGTATGAGGATCTAAAAAGATCCTCCGCGTGGCGTATGTCAGCCCTGCCTACACCACTGGCACTTGGCTTCAGGTACTGGCAGCTGTGCGAAGTGTAGGGCACCCTGTGCACAGTCGGGACGACCTGACGAAAGAGTCGAGGCGCAAAGACACCATGTTGGCCGAGCGTGTCGCTGATTCGATTTCATTGTTGATCGCTTGCCCTTTCAGGCCAGGCGAGCGCGACTAAAACGACGCCACGCCTCAGCGGGTTAGCTGCCCACCGCGCCCTGCGTATAATTGCCCCGTCTGGCGGCGTATCGCTGCGTATCGCGGGCCCAGCGTGTCGTCTGCGGGCTCGACACCGCCTGTCACCACGCACCTTGCGCCTGTTCGGGCCACGGCCAGGCACGGGTGGGACTCGCCACGACGCCGTCGGTCTGGGCCTTGCGCCGGACTGAACCTTACCCTCAGGTACCCAAGGGGGAGGAGCTCCGGAGGATATTGCGATGTGCAGAGGGGATCGTACTGGTGAACTTCCCAAATTCGAGACGGCCAGGCTCGAGGCTGGTCGAGTCGGTGATGGTTCCAGTTTTATTCCATGCTTACTTTTTTTGCATTCACCCGATTCCCTGCTCGCGCATCGACTAGCCGTAGCCTCGATTTGATCGATGTGTCGTGATGGTGTTCCTGGCCAGATCAGGCTGCGTGCATGCACTGCAAGTACATCATCGTGCACAGGGCCACACTACTGTCGCCCCTGAGCGCGAGCATATCCGCGCAGAGGCAGGAACCGACTCAACGGCGTGGAAATAATGTCCGAGCAGAGTAGTTTGTGCAACAGTAGTAGTGCCTTGAGGTGGTACTGTAGTACTGTACTGCCCCATGCTAAATGGACGGAGCCTGAGCGGGTGTTCATTCCGGTTCACTGCAGTGCTTGTCACCGAGACAGCAATCTGTCATCTCAGGTACATCAAGTAAATAATATAGCAGTCAGTAATAGCATTGCAAGGATAACTGAATCTTCAATATTGACAATGCGCCCTATAGAGAATAGTGTTACTGTACCAGTTATATTATTAGCTCGACTGCGGATGGCCATGTGAACCTTACTCTTTGTCTCGGGTGCGTACCCGTAGTTTGGTCTGGCGTGCCCCTAATCGGCTGCCTTCTTGTTGGTTCCCCCTGACCAGCGCAAGGCATAATTTACCGTCACATTACGCTTTGTTGTTCCGTCCCACCTCCCTCCCCCCCATTTCCCCTTCGCCCCCTAACGAGGCTGTCCTCCTCATTCACCTTATTCATTCCTTTCATTCTCTACTGCTTCGTCGTCGACGACTCTGGCGCCTTTGACCTGGGACTCAGCCAATTCGATCTCCCCTTGCATATCCCACGGTCGCGCTTTGCTCGATTCCTTTGATCGTTTTTCGCCGTTTCGCCCCAAAAGGCCCGTCCAATCGCTCCTTACAGCTTCCCAGCCCACACTCGCTTCTCTGCAGTTTTTTTCCGGGTCGTTTCACTGCGACACCCCTTCCATTCGTTTATACCGTCGTGATCGTCGCCATTGACTCGGTCGTGTTTCACTTTGCATTCGGTTGCCCTCGAGACGCCAGATCCAGCCTCGAAAGAATAAGCAGGAAAAGGTCGAATCGTTGAAAGGTGTTGCGAGACTGTGTCCCAGCATTTTTTTCAGCTCTGTCATATCGCATCGCATCGCTTGGATATAGTCGAATCGAACCGTTTGGGACGACATACGTGACGCGAAATTCTGAGGTGTTGACAGACGAGACGAACTGCCTCGTTCTGTACCCTCTTTCCAAGCACCGGATATTATAATCTATCATTTGAACCTTAACAGATCCGTCGCCTAATATGCGCCCCGGAACCCTGACCCTTTTGGCCGCCTGCGCCCTCGGAGGTCTCGAGCTTGTCGCGGCTCAAGAACGAGAGGTCACCAACGTGGAGCGCCCGCGTTTCTACTTCCCCCGCGAGGTGAAGCGTCATGTCAAGAAGGGCACCCACAAGGTCGACCCCGAGACCGACCAGGCCTCGGATGAGAATGAGAATCAGACTCGCAGTGAGGGAGGACTTTTTGGCGCCGTCGACAACATCGCTTCCAAGCTTTCTAACGTCGCGGGTGGTGAAAGTGACGCCAACGCCAACGCCAACGCCAACGCCAACGCCAACGCCAACTCCAACTCCAACTCCAACAACGCCCAATCTGCGAACCCGACCCAGTCTGGCAAGGAGATTGTGGTTGTGATCACGGAAAATGGCGATGGAAGCCGTGTTACTAACACCATCACTCGCGATGTTGCGGCGCCCACCACCACCACCTCGTCCACCGTGACCACCAAGAGCGAGGCTCCCACCACGGACAACACCAGCAAGAAGGTCGCCGAATCGAACACCGATGCCGCTACCACCGCGAACAGCAGCTCTGAAAACGATTCGACTCAGAACTCCGACACCAAGAAGGCTAGCGCGACTGACTCGACCACTCCCACTACCACCAAGTCGGCTGCCGCCTCGTCTTCCTCTTCGTCCGGCAACCTCCTTGGTGATGCTATCGGTGCCGTTGGCAGCGTTGCCAATGGCGCCGTTGATGACCTTGGCCTTGGTGGTAGCACCACTTCCTCCGCCTCGAGCGCTGCTGGTACTGCCAGTGGCGCTGCTTCCAACACCGCCGCCCCGTCTTCCTCTTCGTCCGGCAACCTCCTTGGTGATGCTGTCGGTGCCGTTGGCAGCGTTGCCAACGGCGCCGTTGATGGCCTTGGCCTTGGTGGTAGCACCACTTCTTCCGCCTCGAGCGCTGCTGGTACTGCCAGTGGTGCTGCTTCCAACACCGCCGCCCCGTCTTCCTCTTCGTCCGGCAACCTCCTTGGTGATGCTGTCGGTGCCGTTGGCAGCGTTGCTAGCGGCGCCGTTGATGGCCTTGGCCTTGGTGGTAGCACCACTTCCTCCGCCTCGAGCGCTGCTGGTACTGCCAGTGGTGCCGATGGAACTTCCAGTGGTAACTCGAAGACCGCGACCACGTCTTCTGCGGATAACTGGTTCGACAGCTTGCTTGACGGTTTCGCCGGTGACAGCACTACTAGCGCTTCTTCTGCCTCTCGCACCGGCGAGGCTTCTGCGAGCACTGTCCCCGTCAACGTTCCCAACTCCGCCTCTGCCTCTGCAACTCCGACCCCAAGCGCAAACTCTTCTGGTGGCCTCCTCGGACTCGATCCCATTATCAGCCCTGTTGCCTCCGGACTCGGCAGTCTGCTCAATGGCACTACCAATGGCACTTCCAGCGAGATCAACAGCGTTGCCAGTGGTAGCCTTCCTACTCCCTCTGGCGGTCTGATCCCTCACCCGCCCTCTGCTGGTCCCAGTGGCACTCCCACTGCTTCTGCCAGTGGTGCCCCGGGCAGCGGTACTGTTACTCCTGGCGCATCCAACTCTATCGGCTCCATCCCGACTCCTCACTCGCCTGGCTCTGACAGTGCTTCGGGCAAACCCACTGGCTCTGGATCCGTTTCGGGTGTCCCTACTCCTACTGGCGGTTCTGGTTCTCACGAGTCGACTACGGTCACTCCTACTTCCACCGCGACACCCACGCCTGTCGAGACCAGCACTCCGGTCGAGACCCAAACTGAGACCCCCAAGCCCACTGAGACTCCCACCGAGACCAGCAACACGAACAACTGGATGCCCTCCACCATTCTTGTTCAGCCTACCGTCACCCCGTCTGAGACCGAGACTCACACTGGCACCCACACCCAGCAGACCAGCGGCCCGACCTCGCTTCCTGGCTCGATCACCCCGTCGAACGCTGCCTCTGAGGCCCCTGCCGACTCCGTTCTCCTCCAGCTTGGTTTCGATAGCCACCTGCCTTGGTCCTTCGTGGCGACTACTCCTCTGTCTTCTTCGCAGATCTTCGAATGGATTCCCGCTGCCGTGAAGGGCTCCGTGCCCAACACCAAGATGTCCATGTTCGCCCTGGAGCCTTACTACTCCTGGAAGACCACTGGTTACAACGCCACTCTCGCCATCTTCTGGTTCCCCCGCGAGAAGGTCGAGGCCCTCAAGTCCCTGAAGCTCAACCCCAACTCGGCTCTGTACCAACAACAGAACGAGGCCGCCAAGACCATCATGTCCATGATCGACCCGTCTATCCCCATCGAGTTCAACGGCAACTACCCCACCGGTGACTCCGACTCTACCACTGGCACCGACGGTGGTGACAATGGCAATAACGGCAATGGCGGCGATGACTACAACGGTGACGCCGGTTCCTCTAGCAGCTCCAAGACCAAGGCCAGCTCCGTCGGCATTGGTGTCGGTGTCTGCGCCGGTGCCGCCGCCTATGGTGCTGGTATGTTCTGGGTCGCCCGCCGCTACCGTAAGAGAAAGCAGCTGCACCAGCGCACCAGCTCTACTGCCGAGCAGATGAGCCAGGGCTCCGGTGCCGGCTCTCTCTTCGCTGCCGGTGCCCGCATGTCTGGTAGCCAGCGCACTGGCCGCTCCCAGATGATCAGTGCTCCCGTTATGGCCGAGAACTCGCTGGGCTGGAACTAGACGTTCGATTCAAGACAACCACACGACTGATAGACTGGGCCAACCCACCCCTCTCTCCATCTACCCACTGCTTCTAGGGAGACCCTCAGGTGTCTCTTGGGGAAACACCACCACCCTCTGGCTCCGGTAGTGGAAGATGAGAGAACTGCACAAAACTTCATTTCATTGTTCATCCACCCTCCCAGGATATATGTCATATATCACGTATCTTCTTCCTGTGACTTTGTTGACCGGCCATTTTTTTTTTCTTTCTTCTTTTTCATTCTATGATACTCCGAGCACCTCTGGCGCTGCGTGTGTACCCTTTTCTTTTTTGGAATATTCCCCCTTGTGTTCAACACCTTATATCTTCTTGAAACATTTTCATGGCCTCTGTGTGACAACTTCCGAAATGAGACGAACGTTAATTTTCTCACTGCCAACTCAGGGTGCCATTGAAAATAATTTCATCCCCTTTTTATACCTGGTCATATCTATTTTCCTTTGAGTCTTATGCACATCTAATGGTTTGGGTGGCCTGGATCCTTATGAGCCGACGCTAGTTCCCTGCCCCTGTTTCATTTTCCGTATTGTCTTTGGTGATGTTTGTACAGAAGTGATGGTGATTTAGTAGAGCATGGATGAATGAAGGAGCAGATTTTTTTTTTTTTTGGTATACTTGTCTTAGAAACTATTTCCTGTAATTATGCGAGGGACTGGTCTGCACGTGACCTTCTTGCTTTCCATCCGGGAGGATATCAATTATTGATTCGAAGACCAGCAATATAGGGTCAGTGGTCTTGATGAGGTTAGAAAAAATACCTTACCTGATCTCGGGAAAACTTAGACTAATGTCTTACCTCCCAATTATGCAGAAACTAGTTAATATATCGAAAAATATGAAAAAGGGATATAATGCCTAAACAGAGGGGAAATGTATGTACAAAAAAAGGAGAGTGAGAGCCCTATGAACAACCTTCAGAACCAATCAATAACCCCCCCACTGGGGAATCCGAACAGAATGAGCATCTACTCCTTCTTCTCCTTTCCAAGCCCAAACCACCCACCAACCGACTTCGAAACAGAAGCACGCTCCTTCCGTTCCTCCCTAGCCTGCTGCCTCTCACTCTTATACTCCTCCCAAGAAAGCTGCTTCGCAGCAGAGACCAGACTACCCTCAGCCTCAGCCTCACCTCTCAACGCATGAGCAGGTAAAGGCCTCACAGCGTCCTCGCCTCCGTAAACACGCAGCGCCGTGCCAAATGCCCAGTCAACGGCTTCTTCGACGGGGTGGTCGAATATATACGGTAGGAACGGGACGACGGAGAGACCGAGCTAGACCAATCAGCACTGACCAGAACTGCAAAAAAGGACCAGTCTCGAGGGACTGGAAAAAATCAACATACCCCAATAGGAACCCAAGTCCTCACAAAACCCATCTTAACCCCTTTAACCATGCGACTGGAATACTTAACAACGGAATGGATAGTAAAAGCCGGCAACCCCATACTCGCAATACTCTGGAATACAGCTCTCTTCGCCATAACCATGCGATAATCCTCGGCCAGCGAAATGCTTGTCGTCGGCCAGGACACCCCTTCCCCTTCCTCGCCTGGGGCCGCAGGTGACAAAGGCGCGCTCAAATTCCCAGTCGCCATGCCCTTAATCTCACTCGAAACACTCGCGCTCGCATTCTTATACGCTTCGCCAGGCGTCTCGAGAGCACGCCGGTTCCGCAAGTATGCCTTGTACCCCTCGTGGCTGACGTCGCCAAGCAAATAGGCCCAGGAGATGGCATAGGCAGAACGCACGAGGTAGGGGTGTGCGATTGGGCGGAAGGATTCGCCTATGTCGCTTGTGTAGGCTACGTAGCGGTGCGCGGAGAGGAGGATTGTTCGGATGCGGTTTGCATAGGCGGCGTACCGGTAGGGTGTGTCTGTTGAGTCGATGGAGCTGTTGGAGGACATGGTGAGCTTTTTTTTTTGTCTTGCTTCACGGTGATTTTTGGGATTGGGTTGTGAGGGGTGAGAGAGGGAAGGTTGAGGTGGAGAACGTCATTGCGATTGCGGTGGAGAATCGCAGGCCAGGTTTGGTTGCGAATGTTGTTGTCCGGTTTTGGGTCAATATCCGAGCAAATATTTGGGCTGGGACGTGGGAATTGTAATGCAGGAAATGTGGTGTGATATAAATATAGAGAGTTCACTTACTAAGGCGAGTAGAGGTCGTCGTAAAAGTCGTCGTCGCCATCGACTATCTTCTGCAGTTTGGTAGGGAGCTTTTCGCGGGTGACGGGCTCCAGCTCTTCCGAGGGATTTTGGTCATTTTGCTTGCGACCCCAGACCATATTGAGGAATTGGCGTGTGAAAGTCGTGGTCGAGGTCAAGGAGAGAAAAGGTAGGAGGAAAAGTGTAGTGAGGGGAAAGATGGGAGCTCGGGCACAGCTGGATAGACTGCGGAGGAAGCAAGGGAGAAAACGCGGGAAGGAAGAAAGGTGGAAAGAAGGTTTGGAAACTGTTTGGAAATTGCGGCAGTGCCAGGGCAAACTTTACGAGTACATTACGGTAGTGAGAGCTCTGGCAGGACATCATAGCCGTCCACGGCAGCCGAAGGAGGCTGTGACATAGCCGGGGTATAGACTGCTTGACCATGAATGTGAGCACTTTCCCGAGGTTCCGCGGTGTTTCCTAGTTGTCGGGACTCAGGGGAGTGGCTGGATATGATGAAAATGACAGCCCTAATTTCGGTTTTTAAACAAATCGACCTCTCAATTGGTTAAGTCTTTATTTATACACTCCGGTCCTCCGAAATGTATACTCTGCACGCTCGTGACACCTTTCCCGAAACAGTCACATGACCTCGGGTCTTCCCGGAATCCGCCACTCTCACCAAATCACCTGATCTCAAATAGACTGCCCGCTGACTCATCCCACTCTAACCGCATCAGGCTGGGCGGTCTCCGAGCCGACTTCGTCTCTGGCCGAGCCTGAGGATTCCGCTTCCACATCGCTGCCCTTGATCTCCAGCTGCATCCCCACCACAGTTCCTCAAGATGGTCGTCTACTACCAGATCGCCGGCAAGAAGGTCGGCTCCCACGTCGTAAGTGCTCCGATCCCGATCGCCAATCGGCCCGCGCGCCCCCTCATCCCTTTTTCCATTCGGCTCAACGTGGAAGCACCTTGGAGTTCAAGTGAGCTAACCTGATTGTCTTTGCTTCGCGTCTAGCTCTCCATGGCTGTTCTCGGCAGTCTTTTTGCCGGTTCCTACGCTGCTATGGGCGGTGGTGAGAAGCCCAAGACCGCTGCTGGTCCCCCCATCAACGCTTCTTCCAAGGAGGAAGGTGACTTTATTCAGTATGTTTCGGATTCAGCATCTCAAACTTGCTCTTTCTCCAGCATGATATTGGAGAAGAAAGCTCAATTTTGAGATTCAACGCGCCGGATGGTATCATACTAACATCTAATCTCAACAGACAATTCTTGAAGGAAGTCGACGGAGGCGACAAGAAGTCCGAAAAGCACTAAATCGCCATCTCTACACGGAATAGATCGACGGAATGGACCGGATATGAATCAGCATAACGCCTGACTCGAGGTCGCCGTCCCTTGCCTGCCGCCATCGCATCGGTGCAATGATATTTTTCGGCTGGGCAAACTTGTTTCGACCCGGGTGATTCTGGGCCAGCTGGGGAGGCAGGTGATTTTCGTGGATTGTACATAAGAGGTCGTGTACGCTGCATAGAAGATATACCTTCTACCAATGGTTTTGAGTAGTGGAGGTCGGTGAGCTAGGCTTTCAGTGAGCTTGACTTGCCATACCTAGGTCGGGACGTATGGAGGTGGTTGATTCCCTGCTATTTTCCGAGTAATTTGGAGTGAATGTTTGCGCGGTAGAGCTGTTGGTGTTCATACCCGTAGCTATCCTAGCGTCCGTCGTAGCTCATCCGACAGCGGATCGTATTACGAAGCAACAGATAAAAGCTCTCAGTAACGTAGAAAGGTCAAATACCAGTCTCGAGCTATAGCTATGCTGCACCCTCTAGAATGATTTCCTACTGCAACGACAAAACAATCAAAACCCGACCCTACCCCCCACCGCCATCGGCGCAATCCATCCCAACTAAACCTTAGTACTTTACACTTCCGCTCACCTCCTTCCCCCCTCTCCCCCAAAACAACCATGAAACCAATCCCATTCCCCTACGCCCTAAACATCGGCACAGACATCGTGCACCTCCCGCGAATTACCCGCCTCCTCACCCAACGCGCAAACTACCTCTCCCGCTTCACGCAGCGCATCCTCAGCGACACCGAGCAGCGCGACTTCCACCGGCGCTTCAAGGGCGTCCTTCATCCGACCTCCCCCACTACACTTACGTCGGACCCATCGAAGAAGGATACTTCGAATTCCCCGCGCACACCGCCCGTCACACCGGAAATGACGCGCTGGCTGGCGGGCCGCTTTGCGGCGAAGGAGGCGGCGCGCAAGGCTGCACCCAAGGGTGCGGCGTCGATTGGGTGGAAGGATGTATTTGTTAGTGTGCAGAGGGATGAGAGGGGCGTGGACGGGGTGTCTACTGTAACCTCTGGAGCTGGGACAGGGCCTGGAGAGGGGGGCCATACGGCTGGTGATGGGACGAGTCGGAGGCCGGAGATTGTTTATCGGGGGAAGGAGGGGGAGCCGGACCGGGTTGGGAAGTTGTCTATTTCGCATGATGGGGATTATGTTGTTGCGACTGTTCTTGCGGCGGGGTGAGATTGTTCCTATGGGTTTCATGGGCTCCTTTTGCTGTGCTGGCTGTGTCTTCGGAGTGGTTGGTTCCGACTGGGATTCATGAGGCAGTGCCATTTCCATAGTCTTGGTGCTATGGAAGATATGGCATTGATGTCATGTCTCTGGATGTTTTTCCAGAGGCTTTGCATCGCATCGCATTGCGTCGAAACGCGATGCATTGTGCCGTGCGACTTCTATGGTATTTGATGCGAGGGATGCGACCGAGGGCCATTAGCCGGCCTAAGTGCGGACGTGATGTGGAAATACCGCTTGCCACTGGCAAATAATTCAAATGATCCGGAGATTTTTGTCCTATAATGGGATCCTGTATAGTTGGAATTGCCGAGGCATATGCGGCCAGCTAGACAAGTGTGCCCCATGGTGGAATTGATACTGCACTCCACTGCCCTACTGACCTGCAATTGAATGAATGTACGATATTAAATTAAGCATCGAACAAGAATATCACCACCACTAGGAGCACACATACGGGCTGACAGTGGTCTATACGTTAGGCAGGAGCTGTACAGTCGTACCCCACGTTTAGCGCCGCGGGATAATTTCTTATCGGAGCGCTATCAATCCGACCTCCAACATTACCCAAGGCCTCACTTTAGACTGACTCACTCTGCTCCGCGCTGTACATTGAACCACGCGGCGCCTGTATAGAAGGTGAAATAAGGAGCAGGTCAGTAAATTCTCACTTCTCTTTCAACGAATAGGTGCCTCACATCTCCTACCCTCCAAGAACCACAGCTGACCAAAACCAGTCCAAAATGCCCTTCACCCACCACAGCCACTCGGGCCAATTCTGCCCAGGCCACGCAAAAGACTCCATGGATGAAGTGATCCAGACAGCCATCAGCAAAAAAATGGAAGTCTTCTGCCTAACCGAGCACATGCCCCGGCACAAAGAAGACTTCTACCCCGAAGAGGTAATCCCATCCCCATATATCAACCACCAGAAAACAAATCTAAAAAAAGTCCAGATCGAAGCCGGCCAAACAGAAGAATGGCACTCCAGCAACGAAGAATCATACTGGCTCGAAGCAAACCGCCTCCGAAACAAATACGCCACCCAAATCCAAATTATCATCGGCTTCGAAAGCGACTGGATCCGGCCCGCTTCCAGAACGCTAATCGAAGCCTCTCTCAGTCGCTTCCCGTTCGAATTCTTCGTGGGTTCCGTCCACCATACTCTAACTATCCCTATCGACTACGACAGAGCTATGTACGAGCAGGCGCGCGATGCCGCCGGTGGAACCGACGAGCTTCTTTTCGAGGTCTATTTCGACGAGCAGCTGGATATGCTCCGGCAATTGAGGCCGTTGGTCGTGGGTCATTTCGATCTTATTCGGTTGAAGAGTGATGACCCCGAGCGCAGCTTTAAGTCTTGGCCTGGTGTTTGGAGTCGTGTACTGAGAAATTTGGATTTTGTTGCTGAGTATGGGGGTTTGCTGGAAATTAATGGGGCGGCGTTGAGGAAGGGGATGAGTGAGCCTTATCCTAAGGCGGAGATTTGTCAGGTGAGTTTTTTTTTTTTCAGTTCCCTAATGATTTGGATATGTTGGTTTACTGGGTTAATGTGGTCTTCAGGAATTCATCGCGCGGGGCGGCCGGTTCTGTCTTTCGGATGATAGTCATGGCGTGGATCAGGTTAGTTTGAATTTCCATCGCGTGCTGGAGTTCTTGGGTCGGGCTGGGATCTCGACGGTGCATTATTTGCAGCTGGCAGAGGAGGAGCTGGCTTCGGCGCCTGATTCGAGATTCCCTCGTACGCAGATTGCGGCTGTTTCGGTGGAGGAGGTGAAGAAGATGGAGTTTTGGAAGGTGGCATCCAATTGAATAGAAACGTTTACATCGTCTGCTACAAATAGAATAAAATGGCCGGAGTGAAGAAATGATTCAATTTCTATCTATCCTAGCTAACCTATAATCAGGGTAGTGTATGTAATGTATATGTGGAGTAGGTGAGATAACAGGGATCGGAAGAAATCGAGATTGCCAAACCGAATACAAGCCACATGGCTGCACTAGACTAGGCAGAGAGATAACCTCTACAGATGACAGACGAATCTCCAAGTCCCAAGACACCACCAAAGCGGCAATCAACCACAATAGTATAACGATGTCGACTGGGGCGTGGAGTGGCAAGACCTGTCGAATGAGCCATTCGCAGAAACGGAGACAGGCGGCCTGAACGCGGGTAATTGGGGAATGTCTTCCCAAATTGTATATACTTATTCCTTTTTTTTTTTTAATATGTACTTGACAGTGATTACCCTTAGGTTAGTGCCCAGGTACTATAGGGACAGGGTTAGATGTATCTTTACTCGTATTGCAGGAGCCTCGTCGGGGAATCCATTCCCAATCCAGCGTCTGCTCATGGACGACCCCGCACAGATCCGATCCTCCCTTCTGATTTCCCGCAAATGAGCAGCCTCGCAATTGGCCTGTCTTCCCACCTGGACCAGCATAGCTCGGCTCAACACGCCCAAGCACACCGGGACCCGCGCACGCAACCCACCGCTTACGCAGCGTCATCGGGGAATGTAAGTGGGTAGATCTGCGGTGGGGGGGGAGGCATTGTCGCGGGGGCACACACTCAAACGGGCCGAGCTGGAAGCTGGGGGAGATGGGAGTTGGAGTTGGGGGTGCGAGGGACGCGCGACGTCGACCCCGCCAGAGGTTCGACGAGGCCGCCCCTCTTCCGAGTCTTTTCGCAAAACACCCGCTTCTTTTCTCCGTTCTCTCCGCCTCCATCTCCCTCTTTCCACCACTTTTATTTCCAACTCATTTACTTCACATTCATAATGGGTGTCGAGAAGAAGACTCTCTCCGCCGGCAACGGTGTCGACTTCCCCCAGAAGGGTGACAACGTCGCTATCCACTACACTGGCTGCCTCTACGATGCCAGCAAGGCCGACAACCACTTCATGGGTGACAAGTGAGCTACCCTCCCCCCCCTCCAATTTCCTCTGATTTTCTGAACCTGCGATCGCTAATACCATGTCGCGCAGGTTCGACAGCTCCCACAACCCCAACCGTGGCCCCCTCGCTACCCCCATCGGTGTCGGCCGTCTGATCAGAGGTACGTGACTTGCAACAGAGACAGCTCCGACACCACGACAGAGAAGAGACCTGGGCTTGGGAATTGAATTGGGTGCTGATATGACAATTCAGGTTGGGACGAGGGCGTTCCTCAGATGAGCCTCGGCGAGAAGGCCATCCTGACCATCAGCTCGTGAGTCAACCCCACTCTCTAAAATCATGAATTGCGCTGACCATATTCTTCCATAGTGACTACGGCTACGGTCCCCGGTACGTATTCCTCATATCTGCCACCCCCGATCGAAATCGACCTATCACCTCCCCCAATACCCTCTTACCACCTATTTCCAGGCCCATCGATGTGCAACACGCATGACTGATCGCATACTAACAATTCACCCACAGGGGCTTCCCCGGTCTGATCCCCGAGAACTCCGCCTTGGTCTTGTAAGTACCGCCCTTGTTCAACATGCCAACACGTCCTTAACAACTTCCCATAGCGAGGTCGAGCTCCTGAAGATCAACAACAAGACTGTCTAAGCCAACGCGGGCTCACACCACGGCTGCCATGCTTCCATTTTTCGACAAGTCTTCATCATCTCTAGGTTTAATGGGTTATATGCGTGGACGACAGATTAGAAATTAAAACTCAATGGCGAATCGCTTCGCTTTTTCTTATCATTTCTTTCATGACGCCGTAGCTTAATGCACATCGTGTTGGTAGCTTGGAGAGCTTCTTAGGAGGCTACAGAGCTCACGAAGAATCAGAAATAGTTCGCTATAGATGTAAGATACTGGCACCGTGTAAAGAACAAGGCCATTCCACCTTGGGGCAGCTTATCTAGATGCCGAAGCTGCAGCAGCTGCAACCTTAAGGCAGCAAAAACGGCCAGTTCCACGTGAGCATATCAAAGAATATCACGTGATACAGACATTGAGTGTTCACGTGGACTCTATCTCGTAGAATCATGTGACCTACTGTTACTCAAAACAAGTACGAGTCTTGGCACTGCGTTCCCGTTTGGGTTTGGCGTTGTATACACCATCGCAAGTCCCAAGCAGTTGACTTTCATGTTTCTATCGTCCGTGGTAGCAGAGCAAGCCTCCTGCTCCCAGGCTATGCACAGTACTCAAAGAATATTGCCTCCCTGTGAACTGTAAAAATGAACGGACTATAAATATTAACAGACATGCCTCGCGGGCGGAGGTCCAATGTCCGCCGAGCCATTGTCACGGTCTGCATCAGGTGTAGGAGTCAAAAACAACGATTTGATCAGCAGATTCCCGACTGCTCGAATTGTCAGTATGCTGGGGCTGAGTGGGTGAGTACGGATATTGATGGTGGTGTTTCTCCCAGAAGGTACTTTCTACTCAGTGTCCATGGTTCAGCGTAGATGATAAAGAGATTAACGATTGTCTAGTTATGTCAAGGGCCTTGAAAATCATATCGTTGCCCTCGAGGTGCAATTCACTGAACGTACTGCACAGGCTGGTGGCATGCAATCGGATCATCTTCCTGAGTCGAACACTCGTCCTCTTGCAGTACAGTCTCACGGGACGGGAAAGGATTCGACGGACTTGCTTGGTGTAATTGCCAGCGGCTGTCTACAGCATCATCACCGTTTTTCAATATGACTAAAGGACAACGAAGGGCTTATCGGGATGTTTTTGAGAAGTTGGTGGATTCTGTGCTTTGTCGGAGGAATTATGTTTCGCCGGCCAATGGCTCTGCGGAGAATACGAATTTTGCGGATTTGTCGTTTGGGTTGGATGGTTTTCTTGTGGCGGGTGCGTTTGATGCGCTGCTTTGGGGATTTAATGGTCCGTCATGAGTCATGAGTTTACACGAAGGGAATTTCGAGCGACAGTAGAAATTTGGAACCATTTTGATTCTATAACATGACAAATTTACCACTCCTTCAACAGATCCGGCGGCGCAGGATCATTCCTAAGACTACGATCAAACTCGTACTTCAACCTCATAATGTGCTGCGAAGCTCAAGTATTTTTAAAGCAAGAATATCCGACCCAATTTGTGGGATATTGTTGGTCAGCGAAAAAGTTGCTGAGGATGCACCGAGGCATACGCATTCGTTTTTGGCGATTCTTTTTCTTTATGTTGTGTCTATACCGATTACGCTTTTGCTCAAGTGGGTTTATTAGCGGGAGGATCGGGGAGTGGAAGGAGAGTTGCCTGGTGATGGATCGGAGTCTAGAAAGAAGAAGCTTGAAATGAGATGTGATTCTACTTGGTCTTGGTACTTTGCAAAATAATGGCTCTTTGTTTTATGGAGAGCTTTGTGTCGCTTGGTGTGAATGCATTGGCCCGAAAACAGCACATATAGCTAACAAAGAGTCATCATTGCTCGGTAAGACTTCGAAACAGCGAGTCTTGAATTCCAAAGCTACAAAGACTTAGCAAAATTATATCGTTCTCTGCTTCATGCAATACCCACGCAGCCTTCCATTATAAAGCTCTGTCAATGTCCTCTCGAGCTCGAGTCACTATTCCACACCAGTGTGCTATTCGATCAGAACCTCAAAATTAACTAATCAATTTCAACACCGAATCACAGTTTGTCACTATGTCCACAAATAAACTCGGCGAAAGTCCCCCAGGCCCAAATGTCGAGCCGGAAATCGTGAAAGAATTTGCCCGCATGCGCGAAACCTCCATCGACGAACTCGAAGACATGTATAGAAGACTATCAGAGGTAAACGAACAATCGCGAACAATAGTATTCCAATCAATCATCGACCGACTTCCCAAGCTAGCCGACGAAATAGACGAGTACCTCGACTCAATCCGATTCAACCGGTCAGTCGGAACATCCGGCCCCTACTGCCTAATCACCAGATATAACCGACTCTGCAGCAGCGTAGAACGAGCAGGAAAGCTTCTCCAATTCATCCCCCGACCTGCACACGAAGATATGCCCGATGATTATGACGAGGACAAATGGACGCAGAACCGTACGCCTGAACAGCTGTCTCTGGTGACAGAGGAGCTGAATAGAAACCCATATATTTTCAAACAGCTGCAGAGATCGGTTGATGTGCTAGCTGTTCAGATTGGTCGGCTTACACTTTCTAATAATGATGAGATGTATGATGAGTATGCGTTTTTCAAGGACTCCAAGGCTATGAAGGAGGATAAGTCGAGGAGGAAGTATGGGCTTAATCTTAGTGCTGATGGTGCGAATATGTGTTTTGAGGTTAATGAGCTTTGGGCGAGGCTTAATCGGGCTGTTTCAGATTGTCCTTGCAGGCAGTGCTATGCGAGGAGGGAGCCTCGCTCGCCGATTCGGTGAGTTTGTTGTTTTGAGTCTTCCTCTGGCTCAGTTTGATTCTTATTTTTTTTTCTGCTACTCGCAGAATACATCTTTTTAATTAATTCTATATCTACGCGCACAGCTAATTCTTTCGTAGCAAGCTTCTGTATTCCCAGGGTTGCTCATAGAAGCTACTAGTATGCCGGGTTGGAACATTCTGGGCATCAATGGTATCAGGTATCTGATAAGCAATGACAATATTCTTGCGCTATTCTATCTTCAAGTAAAGCACCTAGATAAAAGCGTGTAATTTATGCTTTAATTTAAATTCTCAAAACCTTTCAAATGTATAGGCATGGACATTGGTCCATGCTGGAGTATATTTCCTGGCTGAGTGGAAAATCTCAGCTCAATTGCCCCCCTCCCTTCCCGATGACCGCCCTCCCGTACGCCAGCGGATTAGTCGGATGAATAGGCTATCCGTTCGTTAGTCTCATTCGACCAGGCAGGGCTGTCCTGGAGATTGCCTCGCAAGACTTGTGAATTTCTTGACTAGTCTCGCTGTGCACGCGAAAATAGTGACGTATTCCAGATTTTTGCGATCTGTTAAGCGTTTTTCCATAGGCTGGTCCATCATATATAGAAACATATTTCATTATGAGCATGATATTGCGCTTATTTCCTGACAATCAAGAGAAAAACCACAGTTATCTACAGTCATCCCGGCTACCAGCAAGGAAGCCCTATGGTGTTCAGTATTTACCATCACAACTACGCGGGCTTCATCAACCCACCGCTCGCCGAAAAGTACGACGGCGCCGTTCGGTTTGGTATACTCGGAGCTTCTAATATCGCGTGAGTCCCATGCAAGTCCTCTCCACACTCAGATGAAGAATGCCAACTCTAGCTAAGGCCCATCGCGCTGATCGGTCCGGCCAAGGCACACCCCGGGGTCGTCGTTGCTGCAATAGCAGCCAGAGACCGAAGCCGAGCAGAGACGTATACCAGGGAGTACCACATCCCCATCGTCCACGCAAGCTATGAAGACCTACTCCGAAATCCATCCATCGACGCGGTCTACATCACACTTTCAAATCACCACCACTATTAGTGGACACTGCGAACACTCCGCGCTGGAAAACACGTTCTCCTCGAAAATTTTCCTCGAAAAGCCGTTGTGTTCAAAATACCGAGGAAGCCAGATCTCTCTTTAATCACCCTCTAATCAAAGCATCCGGAGCCCCAGTCCTCCTGGAAGCCTTCCACTATCGCTTCCACCCAATCTGGCAGACCATCCTCGCCCGCTTTCACAACGACTTCGGCCGCCGGTCTTGTGAAATCCTCCTTTGTCTAACCATACCTGCCAAAGGGTGTGACCCCAAAAGATGACATCCGATGGCGCTTCGACCTTGCTGGTGGTGCTATGATAGACCTCAGTACATATATCATGAACTACCTCCGACAGAATCCTATCATCGGAGCCGATGGGTTCACTGTTGCTCTAATCCGTGTTCTACCAGACCAAACTACTCAAGCGCGGAGGCTCTGTGAGGTCGTCGCAACTGGCAGCGTGAAAGACTTTGGCGATGGGGATGTCGCATCGTATGCCAAGAATTTGGGTGGGCGTGAGTGGGCTAACACGCGGAAGACTGTAGAGGTCAAGGATGCACCTGTTACACGTCATTTGTCGAAGAAAGAGAGCGTCTCGAAGTATGAGGTGACTGCTTTTGCCGTTTCGCCACACTGCCAGTCTGGTGGTCTGGGTGCTCGAGTTTTGGATGAGATAAAGTGGTTATTAAGGGATGATGCGCCGGGTCAAGACTTGGGAATATCATTTCCAATGCTGGTCACTTGTCTGATGATCTTGGGTTAACTTCTTCGATGCCTGGTGCTCGGATCCAAGGAATTGACCTCAGCCGGACAAGGGAGGCGGTTTTCGTATCTCGGAAAGACAAGTCAGCCAGTGGCCGCCAAAAGGGACAGAAGCCAAAACTCGTTTTGATGGCTATTCGGAAATTGGGAAATGAAGGTTACTACCAAAGACGAGGGTTCAAGACCACTTGGACTGGAACAGTTCCTTTGGGGATGTGGGATTGCAGGAAGAAATGTACCACCGTGTACTTGGAAATGGCCCTGTCATGAGGATACCATTTTTTAATACAAATGCATCTATCTCTTCACCATCAGCTCGAACTGCCGAATAGTTGGTAAATAATGTATAGTGTTTTGTCGCACCGTTCTATAAAACCACCCCCTCCGCCCCCCCCCCACAGGGGAATGTCAACGTTTCCAAGGTTGGAACAAAATGAACTTGGCATGTTACAACACTGAGGGGGACTACAGCACTCCACATCAGCAATAGCCGCAAGCAATATCCTTCGATCTCTTTTTGGAGCCCTGATTCCCTTCGCTGGACCCTCGATGTACGAAGCTCTGGAACTTGGCTGGGGAAACTCTTTGCTCGGGTTCATTGCTTTTGCGATGGTTCCTATTCCGGTTCTATTTTGGAGATTTGCGAAACGGTTGCGCACCAACCAGACCTTTCTGTGTCACCTTTCAATGGCAAAGGTCATTTGAGGTGAGGCAAGTACCGAGAACTACTTGGTCGTCAAGAAGTCGGACTGAGGTGTTATGTGCATCCTGATAGCCTCATAATATGATCTCACTAATTCATAGACAGTGCTCACTGCTTCAGAATACCTAGATTTACCCTAGCCATGTATTGAGCTCGGTCTGCATATCGACGGTGCTATTTCGGCTCAGATGTATCTTGGAAAGATCATACCCAGTCCAATACATTCCGGGCGCGCATCGGCCAGTTTCCAGACACCTTCAATCTTCTTATACCAGTGCTTGACCTTCCAATTCCCAAGGCCTTTGTGGGCGACAATGGTTAGGCCAGCATTCTCATAACGCTGCTGGGCAGCGCGAATCTGATATGTGACAGAGATCTTAGTACCAGACACCCACTCATGCTTGGCGGCGCCCACTAGATGCTGGATGCGAATGAGTGGATCCCCCACAAAATCAGCGGAGCTCATCCTTTAATGAAATCTTCGGACTTCATCGCCGGAAAGCTTTGCTGGCCAACGATGCTGTAGTCCACCTGTCATGTAGAGATCAGCTTCAAGAATAGGTACATTTCCCGACAGATGCGAGGTGCAAGATACCAAAAGGCTTGGCGCCTGGATACGTTCGAGTCTATCCCATATCTGATTCGAATTAGATTGCATTATTGTATGCTTCAAGACGTCGAAGAGCACACCTTTTTGTCAATGCTGTCCGCCTACTCGAAAACAAGTTAAAAGATTGAAAAATAGTCTATAATAAACAAGTTTTTAGTTCAAGGGCCGCAAATCTTGTTGGGACGAATACACATCTTGAAACTGTATATTCTCCATATTCGCTGACACATAACGGGCACTCCTACGGTGTTTTTCTTTCCGAGACAATTCATGGCTTTAGCCCCATCGTGGGAATCCTTTTTCTGATTGTATAGATTCGACTGATTGATAAGGGAGCAGATCTATACCAAGTTGACTGCAGCTGCAGCTATTGTTAGAACATACTGCCTGTTTAAGGTTCAGGAGTTGGTGTCTTCGAACTCTTCTACTGAGCCTCTTCATTGTGTAAATGTAAAATACGTTTAGGAATCCTGCTCAGCCGTGAGAATGCTGCTTTTCGTCTGAAAAATACTCTTATCTGGCGATAGCTCCCAGTTGTGAACAAATTCGACTCATAATAACTCATTGAAATCGCCCTAGCCTAATACACGAATGACATCTGCAGCCAGTGAGTGGCTCATTGAGACGAAGCCAGATCGAATCCACTTCTGAAAATTCATGTGTCCGATAATAAGCCCTAGCTCTTAGCTCGCACGTAAATTGCTTAAAGTCCGCCTTCTTATCCATCTGCTCCACAAATAGATCGCAACCCCCATCGACGATTTTCAGTAGTCCGATTTGTACGCTAAGCGTATCTATGATCTCGGAAAATAGGTGTGTCGGCTGGAGCCGGTATGTAGCTTGTTTTTCGGTCTCGAGAACTATCACATAGTATCGGATAGACTTTATCTTGTGGATTTGATCTTGCATTTCACGCTTTATGCGATCGCATTTGGCTTCGAAACATTTAGGGGCATCGCGTAAAGGCCACTGGCTCTGAACTTCATATTTCCAGTTTTCCAGCTCGGTCACGTGTCTTTCGAATGATGCCGCGATCGCCCTATATATTCGTAACTGGTCGCTGAAGTTCATCTTTGCTGACATGCTAGCTCTGCGCCAATCTGTTAAAAGGCTCTCGGCAATTTTCTGTCGAGCTAGCTCGAACCCGCCTCTGAAAAAGGGAAGCATCACTGCTCGAATTTAGGTCAACCTTTGGGACCAAACTCAAATACAGCGCGAGATATAAGTTAGCAGGATCAGATCAAGCCACAGCTATTTCTGAAAGTTTGAAAGCGAGTGTACAGGTGTTGTGTTCAGGTGTCAAAGCCTCAAGCCTCGACACACACCTCTTTGATCTTGATAAAGGCAGCGATCGAGTCTTTGTCTTTGTTCAACTTGAGACAATTGGCAATACATAGGCGCATCAGCATTGTTCCCAAAACGAAACACAACAGCCCCATTGTCTTAGAACAATAGAGAGAAACGTTTGTTCGTTATCCTGTTGTAGTATCTTTCAACTCATGTACGAATCTGACATGAAGTCATTGAGGCGATAAGTCAAGTTTATCCTTGATTCTTGAAGGGGTAGAGCATGTGACAGACGAATATAAATTCGTGTCAGATTTCTCATTGGTAACCTTCACCAGACCTTGAAAATTACCTTTGAGCATTCTTCTATGCAGAATATTGACCGGTATACTATTTCTAGTCAGTTCATCCCAACTACACCGCAGCGATGAATCATCACAGTAGACCCAGCTTCACCGCTCACCGAGCGGATCTGGTTGAGAAATTTCGGCTTGGGGCCCTCAATGCTGAGCAACAGCCAAGAACGTATAACCGGGTATCTAGATTTCTGACTGAACGCGCAGCAGAGCTTACTAACTTGAAAAACATTGTATCTGGACGAAAGACCCCTGATTGCTTTTATATTAGGCTCGATCGCATTTTGGTTGAGATGAAAACCCAGAGTTTGATATTTAAGATTGGGCTGGACATCGCACACCTTGCTCCCAGGCTGATGGAAATGTACGGACTTTCTATTGCAAGGCTGACATTATCGTTCAGCGGTCGAGATGTCCTTGCGGAGGAAAAAGATGAGGAAGCTATGCGGAGAAGGTTTGGAAGACAGCCCAGACTTGGAAATAATAGTGAAGGCGGAAGACTTGATGCCGTTCTCTGCGATTTGGACTCTCTTTGGTTGCGCCTGAATTGGCCAGTTGATGGTTGCGATTGCAATCAATGCATCAAGCGGGAGTCTTTCATGGGTTAACAAGTTGTAATCGTGAGTAGTACTAGTAGTTATCAAATCATCGTATATATGTGAATTTAATGGAACTTGAAAAAATATCCTTGTAGACATCCTAAGAAAATTCATATTCGTCTTTCACACGGAGCAATAAATTCACAGTATTAAAAATTCAAGAGCTACGACATCGCCTCCTGTGCCGGCAATTTTCGCGGCTTCCTTAGCCATTTAACTCTTGCTAGTATCGCTACTTGGGACATCTGTATAATTGACGGGCTTGCCAAAGGAATCGATACTGCTCTCCCGGGACAGCCTTTCCAGGACAACCTTAGCCCCTGCGGTTTTGGTCTCACTAGCGCAGGCTTTCCCGGCCATCTTGCCCGACTACAAGGTAAATAATCTGATATTGGTACTTACTAGTAAGCATCAGAAGCGACAAACTATATGTACCTATTCCAGACTGTAGTCTCAGTGATTGGAGAACCCATCACCTGACCCTTGATTTGTGTATTCCACGATCTCCCTTTCTCTCTTGTCGCTGATGCTGAAGCCGCACACACCATATTGCTGAGCCAACAGCAGCGAGATCGCCAAAATGGAAAATGCACCGTATGCGGAAAGCCGCTAATGACAGCACTAGCTTGCGAAGCGATGACATAAAGTGTGATTCTTCAGCAAAAACACGCTAACTAATGCAGCAGTTGCACCGCCATCTTAGGTAAACAAGATTAGACTGGAAACCGGCCCCCAACAAACGCCCAGCGACCTTGCGCCCCGTCACGATTCGAATCTTGGTACTCGGACTCGAATTATTTCTCCTTACAATTATTGTCGCATGTCACGCCATTTTGTCAAGATCAAATATTCTTCTCCGAGTTGTATTTATCAGTCACATAGCGCTGGGAACTTGAACAATTCGAAAGATCCCTGAACAGAAGATGCCAAGTATCCATCATCGGTCCGTGTTGGAAAACGCCGTTTTTCTCTGCCAGGGACACTCCGGAGTACATTCGCCATCTCCAGCTCACGATACCCTGATGGTGGTTCTGGATCAAGGTACTGCAATTCCAGCATGATTCGATATTAGCTAACTCTACACGCATAGATGCACATGATTTCGAGAGTCGTTTACAGTCGGAAGCACCACTAGACATTAAAAAGACCGGATTTATCAGTGTAATGTATGTTATTTTCAGATATACTGCGCGACATGAGATTTCAGCTTACGGAAACAAGATTATTGAGCGAACAGGGCACGTTTCCGGGAGATCAATGGGAAACACGGAAGCTATTCAAGACATTCTGGGGCGTATACTTGGAAGATATAGCCCTTCTGTCCTCCCCGTTACTGTCCAGCTATCATGGTCGATGTATAGAAGTTCATGGACACCCATGCCTCGGTAAGTTTTACATGACAACGGACAAAATTGTCTCCGCGCTAACAAATCCACTGAAATATGCTACAACGTTAGCGAGGTCTTATCATATACGGCAAACGATACTAGCCCGTTAGACAGTAGCTCCAGTGTCAACACAAGTGGACCGACTGACATGAAGCTTCATCACCAATATGAGCCGATTTACTTCCGTTACGATTCTGTGACCGGGCACACGCTGTACATTCTACCAAAGTCCAAACGCGATTTACGCGATCTGATTCACGAGCTTGGAGAGAGATTCCGTGGAGTATCTTCGGAATTTTTACCTAATGAACAGCTCGATATTTGCAATCACAATGAGCCTTTGCATCCTCTAAGCCTTCACTCAGTGGTCATTTTTTATGTCCTTTTATCCCGAAACACCGAGCTGAACAATCTGATTAAATGGCTACTTTGGATCGAAACACAACTACACCAAGGATCAATTTTCGAAGTGACAGGCTCGGATCGCTTCTCGAGGTACATCCAGTTGCTACATAAGATGTCGCGAAAGTTGATCACCTTGGAACACAATAACCAACGAGACGCTTCGAACATTGGCCATCTTCTCCGGGACCACAAGCGCCTCGGAAAATTGGCCGAGATGCAGGGTTCGTATCTCGATCCCACAACGCATCAGAGGGTTTGTGACGACCTACTTATGCTACACGACTTATGCGATGACCGTCATCGCCGAATCCTGAATTTGCAACAAAGAACCAGCAATTTTGTGACCCTCTTATACCACCTCATCACTGGGCATGACAGCACAATCAATCTACAGATAGCGACGGAAAGTGCGAAAATTGCCCGAGATGCACGCAAAGACAGCGCGTCGATGAAAATCATTGCGGGCATGACACTGCTCTATCTCCCGGCCACTTTTGTGTGCAGTCTTTTCGGGACCAACCTGGTTGCGATGGATACATCGACTAAGAGTAATGACTCTGTTTTTATTGTGTCCCCTCTCTGGTGGACTTATTTTGCATTTGCGGTGCCCCTGACCGTTTTTACTATGGTCGGGTTTCTGCTGTGGCGACGCTTTCATGAAAAGGATCCAGGGAACAGGGCGAATGGACTAAGCGTTTTATAACGAGGCGCAGCTTTGTGGTTTGAATATCAATGTGATTGAGCTGACCAGTGCTGGTGCTCTGACAAGTCCAAAATTTGCGTATGACTTTTCCAGACCAAACCATGATCTAGCAAACAAAAACAGTCACATTGCCAATTTGTGGGCCCTAGATAGAGATGTGTCAATCTTTCACTCGGTACAGTTCATGATGAGAAGACTCACCATGTAGACAAGGTTGCGATGAACAATCCGCCAAGTACCGACTTTTTAACGTTCCCAGTTGTCCTGGTATTGGCCATAGGCGTAAAGGACCTGACCTTCGCTGTGTCCTTTTCCAAAGTGAGCAGCGCGGAAGTATGTTACCGATTGCGCGGTCGTGGGCGATTGTATGTCGATCCAGTGGGTACCGTACAAATGCTGTGTGGTGACGCATGCCAGGCTCTCCTTCAACCTAGACTAAATAGAATTAAGCGGCGTCAATACATTGAAGGGCGTCGAATAATTGGCTGTCGCATCGGCGCTGAACACCTTGCTGAGGGCGTCGAAATTTTTGCCGTCAATCGCAAAAGGGTAGATTGCTAGTGTGTTTTGGATCGCCTCAGTTTTGTCTGCATTGGTATAGTTCTCTGGCATACATTCATTGGCGAGGGAGGAAAGCTCAACGGGCGCGACATTGCTGGTCGTAGATGCGAGGCGAGCCAACCACTGAAAGTGAGAATGCGTAGAATAGGAACTTCATTTTTGATCAAAAACAAAAATTTAGCTAGGGAAATGGAAAATTCAATTTTAGTGGGTGACTGCTTGGGATCTAAGTTCATTTCTCCCCTAGGAAACCCCGGATCTCAGTCTAGTTCCCCCGGGATTAAAACAATGCAGACCGAGTATCTTCGCTTAAAGCCAATCGTCTTGCAGCACAGATGTTTCATGATTGATATCGGCTGGAATGCAATGTGAGGAACGCTTTGATATTTTATGACGGGTTCGCTTCCTTCCACAGCCCCTTGACCCTCATTAAAATGTCGGCTCAATACGACAACGGCGCCCCGTAAGCTGAACTAATACGACCGAGGGAAAGCTCAAATGTCTAGCGATTGTGGCTACTGGCTAATACCAGCTAAATCATGAATAAATTTTCGGCGCATCCATCCTACATGCTTGATTAATACCGACCAACCAGGAAAATTAATTGTTTCCTCCCAAATGGTACCCTTTGAGACGAGTTCAGTCTCCATATTTTGGCCCCCAAATACGACATGATGCCTAGCCTGGATAGAGTAATCCCGGAGACGGAGGATGGCCACTTGTAGCAGCCGACCCCTCGATGCAAGCGAATAAGTTCGCATTCTCTGCAAGGACGAAAATTCGCTTCTGTCATCCTAATATCTACCATTCGTCCAAAGTAGTAGAATATGGGGCCTCAGGCCCCCAAACTTGGATCATGTGACAACAACCGAGCCGCCTTATCTAGTAATAGTGATAAAGATGTTGCGGGGATAAATCCTTCTCTGTTCAAGTCCTTCCATCCTCTATCAGCTTCATCACCACCATCTCCCCTGTTGCCTCTATCAATAGTTACCGAGACCCAGCCTCGTGTGAAATCTGCCGCCTGCCTTCATTTCTGCTGGCGCTTCCGGGACCCAGGTCACATGACTGCCCGCCGCCGTTATCCAACGACTGCGGTTTCAAATCGGTCTCGCGCCCTACTTGGGCGTCTAATCAGCATTTAATAATTTCGGTATGACATTGAGGAGAAAGCAATATGTTCTCAAAAGCTTTTTCAATGAGTTCCTAAAACTGACCAGGCAGAAACGTGTCTAGAAAATGTGCTCTGGTCTGAGAAATCGTATCCGCCTCATACTTGATTCAAACTCTTGGCAGGAACACTTACAACAAAGTAGATTGCTCTGGGCAACATAGGCTTGTAGTCTAGACTCGCATCTGTACCACGGGCGAACTCGCTTAAGGGACGGGTAAGAACCGTTGAAGGCGCTTCGACGAATTATATGCAATTGGCCTCAAAGCCACCTAGGTGTTCACTACCAGTTCATCTGGGATTCATGCGGCAGAAGCATCCCATTTTATGACGAGTCTGCAGTGCCGGCTTTGGTAAATCCGAACGAAAATTAAACGAGCCTTTCTAGTGTATATAAATAGGACGAACTATTACATTCTAGCAACCTGGATTGATCATAAACATTCCTCTCAAAGCACCTCCATCATGAAGCTGATCCAGATGACGTCTCCAAATATTCAGATAAAAACATTTCTTAATCAGTTGTGAGTTTATATCGCAAGCATCAATATATTGATTGACACGATTATCCCTATCGAACAATAGTATTGATAAAATCAATCCCAGCTGCACGATAATAGTCCGCTTCGACATAACTCTCATTCCGCGGCAGCCGAAAAACGAAATTGGCGAATCTTGACGAATAGCTCGGCCATTTTGGAATTTGCGCAACTAGTAATCAGTCATTTAGAATTCTCAGCTTGACCTTGCCCGGCAGTAATTCTTGAGGAAAATTACCTCCATGGCCATTTGGATCCAAATCCGTAACAAAAGAAGTCCACATCCGACCAGCCATCTGGCCCAGCTCCAAGCGAGCAGGGTCAGATCCCAGGGACGTTATATTTTGCACGGGGTTGGCGAAAACAAACGGTATCTAAGTGTCTGCGTCAGCATCCAATGCGGGATTTTGGATGCAGCAATTGCAACAAATTATTACCTCTGCAAAATGTTGAACCCCAATAGTTGTAGACGTGTTCAGCGCTGCTTCATCCCAGCGGTATGAATACACATTTTCCACCGACTGTGCCATGGTACTTGCCAGCATTCGGCGCGGTGCTACCATTGCAATATCTCCGGCCATAGATTCGTACCGCTTATACTGAAGTCCCAGACTTGGCCAGGTGACGTTTCCCCAGCCGTATGGACAGCCCAGTGCTGCTATGTTGGGGTAATGGGAGAGGAGTTCCGTGGCTTGGGTCCTGGTTAGAACCCAGCGCTTTGAGGCTAAGTTTCAAGTCAGTATGGTTGAAGGAAGCAGTACTATTCTTGACATGGGCTTGACTTACATATTAGCTGCGCGATGCACTCTTCGTCGGTATTTGTCCCTGTTGTCCCGAAACTCGTACCCTCGTCTGTATTCGTGCCGAGCAGAATGGGTACCTTGGCGATTTTACCTTCTTTATAGCTGATCTGGGGATACTGAGTGATGAAATTGTCGTCAATTGTCGCGAACCACTCGAGTCCTTCGTATGCTGCGCTATAGATTGTCTCGTAGGGAAGGCCACGAAGACACTTGAGCGTGCTTGATGAATTTGTGCATCTAGTCCAGTTGTTTAGCTGTGTCCCCTCTCTGTTCTCATGTGGACTTACCCGGCTCGATCAACGATGCGATCATACATCGGCTGATGCCATTCGGTGCCATTATACGGTGGTCCGACTGCGTTTCCAGACTCCATGATTGCTGCCACGTTCAGTTAGTCAGTTGTCACGAAACAGGTATGTGTTCGTACCAGCTCTAAAGAGGCCTTCATTATTGCCATTGTTCGTCACGAGGTGAGCTCCGACGCTATAGGCCCCTCTGCGTTTTCCATGTCAGTATCTTATCATCTGGATTGGCAATCTCGGCTCACGCTGACTCGCCCCAGATGGTGATTTTATCTGGGTCTCCTCCGAACGCTTTGATGTTCTGCTTCACCCAGCGCATAGCAACACGCTGATCACGTAGCGCCAGGTTTGTATTTCCCTCGGCCTGTTGCTGTTAGTCTCGTCCTCTGTACAAATAGTATTGAAGGAACACTCACCCTGACTTCCTCTGAATCCAAAAATCCAAAAACTGACAGTCGATAATTGATAGAAACACCCAAGACCGGCTTGTCATTCAATGCCCCTTGCTGAACAATGTAGCTCATGTTGTATCTGTCAGCATCTCACGTTAGCAACTTGAATTTCCCAACCACCTCAAAGAAACGGGGTCAAAATAACCGAGGATCAGCCGTCGCCCCTTGGCTCCAACCACCACCGAATATCCACAGCATAACAGGAAGCAATTCCTGTGAATCAACTCCGCGCTGCACTTTAGGTCGAATAATATTCAAATTCAAACAATCCTCATTGAGCTCAATGAGACCCATTTTGACCAAATTAGTCGTATCAGATCCATAGCCAGGGCAGTCATAGCCATATTCCGTGGCATTGTAAAGCACCGACTTCGTAGAGGACAGCGCAGTACCAGAAGACTCTAAGGGACCCGAATTACTATCGTTCGAAGCATATTTGGTCTTCAGCTCCGACGGCGTGAAACGAATCGGATCATCGGCATATTTGATTCCGAGGAAAACGTCCTGGTCAAATTCATGAAGTGTGCGGCCGACGAATATCGTCTTGGAATTGCCGCTTCCTTTGGGTTGTATTGTTGCGGTGGGTACTTCAGAGAGGCTTGTCGAGTGAGGGCTGGATAGGGCCCTCGAGGCCAGGAGAAGCCCGAGGGTTAAGCTTCGCATCTTTGTTGTCGACGTCGAACTTTGAAATGAGATTTTTTTTATTTTTATTTCGCTGCGAATTATCGGCGAGCTTCGTTTCATCGACATTAATTATACCTGAATGAGGTGGTCGATATTACATTCTTCCATGTTTACCCCGGAGTTTTCCCATCTTAATTTCCCACCTATGAGCGCCTGTATCCCAACGCCCACTGCCTCACTCTGCTGAGCAAGGCAAGCCATTCTGTGGGGAAGCTTTTTCTTCAGTACAATTTTCCCGTGCCGGGATACTGTTTCAACCGCCATTCGGAGGTGGGGTATTTGGTATTGCCGAGCGCATATCGCCGCGACCGAGAACTTGCCGGGCGAAGTCTTTGAAAGTGAATATCGGAAGATTTGTGCAGACGCTAGGATCATGGCTGTACAAGACAAGGCTGTACAAGACAACAAGATGATGATACATCCAATATGGTAGGATAGGCAGAGGTGTCAGTAAGCCCGTCCAAACGTCAGACATGGCGCGGTCTATAAGACATCTCAACTTCAAAGTTCGTATTAGACTGGATGGTCAAGATCAAATATACTAAATATCCATTGATATCTGAATGAACCAGAAGGCTAGACCGCCATTCGTGGCATGCAGATGGGGCTCTTGTCTTGTGCCGTACATTGGGGGTCGAGGCCACGCCGAGCAAAGAAACATGTGGGGAATGAAAAAGAAACACCAAGCCGCTCATGATAGAAAAAAGAAAGATCTGGACAGGTTGAAAGGGTGCAGGGGAAAAGAAGATAATTGACATAAAAAGGAAATGCAGACGTGAATTCAGGGGTTCACAACAATCGCCAAAGCTCTATTATGTACGCTTCACAGATATTCGAGGTCAATTCAATCACATCAATCGTCCTTTTCTCGATCGCCATACCCACTCGGTCCCGAACCCAGCCCCGTTGCGCGAGACCTGCTCGTCGCGGATGCAGATGTGGTGGTTGCTCGGTATGACGAGGATGAAGAGGTGTTTTGCTGTTCGGTGCGCCGCGTGCCCAAAGGACTAGGGGATTGGCGGCCTTCGGAGGTATCGTCCATTTCTATCAGGTCTCCTACACCCCAGAGTCCTGTGCTCCGGCCTCGGTCCGCTGCTTGCTGGTTCGGGGAGCCTTGCTGTAACTCGTTGATACCAGCTTTCGTGCGTGCCGCGACTTTCCGAACCCAGCCCTCGAGGGCACCGCCGATGTTTTCGAGGCCTGATGCGTTTGAGGCGACGGTTGACTCGGAGCCAAATGAAGATCTCCGGAGGTTTGGGGGAGGGGTTGGGGGTGCGAGTAGAGGCATGTGTTGCGAGAAGAACTTGCTCAGACCATCCATGGCTGATCCGGGGGCGGTCGAGCTGCGGTCGAGGGAGCCGACTCCGGTTCCAGAGAGGTGTAGACTGCTGCGTTGACGACGGTGCTGCGGACGACCAGGATATGCGCCACTGGGTTTGGAGTTGTCCTTGTTGGTTCGAATCCGCGGCAGTATTCCCTGCGAAAGGCTGACTTGGGGCGATCCAGCTGGAGATGGAGATCGAGTCAAATCTTGCGAGAAGCTAGAGACTGGCTCTGCATCTGTATATGAAACAGATTTCCGACGTGTGCGAGGGAAAAATCCAAGGGATCTTCGAGGAACGCGGCCAATTTCTATCGCGGCCGGAAATCCCTCTATTTGTACCCATGACTCGTGTTTCCAGATACGATTGCGCTCTGCGTCACACGAGTCCGGAGGATTGTCATCTGTCGAGGGCCGTTCCGTCGCAGCAGGAGCAATGGAGCTATCAGATGGGTCTTCAGCGTCGTTGCTCAGGAGATCCACATTTGACGCCGGTCGAATTGGTCTTCCCTTGACAGTGCACGCGTCCACTGGAAGCAGAACCGTCTTCCTGCTTTGAATGTTGTCATTCGGCCAGAAACCATTTGCTTTCCGAAATATAGCAGCCTGGCAGCCGTATTTAATCGTCACTCCTGTAATACTATCCGTAGCGGCGACAGGGTGGATATACGCCAACGCCTCCTCTTCCTGCTCTGGTTCAATTGGCTGCTGGTCATGATAATCGCCAGAATCCCGTCGCTTGTGTCGAGAACTCCGGTTCATTATCGGATCACACTCAGCCAGTAGAAGCGCCTCCCGTTTCTTCGCTTGCACTAGCGCCTGGCGCTCCTCTTTAGTTCCCACACCGATATCTGGGGTGGAGGGTGCGGAAGGGCCCCACGCCGAGTTCGAGGGCTGCGACCTTGGAATGCTTCGAATATATACGTCTGATCGCGATGGCTTCCTCCGAGTGTGGCTTTTGGCCGCATTATTGTATTGATTTCGTCCCGTGTCGCTCCCTAACACCGATGACGCCAAACTCTGGAGTGATGACCACGGAGAGTCCAGGAAATCCGTGGCTCCCCGTGATGATGACACTTTTGAGACACCATTCCACCCCAGCGATGTAGACTCGTTCCGACCGCGGAGGCTGGATTCCGTGACGCGGGATGGGTGTTTCATCGGCAACGGCGAGGCACCGCGCGATGACAGCGGGGAGGGCGTGGCACCGCGCGATCGTGTGGTTCCAGTGTCCATTGTCGATAGAGTGGTCGAGAGGCCCGTGGAGGATTGTTGCGACCCATCGTAGGCTGAGTGAGAGGCCTTGTTGACAGCGGTGTCATCTTCATCGTCCATGAAGGAGACCAGGCGACGTGGACGCGATCGGACCGAGCTGGACTTGGTGCTTGTTGCGACTGGATTGGAGCTCAGGGAAGCATTGGGCAGGCTATTTTGGGAACTCATTCCCGTCAGCGCGTGGGTTGATATCTCCCAAAGACCACAAGTAGAGAGCTCCTTGGAGATGAAGTGGGTGTTGCCAAGGCACTGATTGCCATCAGGAGTCTCCTAGGAGAGACCCATTCGTCATCCACCCGACGTTTCGCATTCGTGGACACTGCACTCAAACAGAGGCAGACGCTGCGGTCCGGCAAGTGCCCTGGAATTGCTTGCAATCCGACGATTTCCCAGGTTTTGGAGGTGGGGGACCCCGAAAGGTTGTTGATGATGATGCGACAGGGGCGACAAAAGCAACGGCGCTGGTGACGATAACGACCCACAGACACCTGGCCGACACCGAGCACGAAGCGGACAATTGACAATCGAGCAATCGAAGAGCGTGGGAAGCTAGTCCAGGATCTGAAAGGGAAGATAGCCACGGTCCAACACGGCAGGGAGTGGGCGTTCGGAGGCGCTGATCGGCAGGTGACTTCGCCGCTTGGCCAAGTAGCGGTACATGACGCAGGCGGAGAATGGCGGCGGGAAGGAAGTACCGGTACTTCGACGCCGCGTGGAATTATCTTCCGCGTTCGCGTACTTCAGAGAAGGCCATATGGAACTCGGGATATTCCCATAGGGCGGCCGATCTGTTTCAGCGGTGAATGTTGGTGATCAGACCGGCTGTATTTGCCTTTTGTTAGATTCTTTATCAGCTACGTGGTCGTTACGAAATGCTATCAGCAGTATAGCGAGCATATGTCCCATCTTAATCATACGACCAGGCTAGTAACTAACTATAGTTAGATACTGAGACCAAGTGTGACGTACCACAATTTCAGAGTTATTGATAATGTGTCCTCGGAGCTTTCAACTCAACTCCACACATCATCAGATCAAATTGAAAATGAGATCATATTGCATTGTTGCCGAATCCCAACCATCGTACAAGAAAAATATCGGATCAATTCTATGGACAACCCGGCCCAGCCAGGACCGTAAGACGTGCAGCCATACAAGATAGAAATAAAATAAATGCGACCAGAAACAAAAACACACATCAAAGCCCGGATTTCCCGGCAAATAACGCCGCGTCCTCTAAACGATCTGGGGTAGGGTAGAGAAAGAAAATCAAAGGAACATAATGACCCGTCTAAATTAGAAATATAATGGTATATACGCCTTTACTCTGGAGGCTCGGCCATCACAGAGCGGCGTGCATCAGCTTCCGAAGTGGCCTCGGCCTCAGACTCGGTCTGCCAGGCCTCTTCTTCATTCTCCCTGCTGGCCTTGCGCTGGTGGGCACTCTCGGCCTTCCTGGGGCGCCGGCCATAAGGGAAATCGTCCATGTTAAGACCGCGGACCTCACTGGGGTCCAGGGAAGTCAATGGCATGCCAGCCTTCTCCATCTTCTCGATCTGCTCGTTGAGAGGCCCGATGGCGGCACTGCGGCACTGCTCCTTGATATCGCTACCGGAGAGACCAGCCATCTTCTTGACGAGCCAATCCACATCGATGTCATCGCGGTCGACCTTAGTGTCCTTAAGAACCAAGCTGAGAATGCGCAGGCGCTGGATATCTGACGGGAGAGCAACGGGGAACTTCTTCGGCATGCGTCGAAGAATCGCTTCGTCGATGTCGTGAATTCGATTGGTGGCACCGAGAACAACAATGCGCTGGGGCTCTCCCCTCGAGTTAGCCGAGGTTAGACCATCCCAGTGTGTCATGAACTCCGCCTTCACCATGCCGCTCGCCTCATGCTCGCCGCTGCGCCGGGTGCCGAGGATCGCATCAATCTCGTCAATGAACACGATCGAGGGCTGGAGCTTACGGGCAAGGGAAAAGACCGCATTGACAAGCTTGTTCGAGTCACCATACCACTTCTCGGTCAACGTCGAAATGCGCAGGTTGATGAAGCAGGCACCGCTCTCGTGAGCAAGGGCCTTGGCGAGCATGGTCTTTCCGCAGCCAGGCGGACCATACAGGAGAACGCCAGAGGGTGCGGTCAGGAGAGAAGATGTGGAGGCGTAGAGGTGAGGCATCGTCAACGGGTAAATAACGGATTGTTTGAGCTCTTTGATAATGTGATCCAGACCGCCAATGTCCTCGAATGACACGGCGATATCCTCGGGTGCGACAACGTCCATCGCAACTGCTTGTTCGTATTGGTTCAGAGTGAGCTCGCTTCGCTTCGGCCGGCTGCTGCGCTTGCCATCGCCCCGTCGCGGCGACTCGTCGTCTGATTCATCTCCGGCATCTAGTCGGCGCAAAATGGCCGCTGACTTGCGCTTTTGCTCCTCCTTCTTTTGACTCTCCGGGTCGAAGTCAAGACGCGATAGGAGGTATCGAATGAGAAAATAGGCTGAGGCGGACTAACCTGGGTGTCAGACGTATTCCCGGTCTGCGGAGATCTGCGGAGAGCGACTCACCGTTCCAGCAACCATGAACATCTCTTGCAGGAACTGCTGCCATCGTCGGCCCGTAGAAGCCATGACGACAGCGATGTGGGGGGCAGGATTATGGGGAAGGGAGAGAAATGAAGGACTCGAGAATGACGAGCCTAGTCGTGAGTCGTTGGGGTATCAATCAGAACAGGCGGGATTAAAAAGAATAGCGAGTCGGGGAGAATGCGAGTGCCCAAATCCGATGCCTGGTTCGGGGGTGTGGCGTTGTGGCTCGGAATGTCACATGTTCCCCGTTGTTGACGGTCACACGGGCGCGTCCCCCAAAAGTGACCTCAGCTACTCCGCGCCCTCCACAAACGCCCTCCATATCGACAAATTGCGTCATGCCGAAGCGCAAGGCCCCGACAAAGATCTCTGGCCTCGTTGACTCAGACGATGAAGATATAATGCAAATAACTGGGGGCGAACCGCTGCCTCAGGAACCGCGCGAGGAGCCTCCTGCAAAAAAGCGAAGAGGTCGACCGCGCTCCTCAAAAGACCACGACGCCGAGACCAAGACGATGGCTCAATCGAAGAGAGAAGAGCCTGCGCCTGCACTTCAAGAAAAAGCACCTCCAGCGAAGAAAGCCGGCCGACGAGGAAGGCCTCCTGGTAGCAGTCGCAATTCCGCCGTTGCGCGCGAATCCGTGGCTCCAGAGCCTGTCGCGGCTGAGGAGCCACAGGGAAAAGAAAACGAGGAGTCTCCTAGCGCTACTGAGGCGAAGCCTACACGGACAACCAGAACTGGCCGGGCTGCTGGGACGCGTGGGCGAGGGCGAGGTCGTGCGGCTAGTTCTGCGAGGCCGTCGGTGACGGATGGCGATTTCCAGTATACACCGACTCGCGCACAAAAACCACAACCCAAGCCGCAAGCTGCCGAGACGCACGAAAGTGAGGCTCCAGATGAGGCGCCTGAAGTAGAGGAATCGATCCTTCCAGACCCTCAGCCATTTACAACGTATGCACAGTCATCGGTTGTGAAGAACGCGAAGGCTCGCGTTTCTGCGCTGCGAGGCAGTCAAGATGCTTCTCCGCGCAAACGCAAGTCAGGCGTTTATGCTGAACCAAGTGGAGATCCAGAGCTGAGACGTCGCATTGGCGAGCTGACAAAGAAGAACGATACGCTGGAGGCGAGGTATCGCGATCTCAAAGAGATTGGGGTGGAGGAGGCGAAGGCGAATATGGAGAAGCTGCGGAAGCAATGTAATAGTATCACTACAGGTACGTTCTCTCATCTTAAGTTGAATTTCATCGAGATAGAGAATACTCATCATATATCAGCTTCGGACAACCTCGTCTCCAGCCTCAAATCCGAAATCGCTGAGCAGAGAGCACTGGCACAAAAGAGCCGGGAACTACAGAAACAACTCAAGGAACGTGACGCTGAAGTGGCTCGACTCAAGATCCAGGCTGAGGAAAGCGATGGAAAGTTCTCCTCTGCGCAATCGGAGATCAAGACTCTCCAGACCAAGCTTGCGGCAGCCCGTAACACGGCCGCTAGCCTCGAAACTGCAGCCAAAGCACCCGGCAGCGCCATCAAGGGAGCTGCCGCCAGCCGAGCCGCTGCCGCCGTCACCGCCGAGGCAGCTCAATCCGCACACCTCGCACAACTGAAGGAAGATTTGTATAGCGACCTTACGGGCCTGATCATCCGTAATGTACAAACACGAGAAGACGATCACTTGTATGATTGTATTCAGACCGGAGTTAACGGAAGTAAGTCCAATCGACCTCGGGTTGCCCCCACTGCCGTGTTGATTCTGACTGTTGTAGCACTTCATTTCAAATTGGCTATCCCCAAGTCATCTAGTAGTGATTATGAGAAGGACCTCTACGAGTATATACCGCTTGTGGACGCCAACCGTGATCGCGATCTGGTGAATATCTTGCCGGGCTACTTAATGGATCACATCACCTTTGAGCGACGGGCTGTGACCAAGTTCTATACGCGTGTGATTGATGCTCTGACAAAACGGCGGTCTAGCTCTTCATAGTAATGGGTATGAGTATATATGCTTTCACTGTTGGTCAGGTAATACATCTAATGTAAACACGATTTAAATTTTAAATCAAGTAATCATAATCAATGATGAAATCGAATGTCACACCATTGTATAATTACCTATCGCGGAGTTCTACGCATCGAAATCGTTATAATACTGACTCGGTTGATCGCGCAACGTCACGTGGTATTTTTGGCGGTGGCACTACATTGAACTACCCTCTGCACATTAAAGCCCCTGGGATGCTGTACATTTGAATAAGAGTGGTGCATTTAAAATATAAGGCCGTGATACATGTATGTACAACTGTGTTGCTCTTGATCAAACTACCTTATACACTGTGTATTGACTAATGCTCAAAGATACTAACTACAATGTACTTACACATTGTAGGCAAAGTTAGTCTTGTCGTTCCCAAGCTTGTCACTCACTATATATGAGTGTCCTCGATACAGTGTATGCTGTACACGTGTGTACTCGACACCACACTGAAATGGTTTCAGCATTTAATATCTATTCAACTCGCTGAAATCATAACCAAAATAAAAATCCAATATCACTCGATTATTTATTTCTACGTGCCTACTTGAAGTGGAAGAGCAGTGTTGAAGTAAACAATGATGGATCTGCCGTGCACAATTGGAGGCCCGTGATTGGTGCTCACCGCCCCGTCCGCAAGTTCCCCAATGCTTCGAACAAAGTGTCGACTCCACGAAATGACGACCTCCTTTTAACCCGTTCCCGTCGCTTTTCTCCCTCAGGGGCCCAATTCCACTCCTTCATCCTCCTCCCAGAGCCGGACCCCGGCGAGCTCGAAGAGGATACATCATGGCGCGCGTTGGGCGCGTCGGGTTCCTCGCCCTCGCGGTGGTCTTCCACCTGATCTATACATATTCCATTTTCGACATATACTTCGTCAGCCCCATCGTGAGTGGCATGCGCTCCTTTGGCGTCGATCGTCCTGCCGGAACAAGCGCCCCCTCCGAACGTCTCGTCCTCTTCGTCGCAGATGGCCTGCGCGCCGATAAGGCCTTCCAGGCCTTCCCCGATCCCTCCCCCGAAAACCGCGCCGAACCGTCCGACGAGCTCATCCGCCTGTCGCCCTTTATTCGCTCCAAGGTCCTGGAGCAAGGCACCTTTGGCGTGTCGCATACCCGTGTCCCCACCGAGTCGCGGCCAGGCCATGTTGCCCTCATTGCGGGCCTGTACGAGGACGTCTCGGCCGTGACGACGGGGTGGCAGTTGAACCCGGTCAATTTTGACAGTGTGTTCAACCGTAGCCGACACACGTGGAGCTGGGGCAGTCCCGATATCCTGCCTATGTTCAAGGAGGGGGCGGAGCCTGGCCGTGTGGATGCGGACTCGTACGGCGAAGAGGCGGAGGACTTCAATGCCGATGCGACGTACCTGGATACATGGGTATTTGACAAGGTGCACGAACTCTTTGAGTCTGCAAAGACCGATCCGGAGCTTGAGCGGAAGCTGCGCCAAGATAAATTAGTTTTCTTTCTGCACCTGCTGGGCCTGGATACCACCGGTCACGGATACCGACCGTATTCCAAGGAATACCTGCACAATATCAAAGTGGTGGATCACGGCGTTCAGGCAGTCACTAAGCTGGTAGAGGACTTCTACGGTGATGGCAAGACTTCTTTCATCTTCACTGCGGATCATGGTATGAGCGATTTGGGCAGTCATGGTGACGGCCACCCCGATAATACGCGGACCCCTCTTGTTGCATGGGGTTCTGGTGTCGCACAGCCTCTGACCACTAACACGGGCATTGCGCCTGGACATGAGGATGGATTCTCGTCGGACTGGGGATTTGATCATGTCCATCGCCATGACGTGGCACAGGCAGATGTGGCTGCCCTGATGGCCTATCTGGTTGGTGTTGACTACCCTGTTAACTCCGTGGGCCAACTGCCCCTGGACTATCTTGATGCCAGCCCCAAGGGAAAAGGCACAGGCCGCCCTGGCCAACACACGGGGTGTATTGGAGATGTACCGTGTCAAGGAGGAGCAGAAGCGGTCCGCGGTGCTTCGATATGTGCCCTTCGAGCCTCTCTCCGGTGACGGCGAGACCTCCATTGAAGGCCGCTTTGCCAACCTGGAGGCGCTCATTTCCAACGGAGCCTACGAGGAGTCGATTGCCCTGTCATCCGAATTGCTGGCTGCCGGTCTCGAGGGCCTTCGCTATCTGCAAACATATGACTGGCTGTTCCTGCGGACTATTGTCTCTCTTGGATACCTGGGCTGGATTGCGTATGCTCTCACTACGGTTATTGATCTGCACGTTTTGCATGGAACCTCCGACTCCCACCGGACCACCGCCAGCATCTCACTCTTCTCGTCGATCCTGGTGGCACTATTCTCTGTGTTCCTGTACCAGGGATCTTCATGGCGCTACTACTTCTATGGATTCTTCCCTGTTTATTTCTGGGAGGAAGTCTTTGCGCGCCGCAAGGCCTTGACTGCTGGCCGGGAGATTGTCCTGGGCCATGTTCGCTCTTTCTCTGGATACCTGAGCTTTGGAGTACAGCTGGTGGCATTCGTCGGTGTTTTGGAAGCATTGGTAAGTTTTCTACTCGTCAACTAGAAATTATCCATACTCATCCTCTCCAGGTCCAATCCTATTTTCATCGAGAAATCTTCACTGTTTGCTTTGGACTGGCTGCCTTCTGGCCTCTCGCCTATGGATTTAAATTCATTTACGCTCATCTGTACTTGAACGCTACCTGGGCACTTGGATGTCTTTTGATGAGTACCTTTACTCTGCTGCCAGTCGTCAAGGTCGAGGATCTCACTACTATTACCTACGGAGGACTTCTCATGTTTTTGACTGGTGTTCTATATCTTCTGTTCGAGGATACTATTCTTGGCCGTGGCAGCTCTCAATCGCGGACCAATAAGGTCGGGTCACGAATTATCATGGGCTTCCAGGTAGGCATGGTTCTTCTTGCCGTGATTGTCACCCGGTCAAGTGTCACATCTCTCCAGGCCCGCGAAGGCCTACCATTTGGCAATCAAGTGGTCGGATGGTTTGTCCTGGTAGCCTCTGTCACTCTGCCATTCATCCACCGACTATATCCAGACAGCCACTACCTCCACCGCCTGATGATCATCTTCCTGACCTTCTCCCCGGTGTTTGTTATTCTCACCATCTCCTGGGAGGGCCTATTCTACTTGGTCTTCTGCATGACCCTGGTAACCTGGGTCCGCCTGGAACACGCCATCTACGTGCACACAGCCGGATCCAACGCAGTCCAATCCAAGGAGGCAGTTCGCAATGGATCCGCAGCCCCTTCCAAGCCCGCCCCAACAGGCTCCGCGACCGTCGACGGCCTCACCTACCACTACCGAGCCCTCACCCTATCCGACACCCGCGTGGCGCTTTTCTTCTTCTTCCTCCTCCAATCTGCCTTCTTCAGCGTCGGCAACGTCGCCTCCATCTCCACTTTCGCCCTCGACAGCGTCCGCCGCCTAATCCCCGTCTTCAACCCCTTCACGCAAGGCGCCCTCCTAATCGTGCAAATCCTCATTCCATTCGCCATCATTAGCGCGAATCTAGGCATCCTCAACCGCCGCCTGGAAGTCGCGCCCAGCGCCCTCTTCATGATCGTCATGTCTATCTCGGATGTCATGACCCTGAACTTCTTCTATATGGTCCGGGACGAAGGGTCTTGGCTCGACATCGGCATGACCATAAGCCACTTTTTCATTGCCAGTCTACTGTGCACGTTCGTTGCGGGCCTGGAATTTCTCAGCGAGCTCTTTGTTAGTGGCGTTGATTTTGGGCCTGCGGCGACCGCGCTTGGGTCTGCGGTGGCGCAGGCTGTGAATGAGACGGTGGATTGTGGCCATGAGTCTTTGAAAGAACCTAAGAATGGCAAGAAGAGCCGTTCGCGGAAGGGAAGGAAGGGGCAGTAGCCCAAACCGATGTTTTTAATAATTTGTCCTTTTGTATTTCAGGTCTCTAGCCACCTGTTAATAGCATGAGATCTGATGACCACCCTCCTACACCCAGGCAGAACATTGATGTAGTGTCTGTACTTATCTACTAGTAGTGGTATATGTAGTGCTCTAGTGTACTGTGGCTTCTCCACCAAGTACTAGTAAATCACAGGACCGCTGAAACAAACCTTAACAAGCGATCACCAAGCAGTACGTACGCTCAGCACCAGCTAGCTCCGCGATCCCCTGGAGATCCATCTCATCGCCACCAAAACCAGCCTAAGGGTAACCCACTCCACGCTACCGTAACGCCCACCCGCCCAGCCAAGAAGCCAGCAGCAGAATCCCGAGAAATCGGACACTACGTAGCCTCCGGTCCGGGATTAAGCGCGAGTATGAACTGGGCCCCGTGGAGTTTTGCCCGCTGTACCATCCTAGAGGCTAATGGCTGGGTTGTTAGGGCTAGAACGAAGGAATGAGACAATCCAGCTGGCGAACTGACCGTCGCGTGCCGGGCAGATCCGTTGCTGAAGCTAGCGCTGACATCTCCACTACAGTAGTAGGGTTGTGGTGTTGGATCTACCAGTGGTATTAATATTGATCCTTCTGGGCTGATCGATGTACTAGTGGATGAGTTGCAATATGCGGTCGCTGATTGGACAGAAGGCTGTATGTGGGGCATAGAGATACCGAGGCATCACAAGCTCCGCACAGCTTCATCGCCATGGCTCTTTGCACTTTGCAGAGGGGAGAATACGGAGTCGACGATAATCAGGTTGGAGGAATCTCGTCAGTTGGCCCCTTGCATCCCCACAATTCATCTCCCCGTCTTTCCGTCCCCGCATCCTGAGAAGTCTATTGCCAGATCCTGGTACGGTGCGTGGTGCGTGGTGGGAGTTTAATACTACTAGGAATGATCTGGGGGTATTTGGGGTATTATGGACGTTGTGGATTGACACTACTATCTGATGCAATATGTGATGCTCAAGGTACTACGCAGTACTGGGTTAGTGCGTTTTAGTAGTTTGCCTGCTCACTGTGGGTGCATCACGAGTCTAGATCTATATCGCGCCAGGTGACACCGCATATGTCCGGCGTGCATCGAGGGCCGCTGAAGAATCAAACCCCTAGTATTTTCCCACTATATCTATAATATTTGTACTCGCATGCAGGACCTCGTGCAGTATGGAAGGTACTCGTGGAAGCACATCAAAAATGACATGATCAAATCTGCCTACATCCGCGCCTTTCCGCGATCCTTACTGAGACCACCACCTCTACAATCTCATCTACTTACTACTGTATAGTAGATAGTGATACGCTGATTTCAGCGTATTGGAATTCTGCTGTTCCCAAGTTCCTCTGCACGGATCACCCGACAACCCTGATCTAATCTACTGCTGTCATGCCCGTCACAGCCGGCACGTTTCTTCCAAATTGGGGCCGGGGGTGAGGCTGATTGGTGGTATTTCCACGCCCACCCACTACAATTATAGCGGATGCCTGCCCTCGTCAGCCACCTTGCCTCAGCAGAGTGTGCCCTAGTGTAGTATGTATATTTGTCTGCACCTACCCCAAAGTAGCGCCGTCTCCAGCGGTAGTCTCGCGACCGGAGCCTCCTCGGCGATTCCACTGACCTGGTTTTGGGTGCCTCCACTCGCTCTCCCTCCGTCGATCACTCCAGGACCCGAGCGGGTCGGATGCCTGGTGCAGTGCATTGCCCCGAGTCCTGGTCAGCATCCTTGGAACGCGCAATTGGGGTTCGGTGGAGGGGTCCTTGGGATAGGGAGAGCAGTCGGGGGAGGAGGTTGCACCGGGATGTTGGACAGGATGGAATTTCCAGTGGTTGGTCTTTGCATTGTGGGAAGGGGAACTGGACCTTTCCAAGGTTGGGACGAGTAACGGTCGTTGTGGGTTGGTCTGGATGTCCTTTTCTGGGACGTTAGCGTTTGAGATGGAAACTGCAGTGTTGGGATGAGTTCATTGAGAGGGAGGGAAAGAGTAGAAAGAAGAGAATGAAATAGAATGAAGAGTGTTTGTATTCAATCAGAGATGCTTGTGTATGCCAAGTATGATGCTGATTGCTGTTCTGATGCTGCGGAAATCAGGGTGCTCCTGTTGGTCCCCCACACACCCAGTCTGGATTGTGGGCGGAAGTCCGTGACCTCAGTTTCTCTCCGCCGGTATTGCCACATCCTCTCCATCCTCCTCCCCATCCTCTTTCCTTCCACCGCGACGCAGTTCCGGTACTTTTTCTTCCCTGATCGCGTGGCGTCCCTATTTGCGTCCCCCCTTTCCATCCGAAGCCTTCCTGCCTTACCGACTATATCATTCCTCACCCACCCCCGACCATCGCGACCTCCCCCGCTTGAACTGCCTCCTCGTCTTTGATGGATGGGGACGTGGCCATGAGCACTACGATCGAATCCCAAGGCGATACCGCGGCCACCCATCCCAGTCCGGCCCCTAGCGCCGCCGGCTCGACAGGCACCTCCGGCATCACAGTGCGCAACGGCCCCGGTGGCCAGCCAGTCAGTTTCAGAAGGTGAGTCGACTCGACACTCGTCAGCATTAGCATGGGGTGGACGCGCGAACACGATACAATGTGGGCCTCGAGGATTCCCAGACAGACTCCTAGTCAAATATCTGCGGGATGTTCTGAATGCGCGGCGGCGACAGACCCCCAGTCCAGTCGAGTCGGCCTGGGAAGAGGGGAAAGGAGCGAGAGTTTCGCAGGATTTTCACCCCATGTCCATCCCTGAAAATGCAGAGAGGCGAAAAAGAAAAGTTTCGTGGTCGGCATACTGATTCGTTTTATCTAATTCTAGACAACGTGCATCACGCGCGTGCGAGGTACGTCCTTTTGCCCTTCAAGGGAGGGGGAAGACGCGAGCTGGTGAGAGCCGAGGCTGCCTTTGTGCCTCGGTCCCTCCTTATCGCGATGCATCAACCCAGTTGAACCACCATAAGCCCAGACCCCATTGCAATAGTCCGTCGCTAACAAATGCTTGTTTCATTAACAGACCTGCCATGCTCGTAAGGTGAGTAAATTCTCCGATCCGAATATCCCGGTCGGGTACCTCATTGTCGCTGGCGCTAACCACTTTGTGACGTTAGGTTCGATGTGATGCCGCCAGCCTAGGCGTTCCCTGCACAAACTGCGTCGCCTTCTCGATTGAATGCAAGATCCCGACCCCCAAACGCAAGAAGAACTCCAGCAAGCCCAAAGACGACAGTCGGTATGTCGACAGCCCGCCCCACACCGCCTCCGCCCTCGTCGACGCAGCGGTTGCTCACTTTCGCCCCGACAGCACCGAGGAACCCGTTGGCACCGGCTCCTCCGAGGGTGTTCGTGCTGGACAATCGGACTCGGATGAAAAAGATGATACGTTTGGATACCGGAAGAGCCGCATGGCCGTCGATGGCATGCCCGTCACCTCTCTGACCGAGTCGGAGGCGGCCCAACAGGCGTCGACGGATAGCGCCTATGCGCAGTTCATGAAGCCCAAGTTTGCGCGGGCTCCGATTAAAGAAGCGGGTCGTGTGGCGTATCTGGGAGAATCATCGAACCTGTCTCTTCTGGTCCAGGACCGACATGGAACAACAGATGTCGTACACTATCCGCTGCCACCGAATATCCGCGGATCGCGGGCGCGATTGACGGACCTTGATAACCTGGAAATCGACATCCTTCACCAGCGTGGCGCCTTCCTGCTGCCCCCGAAACCCCTATGTGATGAACTCGTCGATGCCTATTTCAAATGGGTTGCCCCTGTCGTCCCCATCATCAACCGCAGCCGCTTTATGCGTCATTATCGGGACCCCAAGAACCCGCCGTCGCTGCTCCTGCTGCAGGCGATCTTGCTGGCCGGATCCCGGGTCTGCACTAACCCGCAGTTGATGGATGCGAATGGCTCGACCACCCCGGCCGCGATGACCTTCTACAAACGTGCCAAGGCGTTGTACGATGCCAACTACGAGGATGACCGTGTGACGATCGTGCAAGCCTTGGTGCTACTAGGCTGGTACTGGGAAGGCCCTGAGGGTGAGTGTATTATCTGAACTCTCAAGACCTTTACTAACGCAGAACTTGATAGATGTGACAAAGAACGTGTTCTACTGGACCCGGGTTGCCATGGTCGTGGCACAGGGCTCGGGTATGCACCGTAGCGTGGAAACTTCACAACTCAACAAGCCCGACAAGAGACTGTGGAAGCGTATTTGGTGGACTCTGTTTACTCGCGATCGCTCTGTGGCAGTTGCACTGGGACGGCCCATTGGGATCAACACGGATGACTCGGACGTGCCCATGGTGACCGAAGACGACTTTATCGAAGATGAGCTTGATACGCCGGCCGAATATCCGCCCGACACAGTGCATGTGCAGTTCTTTTTGCAATACGTCAAGCTCTGCGAGATTATGGGGCTGGTACTGTCCCAGCAATACTCGGTGGCGTCCAAGTCTCGTCGGATGAATGCGATGGATCTCACCCACTCTGATATGGCGTTGGCCGATTGGCTTCAAAATTGTCCCAAGGAGGTGTGCTGGCAGCGATCTCGGCACCACTTCTGGGCCGCCTTGCTTCATTCCAACTACTACACCACTCTTTGTCTGCTACACCGAGCCCACATGCCGCCTGCGTCGTCGGCGCCGAATAGCTATCGAGTCGAGGAGATGGCCTACCCATCTCGGACGATTGCCTTCCAGGCTGCGGGTATGATGACTTCCATTGTCGAGGCTCTCCAGGCTCACAATGAGATTCGATACACCCCGGCCTTTATCGTGTACAGCTTGTTCTCCGCCCTGATCATGCACGTTTACCAGATGCGTTCCTCGGTTCCGTCGATCGTGGCGACTTGCCAGGAAAGAATCCATGTTTGCATGACGGCCCTGAAGGACGTTTCCAAGGTCTGGCTGGTAGCTAAGATGGTACACACCCTATTCGACTCCATCCTCGGCAACAAGGTGCTGGAAGAACGACTACAGAAGGCCGCTGGCAAGCGACACCACCGTCGACCACACGAGAATGCGAACGCCAACCCCAACGCAGGCCCCGCGAAGAGGCCCGACCCGCCGAAGCGCAAGTTCGACGATATGGATCTTCCCCTGCCCAACGGTGGTCCTACACCTCCGGTCTCATATGAGCGATCTCGTCCCCAGACACCGGCTGTGACCCCATCCCGGGAACTGAACCAGCCTCCTCTGGGCCAGCAATCGCCCAACGCCCCCCGTGGACCCCACGACCCCACGGCCGGCCCATCCAACTCCCGGAGCAACACTCGTCCTACCACCCCCTTCAACGCCCAGTTCTCCCTCCCCGCCACGCCTCCCGACTTCTTCCTCGTGACCCGTACCTCGCCCAATCTCTCGCCCTCGCTCTGGGAGAATTTCCAACCCGACCAGTTGTTCCCCGACGGCACCGCCATCTTCCCCGAACTGACCTCTCCACCCCCGGCGACCGTCGACCCGCAACTGCAGATACCATCGAACCTCCAGGCCCCTAATCTGGGCCAGCGGCCGATGATGGGCGCGCAGCCGCAGCCGATTCCCGGCGGACGCAGCATGTCTGTTTCCCAGGGCAGTCCGCAGATGATGCATGGTATTCCAGGTAGTATGGGGATGCAGGCACCCCATGGATCGCAGGCATTTGGCATAGATGCGGGCCAGTCGTGGCCGATGCAGGGTCTTGATGGGACCATGAGCGGGGCGGCGCTGGACGCTGCCAGTCAGGACGATAACTGGAGTAGCAGCTCGCGTAGTGGACCGACTGCGCCGACGACCTTGAACGTGGAAGACTGGTATGTTTCCCCCGACGCCGGAAGAAGACTTATGTACTGATCTATATCTAGGTTCCAATTCTTCGGTATCAATGGCGGCTTTGGTGATCTGGCTGCTTAAGAATTTTCTCCGTTGGACCTGATGTCTCTTTCTATCATAATATAATCCCGTCATGGTACATAGTTTGGTTGTTTGCTAGCTGCTCAAAACGGAATGCTGGCGTTTACGGTGTGGCGGTCTGGAGCGGATCTTCTTGTACTCTCTATAACTTGCTAAATGGAGTCATTGAACATTTTATCCAAATCCTCAGATCTACATAGCCATTTAACTTATAGTAGTTTCACCCTGAAGATCTATTCATCCCATGTTAATAATAGTAATAACAGGATCAATGTAGATCAACTCGACTCCGATGAAAACATTCCCAATCGGGCCTAGCGGATGACGAAATCGCAAAGGCCCGCGATTCGCCAATCAGCGGCCCGCCATAGCGGAGTCACGACTGTCCGGGGGAATTTGAAGGAGTCACTCCAGCATATTTTATTCTATCGCCATTCCACCTCTCCTCTCTTCCCCATATCCCATTGCTTTCGATTCGTGGTGGCCTCCTCGTTGCATCGTCCTCCCTCCCGCACCCACTACCTCCGTCCTCTCATCCAAACTCTAGGACTTCACATACCCCGCTTTAGCGATGTCGGCGTCGGGATCCGGAGCGCCCACCGCGGCGTCGGGTTCGAGCTCTGCGAAGAAGGCATTCCCCTCCGTGGACCTCCAAGGCAATGACCTGCCTCCATCGCCCGCCCCGTCTAGCCCCCACGGCGGCCGCCGGTACAACATTGCCACCGAGTTGGTCTTCACCGAGGGAAGTGACCAGTACAATGCGAGCAGCGTGCCGATCTACCAGGTAAGGGAAAGGATATGTGCAGCATGCCTACAGCATTGCACTCAATCCGTATACATTATGACAGAAACACTGACCGCTTGTGTAGAGTGCCACTTTCAAGCAGACCTCCGGCAGCGGTGGTGGAGAGTATGACTATACACGGTCCGGTAACCCGACCCGTACCCACCTCGAGCGACACCTCGCGAAGATCATGTCGGCGCAGCGCGCGCTGGTAGTGTCGTCCGGCATGGCTGCGCTGGACGTGATTACTCGGCTGTTGCGACCTGGCGATGAGGTTGTCACCGGCGACGATTTGTACGGCGGTACCAACCGTCTGCTGAAGTATCTCTCGACCAACGGCGGTATCATTGTGCACCACGTCGACACGACACAGCCCGAAAAGGTCTTTGACGTGCTGAGCTCCAAGACCGCCATGGTCCTCCTCGAGACGCCCACCAACCCGCTCATCAAGATCGTCGACATCGGCCGCATCGCCACAGCCGCCCACGAAGCCAACCCGAACTGCCTGGTCTCCGTGGACAACACCATGCTCTCGCCTCTCCTCCTGAACCCGCTCGACCTGGGCGCGGACATCGTCTACGAGTCCGGCACCAAGTATCTCTCCGGCCACCACGACCTGATGGCCGGCGTGATCGCGGTCAACGACCTTTCCCTCGGCGAACGCCTGTACTTCCCGATCAATGCCTCGGGCTGCGGTCTCTCGCCCTTCGACTCATGGCTCCTGCTGCGCGGCGTCAAGACGCTGAAGGTACGCATGGACCAGCAACAGAGCAACGCGCAGCGCATCGCGGAGTTCCTCGAGTCCCACGGCTTCAAGGTGCGGTACCCGGGTCTGCGCTCGCACCCGCAATACGAGCTGCACAACTCGATGGCCCGCGGCGCCGGCGCCGTGCTGTCCTTTGAGACGGGCGATGTGAATGTCAGCGAGCGGATCGTTGAGAGCGCGAAGATTTGGGCCATTAGTGTCAGCTTCGGCTGTGTAAATAGTCTGATCAGTATGCCGTGCCGCATGAGTCACGCCAGCATTGATGCGAAGACCCGCGCGGAGCGCGATTTCCCGGAGGACTTGATCCGGTTGTGTGTTGGTATAGAGGATGTGGATGATCTCATTGATGATCTGCGACGAGCAGTAAGTTTTATCTTTGCAGTCTCTGGCGCAACAAATCCCTCTGCTAACTTTATTTCCAGCTCGTGCAAGCCGGCGCAGTGAATGTGACGCTGGATGGATTCCAGGCGACCTCGGCGTAGATTTATTTAGGTATTACACTAGGGTGGTAGATGACTTGATTTCTGACATGTTTATACGGGCGTTGGGGCTGAAAACCATACCATCTCAATATTGATACATTTGCATTTCCCCATGTGGTCGTGAAACGCGTTGTAGTTCGTTTATCCGGCAGTCTGGGCCGGCATCGGAGACCCTCCCGAGCGCCCGAGCGCCCGGGCCTTTCTCGTCCGAACCCCGAGCTCGCGATTCAAAAGATAGCGCCCTGTCATCTTTGTAATTGTTCTTTCTCCATTCGGCCCATTCACTACCGTCACTCATTCACTGCTAGAACCATCTGCATAAGGTCGACTTAGTGGCAGCATATCCGGCCCCTTGAATGCGCCGTGACCTCTCTATCTCCCGGGCTAGTCCTTTTCCCGAGTATGAATCGCGATGCAATCGCGCAGGACCCGTTAACAATGGCTACCGTTTCTGAACACCCTGTTGCGCCTGCGTGCGCGCAAAAGCCCGCACCTGCCCCGGTCCCGGCGGGGTCGATGTCGACGTGGAATACCAAGGATCTGAGTTTACGGCTCGGCGTTGATGTCGCGAGTGCTGCGACTGCTGGCGCGCTGACATGTCCGCTTATCACGATTATTGACCAGTGAGTTTACCCAAGCGTGCAATAAAGCAAGCTCCTATTCGAGGCGTCTTCTCGAGAAAGAAAAAAAGCTAATACGCTCCGCTAGAGCAATCATCGAAAAGGCCTCAAAAGGCTTCCCAATCCAAACAACAATAACCACCTGCCTAAAGTCAATGCTCGCGAAACCATCCGCCTTCTTCCTCTCAACCCCCTTCCTCCTCATCTACACCCTCTACAGCTCAACCTACCTAACCGCCAACGCAATTGACACCCTCTCCTCCACCCTCCGCAACAAACCCTACGACACCGTCTTCGCCGGCCCACTCAAATTCATCTCGACAACAACTGTCAATATGGCTATCTGCGTCTACAAAGACGCGCGATTCGCAAGGATCTTTGGCGCCTCGCCTCCTCCTCAGCAGTTGCAGGGCCGACAACCCATTCCTTCAAAACACCATACCCTCCGCCGCCCTGCGCCGACCCCAACACCGACAATTCCAAAAACAAGCTACACTCTCTTCTGCCTCCGCGACAGCGTCACAATCTTTGCCTCCTTCAACGTCCCCCCGCTGCTGGCCCCCAGCGTGCCCGACTTCATGGCCTCGACGCCGGCGGCTAAGGCGGCTGTCGCGCAGTTCGCTTGTCCTGCGCTGATGCAGTTTGCTTCGACGCCGATGCATCTGCTTGGTCTGGATTTGTATAATCGTCAGCCGGTTGGCGGGTTGCATTGGAGTGAGCGCGTTGCACGGATTCGGAGGGATTATGTCCCGTCCTGCTTTGCGCGTATGGGGAAGATCGTACCTGCTTATGGTGTTGGCGGTGTTGCGAATGTGCGTATGAGGCATTGGCTTATGGAGAAGGTTGAGCGACGTTAGCTGCGTGACTTGTACTGCGGTTTTCCAAGTCGACTGGCAGTCTTTGCTATTTGGTGCGGTGTAGTTGCTTCGACCGCGGTGATTCTGGTTATGACCTGATGACCATTTGATATCTCATCTCCACTCTGATTTCGGTTTGGCATGTTTCTGATGGCGTTGATTTGGCTGGTCTCGCTTTTTATTTCGGGACATATTGCATCTCTCTCATGGGCTGGCGTTTTTTGTTTTCATTTTTATTCTTTATTCTTATTTGATATTTTTATTTTTCGCGAAAGTACAGTTGTACTTTTAGTTGCGTTAATATTTAGACTGATAGATTGTGATTTATGGATCTGGATCTATGACGGTGGTTAATATCATCATATCATTATCATTATTTTTATCCAATTTTTCTTTTCATCCAAAGTTATACCAGAATTATATGCTGTGGGGTAGATCACAATCAAGCTTTTGTGGAGGTCTGGTGCTTCAGTGTGGTCTAGACCCTCGAGACTAGACTACACTTGGGAGAAATAGAAGCAGGCAAACTAATCCTTAGCAAGCACCGAAGCGATGCATTGTAGAATGATTTACTCAAACTAACCAGACAAATACCAGAAGAATAAAAATAGTATTACATTAAAAACTAAAAGTATACAAAGAAAAGATAGCGCCGCCGCGCTCGATATCAAACCAGCAGATACCGAATTAAGGCACGAGAAGATCGTACCAGGGTAGAAATAAGAAAATCGAAATCGAAATCACCACCTGTATCAAACCATTAGCACTGACACATCACCATCTCCCAGGCGAAGAACTCACGCAAAAGGCTCCGAATGCAAATAAACCTCTTCAACATCGCCCCTCAACGCGCGTGCCTGCGCAAGCGCAGCCGCATTCCGGGTATCATGTAGCATACTAGCAGGCCCACAAACCAACACGCCAATCCTTAACCTGTGCCCCAAAAGCTCAGCCTGCATCCCGGCAACACCAACAGTCCGTTCCAGCAAGCCGGGGATATCAGGCCTGGCATCCCGGTGCACGTTAAGGCTGAACATGCCCGTTGTTGTAATTTCCGCGGGCAGCTTCTCTTCTTTCTCGATGTCTTCAACGTCTCGCATGGACCCTCGTCCCGAGTCAACGGTATTCGTCGATTGAGACGTCATCGGTCGAGAAGTGATATGCACCGAGACGGATGTTTCGTACCCGTGCTCCGTATCCGAGAGTAACTCTGTCGAATGCGAGAGTCTCGACTCGATTTCCTGTACATACCAATCCGCCATTGAGCGGTCTCGTGTCGAGAATATTACCTGTAGATTCCGTCGTCCTTGGACGCCCTTCCCGCTAGTCGTTAGACCCGTTAGGCGAAGCGCTTCATCGACCATGGCTAGCGAGAACCCACCGCCGGACCCACCGGCAATGACGATGATAGTATCGAAGCGGCAGAGGTGGTATGTGCTGACGCCGCCATACGGACCCTCGATGAGAATCTTCTTCTTACAGCCGGGCCGTTGGCGGGCGAGGGAGGCCAGTCGGGCCGTTACGCCTTTCCGGGGCTTGATGTAGAAGATTAGTTCGGAGGCTTTGCCTTCTTCGTCGGGGTCCCGGCAGACGGAGGAGATGGTGAATGGGTGCGCGGTGAGCAGGTGGAGGTCGGAAGTGATGAAGCGGACGAAAACGTGTTGGCCTGGTGTCCATTTTACGATTGTGGGCACGGCGACTCGGACTAGCCCGCTGGGGAGTTGCTCGAGGGTTGCGGTGTGCAGGCCGTGGAGGAGGTAGGTGCGGATGTGGGCTGCCGCTAGGGAGGTTAGGTAGAGCGCGCCGGAGGCGATGAAGTAGTCCCAGGAGGAGAGACGGAAGTCGCAGTGCAGGAAGAAGAAGACGACGAAGATTAGGGCTGCGATTAAGTGGGTTGCTTTGAAGAACTCGTAGAAGCGGTTTCTACGCGGTGTTAGCTGGAAACCAGTTTGCATATAGGTAGATGGATGATACGCACCGGATGGCTGGCAGGGACATGACGGTGAGATAGGTCTGTGAGAGAAGAGCGGGTATACCCGTCCAGTAGACCACACTCGTCTTCCACTGCTTCACCATGTCGCCTTTCCATATGTGGAAAATGATGTAGGGAAAGGTGTGAACGAGCGCCAGGACGAACATGGCGTAGCTGGTCCAGTGGTGGAAGACTTGGAGTTTCTCTGGGGGAACGCCCGTCAAGGCCGATATCATATTGGCTTTGAGGCTCAGAGCCCTAAAAAGGGGTTAGCAATATCCATCGGATCTCATCTGATAATCCAGGCACATACAGTACGAACGGCAGCAAGGCCAGGGCCATCCAGCCGGCGCGCGTGGCAATTGGCGGGCTGCTTCCATAGTTGGCATCGGTAGGCCAGTAATAAGGTTTCGGACCGAGAGTCATGGCTGCAAATAGCTGTTAGTATTATCATTCACAATTATCTGATAACCCCCTTGATCAACAGGACAGATCCTACATACCAAAGAAGAAAACAACACCGACCAGGCCCAGGGCCACGACGCCGAGAGACGGAGACCAGTATCGGAAGACGGGGATGCGATAGCCGCGGTAGGCCATGTATCGCGAGGCGGAGGTGGTGAGGCGGTAGATGCGCGTGCGCTTGATCCGGTCAGGGGCATAGTGGACGATGAAGTTGGAGATGGCGAAGACGGCGATGATGGCGCAGCAGAGGTAGACTGTGTTTAGAGCGTAGACATGGTCTGCTTCGTACCTATCAGATAAAAAGTTAACACAGATACAAACATTGGACACAAGCACGGCAAGAGCATAAAACACGCAGTGCTTCTGAGAAGTGCGGCTCACCAGTATCGCCATCGACTATTCCGAAACGCACACTGCTCCGGCGATAGCTTGCATTTGTCTGCGCGCGAGGACTGCAGCTGGACCGGTTGATCCAGCCAGGGCACGGTGAACCGGTGCATGTCCATCTTCATGTCCATTAAGATCAAGACAACTCACGATCACGTCTTCCGAGGGTTCGACATCAACAACGGAGAAGGCGGCTTTGTTATCAGCCGGGCGGGGGGCTTAATTCATCATGACTGATTTCGTGGTGCACTGTCGCTGGGGAGGTTGCATAGATGAAAACGGGGCGGGTGCGAACCAGGGGACAGACATACTTGAGCTTGCTCCCGGCATGTGCCCCTTTCTCTTCACTATAGAGTACATCGAATACTGTCTTACATTGACATAATTTAGGAAACGGAGAATATTGAATTGAATAAAATACGAAATGTGATCCTGCTATCTTTTAATTATTACCTAGTTACTCGTAGATCGTATTGTTCTCGCGATCGAACATATTGCATACAGCACTAGCGCAGGTCGGCTCTGCAGGCGGCTAGCGTGAGCACATTTGAGCGCGATCGCCGGTGGCCCGCAGGAGATGCCTAGTACTACTCTGTACTAGTAGAGTAGGTACAGCAGTACTCGACTTCACCATTACTCGATCATTTGCACTTTACTAAACTCACGTTTGTCACTCGCTACTAACACTGTAGATAATGAGGACAATACTGAATGACGTCGCATGCAACGTGCCCCTCCCCCGGAAAACCGGCCAGATCTTGGTCCAACTGTCTAGCGTTTCATGCGGATCCACCGGCGCGATCGATGAGCTAATTGACCTGATGTATTCCGTATTCCGTATATACAGATAAAAATTGAAAGAAAAAGTAGTCCTAGAAGGGAAGTGCCGAATCGGGCTAGCGCATCACATGGCCCGGCAACCCTACATTCTGGTCATCCCAACACATCACCAACGTTCAGGCAGAACATTTCGGTCTTAATCAAGGGGCACCGCCGACACCGAAACCGTCGCCTGCGACACCTTAACCGGCTCAATAGCCTCATTTCCGATCCCATACATTTTCATCGCGGTGTGTCCGCCACGAACGGAGTCCGCCTCCACCCCACGCGCCCGCAGCACGCTCGTCGCCACGCGTGCCGTGTCCCCATCATAGCAGACGACCAAAACGTGCGTCGAACCCAGCTCACTGGCACGCACCAGGCGGTCCATCACCGCCTCCAGCTCCACCCACTGCGCCTCCAGCACGCCCGGGTCCGAAAACGGCGATGGCGTCCCCGGCCCCAGGCTGCGCAGCGGCACATTCATTGAGCCGGGCAGATGCCACGCGAGGAAATCCGGTTCCTGTCGCAGGTCCAGGACCCGGGCTTGTGGCTTCAGGGTGATTTCGTGCAGAGGCGTTTGAGCTAGGGACCGCGGTGATCCGTAGATATCTGGGAGCACGTCCAGGGCGACGCGTTCCCAGGCTTCATCGTAGCGGTGGAGATCGACCTTCGTCAGGCGCTGCGGGGATCGTCAGTTCAACTGTAAAGCTGGGGTTTCATTGATGTGGAGAGAACACGTCATGCCGACGGCGTTCTGGAATCTTACCTCATTGCGGATGGGCGGGAATTGCTCCGTTCCAAGCTTCTGGAAGTACTCGCTGATATACTGGTACGGCAGATCACAGCACAGGAACACGCAGTGAACTAGACCGTCCGGCCCCGCCAGTTCAGAAATTGTACCTTGCTTCTTTCGCTTTGACAGCATCTGGAAGAGACCCTGCAGATTGAATCCGGACGACGGGCCACAAACCAAACCCTCCCGGCACAACTGCAGGGAAAGTGTATACGATTCCGACGACCCGACCTCCTCAATGTCGTCTACAGCTTCTTTCCAGGGAAACTCGACCGGCCGCATCAGCGCAAAGGACCGCGGGCCTGGCACCCGGTCTCCGGGCGCGGTGCACACGCCCAGCCGCATGACAGACGGCTTGACGCTCTTGAAGTACGTCCCGAGGCCGGTCATGGTGCCGGAGGTGCCCATGCCGGCGCAAAGGACGTTGATCTCGGGGAGTTGTTTGTAGATTTGTGGCCCGGTCCAGCGGATGTGCGATTGCCAGTTTTTGTCGTTTTCGTATTGATTGGGGTTGACGATGTCGTCGGATTCCATGGCCATGCGTCGGGCGTTTTGGATACCGCCTCGGCTATCGATAGGCTCGGGTTGCGAGGGCCCGCCGAAGAGCGTGATGTTCAGTCCGAAGAATTGCATTAGTCGCAGCTTGGCGTCGCTGGTTTTGTTGCTGAGGAAGGCGCGGGTGTCGTTGACGCCGTGCATTACCCGCGCGATCATGGACATGGAAATGACTGTAGACCCCGAACTGTATTCGATGATGGTGTTGGTTTTGTTGGGCTCTACGCTGGATTCGAGCATGTTAAGTGCTGGTGCTACTGTGTCAGTCTTTATCTCGGTTTGTAGTGTTTTGCAACGAAGGTCTCACCTGGCATGCTTTTCACGTTGTTGGCCGGGTGCATGGTCATCATCTTGGCATATATCCGGATACCGTCATGATAAAACGGATTGAGATGCTCGGGCAATTCTACCAGCGGCAGCGGTGGCTGGCAGTCTGGATCGAAGTATTTCTTCAACGAATCCGTGCCGAAGTAGACATTCTTCTCGTTGGCCATTGTCTTGGGTGCAGGTGGGGGAGGGACCGGAACAGAATCAGAGGATTGGAGCGTACTACCACCCACGCCCATAGTCGAGCGGGAAGGACAATGACAGGAGGTAAGAGGGCCGATGTGAATTGAATGAACTGATAACACTTGAGAACAAGGGGACCACCGCCAGCATATATACTCGCCCGGTGCCCTGATCCCGCGGGGACCCTCTGCCCTATGCGTCAGCTTGGCACCCGAAGGGTACCAACTATACCTCGGAATACTACTAGTAATTTGGAGTCATCTTCTGAGGAAATGGCACAAAAAGGCGCAAAGGCGCTCGATCATCGGGTCCACTGTGTACAAAACCAGTCAGATGAGGGGTGAGACAAATCATTCCGCGGACGCTGCAAGCGCCGAAATTTATCTGGAAATACTCGTACCCTTTCCAGGGAAGAGACTACCAGTAGGAAGTGGATAATATTACTCATGGATCAGCCTGAGGTGGGATAGATTGCCAAAAAAAAAAAAAAAAAAAAAAAAAAAAGTTGGGGTACCTCAGAGGGTACCTTAGGATGCTTGACTTCGGGGATTTTAGTTTACTGCAGCAAACTCTACTCCTGCAGTACACTACTTCTAATAAGGTACCAAGTACTAACAGGGAGTACTGAAGGGATGTTCCTCGATTACACATCTACCAGTACCAGCACATACCAACTGTCGAACCTGGATCGGGAAATTCGAAAACGGGGATTCGGCGTCCTGGCCCCGCCAGGAATTCTCGCCCGCAGTTCTAGAAGGCGATACCTATATTTACTTACAAGGGAAGAAGAGACAGCAAGGACCTTCTGCAATATCAAGAAATTCCGAGGAAATATATACGGGAGGTCCTCGCGACAGCCCTAAAGTATCTCCACTTGTATTGGTACTCTAGTAGTAGATGTCGGGTACCTTGAGGGTGTTTGAGCAAGTTGTGGACTTTGATCGGCTCCTGTCAGAGCGGCCGCATTTGCGCGGCGATCCCTGCTGTTTCTGCGACCGACTTTTCTGTAATTACTAGTACAAGCCTTCCATGTGGACAAGATCGTTTGTTAGTGTTTATGAATTCTGGTCACCTTAAGACAGAGAGCTAGGGAGAAAGGGAACCAGGACGAATGCAGCTCCCCCTTCCTCCTTCCCAACACTGCACTCTCACACACGCTGGAGTACTGCTCCTATCGCCGCCGTCCACATCAATCGCAATGGCTGCCGGAATGCTGCAAGATCAATCAGGCCACTCGTCCCCGTCCAGCTCTGACGCTGATTTGTCTGACAATGACAAAAATGGGGCCGTACTTTTCAACGAGCAGACTAACTACGTGCCCAAACGAACCATCATCACCGTGAGTACTCTTTCTTTTCTGGCAATAACCTCGGGAGGGAGTTTATGTCGCCTATCGCGACAAAAGAAATCAGATAAGATGAGCTGGCTGACCCCGCTAGATATTCCTGGCCTGTTCCACCGTGGACCTGCTGGCCTTGATGGACCAGACGACCCTCGCTGCAAGTCTGGCTATTATCGGCAATGCGCTGGGTGCGAGTGACCAGACGTCCTGGATTTCTGGCGGCTACTTCGTGTAAGTGAAACTATCCAGCAGATCATGAAGCAGTGTGCTTTCTTCAATTCCGCATGCGCATCCAAGATGGACACACTCGGCCCGTTGTTTATTCCAACTAACATTGACCAGCACCTCAACCTGCTTCCAACTCCTCTACGGCAAACTCTCCGACATCTGGTCACGCAAATACATCCTCTTCATCGGGCTAGCAATCTTCTTCATCGGCTCGCTAGCATCCTCCCTCGCGCAAACCGTCACGCAACTAATCATCTTCCGCGCGCTGACTGGCGTCGGCGGCGGCGGCCTAATGACAGTCGCCCAAATGATCGTCAGCGACGTCGTGCCACTCCGCGAACGAGGAAAGTACCAAGGTATACTCGGCGCCGTCGTCGCCATCGCAAACGGAATCGGCCCCGTCATCGGCGGCGCCCTCGCCTCCATCTCGCACGATTCCTGGCGCTGGATTTTCAGACTCAACCTCCCGCTAACGGCGGTAACGACCCTCTTCGTGCTCTTCTTTATGCCCCTGCGTAAAGTTGAGGGGGACTGGAAGCTTAAGCTGAAGGCCATTGATTTCTTCGGGGCGTTTCTTGCGCTGGGGGGCACGGCAGTGTTGCTGTTGGGCTTGAATTGGGGTGGTGGGGAGTACGCCTGGGACTCGGCGCATGTTGTTGCGACGCTTGTTGTGGGCGTTGTGATTTCTGGCGTTTTTGTGGGATGGCAGTGGAAGGGCGCGAAGGTGCCACTTGTGCCGATGCATATCTTTCGTGGCAGAATTGTTAATGGGGCTTGTTTGACCATGTTTGTTAATGGGTGGAACTTTTTGGTGCAGGTATATTATATTCCGACGTTTTATCAGTTGGTTTTTGGGTACTCGACTGTTAAGGCGGGTGCGATGTTGTTGCCCATTACTTTGATGCAGAGTGAGTAACCCTAAAAGCCAGTGTGTTTTTAAACTAACCGCAATAAAGCCGTCAGCAGCACGCTCTCTGGTCTGGTCGTGCACTGGGTCGGCCGTTATAGAGAGTGTATCCTCTTTGGCTGGGTGATTTGGGCCGTTGGTCTCGGTCTATTCTCGACGCTTGATCAGTCGTCTGGGATCGGGAAGCAAATTGGATACGGAATTTTGACGGGTGTGGGTGTCGGGAATACCTTGCAGCCGTATGTTTTTTTTCCCCTTTTATACGAGATCGAATACTTCTAACAAAATGGATGCAGATCCCTCATCGCAGTCCAAGCCGGCGTCGAGCGCCGAGACATGGCAGTCGTCACCTCCTTCCGCAAGTATGTACCCGCCAAACACCTCATGTTCCATACTAATTCAATATTCCAGCTTCGTCCGCAATCTTGGCGGCACCCTCGGCCTCGCAATCGCCGGTACAATTATGTATGTACATCATCTCATCTGAATCACCACGCTAATGATCAATGCACTAACAACTATTAGCAACAACATTGTCAGCTCATCAATCTCATCCCTGGGCCTAGACGACTCCGAATCCCGCTCCCTCCTCTCAAGCCCACAGACCTATCTATCGAAACAATCAGCAGAGTCTGCGCAGCATATCCGCAGCGTGCTGATCCCGGCCTACCAGAAGGGGTTTAGGGTTATTTTCATTATTGGAGCTGCGCTGTCGGCTTTGGCCTTTTTCTTGGCTTGCTGGTTGATGCCGCAGGTTGGGTTGAAGAGGGCAGATGATGAGAAGTTGAAGGAGGAGGCGAAGAAGAGGATTGAGAAGGGGACTCAAATGGGAGATGAGGAGAAGAAGGGTTGATTTTTTACGAGGATCTAGGCCTAAGGGTATGGTGAGGTATTCGTGTATTTAATTTCGGGCTGGAAAGATGTATGCAAAAGGATTTAGACGAGATGTATTTACAAAACACTGAAATTATCTTCCAAATTTTTTTTTTTTTTTTTTTTTTTTTTTTTTTGGTTGCTTACACTCAGGTTCCAAGAGCAAGCCATCAATCTGATTATTGTGACCTCTTTCTCTAACCGATTGAGATCTACCCTGGCACATCTTGATCGGGAGTTTAATCGGATCTCTCCGACAATTGTTTGCATCCGAACTGCAGATCCCCGGCAAGGTCCTCAGGATCGTTGGGCTGCATGGGTGGCAGATCTGTCAGCCTCGGGGACCTTGGAGCTAGACCACGACGTGGGATGTTCGTACTAGGCACCTGATAGTTGAGTCAGAGAAATGGTTCTTGTTACTGTGAGGATGCTCAAGGCTCTTGGCATCATTCAACTGTTCAGCTGATGTATTCATCCGATTTCTAAGAGTGACCGTCCGTAAACAGACAACCAGACATGTGAACTATCAACAACTACAACGCAGCATCATCCACAGCCTCCACATATACACTTCGATTTCGCCACCACCTCATCTAATACCCCGGATCCTCCGAACAAAGATGCTTCGGACTCTCAAAACCCTCCATGTTCGCCGCGTTAATAAAATCCTTCGTCTTCTGCGAATCACCTCCACAGATCGGCCCACACCAAACAGGCCGACTATCATGGCCATACGGCTGCAGAATATACTCACCCCCTTCATAATCCTGCCCAACCGCACCACCAACATCACAAACAGGAATAGTAAAAATCCCCTCCCAAGCCGCCCCCTTCTCACCTGGATTCGCCCACGCAGACGAAATCGCATCCTCCGCTCTCGAACTCGCCGTGTCCGAATCATAGTTATACCCGGCCACATTATACGCATCCAGCGACGAGTTGATAATATCCTGCACACTGACCCCGCTGTAGGGTCCCTGGTTCAGCGAGTCCGAGCCCGGCGGCGGATTCATCCACCCCCACTGATGCGAGGTTGTTGAGATCACGTCGTTCTCCTGCCAGTAGTACAGGTACCAGGCTTTGCCATCGCGGCACACTACCGCTTCCTGCGGCCCGGAGCCGATGCCTTGGTTGTCGCCGCAGGCGCCGCCGCCCATGATGAAGACTTTTTGTTGGCGGTAGAGTTGGTTGATGGAGGTACCGATAAGCATGTGAGTCATTGCGTCTGTGACGGCGTTTTTGTCGACGCCTTGGTAGGAGAGGAACGCGCCGCCGGAGAGGTAGCTGCGAATGTCGGCATTGTTGTAGCTGCCGCCGCCCATTAGTTGGTTGTTCGCGGTTGTGAAGGATTTCAGGGAGTCGACGACGATCGTGCCGAGGATGCCGCCTAGGTCGGCGGATTTTTGGAAGGTGTCGTCTTGGCTAGTCATGTTGTTAGTACTGTGTATGGTGTATTTGAGGAAGGAAGCTAACTGTTGACCCAGAACTATACCCGCCGCACTATTCGCACCACCCATCAACGCCGCCCCAGCACCAGCAACCGCGCCGGTAATGGGGCCAGCAAGGCCCGCAAACGAAGCCCCGATACCGATGATGGTAGTCATGGCCGTGAGAACGCCCTTGAGCGCACCCACGCTCTTATCATCTTTATCCGTGTAGAAGGTCGTCGCCCAGGAATCCTTGGACAGCGCGGCGCCCAGCGCAGCCGTCGTGAACGACTCCGAGACACCAGTGAAATAGGTGTGCAGCCGATTGACGGATTCGAGGACATAGTAGGTCGGTCGGATGTCGTTGCCGCGGTTGTTCAGGACGCGGTTGTCGCACAGGTTCAGGTCGCAGTCCGAGTCGGAACCGTCGTCTCGACAGGTCCAGTCTGGATTGCCCATCGCCCATTGCCCGAAGGCGCCGGCAAACCCGGCTGAGTTGTTCTCGATTAAGCTGCTGTGATTGTTCCACCAGTTGTTGAGCCAGTCGCCAGTTTTGTAGTTGTTCCAGTCTTCTGTGTGCTGGCCGTAATATTTCGAGACTTGGCCGCAGCGTTTGTAGACTCCGTGGACTCCGTGGGGAGCGACGAGGGGGTTTAGGTTGCTTGTTGCTGGGGCGCTCTGCGCCACTGGGAGGAGGGCGAGGGCTGTTAGAGCGAGTGTTGCGTGCATCTTGGTGATGCTGAAGTACTAGCAGTGTAAATGGGAGAAAATGGGAGAAGTTGGAAGGAGAGAGGAGATACCACTCCGAATGAGTGATGGAGAGGATGCCCCTTTCCTTCTCGGAGGTTCAGGGCCTATTTATTGTTGATAGGAAATCCTTCAGGGAGGAGTATGAGCCGATTGTTATGGCTATTGACCATAACGGAAACTGCATCTATCAAACAGCCCCACCCGGCGCCAGCAGCGCGGGGCAATCCAGGCCCCGAGAAAGCATAACCAAGCCCATCCTTCATATAGAAAAAGTACTAACCTCCGCGCAGGATTCGTGTCATCCTCATCATTCGCACTGCGTGCAGGGTGAGCTGAACACCAAAACGGCGGGATCGACAGGGACTCACCGCACATCGAGTCTAGCGGGCGCCACTCATCTGTCTTCAGGAACTGCTAGAGATTGGAGAAGGTTTGGAGCCGGCGGGTGTGGGAGCCATTGCAACGGCATGCTGTCCTCTGACGGGCCCGTGAGAGGTGAGGCGGGGCGAGTTTGTTTATGGGGGCTGAATGCCTTCCTTTTTGGGAAACTGGTCAGTGGCGAGGAGTCAGCTTGCAAATGTTGGAAGAGGTAAGACGTTTCAGCTCTGCATATTCGCACTTCGATATAAGGGATGTTCTGCTATATCCCATGTGTTTGTCAGTCTCGGGTCTCCATGGTACTCACGAGGAAGCTGGGAAGTGATCCTTCTAGGTTATCGTGACTCACATCGTGCTGCGCTGCACTGCCCCTGAATTTTGGAAAGTTCAATATATCACACAATCTTCTTGTTCGAAAGCTTTTGGATAATCTCACCTTATCTCATGTGATCAATTATCGAAAACCACAGGACACGAAATCACCAGTAAAATAATGGCCTTAGAAAACTGAAATTCATGAAGCGCGCGACCCTCCTTTCAAATCACATGTGTTCGAACATGTACTGAGTGTACTATTTCGATTGCTTTGGCGCGGGATCCCATAGCCCATGAAAATTGGGCCTTTTTTCTCTTTCTTCTTTCAATGCCGTCCAGGCCCTCGGAAACCCGGCTGCTCCGTTTTATCCGAGCTCTATCCATTCCAGTATCACCTCGGGTTTACAATTTCACCCGTCTTCTTTTCCATTAACGTATGGACCATGAAGTCATGCGTGCGAATTATAGCTGGGAGCTCAGCGTCCTAGTCAACGTACCTATCATACTCTCATAATTCGCAGAAAATCGAGGCGATCTCAAATTCTTGATTTGTGCGCTCGCTCTGTTCCAATGCCGGATTGCGGGTTCCACGCTATATCCATACGGAGTTTTAAAACCAGACGATGCCATAGGCGTTTGAGAATGTTTTGGATGAACCTTGGGTTTCTGTCACACACGAGTTCGTGTTTCTCTTCCGGCAGAGAGATCTATCTGCGTGAATTGATCAGATGAGGTGGGATATCACATCCTCAAGACCTACATTTTAGACGACTTCGGGCTGGACTCGATCATGTCGATCCCTTTCTTTGGGAGTCGAGAGGACGGGAAAAGGTAAAAATTGCTTGAAGAATTCATTGCTCATCGTCAGAGACTCTCCGTTTAGGAATTTGCGGATCCAGATAGAATGAGAGCCACATCCTCGACCGTTCACCAGTAGTTCTCACTTTCCAATATTTCGAGGATCGTTGTGTAGCTCATGGCTTTCAAACAGACCGATTGCGTGACCATCTGCCGAGCTAGGCCAAAACCTCACACGACTGCCGTTTTGTGTCCAATTTAGATAAAGCGACTTCTTTGACTTCTGGACGAATCGTCCGTGGCTGATATAGGAACAGACGACCAAGTACTGGCGGTATCCAATATATACCGTAAGCTTTGATTGCAACGCACTTGACAGTGAACGTGAAGCACCTTAATTAGAAATCACGTCTTGCTTTTGCACTCTACCACCAGTATGCTCAACCAAAGTCCGCACTGCCTAGGAGAGGTTGCGGTGCTTCTTCTTGAGCGTCGCTACCCTCAATCCGTGGAGGTTGGTGCATCAGGGTATTCTTGCGGCATGGCGCTCTGATTGGCGCTGCCTTCAAACTTGAAATGTGGCAGGGTGAGGCTGATGACTGGAACTCATGCGATGCGTCGTTCATTGACGGCATCGGTCAAAGCGATTAAGGTATTCTGTGAGAGCTCCGACTCTCCTCGAGTGGAGAAATTCAAGGCTGAAGAGCTCGTGGATTTTCAAAATGCCGAGAGGAAACCTCAGATTTTCAAGGTGATATTAGATGTAAGATTCGCCAATTCCACCCAGTCCTGTGTTGAGTACATGATCTCTCTCTTTATTCCCGGGGTGTCTGAAGGAAAACATCAAACGTAATCACGGTTTGGGGGGTATTTGAGCCTTCATCACCCGAGTTGGCACTTTCACGTAGATTTTGCCATCATCTTGAATTGGTAATGGTCAAATAGGCTTTTAATGGAATTTTGTGGTGCGTCGTTACTCGGAGCAGGGGTCGAAGTGCCCAAGGACATTCTGTGAAACTCTTGATTTGTCGCGGGTTGAGGGATTCTATGATGGAAAGTTCGTGGATTCTCAGGTACTGGGAGAAAACCACAAATTCCCAAATGCGACATGAGGTATGGGTTGATATCATAGGTGGGATTCACCAGATACCGTATTTTCGGAACGGTCGACTCGACTCTTTCAAGGGCCTTGAAGGTCCCAGAATAAACGGCAACGGGGGTTTCGTATCTTTGAATCCCACCTTGTGTCTTCTCGAAGGATCTGACGACGAGATGAAGGAGTTTGGGAGTAAGAAGATATGACCCAGTAGCCAAAGATATGGCAACTATGAGGCGAGGGACGCATTGGATAGAAGAAACGCGAAAGAAAGAAACTAAGGAAAAGTAATGTAGTCATATATGGGTGAAAGAAGGACCCATCCGTTGCTTCCTTGGTGTCCACGGACTCTGTCCCGGAACTCGATCATTCCGCTATTGTCAATCCTGCCGGTAACTCCCTGAGAAAGAATTAAAAGCCATCTTGACCTGCGCAGATTGAGGTAGATCCAAGGTAGACATGCGCTAAGCACACCAATACACTGCGCGGTTCTTCTTTATAGCGTCGGGGCGCCTCTTGGGGCGTCTCCTGCAATTATTCCGCTGGTTGTTTAGTTCCGCGGCGGTCAGGAGAGGTCACTGGCGATCGGCCTCGGTTGCCGCTGTTATATAGGTGTACCGTTGCCCACTGGGTGAACATTGAGGATTCATCAGTGGTCAAGAAATTGGCGGTGAGAAAAATGTGAAGTGAAGGAGAGATGAAGAAGTGAGGAAGCGGGTAGAAGTGAGAAGAGAGCGAGGGGCAAACTCACATACCGGCCACAATCAAGTGCTGACGGCAGCCTCAAATTGTGTTCTGAAAATAAGAAGAGACAGAGATTATCGACCCTTCAATTACTCTACAAATTTGGAGTTTAGTGGTAATAATACCAAAATGATACTATTAGAGATAATGATATGTAAAAGTTTGAATGGCCGGGCCAGCCGGTCAGAATAAAGTACTCACGGAGTTTCTATGAGAAAAACATAAATGGAAGAAAGAAAAAGAGGCGGGGTAACAGAGCAAAGAGGACAGGAAGGACCCTACTTCTTCAGGGTCCAAACGCCACGACCGGCCCGATCTCTGCTCAGGGTTGCTACCGACTTTAACCGGGATTGGAACTCGGCCACGCGCTGGTCATTTACGCAGTAGGGATTGAAGTGGTCCACAATGTTCTGCGTAAATGCCTTTCCACGCCGAGACTCGAGAAACTCCTTAATCATGGGAATGAAATCATTCCCACGGGGCATGCGGGTCGTAGCCGGGGTGGAAGGACCGCCAAGGGTTGCGCTCGGATTCAAGTTCGCCAGCAAATTGCTCGACGACGGGCCCCCAGTAGGTCGGGCAGAGCTTCCACCGCGGTTCTCAGATCGTCCCGCAACGCCGAATCGGCCGGTCCAGGTAGGGAGGCCGATCGGGACTGAGCGAGCTTCCTCTTCGGCTTTCCGGAGTGCTTCTTCACTCTCGGCTGCCACGCGACGGGCGGCGGCTTCGATCATCTTGCGATCGCCACTCAGAACTCGCTTGCCGTTCACAATTTGATCATGCTCGACGGCAGAGTGGACGCCGGTGCGAGAGAAGATGCCGTGCATAATCCGGTCTTCGGCGGTTTTGGCGTTGTCTTCTTTCTCGGCATCGTCGCCGGTGGTCTTGAATTCCTCTACGTTGGCGACTCCCTCCACGGCCGTGACGTCCTCTGCCGGTGCCTCTGAAGAGGAAGGCTTTGTCCAGGTGCCCTTCTTAGGGCCCTCCTTTTTCTCTTCTTTGAAAGTCACTTCGGCGTTTTTGAACCTTTTCTCCGTTTCTAGTTCGTTGTCGTTCTCGTCTGCCAGGGTGAAGAGATCGTACAGATCACTTAGTTCAAAACCCTCTCTCTGGTGTGGGTCTCGGGTGATCTTGTTGGTCAGAAATTGCTTGAAAACCTGCCGGTGGTAGATCTTTTCTTCAATTGTTCCCTTGGTCATAAGACGGAAAATTGTGACGTCTCGCTTCTGGCCGAGGCGCCATGCTCGCTCACGGGCCTGCATGTCGGTAGAAGGATTCCAGTCGGGGTCGAAGATGATGACGCGGTTGGCGCCTGTGAGGTTAACGCCGATACCGCCGACTCGGGTGGTAAGAAGGAAGACGTGAATGTCGGGGTCCTTGTTGAACTCGTCGACCATTTGCTGCCGGAGCTTGATGGGGGTACTACCATCCATTCGGCGATAGGTGAAGCCGCCCAGCGTCTGCAGGAATTTTTGAATAATATCCAACATTTGACGAGTCTGGGCGAAGAGAAGGGTTTTATGGCCAGTGTCTTTCCACACCTCGAGGAGTCCTTTCAACACCTGCATCTTTCCGGAACGCTCGCCTTGGCCGTAATCAGCTTCACGGGCTCGCAGTTTATGGTCGGCGAGATCGGGGTGGTTGCAGATCTTCCGAAGAATGTCAATACCAAAGAGGGAATTCCTTCTCCCCCGAATGATCGACTTCATATCATCGGAATCCAGGAATCTTCTGTAGGCAGTTCTCTGGATAGGAGTGATCTTGCAGAAAATCACTTGTTCGGTCTTCTGGGGGAGATCAGCGGCCACATCAGCCTTGAATCGCTGCAGAAGATAAGGGCTGATGGCGTTCTTCAGGGTTTCCGCACATTTCGCTGCGGTTTGAATCTGCAAATTTGTTGCCATGGAATATCCGCCCTGTCGGATGGGGATTTCGAAGGAGTTTTTGAAGCTGACGAGGGTGCCCAGGCGCAAAGGGAAGACGAAGTCGAAGAGGGACCACAGGTCCACCAGGCTGTTCTGCATGGGGGTGCCGGAGAGAATGATGCGGTGGGGTGTGCGAAGTTCCTTGCAACTGAAAGTAATGCCGGCATCCGGATTGCGAATTTTGTGGCCTTCGTCGAGGATGGCACAGCCCCATTCCACGCCCACAAGAGCATCCGCGTATGACTGCAAGCCCGAGTAGGTAGTCACCAATACATGACCCTCTCTGGTCACACGATTGATGATCTTTCGAGCGGCCTTCTGCCCGGCAGTCAATCCGCGGCTGCGGTGGGTATCCATCTCCGCAGAAGTGAGTGCATCTTCCCGACTGCTTTCCTTTCCGAGGTTCATCATACCACTCCCGGAAGAGTGCAAGATCGAGACCCGGAATGCAGGCCACCACCGGTGGAATTCGTTCACCCATTGCTTCATCAGGGTTGCAGGACAGACGACGATCGCTGGCTTGGTGAACATGTCGCTATGGTGCAGCGATGCGAGGTAGGCAATGGTCTGGATTGTCTTTCCAAGACCCATTTCGTCTCCGATGATACCACCAACTGATTGTTGGTGGAGTTCCCAAAGCCACTGAACACCGGTCTTCTGATAAGAAAAGAGGAAGCGGCTGACATCGCCGGGGACCCGTAGGCCATTCAATTCCATATCAGGCTCGGTAGGATGTGGCTTGAGCCATTCAGAACGGTCGTCGTCGACTTCGTCTGCTTCTTCGTCCCCTTGAGCACGCTTCCGAGCAGTGCTGCGACGGCTGATCCAATCTTGGAGGCGCTTCTGGTAGAGTTTTTCATTGCCATCATCCAGACCGCTGAGATCTTCAAGATCTTTTTCAGCTCCGGTCTTGTCCTGTTTGCGCTTACGAGCTGCAGTGGACTCCGGGATGGTATCTGGCATAAATTCCTCCTCATCCTCCGACGAAGCATGGTCGTCTTCCGAAGCAACGTAGCTAGCTGAGGAGTCAACATCTGAAGAACCCGCAGTACGGGACTTGATTGACTCTTTCTTCGGCTGTGGTGACAGCTTCCTGCGCTTCCGGCTGCCTTCGGCTTGGCTGCTCTCGCCACTGGACTCGCCGAAGTCCATACCAGGACGGTGGAGGTGTCGGTGTGCTTCGGGCTCGTAGCCCGGCTTCTTCTTCTCCTCCCGCTCATCATGCTGGTCTTCGACATCGACAAGGGCATCTTCGAGGTGCGAGGGTAGACCCTCCGGACCCGTGGCATTCATGAGCTCGAAGGGCGTGATCTTGCCCGTCCGCAGCAGGTAGTCACGCCGCGTCTCGTTGGGCAGCCGCCCCGGGCCAGTAATGCCCCCCATATTCTCCTCAGCAGTCTTGCGCCGTTCGTCGATCCGGTCGGTAATATCTTTGATATCCTTCAGGCGCTCGGTCCTGCGAGCCTCCTGCTTCTTGACCTCCGACTCGAGACGGCGTCGAGTCGGCCCGCTTACATGCTGGTTCAGGCGCGCACGCGCCTGGCCAAGCAGAGCCTCGGCCTTCCTATAGAAGAAGAATAAAGTCAGCTTCTAGTGCATTTAAAAGGTGGAGTTCCAGCTTCAAACATACTCTTTTTCGAGCAAGGCCGACTCGAGCCGCCTCGAGTCGTTTTCTTCTGCCTTCTCCAGCAGGATCTTATCTGCCTGTGGAAACAGTTAGCATAAGACATGAAACCCGCTGAAACCTCCAGAATATGCCATACCTGCTTGGTAATATCCCTCTCCAGGTCTTCTTGGTCGCGGACGTCCGCGTTGAGCTCTTTGAGGCGGCGGGTCTCGGCCGCCGCCTCGGCGTTAGTATTTGCGGGCGCCATCTTGATAGAATGCGGAGAGAGGGGATGGGTGGTGAGGAAAGAAGAGAGAAAAGCGCTAGGAGAAGAGATCGCACATTGGAGAAATCATGTCGACTTTATGCCCCACGACATGAAATTCACTGGCGATCGAGTCGGTAGTGAATCCGATCGCCCACTTCTTATCGGCAAGGGAGGCAGAATGAGTCACCGCCCGAAAGAGCCGCTTACGTGAATCGTTATGCATTGTGTTGTTGCCTAAGGCTGCTGCCTGCTCACTAGTTAACTAACTGCAATAACTAGTTAACTACATTGTGCCAGGAATACTCTATTCGTAAAATGAATGAGAGTAATGGTATTCTAAAGCGAATGTCGAGAGTCTTATCTCGTAATACAATATAGCTTTTCACGAAATGATTTGGCTTGGGGATTATCACATAACACACATAGAATGTTCCCAGTAAATAACAATAAACACCATTTATCCCCTTTTCTGCATTTGCGTCACGTTCCTTGGACTCGCTAAGGATACTTCAACATGAACAATAACAATTTGACACCCAACAGTCGAGACAGAAATGGATATCTTTCTGAACTATATCTTGGTGAACTGATGGAGGATGCTGGTTTAGATTATCCTTGCGATTGAGAGATCAGCTGGATCCAGGATGTAGGCATTTGAAGGTGCGTGGGGCCTGGTGCTGAATCCGGATGTGACGATCTAGGGTCCCTTTTCTGGAGAATGGACCCCGTCGCTTGTAACCAACCCAAGGGCATACCAGAGGAGCGGAACCGACGCTATGCCAGAAAATTGTTAGCATTTTGCTCAATGGCATTCTGATGTTGGATTGAGTGGTACATACCTGCTCTCCGCCAGAGGATTTTCAGGGATGGACCACTCAATCCAGTATTCATCAACAGATTTCCCCGCCGCCCATCACGATCGGCAAATGAAAACACGCATGTGAGACGACAGTCGAAAAGCAAAGACTCGGTAAGCACTGGAATTCACGAGAGAGATTCCTGTTTGCTAATGTGATGAGATAGCTCCTCTACCTCCAACGCCAAAAAGTGTCTTCATTTCTTCTCCCTGACCAGCTAGTGATTGGAAGCTAAAGTGGCCCTCGTATCTTCCGTGGCTCTTCTCCTCTCGCGAGGCTCCATTTTGCAACTCTTTTGGTAAGAGCTGATTACACATTTCTGATTGTACCGACTCGAGACAAAAGACAACTATATCGGACACTCACAGGATATCTGCCAATCTTCTACTACTCATTTACATAAGGGTTTATTTCGAGCTCTTGTCTCGTGCATTTCTTGGAAAGTGATGCAAAAGTCTGAGCCTCATCCAAAGTGTTTCCAAAGCAGCCACACTGCTTCACATCATCATGCCAGAAGACAATGAAGGACAGCACAGTGCTACAGTAAAATGGCTTTCTCGGCCGAACCCATCAAACTTAACACCATTGGCTCAAACATTTTTATTCTTGATCTCGGACAATTTTCGTCTATAGTCAATCACCTTCTGGAGCCTGGATTCTCGGTTTTTCGAATTCTTTTCCCCTAGAACGACCCCGATTCTCGAGGCCTATTGGACCAATCCATACAACAAATGGCTAAAAAAGAAAGAGACATGCAATTACCACAATTGGGTCAAGCTGGATTCAGTACTCGAGGTCGCAGTACGGAATGGCGATCAAGACATTCTGCGGAGTTTGCTCAAATTGAACCTGTGGACGCCAAGACAGAAAGGTTGTGCATTGATCAAACGTCGGAGCTCAGAAATAATGAGCATTACGGAAGACTTGCTGGCTTCCGGTGCCGATCTTGATCAGGCCATCGACCGTCTGGGGGCTTGTTAACTGCCTTGTCTTTATCGATCGTCCACTGTTAGCTTCTCCTTTTCAGCCTTCCAACCCAGCAGTCCCCACAGCTCTCTCCAGAATCCGCTGGGCGTGGTGGTTAACCCATTCTCGTAGGCGTCGATCAGAGGTCCTTCCCAAACCAGGTCCACATCTATGGCATCTACCACCTTGGTCCGCTTGAATATCTTCCAGTAGAGATAGAGCATGGCTGCGGTAATGACCATCGTATAGCGTGAGAAGGCTAGGGAAGTGAGAGGGAAAGAAGAAAAGAGCAGGTAGTGAGAGTAGCAGTAGCAGCTCTGCTTTCTGATTGCCAGTGGCCCTAGGAGGTTGCCTGCGAACGGGAGCAAATTATCTTTTCCAGGTTGCCTTGATTCTGAGAGGAGGCGATAATCCATCTCACAAGAATATTGGTTGATACCAGCAACAATATTCATCGGGGTTTGGGTCAGGGAATGACAGTGCTGTACATTTCCCTAGTGGATATCCCCGACCTCTTGAAAATTGTGCATCTGATCATCAAACCTCACCAATATTAGCCAGGCAGCTTCCCTCTATCCCGGGAAACGAGGAGACTTGATACTGCTCGAGGCCATACAGACAGAAAACTCCGAAGTATTTAAGCTCCTTGTTGATGCAGGGATTGGTTTGAACTAACGATCTCAGCTGAATCGAACTGCAATGCCAACGGCTTCCCTTTAATTGGCGATCTACGGACAAAATTTGAGAATCATCAATACGCTCCTGATGGTCGGTGCGGATGTCAACAACCCGCGTGTATTAGTTGAAAAATTGGATACTTGTGAACTGTTTGATGGAGGGCATGAGCTTTTAAGGAAGGGAGGCTTTGGCCCCTTACAACTCGCTGCTCAGCAAGGAAATGTCGAGCTGATGGAATGTCTGCTCAAAAGAGGGGCAGATTTCAACCAGGAGCCAGCATATTATGCCGGTGCAACCCGCCTTGCAGCTTGCTTCTGCGCATGGGTATCTCGGGATTGCACGCAGACCCATCAATACGGGGGCTGTTGTCGATGCACCGCTGGCCTCACTATACGAACGAACGGCAATCGAAGGCGCGGCCTAGTGAGGTCGAATTGATATGCTGGAGCTCCTTTTGCATGAGTGGGGAAACCCCCCTCCCCCCCCCCCCCTCCTCCCCGAGGGCCCAAATCGGAGACAATATATCAGAGCTGTGAAATTAGCTGGTAAAGGACATGTCCACATTGCAAAATTTCTTACAGAGTGAATTGTTTGGACGGAGTTCGATGCAATGCGCTACGCAGGGGAGCTTTTCGATGGCGATGAGAGAGGCTGCAGAGAATCAGGAAGATGAGAAGATGAAATATGGAAGAGCAAAATGAGGAAGAGCTTTTAAAAAATAGAGCTTGAAACATAGATTAGCGAATGCAGTGAAATTTGTAGCACTCCTGGCCATATTATATATAGCCTCGAGCATCCCCAGGACCTCTGAGAACAGTTAGACCTTCGAGGGCAGCGTCAAGGCCGTTTAACGAAGTGGGTGAGAAGGCGGAATAGCGCAAGCACAATTTTTTCTCAAAGTGCACATGCACATCGATATTTTGCTCCCTTGGAGGAGCGACAAACCCCGTATTTGGCAGGTGCGACGGGGGCATACCGGTGCTAGCTCTGTTAGTGCCAACAGCTGACAATGTTGGTGGTCGCTGAGATTAGCTGGGAGTATTCGTAGAGATGCAAATAACATAATCGTCCGCTCATCCGATCAATTTTTTCTCGAGGATGGCATAGCTTTGCGGTGGATGCTCGGCTGCAGCCCAATATCGGATTTAGCGAATTGTGGTTGCCCACATTCCACGCCCAAGCTGTTGGCGACCTGCCAACCAAGGCTGTCACGACTCTGCACTTGCGTAAATTGGGAAGTCTCGCGGCGTCTGGTATTTTTCTGATGTCCTGGGGCGGATCCAGGGGCAGCATTAGGCATTCATGGTTGATCTGGCGGTTGGGTATGCAATGACGCGACGATTAGCCACCACATCGCAGCGAGAGTGTGGAGTGGGGGGTGTCGTGAGAACCCTTCGAAGGCCAGACTGAGCGGAAAAGCGATGATTCCTGTTCGAGCGTAGCAGTGAGGTAGATGTTGTTGATATCCCGGCCTGTGTAGGCAACGCTTGAGTAGGTAGGTGTGGACGACGATCGTTGCCCAGCACTTCCGCCAGGAAGTTAACGGAGCAACCTGACCTCCACTTCCCACACCATCCTTGCCCCCCTCCTTCTCCGCGATCTAGCACTCCCGCCATCTTCATGTTGCCGTCCCCGTCTGCCTGATTTCTCTGGCTGTTCCACGTCTGCGCGGCTATTCTTCTGTGCGCCTGCCATCTCCCCCTTGCGACCGCCTCCCGGATTCGCCGTGTCTGTCTGTCATCCGGATGATGCAGTGCGGTACACACTCGACCTAGTCAACCCTCGTCTTCCAATCTCGACTTGCGTCGGCCTTGCTCACCCCACCGCCGTCTGGTGCGATCGCGTCTCGTGTGGTCGTCGCTCTTCCCCCCGTCGACCTCCCATTCCCCGATCGCGATCGCAGTGCAGGGCGTACTGTGGTGAATGGTGACAGGTGACAGGTGACGACGTCGACCGAGCTCAATTCATCCCCCTGCAGCGCCGTCTCGCCGGTCGCAGGCTCGTCCACGATGGATCAAGGGTGGCAACCCTACCAAGATCCCCTCATGGGTCGTCCGGCGCAGTTCAGCACCGGCTTGGCCTCGCATCCGCAGCAGCTGGGCTCGAAGTACAGCGGTCAGCCCCAGCAATCACAGGCGCCCGTCGGATTCACCTACGAGCCCATGCAAACCCCCGGCACCTCCTCCAAGCTGCCCTCCGCCGGCCTCAGCTCCAAGCCGGTCTCGATGGCCTCCTCGCCCTCTGCGACGCCACGTAGTCGGGATTATGTCACCGATGCCGACAGCACCATGGAGGACGCGGATCCATATAATCGGACCAAGTACCCGTCGCGGCCGAACCATCACAGCCGCGCGTCGTCTCAATTCCTCTCCCAGGCCGAGGAGTCGTCCTCGGCGGCCCGCAGATACTCCCCCATGAATGTCCTCTCGTCGCCGCCAATGTCATATCCGACCAGCCCCGGCAAATCCCAGGGCGCCTACGGTTTCCCGACGGCCCAGGGCCAAGCGCGACGCTCCCCTGCCCGAGTCCCAGACTACGCCTCGCCGCCGCAAGGCTATCAGTCGCCGCCCTGTGAGTCTCCGATGGCTTCGCTGGAATCTCAAACGTCTCATCTTCGTCTGGACCCTAACTCACAGCCCACAGCTGCCAACCGTCCCCCTAGACTGCCGCCCCTCCAGGCGCCCGACCTCAGCCCCGATCAGTACTACCCTCCCTCCGCGTCCTCCCACATGAGTCCACCCGCTTTTGGTCACGGTTCGCGATCCCCTCGATCGGGCTCGCTACCATCGCAGGTCCCGGGCCGGGGACCCGTCCCCAAGTTCCAGAAGATCAAATCTGTGCAGGAGCTGCAGCCTCGGGTGCACACCCAACCGGCATATCGGCGCGCCAACCCGGAAGGAGGCTTTATCAGCGTAGGTGCCCCTGCTTCCCAATCGTGTCCACCAGACCCCAAACTCACATTGACCTCATCACAGCCGCTTCAAGCTTTGACGACCCACCTCCCCGCGACGTATCGGATCTGCAACCCCAACTTCAACTACGAGTCCTCGCGGAATCCCCGCCGTGTGCTAACCAAGCCCAGCAAGGGAGTTAAGAACGACGGATACGACAACGAGGATAGCGATTACATTCTCTATGTGAACGACATCCTAGGCAGTGAAGAGGCCGGTCATAAGAATCGTTACCTCATTCTTGATGTTCTCGGTCAAGGTACATTTGGGCAGGTCGTCAAATGCCAGAATTTGAAGACCCAAGAGGTGGTCGCCGTCAAGGTCATCAAGAACAAGACGGCTTACTTCAACCAGAGTATGATGGAGGTCTCCGTGTTGGATTTGGTAAGTGCCGTGCTTATCCTTGATCACATCTGTTCAGTGGGACGTTACTAACTTTTTTTAATTCGCTGCAGTTGAACAGCAAGTACGACAAGAACGATGACCACCACCTGTTGCGACTGAAGGATACTTTCATTCACCGACAGCATCTCTGTTTGGCATTTGAACTGCTCAGTGTCAACTTGTACGAGCTCATCAAGCAAAACCAATTCCGAGGTCTGAGTACAACTCTCGTCCGCGTCTTCGCACAGCAATTGTTGAATGCATTGAGTCTTCTGAACAAGGCCCATTTGATCCATTGCGATCTGAAACCAGAGAATATTCTCTTGAAGAAGTCCGTTCATACCAGTCCAATCCCAGCCCCCAGCTTTGATCGGCATGTTTGCTAACTTTCTGCATCCCTCTAGTCTCGAGAGCCCCATCATCAAAGTTATTGACTTTGGTTCTGCATGTGATGAGCGCCAGACGGTCTATACTTACATCCAGTCACGTTTCTACCGTTCGCCCGAAGTCCTCCTCGGTCTGCCGTATGTACCGCCTCCATAGTCTTTTTTTGTTTCTTTCCTCTTTCTACCGCGATGCTAAGCCCCCTCCAGATACTCATCAGCCATTGACATGTGGTCACTTGGCTGCATTGTTGTCGAGCTTTTCCTCGGCCTGCCACTATTCCCCGGTTCTTCAGAATATAACCAGGTTACCCGCATTGTCGAGATGCTTGGTCTTCCTCAGACCTGGATGCTGGAGATGGGCAAACAGTCCGGTGAATTCTTTGAGAAGACTCAGGATGAGTACGGGCGTAAGACCTACCGTCTTAAGGGCCTGGAGCAGTACTCGCGAGAGCACAACACCAAGGAGCAGCCCAGCAAGAAATATTTCAATGCGTCGACATTGGAAGAGATCATTCGCAGCTACCCGATGCCGCGCAAGAACATGAAGCCGGCAGAGGTGGAGCGAGGTAAGACTCTGTCCTGATATTTTTTCGAATTTCTGTGCTAACCTCTCCAACAGAACTAAACAATCGGGTTGCCTTTATCGATTTCGTGCGAGGCCTGCTCGCCATTAACCCTCTCGAGCGATGGTCGCCTCAGCAAGCCAAATTACATCCGTTCATCACTCAGCAAAAGTTCACCGGTCCGTTCATGCCTCCGATGAACTTAAAGTACTCATCTCTCAACAAGACCGTTGCTCCTGGTGTTCAGCAGCAGCAGCAGGCTGAGGCTGCGAGCAAGCAGAGAGCCGCGCAAGCCGCGCACGCTCAATCGGCCCATGCACAGTCAGCATACTCCATGCAACAGCAGATGAGCCAGTATCCGCCTCACCACCAGGCGCAGCCGGTGTACAATGGCATGTATCAACAGGGCCCACCTCCCCCTTACCCGACCCAGCCACCGGGTTATGGTCATCAGATGAATATGGTTCCTGGCCAGGTGCCTCAGGGCCAGTATGCGCCCTCCCAGAGCCTCTACGCCCAAGCCACTACTCGGGCAGGCCGTCAACGTGCGTCGACGATGGATCCTCAGGGTGGAGGCATCCCGTCTACGATCCAGCGAGTGGCGAGCCACCTGGATCCCAACGCTCCTATCCGACTGCAGCCCAGCCCTGCATACTACCCGCCTCCTCCCGATGGCTACGTTGACGCCAACACCAACCAGCGACGACGTGGAAGCCGTACAGGTGGTGGCAACCAGCGGAACCGTGACTTCATCCGCACTCTCGAAGACGGCGTGTTGAGCGAGAGCTACATGGGCCAGAACCAATGGCACTAAAATGGATCGTAATAGGCATCCTTGGCAACTTGTCACAGACAAGTTCCATTCTATACGGTGCCTCGGAATCTGTTATTACTGGTCTTGTCTCTTTGCCGCGGTCGAGCATTTTGCCCCTGGTAGCGTGTGCCTTCTCTGGAAGGGCCTGTTCCATTTCGTCTTGCGCTGTCTTGTTCACACATGGAACCTTGCTCGATTCACCCGCCTGTTGTCCTCGCACCCCCGATTGACCCACTCCGTATCCTGCCGATGGACTGCTCCTCTGCTGTCATCACTTCCCCGGCACGATGATCGGTTCGCAGTGGCCTCCGAAGGCCGACTAGTTTCGGGTCTGAGATGACATGAGACAAGAAAAATTCATTCAATGACTGCTATGGTTGATAAGAAATGAGTCACCACGAGCCTGAGGTAACTTTCGCGTTGAAACCCCGATCGCTACCCCACTGGTAAGCAGGTGCGGCCCGAGGCTGGTCGATTTTGTTCCCAATGCATGATTGTGTCACCACTTTTCTCTTTTTTTTTTTTTAAGGTATTTTTTTCGCGTTCTTTGCTTTGTGTGATTATCTTACTCGCCTGTCCTGCGCAGTGGTTTTTGTGAAGTCGTGGGAATTCCGCGACGGTCATGGTTGTTACGTTCTAACCTTTTTTTTTTCGTGTTTTCTCCTTCTTTCGGCATAGCCTGGAGTATGAAAGAACGATCTCATTCCCCGTTGCTTGTCTCAGTAAGTAAGCTTTGATTTATTCGATTTTGCCCAACGTCCTGATGGTTCGCGTGGTTTGCTCCGGATGACTCGCCCCGATCTGGGGGAGTGTGTCATGTCACTTTCTGCTAGGATCCATGTCTCCGGCCTGTTATACGGGCCTAGCTCGAGGCCGACCGGGGACTTTTGCATACGAGCATATACATTGATTTGACTCATTCTTTGACTGTAATATCTTATCAAGTGTCGTAGAAATAGTCATGGTCGAGTGATTCTTTGTATGGATTTACTTCCGGAGTGCGCTAATCCCGATCGGGTATAGTCAACCCCTCGCTTAAATTTCGTGTGTGGCTCTCGCCCGCCATCTCCAGTCAACTTTTAGAAGGATCTGCCAGTGCCTTCGTGCAACCCAGTCAATACACGATGTCGTCGCGATTCTTCTACCGTGGTGGTAGCGACAGCGAGTCTAGCTCCTCCGATGAGGAGGAGGATGTCTACGAGCGATCCGAGGAGGAGGAGAGCAGCGAGGAGGAGTCCAGCGAAGATGAATCCGGCAGCGAGTCCGGCAGCGAGTCCGGTGAGGAGGGCGACACCAAGGGTGGTGCCAACGCTTTCTTGAGGGATATGTCCGACAGCGATGAGAGTGAAGACGAGGAAAAGGTCACAGTCGTCAAGAGTGCCAAGGACAAGCGACTGGAGGGTCTCGAGAACACCATCCGATTGATCGAGAACGCGCAGAAGATCAATGACTGGGCCGTCATCTCTACTGGTGAGTGTCACTGGAGAATATGGATATACTTGGTGGACTTTATTTTGTGGGGGATAATGTGAAAATCGCTAACAATGAGATACAGAGTTCGACAGCCTGAACCGCCAGATCGTCAAGGTCGCCCAGTCTGGTCCTACCCCCAAGATCTACGTCAAGGCCGTCGCCGACCTCGAGGATTTCGTCAACGAGACCGTGACCAAGCAGAAGTCCGCCAACAAGAAGATGAACGCCAGCAACCAGAAGGGATTCAATGCCGTCAAGCAGCGTATCAAGAAGAACAACAAGGACTATGCCGATCAGATCGAGAAGTACCGTGCCGCTAAGGATACCTACATGGAGAGCGAGGAGGAAGCCGAGAAGCCGAAGCCCGCCCCTGCTCCTAAGCCCACCAAGGTCGAGAAGATCAACAACTTCGCCAACGCCCTCGTCCCTACCGCCGTCGGTGATGACGATGGCTTCGCGACCGTCGGCCGCGGCGGCAAGACCCTGCAGTACACCCCCGAGAGCATTCTCAAGCACTTGCGGGTTATTGTCGAGTCCCGAGGAAAGAAGAACACCGACCGTCTTGAGCAGATCCGGACCATGGAGAAGCTCCTGGAGGTTTCCACCACTCCTTACCAGCGCATCCGCACATACCTGACCCTTATCTCGACCCGTTTCGACCTTACCTCGGCCTCTGCCAACTACATGAGCCCTGAGCAGTGGAAGGCGGCCGATAAGGAGTTCGGTGTTCTCCTGTCCGTTCTGGAGACCCACCGCAACTTCGTTGTCACCGAGGGTGCTGACGAGTGGGAGGATGATGAGAAGCAGCCCCAGGTTGCTGAGGGCGAGACTTTCCATATCCCCGGCAGCATTGTCTCCTACATCGAGCGTCTGGATGACGAGCTCACCCGCTCGCTGCAGCAGATCGACCCCCACACTGCTGAGTACATTGAGCGTCTGAGCGACGAGCAGCAGCTGTACAACAACATTGCTCGCACTCAAATGTACGTTGAGAGCCTCATCACTGCGGAGAAGAACGACACACGACAAGATAGCGTCAACCGGGTGATTATTCGCCGCTTGGAGCACGTCTACTTCAAGCCCTCCCAAGTGGTTTCCATCCTCGAGGATGCCACCTGGAAGTCCCTCCCCGACACCCTCAACTCTGCTGTCACTCCCCGCGCCCAGGCTGGCGATGTCTCCTCCCTCATCCAAACCCTCTGCAACTACCTGTTCCAGCACAGCGACGGCATCATCCGTGCCCGCTCCATGCTGTGTCAGATTTACTTCCTTGCCCTGCACGATCAATACTACCGCTCTCGTGACCTGATGCTCATGTCCCATCTGTCCGAGAACATCTCCAACTTCGACGTCAGCACTCAGATCCTCTTCAACCGCACCCTTGTCCAGATCGGCCTGTGCGCTTTCCGCGCCGGTCTCATCTACGAGGCCCAGACCACCCTCGGCGACATCTGCGGTAGTGGCCGCCAAAAGGAGCTCCTTGCCCAGGGTATCATCATGCAGCGCTACTCCACCGTCTCCCCCGAGCAGGAGCGTCTGGAGCGCCAGCGCCAACTGCCCTTCCACATGCACATCAATCTGGAGTTGCTGGAGTGCATCTACCTGACCTCCAGCATGTTCCTCGAGGTGCCCCTGATGGCCCAGACCTCCTCCGCCCCCGAGATCCGCCGCCGCATGATTTCCAAGACCTTCCGCCGCATGCTCGACTACAACGAGCGCCAGGTGTTCAACGGACCCCCGAGAACACCCGCGACGGCGTGATCATGTCCGCCAAGTTCCTCGCCGCCGGCGACTGGAAGAAGGCCGCCTCGATGCTCGCCTCAATCAAGATCTGGGATTTGATGCCGCAGCCCGAGAAGGTCAAGGAGATGCTGTCCGCGCAGACGCAGGAGGAAGGTCTGCGCACCTACCTCTTCACCTACGCCCCCTTCTACGACAGCCTGTCCATCTCCTCGCTGGCCGATATGTTCGAGCTGCCCGCCAAGAAGATCGCCGCTATCATCAGCCGCATGATCTCGCACGAGGAGCTCGGCGCTGCCCTGGACCAGGTCAACGACGCCGTAGTCTTCCGCAAGGGCGTCGAGCTTTCCCGTCTCCAGTCCCAGATCGTCACCCTCGCCGACAAATCCATGGGCCTCCTCGAGTCCAACGAGAAGACCCTCGAGCAACGCACCCAGGGTATGGCCAATGCCTTCCAGCGCGAGCAGGGCCCCGGTGCCCGTGGTGGTCGCGGCGGTGGTCGCGGAGGTCGTGGCGGCGCTGGTCCCCGTCTGCCTGGTGGTCAGCAGGGTCGGAGACCTGGTGGTCAGCAGTTCGGTGGTGGTGCATTGGGTGGTGCGATCAAGGCTTAAAAAGGGTTCTTGTTTCTCTTTGATATAATGGCATGCCTCTTTTCCTTTTTTATATCTTTTCCCCCTTTTCTCTTTTTCCTTGTCATGGTTCGAATTGTTTCTTTCTCATGCCGTTTTCTGGACCGAGTTAAGTTACCCTCGTGTCTGGTCATGATTCAAAATGAAATGAATAAATGGTTAGAAAGCATTGTTTGTAGATTTGTAGGATCCCCTCTCCCATTAGACATTTTCAATGTATAGAAATGAATCATCACGAGAATCCTCTGAATCTTACAGATATACAATTTTTCTGCCGCGCCAGATGCTTCCGGAGTGCCCGCAATTACCGCCTAGATCTTCAGGGAGGGCAATCACTTTTTCATCGGAATTGAAATGAAAGGTTTGTAGATCACAAAGTGTGTAAGCCAAGAGTTGAATTCTTAATGAGATACCTGACATCAGGCTCCAATGTCACCACTAAGGCCAATTCAACCCACTCTTATATTAGTGCAGCGTATGTCGTTAACCAGATCGAGATCAGCTAGACCAATATCCCATAGTGATATGAGCTAATTACTCCGCACTGCCATCGATGAGGCGATGACTTGACCGACATGGAAAACCTCCGCTTGTTTCCAATCATTGTCCCCAGAATCCAGCGCAATGGCTCGTGATAGCAGCCACATAAGATATAGCCTCTGATGGGAACACCAATGCTTGTTCTTTGCCCAGACAACGCAAGGACTCATTGGTGTGGCACGCATTCCAGATTGTAAATTTCAGGTCGACGTCCCACTAGAATCTGTGTTCTATAGCGGCTTCGTTCTCGTAGACGAACACGTTGAAGGAGCGCCCATGTAGGATTAAGTCCAGATCGCGCGCTATTTGCGATAGTAGATCTGACAAAATCGTCACTTCCGATAGTAAATCTGGCAATATTGTTAGAAGCTGCTACACATCCAGTGTGACATGTCTTATAACATCACGTAGGTCGCGCCCACGTCCACCTGGGTAGATCTTCTTGCCGTCGTTGGATCGTCAATCGTCCAGTTCGGTAGAAGCAGGATTCAATATCGGATTTTTTTGACATATGCATGACCTGAAATAGCGCATTGCCCATGACTGAAAGCTGATCGTTCCAGTCTCACGTCGTGCACCTCTCCCCAACAGGTAGGTTTTCCCTTATCTGATTCACTATTCGGTTTGGGATCTTGCGGGCTTTTTTTCCATGAGACGACATTTGGAAGCTGCTGGGGCTTGCCCATTCAGATGTGACCGCATTTTCAGATGCAATGAAGTCGATTTGGAGGTGGACTTCAAGGATTGCGACAGGCTGGGTTGAGTTGTGGAAGTATCGGGCGGAATGTTGAGATGATAAAATCACAGGAGCAACTCAGAGTGTCTTTAATAGGTACGAGCTCAACAATCATAGCGTTGAGTCGAAGATGAAAACAAATGAAGATGGTCAAGATAAATAATATGAGCAGGATGCCCTCAAAGTAGCAAGATTAGTCCAGTAAATTTAAGCTTAAAATTTCAGATGAACCTGGAAGGTCAGACGAATATAAGCTTAAATATAAGATGAAGTTGTGAGGTCAAATTAACATAAGCTTAAAGGTAAGGTAAATTGGAAAAGGCTTCAAGACACTAGACAGATTGAGGCGATAAACATCATTTATTTGACTTAGCGCGCTATCATATAGCGGGTTGGGTAGATGACCAGATAGGATTTGATCAGAAACATGACCGTGTCGGGAATTAGGTGGAAAATTATACTTGTTAGCAAGCCCCTCTGTTTACATCGTGAGGCATTATAGCTGTTGTTATCACAATACACAAAATGAGTTATTCTAATTTGGAAATTCCCAAGGCTGAAGCCAGTACCTCTATTTAAGGAATCTGCCAGGTATCCTCGACAAACCCAGGCATATCCCCTCCCTACCTCTCAACTACGAAACTCATTCCACACAAACATGCAGAGCATCCTCCCACAAACTATCCGTCATCGGCCTCTGATCCGACCCATCAGCCTTCATAACCATATTAACATCATACGGCTGGAACGTATTATCATAATTAGCCGATCCGCCGCGGGACCCATAACAAGAAGTACTAAACAGAATTCTTCCATCCGTCGACCGAGCCGCATGTCCATCATTACCAAGCGCAGTCGTAATTCTCTTCAGCTCAGTTCCATCCGGCCGGGTAGTCTACACATCATACGAACCACAGGGACTCGTCGTATCAGCCTCCACAATCCGGTTATTCCGACACTTTAACCCAACCCTCTCCCCATCCGGACTCCATCCCGGCATATTTTCCCAATTCTCGGTGAGGTTGGTGACTTTGCGGATTTATAAATGGATGATTCACAGACCGCGTCAGACAGGGCCCATGGTGCGGTAGACGAGTTTGGATCCGTCGGGTGAGAATGAACAATACCCGTTCTTGATTTCGTCGACATTGTACTCGGTTAATTGTTTGTAGTCTGATCCGTTGGCTCGGACGCGGTAGACCTTTGTAGGCGACTTACAAAGTGGTCAGAGGGTCTATTTGGGTCTGGCCTTGTCGAGGCCATATCGGTCAAGTTGTGAGCCTCCTTAGTCGAGAGAGAGACATACGCCAGCTTCGAGCTGTCGGAGGACATGACACCGCTATCCTCCATGGATGACGTAGCAATGAGTTCCTCGAGGTCGGTACCGTCTGTGCGACTGCCGGCGTTGCCATCGCCGTTCCGCTTGTTGGTGAAGACTGTCTAGTTACAGTCGGGCGAGAATGAGTCATGTTAGTCGACGTTGGAGCTATGCTTTCCGAGTAGCGGATGTTTCTCCGTGCCGTCCGATTTGGCGATGTAGAGATGCTGCTTCCCGGGTGCAATCCGGTTATGGAAGAAGACCCCTTTCTTCCCGCTAGATGCTTTCACACCACGCTTCACTGTCGGCGCATGATTTGGCAGATGGTCTGCCGGTATCGTGCCTTCTGAATCCATCCATGGACAGCCCAGGGCTGGACTTATAGAGTCCAGGGCATAGGGGCAGCGAAAGACTGAAGGTAGTCACATTCTGCCGAAAAGAAGCAAAATTTGTGTAGCAGAACTCTCTGGAATGGGACCGGTCTAGATGAAATCAGAAATCATTTGACCAGCATCAAAAGCCGATTTTATACTCATCAATCCTCGCGGGAAAGGGGGATGTCGCATGGTCATACTTCCGGCACATGTTTGTTCCTGGCGGACACGCACGAATGAAATCTATTCGATTATTGCGACTGCGGGGGCTGTGGTGGCAGATCGGGGTGAAAGCTGGAGTAGTTTGGATGATCTTCTGCATCAAATGCGCCGTGGCCATCTGCAGGGTTGATCGGCGTTATGAGTCTTCCTAAAGGCGTAGTTAACACTTGACCGCTTATTAGTCACCGCATAGGTAACCAATTTCCGCTCCACTTGCCTGCTTGGCGGTTTGGCGGACGGAGGACCTTCGACAACAAGCAGTGTTGTTTTTAATCAAGTTTGATTTGTTTCACATCATGCTTGGTTCTGCGAGGTGATAAAAATTTTAGAAAATGGCGGAAATATTCATGTCTTGTAGTTTTTTGGGGGAACTAGTCTGCCACCATTTAATATCCTGTACACTGAGCATAAGATCGAGGGAGGATATATATTAAGGACAAATACCACTGATATTTCTTATTTGAAGCACCTTGAAGCAGCAGATTTCAAGGCTAAAAATGATTTGGAATGCGCTATTTGAGTACCCTTTTGATCCAAGACCCGCAAAAGCTAAAAGAAAGCCTCAAATTCAAGACATATATGTGATCAGTGCGAATTTGGAGAGAGAAGCCAGGAACACCATCGGGTATGTGGGCGTTACACCTGGGCAAGTGGACACAATTACGAACCGAGCATCATGGAATTTTATGTACAGGCAGAGGCATATGGGGATTACCCAGAGGGTATGTTACAAGAACTGATACCACCGGTACATTGTAGCTAGCCTATGTGATTATGGTGGCAGCGGCCTCGTCTGTGAGACGGACAGCTTCACATTCACCCACCAGTGGGTTTTACGAATTTTTTCAACGGCATGGGTGTTACACCCACATGTATTAGTATCTTAATACGGTTTGCGAGCACCCGTTATCCGCTGGGACTAGTTGGTAAACTACGGACAAGAATGAAGTTCGGGTTGTCTGAAGCATTGAATTACCGGAAATCCTAGACCGTATCGCTAATAATTGACTAAATAGTACACAGCCCGTGTGCACAAACAACCCATGACAAGAACGTCGTAAAATAATTTTTTTTATTGACGAAGGAACATAGCACATCCCGACGACAAAATCCCCCGATTACCGAGAAACAATCTAGTTCATCTGGCGGATGAGACCGTTGATGTTCTCCTCGCGGTTACCGGTGTCACCACCCTCGATGTAGTGCTTGAACTTGCGGGTGCGGAAGCCACCGTTGGGGTTGGAGAGCTTGAAGGGCCACAGGAAGTTGTTGGCCTGCTTGAAGTTGGGGCCAACGGTGTAGATCTCGTGGATGAGATCCTCCATGCAGACAATGCCGTACTTGCCGAGGTGCTCCTCGATAAGCTGGTTGTCGGTCAGGGGAACACGCTGCTTGTCAACCTTGCCGTAGCCGCGCTTGTACAGGAGCTCGCGGACGGACTTCAGGTTGGGGTAACCGTAGGCAATGTAGGGGTTGACGATGGTCAGCATCTCCTGGGTGGCCTTGGTCAGGCGGATGAAGGTACCGCTGTTGATCTGGAGCAGACGGAGCAGCTGGAGGATCTTGCGGGGCTTAGGAGCGATCTTGTTGATACTGAGGAAGGAGTTAGTATTGTGGTGTGCAGCATAGTGTAAAGATCAACATACCCCTTGATACGGACAACGAAGACCAGCTTGGGCTCATCCTCAACGTAGAAGTTACCCTCCTGGCGAGCGGCGCGGCCAAGGCGGATCTTCTCGCGCTCAGCGTCGCGGTACTCCTTGACGTAGGACTCAGCACGCTTGAAGATAACACCACGCTTCTCCTTGTTGGCCTATTGGTACCGAGTTAGCAATGCGGTTCCCAAATAGTGTTGGTGGTAAGACAAGATGTAAGTGTCATCAACAGGATCAGCCCCGAAAGATGGTTAACAGGCGACAGCATTGACCATTGGTCTAGTCGCGTGGTTGGTGTTGTCATCAGAGTGTTGGGAAGGGTGGGTGCAAAAAGGGTAATTGCGAGATTGCGGGAGATAATGGTGGGAACTGACCTGCTTCTTCTTCTCGGCCTCAGCGCGACGCTCAGCGCGGGCAGCCTCCTGGCTCTTGCGCTTCTTCAGGAGAGTCTCGGGGACGAGGACATGGTCCTGGGTAGGGACGGAGCTGTGGGAGGTTAGTATAATCGTCCACAAGTTCAAATTAATGACTTGATGAAACAATTCGCCGAGTGTAAGAACTGCAGCATATAGCGCCACATTCTCGAACTGAAGGCAATAGGATAAGGAACTCGACGAAATTTCTTTAATCGGTGAGGGCTATGGGAAATGGGGTGTAATGGTCGAGGGAAATTCCGCTACTAATGTGCATATTCCAGCGCAAGGTTCGCAGAAAATTTCAACCGCCCGTAAAAATTTTCCATGTTCGCCCTCAAGCCGACAACACCCCGAACAAAATGTTCAAGAAAGTTGTGTTGACGCTCATTCGCACCATGCACAATGACTGCTATTACCGCATCAAGGTGTAGTGGGATTGCGATATAGCTGACAACAATGCTTTTCGAGGAGAAGGCTACCATCGCCTTCAACCTCAAGACTCCGCGGCCCTCCCCGGTTGTACTAGTGGAAACGCACAGGCAGATCGCAGGGTTCGAACAGGAAGAGGGCGCCGGAAGGATCGAGCTGGTGCCCAGCGGTCGCCGAAGCCGACGACCGTAGCATCTCCAGCGAGAAAAGGACGACTATACCTGAAACCTCACAATCTCGAAGGATTGCATCAGTCAGTGGAAAGGGGAGTCATACGTGGTGACGGGGGCCATTGTGAAGGTCGTCGCGAGATGGCTGTCGGCGAGGTTGTCGAAGGAGAAAGTTCAAACGGGAGAGCAGAGGAAAAAGGGAATTCGCTTGTGTGGGTGGACCGAACAAGCCCAAAATGGATTAGTATAAAAACTTATCGCGCTAGACCGAAGTGGGAATCATATGCCCTAATCACTCTAGATCACGTGAGATTAGGGCTGGCGACCCTTATGCCAAGCTCAGATCAGATGACCTCATCCCGGGGGGTACTTGCTGTTGTCCGAGGTCTGGCCCAAACAACCCCACGCCGACCAGGTACCTCCATACTGGCCATTTCCTCAGAACAACAGCATAATGTCTCGCCGTGGTGTCGGTCTCGGTGCCTTCGCAAACCGCAACCAAGCGACACAGTCCTACGCTACGCATGGCGCCAATCTCCGTTCTACGCATTTAGCCTCCCTCCAAACCCAGCTCTCGGTCTTCCAATCGTTGCTACATACTTTTGCTCTAGAGCATAGTTCCACGATCAAATCGAACCCGACCTTCCGAGCCGAATTCGCGCGAATGTGCAATACTATTGGCGTGGATCCCTTGGCCGCTAGCAACGTCAAAGGCAAGGATGGTCGGCGGGGATTGGGCGAGGGAGGCAGCTTCTGGACGCAGATCATGGGCGGGGATATGAATGACTTTTACTTTGAAGTTGCAGTTCGAGTCGTCGAGCTCTGCCGCGAAACCAGGAGTGAGAATGGAGGGCTGATTGGAGTGGAGGAATGCCGCAAGCGAGTGGGCAAAGGAAAAGCGATTGGGAGTGGCCTGGAGGTTTCAGAGTATGTTCATTCGCCTGGGGTGGAGCCACTACTGGGACTAACGACATTTAATTCTAGAGATGATATTCTCCGGGCAGTTCGATCTCTCGAGCCCTTAGCCTCCGGCTTCTCAATCGTTCGCGTCGGTTCCAAACAATACATTCGGTCCATTCCCAAGGAACTGAATACTGACCAAGCGACCGTGCTGGAAGCTATTCAAGTCCTCGGATATGTGAGTGTTTCAATGCTGCGTCTCAATCTGACCTGGGAAAAGGCTCGGGCACAAACTGTAATTGATGATCTTGTGGCCGATGGTCTTGTTTGGGTGGATGCCCAGGGTTCGGAGAAGGAGTACTGGTCGCCCCAGAACTTGTTGGATGACAGTGGATGAAGACGCATATCGGTGATTTCATACCACGATATTCGAGCGGATTTCAATCTTGGCCGGATTTCAATCTTGGACAATAATATGTCCTCCTGTCCTCCAGACACAATTTATCCGCCTGTCACGCTTGGTCGCGATACCCAGAATTGGCGACCATGAGCGCATCTCAGCCGCCCCCACGATGGCAGCGTCTTTGGGAGCCCGATCAGTGGAATGTTCGCTGCAGATCCGGGAACTCACCAGCTCACTGGCAAAGAGTGTTGAACGGCTCAATCAGGATACCAGAGAGGTGACCTCCGACTTATCTTGACGTCCTTCGGGGGGCATCTTTCGAGCGTGTATTGCAAACACACGCCATAATTTCCCGATATGTGATAAGAAAAATTTGCTTGAAGAGCAAAAAACCGTAGACCAATGTGGTTGAATGAAATTTCAATAGGGCAATGATCTGAAATTCAGTTCTGGTGATATAGGGTCTATAGTGAATCGACAATATATTTTGACGTCCTAGGGTACCTGCACACATCATATGATGAACACTCTCTATTGTCCATTCACACAACCACGTCTCTCGATCATTGCGGGACCGAACTGGAGATCAGATGTTAATAACCTCCTGGACTCTTCTATTCCGATCGACCACCAGGCGTAGCTGTCTACCCTGCCAGTCAGACTCTGAGGCCATGGACGAGTTCTGGGCACTCGGCTTGAAGACGCCATCCCGGAGGGTGTCAGTAAAGAGTTCATAGGAGGGATAATCTGTACATATGATTAGAATTTTAAACCAAGCGTGAATATTAGAAATACGAACAGCCGTCCACAAACTGATTGACCTGCCCCTCAGTCATCCCGGTGCCCTTGGCAGTGCGGAGGGTACGTTCCTGCTCCTGGCGCCACTCATACACGAACCTAAGGTTCTGAGCATCACTGTCGGAATAATTAGTGAGTGAACCTTCACGTTCAATATTCTTTCGACATACATATGAATCAATGCGTCAAGTTTGCTGCATTGATGGTTAGTCCCAGATCAACCACTCCGATTAAGAGCGACTCACTCGGTCAGAGCATTGTAGCGCTTCAATGCGTCGTTGACAGTCTGAACGTCTTCAAATCTGACATGGCCTAGCCGTCCTTGATAATCGCCGCTCTCCTTCTGGCGCACTGCATCCTCCCATTTCGCGCGTAAAATGGCATCATCACGCGGACGGAATCCAACACACCAGCCCTCAAAAATTACAACCTTGATCTTCTGCTGTCCTTCGTTATTGACGACTTCCCATTGCGACTTGGGCACGCGATCACCTTGCCCGGAAAACGCCGATTTATCATACTGCGGGATGGCAGTCGGACGCTCCGCCGCCAGCGACTCAAAGACCTTCTCGCCCAGAACCAAATCGTGCGTCGAGGGTTGACCGCGATGCTGCAGAAGCGGGTTTGTGGGATTCGCCTGAGCTAGCGCAACCTGGTCGGCGTGGGTGAGGTAGATATCGTCCAAAGACCAAGTTACGACGGAAAGCGAGTATGGCTCGGAGCGGAGGATGTTTTGCAAGGTGGACACCTGCCGATGGTTAGGTTCGCTGCATGCACCGAGGACAATCGCGAGCGCAACCGACCAGCCGTCCCGAGGCTGGAATGCACTTCGCCGGTCAGCGTTGTGAGACTCACCAGCACCGTTTTGCCGGCTCCCTGGACGCCATTGAGGCCTAGGAAGAACGGCGGGGTATCGGCGCCGGACTTGCCGTCTTTGCGGTGCCGTTCAGCATGGGCGCGTAGGCGTTCCAGTAAGAAAGGAATGCAGTACTGCGACTTGTCGTCCACGATCTCCGGCATCGTGTGGGTGGTGGCCAGAATGGGTGGTGCCTTGTACAATTGTATTTCTATCGGCTACAGTGCCCGGCAAGTTGTCCGATCGGCGGGAATCTGGGGTTCTGCTGGCCCCGCGGGGTACGAGTCTACGCCACGCCGGCTCTCGGGCGAGATACTGCGACCAACTTTGGATTGTTGGATTTAGATGAAGGTCTTCAATATAGACTCTTAGTATGTTTGCAGCGTGCGTGGCTCGCGCTATTCAACGTTGAATGCACATGGCGATGACGTTGTCTGTCACATGCCTGAGTCAGCAGGCGGGACTCGGTACAGTCGAGAAGTAGCAGGAAGTACGCAGTGCCCTGACTGCAATGTATGAGTACATTAGAGAGTATGGGAGTACTCGCACAGAGTGTGAAATATTCTACCGGCATAAAGAGCATAAATTACTTGCTGGGACATGCTGGTGACCCCGGGGTACCTCCAGTTACCGCGCTTTCAGCGGTGGTACACGGCGGGACGCACGGCGAGGCGGCGCCGGTCCATCGGCATGTGAAGCGCTCTATCTGCCCGCGTAACATTACGTTTTCCCCATTTCTTACGGCCGCCAAAAGAGCCGAGGCACGATTTCCCCCAGCTCTACCGAGCTCGTTCTTAAACTCCCCTCCTTCCCCGTCTTTCCTCCTTCCTCGAGTTCGACGTCTAAGAACTGAACTGGTCGGACTTGTCCCTGCACATCATCATGTCCGAGCTACGCTTCGATAATCAGACCGTCGTCGTCACCGGCGCCGGCGGTGGTCTGGGGAAGGCATATGCCCTCTTCTTCGCCTCGAGGGGCGCCAACGTCGTCGTCAACGACCTCGGCGGTTCGCACAAGGGTGACGGCAAGTCATCAAAGGTACGTGCGACACCAAGCCAGGATCTGCCGGTCTCCCGCGCATCGACTAACGCTCGTTCTAGGCTGCCGATGTCGTCGTCGAGGAGATCCGCGCCGCCGGCGGTAAGGCGGTTGCCAACTATGACAGCGTCGAGAATGGCGAGGGAATCATTGATACCGCTATTAAGAACTTCGGTCGTGTCGATATCCTGCTTAACAACGCCGGTATTCTCCGGGATATCAGCTTTAAGAACATGAAGGATGAGGACTGGGACCTCATCAACCGCGTTCATACCTATGGTGCCTACAAGGTAAGTACTTGACCTTTCTGAGGATAATCTATCGCAAGTGCAAAGGCTGAGACGTGATTTTTAACAATAGTGCGCCCGCGCCGCCTGGCCTCACTTCCGTAAGCAAAAGTTTGGTCGCGTTATCAACACCGCCTCCGCCGCCGGTCTCTTCGGCAGCTTCGGCCAGGCCAACTACTCGGCCGCCAAGCTGGGTCAGGTCGGTTTCACCGAGACCCTGGCCAAGGAGGGTGCCAAGTATAACATTATTGCCAACGTCATTGCCCCTATTGCTGCTAGCCGCATGACCGCGACTGTGATGCCCCCGGATGTTCTGGAAAACCTCAAGCCCGACTGGGTCGTTCCCCTTGTTGCTCGTCTTGTCCACTCCTCCAACACTACTGAGACCGGTGGTATCTATGAGGTCGGCGGTGGCCACGTTGCCAAGCTGCGCTGGGAGCGTTCCAAGGGTGCTCTCCTCAAGACCGATGACTCTCTCACCCCCGGCGCTCTTGCCGCCAAGTGGAACGATGTCAACGACTTCTCCAAGCCCGAATATCCTACTGGACCTGCTGACTTCATGAGTTATCTGGAGGATGGTCTGAAGATGCCCAGTGCCCCCAAGGCCCAGGAGCCCGATTTCAAGGGCCGTGTTGCCCTGGTCACTGGTGGTGGTGCCGGTCTCGGCCGCGCATACTGTTTGCTGTTCGCCAAGTACGGTGCTTCCGTTGTTGTTAACGATCTGGTCGACCCCGAACCTGTTGTTCAGGAGATCAAGAAGGCCGGTGGTCAGGCCGTTGGCAACAAGGCCAACTGCGAGGATGGTGACGCCGTCATCAAGTCTGCTATTGATGCATTTGGCCGCATCGACATCCTGGTCAACAACGCCGGTATCCTGCGTGACAAGGCCTTCACCAACATGGACGACAACCTGTGGAACTCTGTTGTCAACGTTCACCTGCGCGGTACCTACAAGGTGACCAAGGCCGCCTGGCCCTACTTCCTCAAGCAGAAGTATGGCCGTGTTGTCAACACTGCCTCTACTAGCGGTATCTACGGTAACTTCGGCCAGGCCAACTACGCCGCCGCCAAGCTGGGTATTCTCGGTTTCTCCCGCACTCTCGCCATGGAGGGCGCCAAGTACAACATCAAGGTCAACACTATTGCCCCTAACGCTGGCACCAACATGACTCGCACCATCATGCCTGAGGAGATGGTCCAGGCCTTCAAGCCCGACTACGTTGCTCCTCTCGTTGTTCTCCTGTGCTCCGACGCTGCTCCCGAGCCTTCTACTAAGGGTCTCTTCGAGTGCGGCAGTGGCTGGTTCGGCCGCACCCGCTGGCAGCGCTCTGGCGGTCACGGTTTCCCCGTGGACGTCAAGCTGACTCCCGAGGAGGTGCTCGCCAAGTGGCCGCAGATCACCAACTTCGAGGACGGCCGTGCCGACCACCCCGAGGACGCCTCTGCTGGTGCCGAGAAGATCATGGCAAACATGTCCAACCGCGCCGGTGGCAGCGGCGAGAACGAGGTCCTCGCCAACATCGAGAAGGCCAAGGCTCTCACCACTGAGGGCACTGCCTTCGACTACACCGACCGCGATGTTATCCTGTACAACCTGAGCCTGGGTGCTAAGCGCACCGATCTGCCTCTGGTGTACGAGAACAACGAGTACTTCCAGGCCCTGCCCTCGTACGGTGTGATCCCCTGGTTCAACACCCAGACCCCCTGGAACATGGACGACATTGTCAAGAACTTCTCTCCCATGATGCTCCTGCACGGTGAGCAGTACATGGAGGTCCGCAAGTTCCCCATCCCTACCACTGCCAACACCCTGACCTACCCCAAGCTCATCGACGTTGTCGACAAGGGCAACGCTGCTCTGGTTGTGGCTGGTTACACCACCAAGGACGCGAAGACCGGCGAGGACCTGTTCTACAACGAGTCCACCGTCTTCATCCGCGGCAGCGGTGGCTTCGGTGGCTCTCCCAAGCCCACTGCTGCCCGCCCCAAGGGTGCTGTCGCAGCCTACAAGCCTCCTCAGCGCCAGCCCGATGCCGTGGTCGAGGAAAAGACTTCCGAGGACCAGGCTGCTCTGTACCGCCTGAACGGTGACCGCAACCCGCTGCACATCGACCCTGAGTTCAGCAAGGTCGGTGGCTTCAAGATCCCCATTCTGCACGGTCTGTGCTCGCTCGGTGTTGCTGCCAAGCAGGTCTTCACCAAGTACGGTGCCTATAAGAACCTGAAGGTCCGCTTCGCCGGTGTCGTGCTGCCTGGCCAGACCCTCAAGACTGAGATGTGGAAGGAGGGCAACACTGTTCTCTTCCAGGCCACCGTGGTCGAGACCGGCAAGCCCGCCATCACTGGTGCTGGTGCCGAGCTGCTCGAGGGCGCCAAGGCCAAGCTGTAAAATATGGAATCTTTCGGTGAAGCGTTCTTACACTGGCATGCAAGCTGGGATACTCCAGTCGGAATGCTCCTTCTTATTTGTATGTACATAAATTTGGCTGCTTGTTTCTTTACTACCACTCCAATGATTTCTGGGATTCGACCTCCTTTCCTACTGCTAGTACCATCAACTGAGTGTAAGATGTAATCTGTCTCAGCCTTATCTATCCTCCGATCTGGTGCATCGCATCGCATCCGTGGTGGGCATGTTCGACGCGGCCTGCGCAAGGGATGCTCTAGATCGCCGCCGACCGAGCAGTAGATAATAATAGACAGTCATCTCAACAAAAAAAGCGCTCAGAATGCCATACATTCACCAAGCCACATCAGGTGCCCTTTCTAAAACATTTGAAAGATTCCCGGCCCACTCCGTCAGTCCTGTTGACCACCGGCAGTTAGTACATACTGCGCTAGTGTTAGTCGCAGGCAACACCGTTGCCTTATGTAACCGCTCGCCATCCTTCATTCTTCTTGCTCCAAACAACCTCCCCCCAAAGAAGTCGCAGAACCCAGCAAGCAGCCACCCCGACCATGTAGGAGGCATCCATCGCCAACCCCAACCATGGTGCTCTCGCTGCCCGTCCCCAGCTTCGTCCGAGCCTCCTCCACTCCCCCGCGCCCCGCCGACGCCGACGCGCCCGCACCGCAATCCCGCCGCCGCCGCGGATCAGCGGCCGGTTCCTCCTCCAGTTCCTCGTCCAACCGCAGCCTCTGGAGATCATCTACAAGTGGTGTGCCAGATGCGACGGCCTCCTCGCCAAGTAACCAGCCCATCATCTTAGAAGCGTTGCGGAATAATCCGTTCGGGAGCACGTCGCGGTCTCGCTCGATACAGCTGTCGATACAGGAAGTGGAAGAGCAGAAACGAGAGCAGGAGGAACTGAATGCTTCGCTCGAGACGCTGGCGCGGATCTTCCCGGATGTGAGGATCGAGGTCTTTCGCGAGTTGTTGGTACGGTTTGATGGTCAGAGTCGGCTGCAGGTTTGCGTCGAACAGCTGCTTCGTCATAAGAAGGAATGGGTTTCTGGTCGTTGGAATATCCCTGATGGCCAACAACAGTATGGGAAGGATGGCAAGGCTGGTGAAAGACCTGCTTATCACAGTGTGGCCGCGGAGAATCTAGTCCCTCCCGAGGAACGATTTCGATCTGATGAATACAAGGCTGCTGTGCGGATGGCGCTGTCGAAGGAATTCAGCAGCCTCAGCAAGAGCACTCTTGATGCTGTACTGGCTGAAGTGAATTTCAGTTATGTGCGAGCAAGACCAACGCTACGGGATCTATCGCGCCGGACATGGAGGGCTACCTTTAACAGCATCTTTCCGTCGTTCAAGCGCAAGAAAGATAAGGACGAGCACCCGTTTGTGACCTGGTATCGACACGCAGGTGGTGATATTGTTCCCCGGCTCAAAGAAACAGGATGTGCCGAGCTTAATGGCGAGATCCACGCGATGTTTGTTGCGCCTGTTCTGTTGCAACATCGTGAGGAGCAAGAGTCGGGCGATTTCCGAATCGCCTCCGAACTGAATGAGAAGGAGGCGCAGGCGGCCGATGCCCTTTATGAATGTGAATGCTGTTTTGCAGACGTGACGTTTGAGCAAATCGCAACGTGCTCGGCCAATACCCATATCATTTGCTATACCTGCATCCAGCGAACTATATCCGAAGCGCTTTTTGGGCAAGGTTGGGGCAAGTCAGTTGACTTGGAGCACTCGACGCTGAAATGCATTGCTCCCTTGTCTGTCGGCGCCTGCGAGGGATGTCTTCATCCGGAAATTGTGCGTCAGGCTGTCCTACTGGATACAGCTGGTCCTGAGACATATCGCAAATTCGAAGATAGATTGGCTTCCGATACCCTGATAAAATCACAATTGAAGCTCATTCGATGTCCGTTCTGCTCCTACGCCGAAGCGGATCCCGTCTATCATCCTTCGTCCCGTGGCATTGTCTGGCGTGTCCGTCGGGATGGAGGCATTCTTTCGAGCGTTCTGATGACCATTCTCATCCTTGACCTTATTCCTTTTCTCCTGCCGATTCTCTTGGTCTTGATGATTGTGGTCCCGACGTACCCTAACACCGTTTTCAACAATGCCCTCCGCCACCTCTGCTTCAAGCTCCGACCCAAGAGATTTACATGCGCGCATCCATCTTGTCAGCGGGTTAGCTGCATGACCTGCGAAAAGCCCTGGCAAGACCCACACGTCTGCCACGAACCACTCCTCCTCGACCTCCGCGCGACAGTCGAAGCCGCACGCACGGCAGCAGTGAAACGAACGTGTCCACGCTGCGGCCTCTCCTTCGTCAAATCTTCCGGCTGCAACAAGCTAACCTGCGTCTGCGGATACTCAATGTGCTACCTATGCCGAAAGGCACTAGGACCACAGATCCGCGGAGTGGAAGCAGATCGGCCCAGACGACCCCGTCTACAAGCCCTCGACGGACCCGCCGACGACGGAGACGAAAGAGACGCAGAAAATTCCTCCGAAGACGAATTCGAAGAACCAGAAGGCTACAAGCATTTCTGCGAGCACTTCCGCATAAACCCTGGCTCCAGCTGCACAGAATGCAGCAAATGCGACCTCTACCAAGCCGAAGATGAAGAAGCCGTTGCCCGCCGTGCAGGCGAGAAGGCCGAGCGCGAATGGATCATTCGTCAGGGTGAGTCGGCAGACAGTACCTCCGCCTCTGCCCTCGGACTCCGCAATGTCAATCAGGACTTGTCGGCTGGTGCGAACGGGAATTCAGTCGCCCGCCGAGCCTCGAATGCATTGTGGGACCTGCAGTTGACCCATGGGAAGCCTTGGAGTTATTGGCTGGGTGACGTTTGGTCGGAGGGACGGTGGAAATTGGAAGCGCAGGTTTTGGTGAATTGGGTTGTTGAGCAGGTTCTTGTTATTGACGAGATTTGAGTCTGTGTTGAGCAGTGGATTTGATGTTTTTGATTTGGTTCTGGGTTCGGGTCGAAAGAGTCCGGATAATGGTTGGACCGGCGTTGGGATATGGATTCGACGACTGATGACTGATATGACAATCGCTATTTCTGGCACGTCTAGCCTTACTTTCTTTAATTGATTTGCTTGATTTTCTGGGGTTGAATATGAGTCTTGGACTTCAGTGCTTGGACATTGCTTTGCCCCAGCTTTCCCAGTACTCTTACTGAGACGCCTTCACTCCCATGCTTGAGTCTTCACATCTCTTTCCATCTCTCCACATCCTCTACTCTCGACCACATCTCTTCTCCATCTCATCTGTCCTCGACTGTTCTTCTTGAACATCTTCCATCTGAGATGGGAAATTCATTGTCCTCATTGCTGATAGAATTTAATATCTCCCTTGATGAAAGGGCGGACCTCGAAACCGAAGACTCTAGTCCAAATACTGTTGCTGTGCTCGATTCAATGAAATTCTAGACGCACTTGGAATCATTTCGTTACCCATAACATCTGCCCCTGTTCAACAATGCCTTCATCGAGCGTCGGACATTTCAATTTCGCCTGTCATTCCCTTTCGGAAGGAGAAAGACAAAAGAAAGAGAGGAAGGAATATTCAGCTCTGAGGATATGAAGCTAGCTTCTTCAGTCGGCCAAGAAGCCAAGGTCTCTGTCTCGGTTTTTAATGTTCTTCGAATCATTCTGAAATTGCACAAGTATCGGGAATTGATGGAATGGCGACATCCCAAGTTTCAGCAGAAAATTCTCTTCTCAAGTGGACTTCACCAGAATTATACCTGCTGCAACCACTGACCGATCGTTTCCTTTTTAATTTTGGATAACCCGATCCCACAATGTAATTTTCTCCCGATCTGCTTTTCTCAGTGACTGCCTCACAATATATTCTTTCATCTCGGCTTTGTGATGTGGTTGTGGGGCAGATCGTTGCTGCATCGAGCTGTGGGTAAATCGCCGGCAGCATAGTGGAACGGTTCAGGGGTTCACGCCAAGTTCGCCGGGGTTCCATGGAACAGCACTGTGTGAGGGAATCAGAAATTAGAAAAAAATACTCGGGTTTGGTAGGGACTGCCCTTTTGTTAGTGTAATAGACTACAATCCCACCCTCTGCACTAACAATTGTTAGTCTGCGAGATCGCCGCTGCCAGTGCAACTAGCACTTTGCTACAGACAGCCCTAAAGACCGATGGAAGTTTAATGGCCGGGCTGAACCTACCGCCCGCAACACCGTTGACCACAAGGAAAGCGCCTCCCCGAAAGATCGCGGCACCTTTCCACTCCTCGCCCTGCGTGTCTCGGAATTCAGCTCGGTTCCATGAATGTCGGCGGGGGAGATCTGCTGCATGGTACAGCTGTGATCCACTATGATTTGACCGGACGGGGCCTGACTGGCGAGCCCTGAGACCCTCATGCACGCTCTGTTCGGCTCCACTGCAGCTCAAACAATCCCCTGCACTGGCCGTGGCTTGTGGATCGACAACGCTACGCTACACCCAATTTACCCCATACGCTGACATCAGAGGGGCAGCTCGTCGCTCGTCTAGCTCAGCAGGAGCTTCAATAGGGAAAAAAGATGAAGTTGAAGGGTACTGGCAATGCCGCATGGTCATCTGAGATTGAGATGTACCTTTCCCATGCGATCCCAAACTTACTCGCAGCCCAACCACCTCGCAACCAGCCTTTTCCTGCAGATGATCCAAGGATCGCGATCGCAGATCGACGTGGGGGGGTTTCGCCAACTCGACTCAAATGGTCAAAGTCGAGTGGCGCATCCTCCAGCATAAATAGACCGTCATCGCCCCGTCATGCACGCCATATAAGAAAAAGCTCTCACTCTACCTTCCCTCAAAGAATCTATCCCTCCCAACCCCATCCATCCCCTCCCAAAATGAAGTTCGTCACCAACCTCGCCCTCCTGGCCACCGCCACCTCGGTCGCCGCCGGCCCCGTCCAGAAGATCTTCAACATCGTCACCTCCGGCGCCACAGACGACAGCAACAACGGCCTGTACCTCTCCACCCAGCGCGTGGACCCGCTGAACAGCAACGCCGTCTTCCGCGCTCAGGAGGATGCCGCCGACTTTTACGTCGTCAACGATACTATCCGCTACGATGCGCCGAACAAGGCCCCCTATGCCATTGCCCTGGTGTCTGGTTCCGAGCCCCAGGGTGATGTGGAGATTAGCGTTAGCCCGACGACCGGCAGTGAGGGATTTAGCTTGACGAGCGAGAAGAAGGTGAAGACTTCTCAGCAGAACTTTGGCGGGTGGTTGGGTAAGTCATTCCTGCTGCATCAGCTTTATTCTGGAAGTAGTTGCTAATTGGTCATATTTTAGTCTGTGATGGCGAGAATGGTGTCCAGGCCCTCTACTATGAGAACACTAGCGCCGGGGACATTGTTCCGGATGGCTGCGATTCCGTGCAGCTGGATGCTGTTTTCAAGAGCTCTTAGAGCTGTTTGAAGGCATTTCTCATTTTGGGTTGGATTTGGTGTTTGTTCTCTTCTCACTTGTATATTCTTTCATTTGATTTGGGATTAGAGTGTTGGACAGATGGGTGTTACATAAAATTACAATAATGGAGCTTGTTTGCCACTTGCGTTATCTGCCCTACGACGCACTGCAAGGTAAACAATACAAACTGGAAGACCAGTGGTCTGAATCTGTCTTCATCGCATTAAATTTACACTGTAAATACATCGTAAGCTTGGTACTCCTTGCTATTGTGTTAGTATAATCCCATAGGCCATTGAGGCAATAGGTGTGGCAAATATCGGTCGATCTACAGTAAAAGCACTCTTCTCGACACAGCCCAAGCCCGTTGTCGATATGATATGATATTGCTCAGTGGAAGATAAACGAATTCGAAGGAGTGTTCAAAAGTGTCCGCTTGTCTGTTAGATGGAAGTGAGCCTTACTGACAGACGTACATACTACAGTCTAGAGAAACACTTGACTTGGCAAGAAGATCAACATGGATTTGGATATGTCAGGGAAAGATGAAGCACAAAGAGATCCTGGAGGAATGGTGTCCCCGAACCATGAAGAGTCAAGTTCCTGAAAGCATCTCCATCCATTGGAGCATTCAGATGAGGTGCATGAAGACACTCATTCTCTCCCCAAGCATTCCTAGATCAGACAACTTTTTGAGAGTTTTGAGAGGAGATGGGTGAGCCTTGAATATATAACCATCGGGTGCCCCTAAAACATAAAAAAGACCCAAAAAATAATTTCAAAATCACATAAGTCCAGCCTCATCCAAATTCCTCGCCAGATGATGCTCATGTGGAACTTCCTCCTTTTGAATCGCCCTCGGCCTCGCATAGTAGACATAAAAGACCTCAAGAGTTAGCCCCATCAGTGTCGTAAAGCTGACATGGAAATTAGCAAAGATATTCCAAAATGAAGCGGAATCATGTGATACTTACAATGCAATGAAAGCGAAAGCCTCAGCGGTATACTTCCTACTGCAGACCGTCTCGCCATTCCATCGAATGACGCGACAGCTAATCCGGTTGAAATCGAGCGCTAGGAAGACGAATGAGGTGAGCCACCTAGAGAGATCAGTAAAGTGAAAATACCATATGCCATAGTATGACTTGGTAAGGCTCACAGGTATGATAAAGCTGCATCGGTCAAGATTAGCACTAAAATATGCCATTTGTTTCGCCTGGCTATGCAGCTTATGCTGGTCGAGCAGGCCACTACGACGAGGGTCAAGACCGCCTGGACATATTAGAACCTCGAGGCATTAGAAAAAAAAAAAAGAAGCAAAGAGGTACTTACAATAACCAGAGTGAAGATAACGGTCACAGTCTTCGTATCTCGCGTGGCCCAGGCTATGATGCCTAGGACGACGATGGCGCTGAGTACTTGGACGGCGCGGGCGACCCAGCCTACTCTGCCTAGCGGGTGGCTGTGGAAACTCTGCATTCTTTCCATGTTGGGAACTTCTCCAGGACAGCGTAAGAGGTTGAGATATTGTTCGATTTTGCGATTCAAGAGATATCTGGTAAAGATAGTGGGATGAATCGTGGATGTGCTGCTTTGTCGCGTGTTCGTGGCGGGAGTCGATGACCTCACGATACAACGGCGACTGTGAATGTGGCATTAGTCATCTCCCACGGGGATTGTTGTTTATTGGGGAGTTAAATACGGGTTTGAGGAATTGCGATTTTGCTCTGAATAGATGGATCGCTTACTTTCACCGTAGTGGTGTGGTCGCCAATGCCGAGTCGCGATGCATACCTGGCATCGGTAGAAGTATGTGCTAGAGAGAAATTCATTTTTTAGAAAGAATATGAACACTCCACTGCACAAGGAACGACTTCGCCTTGATTCTTACATTGCTTGAGAAATACTCCGAACCAGCTGTCCGCATCTGATCTGATTTCCGGATCACGGGGCTCAAGACCTTAGCCTGATCCACTTTATTTGGGGGCGCCGACTAACCCGAACATGTTGGGCCTCTTAGACCCTGGCCCCATCGCGATGAATCTTACCCCTTTACCGCGTCCTCGGAATCCACGATCGCACACGGCAAATCATTCACAATGGGCTTGACGAAGCTCTTGACATTGACGACTCTGGGCCTCGTGGCGGCCGAAACATCCGTCGTGTCGCTGTTCCTGTTCGACGCGTACGAGGCCGAAGGTGGAGCTGATGCTCATTCGCTGGCCGGCTCGGTCGTGGCCGTGGTATGAATGAACCGAAATCTACCAGCATTGTTGAGATATTTTCTAATTTGATGGGATAGGACGCTGGCACCACCACTTACAGCATTAACTGTGGCCCGGGTGTCGACTCCAACGAATGCCCGTTTCTGCCGGGATTGTGGTACACGCAGGGTCCCACATCTATTGAATATGCCTTGCAGAGCCCTTATGACAGGTAGGTATCTCCACTGGATAATGCAATTCTCTCACGTCGGTTACTAATGCGATATAGATACGGCACCGTGGCCTGCTCGCTGGGAGGCTCTACCTCTGCCGTCTGCACGGATGTGCTTCCCACGACGGGCTCGAACTCCATGCAGCCGCAGACCACCTCCATTGGGAAGGACATGATTGCTTCCGAGCGTGTGACGATCACTGCCGGGGCTACTGCGACCGCTACCGGTGCCTCGGCTACCAAGACTGATGAGTCGAGCAGTACTGCCGATTCTAGCACTGCCGACTCTAGCAGCGCTACTTCTCAGGGCACGGGTGCTTCTTCGACTAGCACCGGTGGGCTGCCTCAGATTACTGCCAGCCCTGGACTTGCGCTGGGTGGTGTTGCAGCAGCACTGGCGGCAGCTGCTCTGTGAGATATCTATACTATTTGTTATTATTGAAAGCGTATACTTGCGCTCTCGCAAAAATCAAATAATCATTTAATCACTGCCAGTCTGAATAGGAGACGTAGACACAAGTTCCAAACATCCAGAAGACCACCAAATCAATACTTTGAACTCAATTCCCTCTTCGACTCACTCATCGCGATCCCGCCCCTCCCTCTCCTCCGTTGCCTTAAGCTCCAACCTCCGAATCCTCACCAACAAATCATCATCACCCCGCGACCAAAGATCCTCCTTCGCCTCCTTCTCATTTCCCTCCTCATCAGAAGACCCAGCCCCAATCAGTGCCTTCAGCGCCCCTAACTCCCTTAACCGCATCAATCGCAGCCCAATCCGTCGACACTCCCAATCAAGCTGCTCGCGCATGGCCAGACGATCATGATAAAGATCATCCAGGCGGGTAATGCTCAGCGTATCATCGCCCTCACACTCCTCGTCAATGGGAGAAGGTCCATCGCGCGGTTCGGGTCGCAGTCCCTGGTGCTGAATCTGAGGGAGAGGGAACGACATCAGCGTTGCGGCCGTGGGCTGGTATTCGCTTTTGTGGGAGAGGAGGTTGACGAGTCGTTCGAAGTTCTTTGAGACGCTCTCCGGGAGCTCGTCGGTGATGGAGTCGCCGGTGCGTTTTCTTTTTGTACTGAAGAGGGAGCCTATGCTGCTGGCGGCGCTGCTGGGGGTTTCGGAGTGCGGGTCGAGGATCACCGTTGAGGCGGTTGAGGCGCTGGGGGTCAATTTGGACGAGGGGACCGCAGGGCTGTGTGGTCCGGGCCGGGGGAATGTGGTGCCAGCTCCGACTATGTTGATGATGTTCGTGCTTGGGGAGTGCGGATGCTGTTTGTGGCACATTTTGATAGAAAAAGCTGGTATAGTGTACGGCTGTGATGTTAGTTAATACTTATGGCAAGAATGGTCAAGTGTAGGTTGAAGTAGAGGACAAGTGTCGCATAGATGGTTGTGTGTAAGACTCACCTGGATGAGAGATGATGTGAAGCATATGATGATGGGTTTTGGAAAGGAAGGAGATTTTCTGGAGGAAGACGGAAGTATTTATGCCACACCGTAGATTTGCCAGTGCAAACATCATGATGAACTATGGACGGCTTCTTCTTTGAAGCGGATCTATACATCGCTGGGAGGTTCCATAGAGCATCATGGCGATGGTTTGCCAAACCTGAGGCAGACACTGAGCCACTATTTACTTACCTTGGAAATGACACTCTGATGGACTGCCTAGCCAAGATATCATCAGACCGTTCAACGATTCGTACAAGAACAGAATAATTGACCCAGGAAAGATACAGCTTCAATAAAAGTATGAGCCGAGGCTATTCTCTAAAAAATATCAGCTTGAGTCTATAAGTTCAAATTATTTTTCCCAGTAGCAGTGACAACGCGATATTGCGGTATAGAATACTTTCAAGGAATCTCGATTAACAGACCTAGGAATGTCAAATGGGTCCTCTAATACTAGTGCAGTGCAGTCCATTACGGTCGCTTAGCTGCGACCACGAGAGCTTGACAAAACAAGGTCTTTGATGGACATTAGTTGCGCTTCTTGATGGGTCACGTCGAGAGAGAACAACATTGACAATGAACTACTCAAACTCTATCAGCGGCCCGAAAATAAAGACAGGCTCATGAGATGGCACTGTGCTACATACTATATTTTCTATTATGACCGAGTAAATGAATCTGGCTTCAACGCGATTCAATACTTGCAGGCAAGCCTTCCCTCCCGATTTTGGGTACAACATTGTGGGTGAAGGTGGCACTGGACTATTAATAGGCGGATGTCTCACACGCCCTTGACTGCCGCCACGCCCGATCGGGTTAGTCCCGCAATACACCTAAAACACTTCTCGTCGCTGCTTCTCTCGCTTTCTCATCACCTCGCCACTGCTCTCGCTTCTCGCTACTGTCGCGCTCTCTCTCTCTCGTCGCTCGTTAGACTGTGTTGTCTCGTTTACGTCGCTGGGAGCTGCTTCGGAGATCCGCCTTACCCCCGGAACTCACGAACCCACACATTCCAGTGATCTGCAAGTCTCAGGGTCCAGAACAGCCCGGCTGACATTTTCCCACATTTCTCTTGTTTTAATCGCTCTTGACCTCGCTGCGAACCCTTCTGGACGCTTTCGTCTGGCCAGTGACGCTTCAAATCAACCCCTGAGTACTTGGAAGTGCTGTGTCAGTTCGGCCAGCTTCTCCACTCGGCCCGTTCGTGCAAGGGGGTCTGTTGATACGCCTTTTCTTCCGACCGGGAGATCTGAGTGCCGCCCGCCTCTGATCTGACCTCCATAACTCACCGATCGATATCCCCGACTCTCACCATGCGATTCTTCATTTTCAGCGTTTTATGCAGCTTCTTGCTGCTGGGGACACTGACTTCGGCGTGGCCGTGGGGACCCGATAAGCTGGTGGCTCGGGATGCGGTCTATGAACGAGCAGGTACGTGCCTTTGAAAACGGCTTGCTCCCTCCTCCTTTGATGCCAATCTGACCTTGTATCAGATAAAACCGCCGAATCCACCGCGACCGAAACAGCTGCCTCTACTTCTGCCTCCGAGACTGAGACCGCCACGAATACCAAATCCTCAAAGGACGAGACCACGACCGGCACCAACACGGAGACCAGTACGGATACGAAGACCAAGAGCAAGTCGGACAAGTCCAATACCAAAACCACGGCGACTAGTTCGATCTCGATTGACCCCGCCGCCGGTGCTGGTGGTATTTCCATGATCACTCTCCGTCTCATCATCCACAACATACTTCAGAATCGGTCAGAATGCAACCTTCGTCTGGAACTACACCTCGTTATCTGTGACGCCCTCGCATGTCAACGTTGTGGCATCCTGCAGTCTAAACAGTGCGACCTACACCCTGACCTCCAACATGAGCGTGCACGAAACTGGCAAGGTCGTTTGGGACACCAATGCGACCCAGACCATTCCTCTGCTCACAGCGACTTACACCTTGTTCGTTGTTGACTCGGAGAAGGAGCTCGGTGACACTGCCAAGGCTGGCTACCTGAGCTCTCAGATTGGATACAGCTTCGGCATGTACTCGCCTCTGCCTTACACTCCACTGAATGGTGAGTTACTGCCCCCACATATATGCGGAAACAACTGTACTAACTGCATACAGAATTCAAGTGCGCGACATGCAACGGTGCGTTGTCCGACGTTCAGCGGCAAGGCCTCAAGTTCGCCATCGGTATGGCTGCCATCACGATTGCCTCCTTTACCTGGTTCGTCGGCGGCCTGGGTATCTTCGCCACCTAACGAGCCCCTTTCGACGAGGGAAAGTGACATTCTAATGGATATATTGACTGGAGTTTCATTGTTTGAAAGCGAAACTTGAAAGCGACACAAGGTTACGATAATAGCAAGAGAACGGCGTTTTGGACATTGCGGACGTAGGTCAGCGAATTTCGAATTATTCTTTTTTAATATTGATTTGGATGCAGACTGCATTGGATATTTATGCGATCGGCCGGCATGTTTCGTCAGGCTATCATTTCCTGCTTTGTATTTTCGGATTGGGGTATTGCATGTTTTAACCTATTGCATCTCGGAAATAGGACAGGATGTAATTGTTATTGTCTGGTTCTTAGTAGGGAGTAGTCTCGGCAGAATACGCATGCATGAAACCAAGAATCGCAGAGCCTCCTGAAAGGTAAGACATATGGCATGAAAGAAGGATTCTAGAAGGCTTTTAAACCAGCCACCCGGCGTGGAGTAACAATATGCGGCTCTTGATTGCAGTTCGGGTGTCAATTGCTTGCCTGTTGACGTGTCTACAAACGAGTGCTCAAAACGTCCTGCACAACCACAACGTAAATGCCATAGACCGCAGAAGACAATCAAGAGCCGCAAAAGTATACCAAAGCGCATCGGCATATCATTGAATAAATTCAATGAAAACGCAAGACTAGATTGTAATAAGAGTATAAAGTCGCTTAATTGTTCTGCACTCTGGGCATCCAGCATTTCATCTCATCCCATCCCACCTGTCAAATCCCAAAACAAATACCCCCAAATCACCCGAATCCACACAAAAGAACCAAAAATGCCCACAGAACAAGCCCTAGGCTGGATATGGCCCAAAGATCCGAGACCAGGAAACCCAAGCACCTGGCCCCGCCGCTGGCGCCTCTTCGACGTCCTCCGCAACAAAGGACCAGACATTTACGTGGGCGTGATCCGGCCCGCGAAGGGCCGCACAAAAGAAACGGCAAAAACAACATTGAAAACGGACTGGGCGCGCTGGGAAGACGAGGAACTGGATAAATACGACACGCCGTTCTTCTGGGCGAGGCGCGGGGGAGGAGAGGTACGATTTTCGACGACGGAAGTATCTTATCCCGGATCATGGGACTTGGAGTCGGGTGGAGTATTGTGATGGTGTCAGGGTTGGTGGGAGGTGGATTTCTGGGAGGGAGGAAAGACATGTTATTCCAAGAAAGTTTTGGGATAAGAATGGGGTGTTTTATCCCGCTGGTGAGTGGCATGATGCGTTTTATGGGGTGCATGAGGATTGGAGGAGGTGAATTTGAAAATTTTCGGAATATTCTTGAGAGATTTGATGGGAGTGTTGATGCTAGGGTATTAGGTACATGACGTTTGAGAGTCTGGTTTTGGGATTGGGGAGTTTTCATGCGCAGGTGGCGTGTAGGGCGTCGAATTTGGGTATCTGCTGGTCGTTCTGTGATGATTGCATTGAGCTGAACCGGCGGATGGCTGGTAGCTGCGCGACGTCGTTGGCGAGTCTGTTGCATTTGGCACACGGTGTCTGTTTGATGTCGGCATATGACGAGATCATGTCCTAAAGAGATTATTAACTCATGCCCTTGAAATGGGAAAACTGTGAACATACCAGTAGGAATGAAAGATCCCATTTCTTCTTTCGCGAGTTCAAGCAGTCCTGGACCGCCTGCTCCAGCTTCGTCAGGGACCGACCAGCAGGAGCTTGACTGGAAACCTGCCATTCAGGCACACCCGAGGTATCCGACTCCTTCACACCCTTGACTAAAAAGACGATACCCGCCTTCGTAAGAACAGCGGTCAACGACAACGGTTCTTCCCTCTTGATAACACGCACACCAGGCAAATTCCGTTGAGAAAACTTTTCGATAATAGCCCCCATTCTCCCTGGGAAGTTTGCAAATTAGATCGCTCTGTCTGGTCCTTTTCCCGGCCCCTCTCCACCTCTTTCATCTTTTCCTTCTCAACAAGGCCCTTTAGAATCACATCGTAATCCTTCTCCCACATACAAGACGGTTGAATGAGCTGGCCGTTGGCCTCCTTGATGCGTGACTCCACTTGGCTCCAGACAGGTTTCATCTCGATGCTGCGCCATTCAGATTGGAATTTCCCGATACGCGTGATACGATCGCGCGCCACTCGATCCAGTTCAGTACGAAGCTGGGCCGGTGAGTCTGGCGCTGGCTTTCCTGGAAGAAGGGGATCCAGAAGGCCCTCGGGTAGGAAAAGGCGTAATTCGTGAATCTGCTTTTCATCAGCCAACTGCCAGTGGTTCGATGAAGACCAGGCCCACGACATTCAATGCCACGCGGGACGGGGTTGAAACTCACCTTCCGTTCCAGCTCCTGCAATTTCGCTAGTGATGATACAAGTTGAAGCTCGGACTCCCAGTTGGCCTGCGGGCCATCGTTGCCATCCGATTGTGTGACTGGCTGGCCATTGGACACCGGAGTAATGCCCTCAGTCTTCGGCATGCTGCCAATCGGCGCTATACCCTGGGCGGGCGCTGAGGTGGGAGCGGCTGACATCGTCGCGTGTGGTGAATGTGAAGCACACGAAGGGCCGTGTCAATGAGTGGAAGCGCTTCGGCTGGGCAAGAGCGCAGTTTCAGAAGGCTCTTGCGATTATGTGGCTGCGCCCTCGATGCCTGGTGGAACTTTAGAATAGCGAGCGCAGGGCCAACAATGGCGGGACTGTTTCAAGTTGTGGCAGCTTGATGATCTCCGGATGTTCAGACTGAGGCGGCAGACTGTGTCTTGGTTTTGCGCGGGGGCTTTGAGCTGCCAAAGAGGTCGATGAGGCCAGCTCTCTTTATTCGATTGCCTGCAGGTCATTCAGGTTGTCATCAATGAGGCAGGAGCGCGGATGGAGATGCCGTGGGAGACGAAAAATTAGCCACTGTGGCGCGAAATAGTGGCTGGTGATATTAGATAAGCATATCTCATGGCAAGCGGCGTTTTCGATATTTCAGAATTCATTTTGTTTTCTGAGCAATGATTCTGACTTTCCATACTCAATGGAACTTAAGCTGTGATCTTAGGTCGTAAGGAATCTGTTTTTAGTGCTTTGGGTGGTGGCAGCGCATGCCTGAACTGTTCGAATCCTTATCACTACATTGGCAGCGGGATAACCAAAGCAACCTGCCACAGCTCTAAATATTTCATTGTCTTCAAAACAGCTCATTGTAATCTAAAAGAGAAATTTTAATTCTAACTGAGTCTGTGTTTTTCGAGTGTCAAGTGTATAGAAAATATCTCGCACCCTTTATTCCTCTTTGTTGCGCGGGCCTGCCCGTCGAGCTATCTCATTTCGAATGACAACGTATCCGCGATACCAGAAGCTTTAAAAAGACACGATGAACTCATCGTAGGGATATCATTCCAAAGTGTGAAATTTCCAATCCAGAATGCAATCCGACCAAGATTATTTGATCTAATTACATCAAGATGGATTTCGTCACGAACAAGACTTGCACTACGTCACCTCCTGCGACCTATTCTGGTCGAAGACAAACCCAGAAGAGGACACTGGGAAGGATTAGGCTTCAAGGTCCTCCGAAAGTTGCGGAAGGTTGGGCACCCGACGACCAAGATGTAAGTCCACATCGATTTCTTATATATTTCCTTAAAAATTTACCTTCCACACTCATAGCTTCCCATTGACCCGCAGGTGGCGCTTCAGGAAGACATATACGAGATATGAATCACTGAATACGATGCCCCATGAGATGAAGAAGATGTCTTTCACGACGCAACTGAGTTTTTGAATTCATGAACCTGATCACATTCATGTAGTTGAGGACAGTCATGAAACCCCAAAGAACCAGGAATCGTGTTATACTCCATGCGCGTTGTACCGCTTAATTAATCGATTTTATCGGATTGAATATACCAAGCGACAATTTCGTAATTATCGAAGAACCAGGAGGATGGTTTAAAGGCGTCTCTTGTTTCTCCGCTTAAGATGGAAGGAATGGAAAGTCGCGGACAGATTGGGCATGGTTGAATATTCATCTGGTCGTTGTACTCGGGCTTTGGCCTTTTTCAACGGAACCTTTCTGGTTTCTATAGACAGGTCGGTGGGTGTTTGAATTGGATCTATTCTCAATTACTTCGGCTATTAGGCACTGCTAGGCTAGATATCAGCTCAGCGCTTATCTCACCTTCAAAAAAAGTAGACCCAGCCATTATGAGAGACCTCAATTATATAATAATCACTCTAAAATTTGATATTTCGATCCGCGTCTACGCGTGCTATCCCCAGTCTACAGGAGCATCAGACCACTTCTGCAGTGGTTGTAGCTTCCTGATCCAGACACGCCACCCGCAAGGGGCAAGTCAGCCGCTCGGAAAGGTTTAACCCTCCTTATGTAAGTCACTTCATCCCAAAGCGGGAGCTGCAACCCGCGGACCGGACAAGCCGAGCTCGGCAAAGGCGCTTGACTTGCCCCAATCGTGCGGAGTGGATCGCATCGTCTCGCCCACACAGTCGCCTTCGCCCAAACTCCGCGTAAATGGCCGTCTCCGGCTTCCCCGGATTCCCAGTTGCGCCTGGCAGGGCCCGCCGTGGGCCTGCATCCCGGTCTGCTCATTGGATCTCGCCGCGTCGACAATGATGCGGGTGGGCTCCATGACTCGGGTTCGAAGCGCGGGTAGCTGAACCCGGCTTGTCATGGTCGGCATGGTTATAAGCGAGCGGATCCCGCTTAGCTCTTTGGCTGAGATTTACAGGGGTATCGACTGATTCTACTATATCTGCTATTATGCGTTCTTGGTATGGAAGGGGTCGTTCCCTGCAGGCTGCTGTGACGGCTTGTTGTTTGGTGGCTTTTGTTCTGTATGTTGATTGGGATGAGGTTGAATTTCGTTCTGTGAGGTTTACTGTCGCTAACGTGTGGTGTCTTATACAGATTCGGATATGATCAAGGGGTGTTCAGTGGCATCGTTGGAAATGACGATTGGAGGAAGCAGTTTGGCTATCCCAATGATACCGAAGAGGGTATTATCGTCAGTTGCTACAACCTGGGCTGTTTGTTGGGATGCTTGAGTGAGTGACACTTCCATCTTCAAACTTAGGCATTTTTTCTGACGGGAATTTCAGTCAATTTCTGCATCGGAGAGACACTTGGTCGCCGGAAGACCATCTGGCTGGCGATGGGCGTCGTGATTGTTGGCGCTATTCTCCAGACCACTGCTTTCACCGTGTCTCATCTTATCGTCGGCCGACTAGTAACGGGAGCGGGAACTGGTTTGAAAACATCAACCGTCCCAATGTGAGTTTTCTCTAGGTATGGTGATGATATAGCCAAGGCATAATACTGATTTTGCCACAGGTACCAAGCCGAGATGTGCGAAGGTAAGACCCGAGGTCGCTTGATATCTTCCGAAGTTCTATTCACTGCCGTTGGCATCGTGGTGGCATACTGGTTTGACTTTGGCATGTCGTTTGTCGGGGGTCCCATTGCCTGGAGGCTTCCTATCGCCATGCAAATTGTCTTTGCAATCTTTGTCATCATTCTTGTCTTCGGTCTTCCTGAATCGCCTCGCTGGTTGATGAACCATGACCAGGAGAAAGAAGCCATGGCGGTTCTTTGTGCTGTGTATGATAAGGAAGAGCACGAGGAGTACATTGTTAATGAGCGCCAGGCTATTGTCTCCGCCATAGAACTGGAGAACCATGCCAACAAGAAATCTTTCTGGGCGATCTTCCGCAACGACGAAGTCAAGACGGGCCAGCGAGTGCTACTCGCCTGGGGCATGCAGCTCATGAATCAGGTTGGTGGAATCAACTTGGTCGTGTACTTTGTCCCGAGTATGTCCTGCCCCAGTTCAAATTTTCTCCCAAATTAATACGTTGCTGACATTTGCGCATAGCGGTCTTGAAAAGAAACGTCGGACTGAGCGACCAGCTGTCCCAGATCCTGGGTGGATGCATCCAGATCATGTTTATGCTCGGTTCCCTCCTGCCGGCGTTTATGCTTGACCGCATGGGTCGCCGCCGCACAATGATGATCGGTTCCCTCGGACTCGGAATTTGCATGATGATGGTTTCAGCCCTCCTGTCACAAGTTGGCCAGCCCAACGGAACAGCCTTTGCCTCTGCATCGGTATCCTTCTTCTTCCTCTTCATGTTGATTCACGGCATGTCCATCAACTCGGTGCCATGGGTTTATGTCCCTGAGATTCTCCCCCTGGAGGCCCGTACTAAGGGAACGGCTATTGGCATTAGTTCCAACTGGCTGTGGAACTTCACCGTGGTAATGATCACACCCGTTATCATCAACCGTCTCGAGTGGAAGGCTTATTTGATCTTTATGGTAACCAATTTCGTCTTCATTCCCGTCGTCTACTTCTTCTACCCCGAGACCGGTAACCTGCGTCTTGAGGATGTTGACCTGATATTCTCGCGGGGCGGTGATCCTGTCAAGCAGGCACGCATGATGGCCGCTGAGATCAAGGCTCACGGACACCTCGTGTCGGAAAATTCGGGTAATGAGAAGGAGGTTGATAGTATTGGGGTGGAGCATATTTGAGCGTGGAATCCCGGCACCTTTGATTCGATGCGACTCTTTTAGCTTTTTATTTCTGTGCAGACGATAGAGGTGGCTACTGCCAAGAAACGAAATAGATGTCCAGGTGACATTTATAAGCCACAAGGCTTAGAATATACCCGAGAAGAAATATCTCTTTTAAATTCGAACTGTCATTGAACTTCATCTGATCGAAACGTAACTGTCGCCGCCGAAAAGTAAAAATGCACATCCCCACTGCGCCGAATCATCCCCCATCAACACGCCATCCAGGCCACCCGCTGTGCATCCAGGCACCAATAAACGTCGGGAAATCACGAAATCACACAGCCTTGCAGTCAGGCCACCTTTGAAGCCTTGGGGGGTACTTCTTGCCCTCCTTTTCGACCTGCGGCTCACAAGAGCACCACTGGTCGGCGGGGATCGCGTCCATGACGGAGGGGATGTGGCTGCCACAGCCCCACCAGGTGGTTTTGTCTGGCATAATTAGCAAAGTTCTGCGAAGTTAAAATGTCACACTCACTGCAGGTAGAGCACTGAGCCTTCATGCACATGATGGGCGATTTTGTAGGGTTGGAATTGGTTTGTTTTGGCGTTCTTGTGGGGGTTGACGGGTCGAGATCGTGGAGGCGTCTGCTTTTATATACCCTTTTTTTTTCCGGGCACGGTGTCTTAGTCATGGCCCGAGCAGCAGCGGCTTTCCCTGCTTGCTGGTCGCCGACCATCTGGGATTGTCATGCCTAATTCAGATGGTAAAACCGTGGGGTATTTCGGGCTAAATTTTAGGCATATCTCATGTATTTAGATTAGGCAGATTGGTTTTGAGAAATTCATAGCTCCTCTCATTGATTTTCACTGTATAAACCACAATGCGACAAGATGCTGCTGTAAAGTTCGGCGTGGCGAGGGCCGAAGTGAAGCCCGAAAGCCCGAACTGTCGCAAACCTTAAAAGTAGTAAACATGATTTGATATTGGTGACATATTTCCAGTCTAGATTTGAATCCTGCAGCGCGCTATCAATGCAAACCCCTGTTGCGATAGCTCTAGAAAAGCCCTGGCGGATAGCCGCGGGACATCTATAATCAGAATGGTGGGGCTCAAGAGGGAGGGAAGAACCTGCTGTCCTGCTCGCTTTACCCGGCTGGCAACCCCATCCAGCTAACCGCATTCTGTCTCTGCTTGATCAAAACCGAGGCCGAACACCATGAATACCGTCGCAGTAGCTGGTGGCACGGGAGGCGTGGGCGAAACTCTCGTTGAGACGTTGACAGAGCAGTCGAAGTTTCACGTCGTTGTGTTGTCACGGAATGTCAGTAGACCGTTGCGTTTTCCTAACCCTGTTATCTAAGCTAAGACTATTGTAGGAACTGAAGCAAGAATCTGTGACCCGCGCAGTATCTCATATCAGGATCGACTACGACGACATCCCTGTCCTTACGAGGCAACTCGAGGACCACAACATCCACACCATCATCTCGGCAATCGGCCTCGTCTCCGAGGAGACCAGCAAAGCCCAACTCAACCTGATCGAGGCTGCCGACAAGTCAAAAGTGACTGAAAGATTTATCCCAAGCGAATATTCGTTCATCCAAACGGCCGAGTAAGTTCAACAACCTCGATCTTCTTAATCAAGCAACTGATCGCCGCTTTTGCTTCACAGCCTTCTTCCCATCGATCCTAGCATCCAGTTCTGGCTAGATGCGGCGGATCGTCTTAAGGCTAGTTCTCTGAAGTATACCCGTGTTATCCCGGGTTTCTTCATGGACTACTGGGGAATGCCACATGTCAAAACCAACCTCCAGCCATACAGCTTCGGAATTAATATCTCAAGCCGGACGGCTGCCATCCCAGGTGACGGCAACGATGTGATATGTATGACCTACACGTACGACATGGCTCAGTATATGGTCAAGGTACTGGATCTTCAAGAATGGCCGGAATTCAGTGTTGTCGTGGGCGATGAGGTTACCTATAACCAGATCCTGGCGATGGCGGAGCAGATTCTGGGTGAGTTTTATTCGCGCGACATGCTCCTGCCTTCGATCATAACCCGATATTTGAATCTGACTCTTTGAACAGGCGAGAAGTTCAAAGTCACCTACGACAGCCTCGATCGAATCAAAGCGGGCAACGTCACCAACCCGCCCATGCCAAGTGACCTCGGCTGTACAGAGGAAGAGCTGACAGAAGTGACTGCGCTAGTCAGCCGGCTCACCGTGAAGGGCGTCTTCGACCTCCCGAAAGAAAATTGCCTCAATAGCCGATTCCCGGAAGTGCAGCCAATTACGATGAAGAAGTTCCTGGAAAAGGCATGGGGAGGAAACCAACATTAACCAGACATAGATTGATTAGATACTTTTCAAATCACTGAAAGGAACGACAATACTCGCTCGGAATAGGAAACCTCCGAGATCGCACATTAGGATACTGCAGACATTGAAGCTTTCAAGTAGTTTGCCGACGTCCATGCTCCCCTTTTGATGTCTTCCGCCCGTAGGATACAGCTAGAGGTCTCTAGCAGGTTGGGCCTGGGTACAGGACTCCAACGCAGATGTCCCGGCCTGGAATGAGGTTCGTGCAGACGGGGTTGATATCTGGGTTCCAGCAGAGCAATTCCCTCATCGTGAAGGTGTTTTCGTTGCGGACGATTATGTCCCAGCAGGTGTCGCCGGTTTGCACCTCATAAAACAGGTCGCCTGTTTATTACCGTCAGCGTGCTGTCCATCTTGTTGCCACGATGCTGTCAGGCTTACAAAGAGGCGTCATCTGTAAATTGTTTTGGGTCGACACCTTGTCCGAGGGAATATTCTCGGCAGGGGCGGACATTGCCAAGGAAGCAAGTCCCAGGGTCCAAATGAAAGCGTGAGCGTACAAGACAGGCATGGTTCCTGAATGTGGCTAAAGCTGTGGCTCTTTTGGATAATGTAGCGAATGTGATTGTGTGGATTGATGCCCTGGTGGCAGCTGGTCCTTGGTTCTCATTCCGGGTATTTATATTCGAAGATCTCCGAGCAATAACTACGATGTTAGTTCACGCATGAGCCCGATGACTTGAGGAGAATCGATTTGTCGCCTTGTATGACCGTTGCAGGAACCTCATTGCCACATCAACATAACGTAGCTCATTGTAGCATACAGCAGTCTTGACTATCCAAGTTACGTGTCATTGCATCTGTTCATTGGAAGGTGGTTGTAACGTAGAGGCCTTGATTAGGGAAGAGTCTCAAGTGAGGTTGATGACCATATCAGAATGATCCAGTCAGAGTCGTCCAGTGAGCAATGTGATTGAAACAGTATAGCAATGCGTCATTAGGGGTTCTCACTGCAGATGTCTCAGCTCGGCACAGTGGCTCATCGTAGTGTTTGTTCTACAGTTACATCGCACACTGAGATTACCCGTAGCTATCCACTCAACCGAGGGTTACTTTCTCCAGGGAAACCCTGTCTTAGATGCAGAATAACGGTATGACGGTCATCAACTTGGGATTCCTCATTGTGGGGTAGTTCGAGGCCTAGCTATCTGCACAGATTTGTGTAACCACCCCCTGCTCTTCTCTTGGGCGCAAACTGTCAGGTCGTCCCCACATTGGTACCTCAGCTGGATGTAAGGCTCCTTATGTGATGATTTGCAGCTGCATCCGAACCTGCAGCCCCGGCCCCAGCCGATCGGATCACTGCACAGAGTGACATTGGAAGCTGTTACATCGACACCGAGAAGCTGTAGAGATTGTACATGGGCCCGATGGGCTGGATTCGAACGCAGAAGCTTGCCGTTTAGCGTGGATACTTCAAAAGCGCTGTTTTGGGTGGCGATTTTGGTCCAAACAGATGAGGTTGAATCTAGGACTCAGAATGTCTTGCGTTGGAAAATTTAATGGAAAACTGCAGTTTAGCCGGCACTTCCTGCCAGTTTGTATTCCCCCAGTCAGGCCACTGACGAGCCTAATTAAGTTATTACCTCACTTTAACTACCTTCGAGGTGCCCTTAATCTCGCCATTTCCTCCTGATTCTGTCACGGACTCGAGCTCGGGAGGCGTTTTTGATCACGCAATCTGCTCGAGGGGCAATTGGTGGGCAGATTTCCTTCTCTGACGTTTTACTACTGCCGAGTGACTATTTTATGATTAAGTTGCTCTTGCTTACATCGGTAGAGCAAAAATACCACCATGGCTACAACAAACACAAACAACGAGAATGCGGTGGTACAGTTGGGCTTCGGGCGGCAATCCTGATTACTCACTTCGGACCATCTCTTCACAGTTGTCAAAATTTTGTTAATCTAAGAGAATCAAATTACTGGGAATATCGAATACTCTGTTCACAAATATTGTGCCATGTCTTCGCAGCATAAGGCTGTTGGAGTGGGGTGGTGGGGCAAGACCCCCAGCCATCATCGCGGTGCAAACAGCCAGGTGAGCTGACAACAAATCTAATCTTTCCCACATTCCTCACCCCTGTCCATCTGCATCATGTCATCTCTGCCAACAGTTGTTCTCGTGCATGGTGCCTGGCATACGCCTCCCAATTACCAAAGCTACTGCGAAGCGTTACAGGCCCAAGGGTTCAAAGTCTATTGTCCCCGCCTGCCAACATGCAACGGATCGTCGCCTCCAAGAGCCTCCCTCCCAGATGATGTTGCGTGTGTCAGGGATGTCGTCAAGTCCGCAGTCGATTCCGGTGAGCGCGTCCTTATGATTATGCATTCTTATGGCGGCGCAGTCGGCACCGATGCCGTTAAGGGCCTATCGCTGTCCGAGAGAAAAGCAGCTGGCCAACCTGGCGGTGTCATTCACCTACTCTATCTGTGCGCATATATTCTCGAGCCCGGGTCGACGATATGGGAAATTGTGCAAGCGGCCGGGTTTGATCAACTTTGGGATCAGTACATTGATACAGCGGCGGACGGGTCGACGGTTTTGAAAGATCCAGGGCTGGGGTTTTTCAGCGGCGAAGCCGACCAAGCGACAATCGACAGGGCTCTTCAGACGTTGGTCCGATTTCCCTCGTCGGTATTCTCTGACAAAACTACGGGCTCTGCCTGGAAGACCACCCCAACGACCTACATCAGCACGCTGAAAGATTATGTTGTGTCGAAGACATATCAAGATATTATGCTTGAAAAAGTACGCGTGGCAGGGGTTCAAATCAAGGTGGTGGAACATGATGCGGACCACAGTCTGTTCGTAACGAGACAACAAGATATGGTTCAGGCTGCTCTTGCAGCGGCTGCCGACGAAAGAAATACGCTCTAGCGTCTTCTATGACCTCCTTGTCGTTACATCATACACTCTGTGTACATGAATATGACTTGTTCTACATCACTATGAGATATAAGACTATTGTAAATAATTATATTAGGGAATGCGACCGAGAAACACATGCTGGCCTCCGTTACAATTTGCACTCAAACGCGATCTCCAATTCCTCCATTCAAGCCCAACTAATCATGCCATCATTTTGGCAGATCGGCACAGGAGGTGAACTCCAATGTGGCGTAGCCGGCTCATCCCCAAGCTGTGCAACCGGCTTCAATATCTCCATCCGTCCCCACGGCGTACTTTCAAAGCTCGTCATAAAGGGCGAATCCTGTGCCACATATTCCGGGAACACTCGCTTCCACCCATCGATGACCTGAATCATAATCTCCGATACAAATTGATCCGGCGAGGTACGATCAAACTGGAACTCGTCAAGCGTTCGTTGCACTACATCCACGGGATACAGTCCAACCTCAGGGTCAACCAAGATTGTGTCTCCTGCAACCAGCGAGCTGACAACGTGATACGAGCCCCCATGTCGTGCACGATCACGAAGAGCCAGCAATGTCGCCAATGCGCCGACTATACCCGTCGTCATATCGGAGATCGGGAGAGGGGGGAGCACGCTAGTCCCCTCGTCGTACCCGAGTGCTTTACCCATCACATATGAAGCGCCGGAGGCTGCGTCACCAATCTGTTGCCAGCCGGGCCTTTCCGCGAAGGGACCGGCGGGGCCGTAGCAGTTTTCATCGACGTAGATGAGGCCTTTGTTTCGCTTTGCTGCCAGGTCGAGCATGTTTCGCAGGCCTAGACCCTTTCGATCTAGGGAGCCGTAACGGAAGCCCTGAACGAATACATCTGCTCCTTCCAGGAGTCTCTTGAGCTGCGTCATGTCGCTCTCTTTGCTGATATCAAGGTCGACGGTGCGTTTTCCAGCATTAAGAGTCAATTGAAGAGCCTATCAATCTTGATTAGTCCTGGAACTAAGCAGATGAAGGGGAAATTACTCACATTCAGGTCGGGGAGCTTGCTACAGTTGACTCGGATAACATCGGCTCCAAGAGAGGCCAAGGTGACACCAACAGTAGGCCCGGCGATGATGCGCACCATCTCCAGAACTTTGATGCCGGCCAAAGGTCGGCGATCTGGCAGTATTGGGAGTGGCACAGCCGGCGTTGGTCGTGCATACGACTCGTGGGTGTAGTTGACAAGGGGATATTCGGCAAGGCGCTTGCCCATCTCGGTCTCTCTCCATCCTCCCGGGGAGTAACAAATACTTCCACACAGTCCATGTCGGACATTGTGCATTTCCAGTTCATCGGGACTCCACTTCTGAATATGCTCGCGGATATAATCATAGCCCTCTTTGAAGTCCTTCAGAGGTACATCCATGTCAATGCCCATCGACTTAAGAGTTTTGCTTGCATCCAAAGACCCATGAAGCTGATACCAGACATTATAGTCCTTGGTGGGATATAGTGCAGTCGCTCTACCAGCAAGAGGACCGACTCCGAACCCTTGTTCGAAGTCACGATCAAAGATCTTCGACAGGGCACGCCTGCGGGCCAGAGTCGAGATGTCTTCTCCGTTCACGTAGGCTGTGAATGTCTTCCCCAGCCACATGCCCGCATGATCGGTGTTCACAGTCACACTCGCGTCTTTGACTGATGTCCCATCACGAATTTCGAGCAGCTCATTCGCAACCAAGCCACACATTGCATGCAAAGCCGCGGATAAAACGGGTGCTTTGAGCGGACCCGGGATCATGGGGGTCGGACGTCCTTCGAACTTGACGGTATCCAAAAAGGCAGGATCCTGGTTGAAGCCCGGCGTCCGTGAGGCGAGCAGCTTCAAGATACGTTGAGCATCCTCGGGAACCGAGAGAACCGTTTTGTCGATATAGGTGCCAGGTCCGTAAACGCTGTCGCCTTGGACAGTCTCGTGCGCCTGGATAGCCATTCTGCAAGATAAATTCGGAGTGTCGATCTGGGCTCGGGTTTTGAGGCTGGATCGACGACGGTAAAATGGCAGATCGCTTCTGAGGTAGTTGATGGCTTTATAGTGCGACGGGGGCGAAGCTCAGGCTACCCAAACTTGAGACACTGGCCTGCATTTCACCCCAATTCCACATCGGTAGGGGCCGCTAGTTGACTGATCATGGCGAGCATCATGCCGTGTAGCCGGGTTGTACAATGCCGATCGTTTCGTCATGCGGAGTTGGGTGAGTGCCCCAGATGGTGGGAATAGACGCGTAAGTGCGCGGGGGACGATCATTTTGCCATCGTGATACACCCTCCGTGCAGTTAACTGCACACAATACCTAACAGTACTCCAAGGCACTGTTCCTGGATTTCAGAGAGTCGACGGAAACATTGTGGGGCCACGTTATGCCGACATAAAACTGCCTAGCAGATTCCGGTAATGCGTGCGAGTCAGCATTTTGCGCCGCATTGGCTCCATCTTAGCTCCACAATGGGCGATCCTCGTCTTTGCCTCGGGCCTCTTCGCCCGAGGTTTGAAGGTTTCGCCGGCGGGGGTTTTTAAAAAATATGAGCTCGAATATTACAACTCTGCAGGATACTGTGGGAATTATTGAAAACAGCGTCGATTAAATCATGTCAATGGAAAACAACAAAACACCGGCGACCAGTCCGGGTCGCAAATTGCTCTGGATACCATGGTAACGACACAAGCACCTCGACTGTGCACGATTTGAGTATTTACTAATTCGTGGAAAGGTGATACTGCACACGAAATGTACCGTCAAGCAACTCTAGGAGATGTCGACTTCATTACTGGTGACTATCTTGCCGGTATGTACTCTTTGTTCGTCATGGACATTCATGGATACTAACGAGGCTGCAGAGGTAAACATGGCCAACAATGCGCAAGCAAACCAAGCTGGAGAGCACCCGGGCTATGAAGAGACAGCATGGGGAGGCATTAAGCAGACTATAGAGGTGATCTCTAACAAGAGAATCAAAGTGGTCATCAACGGGGGAGCTCTAAACCCGAAAGGCCTCTCCATGAAGGTCAGCGAGCTGGTAAGAAAGCAGACAGCCCTCACCGTGCGACGTATACTGAGAGCGACAAGGTCCGTGCAAAAGAATTCAACTTGAATGTCGCATATCTATCTGGCGATGACGTTCTCCCGAGATTTGGGCCGACCATGCCACAGACGAAGGACGAGCTACAACACCTCGATGCGAGTGACGAGTCGGTCAGATCTGGACGGCTTACCTATGCCTTCCTTAACACTCTGAATTCTGTTCCTATGGTGTCGGCCCATGCGTATCTTGGGGCTCGAGGTATTGTGGACGATTTGCGTCGTGGTGCCGACATCATCATCTGTGGCCGTGTAGCTGATGCAAGTCCCGTCATCGCTGCTGCTTGGTATTGGCATTCATGGAGTGACTCGGACTATGACTGTCTTGCTGGCGCATTAGTCACCGGCCATCTCATCGAACGCTCCGCGTATATCACGGGCGGAAACTTTGCTGGATTCGACAGGTTTTCAATTGAGGATTTCATTGAGCCTGGCTTTCCGATTGCGGAGATAGAAGCCGATGGGTCTTGTGTTGTGACAAAGCATGAAGGTACTGGTGGGATGGTTAATGTTGATACAGTGCGGTGCCAGTTTCTGTATGAGCTGCAAGGAAACATCTACCTGAACAGCGATGTCAGTGCTATCCTGGATGACATTACTGTGGGGCAGGCTGGAAAAGATCGGTAAGTCTCTAACTTCTGTGGTATGATTCACCTGCTCACACATTTCAAGTGTTCGGGTTCATGGAATACGGGGATATGCTCCACCGCCAGCCACGAAGCTCGCTGTATTTTATCCGGGGGGATACGAAGCACAGCTTCTTATCAACGCAACTGGGTATGGAACTATTGAAAAATGGGATCTAATTGAACGCCAGATTCTCCATTTCATTTCACCGGACGCCATGAAATTGTTCGATATACTCGAGTTTCAAAGGTACCGAATCCACTGTTCCATATTCCTGGCACCTCCTGATACCAACCTTGATTCTAGAATTGGTGTTCCCGCTAGCAACCCGATTACCCAGCGGAGCAGTACAACATACCTGCGAGTTTTCGTTGCCTCTACCTCCGCAGAAGCTGTACTGGGGGTGGCAAAAGCGATGAGGGTTATTTCGCTCAAGCACTTTTCTGGCAAGTCTTGCACTTAACCAGTACCTCCTAGAAGCTAATAGGAATACTCTGAATAGGATTCCATTCATCTCTTGATCAACGCACTTTCCTACCTCGTCCATTCCTTGCCTACTACCCTGCAATCGTGAAGCAAAACGAAATCGACGAGAAAATCAACCTTATGGATGGTCCAAATTCGATCAAATCGTTTTCAACCGGACATCCACCACAATACAAGCCTCTGCCACCTCGCACTACCTGCGACCACACTCCGTCAGTGAATGAGCTCAACATTCTAAAGTCTCCAACTCAACGCATCCGTCTAGGAGATGTCGCGCTCGGAAGGTCCGGCGATAAAGGCGCAAATCTAAACTTTGGCCTCTTTGTGACCGACGTTCGATATTGGTCTTGGCTACGGTCCTACATGAGTCGTCAGCGATTGAAGGATATGATGAAAGATGATGATGACTGGGATGATTCTTTCTTCGTTGAGAGAGTCGAGTTCCCGCATATACATGCTGTACATTTCGTGATCTACGGGATTCTGGGAAGAGGAGTTAGCAGCTCTAGTCGACTGGATGGATTCGGCAAGGGATTTGCGGATTATGTACGAGATAAACTTGTCGAATTTCCGATAAGCCTGATCGGCTTATAAACACGTCTTTGAAGCGCGGAAGTGCACGACTGAATAAGGATTTTCATTGCTCATATTGGACACTGTTTCTCTACTGCACTGCTAGCACCGCAACGGCCCATGGTGGCATCAGGACAGTATAATTACCCTGATTTTGCTCGACCTCCGAATGTTTTGTCTGAACAGTGACCGAGTATGGCTGATTCCCCTCGAGACGAGAGCCCGCCAGCATTTCTAGCCGACCTGACTTGCTTTTCGGGACGCCCACTGTGACATTTTGCTGGTCCGGCCCGTAATTAGCCAGCTTGACATAGCACTCGGCATCGCTCTTTGTTGCCACCCAATACAGGGGTCCGAACTTGGAAGAAGACTTGACCGGAAGGACAGTGTCTCCTTTATTCGAAGCGAACATCTGCTGCACAAAGTATGATGTTGAAGGCGTTATCGACCCTGGGCTGGAGTTGAAGCCGTACATCGTGGGCTATTGTTGATGTCAGCTTTTCAATGCTCCTTGGGCTTCGTGTTTCTGATTTCTGGCAGCACTTACCGACCAGGAAATGAATCCAAAATGCTCCAGCACAGGTGCATATGCTGCCATCTCCACAATATCGCTGTTCCTCTCCATACCGATCATATACACCGCCTCGCTGCATGTCCCCTGTTGATACGACCAGTACGTCCCTTTCGCATCGGACGTATTTCGGCAACCGTATTCACCGACCATAACAGGCTGATGTCGAGGATGATTGTCAAATTGATTGAACAAAGCGACAAAGTCATCTGGTTGCCGGTAGAGATGCAAATCAAGAATGACGCCCCTTGGAACTGGGGACGGAAGACAAGAAGAGTCCCCATTCGATGCGATGAGAGTGATATGCGGATACTTCTTGTGGATTGCCTTGTAGATTTGATCGAAGCGATTCGGGTAGGTATCGCATCCACCAGTAAGATCGTCCTCGTTGCCGATTTCCACATACTCGATCTTCCACGGCTTCTCGCGACCATTTTCAGCGCGTATTTTCCCGTATTTTGTCTTCGAATCACCGAGAAGATACTCAAGCTCGTTCATGATGTCGTCGACATAGGGTTCGAGGTCGGACTCTGACACGATGCCGCCGTATGACTTTCCTGCCCACACAGCGAGGACTGGTGTCATATTCATGTCTTCGCACCACCACAGATACTCGTCCAATCCGACTGCGTCCGTGTTTGGATAAAACCAATCACTCTCGCGCCCTGGTCGGTCGACGAGTGGCCCGATCGTCGTATTCCACTTCCAACGGCTGTCAATCTGCAGGCCTTCGATGTTGTTTCCCCCCGGGGAATCGAAGGAATGACATATTTGCCTTTTCGAGTACTGTCGCAAGATCCCGACGGAGTCCGTTCTCTCGATTCTTGTATGTCGGTGGAAACAGTTGAATATATCCGAAATTCAATGAGTCTCCAGCAACCTTTGAGCCATCAAATGTCAAATGCCATTCATTCTCTCCGTCTGGTGATGCAGTCGAGTTGAATGATGTCTCAAACTGGGCAAACTTGGACCTCGTGCTGTTGACGGTGAGATTGTGGTCGGCATACACAATTCCACTGTTTGATCCGATGAGCTGAAGGTTGATCGTTCCAGAATAGTCGCCCATCATCCAGAATGAGCTGCTGTAAGTGTCTTTGGTGACTGGAACTCCATTATATCCTGTGTTGGCAAACCCAACATACTCCGTGCTGTTTTTTGGAACATCAACACTTAGCGACGATTTGATGGCCTCGCTCACGGGCTTAGACGTATCGCGCGAGATGGACACGTCCCCGACCGGTGCGTAGGAGGTCATTCCTAGGCTTGATCCTTGGAAGCCGTTATTCTGTAGTAGTTGGCCATGAATACCCCCGTCTCCTAAAGTTGACTATTAATATCGGACGAAAATTATTTTTCGGATGAATCTTAAGTACCGGAGTGGTCCATTTCCTGTGCCGATTCTTAATTAGAGCCCAGGATGCGGACACAATTCTTGAGAGGCTTACCTCGAACATAATTCCGTATAAAAGGGGACTCGACTTATTCCCGCCATCTCTTGACACTTCCAGATAGATATCGGTTGCACTTGTGGTATCGTTGGCTGAGTGTGCGAGATGTATTAAAGAAGCGATACATGCCGCCCTTGGTATAAACGAATGCATGGATATCCCAGAGTAGATGATTTTGAATACGATCGAGATTCAGCGAAAATTTGTTATTATAGGTTGAATATGAGACGAGACGATGTTCCTGGCGGCAATTGGGACGAAAGTCGGACGTTTGGCAGAAACTTTCCGGAACACCGGACCTGAATAAAGTATGTCTTTGATAGAAACCGGATGGGCAGACAGGTCAGTGCATTCGGAAATTGCGGTTGGCCTTTCTAATCCAGTTTCTTTGATTTCACAAGTCTAATTCGTCATGATCGCTGTATACCCACTACGTAGTGCACGAGATTCCCGTCCCAAGTCGCTTCACCGGAGTCATGACGTCGAGCATAATACATTTGGTATGTAACCCTACAATTTTGTCAACCTGAAGTTGCGCGGTTTTTAGAAGCAGCTAACAATTCTAAGATAGATCTTTAGTTTGAAAAAAAAAATAAACGGAAGTGCACTAGCAACCTCTTGAGGGGGAGCTTCGTTTACACCTGTAAGCCTTGGCGTGGTGAGTTTGGGATCCGAAATTTATATTTTCGGGACCGATTCCGTTACTTGGCAAGTGTTAGATACTAATAGTCAAGTTTCGCAAGCTCAAACATTATGAGTACATAAAAAAAATAAAAAATAAAATAAATAAAAATAAATAAAAGATTCAGCAGACTAGCTTCGCTCGAAATGGACGTGGGGTACGATATCCTGGCCCCTATCCGTGCCTTACTCCGCTTCTCGTTTGGGTGCGCCACACAGGACCGTCAATAACACAATCCCCGTCACTTTCTTACATCTCGCTACTACTAGCCAATTCAACCACCCAACATGACTAAATCCCCTGTTTTTGATGATTCTCGCATGGCTGAGTCCTGCAGTTTGGCCCTATTGCAAAGAAGCCGAATATATCGAAGATTGCGCGTGAATTCGGTGTATCTCGCACCACACTGTCAGATCGCGTCAAATCTGCTAAATCGCCTGTTACACCTACCAAATCTTATCCAAAAACCCTGCAGCCACACCAGGGGCAGGCCTTAACCAATTGGATCGTGCAGATGTGTAGCTGGAACCTCCCACCTACTGCGGGGATTATACAGGCATGGGCAAATCGCGCTTTGGAGCGGGCGGGCCAGGATAGACAGGTTAGCAAGATGTGGGCGTATCGCTTTGAAAAGTGCCTACCAAAGCACCTAAATCTAGCCCCTGTGAAACAGAAGACTAAGGAACTGAAGCGTATTCAAGCCGAGGACGCAGCGCTTCTTCAGCACTGGTACGACCTACTTGAAAATCAGCTCCATAACGTCCCCGCCCGGCTAGTATACAACTTCGATGAATGCGGCTTCCAACCTGGTCGAGGGCGACCAAGAAACGTTATTGGCTCTAAATCATTTTGCCTTGACCTAGCCGAATCAGAAAGAGGCGAAAATATCACTGCATTGGAGTGTATTGCTGCGGACGGCTGGCAGATGGACCCGCTCTTTATATTCAAAAGCGCCGGTAATAATTTTATGGAGGCCTGGTTCTACGGCAGCGAAAACCTACCACCAGATACGATGGTAGCTACATCTCCAAACGGCTGGATTTCTGATGATTTAGCCCTATCATGGCTAGATTGTTTTATCAAATTAACGGCTCATCGCGTGAAACGGGGCGAAAGGCGTTTTCTTATATTCGACGGTCATGGCGCGCATCTTACATTCGAATTTATTCAAGTTTGCGAGGATAATGCGATTATCCTTTTTGAATTTACGCCACATTCAACACATCCTTGCCAGCCACTTGACGGAAAGCCTTTTTTGAATTATAAGCAGCAATGCCGGTTGATGAATAATGAGCTAGCTTTCTGGGGTGGCCAGCCGTATGGGAAATCAGATTTCCTAGCGATTATCGGGCCAATTCGCAAGAAAGCCTTTACGCAGCGAATTATCCGCGAATCCTTTAAAGATCGTGGTATATATCCTGTTGACGGTAGTAAGATTGTAGCCAATCTTACCAATCAACTGATTATCCCCGACCTAATTGCACCGGATCTTCGCTCATGGGGCTCGCATACACCATCACCACCACCAAATCTCTCGTCTTCTAGTGTTGAAAATAGCCCTCCGAAATCTGCTGAAACACTAGAGAAGAATCAGATGAAGCTTACCAAGCACCTCGAAGACCTTTCGGAGAAGATGCAGCGAAATCTCACTAAGGTGTTAGCGCACCAAAAGACGACGGCGGAGGAGCTAGCGATGACGCAGGAGACGATTCGGCGTATAAGGGCCGCGCAGCAGCCAGTACGACGTCAATACACTAAGCGACAGGTTAAACAGCTCAGTCAGACCGGTATATTAACCACACGCGATGGGAATCGATCGATTGTGGCTAGGAAGGAGAAGGATTTGGCCAAGGAAGAAAGGAAGCTAGCTAGGCAGTTCAAAAAGACGTATGGCTACGCGCCTACACAGCGATCGGAGGAGAGTATTCAACGGGCAATGCAGGCCGAGAAAGAGGGTAGAGAGGCAGGAGAGCTTTTTTTTTATTGATAGATAGCTAGCTGGTTGGTAAATTCGACGATTTCTAAGAAAGTGACGGGGATTGTGTTATTGACAGTCCTGTGTGGGGCACCCAAACGTACATGCAGACTTTGAAAGACAAGGTCCTCACCAATCCAGTTGTTGTTCGGCCGAACGACTTGCACGCTGTCTCCCGGCTCCTCTCGAGAAATGGGGATCTTAAATATGGGATCTGAATCGACCGAGGCTGCTATCAAGATGGCCGGATGCTACACAGGGAAATTCGAGATCGTTTCATTTGCTGCCAGTTACCACGGCCTCACTCAGGGCTCTGGCTCCGCGACCTATTCGGCCGGCCGAAAAGGTGGTGGACTGGTTACGCCCGGTCAACTCGCATTCCCTTCGCCGTACGCGTATCGTTCGCCCTTCCGTAAGCCCGATGGTTCTTACGACTTGGAGACTGAACTCGATTTTGCTTGGTCTATAATCGACCACCAGAGCGTAGGCTCTCTTGTGGGCCTTATCATGTAGCCAGTTCTCTCGACGGTGGCATGCTCGATCTTCCGGAGAGATACTTGCAGCGAATTTATGGAGTGCAAAAAGCGCGACATGCTGGTCATCATGGATGAGGCTCAGATCAGAGTCGGGCGTACCAGCCAGATTCTCGCTTTTCAGAAGGAAAATATCGTCCTTGACATTCTGGCATTGTCCAAGGCCCTGGGATGTTGTCTGCCTCTCCCATGTGTGAGCACCTGTGTTAAAATCGAACACGGATGCAAGGAGGCTGGGCTCATGTGGCTTACTACCGATTCCAACACCCGCTCACAACTGATGTTGGCAACAAAGTGCTGCAGATTGAGAGATTATATTTGCAAACATGCGTCTGAGCGCGGTGGTCAGCTTCGGTCGAGGTTTATTAAACTCCAGCAGAAATATTGGTTTATAGGTGATATCCGTGGTCGTGGCCTCCTGCAGGGAATTGAATTTATCTCGAACCCTAAGGCCAAGTCTTTTGATAGCGATTTGGGACAGGCAGTTTCCGAGTGCGCTATGACTTGTGGTATCTCCTGCAACATTGTCAGCCTATCTGGTATGGGTGGCGTTTTCCGACTTGCGCCCCCGGTTATTGTTACAGCAGAAGAAATTGAAGAGGGCCTGAAGATCCTGGATAAAACCTCCTCATTCGTCTAAAAACCATTTCTTCTTGAGTTCGGCTACATGTTCGACAAGAATATTGTCTAATTAGGGAAGGGAGAACATCATCATGGTTCTGGTCAGGTCCACACCTGGGCACCTTCCGAAACCACAAGCACTGAGCTCAAGTGATACTTAATGATTTCATTTTACCGAGGCTTTGGGTCTCTGATTATAAACTATATCGTGATATCACTATTGATTTGATTGATCCCTCGCAGGTGCTGATTACAATATCTTAGTCCTGCATGTGGAGTCGGTTAATGTTATATAGCATACTCGGCCGGTGCTACCACAATCCTCTTCTAAAATTGCCCTTCTAATGTGAATTGTGAACACGATGAGCTTTTCAACAACAAAATACGGCCCTTTGTTCGTCATGGACATTCGCACCCATCCAGAGCTCACCCTCTGCATCGCCGCCGGCCTGGTTTTCTACATGCTCATCGTTCGGCGATGTCGCTTCCGGCGGTCAAACACCATCCAAAGCCGATTCAAAAAGCGCCAACTCTCGAGCATGTCTGTGCATGAAGCACACCAAATAATCCGCGAACTTCGGGAGCTGGAGTTTCCATACAGTATGCACAACGCAATGAAACTTTCCCTTCTTAAGGTATGTCACAACACTACATGTACCCATTTTTACCCTGCAAGTGGGATTAATACCATATTCTAGACGGGGTCAATACCGACCATGACCAAACTCTTCACAGCAACTCGGCAACTCAACGAAAAGAACGCCCCAAAGCGCGCTGCCGATACGGAAGTCGTCCTCATAGAAGTACACGATCGCCTCCCTGGGTCGGAAATGCACCTTCGCGGAATCGCGCGCATGAACTACCTTCACGCACGGTACAGACGTGCCGGGAAAATCCTGGACGAGGATATGCTACACACCCTTGGGTCAGCGGTAGTGGATATTTTCCATGCTGTGGACACCGGCGAATGGCGCTCTTTGACGAATGTCGAGCGCTGCGCGGTGGGTGTTTTTCATAAAGCGCTCGGAGAGGCAATGGAGATTCCGTTTACGGCCTTGCCTAGTTTCAAGAATGGCTGGAGGGATGGAGGGCATTTCGCAGAAGAGTTGTGTGACTGGGTCAAGTGGTATGAAGGGGTTGCCGTGAAGCCTGCAGAGTCGAATCGAGTGATCGGCAGGCAGTTGATGGATCTAGCTGTGTGGAATTTGCCGGGTTTTCTGAGGCCCTTAGTGCGCAGGGTGATTGCGACGAAGTTGGAGAGACACGTGCGCGTCAGTATGGGGTTTACTGAGCCTGGAGCTGTTGTTGAGGGGTTAGTTAGGGGTATCGTGACCGTGCGACGGTTTATCCTGAGGTATCTAGCGCTTCCAAAGGGGTCCGTCGCGGGCTGTGAGGGTGCTAGATGACAAGCCGGATCCGAAAACTGGGCTGTACACGATTGACTTGTGGATTGCACATCCGTGGTATGTCCCGTCTACGTTCAAGAACCGATGGGGCCTCAAGGCCATTTTTGCGCGGCTGTTTGGGGATGGGGGAGTGCCTGGCGACGGGTATGGAGCATCAGGCTATGATCTGCGTACGATCGGACCGACGGCACAGGAGAAGCGTGGACTCGAAGAGACAGAGGCCATCTATACTGAGTTAGCGCAGAGAGACTATGCCGGAGGCTGTCCGTTCCATCGCCCTTCAGCGACGGATTCGTAGTTGCCGGTGAAGATGGTGGGAGATAATAGTGTTGAGTAAATGTTGGGCGTTGAGTTGCCGAGGTTCTGATTCATGGTTACAATATCACTTCACAATTTGCGACTGCCGCAATCGTTCGCCCAGACCACGCAGCGAAGATAGCTATGAAAGGAGCATCCAGTAATGAATCGACTGCTCAGTCTCCGGGCCAGTCTTCTCTTTCAGAAAACACCGAATCGCACCCTGAAATGAAAGTCCGTCGATCGAAACGAGCTGGTCGCCCCCGTCTGGACGCCAGCAGCAATGCGATTCTCTCCGCTGGTCGGCGTACTCAAGTCCGCCGCGCGCAGCACACATATCGCCTGAAGAAGGAGGCAATCTTTCGAAATGCGACTGCGAAAGCCGAACAGTTCGAAACGAGAATGCGCGCCGCCGTGGAAGAGATAGCTCGGCTGTCTGAGGTCGCTGCAGAGTCGCAGCTGAACAACTCCCATCCCAATGTATATGCGCGTCTCAGGCGACTTAATGATATTTTAGCCGATCGTGAAAGCCACATTGAAATGAGTATTTCTGCCGAGTCATCTTCAGACTCCGCGCGTCAACGGCGAGTGTTTGATGCGCAAGTTCAAACCACCACACCATATCCATTCCCCCTCCCTTGTCGACTAGGAAGTACACATACGCGTTCCAGGAATCCCGTTTTGCTCGCCGATTACAGCGATATTGCCTCGAGCACGCCTATCGCCTCTTTACGGAATCCTGGTCAGATCCCCGCGAGATCCACCGTGTGTTTCGGCTCGTGCCTTGCGTGAGAGATCGGGATAAGACACAGCCACGCTTCCAACAGCTCTTACTGGGTGGTAGTACAGACTCCCTGGAAGTGTTTGGTTTACCATTCTACAATATCGGCGGCGCAGGTGCACATTTTCCCGATATCGACGAGAAAGGGAGTCCGATATACCCGGTGAATAGTAGGATGCCGCGGCGGGTCCTGGGAATATTGCCGTGGACGGAGTTGGGAAACAAGGGGGAAGGAAAAGCTCTGGAAATATACGGACTTGGAGGGGAGTGGTTTGATAGCCGTGATGTGGAGGGATATCTTAGGCGGCATGGGGTGGACGTGAACGGAGGTTTGTTTCCTACGCTGCATCTTCCGGGTGGAGTAACAGCTGGAGGTGGCATTCTATCATATGTCGTAGATCTAGAAGCTTTCTTTTCCCGTGAGTGTTCCTTGATCGATGATAATTTTCGTGCTAATCGCTTTAGGACTACTGTCCGGACTCGTCATCCTCGGTCGCGCACCTGGATTTAGAAAGGTGGACGTCAGACGTGCGCTGCAAGCCTCGGTCAAAAGAACTTCTGATATACCTGGGCATAGCCATTGAATATGATAATCGAAGTCATTTCCAGAAGGTAACCTCGGAACTGGGTTTTTGGGTGATTACAATACCTCGGACACGTGGAGCGACGAGATGATTACAATATATTCTCTACCGACCAAGCACGGGCGGACTGAACATAAAGACGTGAGGTGGTACAGTTGCTTTGTGATCTCTCAGTTTTGATACCGAAATCACAACCATCATGATTTCTCTCAACGATCAAATCGCCATCGAGCGTATCTCGAGCGACTGCTACCGCTCTATAGTTCCTCCGATCCGCATGGGAGATCTCGCAAACTGGGCCTACGGTGGCAACATCTTGGCCATCGCGGTGAATGCCGCCTACGCAACTGTCACAACAAGTCAACATTTATACTCGATCAGTGGATATTTCCTACGACCAGCGAGCACATCCCAAAATCTTATATGCCATGTTGAATCCATCCGCAATACAAGGACATTCCAAACACGACATCTCCGTGTGTTCCAGTCCCAGGGGGAATCCGAACAGCTGTGTTTGATCGCGACGGCTGACTTCCACGTTGATGAACCGGCCAGCATGGTGAACTATTCGACTCGTTCACAGCTCCCAGTCCCATCTACCCCGGCAGTTGAAACTGAGACCGAGAAAACGCAAGAGCCAGGCCTCTATAGGTTTCTCGACACAATTATGGAGGTCCATCCGCATCGTGCCGATTCAGCCAAGAAAGAAGTTTCAGGCATCGTATCAGCTGATAGATTTCGTCTAAGTGGTAACCTTCACACCGAGGCCGACCGAATCGCTGCCCTTGCCTTTTATATGGACCGCGGCCTGGCATATATCCCTGCGAACCATTCCGGTTACAGCTTGGCCCAGGCCAGTGCTTGTGCGACTCTCGATTTTGCGTTGCGGATATTAACGCACGAATATGATTTAAAAGAATGGCATGTCAGTGAGAGACAGACTTGTGGCGCAGGGAATGCAAGGGCGCTTAGCGAAGGGAGGGTCTTCAATGGAAATGGGCGGTTGCTGGCGAGTATGACGCAGAAAACGATCCTGAGACCAAAGGGGGTTTCGAAAATATGACTATTTTGAAGTGCGATTTTTTTTGTTATGCCTTTGAATCAATCGCATTTGAAAGCTGGACGTTCTTCGGCCACTTTGAAATTAGTTATATTGTGGTCAAATCAATTTTACGAATAAGAGCAGTTTGAGATTCTTGGCGCTCCTTGATAAGCAACACGGTTGCCGCCTTATCTGATAACCAGAACGAACGAGAACGGATGAACTATGTCCCGCTATCCGGTCTGAGCGGATGCCAAGGCCGCTAGCAGACTATCAAATGGATCGTGGCCATAGTCCATTCCCAATTGCCAGTTTCTTCATTTAACTCTACTTCGGCTGAGCATAATTAACTAAGGCTGAGTTCGTATACCAGGAGAATTGATCGTTGGCGACCCGATAATATTGTTTGGACAAGCTTCGAGCCCCAGGCCTGGAACCTGATACCGAAGTATGGACTGCATATCTTCAGCCGTTGTTCGATGCAATGGGGCCATTGGTGTTCAAAATGGGGAATAATGACAGACTGTCAAGATGATATACTTCTGGATATCTGTAAGAGCCGTGCGGAATATTTTTAAACATCCGATAATTAACGCATACTAGTATGGTGGACTACTTCTGGAATGAGGAATTTTACAGCATCGCCTTCCGCTCAGCTCATGTGGGGAAACCTCGCAGCGAAAGGATATTACGCCTGACATACCATGAAACTATCTACGACAAATTGTGATTCAGCACCTGACGAACTCCACTCTTTCAGTTATTCTGGGTCTATTTCCCAGCTCTTTGACGAAAGAACAGCCAAAGTAGACTTTTGAACCCCCAGGCATCATTGCGCCATTTTACCCAATCTTTTGATCTGGCTTACCACCGCCCCGGAAGAGTTAATATGAGATTTGCCCATCCGAAATGATATGGACCAATGAGACTGAATGCGTGCAGGGCCAAGACGCCCAGTTGATGCTTTGGTTGCAATTTTGGCACAATGGAGAAAACGCGGAATATAGACACACATCGAGGGAATTCAGATGGAGGTTATTTAATACGGGGAGCAAACTAGGATGGAACACTTAAGCGACAGATTGGAAGAAACAGGCGCGATACATTGGACAGATGAAATGTATTTTACGTGATTATTGCCCTGATCTCGGACCACCTTGCTGTCAAAACTAGTCGCACGTGAAGAAAAGCCTTTTGCTCCTCTTAGCTTCTAATTTAAGATAATCATCATTTTGATCCTGACTAGGATACACTGTATCGGAAGTAATTCAAGCCGCGTAACTTTTCAGCCACCCTTCTCTGATCTGAAAGATCGACAAAAGACCAGTTTGCATCCCGATCCAGCTTAAGCAAAGCCCACAGTAAAAGAAACGCTATAATCTAAAAAGTGAAAAGAAAATCTAACGTCAGTGCTACTGGGTAATATGGTAATGTGCATGTACCATGCCACCTACCGGAAGATAGGAGGAAAGAAATGGTAACAGATGAAACCCATTCCATAATGCCGCACCATTAGCGACGATCAGAATAAAAATGCATCCGACAAAGGCCACATATGCCAGAAAGGGCTGTGCATGACTGCGATACGGGTACTCCCAATATTTCTGTGCATCTGCCGTATTCCATCTTTGCACGTAGGACACATTTTCTTCGATGAGATACTCTCTGTGCTCATCGATGCTTTAAGGATTGATTATAGTCAGCTAATGTAATCGGATGGGATGTATGGATAACAAACCATTTATAAAAACGGATGAAAGCAAGACATTCGCAAGCCCAGACGATTAATGTCCCAACGGAAGTGATTTGACTCAGAACTTCCACGAACTTGTTTATCTCATTAACTCCGAGAGCAAAAGTTTGAATAATTTTGCTAATATACTTACCCGATTCACGTTATCCGAGTCTTCAACACCCCCGATCAAATGCAAATAAGGTATCCACCAGAAGACAAGCGCAGAGAAAAGCAGAGCCCGTAAAGGAACTCGGTGATCGTTAGTTTTGCCAAACCACGCACAGATCCGTAAGTGCCAGCGCAGGTTCTTGTCCCCCTCTAACCTACTCGCCAAACCGAAAAGAGCACGCGACGCAATGTACAAATTCGTATTGGCAGCTGTCAGGCACGTGAAAACCAAGAAGCAATTAAAGATATCTGGCAAGTGAGGGATATTGGACTCTGCGGCGATGATGACCAGTGCTGCATTGCTTCCAGAAAATGCGCAATTTGCTTGCAGGCTATCATCCGCCGACAGCCAGCTCAGAGTGGGAAGACCGCAGTGGGATCGAGGTATGTCTAGTGTGCTGAGAAACCCAGTGATAGTATAGGCGGCCGCAATAATCACAGACATGAAGATGGCAGAGAATTTGATAGTTCTGTCGATGCCGGCTGCCTTTGGCGGACAGGTGGCCCCTGGCCCGGTCTCTTTTATAGGGTCATGTCGTGGCTTCGCTGGTTTTGCTTCAAGAGCAGATGCTGCGACCACTTCAATCCCGACATAGGCGAACGTAGCTATCGATATGCAGACCCTAAAAGATTAGCATTATATTGACGTATTCCGGGACAGAATGGGTACAAACAGGAATGCAATGCCCCAATTATGAGTCGCTTTTGTGTCGAAGGTTATTGGATTAGCCCAGTCTGCCTTATTTTAGCCTTTGCACCCACTCAATGAGAATAAACAGGTAGAAGGGCATGAGTTGACTCACAGCGAGTGCCAATTGGCTCGTCTCCTCCGAACCCAGCTGTAAGGATTTAGTTTCAAGAACCTGAAAGATAGAGAATTCGTCCATGTCTACCTGATCGATTAATTGCAATGAGGAATGCGATGATTATCGCCAAGAAAAGCATCTTCATGCTACCAGTGAATAGTTCGAAAGTGCCAAAATACTGTCCAAAGCTTCAGTACGTTGATAGGAAGTGGAGCAAAAGGTTATCCGTACCTCGACCTTTAACATGTTGATGAGTACTAGGGCAAGGGGAATGCACAAGTAGATGACCCCGCCCAGAATACCCTTGTTTCCGTTGATACTGTTCCAAAATTGGAGCTCTCCTGCAGAAGCTGGAAGTAAGGTCGAGAAAGACATCGCGTAATTGAACCTGAAAGATCATGGTCAGCTACTTTTCTCGTATTTCAAGTCTGAAACTCGTTAATACTGCACCAGTATGCAATTCCAACGGCAATTCCAAGCTCTTCGTCCACAAACTCGCCCACATAGACTGGTAGCGCACCTGGTATCGGCCAGATGCACAGCATCTCCGTGATGCACTGCATCACAGCCCATGCCAGGACTCCTATCACAAGAAACGCAAGGGGAACAACAAGCGGACCGCCGACTTCAAGCATCTGGCCTCCACGCCAATAGAGACCTGTTCCAAGTGTTGCATTGACTGTAATCATCTGGGAAATAGGAACAAATTAGCCCAGTGGTAAGAGAATTAAGGGATGTCAACTTCGTTTTTGTTCATACAAAAAGGTGTATCCCTTTTAATTTTCTGTTGACCGTGGTATTCGGTGCAGGTGTCTCGTGGATTGACACAGCTGGGTTCACACGTAGTTCGCCGTGAAGTGGAAGACCAGCATCCTCGGGCTTGGGGATATCAGTCTGGCTTGATCCAGTCTCAGGCTCTAGGGTGCTCCATGGACGCGGCGAAGATGAAAGGCGTAACGGTGACTGCCTCTGAAGCTCAATGCTCGACGTGTGATCACGATTCAATTGCCCTTCGTCATCTTCACGATCGGGACGGCTGCTGATATCACGGATATTCCCAATACTAGCATTCCTCAAACCACTCAGTACCCAGTCTGGCCATTCAAATTCCTCGGTCATTTCTGTTGGGTGAGAGAATTTGATGCACGCATCCCACGGTGCAAACACGACGCAAGAAATACCATACATGAAACATGATGTTCATGAGCCGCAGCTCGTGTGCGCCCGGGCTGGCAAAAGCAAATAGTCGGGCATTGCTTTGCCCCCGCTCCACTCGTAATGCTGCTGCTATATCACCCGGGCGCTGCAGGTGCCTAAGATCATTTCCTAGAACGCCTCATTTTGGACTGATTGGCGGTGGTTGAGCCCCTCGGAACACAGGGAGAAATTAATTCTCGTTTTCATTCGCACGATAAGGACCATGCAGGGACCATGCAGGTGTTTGCCTACCGTCAGTGTGTCCACCCTGCGTCTCCCAGGGGCTGTGTGCGACCCGGGTTGTGTTCGAATGTGGTGTGCCCTCATATTTCAGCCGCACGACTTGTAAAAAGGTGGGGTTCTCAGATTCTCCGCACATAGAGAGGCGCTTCGACGTCACTCTTATTTGCAGTCAGAACATACCAACGCAATGGCCGACAACCCTGAACAGAACCAAGTTAAGAACGATGTCGATTCAAATTACATTCGACGGCCAAGCCTGCAAAGGACGCTTGAGAAACTCTTTCCAGGACGAAAAGAGTTTAACATACAGGTAGTCGTCTGGACCCTGCAGGAAGTCGGGCGCAAGGCTGATTTCACTCAGATGAAGAATGATGTGTGGTCCTTTACGGCTCCAAGAAGGGTCGCAGCTGTAAGATGTACCATTCTTTTGTCACATTACTCTTGGCTGATCAACGAATTCGATCCAGAACGAACTCAAGTGAGAAATTTAAGGTCCCTCCGGAATAAGAGGGACATAACACGCTGACGGTTTCAGCTCCGCCCGTGACAAATAGGCCTAGAAATCGGCCGTGCTCCCACCATGACAATCAACTCAAGGTAGCGGCGTGAAAGGGTGGGGCGCGAGCGTGGCGCTGCGTGCTGCATGACTGAGGCGAACTTGCTTGCCCAGCCATCATAATCTGCCTTGCCGGTAGAATATTAATCAATCATCCTTCTTGCTGCGTGTCTTATCCTTCTGTCTTCTATCGCCTTTTTCAAATTTATCATGGCGCTTTTTGGAACTTACTGTGTTGATGGCATCAAGGAGCCTGTGCAAACACCCCTGCAAATCATCGATATCCCTCACGGCCCAACGTCACGCTCGAAGCCACCCCCCAAGCTGAGATTTTTCGATTCGATGAGCTTCGCAATCACTTTAAGTCATTTGATAGGCAGTCATATAAGACGCGTCTCATGTAAGACCCATAACTTAAGCAATAAGCTTTAGTGGTGGCGGACGGTGGCTGAAGGAATACAGCTCGATTTGTCAACGTAACTCCCGACGTCCTCTTCAGGTAACCAAGCCTATGATCAACCTTGTTGGGACGGAGCATGAATTCGGCACCGCTTTCGCAGAGCTACCGACATACTTTTATGATCGCGGAACAGATATTGAAAGAGGGGCTTGTTCCGCATTCAATCAATGCTGTGTGGGGTCCAAGTTGGGTATCACTTCCTTCAACAATAGTTCAGGGTCGGACGCGATGCTGATGGATTCAAATCACCAGAGACATCATATACAATTCGCTATCCCGAGTTTTCGACGGACTATGAGCGATGGTCGGTGCGGCAGACCGGTGTCTACCACCAGTACGACATGATAACACACCAGGGAACCTGGGTGCTGTTCAACCCCACTCCCAAATCTCAGGCACACTGCAAGATAGCGGAAATGATGCGGGGACAACAGAAGGAAGCTCTTGGGGATCCCTTCTGGCTTCACAGTGTGTTGTTCTCAACTTATCTTCCTGCGTGGAGGATGTATTTTGCTGATCTGGAAGCGCGCTTCCTCGACATTTCAACACCCGTCTTCGGTACGAATATCGAAGAACCTCTGGGTTTGGGATTCAACGAGTTGCAATCCTTGACTCAACTGATTTCACGGCTGCATGTTTCCACTGCAAATTTGGACTCAGCATTGAATCTCATCGACGAATGTTCCGAACTTTATAAATCGCATTCCCAGCCAGTCGAGGCTCAGAATGGATACCACACTCTTAAAAATATTTCGCGGCAGTGCCGGTCCAACGCACAGAATGCCAAGCAGCTGGAGAAGCGGATAAATTCAATTTCACAACTGTTGACCGATACTGTCTTGTTCCGGGATCAGGTTGTTGCCAAGGAGCAAAACCAGAACATGATCCAGCTGAACAAGTCGGCCGTTTTCATCACGACGCTGACTTTGCTCTATCTGCCGGCGTCTTTCATTGCCGTGAGTATTTTGCTTTTGGAGTTGAGTCTTCCGCTGGCATTATCGAATGAAGCTAATGACTCTTCTCCACGTAGACATTTTTCGGCATGAACTTTTTCGATATGGATAAAGAAAGCAACAGCATCATCGTAACACCCATGATATGGATATTTGTGGTTTCCACGGTTGTCTTGACAGGTGCCACATTTTCGATATACCATTGGTTGCTTAACCACGACGGAAAGATGTACCAAAGGCTGATGCCGAAATTTATTGCTTTTCCGCGATGGAGCACACAGACCCTGAGAATGAGTTTAACAGATGTTTCAAACAGAGACGTCGAGATGCATGCATATCAAGCCTAATCAAGTTGGTATTCCATTGTCTTTATTCATATTTCGAAATCTGTACTCAATTTAAGTGCGCAGCGAAGACCCAATAGGCGGGAGGCGGATCTTGTAGACTGCACGCTGGTTTTCCGCAGTCAAAGTGGCTAAAAGAACAAATTCCTCGCCTGGATTCCCACAGAGTCGCTCTTTAAAGTCATCTTCGGAGGATATCCCCTGAAGGAAAACTATTTCCATAACTTTGTATTCCCTGGGGGCCTTATGGGGTACATCCACCAATTCTAACAGGAGCATTTTGTGACTCGCCACAGGTCGCCCGACTGCGATAATCCTGTTGTGTCCGTGGCTCATCATGATTTTCAAAATTCGATAATTCTTTATATCATACTGGGAGTCGGTGCTTTTCTTTTGGGACATAGTCTGATCGCGTATTCTTTTCTCGCGTGTATCAACCACACATCGGTCTGGCTCCCGAGGATAAGGGACGAAGGTTGTGAAAAGGCCCACAGTTCCATGATTTCCCGGCTCCTAGAGTTGACTTAGAGCTGAATCGTGCCTTAAAATTTCTTTTTAACTTACCCCGGTCTGTATCTTGAGTTGATTGAGACAACCCTCTCTTAGGGACACGTGGAAAATGGATACTTCATGCCCGTGGTTATAGACTAAAGGATCTGGCAACACAACATAGTAGAGGTCATCGTTTGTTGAAAACGCCATGTTGGTGATTTGTGTTGCTGAGCAATTGATTCTATGCATTGCTCGAATTGATTGATGGTTTCTTGTATCTTCTGTGGGAGCGCGATAAAGAAGTGCTGATTCGGACCTCACATTGTGATTCCGCAGGAGAAATATAATCGTTTCGCTATCGGGGGAAATGGCTAGCTTGGAGATTTCAGGAAGATGTTTATGATCAACTGGAATTGGATTTCCGAGTTCACCATCTGGTGGGGGTGTTCTTTCCAGGTCGAAAAGAAAGAACTGGTGAGAATCGTTAGATATCACTTCATAATAGAAGATTCCCAATTACCGCCATACCTGAAAGCTGCCCGATACCGAGGCCACCAGGTATCTCTCTGTTAAGCCGACGCTCTTCAATATGAAATTTCTCTTGTCATTGCTTAGCTCCCAGGAGGCTGCTCTCATCATGCTCATTCCTGTCAATGAAGGAAATTGAATCTTATACAGAAATATTCTCGAATTCGTCCAAAATGCGACAGCAGATCCATCAGGGGATATTTCGGACCCTTTGAAGGGTTCGGACTCTCTGATGCGTAACGTTTCAATAAGTTCGCTCTCTGCATGTTCTTCGATGGAAGTGGTTCTTCGAATTCCGGTGCCTCGTAAGAAGTTGTCAAAGCTAGACTGTCTTCCATCAGTCTGCAGAAGGTTAGGCACTTCTTTGTACATTTCCCAAGCTCGTAGAAGCTTCCGCTCCAGTTCGCGGGCATCACATCGCTTCGGTTGCTCCTGGAATACGGAGTCTTCCAAGAACCTCAAGATGAGCTCCACAGCCCTCCCCTCGGTCTTGCTTCGGTACATTGCTTTTTCAATTAGATAGCTATGCCATCTTTTGACGACCGGATGATTAACCTTAGGCCGGGAGCCCCCATTTTTGCGGAGGAAGAATCGATCGACTCCGCCCGCTTTGGTATGGGTCAGTCTGTTATTCGCATATTCTGCCACGCCGTTGGCACCCTCCTCCAAGTAGGCAAATACAACACTGATGATGCACCCCAAGGACCATACATCACTGCTTGTGTTCAGGATAGGGAAGTTTGTCATAGACTCTGGTGCCAGATAAGTGCCGTCGCCTCGTTGGTTGACCACGCCCGAAACTGAATTATCCTGTGGCCGTGCTTGCGGTTCCATCTGCGGGTGCCGAGCAAACCAGCGATTGAAGTCCTTGACACTTTCTTTTTTCTTATCTTTTTCGCCTCGCCGACGATACTTGACGTGTGACATTCCAAAGTCACTGATTTTCCAAATATGCTTCTCACCGTCGGCAGTGATTTCAGGGAAGATTAGGACATTGTCAGGCTTCAAATCCATGTGGTAACAAACAAGATTATAGCCGTCCTTGGTCATCATTCCATCGTGTAGAAACTCCAGGCCATTTGCCAGCCCCCTAGCGCTCTGGATGAAAGCCATTTTCTCGGCTTTCGTTTTTGGTTTCTTGCGGCGATGATTCGTCATGTACTGCTTAAGATCGCAGAGTGCCAGAGGCATAAACAGACTGTAGGTCGATGAGTCAATGACAAGACTGCCGAGGCTTTCAACTATGTTGTCGCACTTTTTGTCCAGCGAAATAATCGTCTTCATGATTTCGTGGTCTCCCGCAAACCCAGCTGTTCCTGGTCTAGAATCGCCCCCGACAAGTTCGTAGTCTTTTCGTGCAAGTTCAGTTGGCTTGTCACTGGAATAATCCGAATCACGAAAATGGCCTCTCGCAACTTTCACCCTGTAAACTGTACCAAAAGCTCCCCTACCCAGAAATTCTGTCTCCACATAGGGAAGTCTTCGCCGATCAAGACTTGGGACAGCAATCTCCTTCCCTCTCTCGATGACGACAGGGCAGAATATGGCTTGTTGAGAAAGAAACTGATCGGCCGCTGTTCGATCCTCAAATAGTTCTCTCAAGGTGTTTTCATTCGCCGGTAGCGAGCATGCTTCCACGGACCAAGACTCTGTCAAGAGAACCTTCCTTATGAATTTCTGCGCGGCTTCAATGTCACAGCAAGAGAACAGAAGAATAGCCAAAAACTCATGCAGACTTTTCTTCTCAAATTTCCTGGCAAGTTGCATTTCCTGGGTCGTGTCGCTGGGACCCAGGTGGGCATCTCTGGGTAGGTTCAGACATCTGAAAAAACGCAGCAATTTCTCACGATGCAGCACCTCTTTTGCCGTTCCACGTATCGCGAATCTGCGTTGTCCATCCTCTCTCAACTGGAACTCATCCATAAATTCCGCGTAGACTTCTGTGCACATAGTGGTGTACGGAGTGGATGCCATCGTGTATCGTCGTTCAGATCGGAGGCTCGTTGATAGAAATGATCAGTCTGTCGAGGGTGTTAAGAGTGGAACCTTTTCAGCCGCAATCGATGAGGAGTAATACCCCAGGTGAACTAAGGGAGAAAGATCAGCTTGGCCAGAACAGGCTAGTCTTGATTTGCTCCATGACTGCCCCGCGGCCATCGCGGCGACCGACGAGGCAACCGCGGAGCGAAGAAAACCCACCCTACACATCCCCCTGCCACAAGCACTGCACGATTATCACATTCTCTGTGGAACTGCATGGGCAGACTAATACAAGCCCCTACTAGGCGTTCTCGTGGTTGCCCCTCATTTCGCCGCTGACGATGTGCTTGTCCGCTGGGTGCCTCTTGCCATCACTAAGGCAAAATGGAGTCCATCAGTACGGCGAATAGCGAGGCTTGTATCATCAAGCTGGGCGGTGTCGTTGCGAAGCTCTGCAGCTGTTATGTCGGGGACGTGAAAGACGCAAAAGATGATATCATGGCACTACAAGAGGCAATCGAAGGTCTCACTAGTGTGCTCGAGAAGCTCCATGAACATTTACATCGGCCTGACTCTGGAATCATAGCCTTATCGCCACTAACTGATAATGTCTTCCTTTGCTGATCGGCTCTTGAGGCTCTGGGAGGAAGACTGGATCCAGAGAGAGGCAGAAAAGCAATGAAAAAGCCGGGGTTTCGGTCTATTAAATGGCCCTTTGATCGACCACGGCTGGTTCTGGGACGTTGCTGATGGGTTCATGCGAAAAGTACACACCTCCAAGCCCATGAAAGCTATGAGTTTCGCTGCGAAATTTCTCCAGTCAGCAACATCCTGCTTTCTCCTGTCGGAAATAGCGCATTCCAATTATGACATTGAAGAAATGGAAATTGGTCAACTGGTGCTGTGATCAAGTAAGATATATATTTTGATGGGCGTGATAGATCCCAACTGGAGCTTCTGTTGAGTTTTCAGCAGTCTTCAATGCCGCGGCGGCCATGAGGGCTATTATGCCGTCCTCCCTGAGTCGCACTAGCCTTATACAGTAACGCGGACCTTCGGGAAGTGTGTATAGTACACTTCCACTCAGGGGTTATCTTAGATTATTAGATATCTTCAATATTCCTTCATTGCTGGCTTAGGCGATTCCCTCCAGATCCTATCCCTCATCTCAACAGCTTCATCAAGAGTGGATTAGCTTTTGCAACGCCAATTCGCTGAACTGTACAATATGAATCTATGTATGAAAAAGATGACAAATTGACGAATTCCTCGATTATATACTCTCGATGAGCGTAATGCTAGTACTAATATTCAGAAGACCCCCGTCGAGGCAGTGTGTCACGTGCGGATCTGGCTGGACCCACGTCGCGTCGAGCTTCGCCTGCCAAACAAAAGTTAAGCATCCCCAGTTTCCAGGCTGAGCTGCCAGCTACTTGACGTTCGAGGCGCAGAGTATTGCGCAGAAGCTAAAGGAAGCTCATCTCTTGTTTAAACTCACACTCGTTCGACACTTTCATTACATTCAACTCCAATTTACCCCCTAACCGTGCAGGACGCTCATCTCCCGAACTCCAAAATGCCGAAGCGCAAGGCCGACGCCACGAAGGCATCCAGTGCGGATATCAAAACTCCCGCGAAACGAGCTCGCGCCTCGTCGCCGGCCGGTGACAATGCTGGTCAGTCCACCCCCGACGTAAGTTATTGACCCCGAGGGCGCGATTCTGCTGATCGCCGGAGCTCCATCACATCAACCCACCGAGGGTTCCACATCGAGCCTATCTCGCTCACACCGCGACGCACAGGTTCACAATGCCATTACGCCCCAGACCGGTGAGAAGAGAGGTCGTGGTCGTCCTCGCAAGAACCCTGAGGCCGCAACACCCAAGGCAGTGAACGATGGTGCCAAACGTGGCCGTGGTCGTCCTAAGAAGGTCCTGACCGAAGCGGAAGCTGCTGCTGCTGCCGCAAAAGCTGCTACCTCTTCAGCTGGTCCTAAGAAGGGTCGCGGTAGACCCCGCAAGGAGCCAGGTATTTTGTAACTGAGCTTCTCATCGCGAAAATGAGCTGACTCTAAGCTTTACCTCATAGGTACCGAGACGCCGTCAGCGACACCCAAGAAGAAGGATGGCCGTGGACGTCCCCGCAAGAGCTTACCTGCCAATGACGAGCCCAGTATCTTCGATGCAAAGGCGGATCCGGATGAAGAGACCACGACTGGACCCATTCCCAACCACGCTACTGGCCGCTCATACTGGTTGATGAAGGCGGAGCCCGAGTCGCGTTTGGAGAAGGGCGTTGACGTGAAGTTTTCCATCGATGATTTAGCTGCCGCGAAGGAGCCGGAGCCCTGGGATGGTATGTGCGCCTGCAATTTCTCTGCAAGCTCTTTGACTAATCGATTTCCAGGCGTTCGCAACGCTGTTGGTAAGCGCTCGCATTGATGACGGCGAAACTAAAGAAGTCGACGGGCTAACGAACGATAGCACGAAACTTGATGCGGGACATGAAGAAGGGTGACTACGCATTGTTTTACCACTCTAACTGCAAGACTCCGGGCGTGGTCGGCGCGATGGAGATTGTGCAAGAGCACTCAACCGATGGTTCGTCCGCACATTTTGACCTTTCTAGATAAGATATCCTCCTTACAATTGTTTCCCCTTTAGAGTCTGCTTTCGACCCGAAGCACCCATACTATGATCCGAAGTCCAAGCGCGATGATCCCAAGTGGTCTGTGGTACACGTCGAATTCCGCCGTAAGTTCAACAAGCAGGTCACCCTTCACGACCTCAAGGCCAACGCGGAGCCCGGCAAGCCCCTCAAAAACCTACAAACCATCAAACAATCGCGACTGAGCGTTTCCTCTGTGACACCGGCACAATGGCGGTTCATCCTCGAGCTGGCGGGCGAGGACCCTGATGCCGACCTCAACGCGCCCGGCACCGAGAAGGATACCGATGCCGAGAAGGAATCCGACGAGGAGAGCAACGCCGAAAAGTAAATATCTTCAACCACGGCCTCGTCGAGGGTCTGTGGCTTCGATATTTTGCCGCCTTGACAGGATTTCTTTTGTGTACTATTTTCAGGACCTCTATCATTATCTGGCGTTGCGGGAAAGGCATAAGCTATTCTGAAACTTAAACTTCCAGTTGTCCCCGTAGTCTCCTTCTCTTTCTCCTTCTCCTTCTCCATTCTTCTGCAGTGAGCCTCGTGGCTGTCGATCCCCGCAGCTGCACGAAGCCGACATGCATGATGCGGGCCACAATGGATCACAGGGCCGAATGGGGAAAGTCTCGAGGCCTCGGCCAGCAGACTTGCCCCAACTAGCCTGGTCCAGAGCAGCGACGGCGCGGGCAGCCAACCAGGAATGCAGGCGGCGCAGACATGGTTCTCTGGTGGTTGCCCGCGAAGAGTAAGTGTACCCGAGAGCCCACCGAGGCCGTATCTTATCGCGGGGAGACCGGAGTCGACGGAGTGGAGCGGAGCTGCAGCGCTTTTAAGAACCACCCCTCTGCCACGTCCCCAATGCTGAGCTGCTCCCTCACTCTTCGGTCTCTGCGCTTGTTCTCGACCCCCGGTACTCGTCGCTTCTACTCCGTCATGTCGAACCTCTCCGTGCAGCTGGTTGCCCCGAACGGGCGCTCCTACGCCCAGCCCATTGGCCTCTTCATCAACAACGAGTTTGTTGCATCCAAGTCGGGCGAGAAGATCGCCTCAATCAACCCATCGTACGTGCCGCGGACCTCTTCGAAGTTTTACTGGGCAATTGATGTTTGGTTGGAAATGTGGACAATAGTTGACTTTGTTGCAGCAACGAAGCGGAAATCACCTCCGTCTATGCCGCCGGCGAGGAGGATGTCGATACCGCCGTCAAGGCTGCTCGCAAGGCCCTGAAGGATCCTTCCTGGAAGCAGCTGCCTGCTACCAACCGCGGCGCCCTCATGTTGAAGTTGGCCGACTTGATCGAGCAGCACAAAGAGACTCTGGCGACTATTGAGACTTGGGACAACGGTGAGTGACACGTGAACATGGACTGTCACTCTTAAGCCGGTAGCTTGGGAGAAATAAAAAAATTTTGAGAATAGTGACTGACTTGGCACAGGCAAGCCCTACCAGGTCTCGCTGAACGATGACCTCGGCGAGGTCACCAACACCTTGCGGTACTACGCCGGCTGGGCCGATAAGTCCTTTGGCCAGACCATTGGCACCACTCCCCAGAAGTTCGCCTACACTCTGCGCCAGCCCATTGGTGTCGTTGGCCAAATTATTCCCTGGAACTTCCCTCTGGCCATGGCCGCCTGGAAGCTGGGTCCGGCCCTGGCCTGCGGCAACACCATCGTCATGAAGGCTGCCGAGCAGACCCCGCTCAGCATTCTGTACCTGGGCAACCTGATCAAGGAGGCTGGTTTTCCTCCCGGTGTCATTAACATTCTGAACGGCCACGGCCGTGTCGCCGGTGCCGCGCTGGTGCAGCACCCTGACGTTGACAAGGTCGCCTTCACCGGCTCGACCATCACTGGGCGCGAGATCATGAAGATGGCCGCCGGCACTCTGAAGAACATTACCCTCGAGACTGGTGGCAAGTCGCCGCTGGTTGTCTTCGAGGACGCCGACCTCGAGCAGGCCGCCAAGTGGGCTCACATCGGTATCATGTACAACCAAGGCCAAGTCTGTACCTCGACTTCGCGTATCCTCGTCCACGACTCCGTCTACGACAAGTTCGTCGCTCTGTTCAAGGAAGTTGTCGCTTCCACCAGCAAGGTCGGCGACCCCTTCCAGGATGATACCTTCCAGGGACCCCAGGTCACAAAAGCGCAATATGACCGCGTTCTCTCGTACATCGAAGCCGGCAAGTCCGAGGGCGCCACCCTCGCCGCTGGCGGCGAGCCCTACAAGAACGTTGGCGACGGCCGCGGCTTTTTCATCGCCCCAACAATCTTTACCAACGTCAAGGATAACATGCGTATCTACCGCGAGGAGGTGTTCGGACCGTTCGTCGTGATCTCCAGCTTCACTGGTGAAGAGGAGGCTGTCACTCGCGCCAACGACACCACCTACGGTCTCGGCGCTGCCCTCTTCACCCGCGACATTGAGCGTGCCCACCGCGTGGCTTCGGAAATTGAGGCCGGTATGGTCTGGATTAACAGCAGCAATGACAGCGATTTCCGGGTGCCGTTCGGTGGTGTGAAGCAGAGCGGTATTGGTCGTGAGCTTGGCGAGGCGGGTCTGGAAGCATACTCCCAGGTCAAGGCTGTTCACGTCAACATGGGCTGCCGTCTGTAATTTAGTCTTGGAATGGTGATTAGCGGCTTCTTTTCATGTATCTAGATGACACTTATGTTTATGACAAATGATATCGCCATGATTTGCCTGTCGGCCAGTTGCACTCCGTATCCTCTACCCTCGGCTGCTGGAATGTAGCAGGTATCACTTGAATCAAGAATGTTTCAGGATGCTTTACTCGTGTCGCGTGCTTCAAGGATATCAAATGGCTAGCCCATGCCGAAAAGAATCACGCCGAACCATCACAGAGGTAGCCAGCACCAAAACATGCTTTGATCATGTAACCCCAATCCACGTGTTTCGACACGTTGGCGGCCCGAGCCCTCACTTTCCTTCGACATCGACAGCTGCCTTATGCGAACATTTGAATACCACCCCAACCCACAGTTACAGCCTGCCAGTTATCTTTATGATAAAATACTGACGACACTAACACCCGCAGAAGACAAAACACTAGATGAAACACAATCCGCCAATCAAAATAACCCCCAACCAACCGAACGTGATTCGCCCCCAGAAACCGAGCAGCCAGCAAACCATCTGTCTGTGGCAGTGTATCCCCACAAAAATCTCCAACATTGACAAGCCTTGGCATCACAAAAAGACCACCTGTATCAAACACATCCCTTCGAAAAGATCCATTCAAGCCCCCGGGCCATCGACGGCTCGACACAGTTGCCACTGCATAGTGAAGCGTACGACCCACCCGAAGCTCGTCCAAACACTATCTATATACGGTATCCCCTATGGGAAGGGTATGTATGATGCACCCGAGATCGCACGAAATACGGCCAGGGGATCGGGACAGCACGCAGGTTGGTTGATGCCCAACACTGCGGCAATTTGTGATGGTGCTGCTCATTCGTCGGGGAAACAAGATTCGTGCTGGATTTGTTGTCGTGCAGCACAGCACAATGCAAGACAGGACATCAGGGCGCTGGCGCTGGCGCTGACTGCGATGAACTGGTTGCTGGCATCGCTACCAAATGCACGCTGCACCGCGCTCTTGGGTATGAGTACAGGGTATGGGTATAGGTACAGGAATGTACATGTGCGCACGTCCGCCGTTGCTTCCCCGCGGCATGAGCCGAGCCGAGGTGAACCTTGAACTATGCCTGGTTCAAGTTTGATTAGCTGGTACGTTTGATGGTACATCTTACACTTGCAATAGATGCGAGTGTTCGGCGCGGTATTCAGGAAGGATTCAGACCGAACTGCTACGACTACTGAGTATCTAAGTACTAGCTAACGACTTGCAAGTTTTCACCTGCTTATCCAGACAAGCCAGCGAATAGATAGCTAATGCATGCAAGTCTACCTGGCAAAATCCCCGAGAGACGGGATGAGCTGCATAGACACCCGCCAATTACGATTGCGTAGCAAAATGTAAGCGAATTGCTGCTGTCAAGGATACAACATGGAACAGGCACTGCGCATCAAATCCAGGCAGGAATGACGAAGAATAAAGTCATCACCTCGACCTTGCCCAGACGGATCACCGCTGACGTGATTGTAAGACTCGGTGAAAATGGTATTTGGAAGCGTGTGCTGATCCCAACAGCCCCAGTGGCAAGCAATCGCGGTGTGAATTGGACCAAGCTCTGGGGCTATTACTCGTGCCCCGAACCAGGGTGCATGCAGTTCGAATTTTTCGTCACCCGTGCTTACTTTGCCCGGAGGGAACCTCGAGAAAAGTGATCTCGGCTTGTGGATTCTGATTCTGCAGGGCCGGACTTGGGTTCTTAACCCAAGGCGGCTGGTTCGTGCATCAAATGCTGTGCGTTGTCGAGGGGAAAGAGGTGAGATGAATTATCTGATTTGCTCGCACGGGGAATTTGGTGATTGGGCCGTCCTACGTGCCCGATTTTGCGCCTGGGGTCGGGCAGGATGAGTTAGCGCCCACCACGTACATGTATCTCTTGCAGATGCATGCATATGAGAGCTGGTCATGTGGGCGCTTGGGCGGTTTGGGAAGGTCTGGATAGCTGGTACCTAGGTACCTGCCCTCTCTACTGACTGTATGCCTATTTGGCGTTGAGGAAGTTTGGCCTGTACAGACAGGCCGTTGAAAAGTGTAAGCAAGAATCATAATTCTATTCTGACAGGCAATTTCATATTCTAGATTTTTCCTGTCAGCTCATGTCCTGCAGAGCATATAAAACCGGGGCAGTCTGCAGGACCGGTCAATAGTGCGTGGAACTGTCACTCACCGCATCGACCCGGGAATACCCTACGATTTCCCGTCAAGCCACTCCATTTACCGGGTATGTACCTTGGTACGACGACAACAACAACGATTCAATCTACTGCGCTAACCAATCTTAGGGTGCCTAGTAGGGCAAAGGTGATACGATCCGCGCCGCCTTGTCAATCGTCCTACCGGTTCGTCCACCGGAAACTGATACCAGTCCGACCCCAGCCCCGTCGGCCTTTGTGGGGGTTCTTGGACGGTGTTCAACCCCCTTTTCTTCCTCGACCTTTACCTCAACAAGTCAACCCTCACCCTGACTCTTTGGCTACACTTGGTCCATCTCGGTCTCTTCCCGCGATCGGCGCTGCCAACCTTTTTCCCCTTCGTGAACAGGGGTTCCCATCCCAAGCTTCCCCTGTGTGACCTCCACTTCTCCAAAAGAGCGGTGTCTCCATTGCGACCCCTCCTTTTTTCCGTGATCTTCTCTCAAACGCATTGGGTGATCGACATGTCTGAAATTCGGACGTGGACGGTCAAAGTGGTTAGATCCGCCCTCCATCGTACATTGATTCGTTGTACGCGGTGCATTTGCATTTTTCCTGTCGGCGTCTGTCGGTCAGGAATACGGCCGAGGAAAAAGAAATGCAAATGCGCCTGCAGACACTTTGGCGTACCAATCAAATACCGAGAACATGCTAAACTAACTCGCCTCGCCCTCTAGCCTTATATCGACATAGCGGGAACACTCCTCGAGGGCCCATTTCACGATGCAGCCAACAATGAGTTTCGCTTCGTCGACATCTGGGAGCACAAGCTGTACCGCCTCGATCTAGCACGTGGGCCCGAATCCCTGAGGGTAATTGACACCGAGACTTCCATCGGGTGCGTTCATCTTTCATCTCCGTTCCTTATGGAGTCATTCCATATGCTAAGTGGATACAGCGTGACGGCCAACATTGCCGAGGATCAGGATCAGCTGATAGTTGCGGCCAAGCATGGATTTGCTCGGCTGAACCGGTCCACCGGGAAGCTGACCTACATCGCCGAAGCCTGGGGCGAAGAGCCGGGGAAGGCGGAGATGTAAGTACCCACTTCAGCACTGCACTGGGTACAGATTTGCAGCTGCGTCTAAGATGTGATCTCATGCTTACATTGCTATGTAGAATGCGCTTCAACGACGGCGCCATCGACAGCCACGGGCGCTTCTGGGCCGGCGCCATGAATGACCCGAAAGTCAAGAAGCCCGGTCCAGAGGGCGTGCTCTTCAGACTGGACCCGGACCTCAGCTTGCACCGCATGCTGGCCCCAGTGACGATCCCCAACGGGATTGGCTGGAACCTCGCCAATGACACTATGTACCTGACCGATTCACCGACGGGCCAGATCTTCGCTTTCGACTTTGACGCAGCCACGGGGGATATCAGTAACCGGCGCGTGCATTTCGATCTTGGGGAGCCGCTTGAGCCAGATGGATTTGTGATGGATGAGGAGGACTGTATCTGGACAGCGATTTATGGCGGGGGCAAAGTGTTGCGCGTGTCCACGGAGGGGAAGGTGATTGCGAGGATTGATTTGCCTACGCGCAATCCCACCTGTCCAGCCTTCGTGGGGACAGAGCTGTTTATCACGTCTGCCAAGGACGATAGAGATGATGAGTGGCTGCCCCAATCCGTTCGGTATGGTGGATGTCTGTTTAGGATTGACGTTGGAGTCAGGGGGAAGGCGAAGAATGAGTTTCGGTTTGCGTAGGCCTGAGTTTAGCTAGGTAAGCAAGAGCGGGAGCAATTTCTTCGCATGCCTATGGTGGAATAGGAGTGTCTCATACTCCAGTCTGAGCATTGATACTCCGTATTCCATTTGAACTAAAGAGATCGACTGTGCATCCCCCTTAACTTTTCCAGTGGCGAAATGCGGACTTGATAGTGACAAGTGGGTCGACGATCACTGACGGACCGGCTCGCTGTCACCATCTGCAGTCCGGAAGGGGAAAAGCGTATGCGTGGAATAAGGGGTCATTGTCACCGTCTCTGGGTGGTTCGAGTATGAAAGAAATTCATACAGCAAGTACTGCGGGATGGAAAAGGAACTTTGTCAGTCCGGTTGGCAATCCGTCCGATCGCGTGTGATTGCACTGCGACCAGGCGAGTCTGCCTTGCAGGGCGATGCAGGCACGGGGATGTGATGGTTCTAGCCATTGTTCGGTGTGCTCGAGGTCATTGTTCGGATTTCTTGTTCGCATTTTGGGAGCGATCGTAGGGGGCGATGACTTGCAGCAGGTAAGACCTAATTATGAAGGCTTCCTTAAATTTCCAAAAAGGGATACGAGACGGAGAAAGACTCTGGATTTGCTGATCGGGGCTGTTTCTTTTGCGATGCGGTTGCAGCGGACACGAGATATTTGCATAGACGGGAGAGTTTGGAGTAGGTGCCTGTGCCAAAAAAAAAAAAAAAAAAAAAAAATAAAAAAATAAAAAAAAAAAATAAAGAAAGAAAGCAAGGCGAGTATTTCATCAATCGATACCATTGAGTATACTATACAGCGTGGCTAATAGTGGTCAATACCATGCTCAACACTCGATGAGAAAGGATCTCAGTGAATGGATAGCTTGGTGAGTTGACAGCGTAATGTGCACTAGTTAAGAGTGTCGCTAGTGAAAGTACCGGTACTCCGCGGCCGTCAACCAAGGAACGGGCAACCCATGTACCAGATACCTGGGACCACCCAAAGTTTGGCCAGTTGCCTACCCAACCACCAACCTTAGTCGGTACTAGTAAACAGGCCCCCTTGGTGACGATTGACACTCGGACCCGAGTCGGCGGAACTGTTTGAGCCACCCTTCCTCCAGCGCCTAGTGCTTATACCCCTCTAGGGTACTTCCCACCCCATCTTAGGGTACTAGGGTAGGTACATAAGCGGTATAGCTGCAGAGACGGGACATGCGAGGCGAGAAAATCGCCTCCGACCGACCAGTCAGAAGCGCTGGATCTATCGACCGCAATTTGTTCAGCGGGCTGCATGCTGATTCGCTGCCTGGAAATGGCGGCTGCGGATACCGTGCGATGTAACGAAATATACCTGTACATAATGGCAGTAGCACACTGCAAATGTACTGCAAATGTACGAGATACACATCCGTCTACAAAGTACCAGGTATACATAACATAGTTGCAATTCACAGTTTCAACTGCTGCCGTCGGGGATAGGTCGGAAATGATCGATGGCTCGATCGATCCCCGCCAAGCTAGAAAGCGACAGAAGCTGTCAGGCCGATCGGCAGTCTTGCTTCCTAGTTGCCTGAGACAATTGTCCGAGTTTCCTCCTCGTACTTTCTTCACTACCTAATATGACACAGGTACGCCGTCGGGCGATGATCGCACGAAAGGACCACGAACCACAAACCACAAGCCAAAGCTCAGCCAGCCCATTGTTTCTTCCCCGTTTCCTCGAAGGATTCGGAATCCACATCGCGCTGCACCCGCGTCCGCGCTAGACCGATCTTCACTTCTCGTCACGCGGAAGCAATGGCGCTAACACCGGTGGGTCCTAAAATGAAAATGGACCCGAAAAATGGACTCAGAGTCCAGAAGCTCCCTCCAGTCTAGTTTTTCGTCCATCGCCGTTCATGCATGCGATGGGCAACTTCCTATCGGCGGGCCTTCCACTCTTCCGGTCGATCGTGGGACTGCTGACCTGTCACTTTTGACCTTTCGTTAAGGTCAATTCGCGGTGAAGACTCTTCGTTGAAAATTTGTTTGTTTACTTGCAATTCCCCCGACCCCTGTAAGGTGAAGAGTAGATCACCGTGACACGAGCTGCTGAGGTCACCATTGGTAATCAAAGTCTGTTCATTTCTTTTGCCTTTTGCTTTCGTGTTAGGTCGATTGGCATAGCACAATTGCTGCCAGTGACGTAGGTCATGCTCAGTATTCCTCCAATTCAACGGGGACTAGCTCATGTGGTTGCCCATCCAAACCATCCCAGCTAGTAGTGCTGGTCTAGCTATTTCCTGCGATAGTGCTACATAGTGTAGCAAGAACGGTTGCCTCCCAGGACCGCGGAAAAGAGCTCCTAGCCATCGCCTAGCCACACTGGGTGCATAGGTACATACTGGGCAATGCCGACCATCGCAGATTGGGCTCCCACACGATCCACTTGCTCGTTCCAAATGGTCTGGCGGGTCCCAAAGATTGGAACCACTCAATAGTGGCGCCGGGCCATCTCCTGGTGGATCCACTGACCAGCTAACTCACCCCTTCTCGCCCAACGGCCACCAACGGCGGACCCCTGTGACGGGACACGCGATGCATGACATTTGGTTAATAGTGTTAAGGTTTGCGATAGCTTGGGGATGCGAGAGAATGTACACTCAAGCCAGGGATGTTACTTTGAAAAAAAGGTGTCTATCAGGGCATTGCAGTGCATATACGCAGCTATCTATCAGAGTTGCAGTAGTACTTCACTTAAGTACCTCCCTACAGTCGTTTGGGTCGAGAGGTACTACTTATGATGAGGCAAATATCTTCTGTACAACGAACGTGTCCCCTCTTAGCTTTGCTTTGTTTTACTTGTTTTCTTTTCTCTTTTATTTAATTTTTTTTTCCTTTTTCCCTTTCCATTTTTCTTATTTGCTCAACACTTACTCGGTTAGTGTCCCAAACCACCGGAAAATGACAAGGACCAGCGGAGCATCGCAGCAACCACGCTCCTCATCGGATCCTGTCACCATTCCCAGCATCCCCCGCCCCCAAGCGTCATCGTGCTCCACCCGTCCCTTCTCCATGTCCACGGTGACGGCGCCGCGCACTTGCAGCTGCTTCCCGGTGATTCGTTCCCCCCGACGATCTCTCGAGGCATAGCCATCCCCTCTCAAAATGTGCCTGTGGAGCCTAGGGACACCATCACTCGAGGCTGAGCTCCAGATCCTGCCCAACGCTATCCGACACGCTGGGTCAGACAGACAACTCTGTCTTAGCCCACCCCCCAGAAGGTGATGGATCATGCCTCTCTCCCCCCCCCTCTCCCCTTCGCACACCGCTGGATCTCAACGGTCTCTACAAAAGCTCTTTCTCTCAACCTTTTTTTCTCTCTTCCCCTCCTGCTAGCAAACTTTGACCCCTTCAACCTGGATGGGGCCTCGGATCGCTTCCGTCGTGCATGCACATGGTTGATCTGACCCTCCGTTCTATCGTGGCCACTAGATCATTCTCCCCTTTTTAATTTGGTCTGTTCAATCTGTCTGACCCTAGTTGAAGTCAAGGGCAATCCGTCAAGAAGTGGCCGTCGGGCAATTGGGTGTTGACTTCACCAACACATCACCTCGTTCAACCTTCCACGTCGAGCCTGTTTCTTCTACTCTACTATTTCCCCATTCTCGTCACACATCATTCATCGTGGCGACTCTGGGCATTAGCGTCTTGACTGCGCCTTATCCGAGGTCGCTGCATTCGCCAAAACTGTCGCATTATCCATCGGATCCTCAGTATCCGGCCCCCTCCCTCTCTCACTCTCGTGAGACCCCCGGTGACACAGAGAGGGGGGACTCGGTCATGCCCTAATCCCCCAGCCCGCACCCGAGATCCGTCTATGTCGCAGGACTCGCTGCGTGCTGCATTGTCTGACGATGCTCCGGCAAATCGCAGCGGTTCGGATGACTATGTCTCTGCCCGCCATCCATCTCGTCGGCCACCATTGCGAGCTCGTCCGCAGTCCTGGCATCCATATGGTCCCGTGGAACCACCCCTTGACGCTTCTGCGCGCTCGATTGGCGTCCACTCCATCCTGAACCCCCCAGCTCAGGCAGTCGATGTAGCTGGGGGTCGCGAACCGTTGAATTTTCCAGGACCAGCATCGCCTCGACCTCGACCTCGACAAGGATCCTCGCCGGCTCCGCGGGCTCTTCACGGTATGCAACCGTTGTCTCCGAGGTCTCATTCCCGGGGACTCATGAACCCTAGCTCGCCGTCAGCGAGGTTCGTTAGTGGCAGTGGTCGGAAATCAGGGCAGTCAAGTGTCTCTCACTCGCCGTTGGTGGCCCAAGAACCACCACCGCTCAGTACTCGACAACATCCCCCACCCAGCTCGCCGCTCCCTCTTGATGCAGTACTTCGACCTCTCTCGTCACTGCCGACCACCCAGCCCGCAACGTCGACGTCCCTTCACTCGACAGCAAGCATCCACTCACGACGAGCCAGCGCCGGCCCCGGTGCAGCGACGGACCCCAACTCGCAGGAAACGAGCCCCATCACGCCGCACTCCAGCTATGGTCATTTTGTGGTTTCCCCAGCACAGGCAAATGCATCGATGCCACCAAGTATACCACCATACTCCGCCTCGACACCCTACATGACGATAGAAGCTATCAATCGATCAACCACTGCGACAGCCGGCCCCCGCGTGAAGGAAGAACCAATAAGCCAAAGCAACAACCTATCCTCTGGGCTAATCCCTTGCGTACTAGACCTGAAGTCCGGCTCCTCTAGCCAGGCTGAGAAACGCAAAGCAAACAGTGACGCCTCGAGACGATTCCGCAACCGCAAGCGCAACGAAATGCAGCTCGAGCAGCGCCTGGCGGCTCAGCAGGATGAAATCACACGGCATATAGAAAATGTCCGCCGACAATCAGAAGAAATTCGCTCTCTCGTGCAGCAAAGAGATCACTATCGCTCCGAACGCGATTTCTTTCGCGATCATCTCGGCCGATCCATGTCATTGAGCACTTTGCCTCCACGTCCTGCGTCTCCGGCTCTTCCTCCTGACACGGGGGTCTCTTGGTCTGGTGATGCATCTCGTCCACCTGCGCAGTCGGGTCGAATCCTCGAGGGCCGTCCGCAGGCCAGTTGGCCCGGTAGTCCAGCGGCGTCGTACTCACCTACTTCGTCTGCGAGAAGCCTTGCGCCTTCGGGTCCACCACCTGTATCGGGCACCCCGCTACCTCCATTCCAAGGGTCGTGGTCGAGGCAATGATCATGTCTCTTGCGAATGAAGAGGTGGTATTCTTATTTTCTTGCTGTATTTCTGTTGTCTATCTCCTATTCGCTTTAATGTCCATACGCAAAAAAGGCACCGCGTCACTGGTTTGACCGGTCCGAATAAGACGTGCTCTCTTACCGGAACCATCTAAAAGCGTCCTTCTGTTTTGGATGTTCATATAGTTGCATTGCCTTTTGTGTTTATCTTTCTCTGGTATTGGGTGTTTGGTATTTTGGGCAATTGGGGGCTATTCGTCGTTTGATACTTGTTCTATTTCCGATGCACAGATTGGTGTTTTGTTTCGTCTCCTGGATGTTACCATCCCAGCCCCCATTTCCCCCTGTGATTATGCTCCGATACATAGCTCTACCTGGTGCCTGATTTTGCGGTGATACCTCCATTGGCAAAGACCCTTTTTCTCTCTCGACTTGGTGCATCTAAGGAATACGACCTTCATAGAACTCTACAAATTGTTAGAAGTCCTTTGCATGCATTTGCATTTACATTTACATATATCAGTCGACGGCGTCTCGGTCTACTCATTCATTTCTATCTATCCAATAAAAAAGGTACACTTAAAAGCAAACGGTACTTCTCGGAAATCGGTTGGAGAGTCACATACTAGAAATGGCCTCGATTCCACTCCACACGCCCCGCAAACTATATCGCCTAGCTTATCTTATGCGTTGTAGAGTGGATAGGTAAAAAGGTGGCTGGGTGTGAAGATCAACATCAGGGCGGAAGACCTTCATGGGTGTCTTTCATTCCAACACTCGCGAATCCCAATAATATTCCCAGCACAGATGTGAATCTTGGAATAAAAATCAAAAACTAGACACGCATAACAAAATGATCGACTGATCGACCATGACAGTTCGTGATGTAACCGTTAAGCAAGACATGCATTAGTCTACCTTTATCTGCGGCTCCATCGTTCCGCGAGCCGTGATCGTTTTCCACAGCATCTAAGCTGTCATCTTTACCGACACATGCTTTCTGTAGGTGTGGGGTTCTAGTTGGGCCTGGATATGTTTGGTGGGTTTTGGTGGATGATCAGTGGGACGTGTTACATGTACTTCTGTTATCCCTTGCTTAATGCGCGATTTACGAGATGGCTGGTGAGCGTTGGTGATTACCACTATGTTTCCCTGGGGATGGATCAGGACAGAGTTGACAGCTCGTTTATCTCGATCTGGATTAAGGGGCGAGTATTTTGTGGCGTTTGACCCGCTTTTTGTGGCGGGTTGGCGTGGAGTTAGTTAAATAGATTGTGGGTGATGTTAGGGCTAGAGGATTCAAAATGGTCTTTTGGAGCTGTATAGCTTTTGTCGATGGATAAAACGTGCTCCTCCGATATGCCATCCAAGAAGATATGACTGATTGGAGATGCGCGTACTGCCCGCTGAACTCGGGTGTGTCTCCTTCCTTCCCAGGTAGTGACCGGAAGCGTTCTCCGGAGGTATACGTCGCATCTTGACTATTCCCAAAAATGTTTATATACCGCGAGATAGAATAATCAATTGAATGATTATTACGATAAAGGAATATTCGGGATGGGGACTTTTTTGGGCCTGACCAATCAGACATGTTCCACATTTTTCGATCTCATAGTTCAGCCTGGTTCCTTGTCTCTTGGCATTTGTCCAATTTAGGGGAGCAATGTAGTGATATCCTTTCCAAGACTGATAATTGTTGGTCGCTTGGCTAGAACCCATAAAGAATACGGTGGTAGTTTCACACCAAATGCATCCCCACCGTGCCCTTGCTACTTAACACTGACACATATAGTTTATACAAATCGTTACCTGACTCTTTGCCTGATTACTCATTCCATCTTTAATCAATGTTATTTAAGACTTTTCGAATCCAAAATCAAGACATTCATTCTAATGCACCAGTAGATAGTTGAATAACCAGGAAGAGGTGGAGTTCTGAGAAAAAGGAAGTGCTATCCCAGCAACCTCCTATTTATTCCACTTATATCCTGAAAGTCCATGAATTCGGTCTCAGGCTCAGACTGAAAGTGAGCACAAATTATCAAAAAAGAGAGGATTTCATAACATATCACAGCTAGCGTTCTCACAGGTACTTTTTGGCAATTGGTTTCTTTTCACACGAATTTTAGAGTATAGGTTGGGAGTTTGGTCGGAGAAATGGGATTGCTTCTGTAGCGTTTCTTGACCTTGAAACATTCGAGAGCTTGGATACTTCGAGAATGCTCACGTTCCGGCTAATTTCGGGTTCTTGAAGTCGTTTTTCTCGACTGCAAACGAAGATACGACATTCCCATTGTTCAGGACTAGGTATTGGAGCTCACTGGACTCACTCCTCTTCCCCAGACTTTCCGAAAATTGCCGGTATGATTACAGCTATAAAAACCGAAAAGCCAACTGAGTTAGTTCTTCTTCTTTCACTCTCAACCACCCATCACTTCTTCGTTCCTCACTCTCACAATCCAGTCGTTTCACCTCCGGATATCGTCCAACCTTCATCTCATCTTTCCATCATCCTTCGGACTCTTCTTCTTTCACTCTCGCAATAATAACCGTGCGTCTTCATCATAACATCAACACGCCGTCACGACTTCAATCGCCATCCATCGCTACCATGTCTCATCAACACGCGCCCTCGGCGTCCGAGATACGTCCAGGTGCATTCTCCAGGCTTCACAGCAGAGATTGGCGATTTCATACCCCGCCAAGAATTATCCTGTAAGATACACACACCAGGCGACGAACATTCAATTTCTTTCAAGATCTCACTCAAATCAAACTTCCCTTCCTTGAAGCACGACACGACATGAAGCCATGATCCTTATCTGTCAACGAGATCCTCAAAGAGCATGGTCTCGAGAGATTTATCGACCAAAGGGTGCCAAGACCTTGACAGGACAGCCGCAATGCTCGCAGATGGTTGAACAGCTCGATAGTTATCGCATCCTGGCTTACGTCTCACATGGGCCATGACATCGTCGAAATATTGGAAGAAAATGCCATCAACATGGACATTGTGACACAGAGGCCAATGAAATCAACGAGGCAAAATTGGCGGATAGCTTCACGAATGAATTTATGCTGTGCATGTACCAATATGACACAGAATATGCCGCTGGTGAAATCAGCCGACTTTTCAACTTTCATCCAGTTACGAATGGCTTTGGTCCAGAGGACGTTCCACGTTGTATAGAGAAAATTGATGACTGGACATTGCGTTTGAGCTATATTCGGTACGACCCCAATTTGGCCACATGCATGATGCTTGAGAATCTAGAAATCTATGACCAAAGTCCTATTGTCTCTGAATTTGGGAGGGTTATTGACAAAGAAGTCATGAATGACCCAGGGAAAACGTTCAACTGGAAACGTGACATGGTTAAACTGGACTTTTTTGAAAATCATTTTTCGTTTTCAATATCTTTAGCAATTGAATGGCGCTTCTCCACTCTTGACTTTTTTTACCTCTTTTTTTTTAAAAAATAAGCAAATTTCCTGAGAATAACAAGATGTTTCGATTGGATGACTTGCATTCCAACATTATATCTTCCAAATGTGTTCTCAACTTAATCGATGAAACTTCCAACGGCTCCTTTACTCCAGGAGGAAATGCAAAGAAATTTGCAGAAAATTGACCCTTTTTCATTCTTCCTATACCCTTCCAGACCTACTCGGGTGTTTGAAAAACCTATATCGTTCGCAGCACTGACTACACTGATGACGCAAGTGAATTATCAGGAAAGAAGATCGTAAATAGCGCGATGTCTGATCCGGCTTCTAGACAAGTATTGTCAAAAACGCACAAGGGCATTATGTTAGACGACAGTGGGTACGGATACGCCAATTCACCAAGGAATCAGGAGATTTAGGCCACATGGTGAAGTCCCAAATTGAGGCATGATAGGATGCGACGCGCATAGTAATTTTCCGAGCGACGATCAAATGTGTCGATCTGACTCACGACAAATCACAAATTTTGGAGATAACTCCTCGTCTTGCGTCGTAAGGGTAGTGTAGCCCCGAAATCAGATAGAAGCAAAAGCATTCTAGTGTGCCAACTCCATGCCAAGCCGAGCTGCATCCATGGAGTGTCTGGATTACTGTGGAGCCGTGGCTGCTGGTACGGCTGCCCTCGACTTGTCTTGTGCGAGGTACATATGCGACGGATCGACAGTGCAGAGTGACGAGAGAAGTGAAACGAAATGTGTCGGAGATAAAACATAGTCAACGGTGACAAGGTGGCATTCCCCACAATTATATGTAGGTACCTTGCAATGGCGTCTTAGGGCGGCTACTAGTATATTCGTAGTATAGTCGAGGCATTGTGCCTGAGGCCAACAGACCAAGGCTGTCCCAATCGGGGATGGTGGAAGGGAAATGTGAGGAAGTACCTCCCAGTACCTCCAGGGCCATACTAATTTCTATACAGGAAGAGGTCGTGGCAAGTTCCCTTTTCAGGTGTCACCACGTGCTGCAACCTGTGGAGGGGCGGTGATCCGCCAATCAGTGGCCCGCCTGGCCTCACGGGCTCGACCTCAGCGATGCGAGGAATGCGCGGCCGCCCAAACGGCAGGCACGGGTTACCGTCCATTTCGGTGCCTGCTTCGTGTTTGCTTCCTTTTCTCTTGCGTGCCTCGTTCCCCTGGCCTCGTGGAACACGTTCGTGCTCTCCCTGCCCGAGTCCGTTGACATCATATCTACATCTACATCTACACCGGCTTTGTTCCGAACAAGGATACGCATGCTGTGAAGATGGCGGGATACAGGAAAGCACACGACCGGCTCCCCGAGGAGCAGCGACTGCTAGGTGAGCTCGAGGGACAGCAACGTCCCAAGTCCTCGAGATGGTCCCGAAAGTGGCTGGTCACTGCCATCGCTGCCCTGTTAGGTACTCTAGCTCTCGCCCTGTACTTCACCGTTGGGTATGAATCCTCTGGTTCGAGTCCTATGGTGAAAACCGCGTTTCCTGACGTTCTGGTGAATTCTTCTTCCAGCGTCGACAAGGTGACTCGTCACCGCTGGGCGCAGTCCTGTGACAGAGTGACCGACGGCTACCAGTGCTTTACCAATGTTTCTCACCGGTGGGGCCAGTATTCCCCGTTTTTCACCGTGGCCGAGGATAGCGCTTCTTCCGCGGTCCCGGACAAATGCGAAATCACTTTCGTCCAAGTGTTGTCCCGCCATGGGGCGCGGTTTCCGACGGCCTCGAAGACCAAGAAATATGCAAAGTTAATCAAGGCCATCCAGGCTAATGCCACGGCATACCACGGGAAAGCCTCTTTTCTCCAGTCTTATAATTACACCATGGGCAGTGATAACCTAACTTCCTTTGGTAAGCGCCAGATGGTTAACTCGGGCATCAAGTTCTATGAGCGATACGCTGCCCTGGCCCGTGACCATGTACCCTTTGTCCGTGCCTCGGGCTCGTCGCGTGTTATCGAGTCTGGTGAGCTTTTCAATGAAGGCTATCAGCAGACTAAGAACAAAGATGGACAAGCGAAAATTGGCCAGTCAAGTCCGACCATCAATGTTGTCATATCCGAAGAAACTGGATCCAACAATACTCTCAACCACAATACCTGTCCCGTCTTCGAAGCCAACCAAAAGGGCGATAAAATCGAAGACAAATACAAAGCTCTCATCGGTCCTGCTATTGCCAGTCGCCTCGAGGAAGATCTACCCGGGGTGACTCTCACAAACAAACAGGTCATCTATCTCATGGACATGTGCGCCTTCGACACCATTTCATCCACGGCAGACGGGAGCATTCTATCAAGCTTCTGTGATCTCTTCACAGACAACGAATGGAACCAGTACAATTATCTTCAATCGCTGAGTAAATACTACAGCTACGGGGCAGGAAATCCTCTTGGTCCGACCCAAGGTGTGGGGTTCGTGAACGAGCTCATTGCGAGAATGACGCATACTCCGGTGCTCGACGATACATCCACCAATCATACCCTTGATGCACCGGGTGCCGCCACTTTTCCCTTCAACGCATCGATCTACGCGGACTTCACCCATGACAATGGCATGATTCCGATATTTTTTGCGATGGGCTTGTATAACGGCACAAACCCGCTCCCTCTCTCTCACGTGCAATCTGCGGCCAGCTCCGACGGATACTCTGCGGCGTGGACTGTGCCCCTTGGTGCGCGTGCTTATATCGAGATGATGAGGTGCAACAGTCAGAGAGAGCCCTTGGTTCGGGTGCTCGTCAATGATCGCGTTGTTTCCTTGCATGGATGTCCAGTCGATTCGCTTGGTCGTTGTCGCCGGAAGGACTTTATCAATGCTTTGACCTTTGCACGGGACGGTGGGGACTGGTCGAGCTGCTATACTTGAACTCTGCTTAGCTGAACAGCCTTCTCTGGTAGGGCTCGGGGGATTTAGGGTCTTGTACGCTGTTGGGATTTGTTTGCTGGAGATTATCTTCTTTCGCTTCAGCCCGGTGGCTTTGTTGTGTTTTTTAGCTTTCTTCGAGATACCATATCAGGCGAGATACCCCTGTTCAATTTCTTTGTTCAAAATTTATATTTAGTTGAGCACCAGAATTAAATTCCTTAAGCTTAGAACCTTAATCCTTGCAAGTCCGGGGTACATAAACCTTGCCTCGAGGCTATCAATCAACTCCACGCACTACCTCTTGGTAAGCCTTGAGCTTAATTTCAGAAGTATTCTGAGAAGCGTTCAATTCAGATAGCCGCCAACTCCAATGTGCTTATTCTTCTTCGTATACGAAACCATGCGCAATCAATGCCTAACGCAACCCAATCTTAATCCCATTGCCATTTCCATTCGCATTTCCGTTCCCATACCCATATGCAATTCCATTTCGAGCAGACTGTGGCGGAGAAAGAGCCCAAGCCTCCCAAAGCCGTTCTTGGCCTCGCCTCACACGAACCCCATCGTCGCCCAACTCATCCGCAGAAAGACCTTTCACTTTCTCCGACATCGCAGATCGATCCAGCATCCGGTCGCCACGAAGCAGGGGCGGGTTGTCAGGGGGCGAGGTACCGGCCGCAACGACAGAAAGTGAAGACGGAGGCGATGGAAGCAGCGGGGCAGGATCAAAGACTTCAACGCCGGCGGATGTCGCCAGGTCTTCCAAATAGGCATCGTAGTTTATCCCCCGTAATTCCAAGCAGTCCAAACGATCCATCTCGGAGCGAAGCATCGACAGCACTGTGCTCCATCTACTTCCCGCGCGGAGGTAAACGCCTACGAGGCGGAGCTCGCGTAGTTCGTGGTGGTGTCGGTGGGCGAGGGAGATTATTTCATTGGCGGAGAGACGCCAGCCTTGCAGACTTAGCGTTCGAAGAGTTTTCCAGCGTATCCCGTGGAAGATGGCGTCGGGAGTTAGGTTTAATGGGTGTTTTTGAGGAAAGCCTAGGTGAATGGCGACGAGATTTTTTGCTTCTTGGAAGAATCGGTGAAAGACGCCTGAGAGATCGGACATTGTTGGTGTTATGTCCGTTGTGGAATGAAAATTGATATCAAGGCTCGTTATGCGGCCACCTATCGCAGCTAGAGTGTTTGAGGGCGCCTGTAGTAGTTGGCGTGTTGCTTCGGGACTTATTTGTGGTCCAATGAAGCGGATTGCTGTACATTGAGAATCGAGCAGCGCGATGCCCAGATTTGTCACTGCGCGAGAACAGGCCGACTCCCAGTTAAAGGTGATAAAGGTGCTTGGGGGAGGATGCAGGGTCTCCAGGTAGTGTTCGCTGATAAGATCGAGTAATTCCTCATCTGCTTCATCTTGTAGGCGGAGAAGCTTGATTTCCTGCAGTGCTGGAAATGACGCGATGGCTTTTCGAAGCTGGGCTAGATCGTAGCCTGATCCGACCAGATTTATTTGCTCTTGTAGCCGATTAAGGTGCGTTTGCAATAAGGTAAAGTTTTCCTTGTCGTTGAATGACTCGGAGCGGATAATCGTCTCCCACTCTATAAGATCACGTCGTCAGCTTATGGTGTTTCTGTCGATCGAGGTGGGTGGATATTGACGAAGAGTCGATGTTTACCTCTGCCTTGGTAGAAAGGTCGCACGAGGTAGGTCACCGATTTCACATAACGGGCCAGCTGCATTTGGAGCAATTCGTCCAGTCGGCGGAACCCATTCGCGGAGAATCGCAGGTTGAAATGGGAGAATTGGCGCGGAGTGCCGATCCGCATGAATCGCGTGCACACGAGTCGAAAGCGACCGAGATCAGAAGACTCGCCATACCCAATGGGTGTGCGATGCGGGTAATCACCGTCCACGATCCCGTTGTGCCCGCGTCCGTTCCCATAGCGGCGACTATTAAAGGCACGAAAGCCTGGTTCCAGTAGCAGAAAGGAGAGGATCTCGCTCAGCAGCTCGTCGGCGAGATCATGAATGTGACGTGGCTGGGCCATAGTCGGCGGGCTCAAGCCGTCAATCCGGCTGCTTGAATGAGTGGCAGCAACATGGAATCAAAAGAGTGTCCAGGAGGGCAACTCTCCGGGTCTTTTTACAGACCGAGCGTGAGAGGAGGTCACCGGCGAAGGGAAGGGGGTGGGAGGGACGGGCGCACGACACGGGGGGAAGAGCTGGGCGCTATAAACAGAACAAGCTCTCGAGGCCAGTCGACTCGTCGAACCCCAGAGTGACTTGTCTCACCATGCAGTTCTCGCCCTAGCGATAGCGCGCGACCGGGATGATCACCCAGATCCCTAGCGTGTGTCCAGCGGTGACAAGGCCAGGGCATCGCGATCTGGTCGGCCCCATTGGCGACGCGCTCAGCGCAATCACATGATTGAAGAAGGCTGCGGCCAGCCAGCAGTGACCAGCGCGAACCTGCAGCGGCGGACGACGAAGCAGAGCGAGTGAGTGGTGGTGGGGGAAAGTTGCGATGGGGAGAGCCAATGCAGGCCCCGCTCCTCGTCACATCTGCAGAGTGACGGGCTCGCGTGTAGTGGAGACGACGGGATTGGGTGAAATTGGCCGAAATCTGAATGTGCAGCCTACTATTGTATCTATGAAGCAGTCCGACAGGTCCCTCGGAGGTCGCTGGGGACCTATAGACCTGTTTGGATGGGGGAGAGACGAGACCGAGGAAGACCACTGGCAGACACTATGCAACAGGATGGGCTACACCCTTATGCTTTCCAAGGATTCTATGGATGTGAACGGTGCTTTTTTGGTCATGCATTTTTACGGCCCCTCACACCTTGGCCAGGTTCATTCGTCGCCGTCTGATGTCTGTGCTGCTGATCTTCCCATCGAAGTTGCTGTTGGTGACGTCTGTAGCCTCCCCAGCCTGAAGTACGTCCACCTCGAAGATGGCCAGACCTTTCCAACCCTTTTTGGCCCGCTCGTCATTGACGGCCTTCCCCCCGGAAGATGTTTCCTTGGACACGACAATCGCCGAGATATTTTCCTCGGTAATCGTGGGGCCGTACGGGTCCCAGATTTCCGTGAGCTTGAATGCAAGGTTGGGTTGCACTGTCATGACCACGAAGTTTCCATTAGGGCCAGGTGCAGTGGTGCGATCGAGACGCGGGGTAGTGTTTCCAGATATGTCCATGATGGCTCTAAGGAAAGCAGCTGTGTTCTGGAAACGGTCTTCCCAGCTCTCGAGGAACTCCGCATACTTCTTGTTTACCAGCAGTGCGTCTCCCGTGACACCCACAGCCAGCAGCCTCGGTTGGTCCTTGTCTTCCGAGTTTGGCGGTTCCAAAGTAAGCGCAAGAGCTGTGAGAAGAAGTTTGTGGCCGAGATGCAGATGGTCAAAGGTTCCTCCCACGATCACTGAATAGTGGGGTACCGAAGGTGCCTGCTCCGGGACTAACAGCGGCCGAGGTACAGCCCAACCGGGATTGCTGGCAACCGCCTGCTTAATTGATTCAGCATAACCCTTGCGATGTCCCTCTGTACTCTGAACAAATGAATCGGTCAGTGTCCTGCCCGCCTCGTTGTTGGGATACCACAAATGGTCCCACTGTCGGCCCGAGGTTGCCAGAGAATGAAGGCCGACGACTGGTCCGAATCCCAAGTCGCCGACGCAGGTCTGGGAGTCAACTGCCTGAGCAGAAGTGGAGGGGTCAAGAAATAGTACGCGAGTATCGATGCCACCGGGGGAGTCCAACTCGATATCACGAGCTGCCGCAATAGCGCCGATAAGGGTATAGATGCTAGTGAGGTACTGCTGCAGCTGCGCGAAGACCTTGCCAATAGGTCGGCAAGATGGTGACTGAAGATCTGGAATAGTCAGGGCAATGTCGATTGAGGCAATCTTGTTGGTGCCCCGTACGGACTCTGACAACTTCGTCAACACATCGGAGACCGTGGGCTCAAACGCTTCCTTTACCCGCTCGAATGAGAATGCTGGTGGCGGCGGAAGCAACAATAACGCCGCCGATGATTTGAACTGGTCGGATGACATGGTGCAGAAAGACTTTGGGATTCCGCGATGTTGTGATGTTGCAACGCTGTACCGCAACAGTCTCCGGGAGGCCAAATATAAAGAGAGATGGATATAGAGAGAGGGGCCAACAATCACGGGCGATCGCAGGAGGGCCGGGGTTGGCTGAGTCAGCCCCGCCCTACCCAGCTGCTCCTCGACACTCGACCAGCTGCGACAACCCCAGCTGGACCCGCGGTTGCTTCCTCTCAGCCCCTTGTGAAGGTCCCTGCGCCCTCAATTACCCAGAGCTTCTTTCCCACTCGCTGTCTTTTAACCCCGGGGGAGTGGAGCTCTCGCAGAGCCCCATCGACCCTGTGCCTGTGACGCCCGTGGACACCTCCGCAGCATGTCGAACCCAGCCTCCTACGATTCGAATCGGCGATCGGCCGTGTATGGGCGTCAGCCAGAGGAGCTGCATATCCCCTCGACCGGGCTGATCAATCCGAATCTGTCGCGCCAGCCTCCGTCGCAAGACTACCCCACTACGCCCGACGCAGGCGCCGCCGCCCAAGTGCCCTCGATTAACGTCCACTCGTCACAGCCGCTGCAGTACGGAGGCAACGGTGGAAGCTCCAACAGTGCTCTTCCAGGATCCCTCACGCCAGGAAACCAGCACCGACCGCCCGCTGTCTCTGTCAACACTGCCCCTTCGGTCCTTCCCACCGTGCCGCAGTCATCGACGCAACAAGCTAGCCATCGAACAAGTATGATCAACTCGCACGGTCACTCGCGATCCAGTCCCGCCGGCTTCGATCAGTCCATGTACAAATCACACTCTGGGATGGAAGGCTCCAAGTATCCGACCTCGCCTGGCGCCGGATATCCTCCCCAGACCCCGCAAGGATCCAAGTACTCACCGCTGGGTCTGGCCGACATTCGACCCTCGGCGGACCATTTGCTAGGAGACGCGCTTATGAGCCCCGGAAGCTCACTTCCGTACAACGGTGATAACCAAGTTCCGACGAACAGCAACTACGTGGCACCATGGCCTATATACGCAGTCGATTGGTGCAAATGGCCCATGACTGGAAGCTCCAGCTCCTTTGGGGGTAAATTAGCCCTGGGAAGTTATTTAGAAGATAACCACAACTACGTCCGTTTGCCTCTGCTATGATTTTGTTTTGTCACATGCTCACCGACTCTCCAGATCCAAATCATCGACACTCACTGGACCCAACCAGACCCCGATACACCGGATGCGCAAGCGGGGAGATCAAGCTCGACTACGTCAAAACGGCCGAAGCGACACACTCATATCCTGTCACCCGCATTCTGTGGGAGCCGCCGTCATCCCAAAAGCAGTCCACTGATCTGCTGGCAACCTCGGGTGATCACCTCCGCTTGTGGTCCCTTCCTAGCTCCCAGCCCTTGCAGAGCAACAATTCCATCACAAGGCCCACCAGCTCTCGAGAAGCACCCCCTTCGAAACTTTCGCCGCTGGCGCTGCTGTCCAACTCCAAATCTCCCGAACATACCGCCCCTATCACCTCGCTTGACTGGAATACCATCTCTCCCAGCTTGATAATCACATCAAGTATCGATACAACATGCACCATCTGGGACATCCCAACTTTGACGGCTAAAACACAGCTGATTGCACACGACAAGGAAGTCTACGATGTTCGGTTCTGTGCCAACAGCGTTGATGTCTTCGTCAGCTGTGGTGCCGATGGAAGTGTGCGCATGTTTGACTTGCGAAGCCTCGAGCACAGTACGATTATCTACGAACCAACGGACAGGAATGAAAGGCGTATGTTTCTCCAGCGAAAGCCTGCATGAAGTTAAAATACTGACACACCCCAGCCGTAATGAGTCCTGGTAACTCTAGTCCATCCGGACCGTCGTCGTCTGGGCTTTACCCCCGCCCTTACTGAGGATTGCAGGTAGGTTCACACATGACTTCATTTATCTTTTTGAACGCACGCTGATTACTTCTAGCTTCCCCCCATGACGCTCATCTGCTCGCCACATTCTCCTCGGATTCCAACGTTGTTCGTGTCCTGGATGTACGACAGCCAGGACAGGCTCTTCTCGAGCTAAAGGGTCACTCTGCCGCTCTGAACTGCGTCGAATGGTCACCAAATCGACGTGGTATTCTGGCATCGGGTGGCGACGATAGTCTTGTCCTGATCTGGGACCTAATCAATCAACAAAATGCGGCACCCCTCTCTCCTCCCGCCCAGACTCCAGGCGCTCCAGCCACACCTTCTGAGCGTGGCCCCGCTGCTGCCTGGCAATGTGACTACGAAGTGTCTAATATCAGCTGGTCCCCGCAAGGTGGTACCAATCCTTCCGGTCACCCGCGAGAATGGCTTGGGGTCTGCGGTGGACGAGGCATCTGGGGTGTTTCACTCTAAAATGCAGGTGGATGTGGAGCTCGTTAAAAAGAAAATTTTTGTACGGGGGGGCAATTCTTTGCGCTGTTCCCTTTATACGTGCCTTTATATCTTTTTCTTTCTTGTTTCGCGGATCTGCGTCTCCTCTTACCCGACTGCATTAGATGGTTATGCTTTCGATCTCCATCGATTTATTGTTGCCCTGGCGGATGCATTATACTGTTTTTCCCACCTCTTTCTGCTCCGAGCTCAGATTCCCTTATTCGAAAATGGGCCTTTTCCTGGGTCTGGTACTTGTTGATCGGGTAGTGGATATGAAGGGCCCATTGCCATCTCCTTCTGATTTTGGTATGAATGAATGAATGAACGATACATCGGAAATCTTGGTCGTGAGACACTCATACTGGCTCCCTTCGTCGTCTAGCTTTCGCTTGTGGTTCTGTGTGGTATGATAGATTTAGGAATATGTAGGAAATAGTGGTGTCCCTACCTAAGGTAGTCAAAGCATTTGAAATACTTACCTGCCACGTGACGTCCTCTTGCGACGGGATTCTAGAAGTATGGGAGGAGGTTGCGATTATATATTAGCGCATTGATGCAGCAGCTTTGTTTGTTCGGCATAATTAGTTTTCCGGAGCGTTACATACTGTACTAAACTAGTGTAGCGTATTGATGCCGTTCGCTAATATGATCTGGTAGAATTAATGTGATGCACATTCACCAGTGTTCTTATCAATCCGTGCTAGGGATGCATATAACTATAGGGTAGGACTCCAGGGACCCCCCCCTCTAGCTAGAGAGACCCCCCTTTTACTCCTCGGACTCCCCCAGGGCTAGGGGGACCCCCCATGCCTGAATTATAAGACAGACATTCCTATTTCGGTTTAGCGTAAGGCAGTGAGGCAAAAATACCTAGGCAAAAATTTACTAGAGAGACCCCCCCCCCTTCTCCGCCTTCACTGTCCTCACACCGCTTCCACAACCTCGTCACCGCCTAAAAACGGAGGACCTCGTAGGCGTGGCCGAGCCCGTGGCAGCCAGGCAGCTATATCTGACGTATCTGAGGCGTCTAATGCATCAAGCGCCTGAATCACAGCCAAAGAATCATGCATTAGATAGCTGTAGATTGACGAATTTAAGCAACTTGTACGAGTGAGAAATGGTGGCGTCTGATTGGCTGAACCAGAATGGTAGGCTGTAGAGACCAGAATGGCAGAAAGCGGCAGAATAATTAGTCATGTGACTAGAGATCTGGCAGAAAACCTCCAAGAATTTTTTTGAGGGGTTATGTATCATGTGATACAAACCTTACTGCCTTACGCTAAACCTAAATAGGAATGTCTGTCTTATAATTCAGGCATGAAGGGGTCCCCCTAGCCCTGGGGGAGTCCGAGGAGTAAAAGGGGGGTCTCTCTAGCTAGAGGGGGGGTCCCTGGAGTCCTACCCTAACTATAATGTCTGGTTGTAGGGGCATAGAATTTTGGCCGGGGCAACACAACAACTTTTGAAAAGACAAAAGGCTGTCACATGTGATGATTAGAGTGCATTGAAAATGTTAGTCAAAACATGTGAATTAAATAAGATGAAAACTCTGGATTCTTTGATGTTTACGCAGGACTCCCGTTGTCATTGTCCAAAAACACGACCGACGCATGCTGAGTCACACTCACGTGATGTGATAGAGCTACCATGTGGTCTTTTCTTTTTTTGTGTCGCGACGAGAACCAGGAGAATAAAGAAACTTGATCAAAGAAAGAGTAGTTTCTTCAACCTCGATAAACAAAGTCCCGGCCCTTCCGTGTGTCCAATGGCCTTTTGCAGCTGGGCGCGCAGCCCCCAGTAGATCGATGTAGCTCCCAATGCGGCTTGGATCCTCCCGAGCTCCTTGCGATCCGAGAACTTCTCCTTTGTCCACGTATCGAACATCCCGCGACCTTCTCCCACACGCCGCCTCTTGCGTCTGTATGTCGTGATTGCTAGTCGCGCTTGCTCTACGATATCCTCCTGCTCGCGCTGGTGGCCGTAGCGGTCTCCCGCGAGTGAATGCTGGCGCGATGGACTTGCGCACGATCATGAACAATGAGGGCGGCGGCGCCTCAAATCGTCCGCCGGTCAGCCAGGCATCAAGCTCTCCGATCGATCCTCCTCCTCCAAAGCGCGTGCAGACGTTCACCGAGTATCCCAGTCGTCCGCCGCCTCCCCAACATCCATCGCACGCCTCCCCAGACCGAACCGCATCCTTCAGCGGGCCTGTCCCTTCACCCCATCAGCAATTTAATGCTGGGCCACCACCACCGCTGAATACAGCGATACCACCGCAGCACAGCCAGAGTCCTTCGCTTGTCTCGACTCCGTACGGACCCGGCGCGTGTGATCCGTACAGCGCGTCGGGGTACAGTGCACACCCCCAACACCCCGCGGGTCCCCTGGCCTCGCCTTACACACCGCAGCAGCCGACGAGCGCAGGACCACAGGCTCCTGAACAGCAGTCGTATTTTGCTCAGCAGCGCTCCCACTCTCTCCACTCCGTCATGACCAACCCGCTCGCCCCGGGAGAGACATTTCCCAACAAAGAAGGCCCTCCGTCGGCCCCGCAACCGCCTCCATCGCAGCATCAATTCTCTCCTTCAGCACATCGATCCGTTCCAGGGACGCCATTGGGCCCACCTCCTACCTTTGCTTCTCGTCAGTCTCCTTCCTCTGCCCGCCCACAGTCCTCCGGTCGCGAGTCTCCGCACAATCCACTCTCGAGTCCCCGACCGATGCAAACGCAAGATACTCTGATGCGAGATTTTCCTCAAACCCACTCGCCATCAAACCAGCGTTATTTTTCTCCAGGCTCGCGCCCCACCGATTCTACCACCCAGCTTCACCCGGCGGTCAAGCAAGAGTCCATCGAACTCACCACGCCCCACTCAAGCTCCCGCCAAGACAGCGCTGCAGCTGCCGACCTCACAGGCGCAGCTCCCCTACGCTCCTCCGAAGACCGAAAGTTGAACGAGAGCCCTACAACACCCTTTGCGCCGGGAACAGGATCAGAGGCGCACGTGTCGCCCGTCGCAACAGCTCACTCCCAGATGAATAGTTCGCCGTCGGGACAAAGGGGAGGATCGCATCATCTGAAGATGGAGGTAGACAGTGAACCGACTGCTCGAGTGAACAGCCAACAGCCTAGGATCAAAAGACGGCGGTACAACGAGCCTCCCATTTATGCCCAACGGTCCCGCACCCGTGGCAAATGCCCCGTCATCCCCAACCCCCAGCCCCTGGTTCCGAAGCACGCCAGACAATCTCTTCAAGATTCATGGGCAATTCGCCGACACTCCTCCACCGTCGTGCCAGCTCCCCCATCTGCTACTTCATCCCGTACCACCCGCACGCCAGGCGCCGCTCCATCAGTTCCAGCAGCAGCTACATCGAGCTCGAATGGACCTCCGTCACAGCCTGCAGCTACCAATCCATCCGAACAGGGCTCTCTTGGCATCTGGGAACCCTCAATCACAGGGTTCATTCCACATGAGGAGATCACCAACGAGCTTTGCAACTTCCTCTTCCGCCATGTAGTCGCGAGGAATGACGTGGGCGCTGGACCGGCTGGGGCTGCAGCGAGTGGGCAGGGAGCAATTATCGAAGTGGAGGCCAAGCTAGGTCATATCATTGATCAGGATCGGCGGGAGAGATTAAACTTGCCCATCAAAACTGAGGCTGTTATCAACCGAGAGATGGCAGGATTCCGAACTTCGTTTGAGAGCAACATGACAGTGGTAAGAGTTCCCTTATTGTATTGCTAGGCCCTATTTCTAGGCCCAGCAGAGAAGGAGAAAATTGTAACTGACAATTGACTTCCCCAGGAACAACACCGCGCATACAACAACTTCCTCAACGAAACCGTGAAAGCCTCCATGACCCCACCTCGTGTTGCACTCTCGTATGCGCACAAGAAAGAGCGCGATACCTTCTATGAGGTTTCGCCCGACGAACTTCCCCCAGTGATTCGCTCAAATCTGAACCCTCGACACAAACCCAAAGTCCGTGTGACCACCGACCAACGCACCGGCGAAGTGCTCGCAAAGATCGTGAAGTGTCGCATCGCAGACATGGACGTGTACAGCCCCCGAACTCCGTTTGATTGGCGAGTGAGCGTCAACCTCGAAATGGAGTACCCTGGCGATATTAGCAGCTTGTCGCCGGTCGACATGAGACAAGGTGGCCGTGGCGAACGTAACAAAGACCGCATGAGCTACCGTCATCTGGCCTACCAAGTTGATTTGACCCAAGTGGCCAGAGCAGAAGTAAGTCTTCCCTCTCGACCCCGTATTGTTTGCAAATTCCGCATCCCATCCAAGCACCCTCTTCCATCCGCACCCCGTCTTCCATTCCAACCCCGCACAAGCATTGTGCCCTACCCATGGGGTCCTTTCAGTTCCACTCCATGGAAACATCCTTCTGACTCGGCCTTGCAGCCTCCAACGAAAAACGACTTTGACCATGAGCTCGAAATCGAAATTTCTGGCGCCGAACTTAAGCGACAAGGCCAGCTTGCTGCCGCCGGTGATCCGAAGAATCAGTACGAGGAGCTTGTGAAAGGGTTTGTGGATAATGTTCGCGTGCTGGCACGGGTCAAGTCTTGAAACGAATCTTTTTTGATTAACTTCTTCAACATGTATTCTGAAAGTCTATTCGGGGTTACGCTTCTGCGTTATTTCCTATTCTCTGGCTCTTCTGGGTATTTCCTGATCTGTTCGATTTATTAGCACGGGTTTTTGGTGGGTAAAAAGGAGATCCACAATAGACAGGAACGGCAACTTCTTATGTTCAACTTTCGGTGGCTGTAGTTATTTTCCTGCTCTGGTTGAATCTATTGAATGCGACCGAACCGCAATATCCCTGGAGCACTTTGAGTGCGTACCAGACGACCATATTTAGCACTGAGAAACCATCATGCTTCGCTCGACTTCGAGCCTGGGGCTTTCATAGGCCAAATCTACTCAGTTCTTGGAATATGCCCTCCAAGGTCGTATTGAATGACAAATAGAGATTTAGTCTGTGTTACGTAGCTAACCACGGGATGATAAGACTCTTCACTCCCCCATCCACGCCGTACTTATGGCACAGCATGCAAACGAGGTGCTTTCAAGCTTCCCAAGAACCTTGAGTTCGGGTCATATCCCTTTGATTTTTCACTGTCTAGGAATAACCAAATAGCCTCCATCGCCTGTTGACTAGCGAGTCAACCCCAGAAAGCCACTTCTTCCACACAGTTCCATCTCCCAGCCTCAAAACCATGTCCATCCTCTCGTAATTACGATCAGCCTCATCTTCTTGCTCACTTTTCAGTTCAAATACCCCCAAAGGACCCCAAACCATCCACCTCCGATCCTCACTAGACTCCCACGGGACAAGCCCATTCGCAAACCGAACCCAGGCAGATGCAAAGTGTCTTGCCATATTCTGCTCATCATCATTCATCTCGTTATCCAAGTTTCCAAAAAGGTACAGCAGCTCATGCGCATGATATGACGTTCCCTCGAACACGTTTTTGAGCCGAGATCGTTGGTCGAAGTGGTACAAGTATGTTTCGCCTGGATAATCACTCTCACATTTTTGAGCAAGCAGGTAGTTGGGTATCTTGAATATGGCATCACCGCACATGTGCTCAACTCGACCTAACAATTCGGGAAGTGGTAGATTGTCTGTGATCTGATACGCTTTCAGGATTGTGTCGGTATGGCTTTCATCCTGGATGAATGACTGGAGGATCTGACGAACAGATTCAAAGTTCTCTTCTCCTTCAACGAGATTGAGATGAAATATTACTCCCTCGTGATACGTATCCCCAAGCATCAAACCTGTCAACCAGACTGGGGGAGTATGAACCTGACTGTGGTCGACATCTGCACGATAGAACCAACCGTCTATACAGGGATTCCCTGTTCCAGAAGGGACCCCATGGATTGCAGGCGTTGCATTCGCAAGCTTCTGCTGGGGAATAGCGCGAAGTTTATCGAGGGCATCAGCTGCAGCCGGATCGATCTGAAAATGCGCACAAACAGCTTGAAAGAAGCAATCATGCTGCTCTATTGTCCACGGGGGAATTGAGACTGATGAGCCAGACATACAGACGACCCGATGAAATATGGGTGGTGTATTCGCGAGAAGCTGATTACTTATCGAGATACTCCCAGCGGACTCGCCAACAGCTGTGACATTTTCGGGGTCACCCCCAAAAAGCCGGATATAATTTTGCACCCACTCAAATGCAATCTGTTGATCTGCGAAGCCGAAGTTACCGCTACCTGCCCATCCATCCTTTTCCAGCTCAGCGGCAATTGCGGAGCCCGCGAGGAACCCGCCGATGCCGACGCGGTAGTTGAAGTTGACGTAGATTATGGGGAGACCGATTGATAGGCTGTGCGAGACTAGGTTGACTGCGTCGAAGATTGGGAGGTTTGCACCACCGTAGAGGAAGGAGCCGCCGTGGATGTAGACGAAGACCGGAAGAGGCTTTTCGTTCGCGCCGCAGGCGTGTGGAATGACGATGTTCATTACCAGCGCGGATAACTCATCGACGATAGGCGGATCCGAAAAATGGGGTGCTGGTGGGACGGGAACAAGGTCGTCGGAGTCGTCTCCATCGGTTTCTGGGTTTGGACAGTTGTTTCTGTTAGGTGTTAGATTGACACTTCTCATTTCCAACGAAGTGTGCATACCCCAAGCGAGTTCCGTCGTGGTATTCCCCTGCCCACGAGGTCTGAAGAACGGAACGAGTCCATCTTTTTGAGAGTCTTCCATACGGAATGCCGCAGAACTGTTGAACACCTTTGGGATATTGGAGGCCGTCCAGTGTGCCTAATCCGGGGATCGACGTCCTGCACTTGGAGACGGGTGCTTGAAAAGACATGAATAGGAGCGACGGGGTGAAACGAGAACATAACAAACGCTGCGCTTAATACAAAGGGGCTTTATGCTTGTCCAGCCGACCGACCATCCATACTACTTACTACCAGTTACTTTTAGGAGGCTTCCTAATAGTACCTTAGACCTGCTGATAAGCACTATCATCCCAAAAAGGCAATCCGACGCGCTATCAGCAGCCGCTCCACCAGCTCCACCTCCCCCGCATTTCTTTGTCGATGCATTCATTTAATGCAGCGTCAGATACTCCGGACTTCCAAGCGCGGTGCTTACGATCTCGACTGGCTCGTACATCGCTAGCGATTTTGTACGCGACCAGAAGCCGCCAGACACGCTACCCTTCATTCGGCATGTCGACCCGCTCATATCAGGGGTGCTGGACTTGCAAGCGCCGGCGCCGGCGCTGCGATAACACTCGCCCAACCTGTCAGAACTGTTCGCGACGCGGGGTAGATTGCGAGGGATATGAGGTACGACTGCGCTGGGGAAGTGGCATCGCGTCGCGCGGGAAGTATACGGGGGCTGATAAGCCGCTCGAGAAGAGTATTCCGCCGAGGCCGAAAGGGAGACAGAGGGATTTGAGGAGAGAGGGGAAGAAGTTGGGGGCACAGGGACAGACAAATGGTGAGCTCCTACAAGATGAACGAATAGGGAAAAAAAAGATACTAACTGTCTGCCTCGAACAGCCGAGTTTGATGTGATGTCTTCTGAATCGGGGGATTCGCCTTCGTCCAAGACGGAGAAGGGCGAGGAGAATGAACTGATCTTCAAAGAGTGTGAGTCGCCTGTTTCAAATTTTGGATTGATTTCAGAGAAAGCTCAACATGGGACCCATTTTCCCAGTTCTCAGAGATGGAATCAATGTTTTGCATTCGACTACTGCCCGAGACAGCATGCTCCAACCTCGACTGCCCCAGCTCTGCCAAGAATCCAGCGCATTATACACGATCTGCCTCGCATTCCAGTTATCGCTCGTGAGCACCCACAGCCCACGCTTCTTTGAGTACTTCGACGCCGCTTTACGAGAATTTCGATCCGAACTTGCCCGCAGCACAACCCTCTCCGATGGGACGTTGACCGCGGGACTCCTGCTGTGTAGCATTGGTGTGAGTAACCCCAAAGAGCTTGTTTCAAGCATCCATCCCAGACAAACAAACCATCTTGACCAGCGCTTCTTAGCTAATGCACGGTCTTCCTTGGACAATGCATTTGGAGGGCATGCACAACATCTTACAGAGTCACGGACTATCCGAAGAACCATCCATTCCATCCTCTTTCCGCAGTCATCTGCTTGAGGTCATGGGGGTGATGGACCTGCCCTGTTTTTCCGTCGGTCGCCAGACATGCATCGGTCGTAAAATACCCTGCATCGGCATTTGGCGCCGGTATTGCCAGCCGGCAGGACCTCGGCTGGGCGTCGAACCGGTAAGTGGGTTACCGCGCTCATTGCTAGACATCTTTGCGGGGATCGGAGAGGAGACAACAGAACAAAGTTTCATGGACTGGACGGGTGAGATAGGCAGTTTCATGCAATGCTATTTGTGGGAGGCACATCGGCTAGCTGGTATCCTATCGCTTCGTCGGTATATACGGTCTGCTGTACGGGAGGAAGTCGTACTAGATATCTCGACGTGGCGACAACCAAAACAGTGCCCTGCAGATACAACTGCGCTAGTGGCGCGGATTCTGGCTAACCTGGATGCTCTACGTCTGGCTTGTGCCGAGAGACCGACGGAAGATGCGTTTATCAAGAATGCCGTGCTCTATCCCATTTTCGTGGCTGGGTTGGAGGTCTCGGCTATGTGCGAGAACCCGCAGTGGCAATCCACAATTCGGAAATGTGTTTTGGGCTCACGACAAGATGAGATACTTCTTGGCCTACTGGAAGAGATGTGGCTACGCAAGGATTCCGACTTGAGCGTGGACGATCTAGCGAGAGAAAGAGGAGTGGAGATGGGATTGCTTTGAATTGGAGCTGTCGCTGTCTATGAAGTACTCTCGTCTGCACGCATCATGGCCCAGTACTTCACCCTCCCGGTCTCATCATGGACCTCATCATCGGTCAGCTCTACTTCCTCAATAAGTCGGAAACCGAGACTTTGATAAAACCCAAGGTTTTCTTCTCGCGTACATTCGAGGTATATTGGCTGCCGGTGAATGTGCTCCAGGATCTCTTCCATTACACCTCGACCGATACCGCGTGATTGCAAAGATGGATGCACCGCAACAACTTCGAGGTACCACAAATTACCACTGTACTCTCTTTGCAGAAATTGCATCGATTTGCTGTGTGCGGCCATCAATTTGTCAATTCTCTGAATGTACTGTGTTAGATCTGAGTCGTGACAAAATCATGAGAGAGATACCTTCATCTTGCTTCCCTCATCACAAACAGGATCTAGGAGGTCCAAAGCCCAGACCTTACACTTCATCAAGAGTCGGGAAAACGACCAGTCTAGCTGCTTTTTCGGTGGAAACAAAAAGACTACTGCGCCTGCATCTTGCCCTTCGGCTGACTTGACCTGCTCAGAGCAGACCAATTGAGCTGTCTTCCCAGGTGTTGTATCTGAGTCCTGAGATGCAACCGCTTCTTTTTTTGTTATCGGGAACTCATGCATCATTTGGCCAACATGTGCTGAGATAAGCACTGTTCCGTGCGCCATAATCGATTGCACCCGACGATACTGCCATTTGAGAGCCGTTGAATCTGGCTGGGACGACGCTGCTGCATATGGCCGTAACCACCGTATCAAAGGATCAGCGGCAAAGGCAAGATCGACTGTTCGAGCTGTAGTAGCAAGAGAACGATCTGTTTCACATTCCATATTGTTTGTCAGTTTGTATCAGAGACGGAGGATTATGGTAACAGACCATCATGCACTTGGAGTAGATCAACTTTGATTTTTCCTACAGACATTTCTTGCAAGATCAGGACAAAAGGCGCAAAGGATAATCCTTGAGCGATAAATTGAAATAAGCGACCGAATACTGGTACGATAAAGACTCGACTGGAGAATCTCGTGCTAGCTCTACAATATCTCGTTTGCTCGCATCGAGATGTTTGATATCAACACCAGCCAAATTAAGTGCGTCCACCTACTCAACAGAGAGAGTCCAAGAGAGAAGCGTCGCGCGTCAAAAGTGGAGATAGCACCAGCGATCCAAGCACGCCAGTCCACGCGACGCTAAACCAAAGCCACGGGACCGGGACCGACAACGTTTATCGCACGCTCCTTCCCGCATTCGGAAGGCCGACCCTCGCCTTGAAAATGTGGGTAGCGTCGCCGCTACAAGTCAACCAGGCAGCGATTTCTCCGCATCCCGACGTGACCGAAGGTTTTCCACTTCCGGATTGCTGGTGGCTTATCACCGCAATGTTCGAGGTCTCCGTGACGGTAGCGCGAGCTCAGACTCGGCTCTTATCATGTGGACGCGTTACTAGTAATTGCTACAGCCTCGCGGACTGTGTTAAATATCTCCATGTTTCACCACCAGCCCCCTTCATTTATGGACCTGAGTTGGCTTGGATCCTTTTGCTCCGATACTCGAAATGGCTGTTCGTCTTGATATGTCGCCCGAGGAAGATGCACGTCTTCCTCCCGGCACCTTTCTACTGATTCGCGGTATGACATTGTTACTACCTGAGACAAGGGAATATTGTTAACATCCTTAGTAGAAGATGGGGGGTATGAGCTTGGGGCACAACGGTCTGTAATGCTTGATCCTATCCCGACAAATGATCCAAATGAGCCATTGGTCGGTCCCGAGCCTCCCTGCATAATGACTCGCTTCCAAGCTGATGAACAAAGAATTGGAGTACAACTCGCAAGGCCGTGAATTGGACACTTGTCCTAGGGATGACAGTAGTCATTTTCACAGCGTATGGTACTGCCCTTCATCATGGATTGTTCATTGCTGATATCTTTCTTTGAGAACAGGCTCTCGATCCAGACCCTGTTCTGGCAGCAGATGACCATCGATCTGCAGGTTAGCTACACGGATTTGAATCAAGCGATGTCAGTCAACTTTGTCGGTCTTGCCACAGGTTGCATTCTTTTCATTCCGCTTGCCAAGAAATATGGTCGTCGACCCGTTTATATCGTTTCGACTGCCCTGATGCTCGCTACTTCGTATTGGACGTCTAGGCTGAATAGCCTCACAGAGCTTTATATTTGCAACTTACTCCAAGGCCTGGGTGGCGCAGTTAATGAGGCGATCGCAGAGATTACGGTACTTGCCATTCCTGTCCGCTTTTCGGAGAAATTGCTGACGCAGAGAAGATAGCGGATCTCTTCTTCGTGCATCACCGCGGCACCATGAACGGTTTATACATGACGATGGTGATGATCGGTGTACGTCCCACCCCAATATAATCAAGACTCATGACTCGCCACTTTAAACAGCCCTTCTAACACGCACGATAGAGTTTCCTCGCCCCCATCGGGGCAGGGACCCAAGCGACCAGACAAGGCTGGCGGGCATCTTACTCCACGATGGGAGTCTTCAACGCCATCTTCTTTGTTCTGTTCATAATCATCTACGAAGAAACAAAGTACACACCCGTTATTGTTGGTCGATCTGAGCCCGCAGCCACCGACGAGAATGTTGAAATTGACCTGTTGGACGACCCCGACAAAAAGACAACATACCCTTCCGTAACAAAAGCCTCGGTATCCGTTGAGCCAAGTACTCACCATCATGAGCTTGACCCGACAATCCCGCTTAACTCATGGCGGGAACGACTTGCTCTTTTCACACCCACATCGGAACCGATCTGGCCATACTATTATCGCCCGTTCTATGTCCTCTTCACTTTCCCCGCTGTGATGTACTCTGGTTTGCAGTATGCTGCTGGCGTCATGTGGCTCACTATCATGCCTAGTGTCATTGCACTCGTCTTTCCCCTTCCCCCGTATAACTTTACTCCTGAGCAGATTGGGTTCATGAGTATAGGTCCGTTTATTGGGAACTTGCTCGGTTCGGTTTATGGTGGTGTTCTGGGTGATTGGTCCATCCTATTCTTTGCTCGTCAGAACAAGGGATTCTATGAGCCTGAGATGCGTCTTTATATCCTTCATCTACCAATACTCACTATGACAGGCGGGCTAATAATGTTTGGTGTCACGCTGGATCGAGTACGATTCCTCTACTTATCCATGCTTGATCGATCAATTTGCTAACTTGAAGAATGATAGGGAATGCACTGGATCTATCCCAGTGTAGCCGGCGCCTTATTTGGCTTCGGTCTCGGTAGTATCGGCGACGCAGCCCTGACGCTCGTCATTGACAGCTATCGCGATGTAGGTTTCCTCTGATCATCTTCGTCCCTCAATACTAACGTTGACAAAACAGATCACCGGCGATGCATTCACGGCAATTGCGTTTCTACGTAATGCTTTTAGCATCGGAGTCCCATTTGCCATCTCGCCTTGGATTGCGCGAAATGGATTGCAGAATATGTTCATTACATGTGGCTTCATTAGTCTAGCTGTATCAAGCCTGACTATTCCGATGATATTCTGGGGAAAGGCGGCTCGGCGTGGACTGGCGACGAGGTATTATCGTCTTGTTGAACAGCAGGGCGGCTTGGCTACACACTAAGAAGATTACAAAACATTTAGTTGATTATCAGGCGTGATCGAGAGTTGCCGCGTGACTATTGCGATTTGCGAATCTGCACCGTCACTCAGGGTACATAGTCAAGGACAATTCAAATTCCTACAATGTGTGATGTCCTATCCAGAAGTAAAGATTGTAGCTACGATGGATATCTTAAAAAAAAAAAAAAAAAAAAACCGAAGAAATTGCATCCTGTTTCTTATTCTAGAGCTCAACTGGGGTATGAAAGGCTTCAAAATTCCCAGCCCAAAAAACCCTCCCGCCACACAAGACAAAAGGGGAAAAAGGTAGAAATAAAAAAGGCCAGGTCATCATGGGGGTCAAGGTTGTACAGTATCCTCAACCCAATCCAATATCAAGAACCCTACAGACTAGCCTTATGTGGTGACTCAACCGTCCGTGGAAGAATAGCCCAGGCAATACGCTCATCGGTCACAATCATTTGATCGGGCAACCACGAAATATCCGCCTCAGTAGAGGCAAGTCCTTCCTTGAGAAGCAACATAGTTGCGAGAGCCTTCCCGCAAAGCCAAGCCTGCACCATGCCCTCACCACCAAAAGCCGCAGATACCCACTCGGACCCTACATCGTGCTTACTCGATCCAGCACGGTGCGTGACAGAGCTAGGCAGCTGTCCCACCCAGGGAAAACCATCTGTGCTAAAAGCCATGTTACCTGTCCACATCGCCTGGACAGGATCGCCTTTCACCTGGCCCCAGTTTTGACGGCCGAACACGGCGGGGAGAGCACCGGAGAGGTGGATGTCGCAGTAGAGACTTAGCTCGTCGTCTGTTGCGATTCCTAGGTCGGCGATACCGCCGCCTTCGCTGCGCGCGAAGCCTCCGCCGAACATCATTTGTCCACTGGGGAGTTGGGTGAGGTAGTCGAAGCCGCGATCGTAGCTGAACATCCAGGAGTGCTCGGCTGCCTGGCAGGGGAACTTGTTGCCGGGTGTTTGGGCGGACATTTGTCCACGAAGCGGGAAAATGCGACCTCGAAGGCCCGGGACTAGATGGGTGACGTGGGCGTTTGTGCAGTGAATAACATGTCGGGCAGAAATAACACCGCGACTCGTCTCAACTCGGTACTTGTAGTCGGAAGATGTATTGTCGTGAATCGCGGTCACTGCAGTATGACCTTGGACACGAAATTGCTCTGGATATTGAGAAAGCAGATGGGACAGGACGCCCGTCACGAACTTGTATGGCCACAGAGCGCCTGCAGGCCCAGTGATAACACCGTGAGCACGAGAAAGCTTGAATTCTTCCGGCATCGACTGTCTATCGTAGGCGATCCACTCGGCAGATTCCTCGGGCATACCGGCCTGAAAGCGACGAAGACGCTCCAGCGCCGCTTTCCAAGGCTCCTCGCCAAAGTAGGCGCTCAGGAACTGGACTTTCCGCGCCTGAGTCTTTTCAGTGAGACCAAGATCCTCAACCGCTTTAAGCATCTCTTTCAAATGCGCGAGTCGGAAACGCAGTGTTTTCTTCGCAACTTCGTCCCCAAAGACATCTGCCAGCTCGGCATACTCGTCTGCTGTTTCGAGTATATGCCCGCCGTTTCGCCCGGTAGCTCCGCTGCAGATATCCCGTGCTTCAAGCATGAAAACAGAATGCACGGCCTTGTTCAAGGAGCTTGGTCCCGTGCGATCTTGAAGTAAGGTGCGCGCGATAGATGCGCCGGTAATACCAGATCCGATGATCACCACGTCCGCCTCAGTAGGGAGAGGTTTTGAGGAATGAGTCACGAAATCTGTATGAGGCTCTTTCAGCCAGAAGGGTGAGGTTGTCGAGTCTTGTGGGATTCCTGGATCGGCGAAGATGCGATCTAGCGCTTGTTGGCGCTCAACGGTGGGGATCGCAGGATCACCCAGGAGCATCTGAGCGAAAGGCATGATGTCTGCTGGTAAGAGTATTAAATAGAAGAACAGGTGTTGTGGTAGAAGGAGGCTCGAGATCTTTGGCGAGAGAAGGTAGAAGTAAATATGTTGAGACGGTCAGGAAAAAGCAAGCTCAAATAGGGCCCAGTGAGGCGTTGGAAATAAGACCCGAGTAGATCGCACGCTAATCAGGTGCTGCCTCTTGGACTTCCCTGTTCCTCGCTAGTCACAGGGTCACACCACCTCCCTTGATCCCATCTGAACTTGGTAAAGTGCCGACTTAAGCCCCTGTGACGGTGTCGTATTTTCCTAGGCAGACGATGAGAGCGGAGGGTCGACCTGCTTCTTTGAAGGAGCTGCTGGGAGACCGGCTCCACCTGGCCCGCTTCTTCTCTCTCGGAACAATACAATATTAGTATGGTCAGCAATATGAACAGAATATCATAAAAGGCAGTCCAGTCTCGGAGGAATGTAAGCATCCGAGACCTGCCATTCTTGAACAACTTCTGGGTTAATCATGTCTACTTCCCCTTCGCCCGGCAACACCATCTTCCCGGATGGTCCACAGATGCGACTGCCGTCGCTCTCCTTCCTCTACCGTTTGGAGTGTGACATCGCCAGAGAAGAAATCAACATCGGCGCACCCCATGAAGCTGGTGTCATCCGCAGCATCGCCAACATCGTGCGCGGCAGCATGAAAGGGCCCGGAATAGAAGGCAGTGTCTTACCACTGGGAGGAGCAGACTGGGCGACGGTTATCAAGGGGACTCATGTATGTCGATTTCGTTCCTTCCTTGAACACTTCATGTCTAAATATCACCAGTCTATGAAGCTCGACGCACGTTATACTGTTCGCACGTCGAATAACCACCATCTCTACATTCGTGCCCACGGTCTCTATCGCCCCGGCCCAGGAACAGAATATGCAAAGCAAGTCGAGGTTGACTCTATGATGGCGCCTCCAGCGACGGTCACACAAGACGACGTGGAGTTCTTCTCACATTTGCGTGTGGAGGCTGGACCGGGACCGTACAATTGGCTTAATGGACTTGTTTGTGTGGGCGTGATGACCTGCGCCGGCGAAAAGATCTGGATCGATGCGTATCGTCTTACCAATTTCCCTGACAGCAAGCCGGAAAGTGTCACGGCAAAGGCATAAAGACGACGGCAGATGGGAGTTATTGTTTACCGAATCCTAGATTGCTAGAATCACCGAGAACGCTTCCCTGTGCTTAACGAGCACTATCATCTCAATCAAATCTATCAGGCGTACCGAGGCAAAGGAGCTATCCCAAGTAGGCAAGTGGACGCACCGTCGCGTCCAATGGAAAGATGAGACATCAGTGGAGACGCAGCTGAGGCGGCCTGGCCCCTCGACCGCTATCATTGCACACATCAGTAAACATATAAATGCACAGCATAGCAACTTGCAAGAGCAAAATACAATTCCGCCGCAAGCAACAGACTCACCATGACAACCGACACGGCACCCCGTCCAAGCTGGCAAGACCTCGTCACGCGCAAGCAGCGCGAATGTCGCGAAAAGATCCCCCACGCGTGGACCCTCAGCCCAGATATCCACATTTCCCGCCGCCCGATCGAGTCCGACCTGCCTCGGACGTGCGGGTTGCTCTCAGACGTCGAGCTGGATCTCACAGAGAACTACTCGGTGGCGCAGTTGCTGGCCAAGTTGGCTTCGGGGCAGACGAGCTCGTTGGCGCTGACCACCGCATTTTGTAAACGGGCGGCTATCGCGCAGCAGGTGGTATGCAATGCACTCCAACGTTGCTGCATGCATTAATGTGGCTTAGAGCTGACAAAACTTCATATAGACATCGTGTCTCACCGAGACCTATTTCGCCCAGGCGCTGGAGCGGGCTCAGTTTTTAGACAAATTTATCGCTCGCGAGGGCAAGACTGTTGGGCCGCTGCATGGGTTGCCAGTGAGTCTCAAGGATAGCTTTTGCGTCAAGGGCTTGCAGACGACAGTGGGTTATGTGGAGTTTTTGAAACATGGTCCCGCGACGACAAACTCGGCTTTGGTCGAGATGTTGTTGGATCTCGGGGCAGTTGTATATGTGAAGACGAATGTTCCTCAGACTATGATGGTAACTTGACTCCCAACTATGCACCAGACGAGAAAATACTGACACCATCTAGACCGGCGACTCGGAAAATAACATTTACGGTCGAACACTAAACCCGCACAACACCTCCCTCACAGCCGGCGGATCCAGTGGGGGCGAGGGCGCCCTGGTCGCTTTCCGCGGATCTATACTAGGAGTCGGCACCGACGTTGCAGGTTCGATTCGCATACCAGCTCTCTGCTGCGGTGTTTACGGCTTCAAGCCGACCACAGCCCGCATTCCTTTTGGTGGTCAGATTTCCGGTGTGACGGAGGGAATCCCCGGCATTATTCCCTCGGCTGGACCATTGGGTCACAGTATCGCAGACCTGCAGCTATTTATGAAGACAATTGTCGGCAACGGTCAAGCATGGAGGTACGACCACACAGCAGTCGCAGTTCCTTGGAACTCCGCCCCGGAATCCTTTTCACGACATAATGGAAGCTTGACTATTGGTCTCTTGGCGGAGGATAAACAGTTCCCCCTGCACCCCCCTGTCAAGCGTGCATTGCAAAAAGCAGTGGCTCTCTTGACTTGTGCCGGCCACCGCGTCGTTCCTGTGGGCAATGACACCAACGAGGATCTATCTGTGGCCTACGCTTCTCGCCTCGGGTTCCAGTCCTTCACCTACACTCCGCACCAGGACCATGTCGGAGCGAGCGGCGAGCCACTCGTCAATTCGGTTGCGAAGTTCGCATCGCCCATGTTCTCGGGTCCGTGGCCGGTGGATCAGGAACTAGATGTTTTCGAAAAGATCCAGGCGCTTCACGAAGCGAAAAGCCGTGTCAGTAATGCCTGGCGCCATGCTTGGGTGGACAATAAGCTTGATGTAGTTCTTGCCCCTGGTGCTCAGAATACAGCCGTTGGATACGACACCTACGGGTGGCCTCCTTATACATTGCTGTGGAACTTGTTGGATGTGAGTGAAGAGAGCCTAGGTTTTATTTCCTTGGATGATTGGATACTAACAATATTCAGTACCCTGCTTGTATCATTCCGTTTGGAAAGGCGTCCAAGGAGTTGGATCCGCATGAGATGAAGACGGGTGATGATGTGCAACCTGACTGTAGGCTCTTCCACACTCTTTGCTGACTGAACATTATTGGCTAATGATTTAACAGACCATCCAGAAGAGGTGGATGGTGCACCATGCGCAGTCCAAGTCATCGCGCCTCGCTTCCAAGACGAGAAGTGCCTATGGGCCGCAGATATCATTGATAAAGTCGTCAATAGGTCGAAAGAGAAACCACTATAAAAATTTCAGAGAGCTAGAGCAAGCGATAAAAGAAATAACAGTATAAAGTTTGTTATATCGTCGAGACGTATCTAATTTATGCATGAGTCCAATGCTTCATCCACACCTCAATATACCTCTGAATCAACCCCTCCGCAACAGGATCCTTCACCTGGCCCAGCGAAGGACAATCCCGAATCGTACAATCAGTCTCAAAAAACAACCCAACCGGCTTCTGTTCTTCACCCTCAATGTTCTGCGCTGGTACATGATTCTCATACTTTCCTCGCCAGAAATCAATGAGCTTGATACTAGGATTTGTTTCTGGGTTGGGGTCACTGTTCGCCAGTCGCGTCAACCACTCCTGCGGCGAAACGATCTCAAAGTCAGGGAGCGCAGATCCCTTCTTCAAAGCAGGAAGCAGATCATTCTTCCAGCTAAACGAGTGCGGGTTGACGAGGTGATAAACCAGACCCGTATCAGAAGATTTGGCAGCATCGGGATTGAGCGCGAGGTCTGAGACGGCTTGTGCACATTGGTCTACCGGTAGCCAAGTCGGCCGCTCATTCAATTCCGGAAGCGCACCAGTCGTCAAAGCGCTGCGGAACATGAGCGCGATGGCTTCAGTCTCATTCCATTGTGCACTGACGGTATCACCACCCAGCTGGCCAACACGTAGGACTCGAGCGTGCATGCCAGTCTTACGCATTGCATTGCGAGTGATGTGCTCGGTGACAAGTTTGGATCTTCCATATCCGATTTTCTGGGCGTGATCGAGGTTCTCAACGGCGGATTCGGGGATGGAGGCTGGTTTGGGGGTTGCGCTGGCAGCGCTCACGCTGGAGCAGAAGAAGAAGCGGGCAGGAGAGGGTAGTTTAGATCGCAGACAGAAGTTGATTAGGTTGTACGTTCCGCGGATATGTTGTTGTTCAAATGATCGAACGCCCAGGTTGAAGTTGACGGCCCAGGCACTGTGCACGATTGAAGTTACGGATGACAGGAGATGTTCCAGGACATATGTTTCCAAGCCGAGGTTGGGCTGGGATAGGTCGCTTGGAACGGCGTGTATCTTTGCGGTTTCCTTGTCTGTGAGAGCAATGCTGCGATCTGCAAATGCCTTGAAAACTCGAACACCAGCAGCTGCTTGTCCCGGGGCTCGAACAATAGCCCAAACCTCGGAGACAGTGGGTCGTTTAACGAGCTCAGCAACTACAAAGGCACCCAGGTTTCCGGTAGCCCCGGTAACGACCACGACCTCTGAGTCTGGCTGTTGTGAGATAGTCGGATGATGCTGAGTGAAGTTGGAGTACTTTTCAATCAACTCCTGCATGACCTGCATATCGTCCTCTTGTTCAAATGTTTGTCCAGTCCGCAAATGATATAGATGCTTCGCGAGCTCGCTGACAGTTCCCTTCTCAAAAACGATGTTCTGGCTCAGGCTGTCCGTGTGTTTTCCAATATCCAGATCACGCACAATATATCTCCAGATCTGTGTTGTCTGCAAGCTATCCACGCCAGCGCCGAAGATATCAGTGTCAGCATTCGAAAGAGGCACGCCCAAGTCTTGGTGGAATCTTTCAAGCAGCCATTTCTCCAGCTCGGGAACGCTCAGAGCAAGTTCGCCCTTCTTCTGGTTGTTTCCTTCAAAGCCGTCATAGACATTCTTGATGTCTTCTTCGAAGACTTGGTACACTTGAGCACGGATGCATGTTCCCTTGTCGGTTCTTGGGTATGCAACATCAGCACCCTTGATGACAACTAGCTCTTTCGGGATGCGCGAAAATGTCTCTGCTCGAGCATTGGCTGCCTCAACCGCCGGCCATATAGCTTCCAAGAACTGCTCGTTGCTCAGATGGGTGGCTTTACCGGGAGCACGGAAGATGAGTGCTCCAGGGACTGTTCGTTGAAAACCGAACACAACACACTCTCCAACCAACTCCTCTTCCCTAACACGACCTTCGATTGGAATCGGAAGGACTTTCTCTCCATTGACGAGGGTGATGCGGTCATCGAGTCGACTCAGATATTTGTAGTAATTGCTCTTCTTTGGATCGGGGTGGCGAGTAAAAAGATCGGATGTGCGAAAGCTTTTCTCAGGGTTCTTCGACGAAAATGGCGGCTTCGAGTTTGATGGTCCTTTACTCGGCAGTCCGTCAAGGGCAACACATTCAAAAACGCCAGGCGAGATCTCATCCATCAATGTGTGATCAGCAACCGGACGATGCAGTCGCATATATTGCCACTCATTATCGGAAGGAGGTCGGAACGAAGTCATGATCTGACCGGTCTCTGTTGCGCCATAATTACCAACCAAATTCACACCCTGGGCCACAAGCCGATCTCCCAAATCATCGGGACAGCTAGAACCTCCATATAGCACAAGTTTTGGCTTTGTAAGGGCTTGGATACCCTCCTTCTTTTCCGCTAGGAGCTTAATCACGTACGGGACAGCGCTGATCTGTTGAGGTTGCGCCACTTGTAGTGCGTCGTACAGATTCTGGTATGTGACTGGGAGAGAGTGGTTTCCAAGGTATGCTGGAGCTCGGGTGTAAAACGCGCGACCCAGTTCCATCAGGGCGTGTGAATGGAATAGTGGGCTGATCGTGAACAGTCGGAGGCCAAAGCTCTTGCGCCAATTGGCGATGGTTTGGAGATTCGTCAGGTAGATTGGCTTGGGAAATCCCGTGCTCCCAGATGAGTGAAGGATCCATGCAATTTTTTTTCCCTCTTTTACCGGATCTACACCCGCGCGCTCGAAGGATTGTGATGTGCAGTTGAGCCAGTTGTCACGCTGAAGCATCAGATAGTTGGTACAGCCAGGCCGCTCGGTGCAGATTTCTCGGAAGGTTTGTTCGTATTGGCCCAGAGTAATCATTTGCTTACAATCCGCCATATCCAAGAGTCGGGCATATGCTGGAGCTGTGAGTCGTGTGGATAAGAAGAGAACCGCGTATCCAAGGCGATTCAGAGCAAAAAAGGTGAGTATGACTTCAAAGCTCGAGCCAGCCAGCATCGCGATGACAGGCGCTTCTTTCAGATTCGGGTCCTGTACCAAATTAGATAGATCCAAAAGCATCATGTCAACTTTTCTTACCGCTGGACCAAGCCCCTTCTGGATATAATATTGCACCGCGACATCTGTATATCGATCCAGTTCTCCGGCTGTATACTCTTCGAAATCATCAGCCCTGCGAACAGGATAGCAGATTAGCGGCTTCCGCGCTTGGTCCGGATGCGCCGCATGCGATTTGAGCAAACCATCGATTGTCATAAATTGCTCGATCGGAGGATAGCCGGCGTGCAGTGTGCCGTTCAGCAGGCGCGTCGCGATCTCCGCTTTGCTTTGCGGATCTTGCACTTCCACCGCAGTGGCTGTCTGTGTCATTGTCGCCATGATGGTGGTTCATAGGGCGTTATTCCGACGTGGCAGTTATTTTGCCTTTATATTCACCCCCGCGGCGGGTATTGCCCCGCGTTCTTCATCTCTCGCCCGATGAGATGCTTTTCCGGTTTTCCGAGTCGGATTTGGTGCCGCGTGCCAACCGCCGGAAAATCATCCGCAGCGCGTGTTTGGCGAAAGCGTATTGGATTGCGAAAGCAATTAATTCAAGATTGCATGAGAAAAAGGAGAACGGGAGAAGATCGAGAAGTTTACTTGCGAGAATTAGCTAAAGGCAGGAGAAGAGTGGGGAGACAAAAGCGTTCCGGTTGGTCACGTGACTATTTGTTGGCTGAATACAAATGGAAGGAAAAGCAGGGCCAAGACCAATCTTGACTTCCAAATCTGGGCATCCATTTTCTGCCTGCGCCTGGCGGATGCAGCCCGGCACTTCGTGTCAATTTCCACGCGTGTTTGGACGTCGGATAACCTTGTTTTACCTGCGAGATTCGATACCCGACGGCCGACAACGTTTATCCGGATATCCTAATAACTTTACTACAATAGAGGGGAACTAGGACCACAGTTAAGCAGTTGACTTCGAAGGCCTTGTTTGGCTTTATATTCATCAACTAGAATACAAAATTTCGACTATGCCTGTCGATTGGAATACAGATTTGAAAACAGAGAAAATGCACTATTGCAGCTCTACCAAAGTAAAAATTATTGCAGGGAATATAATGGAACTAACTTAGTAAATACCTAGTTAGAAGATAACATTTCCTTGTCTTTCAGAAGATTCCATATCTCTGAAACTGGTACACTCGTGGACAGGTACTTCTACTTGGTTTGTCGATTAATAATAGTGGTTCTAGGCCTCCTTAAGGAACCGGCTTCTTTAATGTGGTGGAATAAGGAGAACATGCATTCCGTTTATTGGTGTCTTTCTATTGCATAATCGGGGTTTCCTCTGAGGCTAACAGTGGGGACAATGGTCAGTGAGCGTCGGAGTAAACCCCCTTCAGCAATTTTCTCACCAACTCTCCATACCAATTTTTCAACAACTCAGAACTTGATTATACTAACCATTTTCTCGAAGTTGTTACTTCAATGTCTCCCTTCAACATCTCCCTTCAACAAATTCATCCGACGACTTCCTCCAACGACTCCACCGACGACTCCCTAAAGTTGAATCGTCCAGAGGTTCTTTATTTATCAATCCTATAAAACAAATTCTGCTAACAACCCCTCCTTTGATACTTTCAACGACCACCTAAAAATTATTTCTTCAACGACCCCTTCCACGATCCCCTCCAGTTAGTTCCAACGACTTCTTACATTGAATGCTCCGACATCAATTTAATATTCCTTCAACCAATCTTAGATTTAATAATTCCAATGACTACCTAAAATTCTTTCCCTCAACGGCCCCCAAAAATAATCTCCTCAACGACAGTTTAGAATTTATTATCTCAGCGACTACCTTTGATTGATTATTTTCAACGATACTTTCTAACGGTTCATTGCAGTGATACCTTTCAAAGACTCCCTCCAACTAAACCTTCCAACAGCTCCCCAGAATTGATTTTCAACGACTCTCAATTGATCCCCACAACAAATTCCTTGACCGATTCCCTTCTTGCCCTTCAACGACTTTCGCATGTATTCCCTTCGGTGACTTCCAGCTATAGCATTTAATGATCGTAAATGCCGAGGAAAATCTAGAGCTTCACTACTATCTCGAGTCCTACTTCCTACGCAAATTGTCCCGCAGAAGGCTTGCCACTGCCAGGCAAATTTTCTGGAGTCATGACCAGAACCAGCAACGAGAAACGTTCGCAACTGAACAGCAATGTTGAGAAGCATTGGCGGCCCACATTTGTAGGTGGTCGCCGTCTCATACTTGCTCCGCCTGAGGGAATGCTAAGTGCCTCGGATGTCCACCTCGGCCTCGTCATTGCGCCCAGCCAGGTCCTTAATATATGAAAGGCCGTAGCATAGTCTTAATTCCCATCACAGAGCTTATTGTATCGATATCGACTTCATCAATATGCGTTTCTCAATCCCCGCGGTCCTTGTGGGGGTTTTTATAGAAAATTGCCTAGGCGGCGCTCTCCAGGTCATCGATGAGGACCATGAGTGTAAAATATACTCTAGCGATCACCATGACTGCTTCGGCTATTCTGCATCATTTGCAAAACTAAACAGGGACGATTGTTCAGGTAAGTCTCAACGTGAAGCAAATTTTCAGCGAGACATGCTGATCTGAATTTATCTCAGAAATGAGCCAGGTCGTGAATGGCACACGCATAGAGTACTCTTATATTGATGTCGCGGCATGTGGCCAGGCGAACGGCATTAATGTTGCTTGGATCCTCGTCAACCAGACCGGAGAAGTCACCTTCTTTAATAAGAACGGCGACAAAGCTGAATGTCTGCTCGATAATGGGCTCAAGACTGGCAGCTTGTGCAACACGTCTGATCCTGAGCCCCTGACCAGCACAAGCGCAAGCCCGTCTTCGAGCGCTCCCGCGACTTCGACGCCTTCTTCGTCGTCCATTGTTTCCAACTCCTCGGACACTGGGTCATCTATGTCAACCTGTTCGTGCGCATAGCCATATCGAGAAGATATGGAAGCCCAGGAAGCCGAGCCCCTTCCTTCTTTGGGGGGGATATCTAGTACTACCATTATGTATCAAAGCTTGCTTTCTCTGGATTTCTTTGCTCTCGTATTTAGGTTAAACCTTGCTTTGTGACATCAACTGTAATTCATCGCTTCTACATTACGAACTTTCCTCAACGGTGTATTCCTTCTCCAGATGCTTCGCATAATAAAAACCCTCCCCCCGGCCAAAAGCTTTTCTATCCGGAATCATTTAGTTCTAGTGATCAGGAGACACAATTCTTCTTCACGCTGTGAGCCTTATTGGGAGGCACTGACGTACGTATGTGATGCTTAATAATGATGTGAGTGTGCTTTGCTGGCAATCGTGTGTCCGAATACTTATATCTATGTCTATATCGGCGTGGTTGCACTGGAGTGGTTGTGTGTTGAGTTGATAGGATCCATACTGGGAAGCCTCTCCTAGGAAGGCCTTCACAGTGCTCCTGGTATTCTATGGTTTTATGACATATCGAAACTTTCGAATCGAGTAGCTTTCTATCCGAATCTAGAGCAGTCAAGTGTGGTGGAATTCTATTGCTTCTTGGCAACTTTTCCTCTGCCCTACAGTACAGAGAATTAGTCCAGGAACCCCGCTTGATGTTGCTAGATGGCCGATCTTCCTGTTATAATCCGTGTTATGAAACGGGGTTATTTTAATGAGATGGAGATATGTCGCAGGATGTGGATCCCTAGTTACAGATGGTATCCTGCTGTGCAACCTGATGAGGGGTGTCGTAAGGATTGGACTGATCTGGGCATATATTTCGCTAGTTCGAACTAGAGCAGCCGGTGTGCTACTAAAGGTTTCATAGATGTTCATTTGCTGAAGCCAACTGGGCACTAACCTGAACATAGAAATTTTACATTTGTATGTACATTCTCTTTGACTTTCGTGCTAAATAACTTGTTCTGAGGAGCCCAAGAAATTTCGGTTACATTCAGTCAAGATTCTAATCAACCAATCAACTGTCAGTTCCAAAATTCACCGTCCTTGCAAAGAATTGCAGGGCCCTCTTTTTCTGATTTAAAATTTTCAGAATGAGACTTGTAGGTGAAATTAGATAATAAAATCGATTAACGTCGAAAAGAATCTGTAAACAAAATTTCCCGACCATCCCATTAGTACCCATCTGTTATGTGGTACATAATAACATATCCTTTGGATCTGTCGTACTGGTTGGGCACTCCAGTGCGTACTCTAGTAAGTTTCGGCAGATACTTCTTAAATATCCCAGTATGTGCCCAAATCGATATTCCTCCAAGTGTCTAAATCACTAGAATACATCTGGACGATAGCATCTGCCTTCTCTTTTCCAAATACCGGTCCATTCAATCGTAATGTGACATTCTTGAACATGTCTACCAGATCTGACAGCATAGATAGATACAGTCAACTAATTATTGTAAGATTGACTGGCGAAGTAACATAAATCTAAGACGAAACTTTGGTCCTATTGAAGCCGCCCTTAGTAACCTAGAATTCCGTTCACTTCACGAATAAGATTTGCCGAATTGTCACTCTTTGCGTTAACCTGAATGGGAATAAGACCCATAGCCATCTTACCAGCTTCAGATTGGATATCTCCAATCTGTGCCCTATCAGTGAATTCAGATTCACCAAATCCACCCGGGAAGTCTGGTGGGGGGACGCCCTTCAAAAAAGTATCACGCTGCTGCGCGACGTATTGCTAAATGAAGTCAGCGTACAGCACGCGACCACAAGCTTGTGATTGATTTTCTTACCGCATTGCTGGGAGTGAGCGGAACGGATGGAATGTAAAACACGCAAGCATCGTTGTCGCCAGTGTTGTTACTCTCCGTACCGTGAATAGTATCGGCACTCCAAAATACTATGAATATTAGCCACGTTCAGTCTTAATGATTATTGACAGCCTTACCGGTGTCACCTGACTCAACTGTTGGATAAGGTATCATCGTCTCATTCAGCATCAGATGAGGGTGGTGGCCAGGAGTATGCTCTTGAGCAGTTCCAGGGTTTGCACCATGCAGGAAAGTATTTCCATCCTCATCATCGAGGGAAAACTTCCATCCGTCCAAGGAGCCCTTTTGAGTAGGCTTGAAAAAGGGGCGAAGCATCCAGTACGCAGTGGAGGGCTGTAGAATTGGATGAACGACAAGGGTACCTGACGAGCCAAGGAGTCAGCTTGGAAAGGGTTTCATTTTGCTGTTTAACTTGCCTTGTTGGGGTCCATGACGGGATAATCCAAGCCAGCTCTGGAAGGCTCGGAAGACTGAACATCCTCCTGGTGCATCATACATGTTCATGTTGGCGTCGAGTCGGCCAGTTAGATCCCATGGGTTGTACTCCTTCCACTGTCGTGATATCAGATGGCCGTGCTGATAAAGCGGGATAGTGAATGACTCCTCACCTTTCCTTGGAATATCTTGCGGTAGACATGGTTGTAGGCGCGGTCCTCCCACCTTTCGACTCCTCCACCGTCGACGTGAGGCGGTAGGGCAAAGGTTTGATCGCCAGGCGGGCGGATTTGAACTCGGTCACAGTAACTGAGTGGGACGGAGAGATCCACTAAAATATATCAGCACAGCGAAATGCGCTTTCTGTTCGGGCTTCGCTTACCCTTTTGATCCGCATCAGCGGAATATAGCTGGTTCATCCACGACTGTGTGGCGAGCATGTTAGGGTGCGACCTCGCTTTCACCTGAGAAGGGCTCCAGTATGATTCATAGATAACCTGTTCGTTGTCAATATCAGGACAAAACTTTCTACTGAAAGAAAGCCAGGGAAGATGAAGAGATCACAACCGATTTGTACATACTTTATTTTCCGTATCAGATGGATAGCCTTTGAAAGGGTGTGCAGCCACATACTGACGCATGTCAGAGAGATACCCCTCTGCAACATCCTTCGGCACAACTCCTTTGATCACTGCAACACCAGTGCTCCGGATGGCGTTGACACTTTCGGGGGCAACATTGCCAGCTTGAATATCCGAGAAGTTCAATTGAGGGATGATCTGTTTTCGTCAGTATATCGCTAAATCTCGATCCGAAGAAGGGGCCAAGCTCACAGACTCTCGCTTGGAGGCGACCTCTTCAGTGCGCACTTTCAGAGTCTCGACCAAGTCATCCCACGATTGCTGGATCTGCTCTTCAAAGCCAGTGGTCAAGTTACGCTTCAACTCATGGAAGCGTTCAGGCAGTGGTTGACTCTTTCTGCCGGAGAAAGTTGAGAAAACAGACGAGATGTCGCCCTCTTTTTTGTCATTTCGAGTGAGTCGCGATGATTCCGTCGCTAAGAGCCGCTTAGCTGTACCCGCGCATTTTCCAGCTCGAAAAGTAGGGCACCTAAGGCAATGCGGCGAGATTAATCTGTTCATGATCAGGCACGGAAGAACTCAATGTAGCGTAGACAACTGCCAGAGAGTAAAGAATCTTCTTTGGGCTTCACCAGTGCAAGTCATGCATTTACCCCAGACTTATATACCCTCAACTGACCGCCCCGCGCTGCGAACCCCAACATTTGCGATGCAATTTCACCGAAACCTTGGAATCTGGATACAACGGAAGCCTAGACAAATTCAGTCTTCCGACAATCCCCATCCACAAAGGTGCTTCAAATGGAACTGCTTCCGACATCGGTAGACAAAGTAATGGCGTCCAGCATACACTGTGACGCCACATGGTGGATCGATGTCTACCGATCAGCGAAGCCGATATAGCGTAATTGTCAGGTATACAGAGGAGACCTTTTGCTGCATCCTAAATTCAGGTTAGCCGGAATTTGAAAACGGAATCGACCAAAAGCTAAAGGCTATCCCTCGTCGGTAGATCCAAAATAGGAAATGTACCCGCCGAGATCCAGAATCGGGGGCAGTACGGGGAATCATCAAGAAAAATGCGATTTCAGTTCCATATGATGTTCAAGAAGAGGGTTCCAAGTGATATTAGTCGAGACCTTACCTTGGAAAGTCAGGCAGGAAGAAAGTCAAAAATGGTTGATGTGTCAACAGCGGGACTACCATATCCCCCACCATTATCAATGTTTTGCCAGCACAGGGCGGTAGTGTACCCATGATTACTTCGTTCTTACCCTGGCCTTCATCCGACGAGCCACTCATAATTGCCGAGCTTCATGAATCGGCTGTGAGAGAATACTGCTGATGGTTGGAATCCCGCGCCACTGAGGGACCTTACGAAACTGATTTTCGTAAAATCAGCTAAGTGACTTTGAAGAATCGCCTAGATCTTGAGCTGGCATGAAGGCGCTCCCTCCGACGGGCTGCAAAACATCGAAGAGGCCATCGCTCATACCGACCAACTTTACGATGCGGGGAGACCTTTCTTCACAAAAGATAGCATCCGCACCATTCATGAGTAGTCCCAAAATTTTCTGTTTCCGGAGGTCAAATTGTCATTAAAGGTGTGGCAGGCACAACAATTGCATTTACTGAGGACTGGCGACACCCGCGATTTACTGCGTTTTGTCATGTATAAAAAACCGACCTGCTCGCCGAAAATGTGAATCTCATACGGTCCATCTAGTTTATTTCGATGCTTACAACAAGCAGCGGGGAGCCAGAAATACGTTATGAGTGTCGGCCGCATCTTAGACACCATCTCTGGAGAATGGAGAAGGCTTGGATCCACCTTCAGAATTGCTTTCCCTTTGCTCTCTGCGCATATACGAGCTGTGCAAGGAAACTGCACCACCCACCGAAGAACCGGAGACAAAGGCTCTGGACCTTACCTACGAGTCTCTCACCGAGTTCTTCAAAGGCTGTTCCAAACTTAGAGGGAAACTGACATGTGCAAAAAAGTTCTACAGATTCTGAATCAGTCTTCTGTGGAGCATGACATAAATAAAATCGTTGCTGTTGCCCTGGGAAGTATCGCTACAATGAGAAGATTTGATAATCGTCATCAATTTGGTTTCCAACACGCATTAGTATTGACGCTACAAGAATGGCTGCAAACTCAGCACAAGGCTTTCAACTTTTACGCCCAGGATTCAGACTACAAGCCTGCTGATAATGCCGTACTTCGGAGGCATGGTGTGGAAGTCATCGATGACCCCTGTGCATGGCTCGAGGTAGATGAAAAGTCAGTTCTGTTCTCGTGTGTACCCAACGTACCAGTGAAGGAAATTATGGCGCACATTGATCGACCAGCGGTAGTGATCTGGGAGCCAGTCGACTACAACGGCGGTGATGTCAAAGGAAAGATGAGTGGGTAAGACACACTTGACTACTCAATAATGATTCTATCTATGTCGGGACATAACATCCCTTTCTTGGTGTACGCATTCTTGCGCGGAGCTGCGGTTCCGGTGTTGTGACCGCCGATTGTCCGTGCATGGGATTAAGGGGTATCTTGAAACCTGACCGGAGAACACATCTACATCTACATCTATCAACAGGAATCAATTGACTTTTTGCTTTGGAGCATACAGACTGTCCACTTAACTGTGTACACAGTACCTAGCTGGTGATACCAACAATCTACTAATAAGTACCCAGGACCATTCCATGCTCAACTCGGGTCACGGCAATGATGCAGGGCTATGAGATGTTCCAATTTGGCGAGGGTGAACATTTCTGTTCGACGGTGATCTATGTTCGAAGATGCAGAGATTGATCCAGTGTACTAGAGCAGAGCGTGGATAGACTCACATTTAGTTTAAGGGTCATGTTATTCGAACAGAATGAAATAGAGATTGATAACCTTGAAAAGTAAGAATAGCTGATACCATATGGATAAAGAATAACCTTGGTGAAGGCTGCTGGTAAAAATAGAATACATGATGGTGGTCGACGCCTGCCCTAAGTGAGAACAAATTTTTTTTCTCAGTCTGCAAATTGAAAACTGTCGAAAAATAAAAGCAAAATAGAACGATCAGGGGCTAGGTGTGTTCTCCTCGTACTGAGGAGCACTGTATTCGTCGCCATAGCCCGCACCAGGCGTAGCAGCGGCACCACCCATCGCCGGAGTAGGGGCATCGTAGGCGGCAGGAGTAGGAGCGTCATAGCCGCTGCGCTTGGGCAAGCCACCTGGAGTCGGCGCATTGAAAGCACCGGGGGTGGGGACGTCTGCGCCCCAGGCGCCGGGGGTTGGTGCAGACGCACCCGGAGTCGGGGCCGCATACCCCCCAGGAGTAGGAGCAGAGTATCCGCCCGGGGTAGGAGCATCATCGAAATCACGCTGGTCTTGGGCGCTAGCCAAACTGCCCCAGGCAGGAGTGCGGTTCCCGGCACCCCATGCAGGAGTGCGAGATCCAGTTACAAAGGCGTCGTCACCGCCAGCACCAGCGAAGGGGGTACGGGAGCCGGTGTTCCAGGCTGGAGTGCGGTTGCCGCCGCCGTAAGCGGTACGGTTTCCAGCATCGTAAGGGTTCGAAGTTCGGGATCCGTCGTTCTTCCAAGCAGGGGTACGTGAACCGCTCATGCTGCTACCCCATGCAGGAGTGCGCGAAGAGGAAGCGCCAGCCCAGGCTGGGGTTCGAGAGGAATCGGGGGCAGCCATTGGTGTACGCCCACCTTGCCAGCCATCTCGGCGGGGAGGTGCGGTAGACGATCCGAAAGGGACACGAGATCCCCTGCCACGGCCACCGAAGTTGTGGATTGGTTGGTTCGTGATTGGACTAGCAAACGTTAGCAATGGAATATGGGGTAGATTCAAGTTGCAAGGTCATGACTTACTCTCTCGGGAGAAGATCTTCGCGGGGAATCATCACTGGTTTTTTACCAGACACAAATTCGACACAAGCCAATTTTTCGTTCGCGTACGGGACACGGCCGAGCAGACCCTTGAGCGGGCCCCTGCGAATACTCACAGTTTGGCCAACCAGGCGGTCACGACCACCCGTCGATGGCATGGCAATAGGACTCGCGTAGTTATTCTTAAGCTGCTGGTTCATAATTTGCGGGTTGGGCTTGTCAAGAGAGGGCAACTCGCGACCGCCTGCTGGTTGACTGGAACGAGTGTTAATCGCCCGCGTCACCCAGACACCTCCATTCTCGACCCGTTCTTTGTCGATTGCGAAAACGATTCCGCGGTAAATATAGATAATTTCTCCTTTTCTCTTCTCCCCAAGGGGCTCCTTGATGGTTTCACCGACTGTAATCTCGGCACCGTCCGCGTCGACGGCTTTGTAGCTATCTCTCTTGATGATGTTAATGACCTGAGAGCGAGTGCAATCGCGGACAGAGCCATGCTGATCAAGAACCTGGATGCGATCGCGCTCAACCTTGATGGCACAACCGACGGTAGAATTGCTGTTCTTCGTGTTAGCAGTTGAAATAGAAGTTTGGAAGAAGAAGAAGAAAAAGAAAGGCGGCCATGTACTCACTCAAGCTGAAGAAGGTCGTGAAGTCGGCACTGGCCCGTGTAGCTAGGCCCCTTGCTAGCTGCAGCGTCAGTATCACCGGAGAGACGGAGATCTTTGCTGAAAACCGTGATTTCCTCCATGGTCGAGTCGCTAAGAATGGTAACATTGTCGTCCTTGACCTCAACCACCATACCCAACTCGTTCTGAAAGCGACTTCCTCCGATGACCTTGACATGGTCACCCTCGCGGAAGCGTTTCCGAAGGGTTAGGACAGGAGCATCGATGAGATGACCACTCAGCTCTCCCTCGGTAACTCGCAGCGAAACAATATCACCACGAGTCGATTCCGCACGACCGACCAAGCCCTGCTGTTCACCACGGTACACCTCAACTGGGTCACCGGGCTGATAGGAGTCTGAGGCGGTTGACTTCTTCATTGTGTCGGCAAGAGCGGCCAGATCCAGGTTGGCAGTGCCATCTTCAGATCCACGAGCAAACATTGTCACTTCTTCCAACCGCGGATTCACGTTCTTGGTTGTCAGGTGGTTCAGGCGCATGTCCTTGATAAGGAAACCATCCTCATAATTGTCATTCATATAGTTCCATGACTTGCCTCGCAGGCCAGATGTAGCAGATAGATGTTTGGCGTGCTTCTTTTTTGCCTCTGCTTCGCTGAAGAGCCGCTGCGGCGGGCGGAACTTGTTGGTAGCTCGCTTGCGCTTGACATCGGCGCCCGGCGCCAGAGCATTATCATCTTCGTTCATGCCATAGTCCAGTCGAGGAACGATTCGAACCGTGACGGTGAGGCCATTGGTTTCAACTTCTTCGATCTGAGCCAGATCACCCTTGTATTTACCACGCGCGACGCGAACCCATCCACCGGGGTGGAGCTCCTCCGACTTGCGTACACGAAGAAGATCCGGCATATCCTTGACCGGGATCAGGGTCAGCCCTCGGGAGGGAAAGTAATGGTTGAGCTGGTCCAGTCCCGCGATGACATCGGGCTGTCGTTGGGCTTCGACGTAGAACCAGCCCTGCATGACATTTCCGCGCTCGAAGGCCGAAAGAATGCGCAAAGGGTTTCGAGAGTGGGCCGGGCGTTCTTGGATTCGCTTCTGGATATTGAAGACAACTTCGCGTTCTTTTCCAGGCTTGCACCGCGCGCCCCAAATACTAGGGTCTTCGACACTGGGAAGCAACAGACGTTTCGGGATGACAAGCGCATCGGTCGCTGCGGCACGGTTCCGTCCGTATCGCTCCTTCAGCATCTGTGCTTGCTTCTCCGCGTCCATCGTCGCATCAAGTTCACGCTGGCGATCCAGCTGTCGGTGACGTCGGTCATCGGTTTCAGCACCTGCGGGCAGGGCATCAAGGTCGTCAGGGTGCATTTCGGTGCCGAACTCGGCGAGCTCATCCTCTTCGTCTTCGGCCTCATCTTCCTCCTCATCGACGCCGGCCTCTTCTTCGAAGAAATTATGGACACCACCCCTTCTGCGCTTGCGTGGACGATTCTTGACGCCAACCAGAGTCAGTGAGTTCCTTGCGCGCTTCTTAGACTGTTTGATACGAACCACTTCTTCCTCCTCCTCGTCTTCTTCTTCATCGTCGTCATCTTCCTCCTCCTCGTCGTCCTCCGCATCGTTGTGTTTTTCGTCTTTTTCATCTTCGGCCTCAGCATCGCCTTCGTGCGTCAAGGCACCGGTGTCATCGCCATCTTCTTTCGCGGGCTATTTTCACAATGGGTTAGTTCCATGACTTAACAGCTCAGTGATTGATCATCGCTTACCTTTGCGTCTTCGTCATCCGAGCCCGCGACGGGCACAGGGTTGAAATCTTCGTCCTCATCCTCGGAGCCGAAGTCTTGGTTCAAGAAGTTCGACATGTCGAAAAGTTGAAGTTGCAGGATCGGGCGAACGCTATGGAGAGAAAGGCAGGGGAGGAATAGGTTTGGGAAAGGAGGGTTGCGGAAGAAGATTTGTAGACACAGCAGCGAGGGCGGGCGACGAAATTTATGGAACCCTGGCTGTGTCAGCTGATAGTGAATGAGGGATAGTGAATGGGGAGCAGTCGAGAACGCGGAGTTCATTCACTGCGAGATTGTCGCGCAACTGCGCAGTGGGTGTCTGTACGTTCCCCGACCGCTCTCCGTCAAACACCTTCGAAATGGGATCAACTTCGGAAGCTGCGGCGAGTCCCATCAGACGAAGCTCGGAATTAAGCGTGAAATCTAATTTGAAACATCACTGTGCCCTCACTCTCGATCCATGGATTTTTCAATGCTAATCATCACTCGAGTCGTCACTTATCCCTCAGCCAGCTTTTTTTTGCAAAAGCTACGCACATAAACTTACCACTACAACTAGTATTATTCTAAAGGTGCGACAGTGCATCCGAATTAGGATCGTGTGTTAATGAACGGTACTTTTAGGCCCAGATGATTCATTCTGGTACTGAAACTTCTATTCAAGGTATACCTTTGACGGGTTCCTTAGTACTACTAGTAGCTATCGAGCGTTGCGTGGCCACAGCTAGCTAATGTCAATCTGAAAAGGCGTGGCCACCTTTGCTACTTTTCTACGTGAAGTTAACTCATGCGCACGATTTTTGCCCTTCACAAGTGCAACTATGTCCCAAAGGACCCTGGTCGACAATGTTTTACTTGCTAGATGCACGTCAGAGAAAAGAGTTGAATGTACAAATTTCGAGCAAACGTATTCATACAGAGAATGTCAAAGTATCGTGAAGAAATGCGTCACATCGGACAGGATATCTAGCAAAAACTCTCCAGCAATGAGACCAACCAAGCTGGGGAGCACAAGTGAGAAAAATGGTCCAAAAGATGGAGACAAGAAGAAATGAAAACAAGATCAATACCGCCAACCCCCAGATGTCATTTAAAGCTTCATGCCAAACATCTGGTGCACACGCAAACTCTGACGCATACTCAGGTCCAGCATGATTTCCTCACTGCCACCGGGGATGGCGTAGGCACGAACATCCCGATACAGGCGCTCGACCTTGCCGCCCTGGCCGCCACGGCTGTAGCTGAGACCACCGAATATCTGACTAGCCTCGCGGGCGCAGAACTCGAAGGTCTGGGTCGATTGGGCCTTCAGGCCGGCGATGGCACCGCCCAGCTTGAGCATGGCTTCGGTCTCCTCCATGGACTGGCATTGGAAGATGATGTTCTCGAGCCAGTTGTACGTTGCCTCGATCTGGCGGGCCATGTGGGCCAGCTTCATACGGATGACGGCGTGGTCGATGAGACGCTTGCCGAAGGTCTTGCGCTTGTGGGCGTACTTCATGGCTTCCTCATAGCAGACACGGGCGAAGCGAACGCACTGGATGACAATTCCAATACGTTCGTGGTTGAAGTTGGTCATGATGACCTTGAAACCCTGGTTCTCCTTGCCAATGATGTTCTCGACGGGGACTTTGACGTCTTCGAAGGTCACGTAGGTGGTACCACTGCTCAACACACCCTGACAGTCCATGCGGCGGGTGTTGACACCACCGGCCTCGCGTTCAATCAGCAGGACACTCAGTCCGTTCATGCCGGGCTTGCCAGTGCGAACGGCAGTAGTGAAGTAGTCGGCCCAGACACCGTTGGTGATCCACTTCTTCTCACCGTTGACAATGTAGTGCTTGCCATCCTCGCTGAGCTTGGCCTCGCAACCCAGGTTGGCGACATCACTACCCGCATCAGGCTCAGTGATAGCCAAGCAAATGCGCTTGTCACCGGCCAAAATACCAGGCAGAATGCGGTCCACCAGCTCTGGCTTGCCAAACTTGACCAGAGGCGGGCAACCAATGCCATAGCCACCTACCAGGTTCCAAACCAGACCACCGCTACCAGCACGGGACAGCTCATCGGTTAACAGCATCTCGTGGAACAAGTCCCAGCGCTCCGGGGAGACAGACTGAACACGGTGAGGGGTGTGCTTCGAAGGGAATGCGCCACCCAGCAAACCGGCCAGGTAGCCGCGCTCACCCATCTGCTTGTAAATGTGACCCGGAACCTCTTTACCCTCGTCCCACTCGTGGACATATGGCTCGATCTCGGACTCGACCCATTGGCGCACTTCCTCACGGAGAGCGGCGTGAGTCTCGTTGAAGTAGGGGGAGGAGTACTATTGAAAGAAAAAAGCCCGTTAGTCCTGACTCTCTCGCATTTTCTCACACAGCGCAACTTACACCCTGGTACCAGGAGGGATCGGCAAAGGGAATCAGGTCGCCGAAGGGGTCTTGCGGCGCGGCGGAGGCCGGCGGAGGCACGGCGGAATCGGACTGCGGCTTCGGGGCGGCAGCAGGCTTGGGCTTGGGCGCGGGTGCCGGCGCGGGAACAGGCTCGGCGGCCTTCTTCGTGTTCAACGACCCGATCTGCAGCTGGCCCTTGTACTTCTTCAAGATTCCCTCGTTGTGGTACTTCCAAAACTGCTTGGAGGCGTCCTTGCCGGCAACTCGCTGGAGAACTGCGCACATGTCAATATCGCATCTTTCGGCGTTCTTGGTCCGAGCCATGACGTACTCTTCTTTCCACCTATTTGCCATCGCGGTCAGCACATGATCGTAATTCTGCACGGCTGCAATCCTCATGCGACCAGCGCACGGAATTCCTCCGCTCGTGTGGGACTCGGACTTACCAGGGTGCTCGTCTTGGAACTTGGAGACATCGTAGACGTCCTCATCGATGATAATCCACGGGCTGTCGCCTTTGCTGTGCGACGCCACGTCGTCCTTGCTAAAGGTCTTCGCCATGATGAGGGATGTGTAGAACACAAAAGGAGGAAAGGCGAAGTGGGGTATCAGAAATGAAAGAGAAAATCACAGGTGAACAAGCGTTTCGTGGGGAAGGGAGTAGAAAGTAAAAAAAAGGAAGAGCAGTCCGGGGTAGATGGAGCACGCGTGCTATATACGGTTCGGAGCCCGCCACCCAAAGCAGAATTCCCCGTGTTGAGTGTGGATTGCGACTCCAGAATGGGGCCTCGGAGGACCAGCTCGTGCTATTCGGCGTGAATTCAGGCCTTCAGCTGCTTTCCTCGGTCGCTGATCGGGTCGGTCATCGCCGTATGCCAGCCCACCGATTGGCTCGCCTTGCGTCATTGCTGCCAAAAATGCCGAGGCCCTTCCACGTTGCTTACCTAAGACCGCGCAGTGCATGTGAAGGCCGCTCGGCGCATTTGCGATTCGTGGCACGCGCCTGTCCAGCGCGCATGTCGTTGGTCTTCTGCTTTTCTCGGCCTTGGAAATCGACGTCAGATCACAAGGCATCCCGCCCAGTCTGGGGCCGGGGAGGTCTGCCACACAGTCCAACCCGACTTGGAAATGGCAGCTGGGGCATGGGTGCTGGGAGAGATTCAGTCACCGCACGTTCATCGATCTCTTCAAACCCCGCATCGATTGAAAACGTGAGATAGCGATTGCCATGCGCTAAGCTTTCCCCATATTGCAGGGTCCAGCCTCTGATGTCCGTCCACAAAGAGAAGACGAGGCTTGTGATTGACACTTCAGGCAGTAAGGCCACAAGGCCGACAAACTTTGATTTAGCTCTCTCTGGACGGCAGCATTCCAGTGAGCACCCACGATACTCTACTAGTAGTTATTGGAAAGACATCTATTCCCTTCTGAAATTAAACACAACTAATAGAGCTCATTATTGAGATGATGTGATTTTGTAACAACAGGATCGATTAAGTCGCCAGACAAACTTTACAGGGTTGCGGGAGCTCCGCCCGGGAATCAACTCCCAACGTAAGTCTAATTGGATTAAGGTTGCCATGGACCCCTCAGGCCAAATGGACCCCTCGCCGAAATCGAGAAGTTGACATAGCCTCTAATCGATTTGGAATCTCTCAAGCAGCTAACGCTGTCGACAGTGGGCAGCTAGGATTACCTGCTAGTCGAGTTAAGCCCTCACACTGCCATACAACCTCATCACATCTACGCGCTCGGCCACCCGGGCAGAAAGATGGCATACTGGTAGATCCATAGTTTCCATCATCTATACAATTTGAACCAAACAGGCCTTTCGATTTACCCGGGTTCCCTTACAGGATCCGCTCCGCAGCCAAATAAAGGCACAACTCCCGTAGGTAACCCAGATACTTAGCACCCGGGGAAGATTAATCGATCTACAACTCCGCGATCGGCCGAAGACTAACCAGTCCCTTGTTTCAATAAAAGCGCTTAAACAATCACACGATTGGATTTTCTGACCGAGACCACGTCGATCCACTGGGATATTTTTGAGAGCGGCGCTTACAATTCAGGAACATGTTCGTATGGCTCTTCGACCCTGTTCATGCATATGGCTCTGAAACGACAGAAATAGCGGCCTTCTTCGCGCCCTTACGTTTCAAAAAATCTGGTACTGTTTGAGGCGAGCTTTTTTGATTGGGGGTACCGTCGATTTGAAGGTGGGGTGAGCCGCGTCGGCGCCTGTCGAAAATCGCGGCGCTAAGCAGATGCTCCATAGCAGTATACTTGTACCAGCTCAGCATCCTGTCGGGAGGTAGTACTTCAGTCTTTCTTTTCATATTAAATTTTCCAACGGCTGTCAGAATGGCATTGGTTATAAAGTCGAGCGACAGTGATCTCAGTCCCCCTTTCTCTATTTTGAGAGATTATCTCCAGGCCGAATCGCCGCCCCCACCTGCTGACATCGCCAACCGCATTGATCGGTATCATGAGAAGGGCCTGGAAGGGGAGAAGAAGATTCCCAAGGAAGAAAGGGATAAGCTTGAGCTGGACCCTGATGGGTGTTATGGGCCTCTGTGGGAGATATGGATAGCTTTTATCGTGATTGTGGAACAGGTTCCTCATGACCATCCGGCTCAAAACAGGCTCATCAATGTGATACGTGGAATGAGAGAACTGCCTGGTCGCAAGGTTGATCTGGAAGGGGTATGAATCCATCTTGAATATTCAGATTGCTCGAATTTTGAGTGAAATGATGCGTCTCAAGAACTACAGCTAACGTCAATCTAGACTGACACGGACGTTTGGAAATGTCTTGTTATATTTGACCGATGCATTGTCGATTATTACCAATGTACGTTTGAATTTTCATCTGATAATCTCGTTCATGCGAATGCTAATCTAAAATCCCACTCTAGCTCCTCTAAATACGCAAAAGCCCATCTCAACAGACGACGCTCAGAAATGGCGAAACGTAACATCATTCCTGGCACGCTGCTGGGGTGCCGAATTCTTCAACGCATCCCGACAAGCCGTTCTACTCCTCTGTGCTGCGCTCGAAGAACCAGTCGAAGACACGTCAGCTCTGCAGCAAATCCTACCCGTTGCATGTGAGTGGATCGAGCACTCCCAGGCCGCATTTACGCGGATCATCGAATCGGGCGCGGATGAAGAAGGCCATCACAAACGCACAGGTACACTCTATGAAGGGCCAAATAAATTATGTCAGGAGAGGTGGCAGTTCTGGAAGGGGCGGTTTGGGGAGCTTGCGGGTCAAGCTGAAGGAGAAGCCAAGGATCTGGCTTTGAGCTGTGTATTGAAGATGTCGAGCATTTCTTAGGATTCTCTGCGCGTTCTTTTCCTTTTTTTTGTTTCTGTCCATAGGACGAGTTACCCGAATTCTGTATCAAAATTGTCCATTGGTATATGCATCCTTGATCAATAGGTCGAAAGTCGTACGGCCCACGCCAAGCAGATATAATTCAGTACGCAACGGTTCGAAACTCTATTAGTCAAAGCAGCAGGATGAGGCTCAAAATCAGGCGCCCGTCACCTGCCACGTTCTCAAAGAAGCGCCCCACCCAATCCCCCAAAAATAAACACTGCTATAGCTCCCATCTGCCAGGTACCTTTTTCTGGAAGATTTCCTTGATCTTTAAGACCAACTTGAAACAATACCACACAAGCCATCGAAAACCAAAACAACAAATATGTCCTTCCCACCACCCCATATCCAACTCCCAAAGACCGAACACACGCACACCATAATCTTCCTGCACGGCCTAGGCAGTAATGGCCCCGAATTCGCCAGCGACTTCTTCTCCGGAAAAGACTCGAAGGCAACAATCTAGCAGCAAATTTCCCCACCTGCAAATGGGTCTTCCCCACAGCACCAGACAGATGGCGCACAGTCCTCGGCGAAGAACAATACGCCTGGTTCGACGTATACTCACTCGACGACACGACAGAGAGATCCGAGCTCCAAGTCGACGGACTTCGTGAATCCATCCTCTACATCCTCGACCTCATCGAAGCTGAAGCGCGACTCCTCAACGACGAACACGACAAAATTTATCTTGGCGGATCAAGTCAGGGCATGGCGATTGCTCTATGGACGATATTCGGAGCCGTCGCGACGGGAAGGATTCGGTCGAGACTTGCCGGGGTTCTGGGGATTTGCGGGTGGTTGCCTTTCGCCGAGAACTTGGAGAGTTCGATTGTTGAGCGTAAGGTTCTGGAGATCGTGGAGAAGGATAAGTTGGTGTTTGATCTGTTTAATCGCAAGTTTGGAAGGGCGCAGTTGCGGCAGTCTCAGTCGCCCATGGATGGGGATGTGCTTCCGACGCCGATGTTCCTTAGCCATTGGAAGGATAATGCGTTTGTTTCTCTGCAGCTTGGATTGCAGGCATATCAATTCTGAAGAATATTGTGCAAACGGTGGAGTGGCATGAGTTCACGGGGGCTGATAATGATGGGCATTGGATCAAAGAGCCGGAGGGGTTAGATCATATTGTCAGGTTTATCGAAGGCCATCTCGATTTCCTGGAGGGCCACCGCGATCAATCTAAGATAGGGATCGAGATCGCTCTTTACGATATGTTGGGAAAGATTCAAGATACAGACGGTTAAAAATGCAGAAAAATGCTTCATATCACAAGCGGTATGGCCGCACTCCTAATAGATCAGGCCCGAGAACCCGAGTTGTCTAGTAATACATCCAGCGTCAAAGGTTTGTCACGCAGAACACCGCTACTCTTCCTCGCCATCCGTCTCGTAGGCAAACTCGTCCGGAAGAGGCGCATCCTCCGCCCCTTCCTCGTCCTCATCCACTGCAGTCAGGACACCGGCGGCGGCAGAAGCACCCCCGGCACCGGCGAGGCCAGACAAGGCTGCGCGAGCATCAGACCGTTGAGGGGTTTGCAGGGCAGCAGTGCCGATAGCAGCTTGCAGGCGGTCCTGAAGGGTCTCAGTGGGGTGAGCCGGTTGCCGGGTCTCCTTGCTAGCCTTGAGCTCAACGACTTCACGGGGCTCATCGGGCTGCTTGTCGAGAACAACCACGACACCACCAGTGGGCTAGAGAAAATTAGGTTAGTACATATTTGAAAGCATAATGTGTTCAGGAGCTGACATACCCTCTTGACCGGCTCGTACCGGGGGTCGGGGAAGGTGAGGAACTTGAGCTGCGCCGGTAGTACTCGGGACATGTTGTCTAGCTCGTAGCCAACCTTCTCACGCTCTACTTTCTTCTTCTGGCCTTCGCCAGCGGTCTTCTCGCCATCCTTGCCCTCCTCACTTTCGGCCTTCGGGGCGTCATCAGTCTCCATCTTGTCGGGCAGTTGATCAGAAACCTTGGGGGTTGTGGGTGTCTGATCAATGTCCATGCTCTCTCGTCGAGCCTGCTTTTCCCGCCGTTGGGCACGGCGCTTGGCTTGGGCTGTTGTAGAGAGAACAGCGGTCTTCACCTTCTCCGGAGCCTCCTCGGCCTTTACTTGTTGCTCAGGCGGGTAGTCGAACAAGCTGGGGCGGGTGTTGCTGTGGAACTTGAACTCCGGAACCTCCAGCTTCTGATCCACACCGATCACGGATGTGGGGGCAAAGCTGAGAGACAGGAAATGGGTGAGGGGGAACCAGTACCAGTACTGGACGAAGACGGCAGCACCGACGATACCAGGCATGTTCAGGTTACCGGTCTGGGTTTGCAGGCTAATAGTGCAGTTGCGGCCACCAGCATCAATGATACCCAAAGCGACAGCACAACCGAACTTGGCCATAGCATCCTCGTGACGGTCACCGATCATCTTCATCATGGCCTTGCGCAAACTGGTCACACGAGGGTTCATAGCCTCGTTCTGTTGGACCAGAACCATGGCCAGGGAGATGAGGGCACCCTGGCGCACAAAGTCTGTTGAGTCCTTGAGCATAGGCTCCAGGAGATCGATGGCCTCATCCAGACCAGTTCCGGCGCAGGAAATACCCAGGGCCATAGCGGCACCATAACGGACGTGGGGATTGTAGGATTCCGAGAGCAGCTCGACCATACGGGGGACGCTCTGGTGCTTGCGGAACAGAATGAAACCCAAGCTCATCACTGCAACACGGCGAACATCATCGTTGACATCGCTGACGGCAACGTGAAGAAGCTTGCGGACGGCCTTGTTGCTACTGCTGCCACAGTAGGCCAGAGCAATGGTCATGATACCACCATAGCGGAGAGTGGGATCGGGGTCACCGAGAAGACCGTTGATCAGCTCATCGGCAGCCTCTTGACGACCGTACATAATCAGAGCCATACCCATAGCCAGACCACGAACAATCTTCTCGTGCTGGGTATCGTGAGCATACTGGATCATGTCTTCCAGCGCCTTCATGTTACCAGTGCCCAGCATGACAAGACCCATGGCAAGACCAACGGCCTCACCGTTCAAAGCCGAGTCAGTGAAAAGGACGTTTCGAAGATCCTCGTAAATACCCTCGTCACCGGTGGCCATGCCTGCAACACCCAGACCCAACGCTCCACCATGCTGAACGACCTCCTCGGTCGCTTTCTTGAAGTGGTCACGAATGAGATCGACAGCCATGCCACCGTGATTGGCATAGATGAGGCCGAATGCGTACAAAGAACCACCCTGGCTGTAAACAGAGCCCGAGCCACCACCAACACCGGCAATATGCTCCCGGGGCAGGTATGGCTGCAGGAGCTTCTGGCCTTGGCTCAGGTTACCGCGGTGAATAACACCCAGAGCAGCAGTGGCTGTGAACTTGGACCAGTTCACGGCCTTGCCCAGCCACTCCAGATTGTCACGGAAAAACTTGTCGTGGGTAGTTCCAGCATGCATAAAGGCGTTCGACAGAGTGACAGCCGTATGGAAAATGGAGTTTCGAGCCTCCAGGCTGTCTCTGATCTTATTCAAAATTGAGATGTCGGCCTTGTTGTTGCGGTAAAGGAACTCCAGGTTCAACTGGATAGACTTCTTGCCATCGAGAATGGCCAGAATGCTCTTGAAGGCGGTGCGGGCGTCGTCGGACAGGTTGTCCTGGCCACTTGAGGGCCGAGACGAGCTGTCTTGGTCTCCAAGCAACGCGTCTGACTCTTTGGGCTCTTCCTCTGTCTTGTTCTCGGTATCCTCGGGCACCAGCTCGGAGATCTCCTGGCGAACCTTCTGGAGGAACTCCTGGGTGCTGTTATCGTAAAGGTCGAAGGAAATCTGATAGGCAACGGCGAGAGATCGCGCATCACCCTTCTCGACCAGCTGGCGGAGGATGACGGAGGCCATCGGATGTTCATTAAGGTAGACGACGCACTTGGCGATCGAGAAGTAGTCGGGGGCCGGAATTTCGTTAAGCAGATCGAGGATGAGTTTCAGAATCTAGATTGTCACATTGTTAGCAAGTCGAACGTGCAAGGCATTTTGAGTTGCACAAACCTCATTGCGGAAAGCCCGTTCTTGGACAATTCCCATGCAGATATCCAGAACATATTCCATGAGCTCCTCGCTACGACGAGACTCGCCCTGCTGCTTCTTCTCGTCATCACTGGCGCGCAGAATGGCCATGCGAAGCACATCCAGGCTCTTCGCCTCGATGGCGATACCGATCACCTGGCGGTAGCGCTTCTGACGGAAGCACTCCTCAAACAATCGCTCGATCACGGCCTGGAGTTGACTCTGGACACCGCGCTTGAGGACAAGGGGAGTTTCAACGTGCTGCACACTCAGGTCCTCGCCACCAGGGTGTGCCGCATCGATTCCTGGAACCTCCTGTCGCGAAAGAAGAGACTTCGAGGGCAGGGCGGATTTGGAGAATGGTGTGATCGGAGAGGTAAGGCTTGCGGATGTGCTTGTCGCGCCATCGCCGGACGCAGGGAATTGAGAGTTGAGGTTGGCGGCCTGGTCACCACCGCTGGGTCGCTGGGCGGCAGATAGGGCGATAAAAGTATCGACGCATTTGGCTGTTAGGAAACGCGCACAAGTCAGAGAAATGAATCATTGATGGGCTGGTTGATGATTTCATGGCGCTTACCGATAATTGTCTCCTCGTACTCGCCACCGCTGTCGAGCTGGAAAAGCTTTCCCGCGCCGAGGGCAAGGACCATACTCTCATTATATTCCTGCAGATGATAATATACCTTGGAGGCAACCAGGGCTGCCAGTCCGCGTTCGGGGAATGATTCATCTTCGTAAAGAGCCTCACTAGATAGAATGGGTCAGCAGTGCCCAACAAGGTAGAAGCCAGTTAGAGGCGGCAGGCGAGTTCGCGTTCGCGCTCGCATCGGCGAGGGATGCAATGCTCAGCAGCATCAACGAAAAGCGGTCCGACTTACATCTCCGGAACGGCATTCACAACCTCTGTCCACAGCAGATCGATCTGGGAATCTAATGACTTCAAGGCAAAGACCTTGAGCTCTGGGTCGGGTTCCGAAAGGAAGCCGACCAAACCGGCGGCCGAAACAAGGCCGACCATCGTTGCTGTGGGAGACGTCTGGCGTCAACGACTCTGATGGAAAGCTCTCCGGCTTCAGAGGAGGTGTTGTTGTTGGTGTGGCGACGCAACGTCAACGGGAAGGAGCTTGGGGGAACAGTGAGCGAGCCCCAGACGACGACGAGTGTGGGTAGGGAATCAAAGAACCCCAAAGAGCAGAATGATAAGAAGTACAGAGACAAATCACGGGACGAAGACGGGATGAGATGAAGTGGACGGTGATATGGAAGCTGGAAGCAGACAGCAGAAGCTTTGCCGGCGCGAGTCAACGTCAGGGAGCTGACTGTTCAGGTCACGTGCCATGCCGCCCGCGAGGCCCGGGAGCGTCAGCTGCAGGAGTCCCGAGGCCTTGCACTCTGCACTCTGCACGGTGTCCGCTGCGCTGGCCATGGCGTATTAAATAGCGGTTCACTCCCAGGAACCACGCAAGGGCGCCTCATCTTTCCGTGATCGAGGCCCATCCCGTCGACCACGCACATCATGTCCACGCTTCTGCCGTTTCGAGACAAATGCCTACCGCCGGTGCCAGCGACAGCTTCGATGTACCACCACGACCCCCTCCTTTACGTGAAACGCCAGTCGAACCATATCCAGCGTAACCTACAGACTTTGATTGACGCGCAGAGTGAGGGTCTGCTCTCAGGCCTTGCACAGCATCAGCCCGATGGTACCTCGGATGGGAGCTTCACTCCTACTTCGTCCCGAGCGAGTCGGTCTCGATCGCCCTCCACATTACCAGCTCGACATCCTGTTCCCAAGCATATTGGGCTCAAGGCTGCACGGCAAGGTATTTTCCAGTCTATCTATGACCTGTTGAAGCTGCGGGAAGAGGAACGAGAGATCCTGTGCACTCAGACGGACGAGCGAGACAATGCCCTCCATGAGATTCAAGGGTTCACCTCAACAAGGACTGGCCTGGAAGAAACCATTTCCAATATTCGTAACAACCGAGAGAACCAACGAGCTAAATCCCTGCAAGAAGAGGCCCGAACCCTCGAGACTGACATTCGCGAACTGGAGACCAGGCTATATGAGATGAAGGCTCGACATCGACATATTGTCAGCCAGATCTCTCACATTGAGAACTCCGTCGAGGCTAAACTCTCATCCTACACCGAAGCCCTGTCTCTCCTCCAGAAGGACATCCAGAACTACCTCCGCGACCCTCCTGTCCAGCCTCTCTCGCAACGTAAGAACGAATCTACATTTTACGCCCTGAACCCGAAACGTCGGACTTTGGAAATGGCACAAGAACACTGGCAGACCGAGCAAGACAGTCTGCATAAACGGCAGCAAGAGGTGGATGCCGAGATTATGGCTTTGGAGGAAGGAGGCGGTGTTTGGAAACAAGCTATTGCCGACATATCGGGATTTGAGAAACGGCTTAGAACGAGCATGCGCCGCTATATCAAGTTGGAAACTCAATCGAATACTATGGAAGAGAGTCAAGGGGGCGGGACCAAGGAGGAAATTGCCGCAGGCGTGACAGCCGACTTGGACCAAATCACGAAGAAGTTGGAATCCTATCTGGAGCGGGCCGAAAGCAAAGACTGGAAACTCCTTGTCTGTTGCATTGCAGCAGAGTTGGAAGCGCTGCGATCAGCACATAAACTACTTCTGCCAGCTTTTGGTTTGGCTATTCCCAAGGAACAAAGCAATCAGGCCGTCTCGCCGTCGCCTGCCAGCAAATCGATGGGTGAGGAATCCACAAATTCACAACATGCAGACAGATCGGACGACGAGCATGGGGATCTTGAGCCTCCAGCCGATCTATTAAAGGACAGTGATGCCCATCACACGGGTACTGCGTCGCCTTCCGAGGACGATGAGCCAGATCCAGCTTGGCTCCTGCCAGAGTCTTGATACCCACAGCCCTGGGGGGAGCTCACGTTCATACATTAAATTTGAAAATTTTTTTAAGCGTGTACCTACCGGCGAGTTGAATCTCGCTCTGGTGCCCGGGTATAAGAATGTAAGGATAGCACCTCCTGGGCGTGGTATTGTTGAGGCTACTCGGTTAGCATACATAGAGCATAGCACATTTGTTTGCGTGATAGTTTGGACGAATTGATACCACATAAACATCTCCTGAAATGAAGAGATTAAGATTGATGTTGTGGTTGTAGTTTACTACAGTGGCTATCATGCGTACAGTAGTAGCTGCGTTGGGTTGGGCGGTCTACCCACCGCAGAACCGCGTCCCTTCCCAGCACGCCCGATTTCTTCGCCCGACTTCTTCCCCCTCAACAAGATGACAACACGAGGAAGCCGAGTCGACGGGGTATGATCTGAAGCTGTGAGCTGTTTCTTCCGAGCATGAATCTTCCATCTCCATCCCTTTCGTTCACACTGCCTTCTCTGCACGACGGGTGCCTGCTGGAATGTCGAGTATATATACCGCGCGAGCTTCAAAATATACATTCCGCATCGGAATGGTCCACACGAGCTGCCATCGTCGCACACCCCTACGCACCCCTTGGCGGCTGCTACGATGACCCCGTAGTGAGCTTTCTCGGTGGCGAGCTGCTGCACGCAGGCTATCTGGTAGGGACTTTCAACTTCCGGTGCAGCACCTTTCCCTATCTCTGACTTCATGGATGACCAACTGACGACGATCGACAATAACAGTGGCGCGGGTGGTTCTGAGGGGCGGACCAGCTGGACAGCGAAGCCCGAGCTGCAGGACTATGTTTCATTTTACGGGTTCATGTTGCAATATCTTCGGCGATTGAAACATGCACTTGCCGACAAGCAGCAGGGCCTATCTCCCGAGCGCTCCCCGCCTAGCGGCGGAGACGATGGTATCCGGCTCATCCTCGGGGGATATTCGTTCGGGTCCTTGATTACCTCGCATGCCCCAGGGCTTGATGTCATTCTGGACCTCTTCCGATCGAACACGGCATCTCCGTCACAGTCAGTGGACCAGATTGGCAGCGTCGCCAGGGAGATCGCCAGCGCATCACTACGGCGTCTCGGTCCAGAGAATCCAGATCTAGGAACAGCTGACGACTCCAGACCCCGCGCTCCGCCATCCATCTCGATTTGCTATCTGCTTGTGTCACCTCTGCTCCCACCCGTGAGTCAATTTCTGACGGCCTTCTCCAACCTATCCTTGAACGTGGGGGTGGAAGGGTCAGCTCAGGCCCAGCACGGCGACCAGCTGAGCACGCATAGCACCCTGGCGCTATACGGGGACCAGGACACTTTCACCTCAGCCCGTAAATTGCAACGATGGTCAGCCGAGATGGCGCGTGTGCCGCAGAGTCGGTTCCAGAGCTGCGAGGTCGCGGGCGCGGGGCATTTCTGGCGAGAAGATGGCGTGGAGGCGAGAGCCAGACAGCGGCTCCGGGAATGGCTTCAGCAACTGTGACAGTATATCCGATCCCATGTCTTCCACGTTTGTCCGGATCTAGTGAAATGCTGGGCACTTTGTACGACCACGCATCCACGCTTCCTGTGTAGCCAGGAAGAATAGCACTGCAAATCAGATCCCACCTAAGTCGAATTGTGTAAACCATTTGAGCCGTCGACCCAACGGGCTGGCGCATTCTCACATGCAGGCGCATGTGAACAGGGACGCGATCACCGCCAGGGTTGGCGGTGCAGATGATCGCGAGGGCAGGGGTGGCCTGCATGCCCTGTTAGTTCCTCCAGATGCGACCTAGTATAGATAATCAGCTTGTGGCCAAAGCAGGTAATCGCGCCTGCCTTGCCCCATATCCATCGTATAGGCGTCTGACTGGAGCAGCGTCCACTAGTGAAGTTCGGGCCGGGGAAAAGTTGGGGTCATCGGGCGGACAAGCGCACCCCTCGTGACATCTGACCGACTCTTTCATTCCTTCTTATTTACCAACTGTCCCGGTTGCCAACCCCCGGCAACTCCTCAAACTTGCGATCGCGAAGGATCTGAAAAACTTGATCGGATCTTGGACTCCCCCAAGTGGGCCGCACACCCCGGCTGGATGGCTTGAAACCGATGCACAGGCCTGCTATGACGGTCTCGGGCGACTCCACAATAGTCCATTCGCAATGCCACCACCCGGACGACCACGCGCCGCGCCGCTCTCTGCGCAAGGCGATCTCGATTCCGGCCGTGTCGTCCCTCGTGAAGGGCTCATGGAACTGGGCAGGCGAGACACTGCACTCCTATCGCGATGGGCTCTCCGCCGAGCAGCGGAAGCAGCGGGAGGAGGTCGAGAACCGCAAACAAGTGTTGTACTTGAAGATTCGGAACGTGAGTTGTCGCGAGAAGATATGCTAATCGGCGTAGGAGGGGGTGTTTGACTAGTTTCTAATGCGACTCGTTTCTTAGGCTGTCACGTACGAAGAATGGAGTGAGTGCGCCAGCGAGTTGGACATGTTGGAGAACAACAAAGCGTGGAAATACACCCTCGAGTGCTCCGAATATCACCCACAAGTGGTGCATGAACGGCTACGACAGCTGGAGGAAGCGCGCATTAGTTGCGATGTGAGTCGCATGCTGTTCCTGGTTCGGACCGCTCTGAGTCGCGATCTCGGGAAGATGAGCAATGCGTCTCTATACCGGCACTCTCATATTGGGACAAAGGACCTGATCGATCGTTACATTACCACGGCTCTTGACACGATCACAACCTTGGTGGACTTGTCGGTGCATAATCGTTGCGATGGGCTAGAGTTGAAGTACATCCTGGACCAATTATTGGCAGCACGACAGGCGTTTGGCCGGAGTGCCCTCCTCTTTTCCGGGGGCGCCACCTTTGGTATGAACCACATTGGTGTCCTCAAGGCTCTTTATGAGGCTGGCCTCATTCCTCGAATCATCTCCGGGGCCTCAGCGGGGAGCATCGTGTGCGCGGTCTTCTGCACGCGCAAGGACGAGGAACTCCCGCGGTTGTTGGACACTTATGCACACGGCAATTTTGCCGTGTTCAATGAGCACGGCCAGGAGGAGAACATATTCCAGAAAACAGCCCGGTTTCTGAAATTCGGGTCTTTCCTCGACATCTCTCACCTCGCCAACACAATGCGGAATTGGTTGGGAGACATCACTTTCCAAGAGGCGTATAACCGGACGCGGAGGATCTTGAATATCTGTGTTTCCAGTGCCAATATTTATGAGCTTCCGCGACTTCTCAATTATATTTCCGCGCCAAATGTGTTGATCTGGTCTGCCGTGTAAGTTGCGTTTCGTTAGCCCCCAGCGAGCGTGGGTACTAACTTGTTTGTAGAGCGGTATCCTGTTCGGTGCCACTGGTCTTTCGACCATTCACGTTGATGGCCAAGGACCCTCTGACAGGAGAAGCAGTGCCCTGGAACGACCTTCATAAGCAGTATATCGATGGATCAGTTGACGGCGACTTGCCAATGACCCGACTGTCCGAAATGTTCAATGTCAACCACTTCATCGTCTCACAGGTAAATCCTCACGTGGTACCGTTTCTCCCAAAAGAAAACGGGCCATCAAATTTCGCCGAGCAGGGGTCATCCTTCGTTCCTCGATGGGTAAACACTATGACCTACCTCGCTAAAGACGAGATGCTGCACCGGATGACTGTTCTCTCTGAAATGGGAGTATTCCCCAACTCCATGACCAAGTTCGCCTCAATCATGAACCAGAAATATAGCGGAGACATCAACATTTACCCTGAACTCATCTCATCCAACTTTCCTCGGATCTTGGAGAACCCGACAACGGAATTCATGCAGCAAGCATGCCTCAGCGGGGAGCGAGCAACGTGGCCCAGGTTAAGCCGTATCCGGAACGCGTGTGCCATTGAGTTGGCACTAGACAAAGCTATTCAGCAGATGCGGGCTCGTGTGGCCTTTAGCCCCGGCCAAGTTGAGCTGCGGTTGCAAGAGTCAACCCGGCATTCCGCCGACTCCTCAATGGACAGCGGCTGCGCTGGCCGGGGCCGTATTCGCAACCGAAGACGGGGTTCTCACGGACACGAGCTGGAAAGAAGACGATCACGGGGCCTGTCTCGAAGCGACCCAGCCCAGGAACTGCGGAAGGCACGCAGCACTGCGTCATTCGAAAACCCACCTTTCACGATGTCGAACGATCAAACCTCCGTGCCCGTCCGGCAGAAGGCCCACCAGCGTCGATCTACAATCTCCTTTAGCGGGGGGCTCTTCGCGGCTGGGTCTGCTAGCGAGGATGAGGACGACGAAGAGCTCGGTCTATCCTTCTCAATAGGGCCGCCACCCTCCAAGTACCGTGCTTCCTGGGACAACTCGTTCTACGGGGAGAATTCGAGCCAGGGCGCGCTGAGTTCTGTCCGATCCCGGCGATCTTCCTTCTCTTCTGGCAGGCCACAACGCCTGGAGTCAGGCCGAGGGGCTTCACCGAAACAAGGCTTTGCACCGTCGGCGCGAGAAATCTCCATGGCCTTGTCGCCTTCTTCCCGCCACATGCTCAGCATGACGCCCACCGTCCATCCGAGCTCGCCTGATGCACTCACGCGCAAACCGCAACAATGAGAGAGGGGAGATCGAATTCCCTGGGACATGCCCGGTTTAGCACATGTTGATCTTTCTCGTGTCATCCATCCAGAAGTATGGTCTGATGCATACACCAGTCCCTAGACAGATGAGGGCCACCCGGATGGAAACCATCCGTGCGAGGCCTTCTCGCAAGATGTCCATCGCTCGAACTCGAACTCGAACTCGACCTACCGACATCCCGCATTCCCCTTTCCGGTAACGGAGAATTTCCCAGATATTGGTGCGGTCGCACGCACTCTACTCATTGCTTTGACCTTTTCTTTGACCTTTTCTTTTATCCAGACCGGCATTCTTGATTGCCTCCAAGAACTTCTTTTCGGGGGTTTACTTTTTTATTTTTCGTTTTTCAGGAGACAAATAAAGGCTCTTGGCACATAAGTTGTCATTTATGGCTAACATGTGGCGGTCTCGCATGTAGATAGCGGAGACCGAACGTGACACATGTATATAGACACGGGAAGAGGGTAGTCTGCCAGCTACGAGTCCAGGCTCTCGTTCTAGATGGGGGTTTTTTTTTTAATTTCAGATATGATCTCGCAAAGCTTTTAGATCGACAACACTATTACCAGTCAATTATACGAGATTCCGCCCTTGGCCCACCGTTCCTGGGGCTAAACCGTTTCCTGCTGTAAGCGCCGACAATACTTACAATGACCGGCGCGGGCAGAGGGCACCACTTCCCATGCCCGACAATCCTCGTCAGGTCCCCAACCTCACCAACCCGCCTCCACCTCGCCCATCCAACGTCCACCTGGCAACCAGGGATGTATGACCAACGAGAGCCTCCTAGTGGAGGTCGGCAAACCGCGAACAGGAATCATCGGCGGGGACGGGGTTGTGGAGGGTGATTTACTAATTGTTTCTGGATGCTGCACGCCGCAACTCCCTTCCTCGGAAGGCATAGCAGACTTCCAACTCGTGTGCGCAAGAAGAGAGAAGAGATCCCATACGGAAAATGCAGCAGAGGTTCCTTCCAGCCGCTGTTTTGCCCCGGCAGGATTCAGAGTGCAGGTCTTCTTCAGCGCGACTCAGGGGACGGCGATCCTTGAGTCATGGACCCACCAGTGACTCTAAACGCTGCTTGATGGAGTTTAGACCGTTAGGGCTCGCCGTGCACTTTGCCGGGTTGGTGCCAGGGCTGACGACGCCAGTGGGAACCATCCAGACGTGATACTCGAGGTACTCGACACTCGAGACGCTCCAAAGAACAGCACGCGAACGTCAGGTCGAGCAGAAGGGCCTGGAACTCGACCGCCACGCTGTGAAACACCTCCTGGCTGTGTTGGCGCCGCCAGTGTTCCATCCCCAGCCGCCTGGGAATCACAGATCCTCGCAATTACATCGACGTTGGCTTTCGCAGCTGTTACTCGTCGTGGTCAGCGGTACATACGGTGTACTCCGACTGCCCTCCAACATTACAGAGAGGCTCGTTACAACACCCGCTGTTCTCAGTTCTTTCTGCTGCCATCCCCGAGTCGCAAAACTGAGATTATAGCCGAGCCGACCCACTTGCCGATCAACTGCGAGCCATTGGCCAGGGCGTTATCAATCAGAGAGCACGCTCATCCTTTTCCTCGCGCGCGCGACTCCGATGTCCACTTTGCCCGTGGGAAGAAGCCCACATTTCCTGGCGCTCTGATACAGAGACCGTATCAGCCTGTGTGGCGAGTGCGCAAATCATGATGAAAGCGTTCCAGGCGCCGCCAGCGGGCCAGGTCAGAAAAATTAGACTCCTCATGGCCCTGGCAGATGGCTGGGCCATCCTGATGCTCAAACCGTCAGATCGAAAATTTTGGCATTGCCCATATCTGAGGTCACGCGGAACTGTCATGGCTTCTACGGGGCTCCCTTGACGGGCACATCAAAGAAATTCTCCCACAACCGCCGAACTTAAGCTCGCCGGCCTTGTTTCCCAGTCTCGGCCGGACCCGCCAATACTTTCTATGGATGAAGATCCACATGTGGCAGGAGACGTGAACATCCCCAGGCACGACGCGATGTGATACGGTCAGCCCACTCCGGCATTTGAATCTACACGGAGTATGATCGTCGCCCTCTGCCCCAGCGCCGAATGGGCTGCCCGTTCATGCACTCTAAGCGAACGTCGATGATTGCTTCGTTCCCACCGCGCGCGCCACTTGCGGCTTGTTGTGCTGTTCCAATGGTTACCTGGCCAGCAGCTATCACGCTATAAGACACCAAGAAAAATACCTCAGCCCCAGACCCATTGGTAGTGCATGATTGCCGGGTCTCTCTTGGTCCCTTGTCCCTGATAGGACCCTCATCTGTCCCTGCAGTTACCACGCTCAGGCACCCTCCGGTCCATTAGGCGCTCTAGCTCTAATCTGGGAATATTACCCTAGCGTGCTGGGGACCTACCCCTTATGGACCCCTCAGGTGAACGATCGACATCTCGCTTTCTATGTTTCCCGTGCGATATGGCAGTCCAGCCTTCACAGGGGCGAATTGTTGAGATCATTGCCCGATCACGGAGTCTCCATCATGTTTGAGGACCCGCGGCTCGAGCTTGTTTACTCCGTCCAAGCCCTATAAAGATATCCTTGACCCGCTGCTCTGCTTGTCCGGGCTTTTCTTTCTGGTTCATCATACTTTCAACCTATACTTCGATATCCAGTGTGATCACCGAACTCTCGCTTTTTTCCTACCGACCTTTCTTACTCAACGACAAAAACCTTAATATACAACCGCAATGAAGTACACCGTTGTCGCCGCTATGGGCTTGATGGGCTGCGCCCTCGCCCTGCCTCAGGGTCCTCCTCCTCCCCAGGGCTCCGGCCTGCCTGCTCCTTGGGGCTCCCCTACTCCCTCTGGCTTCCCTACTCCCTCGGGACCTCCTCCCTCGGGCTTTCCAACTCCCTCTGGCCCTCCCCCGCCGCCTCCCAGCAGCCTGGAGGCCCGCCAATTTGGCTTCCCTACCGGAATCCCCTCGGGCATCATTCCCTCCGACCTGCCGATCCCTACCAGTCTGCCTTTCGAGAAGCGCCAGTTCGGTGTGCCCTCGGGCTTCCCTACTCCCTCGGGCCCTCGTCCTTCTGGCTTCCCGGCTTTTTCTGGCTTCCCAACTCCTTCTGGCCCTGCCCCTCCTCCCAGCAGCCTGGAGGCCCGCCAGTTCGGCTTCCCTACTGGAATTCCCTCGGGCATCATCCCTTCCGACCTGCCGATTCCCACCAGCCTTCCTTTTGAGAAGCGTCAGTTCGGTATCCCCTCCGGAATCTCCTCTGGAATCCCCTCGGACCTTCCCATCCCTACTAGCCTTCCCTTCGAGAAGCGCCAGTTCGGTGTCCCCTCCGGCTTCCCGTCCAGCTTCCCTACTCCCTCGGGCCCTGCCCCTACAGGCTTCTCTCCCTCCCCACTGCCCGCGTTTAAATAACTGCACAGCTCTCTAGCTACACAGGCACCGGGCGAGGATTGCGGGATCGACGCGGGAACTACAGCCGAACGCGCGGATAAGAGATCCATAGACGGTGAATTTGTACAGATTTGATGGTCTGATGGGTTGAGATGGCTACCTCACAATCTACGATTTAGGTGGTATTATCCCTGTCGGATCCTTTCTTTTAGATATACTTTGATTGTATGGAATACGGGCTACGGGTTTAGATGGTTTGGATGTTTGAATGTTCAATGACAGCCGCCAATACACGTGGGCTCATTGTTTCTGTTATTATTTTCAATACATTCTTTTTGCTATGGAAATACACTCGTTTTTTCCCCCTTCTACCTCAACCTCTAATGTATTCATGATGGCGCAGGAGGATGCAATACCTTCAAGCTGGAGTCTGTAATTCAGACTTTCGGGAATTAAGCAATACATAAATCCGGAAAAATCGTACACAGGATTGAGTTTACATCGTGCCAAAATCACTGACGCAAGGACAGCGATCGCCAAGGCTGCGATAGATGCTCTGCACTAATTAATCGGGACATCGAGACTGGGCAATACCGTAGATCGGCCCGGAAACACTACCTGAATGTTGTGATAAAGAATATCCCATAACGTCATGCACCGAATATGATGAAAGCATGGAACAGTGATATGACATAACCGAAAAATTTGGGCTGGTCCGTGTACTTCTGTTGATGGGGTTCTCGGAAATTGAGCGGTTGGCAGGTTGCCCGGCAGATCACCGTTTTAGCCTACTTGAATTTCGATGTTCGGAATTTGGTGGGATCACGTGCATTCCGCGACTGCGACTGGATTTGGGATGGGATTTGGTAGTCTAGGGAGTAAGGTAGAATGCCGAAGTGAGTCTCTTGCCTTGTCGATTTCGAGTTTCTTAGTATCTCACTCTTCAGTATGCATCTAACAGTCCTTCAGCTGTGTACTAGTCGAGTGCCACAACAAATCGCCGACAATACATATTGAGGCTCGAGAAGAAAGTCCAGCATAGGGCTTTAATCGAATGCAATATGCTGCTATCTGTAGCCTCGTAATCTTAGTCATAAGAAGTAATATCCCACTCTAAACGGGCGTACTCTCTCCGTTTCGCTTCTACATACATGTATATCAATGTAACTACACGAATTGACCCAAGAAATCTGCCTGGGCGGCATCATTCAATTGACTCCGCCAAACTACAATGCCATGGGGTCTGACGATCACAACACCATCTGTGCCTATGGGGCACAGCTTCCCCCACAATGCATCTGTATCTTGCCACCCCTCGGGACAATCAATGAGTTCCACCTTTATCAACGGGTGGCCCTGTCCAAGACGAGCCTCGACATCAGCGGAACTACCCAAAAGTAACAACTTCCGAGGATCCAGCAAATCCCGACTGGATACAGTGTTTCCGTCCCGCTGTAGCCAGAAATGAGGAAGATGGTGACCAGGAATGGTCGAGGGATGATAGAAGATGTTGTCAAACGACCCAACCTCTCGAATCTGGCCGTCATGTCTAGTAGTCTCCCCTTCATTGTTGGCATCAACTGAGGGATAAAACCAGCCGATTTCAGTCCCAAGGGCGCAGAACTCGCCATCGAGAACAGTCTGCGCTTTTCCGACGTCTATCTGCTTCTTCGCGTAGTCGGGGTGGCTCTTGTCAAAATATGCGTCCATAGCAGCTTGATTCACCTCGCTGGTCTGGGCAGGCGAGGCACCGATTGCTTTATCCATGGCATCGCCATGGCTTCGCCATGGCTTCGCAAATTAAAAACACTGGAATAGGCGACACTTTTCGCGATCGGCCGACGCTCTTCCTCGTCGGTGTCGAGCAGACGCTTCGGGTCTTTCACATTTCCTCGCAAAATGAACGCAAGCTTCCAGATCAGGTTGAAGGCATCTTGCAGTCCAGTATTCATGCCCAGTGCTCCCCATGGGGGGATTTGGTGTGCGGCATCACCTAGCAAGAATACCTTGCCGCCCCCACTCCGGAAGTGCTCTGTGACAATACTGCCCACATACCGGTGACTGACGCTGCGAAGGTCAAGCTTGATTGTCGGGCATGTCGAGTGTTTTCCGAATTCTATTTATCATCGCGTCGGTATCGAATCGCTGGGGGTCATTTGGAAGCATCGCGCAGCCGAAATACCATTCTTCCGTCTCGGGGTTCGATGGGAAGGGCCCGAGAGGGTAGAGGTAACCGGATTTGATACTGCCTCCCAGAGAGGGGTTGATGAACCAGCTGATGAAAGCGTTGGAATTCGGATGAACCGAAGAAAGCGGAGCGTGAAAATGGGCAGACACCATGTCGAAAATGTCCTTCTCGCCTTCCCAAGCAATCCCCAGCTGATCTGCCATGAACCGGCCGCCATCGGCGCCGAGAACATATTTAGCCTCCCAATCCTCCCGCGTCCCATCCGCGTTTCTTACAGTGACAAGCACCTTCTCCGCCTCCTCAGTGACAGCAAGCACCTCGGTGGAATGTCTCAATCCGTCAGGATTGAGCTCTCGCGCGCGCCCCAACAATATCGGCTCCAACCGAATCTGCGGAAAAATCCTATACGAACAGGGGCTCGCCTCTTCATACCGAGCTCGATACCGCCTCCCCACGCATTCCGGCTATAGATCTACCGTCCATTCGCGCCTACACTCGTGTACCATGCAGTGTGGCTAACGGTGCCCTGGGGTGCACTCTGTCGCAGAACTTCCTTCTCCACACCGATGGCGCGGAAGACCTCCATCGTCCGCTGATTCAGCCCGCAAGCTTTTGGGTGGATTGAGGTTCCGGCGTGCCGCTCGAATAGTATATGAGGGATACCTTGAAGGGAGAGGAGAATGGACGAGACGAGCCCACGGGACCACCGCCTACAATGACCACCGCCGACATATCTGGCTTGGCTGTTCGATGGACAAGAATAAACCTGAATGCTGCGGGATGACTCAGGCTGGATTGGAATTGCTTATGAGCAGTTCTTATTTCTGACGTTTGAGACTTGATTGCCGCATCTCTCCACCTCCCACATCGTGGGACCTGCCCCGCATCCACTGTGCTGTTGAGAAGAGGACTATTGTAATTGGGTAAGAAGATAGTGAGGAACATTCTAATCTACGCTATTCACAGGATTACGGTTGTGTTTGTTTCCCTTCACCAGTTGTATACTCTTAGTAACCTTAACCTTACAGGAAAGTAAACATCCAGAGTTCTCCCGCGCGAGGCCGGCCAACAGCTGCACAGCGGACAGGATTAATGTGATTTACTAAAAATACCCTTAATTAGCCCGCATAAGAGAGGGTTGCACTGCAAAGCGGGGAGGCGCAAATGCAGGCTAATTGACGTTCTATTTTGGGGGCGTGTGCAACCAGCCTAGTACACAACGGTGCATTAGGGCACATAACAGAGGTAGAGTGAGCTAATTACGGAACGCCTCCCCTGTCAACCGCCGATCCCTCCGCAACGCTGCATTCGTCTCGGCGGCAATGCATCTCCCCCATTGGCCTCGGCCACGTCCAGCTGCGATGCAAGCTCGACGTGCAGCTGGACCGGGCTTCGAGACATGCACGACGGACTGGATAAAGCACCGGTCGCATCGCGGACAAGCTTTATATCAGGGCGCCTCCCGCAAAGCTCAGACCTTTCCAAGAGACAGCTCGCGCATCGTTTCAGACCGGGTCAGATGCTGCTTTTTGACTTTGTTTTTTTATTGCGGTGTTTCTTGTTAATTGTTTCGTCGGCCTGTTTGCTTCGATCTCTACAGCTGGCCCCGTGAAGTCTTACCTTGGTGCAGCAGCAATTGGTTCGCCACCCCTCCACCGGCTCTCTACACCCTGGTTCCCAAAGATCCGGCCGTGTCCAATCCCAGCGTGCCCTCGCGGTATTTGGTTCGATCTGTACTTACATGCAGTCGTCGGTGAAGCCGAGAGCGTAAGGTCAGGATCGGGTCAGAAGGATCCTTGTTGAACCTTTGTACGTCGGTGGCTGTCTCCCGGTTTCGTCAGCTCTGCAGCGTGTCGGTGCGGGGTTTTATATCTCAAGGAAACCTGATTCAGTCCCTCTTTGTTTTTCTTGTCTCATAGCGCCCAGCACGGATGGTATCTGTCGTCCTACGGGAACACAGTGTATCGTCGGGTCGTTGATACTGGAAACAAACATGGCCAGCGTGACCAAGCCTCTTGCTCTTTTCCGCAAGTCGGAGCCCTCCAAGCCCCTCCATGCTCGATGGGGCGACGTGGCTATATCTGTTCCTACTGAGGGCTCGTGGAATCAATATGACAATCCTCATCGACCGGCCAAGGAACGACAGCCATACGGGCCTGGTTTCATTCCAGATATTTCCCCGTCTGGCCAGTCAACGAACCCACTCAGGGAGGAGGAGCTGGAAGAAGATAAGAAGAGCGTGTCTTCTGAAAGATCGTCTGGCTCCCGGCGCAACTCGCTTTCTCTGGGCGCGCTGCGACCCGGCCGACTCTCGGTACGCTTAGCATCTCGCCCGAAGAATCTGAGAGGGGAGACTCCAACTGAGCGAGAAAATCTACGGAGTGAAAAGAGGAGAGCCGAATTCGCATACAAGCCGATTCACCAGGATTACCCGGCTGAAGTGAACGAGACTTCCAACCAGACGACTACTCGATTCCGATATATTCCCACCAACGGAAGCTACCTCGAGGACATTCCATCGCCACGAAGCCAGTCGGCGCAATCATTCCGCGAGCCTCGCTCTCGACGCGACTCGTTTTCTGATCCCTTTGAAAGAGATCGTGGTCGAGAGTCACCTATCAGCAGAGCCTCGGAACGAGGCTATCATGTGGAAGATGATCGTCACAATCTGCAATCCAGCGTGGCCGATGGGAATGATAGTCCCGGTCCGCGATTGAGCATCGGATTGCCACCCAGACGACGGCCGTCGCCGTTTGTCTCGGCGGATCGGAAACGATCTTCGTCGTTGAAGCCGATGACGATGACGATGGTTCCTGACCCGGAAGAACTTTATGAGTGATCAGTACATTTCAACAGATGATCAAATAACCAATTTCTGGCTTATTCTTTGGTGTCTTTTTTGTGTTTTATCATGGCGCGGAGTATAAATTGCTGGCATTAACAGGCGTTTGGTGGTTTCTTCACAATAAATATTGCTGGTTTCCGACTGGTATTTAAGAATGAACATCTGATGACGACCACTTCGTAGCATGTCCAATGGTACACTACACTAGTGTAGAGGAACAACTGTCGCTGTAGCTTGGGTGGACTATCGATATTACTATGTAGGTAGTTGCACCCATCAAACCTTACGTCAATCTGATCCATGTTTCAGCCTATCAGGAATGGAAGAGGCTATAGTTCCAATTGGCGGATCCGGTCTCCATGAAGGTCAGAAAAGTCAACCTGTTTCCAAGAAATCGCTCTATAGATTGAGGGAAAGTCGTGAGGTTTATTTGACTTGGTCACGATGACGGCAGAATCACTCCTACCATTGAACTGTGAAAGAATCTACATGCGCTGGAAATTTATCCTTGCAAGCCTTCCAAAGATCTGCCTCATTTTGTCTAAATTTGAAAATCAACACCGGTGCTGCTCTAGATTATCATGGTAGCTGCTGTGATCCAACTCCGATGTGGTGTCAAGGTAAGTGGAGTCAATGCACACACGACTGCAATCTAATGTGAAATTTCGGCAGAATGACTCCTGGGGCAAGAAAGGAAAAGAATCCGTCGTAGCCCAGCTCTGGTCCAAGACGCCCGGAGCCGGGACCATCGACGACTCGCAAACATACTCGGAGGTATACTTCACCGCCGTCCGCCGAACCGCAACGGTTATTCTAACCTCAACCAGATGTGGATGGGAACATACCCCTCCAACCCCAACTACCTCCTGTCCACCGGCGAGCAACTCGGCGACTACTTGAAGAAGAATCCCCAGCTCGTGGGCAAATCCGTGCTAGACCGATGGGGACTGGAAATCCCATTCGTACCCAAGGTAAGCCACCTACAATCTACCAAGCATCGCCCTCACTCACCAAATAGATCCTCTCTTTCAGCAAAGCCCTACCGCTCCAAATCCACCCAGACCTAAAACTTGCTGCAAAGCTACACGCGGAAGACCCCAAGAAATTCGGCGACACAAACCACAAGCCCGAGATCGCCATCGCCCTTTCCAAGCTCGAGCTCTTCGCAGGCTGGAAGCCACTCAAGGATATCCAAGCATTGTTCAAGCTGAACCCTTTAGAGGAATTCGTGCCCTCAGGCCCATTCACCGATGAAACTCTCCGACAAGTCTGCATGGCCCTCCTCAAAGCCTCCCCATCCACCGTGGCATCAGCCATCAAAGAACTCCAAGCAATACCCGAAGCCCAGTTCGGACCAGACCCCTACATCCCGGGCCTGCTGGACCGACTCAACAAACAATACTCCCCGGGCGACAACGGCAACCTCGTCGCCGCCCTACTGATGAACTATCTAACCCTGGGACCTGGTGACTCAGTCTTCGTCCCCGCAGACAGCATCCACGCGTACCTGGAAGGCGACATCGTGGAATGCATGGCGCGCTCCGACAACGTGATAAACACGGGCTTCTGTCCCGCCGCCGACCGCGACAGCGTCGAGCTATTCGGACGCGCACTCTCATTCGTCCCGCACGATGCACAGGGGGCTCTGCTGCCGCGGAAAAAGAGCGAGAAGGGCATGAATGGGAAGACGGATGTCTACGCGCCTCCGATTAGCGAGTTTGCGGTGCTGTGCACTTCTCTCGGCGCGGGCGAGAAGGAAACGCATAAGGCGATTCTGGGGCCGAGCTTAATGGTCGTTACGAAGGGTTGTGGGGTTATGCAGGTCCCTGGTGACCAGACGGTGCAATTGAAGGAGGGGTTTGTGTTTTTTGTTGGGCAGGGCGTTGCGCTGGATTTTCAGACGGAGAAGGGGTTGGCGGTTTACCGCGCGTATGCGGAGTAGGCCAGACTCTCTGAGAGTGATTGGGCTCTGCTGCTGGGCTGGAAGAGTCGGTGGAACGACAGACAACAATCGAGGCTTGAATCCTTTGCTGTATACCTTCATTTTCGCTCGAATCATCGAGGAACACACCGCGCAGCTTGATGGCCCCACTTGCGTCGGCCGATCTTATACAGAGACGTTAGGTAGTACTGCTTAGTGCAAAAGTGCAGGAGTTGGCATCTTTCTCATTCTGTCAGGGGGTATGGGTGCGGGCACTGGCAGTCATGTTGGATGCATTGCCGTCTAGAATCGAGGCGCTTACAGTCGACCAGTCAGACCGGGCTGCGAGTGTTGGATCGCGATGATTTGTCGAGATGCAGGAGGATGCAGTGGTGGATGCGTGGTGGAACTGGCGCAATGCTAGTGTGATGGGCTTGCACTAATCCGGCTCATTCGGGCAAATGCTGGCTAATTATGGGCCTTTGGATCTATCTATAGTCCGTCAATTACTATCTTTAATTCTGTCCCCGCAAGCACGACGCCAGTCTCACTTGAAACGGGGTACCTGTGCCCGGCAAAGCTTCGCTCGTCTAAGCATATATCAAGCCCGCGGGGGCGAGGCTGCTGGTTTCATCTCACTCTTGGGGATTGTGCAAGGAAGTCTTGATCCTGCTAAGGAAGGTAGGGCTGGGGATTGAATTGTGCTGCATTTGCATTTGCATTCCAATCCCTTGGCATCTGCTTTTGCCAATTGCAATTGCAATTGCCATTGCTAGTCTTGCTCTTGACTTCTACCAAACTGGGAAGTCGTGTCTTAGCCCGACATATCACACCAACAACCGCTCGATCCGGGACCGCCATTGGATCATCGCCCGCCCTTGCCCAGTAGGTGCCCCTCTCGTGCCTCATTTTCGTGCTATCCGAGCAGGAAGAGCAGAGGTGATAATGCACGCTAACACAGCCATTCCCCTCTAGTGATGGGCCTGCTGTATCTCTTCTCCAAAAAGGAGCGAGCCAAACGAAAGAACCAAGGCCGCGCCCCAGAAACACCCGATGTGCCCCCGGCCTACAGACGCAGCATCGAATCTCACATGCCTCGCTCGGCCCATCCCCGGCCCCTCTCATCTTTTGCCCCGGACTATCGCCAATCCCAATACCTGCCACGCGCCTCCATGGACCAACGCTTGCCCACATACGATCCCTCCAAGTACCAACCACAACCCAGTCGACCAATCTCGGTGCCCGGCGCCGATCTTTCCTACTCGTCCGCGAGTGGATATGGGTACGGTCCTACCGGGAATGGGCTTATTCCTGCCAGTGGCTACGGTCCTCCGGCCAGGGCCCAGCCTTCCCGTCTTAGCAACGTTCATTATACTGACGGCCGCTCGTCGATCCCCTATCAGCCCGCCGATCACTCCACATCTTCGAACTGGCATGCGCACTCGCGCCGACAGTCTGCCATGCCGTTCGCGCCGAATTCGGTGGGTGGTGTCCGCGCCCGTGAGGGACGAGAGCGAAGCGCCTCGGAGCCCTTACTGCAGGATCCCGCGGCCAGCACGCGGGGCTCACGGCGGCCGAAGCCTGTGCTGTCGCGGCTCATCACGAACTTCGGTTAATTGTGATGGGATCAAGTGATGGGATCAAGTGATGGTCAGGGGTACTTAATCTTGGTGGTGTCGACCTAGGTGCCTAAGGGCGTTGTAGTGGTTTCCGGGTGATCGGCTCGGGACGAGTCTTTTCTTTTCTCTTCACGACTGTCATGAGCAATGCGGCGTTAGGTGTTTATTAGAGATTATTCATTGCAGATTTGATCATTCGTATTTCGGACCAAAATGTGAATTGTTTACTACCCCCCAAGTATACCCTATACCTTATACCCTACTTACCATGTTGATGTGGAAGCGTAGATTCTTCAACGCTGAACCCTTTGTGCGCAGCAAGTGCATAACCGTGCATCCAGCCACAATCCATAGAGTAATACTTACTCTAGCTTAAGGTACTCCTGTGGTCGTAAGTAGTATACTGTGGGAAGTAGAGTGACGGGTGCTGCCGCCGATCCCCGCGACGAGATCGGGCCTGTGCTTTGTCGATCGTCTGTCACTCTCTTCCCACTTCCCACTTTCCCCGGCCCCCAACCACGCTGCAGCTCCCCCATCTGCTGCAACCCTCCGGCGCCTAAGATAAGCTCCGGTCAACCTGCCACGAGGAGCTACCGGGACGATCCAACCTTGTTGCTTCCGAACCAAGATTGAGCCGGGGGGGGAGCACGGTGCAAGACATGCCTCCTCCATGTTATATTAATCCGAGGCACAAAGAGGGTGCAGAGTAGACTGTTCGCGACCATCTCCACCCCGAACATCCACTTCGCTGCAGGGATCGGAATGCGCCATAGTGAAACATACCTTCTTTTTCGTACACTTCGACGACGGTCCCCCCCACCCCCTCTTTTGATCCCTGCTCGAAGCGGGACTCGCTCGGTAGGAGGCTCGCCGGGGGGACGATGGGCAGCGATTCGATTCACCTTGTCCAGAGCTCTGCCCTCAACCCGTCAGGGGTTTGAGTCGCGCCCGTCACCTCCCCTGACGTCTGTGGAAGAAGAACAGCATATCCTTCAGAGTTCAGAGCATCCTCTGCGCCCAACTCACCCTTACCTGGCAAGTCGTAGTCAGCCTCAGCCACTGCCAGTGCCTTTGTCTCTTTTGGCCCCCTTTTGCCTGCTAGTCCAAGCGTGCGCCGCGCAGATCCCCAGGACAAGCGCCATGCCAAGACGACGGTGGGCGCCGTGCATCGATACTATGTGCAACGCAACACTCGCCCTCGCCCTCGTCGACACAAGCCCTGCCTAGTCCTGACGTACTCACTCTCTGCTAGTGACTCCTGCCCATGCCCAAACGAACCGGGGGCAGGGATGCTGTCCCGCAATCCACTTGGCTGTCTCGACCCCTCTTAGTCCCCCTGCAACTGTGCACAGCACATCCAACAAACTGCAGCCAATGGCCCAGGAGTGCCCGTCGGGCCTGGCTGCTTCTCCCTGTCCTGATCGCGCGCTTGCAGTTTCCCCGCTATCTTTCTAGTGGTCGACGGTCAGTCAAGCGAAGCTGCGCTGGTGGTGACTGTGCCAAAGAAGAAGAAGAAGAAGGAAAAAAAAAGGACGCATCTTCATCCCAAACGGCGCCCCCGGGGCCACCGCCAGAGGGGTTGACCCGTATCGTCGGGTCCTGGGCCGGGTTTCCTCTCATTGCTCGCTGGATGATTTGAATTTCCCAACACCAACCCGTGAAGCATTGGTAGATGATCTTTCCCTCTTTTCTTGTTGGGGCTACAGACATGCGGCGGCTGCACAGTCTTTCTTCATGGACTCTGCGCAGACTCTGCCTGATATAACTTCACCATATGCGGGCATCTCACCTGCCTCCATTCTGCCTCGCCTTCGTCTGCTGCGCCTGAGTCTCAGCCTGCCCGAGTCTGCCTTGGGGGGGTTCTTAGTATCTCGAACCAAGTGACCGGGATTCCCCACGGAGGGAGTTTGATTCGTCTTGAGATGAGCTTCGCCTCAGGGAGTGGTCTGTCCTCCCTTTGATCGAACGATTGTTTTTGTCTCTCGCTCCAAATTGAAGCGAAGGAATCCGCGCCACCTGGGCCCCTTCGATGAAAAGCCCTCGCCGCGTCATGGCGAACCTCATGAAGAAGTTCAAGAGAAAGCGCAGACTCTCATCCGAGCTGCATTCCCGCTGGGGCGATCCCGCCATCAGCTATCCCAACCAGGGCTCCTGGAACCAACGACACCAGCCCCCGGCTTTGCCGCCAGCGCCTCCATTGTGCCATCGCAGAATCCGTATCTCGACGAGACGCGACGATATGTCTCGGTTGACTCGCCCCCTTCTCTTCAAGGCGGCGCCAACGGCTCATCGCCCCAGCATATGGATGTGCAACCTAATTCGAATCGCGGCGACTCGGTCATTCCTAAGGGATATTTCGATGAAAACATCCGGCATCGAGCGGGAAAGAGCCGAAATCAAAGCCCGAGTCCATATCATCCAAATTACAACCACAACCAGAGTCATACCCAAGACCGACAACCTTCTACCAGCATGCAAGGACTCGGCATTGACGGCACTCGCTATACCCACGAGAGAGCCATATCCAACAACAACAGCAGCAGCAGCAGCAGCAGCAGCAACCACAATCACGACCACCATGATGCAGCCTCCGACTCCTCATGCGGCGAAGATGACGAAGGGAGAGACACACTCGGCGACCCGGGGAAGGCCGAGGAATAGGAAGTCGCACCTACGCAACGGGCGACGCCTCGCGCCTTCCCTTTGACGACTATGAAACCTACCCAGACCGTGCCTGCAAATCCCCACCACTCTCCGTCACCTCTCGCATGCGGCGAGTCAGCACGCAAAGCTCAGCCACCGAGCATTCCTCCCTGGCACCACCCAGCTCGCGACGAACGAGCTATACCGCCGCGTCGTCAGTATCTGCTCCCTCTCTCCCGCCAGATACCCCGCGATACGCGGTACATGCGCATGTGGAGAAACGAGCAGCTCCGCGTGCGCGGTATCGGGTTGAACCCGGGCCTCCGACGGCGTCGCCCAGACAGGAGATGGTGCCGTCGTATGATGAGCTTTATGGATAGGCTTCTTTTTTTCTCCTGGTGCTTTTCTCTTTCTTGCACAAACTGGGTCGTTTAGATTGTTCCACAGGTGGGAGGTTCTTTCTATCTCCATGTCTTGAGTCTGCACTGCTGGACTCGGTTCTCTTTTACTGTAGTAATTCTCCTTAATACCTCGCAATGAGGCCTCAATGATTTGCATTTGCATTTGCATCTTGGATTTGGTCACTATTGGCCGCCGCAATTGCTAGCGCCGGGTGCCTCCGCTGCATCCACCGAGCCGAACAAGAGTAGGTGCTGACTGCATACTCTTAGCAAGCAGTATTCACCTGTAAATAATCAAGAGGAATACGTTATTTAGTATGAGACGAATACACAGTGGCAGTTGAGCTGAAAGGAACTGCCCATATTCAAGAGTACAATACCACACTATACTAAAGTGCTAATGAATACTGTACGTACTGCTCCTGCTAGGAAGGTCGCATCTCATCACACGGAACTCGATATTCCTCCGTCCGCATCTACTCCGTACTTTGTCCATCACTCCACCGCAACTTGGCGCACATTCGTCATGAACTCCGTTCTCCATCCCAACTAGTCCATCTCGATTAGTCCGCCGTGCATATGCAGTCCGAGTCACAATCACAACCGCCCGTCGCCAATCACATCCGCCAGCCCGTCACACCCGTCACGCCCCAGCGCGATCCACCACAGCCAGCAACCCCCAGCAACACTCGACAAAATGCCTCCGCTTGGCTACAGCCCACCCAGTCGCATCCCAGCTCTAAGCGCCGGCGCTGGTGGGGCTCATTTCGCCCAAGCTTGTTCACGCTGCATCGCATCTCCCCCTCTTTCCAATCTGCATGTAAACGGGGATTGCAGTGGACTCAGTCGGTAGACTCGATCTCCAGATGCGAACAGGCCGACTGAAAAAAGAAGCTTTTCCAGTTCATCTTTTGCTTCCCCCGGGCTGCTCTCTCGAGATCATATGAGGTGATCGACCACCCTCAGTCCTCCCATCCGTCCTCGCGACGGTCGCAGAAGCCATCCAAAGACGGGCTGGATCCCTGGTGTCCTAGATCGCCATGCCTGGCTTATTCTCGCGGTCGGCTACGCTGGCCCTCTTCTTGTCTGCTGTTCCCGTCTCAGCGCTGCGGACTACCTCCGGCTCACCATGCGCCGATGTCTGCGGCTCGTCCAACACCACGGCGTCGGAAATCGCCTGTCTGGACTCCCAGTATAATCAGACGAAAGGCGGGGCGTTTGAGAAATGCGTCTCCTGTCAGTTGGAGAGTACCTATACCGATCGAACGAGTGGTGAGACGGACGTGAACTGGGGTCTTTGTAAGTAACACTCCAGAAAGACCGAGTGCCAGCTAACATCAACAAAAGATAATCTACGATACGCCGTCTCATCCTGTATCTTCGGGTACCCAGCACAAACATCGAATCTCTCATCACCTTGCCCTGTCTCCTGCGACGGGGTCCGCGCAGCCGTAGAAACAGACCTGAAAAATCCAAGCGCCGACAACTTCAACTCGTGGTGCGGCGTCTCGACCTTCGCGGACAACGTCGTTAACTCGTGCGAGTTTTGCTATAATTTGACAGCCTCCCAGAATCAGGCTCAGGTGTACCTGGCAAACTGTTCGTTCCCCACTCCCACCCCCTCACGTTCACCAAGTAAAAAAAGGGGGGAAAGAAATACTGACCTCCCCAGTCCTTGAATCAATCCGCTACAACTGCCACTTCGAAGCCGTAACAGGCAGCGCCTTCGACATCGCCCCGTCAAGAATCTTCACCTCCGTCCTCCTCCCCTCCAGCATGTCATTAACAACGTCGACCTCCAGCTCCTCCGGCGTAAACCTAGGCCTCGTCATCGCTCTGCCAGTTCTCGGCTTTGTGATCATCCTCATCGGACTGGGAACGTGCTGCTTCTTCTTCATCCGGTACCGACGCAAGCGCACCCGTCGCGGCCGACACCAGAATCATATGTGGAATGTGCAGCAGCGGTCCTGGGCTGCGGAGGAGATGAATGCGATGGGCCTGGGACGGGGTGATGGGTTTGGCTTTGTGGATTATGGGCGTGGTCATCAGGCTGGGTATGGGTATTCGGACCAGTACCCGCTTAGTGATTATACGGCCAGTATGAAGGGGCCTGGGCAGGAAATTCGGGAGGATGAGCCGATGCAGAGTCCGCCTATTCCTGGGGCTTATTCTATGCATGGTGGGATGCAGGGGTTTGAGCCGGATCAGAAGAGGCCGTTGTGATGAGCTGAGCTGATCCGTTAGATGTGGTATGGTAATCGGATGAGTTGGATGTCGATGTGTTGTCCTGGAATAATGTCCTCTTCAACTATGAGGCGTGGACTGCAAAACTAATGATTGATCGTGTTGATGTCCTGGCGTTTTTCTTGGTTTCTATATATCCCCGGCATCGTGAGTTTGTTAGTACAAATAAAATGTTTGTCACCTCAACTTTCCTCTCGATGAACATTATCAAGTCACATATCAGTCTCTCAATGACTCTCCTTCAGAATATACCACCTCGAATCGAAGATGCAACCTGAGATAGAACATCCCACCTGGACACCCATCAAAACTACCGGGCGGCAAGACCTATTTATCCCCCTCCCGGCACCTGGCATTTCCCAAACCACATCAACACTACCAAGAGTAGGTATGAGCGAGTTCCCAAAATAAACCACAGTCTGCAAGAATAGAGTTCCCCCACGGGTCTGATGGGCGTGTGTCCCACCTCGGATTGGTAGGAGGGCGCTGGCTGCGTTTCATCACGCTCCGCCAAGGGCTCAAAGGTCCAATAGACACTGGATAGCTGCGCTTGGTGTACTCGGCGGGACGGGACGTGAGATGTGTTATTTTTGGATGTGCGCCGTGTTGCTTAATTTGGTAGGGTTGGAGATTAATGTTAGTCCAAGTGTGGTGCTTAAATAGTATATGATGTTGCAATGTGGGAGAGTTGGAGTGGGGAAGGAAATTGTAGCGGTAAAAATCCGAAGGATATATATAGTTCGGTGTTATGCACTACCGAGGCCAACATGGGGTGAGATAAAAGAGAGACCAGTCCAATGAGGAAATATTGTAGTATGAAAAATGATAGAATTAAGAGCAGATCTCTCATAGATAAAATAGTAATAGCGTGGCCGAATCAAGTCATGGCTTGCTCAGTGCGGCGCCCTTATTCACCGTTGCGCGGTGGACCGCTCCACCTCAGCTTTTGATCTCTCCGCATCGCAATCCACTTCCATCCTCCACAACCTCCATGGCGACCCTCACCAACGACCAGATCAAAACCCTCGAGCAGTCGCGCCAGCGACTCGTCCAACTGACCCGCTCACTGGGCTCTCTAATCGGAAGTCTGAACCAAAGCGAGCCCCTCCCACCCTGGTAGGCCTACAATCCCAGACCCGGCATAGAAAACAAACTGACAATTAAATAAAGGTCCTCCCTCCAAACCCAAGCAAGCATCATCTCCAACAACCTCGTCAGCGTCTCCGAACTCCTCTCCGACAACCGCGACCTCCTCTCCACCCTAGTCGCCTACCCAGGCCCCGAATACCCAGGCCGAACACAATCCAACGCCCTTCAACAACTCCTCCGCACAAAGCTCGACCCGCGCGTCGAAGACTGGGTCGAGCGTGGCCGGGTGCAAGGCACCGAGCAGGCAAATCTCTCTACGGCGAATCCCAGCGTCCCCGCGCCGTCAGCGGAGAAGCTGTCTGAAGCCGAGCTCGCGAGCTTGTGGGAGTGGGCGCCGCTGGCGGCAAACGAGGAGGCGAGAAGACGGGATTGGGGCGCGAATTATACGCTTGAGGAGCGGGAGATGGGGATTGAGAATGTTGTTACGGGGTTGAAGAGGACGTTGGAGGATGAAGAGGAGGGGGATGAAGAGGATGAGGAGGGGGAGGAGGGGGAGGAGGAGATGGAGATAGTCGGTGTTCATCGGAAGTCTGGCGGTGGGAGTGGGGTTGAGTTTGATATTGCGCCTCATCATGCGCATCCTGTGCATCCAGTTGTGCCGTTGCCGGATATTTTGAGGTTTATGACTACTGGGAAGATGGTTTGATTGGAGATTTGCATTGTCTACGGACTTGCTTTCAAGATTTCAAGAGAAGGCTTATGGTGTGTGTTGACCAATGTGGCTCTTGGCTATTGCATGAATTGAAAACGCATCATTATTAGGAGTATTACATGATTTGAAATGGAAACACGGCCAGTCCCAACCGGATGTCTTCTTAACCGCGACGGCGCGTAGTGGGCGTCTTCGAACCCGGCTTGGGGGAAACGCCGGAGCTCTGAGCAATAGGAGAACGAGGCTCGGCAGCCTTGCCGCGGGAGGCCTTTTTCTTGGGCGCAGGGCTGTTCCAGTAGTAGATCATTTGAGTCGCAAGAATCACGTTCAGCGAGAAGCCGGCAATGAAACCATAGAGGATGAGCTTGTCGTCGACCTCCTGGAGGGTAGTGAAGATGCGAGAGAGAGAGCCGGCGAGGTAGTTGAAGACCTAAGCAGTAAAAGGGTTGGTCTCGAGTGTTTGTAGATTGCGGGGAATGCGCGAAAACTTACCGCAAAGGCGCTCAGCTGTCCGGTTCCACCCTCACTCCAGATGGTGTAAATTTGAGGAGCCTTGCTCATAATACCCAGAGCACCAGCACCGGCCTGCAGGTAGGCCATAGTCTGCGCATCCACAAGAGTCTGATCGAACAGCAACGCATACACAGCTGCGGCGACAACAGCGACAAAGGTCGCAGCCGCGGCGGATCGGCCAGCAAAGGTCAGGACCAAAACACCGACAGCAACATCCTGAACGGCAATAAGAGCCGATTCGCCGTAGGTGCTGAAGGGGAACTGGTTTCGCACGCCGTAAGACAAGGTGATGAGCAGACTGGCAGTCTCAAGGGCGTACGAGACGAAGGAAACACCGGCAGAGGAGCGAGAGCTGATGAGCTTCAAAATCTGAGGGACCTTGACCACGGCGCTGGCGCCAACGATGGCAATACCCAGCGCCTTGGAGATCGCGAGAGAGGTGCAAGCCGGGTCCTTGGTGACATCGAGATCGAGGAGCAGCGCGTTATGGCAGGGCGAGCCGATCAGCGAGATGACAGCATCGTGCACAGGTTCCGGGATCGCATCGACGACGGGGCGGAGGTAAGGCTGGAGAGGATCCAGCACGGTCTTCTGAAGGGTGTCCATGGTGGCGTGGTGAATGAAAAGTAAGAAGTATGAGAGAACAAATACGTTGTTGACATTCCACCACCCGGCCTGGTCCGTGCGCCCACCGGGGAAAGTTCGCTCCTTCCACTTTTCTTCTCTCTCATCTTCGAGGACCCCCAACGCGCCATGTTTCCTCTCCGGTCCGCCATCTTGGGGCCCGCGCCTCGAGAGGCGCTCGTGTGCTCAAGATGTCTGGGCCGACCACGATCCCATCCGTCCGCGATCCGAGGCTTTTGGTCGTCCTCGCATCGCCGGACCGGCCTCGCGGATAACCAGGCCTCCGCCCTTCTCCAGAAGACTTATTTCTCCGGCAATCGACTCTACGATAGTACGGGATTGAAAGGCGGTTTTATCTCATCGTTTTACTCCGCCAGTACCGACCACCATGCGCCCTCTACCTCCCAGTCCACGAACGAGACCTCTGGACAGTCAAGTTCAACCGAACCAGCTGCACCAGAGCCAGTTGCGACCCAAACAAATCCAGAAGAACTTCCACATCGCCGAAGGAAACGATTGAAGGAGTCGCGCGCAGAGGGAAGTCCGACGCAGGTCATGCCACCCGATGCCTCTGCGCAATTGTCGAATTTCTCGTCCGCCCTCCCCACCACCTCTCTCCGACGAAAGCTGGCTGCGTACTTTGCCCTGACGAAGCCTCGACTATCCTTCCTGATTCTTCTCACTACAACCTCAGCCTATGGAATGTACCCCATTTCGTCCCTCCTCACCCTCGACCCAGCCATGACCCCACTCCCGACGCTCTCAACCTCGACTCTGACGTTTATATACCTGACGACGGGCACATTCCTCTCATGTTGCAGTGCGAATACACTTAACATGATGTTCGAGCCGAAATACGATGCTCTGATGACCCGCACGCGGAATCGTCCGCTGGTCCGCGGGCTGGTCTCGCGCCGCGGTGCTCTGGTGTTCGCCATAGCCACCGCGGCTACTGGCCTGGGCCTGCTATACATTGGAACCAACCCGACCACTACCGCTCTCTCTGGAGCAAACATTTTCCTATACGCATTCGTCTACACCCCCCCTCAAGCGCATTTCCGTGATTAATACCTGGGTCGGCGCCGTGGTAGGCGGTATTCCCCCTCTGATGGGCTGGGTTGCCGCGGCAGGTCAGACCGCCACGACGGGACACGACACATGGCGCGATATGCTTTTCAGCGAGGACAGCATCGGCGGATGGCTGCTAGGCGGCATTCTGTTCGCCTGGCAATTCCCCCACTTCAACGCTCTCTCTCACCTCATCCGGGACGACTACAAGGCCGCGGGATATAGGATGCTCTGCTGGGTGAACCCCGCGCACAACGCCCGTGTGGCTCTGCGCTACTCCGTGTTGATGTTCCCCATCTCAATTGGTCTGTGGTGGGTTGGCGTCGTTGGCCACGGCTTTTTAGTCGGCAGCACCATTGCCAATGGATGGCTTGTGCGGGAGGCTTACGGATTCTGGAAACACCAGGGCGCGCAGGGCACTGCCCGTGGCCTCTTCTGGGCTAGTATTTGGCAGCTCCCCATCCTCCTTGTTGGTGGATTGGTCACCAAGAAGGGATTGTGGGATGGCGTGTGGCGGAATATCTTTGGCCAACCCGAAGAAGATGAGGATGAATATATTTATTATGATGAGGAGGAGGAGGACGAGGAAGAGGCGCTTGCGCAGGCTACTGCAAGTGGTAAGCCCGCTTCAACATCGAAACGGGAAAGCTCCTTGTCCACAGCGTGATGTTCAATGTGATTGAACCTTGGACGCAATCATTCATATTATTTTTATCTTCATGGTCCTGTCTTATACAGCGGTTTGGGACGGCGTTCGATAATTTATCTTCTTGTATAACAATGTTCATAAGAGTCATTTACAGATCATTTCAAACAAGATCTCATTTTCTCAACTGGAATCTGCCATTCATTTCTCGCCCGGCACAGACACCCCAGAAATCTGCTTGCAAAGACCCATAAGCTCCTCCTGCTTTTCAAGAACCTCCGAAGCAGAATGCGGCTCTGTCTCACCCCCTGCGTCACAAATGCACCACTGTCAACCTTCGCCAACGAATTCTCCCCACTAGCCCAACCAGCCAGCGCCTTTGCCGAAGAACTCACGCTCCCCGGCGCCGCCATACCCCCCATCTTAGTCCTCACCCACCCAGGATGCATACTAATAACCTGTATATCATCCCACCTCCTCGCAAAAGCCTTCGCAAGCATAACATCATGCAACTTGCTATTCCCATACGAATGCGACTGCGCCGCATTCCGCAACGACCCATCTCCGCCCCAGTGACTATCAGAACTCATGAAAAGAAGCCTCGTCGTCGGCTTATCCATCAGACAAGTCAGGATATACGGTGCGAGCGTATTCACCGCGAAAACCGCAGAAATCCCATCCGACGTTGTCTCCTTTGAGGAGGTCGAGCCGTAGCCGATGCCCGCATTGTGCACGATGGCGTCGAACGGCCCGGCCGCGTTGGCTTCTTGCGCGAGCTTCTTTGTTTCGCTGATCGATTTCAGATCGCCGACTAGCACGCCGGCGGCTTTTGGGAGGGCTGCTTGTGCGTCTGCTGCGCGTTGGGCGTTGCGTGCGTGTAGGGTTACTTCGTGGCCTTGGTCGAGGAGCAGCTTGGCAGCAGCTTGGCCGATGCCGTCTGTTGAGCCGGTAATAAAGATTCGGACCATTTTTTGGATAATGTCGATTAATGGTTTGAGGTAAATTGAAGGGGTTTTTTTTAAGGGCGTGGTTTGTTCGCTATCGCTGCGGCCCATGCACTTGGCATGCTGACTGAGGGGATGATATCATTCCCATCAGGTTGGGATGGAGCACTGTTACGTCACTGTCCGGGTTGGGACGAAGCCTGTCGCATTTTTAGGAATAGTCGTCTGAAATAGCGATTTTTCAGATGAAAGATGTTTTCGTCTGTAACTTGCGGCTTTCTGGTGTAGTGTTTTGGCTTCTAGAAGCGCACCCGCGGTTGTCATCCGCCCCGCAGAACCACCGTCTTAATCGCATTGATCTACAACGTCTCCAGGCTGACAATAATATTCTGCTTGGTAAAACCTATTGTCTCAGAAAACATATTCCGGGTCCTCAATCATCTTCCGGGGCGAGTAATCGTTTCTCATATACTGCTAATGTAGCGTGCATCGCTTGTTACAGGGGGATACTGAGCCTAGAAAGCCCAGCGAGTTGATCCGACTGTGTGCTTACGGCCAAAGAGACAATAGCCTGAGAAATGTTCGCAACCAAAGAGTCATGCAGTCGCTGTGTAGAAGTCTGCATGATAGCAATCTCTAGAGATGTATGTACTACATATGATGTAGTTACTTCGGCAGTGGAAGCGTCCCCGCAAAAGCAGAGCCGAGCTCGGAGAAGAAGAAGCCGAGAGGCAACCCCACATTTCAAACTGGCGGATGTCTACCCAATCCCGCACTCATGATTGGTCAAAACCTTTCTTCATATCCTCAACCCGGCCCCCGATTGACCAATAGGAAGATTCTGTTCCGAATATTCCAGCCGCATGATCAATCGGAATTCGCTGATTGACGAGCATCCAAATACAAAAGCAGCAAGCACCCAGAAATAACCCCACGAGGTCCATCCGGGGAGATTCAACACTCGTGAACAGGTAATTCATAAGTGCAAACCTAAAACAGCCGACACCATGGGTTGTTCAACCGGCAAGTCCTGCGAAGGCTGCTCCTGCAGCAATGACGCCACGAGCCAACCTGTGCAAATCGAAGACTGCATCAACGAGCTGGCGGCGCTAAAACGGCGCAACCAAGAGCTTGAGACGCGCCTTCAACTCCAGCAGCGAAATGGCGCACCCAACATTGTTCGTCAGCCTGGTCGAACGCTCCGCTCGTCGGCTTGGTTCGACTGCCGCAGTAACCCCGGCATGACAGCCATCTACATGGAGCGGTACTTCAATTTTGGCATCACACGTGAAGAATTGATGTCCGGCAAGCCGATGATTGGAATTGCGCAGACGGGTTCGGATATTGCGCCGTGTAATCGTCACCATATTGAGCTGTCGAAGCGGGTGCGGGAGGGTATTCGGACGGCTGGTGGGATTGCGTTTGAATTCCCTACGCATCCGATTCAGGAGACATCGAGACGTCCGACTGCAACGCTGGATCGGAATCTGGCGTATTTGAGTATGGTGGAAGTTTTGACGAGTTATTTCCTTGATGGTGTGGTTCTGCTCACTGGGTGTGATAAGACGACGCCTGCTTGTCTTATGGCTGCGGCGACAGTTGTATGTTCTGATCTGTCCCAAATCATACCCTGGAGATACTAACCCTGATGTATAGAATATCCCAGCTATCTGCATGAATGTGGGTCCTATGCTGAATGGCTATGACAAATCTACTCTGGTGGGATCGGGCGCGGTGCTTTGGAAAGGAAGAGAAATGTATGCCGCTGGCCAGATTGACGAACATGAATTTATGGACTACATCTCGCGCTCGTGAGTATCCATTAGGATAGCAGGCTATGCTTGAGATTGTTACTAACCACGAGCAGAACACCGTCAGTCGGCCACTGCAACACAATGGGAACAGCTTCTACGATGAATGCCCTGGCTGAAGCCCTGGGCATGGCTCTGCCAGGTTCAGCCGCCATTCCCGCCGCATACCGCCATAGAGCGCAATGCGCCTATGAAACCGGCAAGCAGATCGTGGAGATGGTAGAGGCTGATCGCAAACCAAGCGACATCCTCACCCGACAAGCATTTGAGAACGCAATCGTTGCGAACGCCGCAATCGGCGGAAGTACTAATGCGCCGATCCATCTGAGTGCGATTGCTCAGCATGCCGGCATTGAACTGAACATGGATGACTGGGATACGATCGGCTCAAAGATACCCCTGCTTCTGAACATGCAGCCCTCTGGAGAGTACCTGGGAGAAGAGTATTTCCGCGCTGGTGGTCTCCCGGCTATCATGGCTGAACTTCTCGACCAGGGGAAATTGCATCAGGATGTTCTGACCTGCAACGGAAAGACGATGGGTGAGAATGTCCGCGGAAAGCATTCTTGGGAACGTCGGGTTATTCGTCCTTATGATGATCCGCTGATGAAGGATGCTGGATTTATCAATCTGAAGGGCACATTGTTCGACTCTGCGATCATGAAGACTTGTGTGATCTCGCCTGCTTTCCGAAAGCGATACCTTTCCAATCCCGATGACCCGGAGGCATTCGAAGGCCCAGTCGTCGTCTTCGACGGACCGGAAGATTACGAAGAGAGACTGGAAAAGCTCCCTCAAATTGACGACCAGACGATCCTCGTCATGCGCGGTGTTGGCCCGCTGGGTTACCCAGGTGCTGCAGAGGTCGTCAACATGCACCCTCCAAGCAAGTTGATCAAGCAAGGAATTGACGGCTTGTTCTGTATTGGCGATGGAAGACAATCGGGGACGTCGGCATCTCCCTCTATTCTGAATGCTAGTCCCGAGGCTGCGGCAGGAGGTAACCTGGCTCTGCTGAAAGATGGTGATAGGCTTCGCATTGACTTGCGAAAGCGACGGGTTGACGTTCTGATTTCTGATTATGAGCTCCAGCAGCGACGGAAGGATCTGTCAGGGGGATATCCGTTGGTTCCTTCCGGGACGCCCTGGCAGGAGATCTTCCGTCAAGAAACGGATCAGCTGTCGAATGGAATGGTGTTGAAAAAGGCTGTGAAGCACCAGCGTCTTGCGCAAAGAGAGCTAGCGCCAAGGCATAACCATTGAGATTTTATTTACATTCTCCATTGCATTGTGCATTTCTGAAATAGTTGTTGATACCAATTCAAGATGATATGTAATACAAAAGGGCAGTTCAAGTATGTCGTAGAGTAAGAGCCCAGCCTTGACTCAAGTGTCTATAATGGCTCCAAGCTCATTTCTATGTGATTTTCATGCTTCATAATACTTCTGCCAGGGGTGATCCTGAGAGAAACCCAACAACTCCTTCATCTTCCTATTCGTGACCGGAGCCTCACGCGCCCCCATCTCGCGTGTAAACGGCGAATTCGGCAAAACCTTCTTCAAAAACCCCTCACTCGACGCCGCATAATTAGTGATCTCATCATTAACAGCATTGAAAATCTGAAATCCAAGCCCATCCTTATGAACCGCCAAATCGCACATCTTCCCCAGATCTCGAGCATCCGTATACGCCCACGCATGCACAGCCCACTTCTCAGGCTCCTTCACATAACTCTCAAACATAGCCTCCTTGTACTCCTCCGGCGCAACTATCCTCCCAATCCGCAACACGTAGATATCCCTCCCAAAACGACGGGCGAATCCACGCGCCACCCGCTCACCACAGACCTTTGCAATAGCGTAGGTATCCATGGGATTGGCGTCGACTTCTTCGTCGACCGGGAAAGAGGGGTACTCCACATCACCCTCTGCGTAGCTCACGCCATAGGTCGTTATTGAGCTTGCGAGGATGATCTTCTTGATGTTCAGTTTGCAGGCTGCTTCGATTATGTTGTATGTGGACATCGTGTTGCTCCGGAACGTCTCGTTGTCGGCGGCAATCATGTTGCGCGAGTACCCGGCCATATGAATGACAGCGTCCGGCATCAAGTTCACCGGTTCACGGAATGGCTCGGTGAGGTGGAAATGCGAGCTCAATGCGCAATACACTTGTCCGCTGTCTGCTAGATCGACGATCATGGTGTGCACACGTTCTGAGAATTCTGCTGGCAGCGCCACGAGATCCAAATTGAGCACATCGTGGCCTTGTGCGAGCAAATATCGGATGATGTGCTGGCCTGCTTTCCCCGAGCCACCGGTGACGATGATTCGCTTGCCCATTGAGCTAGCTTAGGGTAGGTAGAGTGGTCTGGATTGATTGATGCGGGGCAGGGATTGCTGGATCAAAGTTTCCGAGAAGATGCAGGGTGATCGGTCTTGGAAGATGGTCTGTTCGCCAATGATTGATCGGTTTTTCAAATCAAGAGTAGTAGTGTTTAAGTTTCCTGGCTTATCCCGGTCTAATATATGGGCGGAGGTGGGGCGCGGGGTTCGGAAGGTGACTTTCCGTGGCCTCGGGTTTACATGATGACCGAAGGAACTCGAAGAAAGGTGGTGGATATACAATTTAAAACTGCTGACAGAGGTTATTTCATTGTCTACATACGCATTTGTTTGGTTTTTAATTGAGCAAAGCCACTTTTTAGTAGCTAGTGGCTTCTGTTAAGGGGACCCGAGGACCAACAGTTGTGAAGTGCTGAGAGCACCAGTTCTCTGGATCAAGAAACAGGAATCTATCTTAGCATGCAGCATGAATTGAAAATCAAGATCCATGATCGTCAGTCATCACTGCTATTGATTGCTACCAACCCTGCAACAGATCATTCACATCCCCACCGGGTTCATAAGATAATCCAAATCCCCATCAAACCGGAATCCCTGGGCAATAGCCTCAAGATCCAAATCCGACAACTCCCAATTCAACTGCGAGCTCAGATCCAGCGTCTGCTGCGGCACATTAGACGTCACCAAGGGCGGCACAGGCCCACTAACCACCAGCGGTTCTCTAAGAACGCTGTTCGTCGTATCAATCCGGCCAGACTCATCTCCTACATTAACACCAAGGTGATCGCAAAGCCTGTCCAAACTACCCTTCGCCTTACCCGCGGCTCCATACAAGGGTTGGTGTTCCTGAATGACATTACGGCAGAGAACGAGAGATTGGAACGAGCTTGACGTCCGCCCTTTCTGCGCCACGATGCGGGCGTGGATCGTTGCGCTTATGTAGGTTGCATATGACAACATGTAGGGTGCTGTGCGTATTGCGAAGTGCTGGGAGTAGTCGCGCAGGATTTGGACTATTTGGTTTGCGGCTGTTGTGCAGGTGTTTATTGATTCGAAGGCTGCGCCAGGGTTATTTGGGCGTTCGTCCTTTCCGGTGAAGAGGGGGCGTTTGGAGAGGATTATGAGAACGTTGAAAAGGGCGCTGTGTTTTATTAGCGGTTATTCTCTAGAATGAGAGGGCAGGGCACGAACAGGAGACAGAATGCCTGGGGGAGAAGCACGGCTCGAGAGGGGTATGAAAGGTAGTCCAGCTCTGGTGGAAGACTTTGCCGCCACCGACAAAGCTCTAAATTTATGTTTTCAGAGATATCCTCACTTTGGCCGCGAGCTGCTTGTGCTGATTCCGAGTAGAGCTCGCACATGATGCGGTCGATGATGACGGACAGTTCGCAGAGTTTAGTGAGCAGGGAGACATTTAATGACGGTACAGCAGGCCCAACAGAGCCTGGCTGCTTATAGGTAATGGCCTGGAATGTGTCCATTTCATCGTACTCATCCAGAAATTTCAACAGTGCCTTAATATTGGTATGGCGCAAAAGTGGTGGCCTCCCCTGGAAAAGACATTGAATTTTGTCAATCGCTGGATTCAGAAGTTAGTGTAATCCATCAAGAGTCTGTCAGCCGTGCTTACAGTATGCACCCCATAAAACGCGCTTACGAATTTCAAGTTCCTCGGCGTTCATGGTATCATCCGACGAAGCAACATGCAGCCCCAAATCAATAATCATGTTAAATGCATTGCCTGCATACAGCCACGACAGACTTCGCTCGTCGCAGCGTGAAAACAATGAATTCGACATGATGAGCAAGGCCTGGATGGTCGTGATCTTGCTTTTATCGAAGCTCTCGCGTAATAGCTCTGTGAACCGTTGTCGGAACCTCCATCCTGCTGTCGTGATATCATCCGGGTTTGACCGAATTTCACTCCGCGAACAATGTTTAGATACTGTGAATAGAATCGCGTTGAGCAGAAGCTTGGAGAAATATGGACCGGCACAGGCCATGTCACGCATGAAGACCGGTCGGTAAATAATCTGTGCGGTGTAGAGTTGTCGACTCCAGTAGATCGATAGGAGATGCATGCCGATTTCGGGATCAAGGCCGTCAAAATCGAGTCTTCTGGCTGCCAGATTGAGCGGCTCTAGTTGTCCTATACTTCATCATGAGCGCTAGTAACTTCTTTTCCAAGAAAGATGGGACGCACGTTGCCTGGCAGTTTGAACAAATAAAACGTTTCTCGCCCACTCCTCGCTGGCAGGATCATGTGGCATTTCATCATTTCCGATTCCATTTCCGGAGCGCGCGGTATCGTCATAAGCAGTACTCGTCGGCCCATGATACAACGAAGCAGCTCTTCGATTACTATTGTCGCCGTCAGGAACTTCTGGATGAGAGTTACTTCTCAAGGAATCGTCATCTTGAGGCGTGGAAGTAGTCACGCGAGCCTGTCTGGGACTGATCGGGCTGAGCGAGCTAGTCGCGTGCGGCAGAAACGACTCTTCACTGTCAGTGTTTTGACTTTGTCGAAGTCGTGCATTTTCCAGCTCTAGCTGTGCAATGCGATGATTCGTTGGTCTTTGATGGAAGTTAGCTCTGTTCTAGTAGTAAGAAAGAAATGGAGACTGACCTCGGTTTATGCCGAACAGCGCCCCATTGACAATCTACGTGTTTTGACGCGCAATTACCGCACGTAGGCCTTTGGGCATCGCATTTGAGCTGTCGAAATTGTACTTAGCGCAGGTCATGCATGTCTCGTGCTTGATCTTACCTTCTTTTGCCGACAGAAGAGGCATGCGGCTGCCGCTCGGGTCCGTCGGATGGGCATGGCCGGTCTTCCATAGATCACCTGGCTGGATTTGCATTGGTATTCAATAGTCTCTGAGCATCAATCATTGCAATCGCTCTTTTAGAATGCGACACACGATCGGGGTTTAGGCCGATCCGCTCCACGCGGAGAGTTGCAGTGCAGAACGGCCGCGCGGGGTGGAAAATCTCTTTTGCACGTCTGCCGATTGGCTGCTTTCTACACTCTTGTTGTGACAGCACTTTCCCCATCATCATTTGAGGAAAAAGTCGTTATGAAGATCAATAAACACTCGAAATATCGTGCTTAGAAATTCAAATCGACCATAACACTACAGAAGAAGGGCCAAACCATAATGCAATGGATTGGAGATTGACCGGGTATCTTAGTCTATGATACATTTATAGTACAATTATTTGAACGAGAGCAAGAACTCGCCAAAAAGATCTACTCCCTCAAACGGAGATGATACGTCTCCAAAGCCTGCTGGGTAATCGGACTCGGCGCCCCAACCATAGCATCATCACCACCCTTCCCAGTCTTCGGGAAAGCAATGACATCCCTAACAGACTCCTTTCCCAACATAACAGCAACCAGACGATCAAAGCCGAGCGCCAATCCCGCATGAGGCGGACACCCAGCCCGCAAAGCATCAAGGAGATGCGAGAAATCAGCAAGACGCTCAGCAGGCATTTTCAAGATATCACGCAGAATGAATTCTTGAACAGCAGCGTCGTGGATACGACGACTGCCACCGCCAAGCTCGACGCCATTTACGACGAGGTCGTAGTGGTCGGCCACGGCTTGTGTCGGGTCTGTGAGGAGCATGTCCACGTCGGCGGCTGTCTTGGGCGCTGTGAAGGGATGGTGGGTTGATGATATTCCTGCGGCGCCGCCTTGTCCCGGCTCGGTGTCGGATGATGGGGAGAAGAGGGGAAAATCGACAACCCACATGAAGTTGAAGCCTGTGGGGGCGGGCTTGAAGCCGGTTGAGACGGCGTAGGCGTGTAGGGCCCGGCGCAGGTCACCGATTGGTGTTGAGCCGCCTGAGAAGGGAGCTCGGGGACGAGCTTGCAGGATGATCAGGTCGCCGTGATCTGGTTCCAGGACCTCTTCGATCTGCTCAGCGGCTTCGAAGCCAAAGGGCTGCAAGCCGCAGAGGGGTTGCTTGCCATTATAAACGAAGACTCCGGGGCCTCCATCTGGGTTGTTGTTGAATGGGGCGCCTGCGGGGGAGTCAAGGAATTGGGAAATAAATCTATGAGTTTCTTGAGGTTCATTGTCGTTGCCCTCTATCCTGAAAGCTTCGACAATTGGTTCGTTCAGCGGAGAGATTTTGTTGACCAGGTCGACTGGCAGAAGGTGATCTATCCGCATGATCTCCATGCCATATCGAGTGTCGGGTTTGTCAGATCCATACTTGGCCATGACCTCCTGGTACGAAACCCTGCGGAAGGGGCCTTCGGGCGCAGGATCCTTCATCAATGCCGACCAGAGACGACGAATAACCCCCTCAATAGTCCGCATCACATCATCACCCGTACCAAAGGACATCTCCATGTCCAGCTGGGTAAATTCCGGCTGACGGTCCGCCCGCAAGTCCTCATCGCGGAAGCAGCGAGCAAATTGGTAGTATCGTGGCATACCACTGGCCATGAGAATCTGCTTATACTGCTGGGGACTCTGAGGCAGCGCGTACGCAAGCCCAGGGCGACGGGTGGGGACCAGGAATTCACGCGCACCCTCCGGCGTAGACTTGAACAACATAGGCGTCTCAATTTCAACGAAAGGGGGCTGACAGCCCTCCTCCAGCTCCTTTCTACAGGCATTGCGAGCCTCCGCGCGAAACTTCAATGCCTCTCTCAACTCTGCGTCCGAGCGGAGCTGTAGATAGCGCTGCTCGGGCGCAAAGACCGTCTCCGGAGTCATGATGATCTCCTTGGGAAAGTCGTTCAGTGGATGAATTTCCTCCAATGCGATTTCCCACATATCCTCCGGCGCTTGTTCTCCTGCCTCCGACGCCTTTTGTTTCTTCCGCTGGGCGGTACCTCGTACCGCGACAGGACTATTCGCATTCAAGTCTTTTAGTTGCTCGAAGGCGTTGTTTTTCGCGAACGCAACAATCTGTAGACTATGTTTCATCGTGGGATCGGTTAGGCGAACGAAAGAGAGCTTCTTGGAGAGGTCTGCCCTCTGTCCAAGGTAACCGTGTAGGACGACTTCGGTGTTAGGCTCGGCCTGCGAGAGGAAGGACTCGAAGTCATGCGTGGCAGGAGGGAATTCAACTATACAGATCCCTATTAGCAATTGAAGTGCCCAAACGTCATCGGAATACATACCAGCCTTCTTATACGCCTGCAGGAAGCTAGGCAGCTCGATCGAACCAGACTCGCGCAAATAAGCCGGCCGATGAAATCGCCGCAACGCCTCGTGCGGGCGCGAACATGGCGTCAATCGGGAGCCGCGGAGAATACCCGCAAGCGCTAATCTTGAGCGAAACCGCACGCCGGCAGTGTGCATCATCTTCGCAGTGGAAGCTCTCTCGTGGTGATGGTTCGATACGCCCGCAACAAAAGTGCCCGTCCGCCCAAAGCGGTCTAGCGCGGCCCGCATAAAATGCGCGCAGCCGTCGCCAATTTTTTTTCCCTTCTTCATCCTTCCAAGTTTTATACTGGTGAGTCCATAGTCTTACCCCGACTGAATTTCGATTCATTTACTGACTTTCCTGCAGAATGATGAAAGCTTAGCGTGTTCTGTATGATCGATTTCTTCTCTCTGAGGCGGGTGGCTCTTCCTTTTCGGAGGGCTTAAGGGCTGCTTGAATCGAGGGGAGGGAGAGTGATATACGTGTTCGGCACACCCAACCTTGTTTACAACAACGGACGCTGAAAGCATCTCTGATCCTTTTAAGAACTTGGTGGTGTATCCATGAGCTGCGGCTATGGGTGGGATACGAAGGATGGGAGTTTAGGGTCTTGGAGAGGTTGACCGGTTGTCTTGGGCTAAGCTCAGCTGAGCTTGTCACCGTCGTACCTTTATGACATGCACCTTTCTCTTTCTTCAGTCTTCTTCCATGTACTTGGAAATTTGGTACATGGAGTAGTTGACCCAGTCAAATAGGCATTATAGAACAGTCTTGGTATATCTTCATTGGTATTCACGGTCTGGCAATCTATACATCTCGAAAACGCAAATTAGAAATAAAAGAAGGACTTTTCTCAAGCAAATATCATTTTTTCCAGCACAGCCTTCTCGCCGCTATTCTCCACCAAGCTCTTAAAAACACCATCCTCAATGCCCATCAATTCCTTCGGAGGACCAAACTCAACCGCCTTGCCCGCATCCATCACCAAGATGCGATCGAAATCAGCAATCGTGCTTAGTCGATGAGCAATAACGAGCAGCGTGGTAGCATTGCGGCCAAACTCAGACCGAATAGACTGCTGGATCAGGGCATCGGTTTCCATATCCACGGCGCTGGTCGCCTCGTCTAGAACCATGAGCTTGGGGCGGGACACAATTGCACGGGCGAGACAAAGTAGCTGCCGTTGACCCTGTGAGAGGTTCAGACCTCCTTCTGAGATCGGTGCTGCGAGCGATGTGAAGACATTCGTGTTGGCTTGCTGGGCCGTCACAGTGTCGGGTGTCGTCGAGCCCGTTCCTCCTGGTTGTCGCGGCGTAGCAGCTTGCGAAGTCAATGTCGCGTCATCGTCGGATGAAGCAATCAAGTGCACGCGGGCAAGGGCGTCGTATAGCTCGCTGTCATTGTACTCTTCAAATGGATCCAGGTTGGTTCGCACAGTGCCCGAGAAAAGAACAGGATCCTGGGGAATAATGGCAAGTCGACTGCGCAGATCATGCAGCTTGATCTTGGAGACATCCAGACCATCGATGAAAATCTGGCCTTGACGAGCTTCCAGGAATCGGAACAAGGCTAGAGTCAAGGATGATTTGCCCGCGCCTGTGCGACCGACAACCCCGACTCGCTGGTTCTTTTCGACGGTGAAATTGAGACCCTTGAGAACGGGTGGAAGATCTGGGGCATATCCCACCACTAGATCAGTAACTTCAAGACGGCCCTCCGTTGGCCAGGCAGCGGGTGCATCGACGCCGCCTTGGTCTTCAAGCTCAATGTTCGAATATTCGATGACGCGCTCGGTGGCATTCATGTTCAGTTCGATGTTGGCGTAGTGCCGCAGCGAGAATGCGATAGCCGTGTTGCATTGCAGAGCGAAGCTTAGAGCAAAGCCTGCCAGCGCTGCTGAGATCCCTGGCATGAGAACAACAAGGGTTGCTGTCATGGTCGAGAAGACTGCGCCCACGAGGTTCATACGGATACCCAGCCAGCGATTGAAAAGCCACATAGTCCACCATGCCTGAGCATGGTCGTTGATCTTGTTGTAGATGACTTCGATGAATGTATCGGTTTTGGTGAAGGCTCGAATGGTGATGAGGCCAGCCAAGCTCGATCCGAATTGTTCGAAGACCGGACTTTTCGCTGTGCTTTCGAGGCGTTTGATTTCACGGGCACCGGCAAGATAGGTGAATGAGAGTTTGAGACAGACAACAAGTAAAACGGCGGCGAATAGAATCACCAGTGGGGAGACAAGCATGCCAGCAACCATCACTCCGCAAACTTCCAACACCGAGCCACCGAAGAATGCAAGGTCGTAACCGATACGCGAGTCGATAAGGTGGAAGTCGGCTGTAAACCGGTTCAAAATTCGACCCAGTGGGACGGTATCAAGCCATCTCAGAGGAGCACGGAGAACCGCATACGTCAGTCCATTGAAAAACTTCCTCGAGGCACGAAGACTGGCCGAGAGGAGGAAGTAGTATCGAGCGGTTCCAAGAATGGTGGCGGCAGTAGAGATGCCAATGTAAATACCCATGTACATCTTGAGGTTGTTGTCGTCTCGGGTTGAAGCACTCTGAACACTTGTCATTGAATGTTGCAAGAGTGTGTGAAGCTGTTCTGGATGGACTTGTGTCCGAGAAGATTCGCCGGCCCAGACATTAATCCACCAGCCCTTTGAACAGATAGTTAGCTATTATTTCCAGCACATGGAGAGAGGCTTCACTTACTCGTCCAACCATGAGTGACGCATAGCCCAGGTATACCAGAACAGTAAGAACCATCGTGAAAGGGTTGAATGCCATGGTAAAATACTTCTTATAGACCGCGAGGCTAATCGATCCCACTTCTCGTCTTTCATCCTCAACAAACTTCTTCGGGTCTGCTTTCTTTGCTAGTACATCCGTATGCGGTGCCGAGGCCGTTTGCTGTCGGTGTGATGTATTCGAAATGACCTTCTGAAGGCTACTCTCCTCGGGATCAAGCAGGTCTTCCTCGACATCTTCTGCAGCGTTCCTATCTTGCTCCGCAGCTGCCTGCTCTTCTCGGAGAATGTCATCCAAGTGATTAGACGTGCGAAGTTCCTCGATAGTCCCTGCATATTTAACGCAACCATTCTCGAGAAGAACAGAGTAGTCGGTTCGAGGCAAGCAGAGGGCCACATGGTGAGTGACAAGAATCCGTGTGCGACCGTTCCCAAGCTCGCCAGTCAGGGCATGTTGATAGACGTATCGTCCTGTGTGTGCATCGAGCGCGCTGAAAATGTCATCCATCACCAGAATCCCAGCCCTAGAATATAAAGCTCGAGCAAAAGATACCCGCCAGCGCTGGCCACCACTAAGGTTGACACCGTTCGCGCCAATGTCGGTCATTTCGCCGTCAGGCAGCATCTCCAAATCCTTTTTGAGCGCGCATGCAGACAGGACCTTCTGATAACGCTCACCATTGTACGGCAGCCCAAACAGAATGTTTTCTTTGATGGTAGCATTCTCGATCCATGGAATTTGAGCAACGTATGCAATGGCGGAATCAATGATCCAGTTTTCACTGTTTGCGAGATCGTCGAAACGTTCGCTGATCGGAGGCGGGACAGGCACCTTGATAGTTCCTTGAAGAACGTCACATTCACCAAGTATCGAGGAAAGCAAAAGACTCTTTCCAGACCCTGTTCGCCCGGAAATAACACTCAGGCCTTTGGTCGGGAATTTCAGATCCATATCCTGCAATGTAAACCGGTCCTCCTGCTCATCGTCGGCAACCTGGCTCTTCTCAGCAGGCCATGCCACAGAGGCATTCTCGAACGCAATTTCATCCGCAGCAACGGTGTTGACAGTTTTCTCTTCCGATGCCATGTAAATGTCGATCCGATCAGCGCTAACCTTTGCTTCCAGGCCATCCGCGATGATCTCAGGCAGGATAGCCAGAGACATCTCCAAGGCTCCAAAAACAGACATGGCCGTGAAGGCAACGGACGCGGAGAGTCCTCCGTGTATAAGCGCGTAGACTGTTAAAGAAACCGCAGAAAGACCGAGCGGGCCTAAAATCCAGATTGCCAGAAGAATAACATCCATCAAGAATGAGGTCCATAGTGCATGCAGCTCTGCCTCTCGAGCATCTCCAATCTTCTTCTGCCATTGTGCCTCCAACGCAGAGAATTTGACTTGCCGAATACCCTGCAGCGCCTCGGTGACAATCGCCATCTTGGAATCTCGCAATTTCATCAACTTAGCCTGGGATCCAGTGAGCCTTTTGGCTGCGTATATATTCAACGGCGTGATGAGCACAGAGACAGCCATGCCAGAGAATGCCGCTTTCCAACCCAGGATCTGGACCAAGAACGTGCAACCAATAACGACTTTCATGATGGCCAATGGGATGAGATAGGCGAATGAGGTAAAGTCGGAGATACGTCTGGCGTCAACGGCTGCGAGATTGATGATACTTTGTCGGCTCTTTTTCAGTGCTGCCTCGTCGTCTTCATCCTCGTCTTCCTGGTCTGCCAGCAAGGCCTTGGCTGCCGCATTCGGTTCGTCCTTGCTTTTCAACTTTTTCGTATGCTTTGCGTCTTTTCGTCGCATTGATTTGGCAAAGACGGTCGCGGAAAGCTCTGCGTAGATTGGAACAAACAATTTCGAGCAAACGGACCAGAACACCCACGCCTCAATACTGGAGTACAGCAACATCAGTGCGCCAAGTGCAAACACCCAGATTATGGCCTGTATCGGGTTCCAGGATTCCCCGCCGCGAGATTCGAGCACGCGGAGAATATTGAATAGTGCTGTCTGAGGTCCAAAGCTCAGCACGCAGAGCACGAGCGTGAGGAAAAGCTGCAGACCAAGCTCCCTCCAGTGCGCAATAACGAGGGCTTTCCATAGTTTGCGCGTTCCTCTTGATTTTTCAAAGTTCTCTCGTAAACGGTCCGTCCGTCTGTCCGCGCGGAGTCGGGGTAAATCGGTTACCTCGAGCGTCCGATTCTCCACGGCGTAGTTCAAAGTGCTGTTCGCCCAGGTGAATGTGAAGCGTCCAAGAGCTGACACTGAGTATTCTCGATCTACAGCGCGCCCTTTGAAGAAGAGGTCTGGCTTGCGTGGTAATAGGACACTGCATAACCCGCGAATGAATGCGCTGGTAACTTGGGCAATAGTCAAGCCAGCCCAGATCGGCTGTCTAAGTAGAATACTCTGCGAAGACCATGCGAAATGTACTTCTAGGCAGGATACTGCAAGAGCAATCAGACTACCCACGAAGGCATATTGGCCCAGATTGAATCTTTCGGTAGGACGAGGCTCGGTGTAAAAAGCCATCGCTTGAATCGAAAGCAGGATCTATAGATATACTGTATTAGTCTAGAATGTTCGTCATGGCACTGCTCAGGAACAGTGCATGAGGTATTACGCACCCAAATACTAAATTGCAACCAGTTCAGAACTATAAAATCATTCAACCTGAACGTTGTGAACACAGCCAGAGCCAACGTCGCGAGTAAGCCGGTAGCCGAAAAAGCCCAATCGCCGCTCTCTGCCACTTGTCGGAGAACGCGCGCAAAGACTCCTCCGTCGCCTCGCCGTCTTCATCGCGATATGCAGTCTTGGCCAGGGTATGCTCATCCTGTCGGGGCGATCTACGGCATATCCGATCGGTGACACTTCGCGCAGCAGGGATGCTGTCGACGCCGACCAGAAGTAAGGCGACCGACCCCGTCACCAAGGACACGACCTGGGCGTTTGGGAGCATTCCTCAAACGAAGCTGACTTGTATGAATGGGAGAAGAAGAGAGGAAAAAAAGGGGGTGGAGCTGCACTCCAGACTGCATCTGCCCGGGCTTATCTCGATCCTATCCTCGCAGGGAGTCATAGCGGGTCCTCCTACTTCTCGTAAGTATAATAAGCAAGGTGACATCGACGAGCGGGGAAAGCCGCTCTTTTCTTTTGGTTGCTCGTTTCCTGCGCAACCGGTGAGTCAAAATCGAAGGAGCAAGGCTCGTATTTGCCGCAACGGCCACCTCTGATTTTTGGCAGCGACAATGCTTGATATGCGCACTGCGACGCCTACTGACGGTCGACGGGGGTGGTTGGCTTGCAGCCACCCAGCGGTCCGAGAGTCGTCGGGTTGGCACAACGGGGATCAAAGAACGGTGAAGCGCGGGCGAGTGTCATTGGTGGTCATCTTGAGTCATGCCTCCGACTGGTTGCGTCGTGCATGTTCTGCAGCGGCGGGCACCTCTCTGGGAAGTTGTACGTACGCGCAGATGTGCCTGCAGTGGAGCCGTGAGTATCGAGGAGGTGGGGCCCTCAGTCTCTGCATAATTCGGTCTCGATGAAGCCGAGTGGAATGGAGAAAGTGGTTCGTATGACTGCAGGATACAACGGAAGTGGCTGTATGCGGATTCAAGTTCATAAAGATATGAAGAAGATGAGAGGTAAGTGTTGCGGCGGTGGCAATTGACACCTCGGCCTGGCCTGAGGCCACGGCTTCGGGTGAGTGAACTATAAAGCCGCAAAGGTTTCACTATCGGATCCTTCGATGAGAATATTTCTGAAAGTAGTTGTGTTTCAGTTCCAGACCGTCTATTCCGGCTCTCATAGTTCGTCAATCCGAAATCATGGCAGTCGGGTCGCACGGTGCTATCTTTTCTGACACAACCCATGCCTCTCTCGGATTACGCAGCCGGGTCGCAAAGCACCCAATTAATAGCCCGAGTGGCGGAATAACAGAGGCGTAAAACAATCTGATTTTATCGGTCGAATTCTCATTTCCCTAATTTTTATCAAATGTCTGGCCCTGATAAATTCACTAATTTTATCAGTGCGCAATGCTTCTGGAAGTACTTTGACTGGAACTTCGGAATCGACAACATCCATTCAAAACATCCCATCACGACAGAATCCTATCTCTTAATGTGATTATTCAAATAATCACTAAAATACTGCTCTTTCTACTAACCGTTAGCCTCTGAACCAAAACCCGCCCAACCTCCAGAGTAGTGCAGAACAAACCTTCTTCCCCACAAACCTAACAAAAACATCCTCATACTTCCTAACCTCATACGGCTCCGTCCTCAGCAAAACCAGCCTATGCTTATTACACCACCCCTTCATACTCCTCAATGTCGGCGCCCCATGCACAACCCCAATCATCGGGTCCAGCACGAGGCTCACATCCAAATTAGCCGGACTAACCAGCAACGGATCATGGGCGTCCCCTTCTAACAGGTACTCCTCCCGCAGCGCAGAGATCTCATTTTCGACGGTGGTTTTGGTCCCGTCGTAGGGCGACTTGTGGTGGCCCACTTCGTCGTCTGTGCCGCTTTGGCAGGTCTCTGCTCGGTCGGGTTTTAGTGCTTGCCGGTCGAGGATCCATTGGTCTGTGGTTGGGTCGGTTGTTTGTGTTTGGATATGTCGGGTGAGAGGGAGGACTTGGCGGAAGGGTATGGTTGTTAGTGGGCGGGCTCGTAGGACTGGGAGGATATTCATTTTGGTTGTGTGAGTGGGAGTGTAGAGTGTGGACCACTGGATATGGCATGAACTTGGATATATGTAGTTGATTGCGATTCTGAAGCTGCGGAGAAGCGTCGTGCGACGAGATGACATCACCATTTTCAAGAAGTCATGTGCCTTGAACTTAAGATGAGTATGGCTTCTAACGCCTGTGAATGGTTGGATTTTTTGGATGAAATCAGTTGCCGTCATTACCAGCGGCTGGCTTTTTACAAGCTGGTCGAAACCACTACTGCAACTGCCACAGTAGCACGGTCAAGACCAGCGACAACTTCGATCTTGGGAATAGATAATTGTGAAAGTAACATAAAGACAATCATCCTGAATATAAGCATTTTGCAAATCCTTCATATCCACCTAGACTCCTCACGGTAGAACAACCAACTCTCCATCAATATTCGCAATATGATCCGCCAAATCAATCTCATTAGACACAAACTCCCCGTCCTGGCCAACAAGATCACAATGAAGAATCGGTTCTCGATCGGGGCCGTCCGAGGAAATACTCATATTGCGCGCATTCTTGCTGAAGCCCTTACCGCCCCAGGCAATGTGTCCTAGCATTAACACTACCCGTGAGATGAACTGAACTTTCTGTAGTTTAATGATCTTATCTGCTGATCTACTCACCATCCTCATTTCCGAGATAATCATCCAACAGGAGATCCGTTTCCAGGCCGCTTCCTTCATCGTTGTTGCAAATTGCGACGAGGGATGTGGCGCCGGGTTTGGAGTTGAGGTGGACGTCGCAGGCGGTTTTTTGGAAGGACATTTTGATTCCTCAAGTGTTAGATTGTGAATGGAGTATCTAGGGTAGTTAAGAAAGGGACCGAAGATGTAGTTGTCTGAGGCGTGCGGGGTCTTGTTATTTCACTGTACTTCTAGGTCATGTGGCGAATTGGCTTGGTTGGGTCAACCGTTGCTTGATGAGCCGTGGAAGAATAATCGGGTTCATCATGACGTATGGTAATGAGGGGTTTCCTGGATGAGAGGTTCCCTGGAACCCCTTGTCTTTTCTTAGTCTTTTTAGTGTTTGTTATATGATGGTTGGATAGCCAATGGCCTGACCGATAACTGAAGTTCATTTGACATCACTCAGCTAAGCTATCAGGCTACTTCACAACAGACCCTACAACAGTAGAAGAATAATAAAGAAAATAAAATCAAATTCTCAAACTAACACTCGTAACTCATAACCATATCCGCATCGTATTCATACAATCGAAAATTTTAGAACCGCTGAGTCTGAGTGTGCGGTTGAGCAGCGTTCGATCCAACAGTCTTCGACCCATCAAGGTCAGAATCAACACGCGGATCGAGCTTGTTGGCCATATCACTCTTATGTGGACCAGAAGTGCTCTTTCTCGTGCCGGTGTTGTAGCTGCTACCAGCACCAGCACCAAGAGTCTCATGCTGCGACTGGTCAAAATTCTTGGTGGTCGTCGGAGCCTTGGAGCCATAAAGACCAGCAATCTGGTTACCGCCCATAATGCTGCCCTTGTGCACGTCCTTGTCGAAGCGGTTCTCGCCCGAGAACTCCCCGCCGACGTGGTCGTTCTTTGCCTTGCTCATGTCGCTGTCGACGCGCGGGTCCGCTTCGTTGGCGATGTTGCTCTTGTGTGGGCCTGCGGTTGAGGAGGCCGGGCCTGTTGCGGTTGTGTTGGTGGCATCTGTGGTGCCATAGCCAGTTCCAGCAGTGGTGCCAGTGCCAGTAGTGGCAGTGCTGGGCTGGTGAGAGGCCACCGAGCCGTGGTGGCCGGTATTGGTGGTGCCGATGGGGGCGCCGTGACCGGTGGTGTGCGAGGCGCGGTTGTCACGGTCGCTGTCGAAGCGAGGATCGGCCTTGTTGGCGATGTTGCTATCGTGGGGACCATGGTTGGTTGAGGTGGAGGTTCGGTCGTAGGTTGAGCCCGTGGTACCGGTAGCGCTGGTGGTGGGATAAGTCGAGCCAGCAGTGTTGTAGGTGGAGCGGTCGCTGTCGACGCGGGGGTCGGCGGCGTTGGCAGTGTTACTGTCGTGGGGACCGTAGTTGGAGGAGCGGGAGGAGTCGTGGGTGGTGGTGTTGCCGGTATGGGAGGAGTTGTCGCCGTGGTGGTGGACGGCGTCCTTGACCTTGTTGATGAGACCCGACATGATGGTTGATTGATGCAGCTGCTAGTGGATAATTGTTGGAAGATGGATTTGGAAGATGAATGTGAAGTGCTTTGGATGTGTGAATTGGAAGATGGATTGAGGTCGCTCATAGGGGTTTATATAGATGCTCGTTGTCCATGACGCCATAAATCTATCAAACAAAGACATGACGTGGAATGCCCCGCATGGAAGGCCGTGGTACACCCTACATACAATCGTATCCTAGAATGGAATCAGGTGTTGACAATTGAGCCGGTGTTGGTAGTGTAGCTGGAGTGTTGGAGTGCAAACCGGGCAGGATGACGGCGCGGCACGTCATAGCCGAAGCGCCACCGGCAGCGGGATCTTCAGCCTTACCTGACCTATACTAGACCACTTACAATATGTACTCACGGAATGTTCTATTTTGGAGTTTTAACTGCGATCAGCTTAAAAAATATCCGGACGTGAAACGTTAGTGGAGTGCATTGCTAGCGCCTTCCAGCTGATGCTTTTGCGTCATGGCAATGGTCGGAAACCGGCTGATCGCCAGACATCTGGATTACGGTGTCGATCGCTGAATTAATCTAGACAACTGGGTCAGGTACGTAATATCCGATCGGTCGATGATCGATAACTTATCATGTACGTTTACATTTACCCCTCGGGGTACTCTACTCTACTACAGTAGGTACTGAAATAATTGAATGGTGGCGGAACAGGAATAGTCCTAACGCTGGTCATCGCGAATCTCTACATCCACGTATGTACATGTACATACGTAAGCATCAAGCTGGTACCTCCCGAATTCGAATAGGTTCGCCCACCTCAGGGCCAGGCCATGATGAAATCCCCCACCAAGCCAAGCATCACATCACGCCTTCGGCACCCATCCTCTCCTCGGCACAAAGTCCTGCACGCCCTCGTCATCCAAAACATCCTTCCCCAACCGGCCAGTCACCACACTCCTCTCAACCTCCGGCCCAAGGACATAGAAGGGCTCGAACCCCTGAATACTGCGAGTAGCACCGTGAGTAGCTCCTCCATTCCGGACCCAGACCTGTTTCCCGTCCCTGCTCTTCACCCGCCGAAATCCTGATCCCACCGTATCAATCCGCAAGTACCACGTCCGACCGTGAACAGAGCCAATCGTATTGAATGAGCCCGGGTACGCGTTGGTCTCCCGTATCTCCCTGTCGTCGCCGTCAGAGAGGTCTGTTTCCTCCTGCAGAGTAGTCTCGCCACGCTTCGGCTCCGGGTCTCGGGGGGACGGTGGGGACATCGAGTCGGGGTCTGTGGGGGGCGAGGGTGACATGCGGGCTGCGGGTCGACGGCGATTTTTGAGGGAGGTCTTGCCGGTGCCGGTGCCGGTGCCGGGTTTGTGTTTGTTTTGTCGGACTAGGGAAATGGTGTAGTTTTTTGGGAGGCGGATGCCGTTTAGACGGACCTTGATTTTGCGCTGTGCATCATTAGTTCTTTGCTTATTGAATTTTCGAGGGAGAACTTACTCGTTGGAATGCGTCGCGAAGCTTGGAACTTTCGGAAATCGCTGGGGCGTGGCCTCCGTCAGAAGAGGTGTCGTCGGTGTCGGGCTGGTCTTGCCCTGTGCGGTAGGGCAAGATCTGGAAGTCACCTGTATCCCAGATTATGACGCTTCCCTGGCCTAATGATGCTGTTTCAGCTAGGTTGTACTGAGATCATTAGCCTCTTCCCCCAATTAACCTTGGGAGCGAATTTTTAGTATGGATGGACACACCGACAAACCATGAATCCTCGTCTCTGTGGCATTCCTTCTATTATCCTGATTAGGATCACCAGGTAGACCATACATGATAGCCCAGCAGACGGTACTGGAATCCGAGAATTGCAGTCTGAGATCATAGTGCGGTCCGGCGACGGGGTGATCATGCTGATGGATGACGAAGTGATGGCCGTTTGAATGTGCATGGCGCCGGTAGAGGTCAACCCACTGGTCGATTGGAAGATGGGGTGTTGACCCTTGTTCTGAAGCTGGAAGGATACTCTTCCTAAGTTTCATTGACCAGGTGTCAAGATATTCCGAAGTCTTTGGGTCAGATGGAGTGATTTTTGAGGGGTGCGGATTGTCGCCATCTTGGCCATTTGCTCCCCGTCGTTTTGGTGGTGGGGAAACGGATTTTTGCAAAGATGATAGATGAGGTGCTCGATTTGATTCAGAGTGCGGAGAGTGAGAAAGCGGAGAGGTTCGGCTGCGTTTCATGATAGCATGCCTCGTTGCGTGCTCTGACTTCAACCAAAACTGGACGATGTAGTACAGGTTCCACTCATGTCAAGAAGAAGGAGAGAAGAGGGCGAAGCTAGCCGCCGAGGTATGTAGTCGAGCTAATAATGAAGGTCGAGATCTGAGTTCGTTGAAGATCAGAACGCTTAGTCATGACGCAGGAACGCTTTGAATGGACTACAACCCACTAGACAAAAATTTGCATTAATTGCATTTTAGCTTGATGCGAGGTAATATGAGCCTTATCTGCGAACTCTCTGGGGAGTGTTTGTTCCGCTTGATAAAATGGCTCGGAGTGCATCAGTTGTCTTTCTGGGATCACCACCACACTTTGCTACACCGAGTAAAATTCTCCTAAAATGGACCATTTGTTTCCCGGTGCTATTCAAAAGCTCAAATAGAAATTGGAAATATTCTACTGCAGTGGGTATCAGATATCGTCTAAATCATGATCGCACACGCCAAATCAAGAATGTTCTCGCGCATAATCAAGCCAAGTCCATAGTCCGGAATCCTCAAGGGTTGTTCGATTTAACCCGGACGCTCTGGGGGTTGTGAAAAACGTCGTTTGGGTCAATGTCCCTCTTAATAGTTTCCAATCGCGGCAAGTTACTACCCCAATAGGCGTACTGCGCATTTTCCATGTACGGATCCACGTAGCCAGGATAGGCACCAAAGCGGGCGCCCGGCTTCTCCGAGCGCAAGATAACATCGTTCAGGCCCTGAAGGAAATTCTTACTTTGGCGCGAGACCGGGCCAAGAAGGTTGATGGCGTATGACTGCATCCACATGAATGCATCGCGGTGAGCATATGCCGTCGCGTCCATGGGCACATCGTTTGTCGCGCCCGCCTCCAGGTCGAAAATGATAAACCAGGCGAGGGTGTCCTTGGGAGTTTTATCGATATATTCAAACAGCGCATCAACGCCCTCGTCCGGGATTATGGTCGCATTGGTGAATGGTAGAGATTTCGAGTAGAAAGAAACCGGGATACCGCCAGCAGCCTGCTCGATGAGGTCTTCTGCCCGGCTACCGATCATCCCTAGCCAGTTGCTCAGCGTCAAAACGGTCGAGGAGCTGGCCATGGGGAAGTGATTCTCGAGTTCAAACGCGTCGAATTCCTCTCGAGTCCCAAAGTACGTTCCCGAGACAATCACACCCGCCTCGGTGACCACCAGCTCGCTCGCAAACTTACGAGTCAGCGTCTCATTCGAGACGAGCCTCTGCCAATCTTTGAATACATTTGCTTTGTCCCTGCTGCTCCCCATAGTCCACGTGAATGAATATTGATACGCCTGCGTTGGAGCAGGATGGGTATGCAGTTTGAACTCGGTCACAATGCCAAAACTCGCTGCAGCCCCTTTGATCGCGAATAAAACATCCTGATGCTGATCCTTCGTGGCTTGTACGATTGTCGAGTTGGCCAGCACGACGGTTGCTTCTTCGACATGGTCTAGCGCCATGCCCCATTCGCGCGATTTCGGACCCAGCCCGCCGATGGTGAAATGGCCCCCGGTACCGACTTGTCCACAAGTGCCGTGGGCAACGGCACGTCCGCCTGCATCATTGAGGCGGGTGGTCAGGTCGCGGAGGAGGGTGCCGGCTCCAATTGTCGCGATTTGTGTGTTGGGGTCAATGGAGAATTGCTGGAAATTCTGGAGATCGACGACGATGGCTCCATCGGTTCCTCCGAGTCCTATACAACCGTTTAGCTCAATGCCCAAATAGGAAGTGAGGGATCGGATGGAATGGAATGTGGCATACCATAGTTCCCATAACTGTGTCCACCGCTGCGAGCCTGGACCTTATAGCCGTTGTCAGCGGCACAGCGCACGATCTCGGCGACTTGCTCGTTGGTGTCGGGGTAGGTTATTGCGGTTGGGACGACTGGGAAGTCCAAGTTGTAGAGTGGAGTGATGCGCAGAGAGCCGCGGAAGGCGATCTTGCTGGGGTTGTAGGCCACAGCTGCGAGGAGGCAGTCGTGCCCGGGAATGCTCGGGGCGTTTCCCATTTTGGCGCGGTGAGAGGCGAGATGGGAGAGGACGAGAGGGAAGTTGAGAACAATTGAGGTGAAGATGGGATGAAATGAGGGTTTCACCTAATCGGGCAGCGGCATCGCGAGTCGCGAGGAAGGCGCGAGGCATTGGATTGTTGGAATGCTGCGTCACTTCTGTTTCGCCCTACCTTGATTTTACGAATGGACGAAGGGCAGTACTCCCAGCACAATGCCATTGTTGCTAGTACACTGTCGTATTTCCCCCAGTATACTCCAGATACACTACAGTATAACCTGGGGTACCTTGCTGGGCCCCATCCGGGCCCTATGAGCGGGAATCCAGTACAAGAGACGTTCCTGCATGTGTGTAACATTTTGAGCAGGATATCCGAGTAGCCTCGCTGGCATGAAGAATAGTTGCAACCTCACCACCTCCCAAGTGTTAACAATGCGCAAATGGGCACTGATAGAAAGTGCTCCACTCGGGGACATCAGGTCGCCGGGGACCACCGCAGGTCCCCGAGCTCGTCGCCGTTTCCTGCGCTTTCAGGAGTCGCCTTCGCTTTTCCTTTTCACTATCTGCCCTCCTCTTATCTTCCATCTCTGCCTTCAATCTCACTCCTGCTGGCTGGCTGTGCTTGTGTGGTGATACTGAAATTCGCCGAGATACTTTGGATGACATCAAATAAACTTTAATGGCTTAACCGCGAAATATCAACCCCGTCCTCCCTTCATTCAGACATACAAGTGACTACAAGTATGTTCACACCAGTGCACACCTCTCTGGGCGCCCTGCTCCTCTTCCAGGGCTCCTCGGGCCTCCTCGTGCACAACGGAGCCGTCTTCGGCATCTCGTCCCTGATATCTAGCTCCGTCTTCAATCCCGGCAGGGAGAACGTCCCCATCGTTGCCGGACTGGTCTCGAGCATCTTGCCAGTATACCTACTGGCCCCGAGTTTGCTTCCAAATTACCCTGCCGCACCCGATTCATTGGCGTCGGCGGCCGCAACGGCGGGCGTGGGATTCCTTCTAGGCTGGGGCACCAAGGTGAGTTGCTTCCCGGTACAGCGGCATGGGGAAGAAAATGGGGAGGGTTTATTTGGGTCGGAGCTAATGTGAGCTGTTCCTGCATTAGAATGGCCGAGGATGTACCTCTGGCCATATGCTGTGCGGTTTATCCCGTCTATCGCCGCGCTCACTAATCGCGACAACCATCTTCTTCACCACGGCCCTAATCACCGCTAATATCGGGTCACTCATTCCTTCATGCGGCTCGACACCATGCTACACACCCGTGTATCCCTCCTCGACAGAAACAATCTTCATCGCCGGCTCGGTGCTGTTGTCTGCTATCACGAACTTCATCATCGTACCACAACTCCCCCGATCCAAGCAGTCACGAACAGTCTATTCCTTTCTTGCAGGGCTCCAATTCGGTCTCGGTCTGTTAATTTCGGGCATGGCGGACTCCGCAAAAGTCCTGCAATTCTTCGCTTTCCCCACGGATTTATCTCGATTCGACCCCTCACTGGCATTGGTCATTGTCTTTGGTATCGGTCCCTCGTTGTTGACCTACCTGTCTCGGCAGCCGGGACAAGTGCCAGAGAAAGATAAGCTGGCGACGAAGCCGACTCTCGCGGAGCGTTGGCGAGTTCCTACTGCGACGGTGGCTGATATCGATTGGCGGTTTGTTGCTGGTGCGCTGGCTTTCGGCGTTGCCTGGGGCTTGCGAGGTGTCTGTCCTGGGCCTGCTCTGTTGCGAGCTGTTTGCCAGCCTACCTGGGGACTGATCACTATGAGTGGATATTTGCTTGGGAATCTTTTCTAGGGGGAGTAGAGGGAGAGACTGCGAGGTCAAAATTGGATAAAGTCCCATAGAAGGATGCATTGTGTATAGTAGCTAATGAGAATCCGTCATAATAACGCCAATCGCTCAAAGGAGGATAATTATAGGCTGTACAAAAGAAATCAGCAAGTGTCTATCAATCATGATATAGAAAAAGAGATCTACAGGGTATATATATGACCACCAAAAGAGACGGGGACGGGAAGGCTTACAATTCGGTCTTCTTGTCCAGAATAGCCTCCGCTTCAGGCGATTCATTCCGTCGTGACGCTTGCTCTGAAACGTCGAAGTAGCCCTCCAACTCCATCCATTCAGCGGCAAAGGCGGTAATAACAAGTCCCCAATCCTCCACGGTAGGCATATCAAGATGCCCCGCATCATCATCAGGAGTATGCCAAACAGGCGGGAATCCCTTGAACGGCGAAAAATCAATGAGATGAAGGACCTCGACGCCGCGTGCCAAGAACGGTAGATGGTCATCCTGAATCCCGCCCAAGGGCGCGACATCATGAGAGTCTTTGTGCGCATCGATGAACCAATCTCGCTTCGCTGACGACTTCAACTGTCCCAGTGATCGCAGACGCTTTTCAGCAGTTCCGAGACTTTGGTACGCCCAATGCGTAGTCGGGTAGTAGGATTGGATATAGGGGGATTTGGAACCAAGAAGGTCCAGGAGGACAAAGAGCTCGATGGAGGATAGCGGCGTCTTGAACGTCGACATGGCCGGGTACATTTCCGCGCTCCAGTTCGATGCTAATGCACGCGCACCGTATAGAGAGTCCGTGGCCGTCCAATGGTCAAAGGCCTCTTCGCCGTCCAAAAAGATAATCTGGATGCCATGCCGTTCATCGAGCGGATCTATGCCCTGCGCTTCCATCGCTGCCCATTTCTTATCCAGAGCCGCATCAATGCTACGCATAGCATGCATGATCACGGCGCATGGTGCCGCGCTATCAATGGCCCCGATGAATCCCTCCGGTTCCAGCTTGCTGTCGTAATGCGCTACCAACGTCAACCGCCCGACGTCGCCGGCCGGTGCCCCGGGCGGATCGCGCGTAGCGATGAAATTGACAAAGGGGACCTCTTTCCCCTTCGAAACCGGCGTCGTCGATGTGGAATTTTGCAGCTCGATCTGCCATTTCGGTAACGTGGTCTGGAAGAAGTTGGCAAAGTGCTCGAGGACGACTTCGTGGCCGGGGGTCCCGGGAACGCGGGTCTGGAGGATCGGGGCGAGAATCGCGCCGGAATGGATATCGTAGTCTTCACTCGCGCGCGGGAGGGATTTCAGCGTTTCGTCCGAAAGTGGCTCATATGCCTCTGCGGGAAATAAGAAGGCAAGTACGCTGATCCAAACAATCAATAGGTGGCCCCAAAGGCCATGATAAGCCGGAGACATGGCAAAAATCGCTAGCTGCTCATGACTCGCACGATGTCCAAAATCACGAGTCCCAGGCCGGCCGGGCGACTCTATATATACCGTGGAGTGAGGAGAGGAGCGTTTCCATCCGAAAGGAGGGAGACAATTGCGGAAGTAACCAGGCGGGATCGCCGGGCGGTCGCCGCTCAAAGCAACGGCCTCGGTGGAACCACAAAGCCTCACTTTCTTCCCTCCGCACCATGCGCCTCCTCCTGCACCCCAGCTTGCGCGCGCTGCCGAGGGCCGCTCAGCGCGACCTGCGCAGTCGCATCTGGCTGCGTCTCAAGTCGCAGGGTCCGCGGCCTTCGCAGCGGAATACCCCCAAAGCTCCGTCAAAAGGCGCGGTGCATGAGCCGCCGACGCCGACAGTGTCCTCCGCTGAATCGGTCAAGACAACGATGAGGAAAGGTGGGACAAACATGAAATGAACGGCTTCGGGCAATTGAAGGACATATGTGCTGATTCGGGGGTTACAGGTCCACCGGAACGTATACTGATTTACTATGGCGGAACTGGCCGAGCCATGTTCCTGGGCATGATGAGAGTGACAACCATTTTCTTGTTTGGCGCCGCTTGCTTCCTCGTGGCACCCTTCTGTTACGCCGACGAGGAAAGGCAGTGGATGACCCCGTTAGGTGAGTTTTGTTTTCTTTGCGCAAACTCAATTGCGGATCTGGGTCGCCGTCACAATTCTAATCTTTTGTTCCTAGTCATCGCCGGAGGTGCAGTTCCCATGATCTCATTCGCATACGTCGCTTCACCTTACGTCAACTTCATCCATCTCGCCCTCCCCGCCTTTGCCCGGAGATCTCGTGAAATGGCTGCCCACTACGCCAAGGATCTTCCACCGACGGCCGTTCTATATCTCAACACTATGCGGTGGAACACTATTCCGCGCCAGACTACCGTCCGTCTGGGAGACCTCGTGTCGGACAGGGACCCTATTCGACCTGTTACTTTCCGGAATCTGAAGCCTGTTCAACTGCCGTGGTGGAGGACGAAAGCGCCGACTCAGTTCTTTGCTGCTGCTGAAAGCAAGCCTGGGAGACAGACAACAGCGTTCTACCCGGAGATGTGGCCGGCTATTTATAATCGGATCCAGAGTCAGGCGAAGAAGAGGTAGTTTGCCCTGGGCGGATTTTGTTTCTTACATGACTGTATGATTATCTTGCATCGACCTCACACCTGTACTATTAGGAATCAGCCAATACATATTCAGTATTTCCCTCGTGTTCATTTGCCCAAAGTGTACGTAATGGTCTTAGTACACTAGTGTAGGAAAGGAGGGTGCAGTTTATTTCGCTAGAAAGACAATCTTGATCCTTCATAGTTGGAAGCTGCTACCACCGTGACCACCTGAACTCCGGTCATTTCCTCGGACTTTTGTTCGAATAATGTGAAATCCTGATAACTTGCCTCAGAATACCTTTGGGACATAAGAAGTTACTGTAACACCAAATTCTCAATCACATATATTGCACCGCGGAGACAAAGAACCTTGGAAAGAGTGAGACGAGAGCTGTAACAAAATTCAATTTTCCCTTGTTCGTTCTCTGTTCCAGAAGTCTTGCCGTGCTCTCTGCTCAACCATATGAATAAGTTGGCAACACTTCGAGAAGCCGGCATATTTTACCCTTTCATGAATAGGAAGAGTCGAGCCATATGAATACCTCCGCACCTGAGTGATCTCCCAAGACAATCTGTTGGTACCACCAGCTAGGTACTGTGTACACAGTTAAGTGGACAGTGTGTATGCTCCAAAGAAAAAGTCAATTGATTCATGTAGATAGATTTTGATTCTCAGTCTAGTTGGAAAACACCCCCAGATCCCACACGCCGGCCTTCGGCGGTCACAACACCGGGGACGCAGCCCAACGCAAGAACGCGTACACCAAGCAAGGGATATGATCCATCAGTCGCTAGCAGTGGATCACCGCTAGTTTGTTCTGACAGGAGGATATATCCCGACACAATCATATCACAAGACACGAGTACACAGAGGTCGCTGTTCATAGTATAGTGTTTTGGCAGGCATATAAGACGCTCATCGTATGACGCATTCTTCACAGCGATTCGAAACAGTACCAGGGCCTCTACATCGAAATACAGCAGCACCTTTGTCGTGTATATCTTAATAGAATACAGTGATATTCGAAATCAGTTTTACCACTTCTCTCTCTTTTGTTTCTCAAAGCCCCACTTAAGCTGCACTAGTCCATATCGGGTTCTCTTTCCGCCACTTCCGAATCCGTCGATGTACCTTCCATAGGGCTGCGTAAATTACGGTAATAGTACCTCTTGGCAGCCTAGAATATTCTCTTACACAATGAGAAATGAACGAAGACTTACGTATGTCCTGAGACTGGATCTTATAACCTGCAACACCTGACGCCTCATGTTAAATTTATAATCATCCATCGTAGGAAGATGATATTGGTATTAAACCAAAACGGTCAACCTAAGACGGCGCTTAATCTAGCCACCTCGAAGCACAAGCTTATTTATGACATGACCATCAGCAGAGAATCTCGTACGCCAAAGAACTGTAGCTGTGGACTGCAGGAATGGTTATATGCTGAGAGGCTACTCCGATGTATGATTGTATGGCTATTTAGTAACGGAAATGCCGTGTCTAACAGAGATGGCCAGCGAGAAATATTACATAACATTGAAATGCTAGTTAGCAGGGAAGGCTGGCTTGTGATTTAGTCAGATGACACTATTGATGTCACACAAGTTCCATATCCAAGATACAAAATCTCGAATCGGCGTTCGTATGCGAACTTCAATTTGTCTCTGCTGGCCCGAAGAAAACTGCTTGGGGCTATAAAAGAGCAACAGCACTCACTAGGCCACTGAGCAGATCATGCTACCAAGAACTTGAGCTCATTCGAGTAGACTTAAAGCTGCAAAAAACAGCGGCAGCAGGGCTTGCAAGGCTGTGGTGCTGGTAACAGTAGCATAGTTTCAGGTTATTCACATGTGCGGTCGTGAGAGATGCTCAGTCAGCCTATCGACTCCAGGGCGGCCAGGACCAAGACCTTCCGAGAGTCATAAGAGATGGGCGCTTAGTTTGTACTCGCTCCGTCGACTGACTATCCGAGGTCTTATACAAGAGGTAAGCCCTGCTGTCATCTTGAGCCGATGCACTCAACGCTGTATCTCTGTAAAGACATGTTGAGAGGCTGTTCAGGAACGAAACGAAAATTGAATCCTCAATTAGGTCCTGAATACTTCTCACAGCGGCGTCGAGAGTCTCAGGCGAGGGTGGTGTCGACGTAATTTCGTTTTTCAAAAGGTCATCACGTATTTTGACAGGTAAATTGACCTCACGGGCTGCCCCTGGGAGGATGTATGTCTTCAGAAGAAGCCGGTAGAGCAGATTCAGGTCGATACTTGCCGAGCACTTGGTTGCAACAGGGGGCTCCTTTGCTGGCTCGACTGATGACTTGTAGCTTTCGCAATATCGTTTCGCTTCGAGGACAAACTCTAATGTCTCAACACAGTGGTTTTGGGAGAGGTATTTCATGAATGCGCTGAGGGAGTACGGTGGAGGTGCGGTATTATTTAGCACTTCATCGAGCGACGGCCACCAAGCTCCTTCGTAGGACTTGGATCGGAGGTTCTTTAGCGTAGCCGGTGTCTTTGTAACACCTATTGATGAGTCGCCGGAGTGGGAACTGGGCATCATATAAGGAGTTGTCAAAATAAAGTTTGGCGGCTAGTTGAGATGCATAAGACAATTGACGAAAAGGAAAATGAACAATCAGTCTTATAAGACAAATTTTATCTTGAGAATACAGAGGTACAGAATAGTGGTTTCCATCTAAGTGGTCTACTTAGACGGTAGCGAATAAATGGTGTTCTCGTGATGTTCTAGGCCATTTGAGGCGTAGGTGAACCATGAGTGGACTGATGGCATATTGCCGGTGGTGACTGTGGGTCAGGGTGGCACAATTCGAACCTGTCTAGAACCCGTGCTTGGTGAAATGGCCGGACAACCGGCTCTGTATAGGATGCTTTTAGTCGGAGATTATCCATTTATCCATCCCCGGAAGATGGTTCTACATGTTCAAGGCTTACTTAATTTTTTTTTCTCCAAAAAAATCGCTTGGCAGATTTTACGCCCTACTGACACAGGTGGTACTCCCTAATATGATCAATTAGCTTACCATCGGTCTTTTTATCCCAATGATAGGCCTTACAGAATTTTAGATGTCAGTCACTCAATCCAACATCAATGCTCAGCTAAAGAGCAGTTTGGATTGGCCCTGAGGGCCAGCATTGCCCAGTGTGCAGATTGATGGGAAATATACCTCCATCCTATCGCTCCTGCCTATCACAGCCCACAAGACTTCGGGGCTCGGTAAGTAATTCCGTGAGTGGCGAATTCGTCTGCGATTTGTACGTATATTTATTTCTTCTCTTACTTTTCTCTCGGGATTGCTGCGCCTTTCCCATGAATGCGGCGTCGTTCAAAATAGGGTCGAACCTCTTAGAAGTGTCACCCATTTGAGCTATGGAGGCAACTCTTTTAACTACTAACTATTACTGATATGGAGGTGTTTGATCAAATTTCAGATTTAGCATGTGCGTTTCAATGAGGAGGCAAGGCCACCTGACATGGTGCCCGTCACCCAGTAGAGCGGATCGCGGTAAACTGGCAAACGTATGGAGGAGGCCTAGAATAAAGGAAATCCGGGGAAAGACATTGGGTGGAATAGCATAATACTGCAGCGGTTAAGAAACGCCCGACTGCCAAGGGATGCTATTACAGTAATTTACGCAGCCTTAAGGAAGGTACATCGATAGATTCGAGAAGTGGCGGAAAGTGAACCTAATATGGACTAGTGCATCTGAAGTGGGGCTTTGAGAAATAAAGAGCGAAATGAGTGGTCAAACTAATTTTGAAAACTACTCTGTACTAACTATCACTCAAAATCTTTCATTGATTGCTTTATCTTTGTAAATCGATCATATCTCTGGCCTCGGAGTAAAGCTCATCGTATCCTTTACGCTTCAGGCTATTCTGGTATAGTAGAGTAATGTTTAGCTGAACCTGTTCCTCTCTTGAAACGGGTTGATTCGTTGATTCTGGAAGAATGTATTAGTTCTTTGGAGTTGTGTTGTATGTCATGACTTTACACAAGATAGCGGAATTTGATGACATGGCCATATAGGTACGGCTCTTGCGGAAGGCCGGTCCCACGGACCCGAGTAACCGATGGAGTTTTCCATTGGAAAAGATCCATTTTAGCTAAAACCTGCTGCCTGAATCAAATATCACTTCATATAAGCATCTGCTCGACTTCTCTCTGCCTAACGCAGATTCTTTTGGTGGACTGAGAACTCTCGCAGCCGGCATGTCGGTTAGTGAACTACCTATCATTTGAGTCGCCTAATCAACTGCCTAACCATGCCGTTAAATGCTAGATTCCGTCAGGGTGTGCGATCGCTTAGAAACGTCCCATGCGAAAAGTCTCATATTGATCTCAAATATTAGTATGAACATACCGAATGAATGCATTGCTGCGTTAAGAGAGGTGCTTTATAAAGAAGGACACAACAAGCTTACGTTCGTGATTTACAAAATTTCCGACGACAAGCAGTCCATCGCTGTGGAGGAAAAGTCTTCCGAAAAAGCTACGAATTGTTTCTCCAAAAGCTCACTTCGTCTGACCACGAAAGAAAACGCGCACCTCGTTAGGCGGTATACGACGTGGAATATGATCTGAAACAAGATGGTCGAAGGTATCTTCGATAACCATTTGGCTTCCTGAAAGATGGGTGATGGATACCTTGAAATCGTTCACGCCAGCGCATGTCGCTCTTTCATCCATTCTAGCAAGTTCTCGTGGTGACCAAAGGGCGAGAAGCGAAAGCGACTGAAAACCCCGACGCCAAGCCCCAACAAAAAGTTGTGCCTGGAGCAGCTGCCGAAGTTTTTAGTCGGGGAGAGGGGTGGGGAACCCGGGTGGCCCCGCGGGCCCATGAGTCAGTGCCTACGCGGACCAGTTCCAACTCCCTCCTCAAAAAACATGAACTTGATATCACCAAGCCGGTGGAAAAAGTTTCTGCAGAATTTGAGAGATGGGTGCAATAATGATTGGCCTAACACCTGATAACTCGTTCAGGTGGCTCTTTCAGCTCTTTCAGTGGGGCATATTCCTGAAGCGACTGGTCTGGAAGTCCAGAGATACAGGCTGATTGGGGAGGCAGACATATCCAAGGCGGAGATAAATCATGTTTATTGATTGACAGCGTCATGCCGGTCCTTGAAGTGCGTCAAAGGTCTGGTGCGGGTGTGAATTCTTTTGAGCAGCGGGTAGCAATTTATCAATGGGGTGGGTTCATGGAAATAACGGTGTTTTCAATGAATATTTTTGCATTTGTAGTCAAAATGAAGAACAGCTCTATCAAGTGGAAAATGCTGAATTGCACCTTCAAAATATTATTAAGATGGAAAGCTATCAACTCCCCGTAGGAAATACATGCATCGCGCCAATAGCCTTTGAAAGCCTAAATAGTAATAGTTGAAAAGCAACATAAGTTTGATAATTCATGGCAAGTGCAGGCCAAGAACAGGTAGAGGTAAGCAAGAAATTGTTCTATGCACACTCTGTGCATGGTTCAGTAGTGCTGATCAAGACTTTAAATTTTTTTCCACAAATCGTGCACCCACATTACATATCGGTCGAATACGGTTTGATATGGTTGTTTACGAAGTGTCGGCTGAGAGATCTAGGATTCTTGATTTCCACAGTCGTTCACTTTCCGGTAATATTAGATTTCTAAGGCAGATTTAACGCAAACGGAAATACTAGCTTAAGAAAAAGCGTCGTCTTCTGAATCTGAAGCAGTTAATTTCTGCCTTTTAGGCCCAGGGGCAACCAACGGCATATCGACAGTATCGGCGGAGCGATTTTGTGTCATACAGGGCCGCTAGGGTTTAAGAAGATAATATAATTATCTTCTTAATCCACAGCCTCACCTGAGACTACTGCATCATATATGATAAAGGCCAGATGATAGGTTGAGTGTTCACCGCAGAAGAAATACAAGTCCCACTGACAGGAAAACAATAGGTGAATACCCCTAATGTACACATGAGGGCCGAAAAGACAATTCGAAGAGTATAATAGATCACGCTATTTGCGAGACATACTCTATGATGATGCTTGAATATGAGATACACAAAAGTCAACGCCTTTTCAACCGAGATTCCAAACAAAGCAAATAAGAATATGAGAAGATCGTCAAGATCAAAAACCTTAAACATTAATACAATTCAAGCCAGTCCGAGGATTCCCTTAAAGAGCCTCAATAGCCTTGCGTAGCACCTCCAAGCCTCGATCAAATACATCAGCCTCACCCTCATTCTCGCCCGTAGACTCACGCAAAGCCCACGCAACATCACTCCACCATCCAAGTCCAACGTAACCCCCACCCTTCCGGCGCTCAAGACTCTCCTTGAGCCGACTCGTATGCTCCCACTGCTTAGCCGCAACCTCCGCACGCTCAATGACCTTATTTGAAATCCCGCACATGGAAGCACAGTGCATTCCGAAACTACCCTCCGCAACGCCGTCCTCGAGTTTATAGAGAAAGGTCACGCGGCGCTCGGCGTCATCAACGTGGATGGCCATGCGCTTGGGTGTGATTTCGGGATGACCTTCGAACTCCGTCGCGAGGGAGTGGTAGTGCGTTGCGAAGAAGCCCATCGCGCCAATGTGGGTGGCTATGTGGTGTAGGACAGCCTGTGCGACTGCGACGCCGTCGTAGGAGCTGGTGCCACGGCCGAGCTCGTCGAGGATGACGAGGGAGCGTGGCGTCGCTTCTGAGAGGATCTTCTTTGTCTCAGAGAGCTCGACGAAGAAGGTTGATTGCGCTGCGAAGATGTTGTCGTTTGCGCCGAGGCGCGACATGATTCGGTCTACTGGGGTCAGTCGTGCCGATTGGCAGGGGAGGTAGCAGCCGATTTGGGCCATTATGACGGCGACGCAGGTCTGCGGGTTTGTTAGTTATGGGTTCGATCGGAGGATGGAATGGGAGGAAGCGTACCATTCGGAGCAAGGTTGACTTTCCGGCGGCGTTGGCTCCGGTCAGTAAGTCTATGTTGGCACGCTTGCCGCCGAGCTGGATGTCGTTCGGGATAAAGTCTTCCACTGAGGAGAGGAGGCATGGGTGACGGAGTTCTTCGAATTCGAGGACGCTTCGCTCGTCGTCTACGAAAACGGGGCGGCAGCTGGGCTGGCCCAGCGATGTGGAGGCCTTGGCGAGGCTGATCAGACAGTCTAGCTGGGAGATAACGCGGACAGCGGCGAGCCAAGTGCCGTAGTGCTCGTCGAAACGAGCGTGGAATCGGCCAGCAACCTCCTTTACAATCTGGCTGTGTGTTTCCTGAGCCTCTTGAAGCTTGCGGATGAGGCTGCGGAGCTCGGGGAAGTAATATCGTTTGACCTGCTTGGTTGCAGACATCTGATCCCAGTCCTTGGGTATGTTCTTCACCTTGATGGGTACTTCGAGCTGATAAATCTCCTTGCCGTTGTCCTTGTAACAGATGGCAGTAGAGCCGAGATCACGGCGTGCCTTCTTCAGTAGATAATCGAGATCCTTGTGAAGCTGCTCGATGGTCTGCTGCGAGTTGTCGAAATCATTCTCGACACCGGGCTCTGGGACAAGAATGCCATTCTCCTTCGCCTTGGGACGGTCAAAGGCAGTTTTCCAGTATGCCAGCAGCTCACTCATGTCGGGCATGGCCGTGATCAATTGTCCGATGATTCCGTCGCCGGAACCGCTATCCTTGAGAAGACCCATAGTGTATTCAATCTGCTCGAAGCCTTCCAGCACACGCACGAAGTCCTGAGCCTTGCAGTTACCCGCGTGGACACGAGAGATCAGGCGCTCCAGATCCGGCATCTTGGTCAGCTGTGAGGAGAACTGGTCACGAACACTGGGATCCGCATTCAAGGAGTCCACCGCATCAAGTCTTGCGTTGATTCTCTTGGAATCCATCAACGGATGGCAGACCCATTGCTTGAACAAACGCTTGCCAAATGGCGTAATACATCTGTTGAGGAGTTGGAACAGTGTGCCGTCAACACCGCCATCAAAGGAATTGGCGAAAATTTCCATGTTGATCAAAGTTTGACCATCCAGCACCAGACTAGAGGCCTTCTTGATCGGATCGTACCAGGTGAAGTTGCCAATGGTGATCAGATCTCTTTCGATCTTCAGCAGGCGCAGGTATTGTGTCAGAGCACCGAATGCAGACATGAGCAACTCCTTCTCGCGTGCTTGACGCAGAGTCTCCGGCCAGGCCGTAATATTATCATCGTCTTCAGAAACAAAGTATTCGCTGGCATCGAGCTCCTTCAACGTGATATCCGCCTCCCAGAATTCCCTGCCGGGCTTTAGGTAGTTCCACAAAGTGGTAGGACCGGTATTGTTTTTCAAAATGCGCATCATCTTCTGCGAAACGCAGCCCTTTTCGAGTAGCAACTCCTGAGGGCGGATCTGCGCCACGAAAGTCTCGAATTTGGTCATATCGATGTCGTCAACAAACTCCGACATGAAGAATTGACCGGTAGCTGTATCGACAAAAGCGATACCAAAGGCTGGGAGGTCATCCATGATAGCCTCCTTGATGGCAACACAATAAGTCGACATATCATCCTGAAGCATCGAGCCTTCGACCAGAGTACCCGCAGTCAGGACACAGGCAAGTTCACGCTTGATGATCTTGTCTTCTTTTCCGGGCTTCTTGCCATCGCGTTCACGCATTTCCTTGCCCAATGCGGACTCGGACTGATCGACACGGGCAATCTTGTAGCCTTTGGCCACAAACTGGTTGGCCCAGTGAGACAAGCTCATCTCAGGGACACCAACCATGCGCATGTTCACCCTATCAGTAAGCTTCAGATCGAACAGCTGGTGACCGATAGTAGCATCGTTCTCGTAGAGTTCGTAGAACTTTCCCTTCTTGAAAAAGACTACGGTATCCCAGAATTTCTGCTTAATTTCCCAGTATTGCTTTTCGAAAGGCGAGAAGCGCGACCAAGCCAGAGGGGGAATGTAGATCGTGCGGGGGTCGAAGTCGGGGTGTCCAGGAGGATTTCCATCCATATCCTTGACGTTGGCGAGCCATGGGTACCGCTCCTCGGGGTCCTTGACATGGGCTTTCTCCTTCTTCGCACTGGCCGGGGTTTTGGATGTCTTTGTGTTGGCACGTTCTTGCCGAGGCTGCGTGTTCTCGGGGTCAAAGGTCCACTGGAGGGCAGTTCCCGCAGAGCCCTCAGGCAATTCCAGATCGAGCTCTTCGTCGTTCGGTGGAGCGGGTGGGAGGGAAGGAGACTGGTTGAAGCTCTTTCGAGCAGACGACGGAGCGGTTCTCTTGCGCTTCTTGGCGGGTGCGGCATCCTCATCGGAGTCGTCGGCGACAATGAAGTCATCCATATCTGTTCGAGTTAGCAACGCCGGAAATGTGTTCTGGTAGGGTCCAGACTGACCGTCGTCTGAGTATCCGTCATCCTCTCCAGGTGCTTCGAACTCGTCTTCGCTATCCGGAGAAGTCTTTCTGCGCTTTGCGGCGCGGCCTCCCGCGCCGTTCTTTCGGCTGGGACGGAAAATCACGTCGTCGTCGTCTTCGCCCTCGGAGTCGGACTCTTTGTAGCTGACCTGCTTCTTCTTGGACTAAAAGGGGAGTGTCAGCATGATACACGGACGTGCAGGATGTGGGAGGTGGAGTGGCATACTCGGCGTGAAGGAGTCCCGGATTCATCTTGGTTTGTTTCGTCTCCAGCCTAGGGGTTGTCAGCGGCGTAAACGACATATCAGAGGAAAAGAACTCCACCTTTGCCGCATCTGCGTTTTCTTCATCCTCGTCCGGAATAGGGAGGTCGCTACTGGGAACAGGGGTCAAATCCTGAGCAAAGCTCGAGAAGCTCCTCTTTTCCTTGGGTTTTGTTGCGCTGCCGCTACGTTGCTCCGACGCTCGTTGGGCGGGAGAGGACGCGGGCTCGCGGGGTTTAGCACTGGACGGCGTTGCTGGGGAGGATTTCTGGAAGAATCCCAGAATGGACTTTTGGCTTTTCATGTTTTGGGCGCTTGAGGTCGTTCTCTTGAGGGCGGATGGTGGTGTCCCGGTGGGCGAGGCGTCTGCCTTTGCCATTGTAGGCAATTCGAGGTTTTATGGGTTGATTAAGCTGTTGTCGTCACACAATCGGCTCAACGCCTGCTGTCATGAGCGGAACTGTGGCGATTGAGACCCTTGAAATCCAGGGCGATGGGATGGGGTTGGCAAGAGATAGGAGATAAGGCGCGGATCGCGTCGACGCGTAAATTGCCAGTGGCCGCGACCGCGGATGTTAGTCAGCGTCCGATGATGCATCATATTTGGACAGCGACACTACGGATGACTTAGTTTTTGATTTTGCTGATTGTATGCCAACGCCTGAATGTCATAGTCCCAGTAGAAGTGACAGCGCTCGAACCCATTGTATCGACAACTGGAATGCACCGGCATTGAAGAAGAGCACGGGCCGGTTTTGTAGGTAGACCAGGCCTCTAGCTGCAGTCCGAAAATAATCCAGTTATGTGATGGGATCAGAACAATCGGATAAAAGTATTATCAAAATTCCACAATAGCAGATTTCCGATAGATGGCTAAGGTCTATACACGTAGTAAAATGGTCAGAAGAAAAGTATTTATACTCGGTCATCGTGTATTACTAAACATTGAAGAGGGGAACGCTCGATGGCAGCACGCGCTGAGACGTGTGGGTTGATTCAGCAGAAAAACCACCACAAAACACAAGCGTAGCAATCAGGAAATAGCGAGGACCCCAAATGTAGGGTCAGGTCGGGGAGGTGTAAGAAGGTGTATTTTAGAAATAGCTATCCGGCCACCGTATACTGCCGGCTATGTCACATAACATGGATGGCACCCATGTAGTTAGTAGGAGGGGTCTCCCCACTACAACATTTAGTGTAGTAACGTAATTCACCACCGAGTCGACCACCTGACCGATTACTAAAGATTCAAAAGTATGATAAACTACCAAAACCAATATTAATTAAAAAATATCAATTAGGGCACCGGGTAATTGAGTGGCCAGTATTATTGCAGCCGCTACATCTCCAGGGTGCACGTTTGGCTGGTGGGAGTGGCAAAATAGGCGATTCAACCAGTGCGGGCGGAGGCTGTTCAACACGTTCAACTGGCTGTACTGGCAGCACTGGTAATGGTAGGTCCTCTCTAACCGTAATACCCTGTTCGCATCGAACAATGATTTTTCATTGTGTTAGTCAGGTTGTCCGTTGGCATCAAGCTTGGAAACAACCAAATTGCCATGCCGAGAAAATAGTCTTGGAGCAATACAAGCTAAATATAGTGTGAGACATACATTGCTCTGATTCTAGTGTTGCTAAAGAGCCTGTATTGTATCGCACGCCAATAGACAATGTCAGATACTGATCAGGGCTAAGCTATGCTCTCTGCATTTGATAATTTTCCACTATACAGTCGTTCTCGAAATCGCCTTGAACAATATACACTAAGAAAGTCTTTCCTAGTCCTACCGCCAAGGCCTTAGCGCAGGTCGTTATTGAGCGCACAGTATAATCCACCATGTACGGTACTGTATCTTGCTAGAATTGCTCTTGCGGAAGCATCAAGCTGGTGCAGTCGGTACGACGGTTGGGTGTGTTTCGGAGGTCATCACGTGACCATACCAGGCAACCATCGTTTTGAGTGTTGACCCGTCCATGCCTTATTATATCGCGACCGAGACAACAAATTACGTACCTCAACCTTGGGAAAACTATTTATACGGGGTCAATTACTTACTCGATCTAATCTCTCTGAATCATTTTGGGATTTCTCACTACCAACCCATGGCCGACAAACCAGCTCCGCATACCATAGCCATCATCGGGGGTGGGGTCGCGGGTCCCGTCCTTGCCCTGACAATACTCTCCCACCCTGTCCTCAAGGAGCGCTACAAACCCGTGATATACGAGCGCCTTCCGCGCCCCAAACCAAGCACATTCCCTGACTCAAAGATCCACGGAGAAAACAACACCACCGACACCCACAGCACTGCGACGTATGCAGCTGGCGCCGCTGTTGCCCTGACCTCCAACGCCCTTTATCCTCTGTATGCCCTGGGGCTGCGGGACTCGCTGGACTTTATCAGCTCTGAGTCTACACGAATCAAGATCTGGCGCGCCTGGGACACCGGGAAGCATAAATACTGCCAGCAGTTGAACCATCCGAACTGGCAGGAGGACTTGGGGACCAACCTCCGGGTTGTAGAGAGGGCGGGGCTGCAGCGTGTGGTTCTTGATAGGGTACGGGAGTTAGGCGGGGAAGTGATATGGGAGAGGAAGGTCACTGATGTGAAGAGTGCCACTGGAGGGGGTGTTAAGGTGTGCTTTGAGGGAGGGGAGGAGGTCGAAGCGAATCTAGTTGTTGGTGCGGATGGGGGCTGGTCAGTGGTAAGAAGGCATATCATGGCGATAGCAGCAGCGGACGGCGGGGGTGGTGCTGATAGATGGAAGCCCGAGTTTGCCTACGCGGATGGGATTTACGGTGTTTCAAAACCCATTGATAGGGCCCGTGCGATTGAAAGCGAAGAAGATGTGCAAGATGGAGACACGCACTGGGTTCTCCTCGACTCAGGCACCGCGTCAACATGGGCTCTGCCTGGTCGAAGGCAGTTCTGGTCTATTTCTTTCCCTTCTAACCTTCCTCCCAAGAGTATGACCGCTGCTGAGCACCTGCAGAAACAGAACAAGGTTAAGCTCTACGGTGCGGACTTAATACTAGGTAAACACGACCTAGAAGAGACACAGGGGATTTTGAAGAGGTACGAGAACGCCTTTCATCCTATTGCAGGGAATTTTGGGGAGTTGTATAAGAGGAGCGAGAGGATTGTCAGGGCCCCTCTGTGGTATCATGCTTGGGAGGAGAGTGAGATTGGTGGAAAGAACATCGTTTTGATCGGAGACGCTTCACGATTGATGCTGCCAACGAGTGGCCAAGGTTAGTCTTACCTCATTCTTGCTCTCACCCAGTTCGGCCTTTAAAGAGAAGAGTCACAGTGATTGACATATTCGCAGGGGCGGGATTCGCCATCGAAGACGCCACCGTTTTGGCCAATGAATTACTGAATAACCCGCCATCGTCAGAGAATGGCAGGTTAGATTTCTCTAGAGCGATTGAGGCATATGCCCAAGCTAGGGTTCCAAGGTCGAAGAGCATGACCAAGCAGAGTTATTGGACAAGTCAGCTAGGGCTGGGAGCTCGCTGGTGGTGGCGGTGGTTAAGAGATGCTGCGACCATGTATATACCCCTCGGAGGCGATTCGAAAGTGTAAGTCAATCTGATCTCGGTGGGACATGCGTTGAGATCATGGCTAATTCATTGTAGGAAGTCGAGCAAGAAACCCAAGGATCCAATGGGCTGGCTGTATGAGGTACGGTATAAGGTTGAACTGAGAGAAAAGCAGGAAAATCCGAGAGTTTAATGTGTAAACATAACGTGAAGAGTATACCTAATTGATTTTGCCATCGGAGGTCGATAGAATGATGTGAATAGTTAGACCTGGGCAGAACCCATGGGACGGCCCAAATGGGTTGACCCATTTGGGCCCATGGGCCGAAAAATCGATTTTCTGCCCATTCATGGGCCGGCCCATTTGGCCCATTCGACCCATTTTAGGGCGAAAACTAGTGTACATGTGACTTTCATAATTTATGTACTTTACGCGTGCTCTTGGCTGTAATGCCTTGGTAACAAGAATGATTGATTGCTCTTAGTTATATACGATATTCAGTTAAAAGAGGGCATTTTAATATTACTGTAGAAATCAACTATATCTCATAGCCATCTAATAACCTTGAACGCTTTCGAACTCTTCCTGAAACACGCTGTGTTTTGCTCAGGCAAATCAGGCTCCTCAGGCTCAGACTCCCCCTCAGGCTCTTCGGCAGGCTCATTAACACTCCTTCGCCTCTTCGAATCATATTGCGCAGGGCCTTCTTCATTATCACTAATCTCCAGAATGCCCTCCTGCGTACGCTCATCCATCTCTTCTTGTTGGAATTCTATCTCAGTCTCAGTTGCGTACTCCCGAACAAAAGCAAGCTGCTCCTCTTCTAGATCAAATCGAATCCCACACATAAGAAGCATTGGATCCTGAATAGTACTCGATTGTACTGAGCCAGGGCGATAGTGGCAGATATCACGCGCGGAGTTAAAGAGACGCTCTACGCCTGCGCCTGTGGCTGGGACGGAAAGGAAATCTCGACCGAGAGCTGCGATTTTTGGAAATCTGTGTTCATGATCTCTCCAGAATTCGCGCGGAGGAATTGATACCGTGCCTGTTTAAGGTATTTAAATTAGAAAGAGTGTTTGGTTTAAGAATAGAAGACCACTTACTACTCTCGAGATACTGAGTGAGCTCAGGGACTGGGGCAGTAGGCCGACTACCACAAGCGAGTAGTAGATCAATCTCACTCGTAGGCTTCACAGTCTGTAAACCTCCAGTCTGTGAGAGAGAGCTATATACACTATCCTCGTAGTGCTTAACTCGGGCTTCGAGAGCTTGTCTGTATTGGGCAGCAAAGTCTTTCTCGTCATCCCGCCAATCTGAGGTCTGGAAGAATTCAAGCTTATACTGCGGCGCCAAAATAGTCCCAGTTGAGTATATATCACTAAGACCTTCAAGGTCAGTCATCATATAATAATCCCTGAGCTTACTTTCGGCTCCTCTCAGAGCAACAAGCATTTGTCTTTTCCATCCGATCTTCCCCTGTTGTAGCTGGCGGATCCGGCTCTCAAGATGATTAAAGAGACGATTGTAAATACTGAAAACAGTATGAATCGTTATGTCTTTTGTTTTTGAGAGAGCAGTTGTGAATCTGTAGAAAGTCTGGGTGATACAGATCGGGTAATCAACCCGCCGCCACTCATTTGATGTGACCTGAAGATGAGAATGATGAAATTCGGAGCAGAACGTATCAAACACAGGTTGTAGCTTCTTAGCCCGGCGGAGCATTAAGAAGGTCGAATTCCAGCGCGTCCTGACATCCTGGATTGGGAATAATCGAGGTGTATTAGACTGGAGGTTTTGGAAGGATTCACGGCGCTGAGGGCTTGCATTGATGAAGATAGCGAGGTTTCGGATCTAAGCAATTGTATAATTAGTATATGTTTGATAGGTAGAAAGAATAGTTTAAGATCAAACCTTCTTAAGTGTATTCGCCATACTATACTCTCTTGCTGTTTGGCGAGCTATTTTCGTATGCTCTTCAGTCCAGACCGTATCGACATTCTCATTCACTGGGTTGGCTTTCATTTGACCAAGGAGCTGCTTTAGGCTCAACTGAATCACATGGGCGAGGCATGGTACTCGGATAATAAGAGTATCAGAACGAAGGCCCTGAGACTGAAGAGAGTCTTGCAGAGATGAAATAAGAGTCGAATTGTTATACGTATTATCAGTTGTGACAGCTAACACTCGCTCTTTGATCCTATGCTTTTCAAGCAGGTCTAGAACAACTGTGCTTAGATAAGCCCCAGTATGAACACCAGACAGAGGCTCAAATCCTAGTAAAACCTCCCGATATTCCCAATCAGCGTCAATAAAGTAACCAGGCACTGCCATAAAGGCCTGTTGGAAAGGGGAAGTCCAACAATCTAAGCTTATTGAGAGCTTTGCCTTTGGTGGAAGCTTCTGAAGTATTTCTTTCTGCTGATCTTGTGCTTTTGTTTGAATTCGACGCTGTAAGGTTCTTCGAGAGGGAAGGCTTATAGCTGTTGGCGATTTCTGAGCTAGTTGTAGAAGCTTAAGGAACTCGGGATGTTCAACAGTCGTAAAGGGAAGCCGTAAGGTAGTAATCGTAGAGACTAATTGGTGTTCCCAACGGGACTCGCTGAACGGCGCTGGTGTGAGTTTTGCCTATTAAGTAGCAAAACTAGCTTTGATCTAGGAATAAATAAATGAGAGACTTGCCTGCTTCTGTAGTAGCCGCCGGATGCTTGATTGACCCTTTGTTTTACATATTGCCCGTTCTAGGTGTCTTCGTAGAGCAGTTGTTCCTTGCTCCCCTGCCGTCCCTGATTTGGTATGAACTAGAGAGTTCGGATGGTTCAAAATTGCTCCGCAGTTCTTGCACATCACCTTAGGTTGTCCAGTAATAAAATGGGCAACCTGTTCGAAGTCGGCCCATATATCTGCTCGCTGGCCCTTTCGATCCCAGAAAGTAGATTGGTGCTCAGAGTGCCCACTCTGGGTCTGGATCCACCAATCCTCGAAATCCTCTTTATTCATATCTTCGCATAGAACGTAGGTTTGTGCTGAATCTGTGGAGCGTCTGAGAGAGGTGGGAACAGAGAGAGGGGGAGGAAGCTGCGTTTGGCTTGCGGAGTGCTCGCGACGCTAACGTAATCCACTAGCGAGTGAGACACACGGGCCCGTGAGACAGAAAACCAGCTACTATAATTTCAAACCAATTTATTAAACCAACAACGCCATTGATTTCAAATTTCTATCTATTAGACCTATCAGGGCATTGCGTTCTTTTATGCCCTATTTGATGACAGTCGCTGCATCGCGGGGGTGCGCGTGTAATTGGCTGGGAAGCTGACGCAGCTGGTTCCGCCGGGGCAGTATTAGGAGCTTCATGAGCCTGGTTCATCGACTCCCTGGCTTCTTGGCCCGTAAAACCCTCCGTATGAGCTACGCGCTTAGTCGTTCTGTTGCGTTTTCGCTTTTGTGTCTCGTTTTCAGCCCGTAAATCGCGGACTTCCTTTAGAAGGATTGCATTAGAATGCAATGATTGCTGATAGCCCTTGAGGAGCTTATCAATAGCTATATTCGTAGGCGTTGGTGGGCTTTGCGAGCGTTTCTTAAGCAGTGCCTTGATTGACGAGCCCTGTCGATTCAATTGTTTGAGATTTGCCGGCGTTTTAGGGCTCCACGCGCTCGATTGGCTCCCTGGTCGACTACCTGAGGGGGTAGGTGTCTGAAGTTGAACATCAAGCTTTGAAATGACCTGATCGGGATCATATGGTACTAAACCAGCTGCGACGAATGCATTTTGAATAGTCTCTGGTTTAAAGGCCTCTTTGCGAGCTTGTGGGAATGCTGCAAGGAAATCAAGCTTGTCGATATGGTTGACCCCCAACCGTGCTTTGCGCTCAATCAAGCTCCCATACGCGCGCTTTAGGGGGGCAAAACAGCCTATATCCAAAGGCTGTAGTAGATGAGACGAATGCGGAGGCATGCAGATTGGAATAATATCATTTTGCTCGCACAATCGATCAAAACGGGGGGTCAAATGACTGCCATGGCCATCGAGAACTAGTAGTCGATATTTACCCCTAGTACGACTAGTAGTCGCAGGGATAAATAGCTTTTCTAGCCATCGAAGCCCAATTTCGTCTGTAGTCCAGCCATTCTCACTGATTTCGATTCTCCAATTGTCGGGTAGGTCATCAAACCATGCATATTGTTGGTACTTTGACGATTTGAAGATAATGCATGGTGGGAGTATAAAGCCCGTTGAATTCACACATTCAATCGATGTGACCCATTCGCGATTCCCTGGCTGTAGAACTGACCTCCGACCATAGTATTCAGCTCTTGTAATGACTTTCGCAGTGGCTATAAGCCCCATTGCGAAGCCAGTTTCATCAAAATTGTAGATATCCTCAGGTTGGATACCATTCTCATCGATCGTGCGTCGTACAAGGTCGAACCATGGTTTAATAACCCTCGGATCTTCGCATTTTGCCCTCTCATAATTATATCGACGAGAATACCGCGATTTGAGCTCATCATAGCGCTCTGTATATCTGTAAACCCAATTGACTCCAACAGTCTGACTACCACGCTCTGCTAGTAGAATATTGGCCATATCCCTTACCATACAAGGCCGGGGAGCTGATCCACGTGTATCCATAGAGAGTATCCACCGTAGGAGCGATTCCTCTTCAGTTGGAGTCAATTTATAATTGCTGGCGCGGGTTTCCGATCGATGAAGTTTGCCATTGTATCGGCGATGGAGAGTTGCGGTAGGTACTTGAAATCGGCGCGCAGCTTCGCGAATTGATCGAAATTCTTTGTTCCGAAAGGCTTGTATTGCGAGCTGGATCCTACCTTCTTGGTTGATAGAATTTTGAGGATTTTGACTGCGAATTGGGGGCATAGTGGGTAGTTGAAATGAGGAGGTTGACGCGCTGGGGCGCGACCGCGGTTTCTGTCTCACGCGCCCGTGTGTCTCACTTGCTAGTGGATTACGTTATCCGTTAAAAGATAGGATGAATCATCAAATTCCCCACTCTCTGAAAAGGGTACTGAGTAGATATCCGATAGTTGAGACATGATAGTTTGGTAAGAAAGCTCAATAATCCCAACGTTAGAGAAAAATCATCGTTGACTATAAAGAGGAGATAGGTTGGCCTATATTTAAGCTAGAATACAGAGTCCGTAGATAGCCTGGGCTATCATGCCAGGCGCAGAAAGCCCGGGATAACGCGTCTCCTATGTTCGCGATAATTGGCTATTTAGTCACCAAGTCCCACATCTAAATATCTTTTATTAGTTAGTCCCATGGGCCGGCCCATTTGCCTTCCAAATTCGTGCTACGGGATCCCCCGCAGTTTTTATCTCATCGACAACTTTTTTTTTTCACCCTTCAACGTTCACTATATAAAAGATTTAATCCATCCCTACATCTAATTCGTAAACAAGAAAGCTTTTAAACATACATAAAGTTATATTTTATTATACGATACTTTAAAAAATCAAGCAAAAATGACCTGCGTCGAGATTTCAGAAAATTAACATCAAGAGCAGAAGGACAATTTGAATTAATTGATCGTGAACACTTCGATATATATATTCAAGTTAGAAGAGATTACGCTGTGCGTAATCTATTCTGTACTGCGGTATAAGATTTAAGACAGCTATAAATTACGCTAGTAATTCTGGATATTTTATATATTTATTATGCAGATTTGGGGCCCAAATGGGCCAAATGGGCCAAATCGTGGGCCAGCCCATGCCCAGGTCTAGTGACACCGTTTCCCGGAACTACTGTAGCATGAGGTAGGTGTAAGCGTAGTTGAATTTGCTTCTAAGAATTCTCAAGTACTGAGACAGCCTTCACAGCCTTCTGCAATTTTCCCGCATCACTCGGCTCAAATGGATGCTCTCGCATAAAACCCAGCATCAGCTGCTCACGCCTGGGACTCCGGACCGTCAGCGAACACTTGTATGGTGCCGGGTGGCTAATAAATTCCGGCGTGGGGCGTAGCTCGGACTCGAGCACGTTTCCATCTTCCCCGACGGGCTTTTTGATATCGAAGGCGAAGAGCGTGTGCACGATGGCTAGGAAGATAGATGTTTCGGCGGTAATGCGACCAGGGCAGATGCGACGGCCGAATCCGAAGGTATTATCGTGTGGGTCAGGGGCAATTTCCTGTCCCTCGGCGGGTAGGTAGCGCTCGGGTCGGAAGTCGGAGGGGTTGGGGTAGATTTCAGGGTCGTTGTTCATTGCCCTGAGGAACAAGTTAGATTCAAGTCAGATTGTGGCGTAAGGTCTGTAAGCACCAGATATTGGCCATTAGAATGGCGCCCCTGGGTACTAGGTATCCATTGATCACTTCGTCCTCGTCGGACTTGCGCGGTGTCATTACGGCCACAGTATGCCAACGCATAGTCTCTTTGAGGACCCCATCAATGTATGGGAGGTTTGGTCGATCGGCTACTGACGGGAATCGGTCTTCACCAATTACTCGGTCGAGTTCGGCTTGTGCTTTGCGTTGAACGCCTGGGAAATTCATCATTGCGAGGAAGAATCCCTCAATCAAGCCAACCGTCTAGACAGGGTCAGTAACGAGTACTGTGGATGTGATGTCTATGCCTGAGTTTCGGTCATACCGTATCTGTTCCTGCGCCGTAGATTGCGCCGGCTGCCCATTTTGTAATTTCAGCATCCTCTCCATGCTTGATACTTTCCGAGACGAATGACGGCTTGTTTTCTTTATGTCTCATCTGCCACTTGGTGAATTCGAACGGGTAGTTTGTGAGCTTTAGGATCGTCTCTTTGTTAAAGCGTGCAATCTTTTTGAACCCGGTGCCTGGTACCCATTCGGGTAAGTGTTGCACTGTGCAAGTCAGTATCTCGATACTCCAAGAGTCGTTAGAATAGGGTGAATGGTGTGACCTACAAGCTGGGATCAAATCAACAAGGAATTTCCCGGGCGTGATGGCCTCAGAGAACTGCTTCAACACCAAGTCGGCAAGATCGATCAGAGAGTCCTTCTGGTGTGGATCCACGTTATATCCATAAGTGATTTTCAAGACGAAAGATCCAGTAGCGCTGCGACGAATCAGTTTAGTATGTATCCGTCCGATAACCGAGCTTGAAGCTTACTTACATCCGACAATGATCTAACAGACCATCAGGATCCTGCTGAATACGCCACAGCAACCGCCGGAACTCATTCTCTAAATGGTGATCAAATTTCGCAGCTGACGACTTCGTCCCGATAACCTGTGCCGTGGCTCGACGATATGCCCGCAGAAGAGGTGTGTTATTCTGACGTGGGATCGACTTGCCATATCCGCATCTGAGAACGGTCACCATTAGCACTCTTTCAGGGTACTTTGTGTGTTCATGGTGTAGAGAAGACGTACAGGCCATCTGCAAAAACCGATTGCGGGCGAGACGAGTGTTTCGCCGACTTATCGAAGAGTTGAGCGGCTGTTTTGCGATCGTTGACTATTATTATGGGTTGGCCGAAGACCGTAAGAGAGCTAAGAGGACCTGGAAAGTGTGAACATGCCGGTCTTTTCAAGAGAACTGGACTGCTTGAGATGCACTTACCGTAGAGTGCCTTGTATCTGGCGTAGAATTCACCCGGATGTTGGCCATCAGGCAATAAGTCGAACAAGTTCCCAATGACGGGCCAGCCTCTGGGGCCAGGGGGTAGCTTTCTTCTAGAGAAATAGCCCTTCAAACAAGCTAATAATGCCACGCTTGTGGCTAGGATGCCCAGCTTTGTAGCGAGAATCATATTGGAGTATGACTGAGGTGATCAGGTCAAATCAGAGAGAACAATTAAATATGAGACAGCGTCGAGATGACAATGTGATTTAAACCGCCAGCCCGCAATCATGATCTAAATCAAATTAGTTCAGCACTCCGTATTTCCATGACATCTTCGGGCCTAAGACCTCGGAGCCGTTTCGCACGCCTATGAAAGCTCTCTGAATGTGACGGTAGCACCATAGTCGCATGTATTACTCGTTATGTTTCAGCTATTCAAGTTAGCTACTCAAGGCTTCTTCAAAATCTACCAATGAGACCCCAAGGAGATAGAGGCGACCCGTTCTGCGATATTCCGGGGCTGGTATTGTGTATTACTCTTTTAGGCATCGGAGCGCGAACACGGCGGCGGGTGGGTCGCCCGAGCACCACTCAAGCCCCGTTCGATTTTTCTGCAAGTCGGCATAAGCAAGGCTGTCCTCGCAGTCCTGCCTCAACTGAGGAATGTGTCATGCCAAACATCGGTTACAAGGGTTAGTTGTTGCAAAAATAAATGGATGCACGGGGCAGATAATTTTGTCGTGATCTATCATATTGGCAGCGCTTCACAAATGCTTAATATACAGCTAGATTATTCTAAAAGAGAAAATAGAAATACAAAGTGGAGATCTATCTGGCTCGTCCCAGCCTACTTGGTCGCCTCGGTCTCGGTCGACTCAGCTCCGTCTTCCCAGCCCGGAGCGGTCAGGCCTTGCGCACGGAAGTCCTCGTCGCTGACGATCTGGACCATCTTGAACTTCCACTTTCCCAGCTTCAGCATCAGCAGGTCATCGCCGAGGATGAACTCCTTGGTCTTCTCGGCGGGCCAGACGCGGATAGGCGTGAAGGCAAGATCGTCGGACATGGGGCCGCTGTCTCCGGGACGGCTGCCGACGTAGGCGCCGTTGTTGGTGATGACGCGATGTCCCTCGCCCTTCGATGAGACAAGACCGGCGGACCACAAGACCTTGTTGAAGGACTGGTTGTAGACTAGGGATCGCGGCAAAGTTACCTTGACGTTGGGCATGTTGGCGAAGTTGGTCTGGGAGGCGTACTGGTTTCCGGATTGAGGGGTGGTGAAGTTGGACATCGGGGACTGAGGATTGCCGCCTGCAGTCGTGCTCCGGGGCATCGGGGATGGCTCGCCGGTTGAGGAGCGAGGGCGGAAGAGTTGGCGGTGCTGGAGGGAGACGGCGTCGGCTTCCTCCTTGCCATGTACCAGCTCGACAAATTCGTAGGCCAGCTTGTGCTGGGCAATGCGCTTGGACGGGTCCTGGTTTTGTTGCTCCATGATGGAAGCAATCTCGGGCAAGGGGATGAAGGTGAACAGCTTCAGGTAGCGCTCCACCGTATCATCGGGGGTTCGGACGAAGAATTGGTAAAGTTCAAAAGTTGAGGTCATGTCCTTGTCCAGCCAGATGGCATTGCCAGCGGACTTTCCAAACTTCTCTCCAGACGGGGCAGTCAACAGGGGTGTGGTGAAGCCAATGGGCCGGTCAAGCTCAGAGTCTAGAGAGTTGCGAACTTGCTCATTGGCAGTGTTGCGACTCACGGCCTTCACGGCATCCATACCGAACAGGATGTTTCCATACTGATCGGAGCCTCCCACTTGCACTTGGGTGCCCTTCTGGAAAAGGTGCCACCAATCCCAAGCTTGCAGAAGCGGATACGAGAACTCAGCAAAGGACATGCCATCGCCTTGGTTCATGCGGTTCTTGACACTGCAAATGACTGTTAGAAATCACATGAGATAGTACAATAGACGATAACTCACGTGTCTCGACCAAGCATCGGGCCCAGTCTCATAAAGGCACCCAAGTCGCGCAGAACTTCAATGAACGGCATGGAGTTCCACCATGTATTGTTGTTGACCAGTGCCCGTTTCCAGATAGGCTGCTTCTCATAGCCGTGCCTCCTGCTGTAGGATTCGATGCTTGTACCCAACTTCTTCAACTGCATGTGCATGCTCGCCATATTGGCCTTGCGAATCGAGGAATGCACCTGTTCACGGCCCTTCAATCGACCAGTAGGATCACCGACGCGGGATGTCGCGCCGCCCAGCTATTGCTCGTTAGCCACTGTTCGTCCCAGCTTTCGGGACTCGATAATATTTACCAAAAACGTCACTGGCAAGCCCCAGACGTATCCCCAGGCCAAGACCATGAATGGAAGCATGTGTCCGACATGCATGGAAGGTGCGGTAGGGTCAATGCCGACATAGATACCAGCTCTCTTCTCGGTGAACAATTGGTGGAGCAATTCGCGTTCTCTGTGATTCAATAAAAGCACGTTAGCTACTTGTTTCCAAATCAACCCAGTCAGTCTGCACATACCCAACAACATCATGAATCAATCCCCGTTCCTCCAAATGGGCCGCGAAGCTTTTCCTCTTGCCCTCCTTAATCTCCACAGCATGCCTCGCCCACTCATTCTTCCCATCCTGCATCCGCTTCAACCATTGCTGTGTAATGAATCGTTTCTGCTGCGGCGTGCACGCAGATTGCTGGAAGTAGACCGCTGGGCGTGTGTCGCGCAGCGGATTTGTTTGCGACGCTGGGGCGAATGTACGCGCTCCGGATGGTGCTCGAGGGGCACGCACGCTGCGACACGGCGCGCGGGGGAGAGGGGCCGCGCGAGGTCGCATGGGGCCGGAGAGGAATCGGGGAATGGTGTACGCGAGGACGATCCTCTGTTCCTAACTTTGAAATGTTGTCCGCAACGCCGAGATTGTCGCGATAAGCGGAAGATTGTTAATGCGGCGCATATCCCGCTTGGCCGAAAAAGAAATCATTCTGCTTTACTCCTGCTACCTCATTTGCAATATCGTATTTTCTTAATCAATTGAATTGAAGCAATTCGTTTCCAGCGACTCTATGTTCAGATACTAGTATGTTTCAGCAGACTGCAAGCTCGTGGCTCAACTCATGATCACCATATTCATGACCCGCCTAGCTAGTGTTAAATTGGATGGCATCTACTTAGGTACCAAGGTACTGCTGGGGTACTAGTAGATTGTTAAACTCTACTTACAGCTTGTTTTCCAACCTAACATGCAGCATCGAGTGTATCACCGAGAGAACCCCGATTCAATGAGGCTATCAAAAGCCGAGTCCCCGAAGGAGAATCCTCGGCGTACGGTGCAACACTCCTCCCGCACGAAACACTCCCCCGAGGACTTGCGATTGATCAGCAGAAAAATGTATCCGAATCGGAATCACCTTGCTCCGAGTCATCAATAGACTGCCGCAAGTGGCAGGTCCACTGGGATTTGTTCGGCGACTTAATAATCTTGCCGTCATGACGGTGGAGTCGGCAGCTCGTCGCATACGTCAAAACCCGCGGCTTTTATAGATGCCCCTCCTTCCTCCGCAAATATCATTTTTCACCCTTGCGATACCCACACCGGTACATACCTACTAACACATATCTTTCATAATGGCTCCGTCAACCATGAAGCAGTGGGTGGTCGAGAACAAAAACAATGGCTTTGATGGTCTGGTCTTCAAGGACGCGCCCGTCCCAAGTGTCGGTGAGAACGAAGTTCTGGTGAAGCTTCAGGCTGCGTCACTGAACTACCGTGACCTGATCATCCCCAAGGTATGGATCCATGCTGGATAATCGAAGCTTCGAGTTCAGGGTTTCTGACAATTTCTCTTGAACAGGGCAAGTATCCCTTCCCTTGCTCTTTCCCCGTGATTCCCGCCTCCGATGGCGCTGGCGAGGTCGTCGAGGTCGGATCGAAGGTCTCCGAGTTCAAGAAGGGCGACCAGGTTGCGACTCTCTTCAACCAGGGCCACCAGTTCGGCGAGATCGATATCCCTGCTACCCAGACCGGTCTGGGTGGTGCGATCGACGGCACCCTCCGCGAGTACGGCGTCTTTAACGAGAAGGGTCTAGTCAAGGCTGCGAAGAACCTCTCGCCGATTGAGAACAGCACTTTGACTTGCGCTGCGCTGACGAGCTGGAATGCGCTGTACGGACTGAAGCCTCTAAAGCCTGGCCAGGTGGTGCTGGTGCAGGGAACCGGAGGTGTGAGTATCTTCGGTCTGCAGGTAAGTTCTTTTCTTTTCTTTTCTTGTCTATCAATTTAGAATGCCTCGACTGATCGCGTTGCACGGTATAGTTCGCTAAGGCCGCCGGTGCGACCGTGATCGCCACGACGTCCTCCGACCAAAAGGCTGAGAAGCTGAAGAAGCTCGGCGCCGACCACATCATTAACTATAAGACCGACCCCAACTGGGGCGAGACGGCTCGCAAGCTCACCCCCGAAGGCGCTGGTGTCGACCACATCATCGAGGTTGGTGGAAGCGGCACTCTAAAGCAGAGCTTCAAGGCTATCAAGTTCGAGGGTATCATCAGCGTGATCGGATTCCTGGGTGGTGTCAGCGGCAGCGATCAGCCTGGCATTCTGGATACCCTGAGCAACATCTGTACCGTCCGTGGTGTCTATGTTGGTAGCAAGGCGTTGATGCGTGATATGGTGCGTGCCATCGAGGCTAACAACATTCATCCTGTTGTGGATGAGAAGGTCTTTAGCCTTGCTGAAACTCGGGAGGCTTATGAGTACATGGTAAGCAGGGCTCTTTCAAGAATCTAGCAAAGAAAATATGTACTAACTCGACAAACAGTGGGCACAGAGGCACTTTGGCAAGCTGGCCGTCAAGATCAATTAAGTAGATGACCGTGCTCAAGAAGGAATATTTTGATTTGCGTTGACCGATGTGATGCCACGATACGAACGACATACTAAAAATAAAAATGAACATGAACATGCACGATTGTTGCTGGTATCAAATGTAGTGTATGTTAGTTATGTAGCGTAAGAGGGGCTAGCAAGGTTCCCCGCTACTTTCATCATGTCTCATCCCAACAACCACCACCTCAGCAAACATTGTCCCTGCACTTCTCACTCGTTGAGTCTGCACTCTCGGAATTCCGTTAGTCGATTTCGCTAGCTGCGCGGCTAGCGACAGACCCGGCCACGACTGGTACGACTACACCAGTCCTCTAAGCTAGGTGTTCTGTAACGGACCCCCTCACCCGACCATGCAGGTCGACACTAGAAATACGTCCACTCTCCCCATTGTCGGACCCGACAAGAACAAGTCAAGGACTGCATTTGTACGACCTGCTCAGATGAGTCTGTTCGCGCGAGTGACTAGTTACCCGCCCCTCGGCCAGGTCACTTGTCTTCCTCGGGTCCAGAGGACGTTGCGGTCTGAGAAGGATGATGTTGTTAGTGACTCTCTCCTATATCCTGTTCCAGCCTCTTCATGTCTCAAGATTTGCATTCAACACCTGTCACCGAAATGTGTTCTCCGAATCTTCAAACTCTTCACAGGGCCACTTGAGTGTTGAGACGCGGTTTGAATAACCTGTACTAAATCCATCTCAGGTCCGATTCACAGTCGTCATCGAGTCCAGCAAATCCTTCCCAGACCAAATCTGGGAAACTCAGATCTGGCACAACATTTCCAGCTCAGAATGGACAGATCTCCCCCTTCGCAAGATCGACCCCTCACACGCGCCCTTGCTGAGCGAGAATGGCGCGGAGAATAGCTACCATCGCCACATATTCTCAAACGAGATCGTCTTGCCCTCCTCAGGCGGACATGCACAATTCACGATACGCTTTCGCATGGGCCCAGATACCGACTGGCAATGGGCCAACGAGCAGCATCCGATTAATGATGGCGAGATTGTATTCTGTCCTCGCATGCCACTTGCGCAGAGTACATCGTCAAATGGAAAGGATGAACTTTCCACGTATATCGACAATCTTTCACAAGATACTCATATTGAGTCGAGATCCAGCGAGGCTCCTGGTTCGCTGCTGTGGTCCGTATCTGGTGACGTGCCCGCTGCGACCGAAGCGTCTGGGACAAAAAGTCTTGTGCTAGGCAAGCCGTCCTCGGTGACTAGGAATTTCTCTTTGGTGCGAGTCTGGAGTCCTTGGCTAGGTCCCAGACATGGGAAAGATCAGTTCCGGCTGACAGAGGACGCTTTTCTGTGCTCCTTTCTACGGAAAGATGGGATGCATCTCGTCTTGCTCGCCGTCTCGGGAATCAACGATGTCTTGACTGTGTTCAGGTCGGGGAATCATAATGATCTCGTCGTCAAAGCGCGAAACGATAATACTGAGACAGCCAAATTCCAGGTGTTGGCTGCTGTCGCCGAGGACTTTGAGGTTGCCTTGTCGGCGCTCGTTTACGAGTCTCGAAAGTTCGTCAGGCCTTTCTCGGAGTTCTCAGATGTGTCCTCGGAAGACTTCACCCCGGTATCGCCACTGGGAGATGATGTTGTCATCGTGGAGAAAGATCCACAGATACAGTGGCTAACTGAATGGTTTGACGGCTTGACATATTGCACGTGGAACGGACTGGGCCAGAACCTGACTGAGGATAAGATTCTTCAGGCATTGAAGGACCTAAAATCAAACGGAATAAACATTTCCAACCTGATCATCGACGATAACTGGCAAAGCGTCGACAACGAAGGTGACTCCCAATTCAAGCGCCGCTGGCAAAAATTCGAAGCAAACAGCGCAGCCTTCCCAGACGGCCTCAGACAATCCGTCAACAAATTCCGCCAAACACATCCAAACATCCAACACATCGGCGTCTGGCACGCCCTATTCGGTTATTGGGGCGGTATCAGCCCAAACAGCGACCTATCCAAAAACTACAAAACAAAAGAAGTGAAAATCAAAGACCCGGCCGCGGACGGCCCAATCGCTCAAAACATCACCGACGGCAAGATCCTCGCCATCGACCCAGACGACATCCAACAATTCTACGAAGACTTCTATACCTTCCTTAATGCCTCCGGCATCGACTCCGTAAAAGCAGACGCGCAATTTTTCATCGACCTCCTCGACGACCCGAGCGATCGGAAGAAATTCACAACAGCCTACCAAGATGCCTGGTCCATCGCCGCACTTAAACATTTTGGCACACGCGCTATCTCCTGCATGTCGCTGATTCCGCAGATTATGTTCCACTCGCAATTACCGACAACCAAACCGACCATTCCACTCCGAAATTCGGATGACTTCTTCCCCGATGTCCCAGCCGCGCAGCCTTGGCATGTTTTTTGTAATGCGCATAATGCCTTGTTCACGAGGTACCTCAATGCACTGCCGGATTGGGATATGTTTCAAACGAAACATCCGTACGCTTCTTTCCATGCTGCTGCACGCTGTATTTCTGGCGGACCCGTGTACATCACTGATGAGCCAGGCAAGCACGATCTCAAACTCCTTGATCAAATGACTGCCCCAACCGTCCATGGGACAACTGTTATTTTACGACCCAGCGTCATCGGCAGAACAATCGATGTCTACAATGGCTATCACGAAGGAAGGATATTGCGAGTCGGGAGCTATACCGGCTGGGCCAAGACGGGCAGCGGCATCCTGGGCCTCTTCAACGTTCAATCCGGGCAAACAACCTGCTTGGTCTCCTTGATGGATTTCCCGGGCATCCACGAAGATTCACAAGGACAATACGTGATCCGAGCCTACACAAGCGGCAAAGTAACCGGTCGAATGCAACCGCTAGACAAAGACTCGCTCGTCTCTATCGTTCTAGAGCAGAAGGGCTGGGAGATCCTAACAGCGTACCCGACGCAGTCGTTTACATTGAAGGGGAGTCGGGGGTACAATCTTTCCGGTGGGAGTCTGACGCATGTAGCTGTGCTTGGTCTACTGGGTAAAATGACTGGTGCTGCTGCGGTTGTTAGTTCGGATATATTTATCGTGGAAAATGGTCGGCTGCGGTTCGATGTGCATTTGAAGGCATTGGGGGTTTTGGGTGTTTATTTCTCGGATCTGAGTCGGTTGGATATTGCTAAGAATTTCATGGTTATGATTCTAGGTCGGCCGGTTCCGCCGAAGACGGTGTGGAAGGAGGGTGGGGAGGATGCGAAAGTACTCGCGATTGATGTGCTTGCGGCTTGGAAGGCTATGAAGTTGGATAGTGGGTGGAGTAATGAGGCTTTTGTTCAGGTGTTTGTGGGGTGATTTAACGGAATTGTGGATGAATTGAGTCATTCTTTAGCCTTTGAATGTGTTGGTTTCGAATGACGTTCTTTTAGCAGGGATATACTACAAGCACTGCGGGAGGAGACTTGGCCTAGCGCTAGGAATATCCACCACGGAGGCTTAAAGGGGCCAGTTACCCACTGCCGGCAATTGTGCAATCCTAATCCAAGATTGCGCATACAATTCGCAGACCCCACTCAACCCGACTGCCCTAGCACCAGCAAGCACGAGCTCGCGTGTCGTGTAGAATGAGGAGCTGCAATAATGTTAGCGTGGAGGGGGAGGGGTAATCGGAGGGGCGAGCGACGAGGGGATAAATATGCGCGGCCCCGCGGACTCGGACTCTTTTCCACTGCATTTCCATTCAAAACCATCGCATTGTCCTCTGCAATTCACAGTTTGTCACTTCTTCTCAATTGAAACACAATGTCTCTGGGACGTACCTTCAAGCTGAACTCGGGCTACGAGATTCCTGCCGTTGGCCTCGGCACTTGGGTATGTTTCGTCCCTCACACTGCAGCAGGTATGCAAAGAACTACGGGAAGCTAATACTTCAGTGTTTACTGCGCAAAGCTCTCCAAGCCCCACGAGGTCGAGAATGCCGTTGAGACTGCCCTTCGCAAGGGATACCGTCACATTGATGCGGCGGCTTGCTACCAGAACGAGAATGAGGTCGGAAATGGCTGGAAGAAGTCGGGTGTGCCCCGCGAGCAGATCTTCGTGAGTACAACAGCACGAAATAATCTATGCAATTCGCAATTTGCTAACGTAATTCATCTCAGATCACTAGCAAGCTATGGAACACCCATCACCACCCCGACCACGTCGAGGAAGCCCTCAACAAGACCCTCGCAGACCTCCAGACCGACTACCTGGACCTGTACCTGGTGCGCATGCAATGGACCTCAAGTCCTTACTAGCGAGGGACACAGATTAACCATCCATGGATGCTAGATCCACTGGCCCGTCGCCTTCGCCCACACCAATGAAACCCTTACGCCAACCGACCCGGTGACCAAGCGCTTCCAAATAGCCGATGTCCCGGTTGCCGACACCTGGGCCGTCCTGGAGAAGCTTGTTGCAGCGGGCAAGATTCGGAGTATCGGTATTAGCAACTTCACCATCCAGGCGACCAAGGACTTGCTGAAGACTGCGAAAATTCCTCCTGCTGCTAACCAGATCGAGGCTCATCCTTATCTGCTCCAGCCGGAGCTGTTTAAGTTTTTGAAGGACAACGTAAGTACTTACCTTATACTTCAAATTGATTCTGGCGAATAAATTAACTCCATGGAACGCACAGAATATTCTTCCAGTGGCTTACAGCCCTCTCGGAAACAACATCTACAACCTGCCTCGGTATGTTGGCCCACCGGCCACATCAGATCCATTGCGTAGACTAATAGACCCACAGTGTTGTCGACGACCCGACGGTCGTGGAGGTTGCGAAGAGACTGAACAAGGACCCCGCTAGCTTGTTGATCTCGTGGGCTGTCCAGCGGGGCTCCTCCGTGCTGCCCAAGAGTGTCACTCCATCACGCATTGAGAGTAACTTCCAAGGTGAGCTCATATTACACTTCCTGACCACGCTGTAGTTAGTTCGCAGAGCCAGCTAATGCGCTTCTAGATTTCGTCATTCCCGATGCCGAATTCGAGGCTTTGAACAAGCTGGACAGGAACGAGCGATACAACTATCCCTTCCGCTGGGGTATTGATGTGTTTGGTGAACTTGGTGCTGCTGAGGCGGAGCGACGCGCTGAGGAGCATGCTGCTAAGTTGAGGGAGAGCTCTTAGTGATGTAGCAAAGTATGTCTGTCGCAATTATTATAGATATATGGGTAGCATGTGATATTCTATTTTCCGTGCCCTCACAGGTGAAGTGCGAGTGTGTGCTGTAGATCGTGCGACTAGCCACACATACGCAAATATATATTTTGTTGAGATTTCAGCAGTCTTCAATGCCGCTGAGGCCATGAGGGCTACTATGCCATCCTCCCTGAGTCGCACTAGCCTTATACTGTAACGCGGACCTTCGGGAAGTGTGTATAGCACACTTCCACTCAGGGGTTATCTTAGATTATTAGACATCTTCAATATTACTTCATTGTTGGCTTAAGCGATGCCCTCCAGATCCTATCCCTCATCTCAACATATTTGAGCTCATCACATAGTTTGGTCCCATATAGTTATAGCCAATTCAATCAGACGAAAACTAACATTCAATTCTTTAAAAAAAGCTCAAAATAAATCGGTCACTGTAAACTGTTTTTTTAGAAATTCATTCGTCTCAACTATTAAGTGCCATGTAAAAATTCGAACTGTTGTTGCATTTGGCAAACCAGGATGCGCCGCCCGAAACGTCCCTGAAACGCCGCCGAACTTTGTTTGTCTCGCGCACTTCTCAGCCGCAAGACTTCCTATTCACTCCAACCGTGTCAGAAATTGCACTCGATCATCCTGCAAGCGTGACGTTATCAACTCCGCTCAAAATGCCTGCTACGAAGGAAGGTCGCATCATGAAAGTCAAGGCCCGCCGGTCCGAAACATCCAGCCGACGCGTCCAGTCCGGCAGAAAGAGTAAGTAGACGACAGTCCCATAGTGCACCACTCCAAACATAGAAAGCCTAAAAGAATTCACTCTCGATCTGAGGTAACCGTTCCACGCTCTTTGGGTTCCTATAATTGAGGTCTGGTGCAACTTGCTGCAAGACGCGTCTAACATCTACAGACCTACCACTCGTCGAGCGCACCAACGCGCTGCCGATCGACCAGTTCATCTCGCAATATGTATCTCCACTGTCAGCAAAGAAACCCACAGAGACGCCCACAGAAAAAAATGCATCTACATCACAATCCGCCCAGGCCGATGCGACTTCGCTGGCCATTTACTCCGCCACAACCATCCCGTCCGCAGACCTAGAAGCCTGTCTCAACCTCATCGAAGAAACCTCCGGCGATGCCTACGCCGCATCTGGAGGAGGCTGGTCGCGTCCCAAGAAGCTCAGGGAGATGAAATTGCCCGATATGAAATACCTGATTGTGCGGGCCGCGGGGCAATCCGACGCGCCGTCCGAAGCCGACGAGCCGGAGTCCGAGTCCAAGTCGGTGCTTGGGAAGGAATCGGGGAAAGTACTCGGGTTCTTGTCGTTTATGGTTACGTATGAGGATGGGAAAGAGGTGGTCTACTGCTACGAGATTCATTTGTCGGCGTTGGCGAGGGGGAAGGGCTTGGGGGCTTTGTTGATGGGGAGGATGGAGGAGATTGGGCGGTCGGTTGGGTTGGAGAAGGCTATGTTGACGGTTTTCAAGTCGAATGCTGTTGCTCGGGAGTTTTATAGGAAGGGTGGGTATGACGTTGATGAGTATTCGCCGCGGCCGAGGAGGTTAAGGAATGGGACGGTTAAGGAGTATGATTATGAGATTTTGTCGAAGCGGTTGAAGTGACTTTCAGGGAATTGATTTTGTTTAATGCAGACGCTGAAAACGATGGAAATGCAACTAAGTTATTAATGTACATCAGACTTGTTTGACTTCGGTGCCCTGGGCGTCTGGGTGGTCTTGTTCCCATTCATCCCGGATGGCCGCGAAAATGCTATCTGCCAGAAGAATCGACAGTCCCAGACTCCAGACGAGGGTGATGGCATAGAAGAAGTTGGCGTTGCCGGATCCAGCGTAGATCCACAGGTGGTAGAAGGCGGGACCGAGGAGACTGGAGTAGAGGATTGCGGAGATGGCGAAAAATGTGTACCGCATTACTGGTCGATATTAGTAAAGGTTGACGAAGGAACCCTAAATCAAGGGGGCACTCACAAGGGAAGAGATGGCGGTACAAAGGTAGGGTCGCAAAGTACAAAGATGCATCGGAGATGCTGGGGTACGGCTTGAAGATGGCGAATACTCCAAGCAACGAGGCGACAACGAACAATGGCTGCCGTCGTAGGCGCATGGTAAGGCCCCCAACATAGCTGGCCAGATGCAGCCAGAACACACCGAGGAAAAACTCGCGGAAGGAGTCGAACATCTCGATGAAGAAGTACCACCATAGGCCCACATTGGGGGTCAGGTCGGGGACCAGCAAGTGGAAGCCATAGGTCGCCGACATGAATTCCCAGAAGTTCCCGGTGATGAGTACGGACAGTCCGAGGAGTCCCGCAATACTAGCAAGCAAGATACCTGCATGTTGCAACCCGTAAATGATGCCGTTCGGTGGCTTATTGGCGCTCTGGAGCCGTTGATCGAAGCAGAGTAGCACAAGGGGAACAAAGAGCAGTGCCGGGTAGAGAGACAAGTATGAGGCAAAGCCGAGGGCTAGCATCGCGTTGACACTGTTCCCAGTGACAGCATTGGAAACCGCAAAAAGAATTCCGGTTGTAGTGAAGACGCTGGTAGATCGCGCCAAGCACGTCGCAATCGTGAAGGGGTTAAAGAGGAACCTGGGTCCGAATTAATAATAATTCATCCAGTCGAGCATAGTGGTTCAGCGTACCAAGCAGCAACCGATACTCCATCCCATCGAATGTGCTTCCGAACGGCCGAGTGGAGTTGGCTTTGGACAGACTGTCCCGACTCGGAGATGGTGACCAGGGCACGGGCATTGACGAGGTCGACTAGGAAGTAAAGAATCGCGGTAGGAATCGGATTACTCTGGACGCCGGGGAGGAGGGAGAATAGAGGGAGGAGGAGCGGTGCCTTGATCAATTCGTGTCAATTGAGGAGTAGTGCGGAGCAAACACGGGAGGTGCATCTACCTGGTGAAAGACACCACCATCGTAGGGTGAAACATTTCGCGTGTAGAGATACAGTCCTTCTTGCACTAGAAACCCAATGTCAATATCGGCAATTCCCAGCAATCAACCGCAAGCTACTCACGTCTCTTGAAACTATTGACCGGGGTCGAGACCTCGACTCGGCCCGTCAACAGATCGGGCAGTGAAGGAAATAAACAGATCAGAAGCAAACGCAGCACAAAGGCCGCGCCGAACACGCCGACCGTCCGTCGGTCCACGGCCATGACTGCTGCAGAAGGACTCGTGGTGTTGTTGATCGCAGCTGGTCCCAGGCGGAGTTGTCCCTTGAAGGCGGAGGAACCACGGCGCCCGCGGGTGCACGGACCAACTGACCGCCTTCGACAGAAAAAAAAGTTATCGAGAAATTTTCCTTCTTCTTATCGGCACTGTTTGTCTTTCGACCCAGGAAATATACCCCCCGGGAAACAGGCACCATGGCGAAGATCAAGAAGAAGGGTACGATTTGCTGCTCGCCGCTCCATTGACATTGCTGACTTTAATTAGGTACCTCCGGCCAGGCCAAAAACTATATCACCCGTACCCAGGCCGTGCGCAAACTGCAGATTTCTCTGCCGGATTTCCGTCGCCTATGTATCTTCAAGGGTAGGTTGATACGAAAAAAGATTAATGCTGTCGATTGTGACACTGACCGATCTTGCGCCTGAAGGAATCTATCCCCGTGAGCCTCGCAACAAGAAGAAGGCCTCCAAGACTTCGACACCGAACACAACCTTCTACTACACCAAGGATATCCAGTACCTGCTCCACGAACCCCTGCTGAACAAGTTCCGTGATCAGAAGGCTCTTGCGAAGAAGATCGCCCGCTCCCTCGGCCGTGGTGAAGTCAGCGACGCTGCGCGCCTGGAGAAGAACCACGCCCCCAAGCTCACTCTCGACCATGTCATCAAGGAGCGTTATCCCACCTTCATCGATGCGCTCCGTGACCTCGACGATGCGCTCTCTCTGCTGTTCCTCTTTGCCACCCTCCCCTCCGACAAGCACGTTCCCCCCAAGACCATTGCCCTCTGCCAGCGTCTCTGCCACGAGTTCCAGCACTACCTGATCGTCACCAACTCGCTGCGCAAATCTTTCCTTTCCATCAAGGGTATTTATTACCAGGCCACCATCCAGGGCCAGGACATCATGTGGCTCGTGCCCTACCGTTTCGTTCAGCGTGTCAATGGCGATGTCGACTACCGTATCATGGCCACCTTTGTCGATTTTTACACTACCCTGCTTGGCTTCGTTAACTTCCGTCTGTACTCTACAATTGGCTTGAGATACCCCCCGAAGTTCGATACCCGGAGTGACGAGAACGGTGCCGAGTTGGCTGCTTTCACCCTCGAGGGCCGCACTGTTGGCGACAAGCCCAAAGCCATCGAGCCTAGCAAGGGCCAGACCAATGGTTCTAACAAGGAGGTTTCCAAGGAGGTGCAGGCTAAGGTTGACAAGGTTATCAAGTCTGCTGGACTGGATCAGACCAAGGATGAGCAGGCCATGGACACCACCGAGGAATCGACCGACGCTATCGACCGCTTCGAGCCCACCGCCCCCGAGGCCGACACCCTGCCCCAGCCTGATATGAGCGGTAACGAGGCCGGTGCTCTTTTCGCTCCGTTTGTCTTTTATATCTCTCGTGAAGCCCCCAAGGCGCCTCTCGAGTTCATTCTCCGTTCCTTCGGCTGCAAACGCATTGGTTGGGATGCCGTTATGGGTGACGGAGCTTTCACACACGACGAGACCGACCCCCGAATCACTCACCAGATTGTTGACCGTCCTCAACTCCCCGCCGAGTCGCTCCCTGCCGTGCCTGCCGCGTCCGAGAATGCCGTCCAGAAGGTCAAGCCCGGTACTCGCATTCCCGGACGTACCTACGTCCAGCCCCAGTGGGTGTGGGACTGCATCAACGATGGCAAGCTCCTCCGCGCAGACCTGTACGGACCTGGTGCCACTCTCCCTCCCCACTTGAGCCCCTGGGTTAAACCTTCTCGCGGCGGTTACGACCCTCGTGCCTCCTTGGCCGAGCAGGAAGAAGAAGGTGAGGCTGAAATGGCCGAGGATGTCGAGGATGCCGAGGACAGCGACGAGGAGATGGCAGATGATGCTGCTGCTGTCAACGAGAAGCCCGCGGAGGAGTCCGAGGACGAGTCTGTGGACGGCGGTATGGACGTTGCTGGTACCGATGACGACGAGAGCGACAGTGAGGAGGGTTCGGACGAGGAGGCCGACGAGGCCTTTGGTGGATTCGAAGAGGAAGCCGCTTCCGAGTCTGAAGATGACGACGAGGCTGCCCGCAACCAGCACCAGCGTGAGCTGGAGGCCGAAGCCGCTGGTCTGCCCTTCTCCTCCTCTGGTGCTAAGGACGAGGCTGCCAAGAAGAAGACTTCCCAGTCCAAGAAGCTGGCTGCCAAGAAGCGCCAGGAAGAGGAGGAGCTCGAGAGGCAGAAGATGATGATGAGCCGCAAGAAGCGCAAGCTGCTCGAGAAGATGATGCACTCGAACAAGAAGCAGTCTGACGAGGCCGCCAAGCTCCGCTCGAAGCGTCGTAAGCTTGAAAAGGGCGAAAAGGGCTCTCAGAAATAAACTGAGTTGTGTCAAAATTAGGTGTGCTATTTTTTCTACTGGCGTTTGTGGCTGGATAGTCCCTTGTATATGCATGTCCCAAAAATTATGTCCATCAAATTTAATGGTTTACTGCACGACTGGAACTGTAGTCCTCAAAACTAAAATCGTAATTCAACGAACTCTGGTTGGTGATCCCATAGGGTACTCTGGGAGCCGACATACTATACTGTTCGTAGATGTCGGGGTAAGAGCGACGCTCTCGAAGATCACGTGATCACGTGATTGATATCCACCCGCGCGAATTTTGACAGAGGAAGCAATACACCGTTCCACGAGGACTGAGAAATCTGTGTTTGTGTCAGCGCGAAAGTTCCTCCAAAGAAGCTTTCTGTAATTCTCAACCAGATTCGAGTGTTGTTACAACAGATTTTTCCCTAACGTCCGAGAACTACGTGATATCAACGGGCAGCCATCCCGGTGATACACCGGTCTCCACAAATCTACCGCAACACAACAGAGGCATGTCCTCGCAGTCGGACAACGTGAACCTACCGTCATCATCTCAGTTCGTGCCGCCGGAGTCGGCTCAACCCTATCGATCGCTATTTGGCGGTCCCAGCAGTGATGGTTTTTCATCATCCCAGCCGGGACCACCACCAGGATCCATCTTTGGTGGCCCAAGCGGCCGTGCTATTCCTCAGCTGGAGCCCATGAGCGAGGAGCTCGAATTCCAAGACGAAGATGAAGATGTCCATGATGATTACGATGACCTCGAAGCTCTCATGCGGGAAAAGCCCCTGGAAGCCGACTACGGCTCGGACGGAGAAAGCTTCGAGGGAAGTCTTGGCGACGATGAGATGGATCTGGACTCTGAGCCGGACTTGCCTACCAAAGGAAAGACCAGAAAATCTTTTGACTCACACAAGAAGACTGTTCCGCCTACTACCTATGTACTCCACCGTGGTGTAGACCTTCCCCCTGGAGCTCCACGCCCTAACCGATACCCGAAGGAACAAAATCTATGGAGAATTGACACTGCGGACGAACGGGGTGCATACCAGGGGATCACAGAGGAGCGCGCAAGAGACCTCGCGATTCATCTGTACAATACATTCAAGTGGCGAGATCCAAAGTCCAGCACGGGTGGAGTTGATGGACTTCAACGTGATGCTACACGCATTAACAAGAAAGGGTGGGTGTCCTGGCCCATGACTTCTGACCTGGTTCCCCGACGCGATGAAACTATTAAATGGAAGCTGCGAGATGACGACACCTTGCGAATGCCGCCTGATCCTCGAGCCAGTGCTGAACTCGAAGAGTCCATCATCGCGAACATGATGAAAACCGCAAAAGAAACGTTTTATGCAGGTGAACGGCAAGGCCTGTCATACAGTAAAGCACTTAAAAAGTATTGGGTGCAATGGACTCAGGAGCGCAAGATGAGAGAGCAAGGCAAAGATCCCACGGAAATCAAGGACGAAGTGGTCTCCGAGAAGGGCTATCTCAAGAACGCAAATGTGGAGGCTGAAGTCTCAAAGCTTCAGGCCATCCCGCTCTGGAGGATGCCACAGGAGCCCCCTCGACGGAAGATGAAGGTCAAGGATTTTCAGACCAGGTCCGTCTTCCAAGCCGACGATGACAAATCGCGACGACAACTACGACCACTATGCCGGACCGTTATATCACAAGTTGACGACTTGTTGATTGGTCTGCATCGCATCCAGAAACGCCGATACATGTATCATACGCAAGACATCCTCGGGAAAACTCGTTCTGCGCGCGAGAGCGAAACATCCCGCTCACGCTCCCGCAGCCACAAACGTGCTCGACAACATAGCCCCGGATCGACTGGCAGAAACCGCTCTAGTAGGCCGCATGATGCCTCAGATGATGCTTCCTCGAATGATGCCTCCTCGGATGATGCCGAGTCAGACGGGCCATCAAAGCAGACCCGTGGCCGGCCGAGAAACAGGGACAACACCCATCGCCGCGAGTACGTAATGGGCTCGCTGCGTGACTGGAGCGAGGTAATGGGTGTTGCGGCCATGATTGGGCTTCCCTCTGCCGCCATCATGCGCGCTTCCAAGCGGTGCGCCGACCTGTTCAACCAAGACATGGAATTTATCAATCTACCCGAAGGTCAAATGAGGGAGAGATCAAAATCACCTACAACCAAGAACCGGCGGATGGTCTATGTTGAAAGCGACGACCATATGGCTGCACCGAAGATAAGAGCGAAAGCCTTGCGGAACCAACTGGATTATGAAAAGCGGCAAGTAAAACGAGACCAAAAACGAGCAGAGATCGCAGGGAACAAGTTTGATTCGGATGTTGAATCACCTGAAAACAAAGGCGTGCACGGCAAACCGCATCTTCTTTGCCCTTTCCCTAAGTGTCCTTTCCAGATGATTGGGTTTAGTCGGCCGGCATATCTGCGTCAGCATCTGCGAGGAGTTCATAAGGTACGATCTCCCAGTCCGTCGAGCTCTGGAGACGATGCGACTATCAAGTCCAGATCTCCAGACGAGCCGAGATCGAAATCCGTTGAGACCATCAATGAACCGAGAGCCCTTAGTGTGTCACGGTCTGAAGCCGATGTGACTATCAAGTCGAGATCTCCCAGTCAGCCGAGATCTAGATCCGTTGAGGCTATCGATAGGTCGATACCTCTGCGGGTGTCAAAATCACCGAGTACGAGTGAGCCGAGTAAAGCTGAGAGTACCGACGAGTGATCCATGGAATGTATGATACCAGCGCTGTTTAGTAACCATGAATCAATATTCGAATAATGATCTCTCGTTGTCTGTAGTGCTGTTTACTCACCGAATCCACTGTCGGCTGGTCCTTCCTAAATGCGCTGTGGGCGATGTATTTCGATTACGCTATCTCGGATCGCAGGCCGAGGTAATGGCCACCCATTGGTGGAGGCTACCGACGGTAAGATATCGCAGCTTTCCAATGGTTCAAAATGCCGGGATATGTAATTAATGAAATAGTAATACGCCGCTGTGGACCGAGACGGGATCGTGACCAATTTATCATCTTGCGAAATTGGAGAAGATAGTTCTATAGAGAGAAGGAAAATGGAACAGAGAGGCAGCTTGGGAAACGACCCGTTCGGATGGAAACAAGTACCGGCTGAACGATCTCGAGAAAGCTGCGCCGTCGCTGGAAGCAGACAGGAATGCCGGGATGACATCACGCAGATAGCATCGAGCTTCCCTTCTGAGCTCCCGCAGTACCTTACACTTCTGGGGGAGAATACTATTACCTACAAGCAATACTCGACCAGCTCGGTGCTTCTCGGGCCCGCAGAGCAATCACCGTCCAGCCCGGTCATTGCTCCGATCGACCTTAAAACGGGCGCTCCCCGCACGAACTGCGCGCTTCTGCTTGCCCAGTACCGCTCGCTTTTCCAGCCCTTCCCCGCTCCCTCGGTTCTCTCAGCGAGAGTCCCAACTCATAATGGAGCGTCTCATCCGCCCGGTTGCCCGCCAATTGCTGCGTCCTCGTCTTCGCTATCCCTACTCCATTCCTCCCCCGCCTATTGCGAAGAGACTCTACACCATGGGACACAACAAGCCCGACGTGAGTGGCCTCGCCCCGACCGACTTCCATGGTGGTATCAGCAGCTAATCTGAGGACTCCTACAGCTTAAGGATAAGTCACTCTTCATTGAGAAGTGCTATATCAATGGCGAATGGGTAGGTGCTCAGTCGGGCGAGACTTTCGAGGTCCACGGTAAGAATCACAGCCCCCCAACTGTTCGAGAGAACTCGACTAATACCGCTGCTTGCGACAACAGACCCCGCCACTGGCAAGCTGATTGGAACATGCCCCGAACTCGATGCGTCCGACGTCGAAAAGGCCATCCAAGCGGCCTCCGCTGCGTTCCCCGAATTCCGCACAACCCTCGCCCGCGAGCGCGCGCGCATGTTGCGTCGGTGGTACCAGCTCATGATGGACAACGCGGAGGACCTGGCCAAGCTGATTACCTGGGAGAACGGCAAGCCGTTCGCCGACGCCAAGGGCGAAGTGAACTACGCCGCCAGCTTCTTCGAGTGGTTCAGCGAGGAAGCTCCCCGCGTCTACGGCGACACCATCCCGGCTACTGTTCCCGGTAACCGGGTGATGACCCTGAAGCAGCCTGTCGGTGTCTGTGGTCTGATCACACCCTGGAACTTCCCGGCCGCTATGATCACCCGTAAGATTGGACCTGCCCTCGCTGCGGGCTGCACTGTTGTCGCTAAGTCTCCCGGCGAGACCCCCTTCACTGCCAACGCTCTCGCTGAGCTGGCTCACCGCGCTGGTATCCCTAAGGGTGTCGTGAACATTGTGACTGCCTCGAAGAACACCCCTGCTGTGGGCGAGGCGATCACCACCCACCCGGAGGTGCGCAAGGTTTCCTTCACCGGTTCGACCAATGTCGGCCGGCTGCTGATGAAGCAGGCTTCGTCGACCATCAAGAAGGTCTCCTGGGAGCTGGGTGGTAACGCGCCGTTCATCGTCTTTGATGATGTGGAGGATCTCGACGCCGCGGTCAACGGCGCCATTGCCTCCAAGTTCCGTAGCTCGGGCCAGACTTGCGTCTGCGCTAACCGCATCTACATCCAGAAGGGCGTGTACGATGAGTTCTCCAAGCGCTTCGCTGCCAAGGTTAAAGACTTTAAGCTCGGAGGCGGCTTCGAGGAGGGCATCACCCACGGCCCTGTGATCCACGAGCGTGCCGCTGAGAAGGTGCACGAGCACGTCCAGGATGCCACTTCCAAGGGTGCCAAGGTTCTTATTGGTGGACAGAAGGCTTCTGCGCTGGGTCCTAACTTCTACGAGCCCACTGTTCTGTCTGGCATGAGCAAGGAAATGCTCATCGCTTCCGAGGAGACTTTTGGCCCCGTTGCTGGCCTCTTCCCTTTCGAGACTGAGAAGGAGGTTGTGGATCTGGCTAACAAGGCCGAGGTTGGTCTGGCTGGTTACTTCTTCAGTGGTAATGTTCGCCGTATCTTCCGCGTTGCGGAGGCCCTTGAGGTTGGTATGGTTGGTGTCAACACTGGTCTGATCAGTGACGTTGCTTCTCCGTAAGTTCTCTCCCCCAATTTCCCTGGTCTGGAAAATCCCCCTTACTAATGATTCGCAGGTTTGGCGGTGTCAAGCAGAGCGGCTTCGGCCGTGAGGGCAGCAAGTACGGTATTGACGAGTTCATGGTTATCAAGAGTGTCACCTTTGGCGGTATGGGAGAGCCTTTGCAGGCATAAGCTTTCCTCAAAAATTAAGATTATGTATACCATATATAAGAATTAAATTGAGATAGAAACGGTTCTTTCGAAAGTCAATGCCTTCGAGAAGCTCCAAGTATAGATAGGATCACGTGATTATACAGTTAAGTGCCAATGCAAAGACTGCAAACTCGGCCGACCGCCTTCCACTTTCCTCGAATCATCTTGATCTCCATCTCCATCAACCCCCATCACCTCGAACACACATCAATCCCAAAACCCCAACACGGGTAGGGATGATCTAGTCAATTCAAAATGCGCCAGTCAATCCACCTGCTAGCTAGCGTCTCGCGCGGCGTGTCATCGAAGCTGCGAAAGCCGGCCGTCAGTCTCGACCATGTAAGGATATCCCGGGGCTATGAATCATATTATCCAATGTACCGAAGATTAATTCTGTGAGGTTTGCAGTTCATCCAAAGACAACGGGTCCTCGCGTTTTGGCGTGAAATTTCGCGTGCGTTGCGTAGTATGTTTCCGTTCCTGCAATTAGTGCAGCTTGTCATCGAATGAATTGTCTCGAGCCCCGAGACGGTTATTCGATGAAGTAATTCTACTTCAAATGTTGGAGTCAGTGTTGATTTGGTGTCTAGAAATTCCCCCCTCTGCGACGCGCGACGAATTACGTGGCTATGCTCGTCAGGAATTTGAGAGACATCGGGATGTTACTGATCTGGTGAGTTTTCGCCCTTTTTATGATTGCTCAGGTGGGATGGAAATTGACTGAATCAGGGACATATTCGCTACCTTCTCTCAGTAGGTTCATGCTTCTTATTACCTTGGGAATGAATAAATACTGATCTCTTACAGACCGGCAAAGCCGAGTTCGAGACTATGAGGCGGTACATCGATGAACAGGTTGTCGGCTGATATCTCCGCGTTTTGAATACCCCTGCATTGCGATGGATCTTGGTTAGAAACTTGGGTGTATTTTATTGGGTTGGGACCTTACGAGACTTCGTGTACATTATTCTGGAGTTAGCGGATATTCGATGATTCGACTTACATTGATCTATTTCCATCACTCTCACTCCGATCTTAAGGGTTTGATCAGGCCGCGCTTTCTGTTGTGCAATGGCCCATAGAGGAAGAATTATTGACTGTAAAGTGAACGGTACTAACAAGTCCCTGAAACCACTTTTCTGACTTCACTTAAATTATTTGATTTGAAGCTACGTCAGATATGGTGCTCTCTCCGACCTTTCCACCTCCATTAATTTCACGGCCATAATTACATAATTCACTGGAATCATCCTGCATCCCAAGTCAAGTGTGTGCATATCCTGCCAGGTACCAACCTTGCCACCTTTCCATTGCAGAACATCAGTCCACTGTTCGGATTCCTTGTCTGCCGCGTGGCGTGCCTCAGAAAGGTTGACTAGCGTGGTTCGAACAGGATATTCCTCAAGGCCTCATACCCTAGTGAGGAAAGGCAATTTCACAGAGCCCCTCTAGCACAGAGGCTTTTCCTGCTGACTGGTCATCGCAGAAGATGATCTGCGGCCAACGTGATGTGCTCGCACACCCCGTTCGCGCGGACACGGTCGATTTGGTTCAGCAATTCGGAAGTTCATGATGGCCGAAGACCAAGTTCACTTTTACTTTGGCGGAAATTGATTGTTTTCGCATGGATTTCGTTAACTTTGGAGGTTCATGCCGGCGACTTCATTTTGGGAAGATGGCTTTTGGGTAGCCGATATTCATTGTCAGAAAATTAAGGAGGGTGGGGACTGAGTGAAAGTTGAGCGAAGGTAGTGAGAGTAGTGGGAGAGAGAATGAAGGATGAAGCTGGAGGATGATGAGGGTTGATCAAATGACTGCACTTCAAACAAAGAGTTCTTTAGTTTTTTGTGCTGAAAGTTTCCTACAAACATCAAACGCCCTTCTCTCACATCAGGAGGATAAGGTGTGCTGGACTTCGTTGACGGTACCTAGGTACAAAACACAACACTGCCAGTATGTTTGACTCATCTACCTCTCTGACTCCCTGTGCTTTACGGCAGGGAAAGGTGTTGAGAGCATGACAGCTCACATATGTATCAATCCAGGGAAGACTATGTTACTCTGTGGCAAAAACTTCGACAAAGATCAGCGATTTATCCTTCGCAGAGTCTCAGATACTCAGCGAATATCCGACACGCAGGTTCATAATCTGTTTGATGCTCAACTTTCCGCCAATTCAATGATCCCCGGATATGGCACTCGAAACAAACAACCCAGGTATTGACGAGATCTGCTCTTTGCGGGGTATAAGGTCACGAAACCTAGGTACAGTGCGCAGGCAGGCGAGAAAAGATCGCAGATCTGGATTGGCCATCCCGTGGCTGAAAAATCTCATCCGACCCGGCGCCGAACTGTAAATGTCCAGTACACTTCAAGTCGAAGATCAAAATACCAATATCCAGGTCGCCAGGCCACTACACAGCTGGCGCAGGTCAATTCTCCTCGTCACAGATTTCATCCGCTGCTACGTCCAACGGAACACTGAAATCCACACGATCCTGGGCCCATAAATGATGGTATGGCAAATTCTGGACATGGATAGCCTCGCACAGCTACCCCAAGCCATGATACCCGACCTCGACATCACACGCCTCGACCTGACGACCGTTGACTATATGCGGAAAACATCACCAGTAATGCGGGAGCAGGTTTACATGGATAAAGGTTAGAAACCCTCTCGGATTGCCGTCCATAGACGCAATTTGCACGCCACGCCCGTCAAAGCCAAGCGGTTCATGGACGTAAGCGCCGTCGCAAGATTCATCAAACCGGCTTTAAGCGCCCAGCCAACTGCTTCGGCAACAAACTCGACAGGGGAATCCAAGACCTATGTGAAATTGTTTTGGAACTTGGCATCGTGGCCGATGCTTTCAACAGACTGAACACCTTCCTTACCGCAGATATGCTGGAAGTATTGACGCCAATGCAAGCTGCCAGAATCCGACATCTGATGGGCGTCATGAAGTTCGAACGGTTGATCGACCTCTCACAACAGTTAGATAAGAGGAAACAGAACGCCTTACAAGAACTTGTTCTTGTCCGCGACCATTATGTGGGCCTTTGCAACACATTGTACGAGGAAGACGACGTGTGCATTGGAGACTTTAGGAGTCGATGGTCCTATGACTGCTTGTGAAACTGCAACAGGGGTAAAATGGCGGAAAGATGCAGCCTGTTACAGTTGTTCCCTCCCCACCCTGCCCCACTTTCCCTAGCAACAATGGAACACCGCCCACAAGGAAGTTGACTTGATATATCGGGGAGATATTCAATTCGTGGTTCCTTGTTGGGACAGCATTTTGGCTTTTGGCGGAGGGCATCGAAATAGCGGTGGATGAGTGGTCCACGCTGCTATTATAGCATTGGAACGGGCATCGTATTTTCCGAAAGGTCGCAAGTATCATTATTCTTTGCTAGCTATCTGGGACCAATTGACTACAACTTCTCTTTGTGACTGTCGAAAATGTATCATGCTTTGTCCCGGCTGAGGTCGGCGCTAGAAGTAATCCCGGCCGTGTTTAGTGTAGCAAGGGATTTCCCAACAAGATTTGATCACTCAACCACGCCCGTTCCGAGTTAATCAATTGAAACGACTGCTTGCGTGTACGGATGAACAATCCCGACCTATTCCCATTCAGTGGGAGCTGAGCTGGGTGATCGGCCTGGTTTTTCAGGATAAGATACCACATCCCAGCCATGACATCATCCACTCACTCCATTGATCATGCAAATCAAGGCCGGCCCCTGTTCTAGACCGGTGTTTGAACAGAGCCCTACAGATCCTGCGAAAAGTACTCGTCTCTGAAGAAAAGAATTCGCCACTGGCTCTGCTCGTCATCACTTGCCCCAAATCACGGGGTCTGCTGCACCTGCCGCTGGCAAGCGTTCCTATGGGCTGGCTTTTGAGCCGTGCCCCGCAGTTCCAGTTACCAGCTAAAGCACGTCCCTCCATTCCAGTTAAACACTGCTATTCCGCCCCGTCCTCGACGGGATTTACCTGGAGCATCGCTAGCGGCTCCGGCGCCCGTCCACTCGTAGCGTGTAGTGCGCAGATAGACTTGGCCCGCGACTTCTCACTTGTTCTCCCCGGCTGTCTCGATTTCGCACTTGCATCGGTCAGTTCGGTCGAATCTGCTACTTCGTTCCCCGCCGGTGGCGAGACCCCGGTTTCTGTCGCCCGTTTTGAGACGAGGACCCTGGCCAGCTGCAATCTTGATATGGTGACGTATCCTCCCCCAGCTACTTTCGTGTTTCGATGGAAACGCAGAGATAAAATGGGAGAAGGTTTCCCCTGCTTGCGGATATACTTTGTTTGATTCTAATGCGATTGTCTTGACCCCATATTTTTTAATCTACGTTGCTACGTTATATTGAGCGCGACTCATCTCTTCTAAACTGCTGCGCTATCACACCACCACGCGACAGACTCGACTAAATTAAAAGAGTCTCGCAAGCGATCTACCGATCGCATGCCCATCTCGAATCCACTGCTCTTCTCTACACTGCAATATTTCTATACCGAAGCAATGCCTCGCGACCAGAGCCAGCGCCTCACCCCCGACCGGGCGAAGCACCTTGAGCGAAACCGCATCGCGGCCAACAAGTGCCGACAAAAGAAGAAGCGTGAACATCAGCAAGTGCAAAACACGCTGCACGACGAGACCGCGCGCCACGACTCGCTCGTCGCCGAAGTGAACAACCTCCGCGAAGAGATCTGGCAGCTCAAGAACTCCATCTTTGCCCACGCCACCTGCAACGACCAACACATCAACCAACAGCTCGCGAAAATGGCCGAGAACGCGCTCAGCACGAGCGTCAGCCCCGAGCAGAGGCGGCTGTCGTCGCCAGCGTACTCGTCTCAGAGCTTCTCGGATGGATCGGCGGAAAACGGGCTGGAGATGGAGCTTAAACCAGAGCCTTTGCCAGATGTCTCCGGGTCCTTCCTTACGGATCCTGCCCTTTTCGATGGGGCATATGACGGGGTATCAGACTTTGGGTTTGATCGGTTTATTAATGTGGACAATATTTGATCTGTTTCACCTGATGGTCATGAAAAGGAGTGTGTGTTTATGTGGGATTATCTTTCTGGTGTTTGGCGTTTGGCGGACGGATTGGGTATCTGCTTGATCTTATGACGACACGACGGGAGCTTGAGCTGGCCTCGGTCCCACCCCCCACGCCATAGCTTTAGCTTAACCAAATATTCGCAAATGGAAAGCTTCACAATGTATGTCCCGTCCGGAGCTTGGGTCGACGTTAATTTTCTCTGCCGGTCTTGCGCATGGACGATGCGTCCAAAGATAATCTCGCAACCTGATATGCCGTTCCACCACCCCCCCTCCAAACCAATTCATCTAATCGTGTGCTCCCATCTCTGCCCTTCCTTTTTTTTTTTTAAAGACGTAAAATGATACATCTGGACAGCCCGCACACTATGAATTGAGTGGGTGGGCCATTCACATTGTCCGGATTCAATATCCATCAATTGATCCACCATGCGCTCGAAAGGCGCGGGGCGCCGCTGCAAGGCAATGCGCGTCGATTCGTGAGGCAGAGATCACCGGCCAGTCAAGGTAAGGAGTATCGGCGATCGTGGGGCTGTAGAATGCGGTCGAACGAAGGTGAATCGCTATGGGCTGCAGGGCAAGTGGGAGTATGGGAAATGTGTGGATCTCGTGGAGACAAAGCCCATGACCGCAGCCGCTGATGTAAGAGAGCAGCCATCGCCACCAAGCCCATTCCCGTGTGGAGATCATAACACATCCCATTATAAACCACATTTCTGCGCGCCTGTCGTTCGCCACCTGTTATTCGAGATGTCCGCGGCTCTTATTCAGCGCGAAAATTTTGAGCGATTTCTGGCTGTCGACGCTCGATCCATGTCTGCGCACTCATCATGTCGAATACCATAGGCCGCTCGACGCCAACCCCTGGCCAGGAAATTTCCCTGTTCACAAAGCATACCATTATGGGGTCTCTATTCGAAATCACCGAAAGGTGAGCTTATGCTTTCATGTGTGACCAATCGCGAGCTCGAACCGCTGACTAACACCGACTTAGATACTCCGAGTTGCTCCCTGTGGGAATGGGCATTTCGGGCCTCGTTTGGTATGAAGCTTTGCGATGCGATCGCATACTTAGAAAATAATGCGACAGTAAGATTGACGAGAAACAGCTCGGCAAAGGACAATATCTGTAACCAGACGGTTGCCGTCAAGAAATTGTCCGAACCGTTCAAAACGGACTACCTTGCCAAACATATGTATCGCGAGGTCAAGCTTCTGAAACAATTGCAGCACGAGAATGTTTGTCTTCATCACCCGTTAAAATGCTGAAGCCTAACAAGTTTAAGCTTATCCACCTGAAAGATGTATTCATCTCGCCGTCAGAGGATATGTGAGTATCCAATATCCCGCGCCAGTGTCGCACTGGGAGCACTCTGACCGCTTGATTGCGACCCTGGCTGATCGACACAGATACCTCGTCACAGACCTCATGGCAACAGACCTCCACACGCTTCTCAAAACGAAGAAAGTGGATGAGCAATTCACCCAATATTTCATGTACCAAATTCTGGTATGACCCTCAACCGAACACCAAACCCCAACAGATCACAATGACTAGAACTATACACCAACAGCGCGGCCTCAAATACGTCCACTCGGCTGGTGTCGTCCACCGCGACCTCAAACCGAGCAATATTCTAATCAACGAAAATTGCGATCTGAAAATATGCGACTTCGGCCTCGCCCGTGTCCAAGATCCACAAATGACTGGCTACGTCTCGACACGATACTACCGCGCCCCCGAAATTATGCTCACATGGCGACGGTATAACGAGAAAGTCGATATATGGAGCGCGGGCTGTATATTCGCAGAAATGATTCTCGGCCATCCGATCTTCCCGGGAAAGAATCATATCAATCAATTTATGGTGATTACGCAGACACTCGGAAGTCCGCCGGAGAACGTTATCAATAGTATCACCAGTGAGACTGTGGGTGTTTCCGTACCAGCGGACTTGTTTAAGCGAGTTCATGATATCAGAACTAACGATGATAGACTCTCCACTTCCTCCAATCCCTCCCCAAGAAACCGCGACAACCACTATCGAACATAATGCCCATGGCAACCAGCAAAGGTTCGCCTATCCAACACCCGTGTCTCACCCATCAATGTAAGCTAACAGTTTATCAAAATAGCAATAACCCTCCTCGACAAAATGCTCCAACTAGACCCAGAAGAACGAATAACAGCAGCCGAATGCCTCCTCTCGCAATACCTAGCTCCCTACCACGATCCCGACGACGAGCCCATCGCAACAGAACGCTGTGACTGGGAATTCCTCGAGGCAGATCTTCCTGCCGACATGTGGAAGATGATCATGTACTCGGAGGTTCTCACTTTTCATGAGAGAGGCTGCTCGAGCGGAGACTCGCCTGTGGCGGCGAAGCTTATGCCGCAGTTGAGTCAGTTTGGGGTTGAAATGGATCTTGGGTAGATCTATGGTACGTGTGGGTTTTTTGATGGGGTAGCTGTGCAGTTTGATTGGGTTTCGGTTTCCAATGCCTGGTTTTGATCAGCGTTTTGTCACGTTCGGAGGGCATTTTTGCCGTTGGTTTACTTTTGTTGCAATCTAGCTTCTTTAAATTTTTTTTTTCTGATTTCTTCTCTCTTTTCCTTCCTCTTCTTCTTCCTCTTCTTGTGAATAAATATCAGTAGACCATGCAGTCTTTACTCTAGTTATTTCGGTGACTTCAGCCTGGTTATATGAGAGATGATCTTTGACGATGAATTGACGAGTCTCACATTCTTCACCAAGCAAGTCAAGTCTTGGCAGTAATTTTTGCTTGAACACTATGTGTAGGATACGACGCTCATTACGTTTATTTTGAACACACTCGTGGGAATTGCTATCGCAATACCAAATACGTCCCAAATACCAATCCCAACTGAATACAACGAATGCATAAGGTGCTGACCATCAAGCCAAGCTTCACAGTCATCCAATTATCATTAGACATTCGATTAAAGAATTAAATAAACGTCGAATCGTCAAACAATGATCACAGTAAAAGTGGAGACAATCATCATGCCAGCCATTCCAGACTAGCACAGAATTCCATGTCGTCATATCGTGCATCAAAGCGCCGGGGTATTAAGGAAAGGACAGAAATATCACGTTTTCAAGACGCCAATTAGGGTATAGTTTGGTATGGGTAATTCAACAACTCGGAATAACAACATTAGACTTCTTCAGGGGCACTGGTCACCTCGGAGGTGCTGGTGACTTCCGAGACGGGAGGCTGCTGCTGCTGCTCCTGGTGGTGCTTGCGGTTGTAGCGCGAGTTCTTGACGTCCAGCAGGGCGAAGGCATTGGTGAAGAGGAACAGGGCCCTTTTTATATATTAGCTTTTGAACATTACTTCCAATGTGGTGTAATTAACTCACCACTCAACGGCCGCAACGACAATCAGTGCCTGCAGACCGTGGCAGCTGGGGTAGTTGCAGGAGCCGGGCTTGGGGATCATGGCGGCGAGGGCAATCCAGCCGCTCAGCCAGAGACACATGGTGACAACCTCGACGGCGGGGATGACCCACTCATGCGAGATGCGAGGTAGCCACAACGGGGCCAGGCCGAGGTAGGGGACGGCGACGACGGTGGTCCAGCAGCCATTGAAGAGCATGTAGTAGATGGTGTTGGAGAAGGACCAGGTGTCGTAGAGGGTGCCGATGACTTTTGTTGAGTTAGCAAGCTAGTCGAGAACAAAATGGAGGTTGCGACGAACCATATGCGCTCAAGCCGATGGTCGCCAGGGCAAATATGGCCTGGACGATCCGGACGGGGTAGACCCAAGACAACATGGCGGCTTGTGTATGCTTGATGCAGGTGTATATGTAGGGGATGATTGAGATTTCTCGTGCTTCGCTGCAGTAGCTCAGTTCAGGCCAGGAATACTGTCTGGATAAGGTGGGTGGCTGTGAGATGGAGAGGAAATCAGATCCACCGCTGCCCATCGGGGTGTCCACAGAACTATATAGTGGCAGCCGGCGAAAAATCTTAATTTTCCAGGACCTGACTAGGGCAATCGATCCCTACTCGACCGAGGCCTCTGAACCGTGGCGAGACGTCATGGTAAATCACATAGTGCCTCGGAGTCGGACACGGGGCAAACGCAGGACCCTAGCCTGACCCTGCAGGGCTTGCGGAAACCACCCGATGCACAGGTGGATCGCAGCATACCGACAGGGGCATGCGCGCCTGTTCCCATTGGGCCAATGGCTCGGCGTACAAAAGCTTTCGAGGATCGAACCATTGATGTGGGTTTGCTCCGGCTTTCAGGACGGAACCACCTCGGCACGCCGATATCAATCCGGAGACATCCCGGGGTACTGTGATCACAGATGTCTGTCTTGACCACCTCTCTCTGATGGTATTCAAAGGGCTCGCATTTGCATGGTCGGGGTTTGCTTGCGGCTGCATTTTTCGTGGCAGCGCATTTTTCAGCCTACCTTTGAAGTTGGCAGTAGGGCGAACTCTACCAGGGATGACGCCAGTTGACGATCTCACATGCACGTCCGAGGCTCGCCCCAAACGGGCGACGGCGCGCAGATCCTTCGACGGGCCCTCCGACCACCACAGCTGTCACGGAGAACGGAGGCGTTGAACCCGATCGAATTTTCTCAATGGAATTTCTGCAGTCCATGTATAGTATTGTCGCATAATATAGTGTAAGCGATGCATCCTTCAATCTTCTACATTCCGATATATCGCGCAGCGCGAAAATCACGCTCCGAGAAGCCACGATCTACAGGATGCACATGAAAATGACAAAACAATGAACTCATGACTCAAGCTAAAGTAATCCCCCTCACGATCTACCAGTGGCATCAACCTGAACAACGAACAACATGATTTTAGAAAAATTAAAACAAGTATGCATGGCGGAGATTGGCATATCTATGTACAAATAATACAACAAAGAGAATCATGGCATCGCTTAGTGTTTTACACGTGCAAAAGTCTCATCACTACTGATCTGAGTTGGTCTTTCCGCGATTTCGAGTCCACGTTTACGAGCGACTCGCCAACAAAGCCTTAACAGCATCCAACACCCCAACGCTCTTCTCATCCGCAGGTTCGATCGCCGCGCGCGCTGCATCAGGCTCGGAGGGCTTCTTGCCCTCTTTCGCAGCCGCCTCAATAGCCGCATGGCGCTCTCTCCACTCACGGTCTTCCTTGTCACGGATCTCCAGCTCGCGCAGCCACGCGTCGCGCTTCTCCTGCGACTTGCGCTCCTCGACCGCTTTCTCGAATTCGCGTCGCTGCCGGCGCTCCGTCTTGAAGTACATGCCGCCGGCGACCAGAGCGACCAGGGTAAATGCCTGCGCGTAGATACGGGCGCGGAACATGCGGTTCATCTCGGCGGAGTCGCCGGCTTTCATGGAGCGGTAGGCGCGGTAGAGGGCGTAGCATGTTGCGGCGCATCCTGGTGGATGGGGGTTAGGTGTTGCGGTGGGAGGTCAGTGTAGGATGTTCGTAGACGTACCGAGCGGGATGAGAGGTTCTTCCTTGAGGCGCCGGGTGAACTTTTCGACACCGGATTCCTCGGTAAATTGGCTGGGAGTTATGTTAGCTGGTGGTGCTCTCTTGCCAGACACTCTGTACTCGGTTCACAGTCACAGGGTGTGTCGCGGGGTACCCGGAGAAGCTGGGGGGGACGTACGGGTGATCGTCAAAAGACGAAGGAACTGAGTCGCCAGACATTATAGCAGGAAGCTTGAGCTCTGGTCTGGTGCGATGCGGCCGGGGAGGTAGTTGGCAATCAAGCTGGCTGCTCGGGTTCGGTACGGAGGGGTTGAGGGTTGAGAAAGTTGATTTTGGGCAGACGAGGTTGTTTGGTCCTTGCTAGCTGTGCGAACGAGTGTCCCGGGCGTGATTGACGAAGGAGTGGGCGGGTTGCGGGGGGATGCGCGAGGGTTGCTTGGTCGAACATGACGTCGCGGCGCAACGGAGTTTTTCTCGTTTGTTAAGCGCGGTCATGAAACGCGGCAGTCAGAACTATACGACACTGCGATTTTCTAATAAACAGCAACTTTAGATACGAATTGTTTTCAATTTCATTGGGAAGGGGTCTTTCTTTTATCAATATTCCTATGTCAATATCAGTTGGACTGCCATACCATAATGCGATACTAGTACGGACCGCCCGCAAGCACGCAAGCACGCAAGCCCCCTGACCGCCATCTACTTCCCTCTGAACTACTTGATAATCTTGCTGCTCGCCCACGGTGTCACAAAGCGCTAGATAACGTATCAGCCAGTTGAACCCTTGAAGGATAAATTAAAATGATCTCGAATATAGCAGAGCATATTTTAAAAATAAATTACAAGACAAGCTAGAACAGCTGCAGTTGTTAGGGCTCTGGCCCAGGTTTGATGACATAAGGCGCTCCGATCACGGTCCCCCGCAGAAAAAAGAAAGAGTCAGAGGTGAAGAATTTCCCGCCGTGATCTCTGTCTGCAATTGAACCCCCTCGCGCCTCGAGTCTACCGGATCTGTGCATTGCCATGTCCGACGAGCCCGCCACCAACGGCGTTGTGACGCCCACCACGCCCAAGAGGAGCAGTCTCGCCTTGACCGAATACAGCGCCGCCCCGACACCCCCCAACGAACGGGCAGAGCGAATCCCCGGCTTGCCTCCCAACTGGGGCATCCCGAATGATTTCCTGCTTCCTAATGGATATCCCGATGTGAGAAATAGCCGGTCTACCTTCGATTTGCGTTCGCAATTCCTAAACAGTCTTTTCCGTCTAGTATCTCCGATTGATCTTGACTTCCCGCGTTTACGATGTTATTGAAGAGACCCCGCTGCACCATGCCGTCAACCTCAGCAACCGTCTGGAGAGCCGAGTGATGCTCAAGCGGGAGGATCTGCTTCCCGTTTTCAGCTTCAAGCTTCGGGGCGCATACAACAAGATGGCCCATTTGAACCATGAGCAGCGCTGGAAGGGTGTCATTGCCTGCTCGGCCGGTAACCATGCGCAAGGTGTTGCGTTCTCGGCTCGCAAGCTTAAGATCCCCGCGACCATTGTGATGCCCTCGGGTACCCCCGCTATCAAGCATCTCAACGTTGCCCGCCTCGGTGGTAGTGTGGTTCTCCACGGAAACGACTTCGATGCCGCCAAGGAGGAAGCCCACCGATTGGAGAAGCAACACGGCCTTACCAACATCCCGCCCTTCGACGATCCCTATGTCATTGCCGGTCAAGGGACCATCGGTATGGAGCTGCTGCGTCAGGCAAACCTGGACAAGCTGGAAGCCGTCTTCTGCGGCGTTGGCGGCGGTGGTCTGATTGCTGGTATTGGCGTTTACCTCAAGCGCATTGCCCCGCAGGTCAAGATCATTGGTGTTGAGGCCTACGATGCCGACGCCATGACCCAGTCTCTGGACGAGGGCAAGCGTGTGTTCTTGAAGGAGGTCGGTCTGTTTGCTGACGGTGCTGCCGTGAAGTCGACTGGCGAGGAGACCTACCGCGTCAGCCGGGAGGTTATTGATGGCATGATCCAGGTCTCCACCGATGAGATCTGCGCTGCTATCAAGGATGTGTTCGAGGACACTCGGTCCGTTGTTGAGCCTGCCGGTGCTCTTTCGCTGGCCGGTCTGAAGAAGTACATTGCTCAGAACCCTAGCCCCGACACCAACCGCGAGCTGATCGCCATCAACTCCGGTGCCAACATGGATTTCGACCGTCTGCGCTTCGTCGCTGAGCGTGCCGCCCTCGGTGAGCGCAAGGAGGCTCTCCTCAGCGTCAAGATCCCCGAGAAGCCCGGCGCCTTCGCCAAGCTGGTCGAAGTCATCCTGCCCCACGCCGTCACTGCTTTCAGCTACCGGTTCGCTCGCGCGGACTCCGCCGATGTCCTTATGGGTATTTCCCTGTCCGCCCTGACCGGCCGTGAGGACCTGGCTAAGATCATGGAGGAGCTCGAAAAGGCCAACATGACCGTCCGCGACCTGAGCGACGACGAGCTGGCCAAGCGCCACGTCCGCTTCCTCGTCGGTGGGCGCGCCGATGTAGCCGACGAGCGCCTGTTCATGTTCGAGTTCCCCGAGCGACCCGGCGCTCTTGCCAAGTTCCTTACCACCCTCCGCCCCAACCAGAACATCTCTCTCTTCCACTACCGCAACTATGGCGGTGACGTTGGCAAGGTCCTTGCTGGTATCCAATGCCCACTGGCCGAGAAGGATGATTTGGAGGCATTCCTTCGTGACCTGGGCTATCCGTTCAGCGAGCACACCGATTCCCCCACCTACCAGACTTTCCTCCGGAGTTAAGGTAGTTTGGCACGAAATTCATAAATACTCAATGCGAATTTGGATTGGACATTAAAAAAGGGAAATGGTTGATGACTAGTGATTTCTGTTTTCAGCGGCTTAAAGTGCAAACTCCATTTCGATGTACTTTCATCCCCCTTGGCGTTTGGTCCCACTATAGACTGGGAGTTTCATTTTCTTCGATTGTATGATAGCTCTTTCGATGCTAATACACTGGCTCTTATCTACTTCTTTCACATTATCAATATCCTGCACAAATCAGGCGCGGACAATCCGGCCGATCTTTGTAGGTACAGTTCTCATATAGTTCCCTGCAAGACCCACCCGGCCCGGAAAAACAGACCGCCGCGCAACAATCTTCGGCGCGAGCACCCGGGGAGCAACAACCTCGCCGCATCGCCAATTCAACCCCGACGTTCTAACGGTCCAAGAACGTAAGGTCGTGCGCCGCGAGATCCCTTTTGGAGCCACCGTCCACAATCGCAGTCATGTTCTCGCTCCGCTCCGTCCTTGGAGCCCCCGGGGCTCTCCGCCAGCTCCTCCCCTCCGTCTCTCGTCGATCTCTCCCCGGAGCCGCCTCCCTCCGGCCCTTCTCGCACATGATCCAGAACAGCCTGACGAGGTTGCGTGCTTCGGCTCAGAGCAAAAATGCCGTTGCGGCGACTATTGGTGCCTCCCGGCAGATTGAGCAGGTCCGCGGAATGAAGACTCGGTCTTCTGTTAAGCGGCTTTGTGACGGTTGCAAGGTATGATATTACGTTCTTCGGCACATGTTTCTTGTGCTGGATATATTTGCTGGTATTTGTGGTGCGGGTTGCTGACTCTAAACTGTTTAGCCGGTCCGTCGGAAGAACCGTGTTTATATCATCTGGTGAGTTATCTCAATACAAGCCTTTTCCGATTCGATATACAATACCTGTACTAATACTCTCTTATCTGTCTAGCTCGAAGAACCCCAAGCACAAGCAGCGACAAGGAAAATAAATGGATTGGAGAGGTATCTGCTTTACGCTCGATGCATACCTGATTTAGATCCCTCAAGAATTGGTCGCATCTTCTTTGCATATGTGTTTCCAGCTCAGAAAGATTATGGGAAAATAACGGCGCTTGGGTTTTACTTGTACATTAGCTTGGACCGTCATTGTGGTCTTTATATCCAATTCGACTCTGATCTCCTGATCTTCGCAGCGGTTTCCACATAGCCCTCAAGGTTTTCCAGGAATAGATCCCATTTTCTCGTGGCAAACAGGGACCGTGATTTATGCCCCTTTTTAAAAGGAGTGATGCCAAATCCTACTAGTACTTCAAGTGCGAGCGTTCCACTTGTAATGCACCGGCCCTGACAGGCTGGCGCTCACGTGACGTGTTCCTGGCTTCCCCGAACTTTTTTTTCCGCGAAAACAAGCGCGCCGTCACTCCGTCTCGACTCGATCAATTCCGGTGTGAGCCGATCGTCGCTATGAGGTCTCCTTCTCTTGCACGGTTGCAGTACCGTGCGGTGTCTGGCCTGACCAGAGCCCCTCGTCTTCAGCCTCAGAGCCTGCTGCGCTCGCGATGCGTATCCACGGCCGCTCTGCGGTCCTCCGCTGTCGCGCCGGCTTATCAGTCGGTTCTGAAGCAATGGGAGCAGCGACGTAATGCCTCTTCTACTGCCTCTGCAGTGTATGTATCTGGTGATTGTCTATGAATACGCAATCTGTTTAACATTTCAACAGTCTCGAGGCCGCTGCAGCTAGCCCGGAGACCCTGTCGCAAGCCGCCATTATCGACAACCTCGACCCCGTGGAGGCTGCTCGCCTGGACAAAGTTCGCAACATTGGTATTGCGGTAAATTGACCCGAGCCAACTGCCACAGTATTGGCAATGTCTAACATTTCCATGTCCTAGGCCCATATCGATAGCGGAAAAACCACCTGCACCGAGCGAGTCCTTTTCTACACCGGTCGTATCAAGGCTATCCACGAGGTCCGTGGCCGCGACAGTGTCGGAGCCAAGATGGACTCCATGGATTTGGAGCGTGAGAAGGGTATTACTATTCAGTCTGCTGCTACCTTCTGTGACTGGGTCAAGAAGGATAAGGACGGCGTTGACCAGAAGTACCACGTCAACTTGATTGATACCCCCGGCCACATTGACTTCACCATCGAAGTCGAGAGAGCGCTGCGCGTTCTGGATGGAGCCGTCTTGATTCTGTGTGCCGTGTCCGGTGTCCAGTCCCAGACCATTACCGTCGATCGTCAAATGCGCCGCTATAACGTCCCCCGTATTTCGTTTGTCAATAAGATGGACCGTATGGGTGCCAACCCCTTCAAGGCCGTCGACCAGATCAACTCCAAGCTCAAGATGCCTGCTGCCGCTGTCCAGGTCCCCATTGGTGCCGAGGACGAGTTCGAGGGTGTTGTCGACCTGATCACTATGAAGGCTCTCTACAACGTCGGCGAGAGTGGTGAGGACCTTCTGGAGAAGGAAATCCCCGAGAAGTTGATGGATACCGTTGCTGAGCGCAAGGCCATGCTCATCGAGACTCTTGCTGATGTTGATGACGAGATCGCCGAGCTGTTCCTCGACGAGAAGGAGCCCACCCCTGACCAGCTGAAGGCTGCCATCCGCCGGGCTACTATCAGCCTCAAGTTTACTCCCGTCTTCATGGGATCTGCCCTGGCCAACAAGTCCGTTCAGCCCATGCTGGATGGTGTTGTCGACTACCTCCCCAACCCCTCCGAGGTTGAGAATCTTGCTCTTGACCAGAAGCGTAACGAGGCCTCTGTCAAGCTTGTCCCTTACAACGCTCTCCCCTTCGTCGGTCTGGCCTTTAAGCTCGAAGAGAGCAACTTCGGCCAACTGACCTATATCCGTGTATACCAGGGTACTCTGCGCAAGGGTGCCAACGTGTTCAACGCCCGCAACAACAAGAAAGTCAAGGTTCCCCGTATTGTGCGCATGCACTCCAACGAAATGGAGGAAGTCAGCGAAATTGGTGCTGGTGAAATCTGTGCCGTGTTCGGTGTTGACTGCGCTTCTGGTGACACTTTCACCGACGGTCAGCTGGGCTACAGCATGTCTTCCATGTTCGTTCCCGAGCCTGTCATTTCCCTGTCCATCAAGCCCAAGCAGACTAAGGATGCTGCCAACTTCTCCAAGGCCATGGCCCGTTTCCAGCGTGAGGATCCGACCTTCCGTGTGACTTACGACAGCGAGAGTGAGCAGACCATCATCTCCGGAATGGGCGAGCTGCACCTGGACATCTACGTCGAGCGTATGCGCCGTGAGTACCGCGTTGACTGCGAGACCGGTCAGCCCCAGGTCGCCTACCGTGAGACCATCGGCAACCGTGTCGACTTCGACCACCTGCTCAAGAAGCAGACCGGTGGTGCTGGTGACTACGCCCGTGTCATGGGCTGGATGGAGCCCACCGGCTCCCTTGACGAGAACAAGTTCGTCGAGGAGATCGTCGGAGGCTCCATCTCCGAGAAGTTCCTGTACGCTTGCGAGAAGGGTTTCAACCTGTCCTGTGAAAAGGGTCCTCTGATCGGCCACAAGGTCCTGGGTACCCGCATGGTCGTCAACGACGGTGCCACCCACATGACTGATTCTTCCGAAATGGCCTTCAAGAATGCTACCCAGCAGGCCTTCCGCAAGGCCTTCATGGACAGCCAGCCCGCTGTCCTGGAGCCGCTCATGAAGACTGTTGTTACCGCCCCCTCCGAGTTCCAGGGTGATGTCATTGCCCTACTGAACAAGCGCGGTGCCACCATCAACGACACCGAGACTGGCGTCGACGAGTTCACCATCTACGCCGACTGCAGTCTGAACGGCATGTTCGGCTTCAGCACCAACCTCCGCGCCGCCACCCAGGGTAAGGGTGAATACACAATGGAGTTCAGCCACTACGAGAAGGCTCCTCCGCAGGTCCAGTACGTTTTTTCCCTCCCCCGCCAGTCTCCAGAATATTACCTAGGTATTAACCAGAATTTCCACTACAGGAAGGAGCTCATCGCCAAGTACATCAAGGCTCAGGCCGAGCGCAACAAGAAATAAACTGCATCACTTTTCCAGACACCGTCGACTCCACCGGCCACCTTCCATCTTCGCCTTGTACCATTTCTTCTTTCGACAACCACCTCGGCCCTCGACTTGTCTGCGCATATTATTCTATAGAGATTGGATCCAGTAACCCCAGTCCTGCTTTTCAGATGTTTCTGTTCTTGGTGCGGACCCTTAAAACTCGAAGTACTTTTGGCACAATATCACCGCGCGTCTTTGGGATATGTATTTTAAATAAAGATTTACTTTCTACTCTCCTGTCTAACAATACACCATGTGTTATGTGATTCATCTCTCAAAATGTGTTTATGTGATCCGATGCTGGGCTAATTTTGGGATGGGAAATATTGCTATCAAATGATGCGTTTCACTGTGATAGTTGGGATGAAGTAAATGTCTACTGGGAAACATGACCGCATCGTAATCGCATATAGCACCGTGCTTAAAAGTGTGAATTTCAGATTCATAACAACATTGTATATATATCAATGCATCAATACATGTGAAGCCCAACTCAAGCACCCTCGAGCTTTTCCCTCGCAGCATTCTGCTCTTCAGCAACCACATCAGCAGGAATTCGATCCGGCGTTGTATTCACCAACATCGCCATGGGAACGATAGCGGCCCCGAGGAGTCCAAACGTGACACAACTAAAAATCCGGAGTCAGTCACCTCCAATATCAACAGGGTAGAACCCAAATTTGGAATCCCAAAAGGACAAAACTTACAATCCAACAAGCGGATCACTCGTCGTCTGAGTATTCATGCCATACGCAATAGCCTGCCCAATAGCCTCAATGCACCGAAACGCCGCGCCATTCCGAACATTCTCTGTAAAATGCGAAAGCTTGTTAGCACCGCTCACGACCTCACGCAGGACACCGTGGGTAATTCCACAACACTGGGCTAGAATAACTCACCCTGCGCATCCGTAGCGAAAGAAGATAAAAGCCAATACATATAAGACTGCGACAATGGTCCCGTCGTCTGCACGAAGAAATACGGCAAGAACGACGAGGGATACAGCGCGTCGTCCCAGTCGATGGCGCCGGGGTCATTGTGTTTGAATTTCACCTGCATGACGATGGACCAGATGTACACGCCGACGTTTAGGATGACAACGGTGTATAGGCCTATTTGGGCGCGACGGCGTTGGCTTAGGTGTTTCATGTCTAGGATAAAGCCGAGGCCAAAGCAGCCGACGCTGTATCATGATGTTGGTGGTTAGTTTGGTTCGGTGGTGGGAGGATTTGGAAGGTGAGAAGGGCTTACATGCAGAAGAATGGGGAGATTAGGGAGGAGAGGGCGCGGGCGCGCACGGAGAAGTACACTCCTAGGTAGGTGGACCAGGAGCCGCTGGATGAAGATTAGGTTAGTCGCTGGTTGTATGATGGGTGAGTGGATCGTATCATACGAGTAGAAGAAGGACCATAGAGCCCATAAAGCGGAGAACATGATTAGTTTTGAGGTCATGGTCTTTGCGATGCGCTTGAGTTCCTGTTTCGTGGAGAGTGTCTCTGCAGTGACGATCTTTGTACCGTCTGATCGAACGACGCGCTCAAAAGGCATAATTAGTAGTGCGAATGGAAGACTAGGAGTGGATATAGAGTCAGTAAAGGCCCTGCTTTCTCTGGATGTTGGACTCACGCAATGCACTCGATAATCACGAATGCCACGTATGTATCCGGGGAAATACCACCAGATGCACCTTTCTCGTTATTCTTCGCCAGGCTTCACAAGAGCATTGTCAGTACTCAGTAGATCATGTTATGGTTGTCGCATTCGAGCTAAAACTCACTTGATGGCACCTCCCACCAACTGTCCCAGATTCCGCGACACGATCCAGAGAGCAAGGTACTTTCCACGAGCGCCAGATGGGGCTAGGGTCATGATGGCCCCAGCCTCGGCGACGTACCAGCATGCAGTTCCGATGCCGCTGATGGCACCGCTGAAGATGAGATACTATGAGAGCTCTGTTAGATCAAATATGGAAATAGAGGGAAATTCAACATTATTCTGCGTCTCGCACGCACCCATTGGTTGCCAAATTTGCTGTTGCAGTAGTATGCTGAGCCTTGAATGGGAAAGGACATTGAGCCGAGGACTAGTGCCCATTTGACACCGATTTTGTTCACAAGGGGGCCACCTAGGAAGCAGACTGGAAATATATATTTGTTAGAATATTGGTCATTGAGCAAAGTGTTGTAGGAGAATTTGAACATACCGGTGGCGAGCAAGGCGTATAGGATTGCGTTTGAAATGTTCGACACCTGTGGCGTCGCAAGACCACCACCACCAAGACCTGTAAGATATGAACGTGAGTTTCTGGCTTGGTTGAAAGCAACTGACTATTTGAAGGTGCACCTACCAGCAATGGCATCAGACATGGCAGGCCCACAAAATGCCTGAATACTTAGCAGCATCATCTGCGTCAAACTGTGCTGCCATACTCGTTTCCACAGTGGGACTGTTGCCCTGTACTGCTCCATGTCGATCGCATGCCCAATGGGGTGTTCGGTTACCTCACCTGATGCAACGGGGGAATCGTCCTCGTGCGGAGCGGAGATGGGCTTCTTCACGTCGGCCATTGTGGACTAGATTGTGAAAGCAAATGACTAGCAACCAGATATGGAGAACCAGGATGACTCGGAGCTGCGGCAAGGATTATTTATACATCGCCTTGATCGCTTATCTGCTCCGCACTAACCCTGAACGCCGGGCGGCTGATTGATTCCCCACGTTTTGCAGGCCGAGTTGGAGGTCCATCCGGATAATTGCGACTTCGTTTAGGACGCTTGAAGGTCCAGGCGACGAGCGACGGTCTGCATGGCATCATTTGCGATAAATTGATCCACCGACTCCATCTTTATCGGCCGGTCAAGGTTTATCATGGCTATCTGGCGTGCGCAATGCGATATGACGAGGCATATCAGCCGGTTATCTCTATCGAATGCTTCGTTGATTTCTCCGGTGGGTGTGGGGTTCCCCCGCGTCCCCCCCCGAGTGCCATGGGGTTGGCGTGAAACAGGCCCGGCACCGCAGACGAGGTGAAGGTCCACGCGAACGAAGGCCGCTAGTGCGCCTCGACTCCACCGGGCCGCGAGACAAGGCTGGTCGGATGCCCCGCCCGATTGGTGGTTGCGCTGATAAACGTGGAGAGAGTTGAAAAGTGCAGGTCCAGCGACATCGCGACATCTCACATGACATGGCCTGACCGGGCGGCGTCGTCCAAATTGCTGCATCGATCCCTCCCCAAAAAGTCCATCTAATCCCGTTCCCTTCCATTGAGCTATTCTCAGATTCCTGCCAGTTGGAGTATACCCGAGGGCACCCTAAGGGATATATTTGGAAGCACTACCACGACTCTATCGAGAGATAAACTGCTGCAATGGCGATGTCGCGCGAAAGCACCAAAGTGATTGTTGTTGGTGGCGGCGGCACCATGGGCTCGTCGACCGCGCTGCATCTGATCCGATCGGGCTACACCCCGTCCAACATCACCGTCCTCGACGTCTACCCTATTCCATCCGCCCAGTCGGCGGGCTACGACCTCAACAAGATCATGGGCGTTCGATTGCGCAACAAGGCCGACTTGCAATTGTCGCTCGAGGCACGCGATATGTGGCAGAATGATTCCTTGTTCAAACCATTCTTTCACAATGTTGGCATGGTAGGCCAAATCCCGGTCCCTAGAGATTACCATCTTGGGGATTGATACTTACTGTTGTATTGTAGATCGATTGTTCTTCGTCCGAGGAGGGCATTGCGGGTCTTCGCCGGAAGTATCAATCTCTTATTGACGCGGGGGTGGGTCTTGAAAAGACGAATTTCTTCCTTGAGAACGAGGAGCAGCTTCTGGAGAAGGTACCGCAGTTTACGAAGGAACAAATCAAGGTAGTACTTTCTGTCACCTGGGAAATATACCCAAGCAGGGCTAATCGATGATCTCTCCAGGGCTGGAAAGGCGTACTAAGCGTAGATGGGGGCTGGCTGGCTGCAGCCAAGGCCATCAATGCTATCGGCCACTTTCTGAAAGACCAGGGCGTCAAATTTGGGTTTGGCAGGTAGGTGAAGTTTTTTCGGGAATACTAGGAAAAAGAGCCGGGCGCCATTGACATGCTCAACAGTGCTGGAACATTCAAACAGCCTCTCTTCGCTGCAGATGGAATTACATGCACTGGCGTGGAGACAATTGACGGAACAAAATACTACGCGGACAAAGTCGTCCTCGCTGCTGGTGCCTGGAGTTCTACCCTGGTAGATCTCGAGGACCAGTGTGTTTCAAAGGTAAGTACCCAGCTTTCCAGCGTTGATGCACCGTGTTGTGAACACAAGCAAGCTTGGTTCGAAGCGCAATGTCACTAATGCGAGAGTTAGGCCTGGGTCTTTGCCCATATTCAACTTACACCCGAGGAATCAGCCCAGTATAAGAAGATGCCTGTTGTATATGACGGGGATTATGGCTTTTTCTTTGAACCGAATGAGTGAGTCCACACCGTCTCAATGAATCTCGGGGCATATCTAATGCGCACACAGATACGGTGTTATCAAAGTCTGTGACGAATTCCCGGGTTTCTCTCGCTTCAAAGAACATCAACCTTACGGCGCCTCATCTCCAAAATGTATCTCCGTTCCCCGATCCCACGCAAAGCATCCGACAGACACCTATCCCGATGCTTCTGAAGTAACCATCCGCAAGGCCATTGCGCGATTTATGCCGCAATTCACGCACAAGGAACTCTTTAATCGTAGTATGTGCTGGTGCACGGATACCGCCGACGCCAACTTGCTCATCTGCGAGCATCCGAAGTGGAAGAACTTTATCTTGGCTACTGGAGATAGCGGGTAAGTACAAAAGCAGTGACCGCAAGGCTTGGATATGCGCATAGTGAATGAAAAAAAAACTAATTTGGAATAAATAGTCATTCTTTTAAATTGCTGCCCAATATCGGCAAGCATGTTGTCGAGTTGATTGAAGGTTCGCTCTCTCCGGAACTGGCTGATTCGTGGAGGTGGAGACCTGGTGGTGATGCTCTGAAATCTAGACGGGGTACCCCGGCTAAGGATCTTGCTGATATGCCAGGTTGGAAGCATGATGCGAAGCTGTAAGATAGGCTCTTAGAAATTTTCAGTCGAAAGAAGCAAAATAGACAAACATAGTACATTTCAAATTAGAAGCGCACTGGTAATTACTAGTGGGATATAGAAGTACTAAGTAGCATATCCACTGCTACTTTCAAGAGGCCTCGGCATCTGCACCCTCTCTTTCCAATCTCAAATTCTTCTTCTCACGAGAAACCCCGAAGTTGAACATATTTGCCTGCTGCCTCTTTTTACATCCCACTTGAAGTTGTTCAGTGGCCTATATCAAGATCGGTTAACCCGTGATACAGGAAGGCCAAAATGGAAGTTTTCCACAATACCGTGCTTTTTCTTGACAAAAGCGAAAGGATGAAGAAAGAAACCCCGGAAATCACCAGTAATGCGCGTAGAATTAGCCAGGGCCACTTTACCCCGACGTAAACTTCGATGGCGTATGCGGTACCATTCACATCTTCTCCGTCCTTTTGCAATGCCACCATATTTGAAGAGTTGACGATATTTGTCATGACGTGTCCCAGACCGATGCTGGCAACTCGCTGTGTAGACGGATCCCCCGGAGTAGAGCGAAGTTGGAACAGTTCTTTTCGTCCATTCTTTTCTAAACATCCGAACGAGCTTGATCCCACCAGAAGATCCTGGGGCAGCGGCATAGCATTGATGCCGTAGGATGCAAATTCAACTGGGATGACGTGAAACTCATGCCATGTCCCGAAGGCGCTTTTGGGGAACTGGATGTTGGCTTCCAACACATGACATTCACTGGGTAAGAATCAGGACTTTTTGAAGTGTCGGTGAAGTACTTCCAGAATTCATTGCCGTAGTCAATATTTGAAGTCTCCACCGTAGTAACATCCCGATTAACTGAGAGTTTCCAGTCACACAGGCAAACCTCTGACTACTTCAGTGACTTTCCTGGTTTGAAACCCCTTTGGTCGGATCCGGCGAGTCGAAGAAACTCGGGTCATATCCAATCTTCGCATGGCCAAATATAATCAATGGGTTTGTGACCCCTGTGAACTTCGAGTTATCGATATCTTCATGCAATCTTAGATCAGATGAGGCTCTTGGTTTGAACCCAGAATAGACATGCCACGTTATATCCCGATCGAATTCCACAGATCGATAGTGTTCACTGCCATTCGCGTGATCTATGGTGAACTCGGGATTTGTGATCGCAGCATTACCCAGCGGCTGGGTTATTTGGCATGATGCATTGAAATTGTAAGCGTTCCCTTCACGATCCCAAAGCCTCCAATAAGTCACATTGTCTCGGGGCATTTTGTGGTAGTTCAAGACCACTTGTTTTGTAATATCGGCACATTTACTGCACACGCCCGCGGCACTAAAAAGCCGGCCAAGCGCAGTTTTCAGTCGAGCATTTTGCCTGAAACAGATTGTCGATCTGTCAGGCCAAGTATTTCAACCTCCTACTTAGCGCAATGCTAGTGCCATCAAGTGTAGGTGCCGATCGAGTTGATATTTCGTGATCTGTTGAACGAAAGGATCAAAAGCAAATAGAAATACGACAACCGCAGCGCCAAGATTTTCTAGTGATTTTCTTCCCTGGAACAGCATCCTGAGTGATCCAAGCGGACCTCGGCTAGTACTGTCAAAGGTCTGCATGCCTTGGAGCGAACGGGGTTTTCGACGGAACCCAGACCATTTTGGACTGGCTAAGAGCTTCTCTAATCGCAAACAGCAGTGAAGACTTACAGCCGGTTGAAGTACGGAAATTATGGCGTTGAATGTTGAGTCACATCGTAGGGCAGGTCGAGTCTTGTCATCATAGGCTATCAAGAGAGCGCATATTACAACAAAGCAGGAAACGCTGAAAATGGAAGCTGGTATCTCGAGAAGCCATTTGTCGAGAGACTGAACGTTCCAGCTTTCATACTTGCGAGCTGTGGTTTCCTCGACCTCTACCAGAGGTGTTGAGGACGTAGCGGTACTCCTGCAATATGAGATGGTAGAACGAGGTAGTAATAAGGCTTGGAGCCCTAAAAAAGCACAATATGATCTGAAGGACAGGGTTGTCGGGTTCAGCATACTGCGAAGATGAGACTCGGTTTGGCCCCATGGGTGTACGGCTAAGCATGAATCAAATTTCGGGTTCTATAAAACTGGCTACTCAGAGGTAAATCCTCAAGAATCACTGGGGGGTACTAATAAGATTCTTGGATCAGAGTATGGTATAATAAGTGTCAACGGTATCTCACATATGCACATATTCGGATACATCTACATGTGATGCGAAAATTCGAGCAAATATCGTTGATACGAGTATACATTTCAATTTACCTACATCTATGCTGTCTCGCATGGTCACCCGCCTCAAGAATGACTGTCAATTCCTTCAACTGCCGAACTCTCATACGCATAATTTTTTGGTCTGCTGTCAGATCGGAAGTTTTTTGGATTTGGGTAGGGGCCTTTTCCCCGCAGCCAACAGGCTTCCTGGAAATCTTAGAGTATTTTAGGATAAATGGATGCTTGTTAGTTGTGTTGGGTGAAGAAATACCTGTCTTTCTCATGTTAGCGTTTCGTTCGTTGACTGTTAGAAAGTTCTGGACGTACTAACATTAGATGATTCATTACTGCTTGTGATACCTTCTCGAGGGACTTTTCGATCAGCTCGATGGGAAGATGGATCCTGCTCGACAATAAATGCAATACTCATCGGGTTTCGACGTGCACCCCGATTCACTACTGTGGGTTCCCTTACAGAAACGTTTCCACGCACAGCAAGATCTCCATCAGTGTGATACTCATCATGGCAAGCAATACTCTCCTCCTCGAATCTACTGGAGTGTATAGCAGGCTCAAGCTTGTCCTCATCAGTCCACAAAAGCCACAGACTTGGCCGAACAGGCTTGGATGCATGGACGACATTACCTCCATGGATTTGAGTTAGCCCAGTTCCAGATCTGCTCGAATGGTCAGCTTCCGGTCGTGGAAAATATTCGTCAATTGGGCAGAGGCAAGAGTCACGCGGGTTTAGTCCAATCCAAAGAGGTCGCTTATATCTGTCTCGAATCTGGTCGTATTCGACCACAGCCTTGGCAATATTTGCGTAGGGCTCGCGGTTATCGACCATATCCGTAACTCGATGGTTCATGTGGGAGTCTGTTCCGTACAACATTTGCACTAGAAACACCCCCATTTGACTTGAAGTTACATTCTTCTCGACCCACCATCGAATGAGTTGCATTAACATGATGCCTCTGTTATAGTTCCAGATCATACGTTGGCTTTGTTGGTGCTGAGAAGTGGCGTTCATTGTCATAAGTTGGATCAAGTGGAGTTGCTGGGCCTTCTTTGACAGGTTATGTTAGCTTCAAGTCAAATGGGGGTATTTCTCGTACAAATGCTGTACAGAGCGAACACATATGGATAACCCCAGTAACTACAATAGCTGGCAATCACCAGTCCCACTCAAATATTGCCAGGGCTGCGGTCGAATACTGCCATTTCCGGTATGGACAGGAATACGTGGACGAGAATCTCACACTCAGATGCTTACCTCGTTCAATATTTGCTTCTCCATTTTGCCGATTTGATTTGGACTTGACATTGTTTCTGGTTATAATGTAACTAGTGTATTAGTCAGTTCGTAGTCTTGTAAATGCCTTGTGATTGGACCTGCGAGAAATGCTGCTGGTAGTCGTAGAGTGAAGACAACTTTGTCTTTTATATAGCTTGCTCTGCACGAATCTTGGCCAAGAGATTCAAGTTTCTTTGTTCTCCAAGGACAAAAGCGACTTTTATAAGGTACTGCCGAGTTTCGAGTCTTTCTTCCAAGAAAGGGACTATTGTCTCTGAAGCCTTTGGATTCGAGACAAAGAATCTCGAACATCATTGCTATCAAAGAAAGTCCGAGATCGAAGCCGGATTGGCCGGTGAGAAGGAATCAAGTCGAAATTAGATCACGCCACGTGGTTAGGCAACCGCACATCCCAGCCCTTAAGACGTCAATCCAATTCAGCATGGTGTTCGTCATCAGATACTGTAGGCATTTTTCTAGGCTTCAGACTTGAAGAAGGCATCGCACAAGACCACTGGGCAAATCGATTTCTCGACGCTAGGGTTCTGGCAGAATTATTTCCGTCATGCAGCGTTAAATCCAGCCTTCATATGACCATCGTTGTAATCTGATCATATCATCATATACTTTCAGTTAACCTCAAAATAAACTATTAAAATACATAAGAATCGTCTTCGAAAGAATATTGCCGCCCATGAACATGGCCGAAACAGGGTATATGCGCACGCTATGAGGGAAAGCGGGACCAAGGTCTCAAGGAGTGTAGAAAAACAAGAAAGAATGCAAATGATGAGTCTGTGCTCGACAATGCAGGTCGGTTGACCACTACAGCCAAAGTATCCAGCGAGCACCAGATATGAACCCACGGAAAACACCGCGAACAAGCTTGAATGCCATAACGATGAGCCAAACCCACCACAACATACCGACCAGCGTCCATTCCAGCACCACGAAGCCAGTCCGACGCACCCATCGGAGTCGACGACGACGTTTCCGAACTCCTCGGTCCAGAGCATCGCTGAGCGACTTGACAGCAAGCGTGCTTGTGGTGTTGAGTTGAACGCAGAGGTCCTCGGCATCATTGGCTGTGGCACGGACACGAGGTGTGAGGGATTCATTGACAAGGTTCTCGAGGTCTTTCAGCTGTGTGCGGAGAGGAGACGCCGTAGTCGTCGTGAAGTGGTGCATGGATTGCTGAAAGGAGTATTGAGTCATTTCAAAGCGCCGCAGCAGGTTCTGGGCAGCTAAATCAAATTCTCCGATCCGGGCCACGCGAGGCACTGAAGCACCTGGGCCAAGCGCGTTTTGAAGCCAGTGAGGTGGTGGTTCGCGTACGCTGTGAGCGCGTCGGGTGATTTCTCGAGCTTTAATGCCAGATGATAATAGGAGGGTTCGGGTTCGTTCTACCTCCGTCTTGCCAGGGACACCAAAGTCGTTTAATGTGTGAAGGCTGCGGTCCGAAATACTCCAAGCGCGAGTTGTACTTGACAGTCCCGGTCGTCGGTTTTTCATGGGGCCAGGCGAAGCCCGGGCCTGTGCGAGTCCAGTCACTGGTGGACGGGTAAGACTGAAGGGGACAGAGGAATCCTTGATGGCGTGCTGTTGCTTCGTGCGGCTGCGGTTTGAACCCGTGGTCGGGCTGAAGTCCAATGTCCTGCTTCGACTGACGCCCATTCTTCTCGGGGTGTCTTGATCATCTTGTTTCCGAGACGCAGAAGGGCGTTCACGAGGGCTTGTACCATAGTCGTTGGAGTCGTCCTGCCGCAAAGGCGATGTGAAACTTGGCAGTGACCCGATGAAGCTTCTATTTGGAGGACCTCTGTCAGAGTCGCGGCGAACAAGGCGGCCCGATTCATCACCAATATTGTTCCGACGGCGTAAAAGTCCTTTCGGTCCCGATCGCTTGTCTGATTTCCTTCCATCATCATCAGAATCACTCGAGTCCGCTGACACAATTGATGCAGATGATGACTTGCGCGAGTCGGGTCCTTGGTCCTTTTTGAATACTAGATCTCCAACTTTAGAAACTTCATTGCCAACAAGCTCAGCTATCCGTCCGGGCCCCTTGAAGATTCCGCGCAATTTGGATTCAGGAAGGTGCTGTCCCTTCCTTCCCCACGGTGGATTGTCCGATCGATTTCCATCATTCCCAGCTTGGTCATCAAAGTAGGAAGAACATACGACATCAGGAAGAGGACTGGGCTCCAGTCTTGATGACCTTTCATCATACTTGGCATGCTCAGATGGAGGCGTTAACACATGATGAGATAGCGCAATGGCATCCAGACTCTCGTCTTCGTGTTCTCGAGAGTCTCTCTCGCCGTGTTTGCTCTTGCTTCGTTCTTGACGAGAGACAATCTTGTGACGAAGACCTTTCTTGGCTGGTGACGGAGACCGGCTCGAGGGCGGAGAAAGATTGACTGCGATACTAGGGAAATAACCAGCATGAGCAGGAGAGTTGGGAGCAGTGCTGTCCATGCCCTCCGTCGACATCCGCGGGTTGTATCGATCATCGAGACTTCCGCCAGACGAAAGCGACCCCCTTCTATAGGGACGTCTTGGTTTCGTGTTGACGGAAATCGGGTCGGACAGTTGTGACTTGTTCTTTTCGGCTCTAAAAACTGCCGCAGGAGATTTGGCACGAGATATGCGGGAGTCCGAGGAGTTCGCATGGACTTTTTCAGAAAACAATTCGGTACTTCTGCGGCCATGGTCCCAAATGTGATGTTTTCGCTCGGACGACTTGCGCCGCTCCGGACTCGAATCGCTCGAAACACTGCCTGTGCGCAACTGGATGCGGTCCCAACGTGAATGTTTCCGCGAGCTGGAGCCACTGCGACTCCTTGCACTTTGGGAATGAGTGTGGAACTTGCTTCTGTGTCGTCCTCGGCCAACGCTCTTGAACTCATGTGCCTGCGCAGGGCGCGAGCTTGACAGGGAAGTACGAAGAGAAGAACGCCCATCCTCTTGGGTGTGGTCGACATCTAAAGACAGTCGCAGCTTATCCGAGTAAGAACCCACCAATTCAAGCTCTGTTGGGTCTGGATACAGCCTGTTGTCGTATCTGTCGACAATTTTGGTTTTGTTGACAACATCTTCCGCCCACGCTGCATCGGCCAGAAGTTCCTCGGGAGAAATCCTCCAGTCCATCATACGCGGTCGAGGGGCTTTGATGCTATTGGTGCGGCTGACGCGCCGTAAGCTTGTAGGTGGTGAGATAGTCGTGTCCATATCTTCGCGTTCATGGTGTGAGGTGCTTTTTTGACCATTTTGGAAAGAGGGCAACTTGATAGACTGTGTTGGGTCGAGTCTTTTGTTGCTGTACTTTTCCTCGATGGTGGTGATCCAGTCATTGACCTTGTCGATATTATGCCAGCCCTCTGCCTCGATATCGATTGGACATTTCTCTCTATAACGAACTCTCCTGTTTCGTATCATCTGGAGGGGGTTGTAATCCCGATTCGCAGGTCGAGTAGAGGTCGACTCGTCGGGAGACTCGCTCTCGCCAGCAGCAGCGGGAGCTCGAATTGGAGGCAGTGAAGGGAGCAGTCGCAAATATTGATCAAAGAGTTCAAAGTGACGCCGGGCTCGTTCCGCGCGAGCTAAAGTGCTTTCAGAAAATTCATATGCGCGATGGTCGTCCCGTACAGTAGGGGGTAATAGATCAACCACTGGTGACTGACCGGGTTGAGCAGCTCGCCCCATGTCATCAATCGATAACTGGCCGTAGCTTTGATATGAGGAGTCCCGTTGTCCACGATGGCTTATTTGTGGCTGCAGGTGTGTCTCCACGGGTCCAGCAGCAGGTTGAGACGTCGACAAGGGTCGTCGCCCGTTAGAAGCCAACGGTAGTCCCGACTGGTTCCTTCTCCTCGACTCATTCAAATTCAGGGCCAAATTCACAATTTGTATGGAATCCCTATCGAGTCCTGGCGACGAGTGATCGGCCGCATCGTTCCCAGTAGATCCAACCTGCGACGAGTCGCGAGACTGTCGCGCATCATGCGAAGGTGTTGGAGTTTGCTGAGTAGCTATTGAGTCCGCTCCGGCTGCCACAGACGCGGACTCTGAGGTCGAATGCTTATTGCGACTCCACGGGAAGCGCGATCGCTTCTTAGGCACGGCAACATTGGCATCGGGGGCGTTTCGTTTCCCCGTCGGGGATTCTGATAGTCGAGTGCGGTGTGATGGTATTCTCAAGCTTTTCGTGCGAGGAAGTGAGCCCAATAGGAACCCGCTCGAGCTCTGGGTCCTCCTTTGGCCAGGGGTCTTTCGATCACCATCACGAGAGCCGCTGCCCAGTGTGCTCCCCTCCAGCTCCCCGCTTACTCGACCATCGCTCATCGGAGCCCCGCTTCGTCGTGATGAGCCGCCAGCGGACGGATTCAAAGAGTATCGTTTGTTCGGAGGTGTCTCGCGTCGTGTTTCATCTGCTGGAGGCATCGAAGAGCAAGCATTGGGACTATTGAGTCGTTGCGCCATCGGGGTCGATGTAGGAGCCGAGGAGTTAGATGGCCACGGCCTTCAGGAAGGCAACAGGCATCGTCAGGTCCTTTCATACAAGCATGGGTACGAGTAAACGTATTTGCTTTCGCTCGGAAGGTCGCAAAGGTGTAGCTCTCGTGTGTTACTCTGCAGGGTGGTCGACGTCAATGCGGTCGGTGATCGACATCGGAGTTGCGCGTCAGGCAGCGGGGTTTAGTAAGCACTGAAGTATGCGGACCCCGGACTCTGCAGATAGCTTAATTGGCTTGCAACATCAATGCAAAAATAGCTTCCCACGTAGTGACGATTTCTATTTGAGTGCTCTCTTCAATTCGAATCTAGCCAAATGCAGCTCAAGCAGAAGAGAAGATCTCGTTGCCAGCCCAATTAATTCCCGTAACTGCGCATTGTCTGCCTCGGCCGTATCGCTACACCATGGATACCTGCAATTCCCTTGTCGACTCTTCAATGTTACAGTGTACTCGATAATCATGGTGAACATTTTATAACTACCATTGTAGGAAGGTCATCACCCATTTGGAGCTGTCTTGGTTTACCAGCTCTTCAGTGACTTCTATTCACCAGCTCTTCAATGACTTCTTGGTCAATGTATTAGCCACGGTACAAAATCAAGACAAGAATTTACCGAAGGTCACAATTCCCCAGGAACAGCTGGATTAATCCATAGTCTTTCCTGGATTCATCACTGCTGTCGGTGCAGCTTCATAGCGCTGTCTTCATGGACGACAAGGGCTAGGGGCAAGAGACCTAGGCCCTGTTCGGCTCTTGGAGAAGAAAGTCTCCACCCCAGACATCAACACAAAAGAGGAATAACAACGAGGGAAACAAAAAAATACCAGCATCAGTATCATCCATGCCATATGTGAGCTCTCGCAGAATAGTGCAGGACATTTCTAATACGTAAAGCTAGCAAGTCAACTCATGGTCCATAAAACAAAGGAAGATTCTAGCATTTGGGTCTAACGCAAAAAGTACAACTAGAGGTACATTCCTGTAGACAAGTCGAGGATATACAGGACAATTTGAAATCAGCATCGCTCAAAATATGCGCTTACTCCACGCGCAAGCACTGGAGCCGGGCCTCAGTCTCAATGACCTATACGATGCATGTTAGCGGGAGATCTCAAAAGTGATCGAAGTTGAACTTACCTCGAGAGCCTGCTTGACCTCAAGAACCCTACGCACATCACCCAGCCAATCCTTGCTCAGAATTTTGGCCCAGCCCTGGAGACCGTTCATCTCACGGGCAGCAGCATCAACGTTGCCCTCTTCGAGGAGGTGCTCGGTGCGAATGAGAATGCTCTCAACATCATCACCCTCGGGAAGTCCCTCCTTCTTGAACATGACCTTGCTCAGAACCATGCTGGCAGCGTGGCTGGCAATACCAGCATCCTCAGGCAGAAGACTGGCCTTGCGGACCTCGCTCGCGACACGACGGAAACGCTCAATGATCATAGATGTGGAGGGGATACCACGCTGGTAGGCGGTGGGGTTGATAGAAGCGATGGCGGCATCAACGACGGGGTCATCAGCGGCCAGTTCCTTAACAGCAACCAGTTCACGGACGAAGGGGCGGGGGGTCTCAGCGCGCTCAAGAGTAGAACGGACAGCGTCAACGGCGACCTGAAGCTGCTGAGTCTTCAGGTTGGTGTCAATGACGTTGCTCCAACCGGTAGTCAGGTTCTCCAGCTCGGTAATGCTAGCAGCCAACTCGTTCAGTTTGCTGAGACGGCCCTCACGCTCGCGCTCAACCAGACCCTGAACCTCGTGAACATATTTACGGTTCAGTTCGATGGCCTGCTCAACAAGCTCGTTCTGAAGGCGCTGCTCGGCAAGTTCCTGCGCACGCTGAAGCTCGGTCTTGATCTTCTCCTGGTAGGCACCAGCCAGCTTCTCGCGCTCAGCCTCGAACTCCTCACGGAACTGAGCAACCTCAGTCTCGCGCATCTGCTCGAACCGGCGGATCAGCTCCCGGGCGGACTCGTCGAAGGTGTTGTGAGCCTTGTTGATCTCCTCCTGGGCGGCCTGAGCGGCTTCGGTGCGGATGGCGCTGATCTTCTCGCCAATCTTAAGCAGCTCCTCCTTGGCCTTGGCGACGGGCGCAGAGTACTTGCTGGAGTTCTCATCGGCGCTAATTACAGTGACAATGTCGTTGAAGGTTTTGACCAACTCCTGCACAAGACCGTCGTCGCCATCCTGAGTCTTCAGAAGCTCAATGGTGCTAGCAGCAACGGCAGGCTGGCGGGGCTCATCGAGTGAGGCAGGCCTCTGGTCCTCCTTCTTAGTGTCCTTTGTGGTCTTCGAGGCCTTCTCCTTAGCCTTGATAACGGCCGCATTCCGCTCCTCGGGCTTAGCCTTGTCGGTCTTGACGTGAGCTTCGTGAGCCTGAGAGCTCATGTGTGGGCCGGCCTTGGAAACATCGCTTCCAGCCTCCTCCTCCTCCTTGGCCACGTTCCAAGACAGGCCACTCTTGCTAGGGATTGTAACGGACTTGCCATCCTCACGGGGAGCACCCTGAATGCGGTTTTGTTGCCGGGAGGCATTGGGGAATCGACGGTAGAAGTCACGCTCCTCGAAATAAAGCACACACTCCTCTCCGTAAGGAATGTACTCAGTGAAGAAGTCGTGGAAGTTGTCGGACTTGAGGGCCATGAAGATGCTGCCGCCATAGGCAATGCCGGAGGTCAGGATCAGGTAGAGCAGGAATCGACGGAATCGTCCGGTTTTGCGGGGTACAGGCGCAGGAGTTTCAGGAACGGCCTTGAATTCTGCATCGGTTCTGTGTCAGTGTATGCTCAGTCAATTTCGATAACGAAGAGGCTAGCGGTACCTTGCTCGGTGGGTTTCGGGATGGTCTCGGGAGGAACGGTGGATTCAGATGAAGGGGTGGCGGGGGTTGGGCCACCGGTTGTAGGAGGCTTCGAATCAGCGAAGAAACGCTGTGTAGAATTGCGATGTTAGCTGGGGGTGGTTGGTGGATAGGCAGTCATGGTCCTCGTACCTGGTTCGAAAGCCGGCTGCTCGCACCGGCCTTGGACAGCCATTGCGACGGGATCCGTTGACGAGCAGGGGCCGACAGCAGCTGCCGACCCGGAGCAATCGTAGAGCGCAGCATGACGAGCCGCACAATCGCCAGAAAGCGGGGAGTGTTTGGCAAGGTAGATAGGTAGGAAAACGGGGAAGGTAGAGGTTCAGTCGCGATCCGCCCCGATGATCCTGCAGGCGGTCAGCCCGGCTGACCCAGCATGCCCACAGTCTAGCTAATGAAATGATGTCGACTCGACATGAATTCTAGGTATTTCCGCCTAAAATTAAAATAGAGTTAATTTGTCTGGCCTCATCTATTTGGGCTTCAGTTCTTATTGCCCATGGTGCAGCCGTTTATTATCACTGTTGTGGAAAGGTTTGCCAAATCCGAATAGCGAGCGCTACGGTGTGATATATATTGATTTGAAAAGAGCACGCGACAATATCGTCACAATATTTTGGTTTGAACTTTAATCCGATTTTCATGAAACTGCAAATTAATTCTGCAGAGCGTAACACTTGTAAAGGTTGGTATCACACCAATCTAGAAATTGGTCATTGAGCGTTGCTACTGGTACAACCGTATAACCGGTTCGCGCTGACTCGGCAGTTGTCACATTCAAAAATCTTTCACACTGGTGCATTAATCCACACTTCGAATAGTAGTAGAAGCGATAAGATTGTCAAAAGTGGCATATGGTATTAGGTTCCTACACTAGGGCAGGGGATTTGAATAGATACAATCTGAAGAAATGTATTATCTGGGCATAGCATACTGAAAAGGTTTGGCAAAACGAGGACAAACGGAGAGTAACGCATGTCGAGGGATTTAGTCCAACAGAATCGAGAAAGAAGCAGATGCTGACGCCGGGTTAAAAAGGAAAAAGTACAAGGAAAGCGGGTGAGAGCAGAGGCAGGTCCTGAAACAACATGTCTAAAGCCAAATTCCAGATGCACGCGCGTATGGAAGTCGAATTCCCATTTGCGGCAAGCCCGGCTTGCCCAGCGGCAGAGCAAGCAAAAGATTGAAGGGGTGAGAAGAAAACCGAGACGACCAGATAGGCAACGAGCCGAGAGCCTCCTCTTGTGTCAGATAGGGGGTGAGAGGTAGTAGAGACGACCAATGTAACTGGTCGGAGAGGTAATGTTCGGACCGTCGTTCGAACTAGGGGTGGTTTATATGCACACACTATCGGCGCAGGTTCGGTGTATTCAAGAAAAAATAGATTAGCAGTTGCATGCACCTGCGCCTTGGGTGCCCGGAGCTTCAGGTCGCAGGTCAACACCGGGGCGGGGCGCTGCCCGCAGGTTCCGAGGACCAGCCTGATCGAGAGGGAGCTTCTTCGCGATGGCTGTGAACAATTCCCGCACATTCATCGAGGATTTGGCGGAGGTCTCAAAGAAGAGAAGCCCGGCTTCGCGGGCATAGGCCTCTGCATCTGCGGTGGGAATAGCCCGCTTATCGGGACTCTCGGTGACGAGATCAAGCTTATTGCCTGCCAGAGCAATCACAATATTCTCATTCGCTTGCCGTTGAAGCTCCTTCACCCAGGACTTAGCCTTATCGAGTGACGACTGGAGGAAAAAGAGCCATGATTAGCTAGGAGTCTCAATTGAACACGAGTCGAACATACAGCTTGAGTGATGTCATACACCACGACAGCACAGTTGGCGTTTCGATAATACATCGGAGCCAAAGACTTGTATCTCTCCTGGCCGGCGGTATCCCAAATTTCGAACTTGACTGTGGTACTCTCATCGAGGGAAATGGTCTGTGTCAGGAAGGCGGCGCCGATTGTGGACTCGCGGTAGTCGTCGAATTGGTCCTGGAGAGCAATAGCCGGTTAGTAGATGGCTTGACTTTTCGCGAGGTGACATATTCATGATCCAAAAGAGTCGTGAGAGTTTCATCGAAAGCATACCTTGACGAATCTCAAAACAAGGGAACTCTGGAAAGTTATTATGTTAGCGCCTAATTCAAAAAGAAGTTAGCGGGTTGTCCAACCTTTCCCACGGCGGATTCTCCTGTAAGAAAAGTAGAAACGTTAGCGCCTGCCATGGACAGTTTCGAGGAGTTCTGCATCACTAGATCACGCACCGAGCAAGACGAGCTTAAACTGAGCGAATTTGGCCCCGGGACGGGCTCCTGCTGCTGGTCGGGAGGCCATGGCCGGATCGAGGAGGCGACCGGATTGAAAGGGCGGAAGGGCTGAGAGAAAGAGGAGGAGTCGGTGAAACAGTCGAGAGTATTCGAGGGCGTCCTCGGAAGTGCGTACGTAGGCGATAGATGGAGAGAAGATCAGAAGGTAAGGCGGACGGAGTGGATGACGGAGGTCCAGCCACATGAGCAGCGGGGCGGTGTGGCGGTACCGCAGGCAGTAATGTTCCATACAGTCGCAGCGTGGCAGGCGCAGGCCGCACCTGCCGTGTGTACGCCGCGGTCGATCATGTGTTCCTGGATTATGCCATGGTTGCGCCTCCTCCCTCCTCCACATCCACCCCCCTTTGACCCCATCACCGTGCTATAGGGCTGCCCATTATGGCGCCCCCTCTTCTTCCTTTCAGAGACATCAATTTGCATGCTTCGCCTTCTCATTATGCCTTCACCTCGCCTTCGTCACCCCAGGCCCCGACTCTTGTGGTGGACCGGCCAACGGGCGACCTCCGGTTGAACGATGGGCCTCTCTCGGGCGCAAAGCGCATCTCGAGCATTGCGGGGATTCTGGGAATTCTGAAATTGAAGCTAGGTACGTTGCGACCACCTGCGGCTGCGATGAAGTTACCGAGTAACTACAGTGCTAACTATTTGTACCATAGACAAATACATCGTGGTCATCACCAAGGCGCAGCCTATGGGCCGACTCCGCGGCCACATGGTGTATAAAGTCGCCGCTACCGAATTCCTGCCAATGCGAGAACGCCCCCTCCACGATCGGGATGAAGACACATACATTGCGCTCGTCAAAGAACTGCTCCGAACCGGCCCCATGTACTTCTCCTACTCCCTCGATCTCACCAACAGCTTCCAGCGACAATCGCAGAGTGCCGTCAACAGCCCCATGTGGAAGCGCGCCGATGACCGATTTTTTTGGAACCGCTTCATCCAGTCCGACTTGATCGACTTCAGCTTGGGAGAGCAGGAAACCAGCGGCATCCGCTATGGCCCGCAGCCAGGCGTCGACCCGTATATCCTTCCAGTGATGTTCGGTATGCTGCGAATTACACCTGCTCGCGTCAAGTCTGGCTCCTTCACGTTCGCTCTGATCACTCGACGATCTCGACACCGTGGTGGTACCAGATATTTCTCCCGTGGAATCGACGAGCAAGGCAATGTTTCGAATTACAACGAAACGGAACAGATTGTAATCTTGAATGACGCCACCGGGAGCTTGTCTGGATTCGCTGGCGGACAATCGATGTCCAATGAAAAAACAGGACAGGACCTCCAAGTGTACTCCTTTGTCCAGACCCGCGGTAGCGTGCCAGTATTCTGGGCCGAGGTCAATAATCTTCGATACACCCCTAAGCTTCAAGTGCGCGGAGTGGAAACTGCTGTCGAAGCCGCTCGCAAGCATTTTGCAGAGCAGATTCGTTTGTACGGAGAGAATTACATGGTCAACCTGGTCAATCAGAAAGGCCGAGAGGAGCGCGTCAAAAGTGCTTACGAGCAGCTGGTTCGGATCCTCATAACTTCTTCTACCGAATGCACCGAGGCTGATGACAAGTCACCCGAAAAGATGCATGTTTTGGAACCAGGTCAAAAGCGTAAAGAGATGGATCGGTTGCATTATGTGTATTTCGACTTCCACAACGAGACAAAAGGTCTTAAGTGGCACAGAGCTGAATTGCTAATGGGCCGACTTCACGATGGACTGACCCAAGGCGGTTACTTCCGTGGTGTCGAACACCCTGGATCCCCGGGCGGACAATTGGATATTCGTTCCACTCAATCAAGTGTCGTACGGACCAACTGCATGGACTGTCTTGATCGAACCAATGTGGTTCAGAGCATGCTCGGCCGCTGGGCGGTCACTCACCAGCTGATTGATGCCGGTGTGCTTCGGCATGGTGAGACAGCAAATGATGACCAGGAGTTCGAAGATCTGTTCCGCAATATCTGGGCGGATAATGCCGATGTTGTGTCCAAGTCCTATTCGGGAACGGGTGCCCTGAAGACGGATTTTACCCGCACTGGCAAACGTACTCGGGCCGGTGCTCTTCAAGATTTGAACAATTCGATCACTCGATACGTGCGCAACAACTTCATGGACGGACCCCGCCAAGATGGCTTTGATGTGTTTTTGGGTACCTACCTTCCCTCAGACTCTTTGCCTTCCAGCATTCAGATGTTCCTGGACCGACGACCACTTGTCATTCAGGCTGTTCCCTACGTGTTCGCTGCAAGTTTGTTCTTGACACTTCTTGCTTTGTTCACGACAAGGTCTCCCGACTCATCGGTTTGGCCTCTTCGCCTTTTCATGGTGTTCTGGTTCGTCATTACAGCCTACTGCTTCCGCTTCATGTATGAGCATGGCATGCTTTATGTGAATTGGCCCAAGCTCAATACTCCCGTCGCTGGCGCCGAGGGATACCAAGATGCCATGATCAAGGCCCGTACCGACCCTGTTATTGGACAGTGGCTCCCATCCAAGAGACACCAGCGTGGTGTCAGCAATGCTCGTTTGGTGTTCCTTGAAGAAGGGAAGACCAGGGTCGAGTAGATTCAATTCTTTACCTACCCACCCCCTAACCCTATGCTTGACACTTCACTTCTACACTCCATGGTTGTATGTTTAACTACAATGCTTTCCTACAGGCTTTAACAGTAGCCATTTCATTTGTCCCTTTCTATCGGCATTACCATGCCTCTTTTCCCCGCTTGATACATTTTTACTTTCTGTGGTAGACCACGCCAGGGGTGGCGTAATTTCCACCGCAAATGAAACAATTTTAGTCTTAGATTCAGTTCATAGACTCTCTACAGTGTACACTTGGAAATTTTTTGCCAATTTACTCACGCTGGCCCGACCCAGTCAAGCAATAGAAGAGGCGGCCACACTGCACTAGATCTAGGTTTTGACAATGTCATGTTACACCTTGGGCCGCCATGGAAAATATTTAATTTTTAATTTCATGTAACCATTCTGTTATGCCGGGAAAGTCGTATGCTTATTAGTGTCCACTTCATTATGGTGTGCTTAAATCAGGTGATGCTTGGGTTCTACAGAGTTGGGGGCCTGACAGCGGCAAGACCACATTATTCACATGTATTTGATGTCGGCCACACATAGCAAAGCCAAAAACCAGAAACATAAACACAATATTAGTAGTTGAGGACAGCAATGGCGACTACTTGGACAGGCGATGGCTTAATTCGTGCCAAGGAGGACAGAGTCTCAACCGGAGACAACCAGCATGAAGGGAATCAAAAAGTGAGAGTTGACTTTCATGGCGTTGCAGAAACCCTTATAGTCACTCTTGTTGCTCGGGCCTTTGACTTTTCTGCTCCTCGGTCCATCTTAGGTGATCAGTATGCCCAGGATGTCTTGGAGAAATTCGATTTCGACGTGAATGCGATGTCTGAGACACCTGGCCAATCCGCAGGTGTCGATCTACGAACAAATCACTTCGATCGATGGGCCTCAGAATTTCTGCAAAAGCATCTAAGGACAACTGTCCTGCATCTGGCCTGTGGCCTTGATTGTCGGATGAAAAGCGTGAGTGGGGTGAGAACACCCGGTGGATCGATATTGATCTTCCCGAGGTTATAGAAAAGACAAGTCCTGCCTGATCCATTACCTGGCCGCGATTACTCTATCCTCGGAGTCTATGTTCGTGATGACAGCTGGATGAGTCAAGTTTCTACCGCCGGGCCTGTTCTTGTTGGCATGGAGGGGCTACTGAGCTATCTGACCGAGGACGATGTAAAGCGGCTGTTGCAGGGGTTTTGCCAGAATTTTCGAAGTGGAGAAATGCTTTTTGAGTGCATTAACTCTGCTAATTTGCGGAGCTTGAACCAGAGAAAGCCGATTGAACCTATCGGCAGCATTGGAGCTGAGGTGCTCTCGTGTGTTGATGATCCAAAACAGTGAAATTCTTTCACCCTCATTTGGGATTGACCCGAATCTGTTCGACTTCCAGAGGCACCGGGCGTTGAAAAATTTCCGTTCGCTCTTCGGATGCTCATGTATTTGATATCTTGGGCCCTGGGACTCGGGAAATTGCTAGATTCGTGCGATTTGAATTTGGAGAAGTTGCGAGCATTTGAGAGATAATATGTTGACAATGGGTCACCACCTCGATATGCTGGTGGCGTGTGTATGTGTGTACTTCTACTAGAAAGTACCAGATCCTAATATGAAATTTCTTATCACACATCGCCTTCACTAGTAGAAGACGAAAGGGCATCCCAATCTTGGAAGCCGAGACCATTGGAAATGTAGGCCCCACCTGTATAGATAAGGCTCACGTGATATTTCCGTGAGCCGAGCGGTTTCCCGAGGAGAGAGAACGCTTCGGGAGCAGAACCAGATTATCTTCGATCTTCAAGCCGCCGGGGTCTTTTTCGCGAACACCCCCGCCTGCTCATTCAATCTCGCAGGCAAGGGTGTCCCCTGTTCATGAGAGGGCTTTGGTCGTCCCTTCGTTGGTCCTGTCCGCGGCGGCGAGTCTCGACTCACTCGCCCGCTATGACTCGCTCATATGAGGTATGCATCCTACTGATTGCGCTAGCTCTGGAGCTATAGTCCGAGCGGACGCGAACCAGAGATATCGATTCCGAATCGTGAGCGCTAACGTCTACCGTTGTCTAGTCTGCCATTGCGGCGCTCAACTCCTTGCAAACGAACTATGCGATCGTTGAGGAGCTTCGGAAGTCGACCTCCCGACAGGAGATGAATGAGCGCTCCCTACCAGAGACCGTCGAATGGCTTTGTCGCATCGGTTACAAGGTTGGTCATTGTTTTCAGCACGGATGAATGGGTTGAACGAGCTGGGCTGACATTGGGGCTCCACCCCTCTCTAGCCGTCCGACCTCGATCAACTAAACCCCGTCCATGTCGCCGGAACTAAAGGCAAAGGGTCGACTTCAGCTTTCATTTCCTCCATCCTCTATCAATACACCAAGGCTGAGTCTGATCAGTCGACACCTCGACTCCACAAGATCGGACTCTACACTTCACCGCATCTTCGCTTCGCACGCGAGCGCATCAAGATCGATAATGCCCCGCTTTCTGAAGAGCAGTTTGCGCGCTACTTCTTTGAAGTATGGGATCGCCTAGAAGAGGCTGCTAAGGTGACAGGCCAGGATCCCACTTCGCCGGGGACTAAACCCCAATATTTCCGCTATCTGACGCTGATGGCATTCCACACATACTTGAGCGAAGGCGTTGACGCTGCGGTGATTGAGTGCGGTATCGGAGGTCAATATGATTGCACCAATGTCATCGAGAAGCCTAAGGCGACGGCTATTACTAGCCTTGGAATTGACCACACCGCAATGCTGGGAACTACCATTGAGCAGATCGCATGGCACAAGGGTGGCATCATCAAGTCCGGCGTCAGAGGCTTCACAGCTCCCCAAGCTCCAAGTGCAGAGGAAGTGCTAGCCAAGCGAGCTGAAGAAAAGGGTTCTCAGCTCGACGTCGTCTTAGATCACCCTGACCTTCGTCCTGCGACTAGCCAGGTCAAGCTCGGATTGGCGGGCGATTTCCAGTATACGAATGCCTCGCTGGCTGTGGCAACGGCGGCAGAGTTCTTGAGAAAGACTGGCGTTGCCGACATTTCTGAAAATATCATGTCGGAACCCCTGCCTGCTAAGTTCCTGACTGGCCTTGAAGCGACGCGGCTTGGTGGCCGATGCGAGACTCGGTACGAGAAGAACGTGGCCTGGTATATTGACGGTGGTCACACACTGGAAAGCATCCGGCTGGCCGGCCAGTGGTTTGCCTCACGAATCCAGGCAGACTCGTCCTCCAAGGACGTTGCGACGAAGAAGCCTCGGATCTTGATCTTCAACCAGCAAACTCGCGATAGCACCGCCCTGGCGCGCGCACTCCATGAAACCCTGGCGGCGGCACTAGGAGCCGAAGTCCCCTTTACGCACGCTCTCTTCTGCACGAACATTACCTATAAGCACGCCGGATACCGACCCGACTTGGTCAGCATGAACACGAATGCGGATGATGTCGAGCGCCTGAGCGTTCAGAAGTCTCTCGCAGAGGCTTGGAACTCGATTGACCCTCATGCTAAAACACAAGTATTCGGAACTATCGAAGAAGCCGTGGACTTTGCGCGCGATGTGGCCGCCGAGGAACGCAAGCTTCTCCAGAATGACGAGGCACCTGTCATGACGTTTGTCACCGGTAGCCTGCACCTCGTCGGCGGATTCCTCGACGTGGTGGAGACCAAGCCGTTTGTCGAAAAGGCATGATTCCTCACGAGATGCGATTTTGAATACTTTTGACGGGCCTGGAGCTTCATACCCATTCTAGTTCTTGTATCAACACTTGACGTTTGATTCGATAAATGGAGACGGTGACTATAGAGGTGTTTTGTGGATTTCAACAATTCGAGACTCCCATTGAATACTACCTACTACCTTAGTACATCAATAAAAGACAGAATATTTCCAATCAGCAAACGTGGAATTATTTCGTTACTTTCGAGATATAGAGCTAGTAGGATGTAAGGTCCTCACAATCGAGGATGATGTGCAGCTGCCAAGGTATTACTCACTTATCGCATTCGCCCGAGTCGCCTACTCTACGAGTAATGATGAGAGTACCCAGCTACATGCATAGTAAAACAAAGTAATTTAGGTAGGGTAGTCAGTTTTGCCAGGTTGAAAAACATGTGAAATTGTCGATCGGGGGCAGAAAGCTGCAGAAGCAACCAACCCCTCCGCCTGCCGCACCCCCCACCGATCCGCGTTTCATGCGGTTAAACCCACGGGCCCAACGAAATCCGAAATCCTCCTTCTCACCCTCCCCTCCACCACCCGAACACCAGCCATGTCGGACTCTCAAGACAAGGGCAAGACCCCTCAGCGCCCCGACCAGGTCAACAAGGACCAAGATACCCCCAAGGGTGAGTACGTTCCTGTGTTGATCGTCTGGCGACGCCGACCGAAGCTAAATGCAGAGGACTCCATAGTCAACCCTAAGAACCAGAAAACCGTCCCTCCGCAAATGGTACAACAGATCCTGGACAGCAATCCCGCGCTGAAGGCTGAGATCGCATCGATGGAACCCTCGAAGGCAGCCGAGGCGCTGGCCAACACCGATATCAGTCAATTGTTGACTGGGTTGTCACTTGGCGGAAAGAACCAAAAGGACATGGCTTCTTATAAGTTCTGGCAGACGCAGCCAGTGCCTCGATTCGAAGACAACAAGGACAAGGAAATCAAGCAGGGTCCGATCAAGTGGATCAAGCCGGAGGAGGTGCCTAAGAACCCCGATGCGCTCATCGAAGGGTTCGAATGGTGTACCTTGGATTTGACCAATGACGACGAGCTCCAGGAGCTTTTCGACCTTCTCAACAACCACTATGTGGAGGACGACAACGCTATGTTTCGATTCAGTTATTCAATGTCGTTCCTGAACTGGTATGATCCCTTCTTACTCCTTGCGGCCTCATCCAATGCAAGTTAGCTGACCATGCATCGCAATTCAACAGGGCTTTGAAGTCTCCAGGATGGAAGAAAGAATGGCACGTTGGCGTTCGCGCCACCAAATCACGCAAGCTTGTCGCCTCAATCTCCGGTGTCCCGACGGAGATCCGCGTGCGCGGGGAGCCACTGAAGGTCACGGAAATCAACTTCCTTTGTATCCACAAGAAACTCCGCTCCAAGCGTCTGGCCCCCGTTCTGATCAAGGAAATCACCCGCCGTTGCTACCTCAATGGTATCTACCAAGCCATTTACACTGGTGGTGTCATTCTCCCCACCCCCGTTAGCTCTTGCCGCTACTACCACCGCGCTTTGGACTGGTTGAAGCTTTATTCCGTCGGCTTCTCACCTATGCCCCACGGATCGACCAAGGCGAGACAGGTGGCTAAGAATCAACTTCCTGACAACACCTCCACTCCCGGTCTGCGCCCCATGGAAGAGAAGGACATTGATGCCGTTCATGATCTCTTGGAGCGCTACTTGCGTCGCTTCGACATGTACCAAGCATTCAGTCGCGAGGAGATCGACCACTGGCTGGTCTACAAGGAGAGGGCTGGAAAAGAGCAAGTTGTGTGGTCCTATGTCGCCGAAGACCCTAAGACCAAGAAAATTACGGACTTTGTTTCATTCTACAACTTGGAGTCGACTGTTCTCGACAACCCGTTGCACAACTCTGTGCGTGCCGCATACCTTTACTACTACGCAACTGAAACAGCCTTCACTGGCGACCAACCCGCGCTCAAGGACCGTCTGCTTGTTCTGATCAATGATGCCCTCATTTGTGCCAAAAAGGTAATGATAGAAGAGCCCAACCCCGATGCATAGAGCACACCTTTGCTGACAAGATATCTAGGCTAATTTCGATGTTTTTAACGCCCTCACTCTCCAGGACAACCCTCTGTTCCTCGAGAAGCTCAAGTTCGGCGCCGGTGACGGACAGCTCCACTACTACCTGTACAATTACCGCTGCGCCCCGGTCGCTGGTGGGATCAACGAGAACAACCTTCCCGACCTGAACAAGATGGGAGGCGTTGGTGTTGTCATGCTGTAGGTGGATATCGGCTTTTTTCAAACTCGATGAAGTTGGCGGATTTCGAGTAGGATATTTCAAACGAACTTTATCCTGTCCTCACGAAAAGAGAAAAAAAAGGGTACAACAATGGCTCTAGGCTGATGGGACTTTTGTAACCCTTATCTAGTTGAGGTATTTCCAGCTAGATGCACAGGGGCATGCCCACGAAATGAATGTCTTGATGTCGTCACGAGAAATTAGGAAATACAAAAACAAATGAATAAATACAAATTTGTAAACTAAATGCTCGTAAATCCAGAGAACGGCCGTCAAGGTAGCAGTTATTTACATGGACATGGTTCAACCTGCAGAGCCGCAAGGCCGCCGGATGTCACGTTTGACACCTCAGGCACCATTGCCTGACGTCGTCATCTGAAACGCCCCCCAAGTACCCTCCACTTTCCTTTGCTCCCAGCTAGTTGAGAATCCCTTTCAGGTTATCATACTTTCCAACCCTCGGAAGATCTTTGATCAGTCTCGCCCCACGCGATTCCCAAGCGCAACAATCGCAGAACCGAAAGGGTGGGTAGATCCCCGCACTTGCAACAATGGGCGCGGGCCAGTCGAGCGAATATAGTGGAGCGTCGCCAGGTGAGTTGTTTTGTTTACCCCAGATAAAATTATCTATGATCTTTGGATCATGCCGTTCTCAACATTTCTTCGCGGCTTTCTGTCGCATCGCTTGCTGTCGCGTATGATACCGCAAACACAGCTGACCATAAACAGAGCAATTGAGCCACGTGCTCGCGGAACGCTTCGCAACAAAATGCTTCACTCCACTGGAGCTCACCCACTTCAAGGATAACTTCTACTCTCGCACTGCAGAGCAAGGAGGTATGCGATATTGGAACGAGAAGACCCTCTCTGATTTCCTGGGTGTTCCCGATGGCAGCTTCTCAGCTAGCCATGAGAATCCCCTCGATGCAGGCCCAGTCATCTTCCGAATGGTCTCATATCTTGGTGCCTTTCCTTTCCAGAATACCATGGCTCCCAGCGTACTGACGTTTGAGGCGATGGTCAAGGTGGCTGTGTTGTTGACTGAGCGTTACGGCAAAGCTCTACGAAGGGGGCGCAAGGATCGGATCAAGCTGCTCTTTGGCAGTTTGGCAGATGTTGGGAGAAAAGATGTCGGACCACCCGATGCTGGCAAAGATGAAAATCGGTCGTCTAAGGAGGAGATTGGTGCTTCGAATCCTCAATCCCACCCTCCTGGACTCTCGATCGATGAACCGGCGAATGACGATTACGATGAAGACGAAGACGACGATCTTGCCCTCGCGGCATTGGAGTCTCTTGATGCAATCGAAGTCTTCAAACACGATCACAAGGTTGATCGAACGGTTTACGAAACGCGCATTTCCATCGATACATTCCGTCGGCTTCTCATGCTACTTCTCGTGATTGCGCCCCTCAAGTCCCTCGAGTCGGTGAAGAACTACACGTCTGATCTCAACAAAGAGCTCATCGAAAACATACAAAAAGAGGCGAATCATATCATCGCGGCGTTTTCTCCGGAAGAAAATGATGGAGGGATCTCCTATCAAGCTTTTGCTCGCACAATCTCCTTATCTATGCCGTACCTATTCGACCCTCTGACGCCATTGTTTGAGCACTTGCTCTTCAGCAGAAACCTGAACCTTTCTCAGAAGAGGCACAGCGACGCCACTCTTGAACAGGAAAATGCTGAAAAGGAAGAAGATATATCTCCACCGACTTCGATTTTGCTTCCAGGACGTTTCGAGTCAACGATACTCAACCAAACCGTCATTTCCCACCTATCTTTCTTCCTCCCATCCGTCTCATCCTCAATGAACTTATTCCGCAGCGGCGTCCGTCTACACCCCGTCTTCTCAACAGCCGCTCATGGTTCCTCCCTCACATCATTCTCCCACCACGTGATGACCTGGCAATCGTCTTCTCTCTTACTTCTGCAAGGTATCCCAGCAGAAGGTTCAGACCAAGAGCTCATCACGCTGGGCGCCTATATCCCTCAACCATGGAAATCACCTTCATCCCACAGCTCTTCCCAATCCCAAGCCTCCACCCCTCTCCCCTGTCTCTTCCAACTATCCACAAAACACGAAGTTCTCCCGGGAAATCCATCACTGTCCGTAGAACAACGGACCAACACCCCAGCCGCCTGGTTCTCAACACACTCCGGCATCGCAATTGGCTGCCAAATCCCCCCAGCTTCGCGCACGAACCACACGCATCCCAAGCCACACGGCGCAGGAAGTCTCCTCATCGACGTGAATCTCGAATCGGCAGATTTCTACACCGAGCCTACTAGACATGATGGGGTCTTCTTGCCCGCCACTAGCGCGTGTCTGAATGACCGACCAAAAAAGATCAAACTCGACATTTACTCCTTCGAGATCTGGGGTGTTGTTCCGGATCCGGAACAGAGCTCGGCTGATCCCAGTAGCGATGCTGTGAAGATGCAGCGTGCGAAATGGGAGTTTGAGGCTATGGAGGCGGAACGCCGGAGGAACATCAATATTAAGGCTGGGGCTGGGGATTCTGCGAAGGAGAGTGCAAGGTGGTTGTTGGAAACGGCGGGGATTATTACGGACCATGGGCAGCATGATCGATAAGGTGGATATTCTGCTTTACTTGAGCAGATATTGGCGAGGATACCGCTGAATGACTTTTGGCTTCTTTAGCTGCCGGACTAGGGCTTGAAAAGAATGTTTCTGAATTGTGCTTCCAACGTTACTCGTTAAAAATACAGCGAGTCACCTTATGCGACATAATATGAACCTCGACCATCCTGACCTACTAGTAATACTAGTGCATACTGTAAAAAGGCTTTGGCTTCAGCTCTAAGGCCGAGCCGGGGGGTAGCCAAGCAGGTGCACCATAGAAGTCCACCAACTCCTCTTCCTCCACAGGTTCCTGAGCAACATTCTCAACTTCTGATTCTTCATCTGCAATCTTGACATTGCCACGAGAGATGCGATTCCGAGACGTGGCTCGATTGGTCCCAGAGGCGGGTGTACCTTCGGACTCGGACGCCTCACGCGCCTCTTCGCGAGGCAAGCGAATGGCCGGAAATCCATCCGGAGCACGCTCAGCCCGGTCCATGATGTCGTTCATGTACTTCCGGACTTCCTCGGGTGGCTTGACCACGCGGATCAGGGGCTCAAGAATCTTGGGACTGGCAGCGTGGATGCGGAAAGTCACGGGTTGCCAATACTCTTTCAAGTTCGCTTCTTTGGTGGTAGCTTGACTGGGAGTGGCAGGAGTATCGCCGTCGGGCTTGCTGTCGGGTTTATCGGAGGGCTCTTGCTTCAGAGGAGTATCGGCCGTGGCAGTCTGACCCGCACCTGGAGTAGCAGGTGCTTCATTATCCTTGTCGGCTTTTTTCTTCTTGGATTTTGATGCTCCCTTTCCTTTGCCCTTAGCTGCCGGGGCATCTGTTGCGGTTTCGAGGGGAAAAGGTGTATTGGGATCGACTTTTCGGGTAACAAGGAAAGAGGCAACGATACTGTTGTCGTCTGGACGCCATTCGAGGATTGAGTACTCAGGGAAAAGATATCGATCGCCTGATCCGGCATGGCCGGAAGTACTACTCCCGTAAGGAGTCAACGGTGAAGTAAACTCGAAAACAACCGCCTTATATCCAATGCGAGTCGGAGGCTGAGGTACTGGAGCGGGAGGGCGGTAGTAAGGTGTCGGCGAGCCGTACGGAGGTGGCCTTGATTGGATTGGAGTCTGGCCCCCTCCGTATGGTGTCTGCTGCCATGGTGGCAATGATGTACCAGGTCGTGGTGGTTGCGGTTGGGTTAAAGCGGGTCGAGGAGATGGGACAGCCGGGCTTGGCTGCTGCGGCGTTGTAACTGCTGCAGTGTTGGAAGGCGGCGCAGGATTAACAACGGCTGGAGTGGATGCTGTTGGATTGGTCGAGTTCGCTGGAGTAGCCTGTGGATTGTTTGAGCCGGTCGCAGCTGGCTCTTGCTTGATTGCCGGTGGTGCCCCGGACCCGCCTTGAGGGGCAGCACTAGGCACGCCTGTCTGAGAGGTCTGGCTTTGGGATTGAGTACCGCTCTGCGGTGTTCCCTCAGCCACAGACTTGGGCGTGGCGGTGGTGGGTGCTGGTGTTGCAGGCTTGGATTCCGACGCCGGTGGTTGCTGAGGCCCCTGCGATGGTGTCTGCGCCTGACTAGCTGTTTGCGGCTTGGGTGCTTGCTCTTGGACTGGCTTCTGTTGCGAGCTAGGCGGAGCCGGGGTAGGCTTGTTTTGTGATGCGGGAGATGATGGTTGCGTCGTCGCCTGCGACTGGGCTGGTGTACCCGCTGAATTTTGCTGCTGCTGCTGCTGCTCTCTTTGCTCTCTCGCCTTGATGATCGCATTGAGTTCATCGATATGAGCCTGGAAAGCGCGCAACTGTTCCTGTGTGGCCTGGCTAGATGCAACAACTCGCATTAACGCCTTGAGTTCAGGATCGGCCGCCGCCCTGGTCGCGAGCATCTGAATGACGGGATCTGGACTTGGCTTTGCAGGCTGACCGGGTTGGCCATTTTGCGCCTGAGGCCGCTGCGCATTCTGAGGTGGAGTCTGCTGGGGACCACGATGCTGATGAAGAGGCTGTTGGTTTCCTGGGTATCCTTGTGCGGGTCGGCCGGTCGGAGTGGGAGGGTAAGGAGGTCGTCGTTGTTGATTTGATTGATAAGGCTGGTATTGTTGGAAGGAGTTTGGGTGGCCATAATGGACCATTGGTCGTTGTGGAGGTGCATACTGAATCTGCTGCGGAGCCGTGGGATCCTTGACAGTGAAGATCATAGCATCGAAGCGATGGGGTCCAATCGTAATGTCGCATGGTCCAACCTTTAACATGGAATCCTTCGAGGGGTTGTTCTTTTCGATTTGCTCGCGTCGTGTCTTTTTCGGCTTCGTGTAGTATCGCACCAGGATTCCTTCGCTAAGCCATTTCTTCTTGGAACGTTCCAAGGATGCAAGGAGGACCGAACTGCATAGAATCAATCACTGTTAGTCTTCCATAGAAAGTAGGTCAAAGAATAGTGCAAAGGGATGGGGTTCGAACCTGTCTGCGATCGACTGATATTCTTTGTCCGACAGAGTGCTTGGTTGATGCGCGCGTGTCACCGGCAAGGCTTCATTATCCTTCAGCTTCGTCGGGAGCGGCGTCTCTACAGGCTCAGGAGGCTGCGATGGAACACGAGGAGTGGGCGTCTTCTTCTTTTGCGACTTGGGTGTTCCTGATCTGGGTGTTGCTGTCGCGGCTTCGGAAACTCGTCGCTTGGCTGCGGATTCGCGCCCGGCGCGCGGTGGAAGCTTGCGCTTTTCCGCCATCGAGAAGTAACCCACCCGGTTCCCAGTAGTTCGTTAGAAGGACCAGGCAGGACGGGAGAAGACTGTTGTGAGCAGAAGTCGGGGTGGTGCAGCGGAGGACGCGGAGGTGGAAGGGGGAAAAAGCGTGACGCGATAAGTCGCGGCTTATCAGTGCGTGTCTCCAGCCAACATGAACATCATCGCCCTCTACGTCTACACTCTTTCTACCCTCGATCTGTATATTTGCTTACGCATGCGCTCTGTGTGACGGACAACTGCACTGAACCAAGGGAAGCATACAATCTACGAGCATCGTATCGCAGCAGTCTTGATTGGCTCTCGCGCTCTGCTCCGGTAGGGATTCCCGGCCTTCCCCACGCTACATGATGTTGACATTGGACCCATAGCACCAATGGTTGAGCTCCAACCGATCTTCAAAAAGGCATACTGGTCGCTTGCTGCAGGTGGCCTGGTATACGTGCTTTTTGTGTGCTCTTTGACCTTTCCCGATGTCCAGCGTTTGTATGACTATCTAGCCGTCAGTGATTTTGCGTTGTATCCGACTAAACAGTGTACAGCTTCCTCTATGCGAATAACCTGAACCCAACCCTGTGGCAAGATGTGAATCAGGTTGAGCAATTTGGTTTTTTGAGTGAGTGGCCGAATGAGTGGCACGAAGGTAGCTGCTAACTCGTGCAGATACCCAGGTTCAGCCCTTCAACCTGAAAACCCAGGATAATGAGACGTTGTATGGCTGGCATCTATTGCCCTTGCATCTCTGCTATGAGAATGAGCAGCAGCTATTGGAGAATCCGCCGTCTGGTCCAGCTGAAGATTACACGCAAACTGTGGCCCATAACCTCTTGGCCAACAACCCGAACGCCCGACTCGTGGTTTATTGTAAGCCATGCCTGCATAGCACTCAATGAATCCAGTGACTCAAGGCTAACTGTTTTAAAGTTCATGGAAATGCTGCTCATCTTGCGTCGGCATCGCGGCCTAAAATCTTGAGTTCATTGCTGGCTCTGTCCACCCCATCTCACCCAATCCACGTTTTCACCATTGACTACCGTGGCTTCGGCATCTCAACAGGAAGTCCGACGGAAGAAGGCGTGATTACCGACAGCGTTTCACTTCTCAACTTCCTCACGGCAGGCCCTTACAAGATCTCTCCATCTCGCATCGTTATCGCGGGCCAGAGCTTGGGTACTGCTGTCACTGCCGCTGTGGCTGAACGCTTCGCATTTGGATCACCGGACCCAAATGCCATTCAGCCAGCAATTAAAGATGCCGAGCCATTTGCGGGCGTTGTACTGCTTGCAGGATTTAGTAATGTGCCTAGCCTGATCAAATCCTACAGTATCAAGGGCTTTACTCCACCCCTGCTCTCTCCACTCATTGGATACCCCAGCTTTCAGAAGTGGGTGATTGGCCATACGGCGGACTATTGGCACACTGCAAAGAGAGTGGCTCGGTTGACTGGAATCGACCCGGCGGAGCCTGACGCATCTGGATTGCAGTATTCGCAGAAGGGAGTTGACCTTACCATAATTCATGCTCTGAATGATTACGAGATTCCGTGGTACGAAGGTGTACGTGTCTGGGCTGCTGCTACTGGAGAAACTGTCAAGGACGGCCCTGGCTCTCTTGTTTATGAACAGATTGAGCCCGGTCGTAACGCGGAGGTCAAGGTGTGGAACAATAAAGTTCCTGGTAAGGATGGGCAAGACGTTCTCAAGAAAGTGAGATGGGAGCGGGTCAAATATGGTGGTATGTGGACGCTCGATTGAGTGATCCCTTCTTGTCCCTTCAGGGAGGCATTTTGCTAACATTGACTTAGGACATAATCATGTTGCAGAGTTCTCGGCTGCTGGTATTGCAGTTCTTCGCGCCTTCAACGAGTGAGAGGACTTGTTCACTTCGCATATTGATTGGCGGGGTTCAGATGTTTGAGTCGGTTTTCAATTCCTTAGAGAAATTGGATATGTACATGATTGCTTTTCTTTGAATCAGAACGGAGGAATTGGGAATCTGCCTTGGCGGCCATTACCATGAAGCTAGTATAGTCGTAAGGGGAGGTCCAAGCTTGCCTATGGCCTAAATGTAACATTGCGAGATTTGACCAATGACTGTACTCGTGCCACTGATCTGTCACGACTCAGTGATTCGATCCCGAATGGTAATTTCGGCCTCCGGTACTAGCAAACGGTACGCCAGTCTCCCTTCCCCAGGAACTATCCAGGTCTTGTTGGTGTGGCTGTCGGACAGGTGGGCCATGGGTGGTAACGCCTGAGTAGCTGGGTTTGTCGCTCAATTGTTGGTCTTCGGTCTCGTCTCTAAGGCCAAGGATACGAGATAAGTTATCCGCAGTACGATAAAGGCTATTGTTCCTTGAGCTCATGGCGTCCGCAGTGAAGTAATGTAACTTTTCTTTTCAACCGGTAAGGCAAACAATGTGTCTGTCGATGTTGGACTTGAGTGTATGTGCTGTGCTCGGTGGTGGTGGTGGCGAAGCACCGATGGCGAATATTATCATCATGAAAATAAGTTGATGTCAATGGCCAATGGTATCACGCAGCATTATATAAAGAGCAGAGTGGAAACTGCAAAAGGATTTTTGAAGTTCGTGTCATTGTTCCTTTCCTCGATACCGCTGTGTAAATCGCGCAAGTTGGCGCCACCAGCAGCCAGCCCGAACGGGTTTCTATAGCACGCCATTACCTCCTCCGCGTGCTAGAAATTTGACAATTTTTCATGATGGACATGGCTCACCGCTGATTGAAGTAGAGCTTAAGTAGGATAGGTATGATGTTGGCAAAGTGTCAATCCACTTAAAATGTCATACTTGAAGGGATGGAATGTAGATTGGAATACCCATGAATAAATAAGAAGCCCCCCACATAAGTGGCAATTATACAAGCCAAGACTTTCTGTCTTTCATTGAACTACCGACAGCCTGCCTTCGAAGTCCGATCTTATTTATTCACCAGTTACCGCCATCATGAAGTTTCTCAGCCTGGCCTTGATCAGCGCCCTCGCGTTCCTTGCGAACGCCGCATCTATCTACCCCGAGATGGAGCACGGAATTAACGGTCCTCTGGATTCGTGCATTAAGAGTAAGTTTTAAAACTCAATGTGACGACTGCAAGTATAGTTCTGAGCCAAGATGGATGACGCTGATGTGCAATTGAAATGTAGCTGGTGAATACTGCGAGGCTGGCAATGAGTCCTGTAGCCACAAGTGCATCAACGCAAAGTGTGGTGCTGAGAACAACTGAATTCGGCATGGCTTAGAATACAGGAAGCTTAGCCTTCTACCTGATTTTTTGAAATCTAAACTCATGTTTCAGTTTCTGCCGGGGTTTTTCCTTGAGGCTGATTCCACGAACCGGTAACATTTTTGGCGACTCCCTGTGTAAAGACAAAGAAGAGCATGGCGTCAGAATTCACAAGCTCGCTCAAATGATTCGTAAAGGCTTGTCCTTTACTGCCCATTGTATTCCGAGTCCATCGCATATTTCGGTCATCGTGGGTGCCGACGAAAGCTGGATCTGACCCCGGGGCTGACGGGGCATCATGTACATTTTGGCCCCACCTCGATCTATAACCACTTAGCGGCGCATGCTATTATGCAGACGACCCTGGTGCACCCCAAAATCTATGACCAGATGCAATCAATAACCTCTCATCTTTTCAAGTTAAGCGAAATCAAACATCAAAATAACCGAACCTCGGCATTTGTTGATTTCCGCTGAGTCATCGTTACCGATTGCGGGGAATCGGAAGCTTGAAGCACCCTCCTCAAGTTCGCTGCAGACAACCCGAGCTTGCATTACGAAGTACACGCCTACTTTGCGCAATCATCATGGCAGTCCCACAGATCACTCTCTACGTGGATATCGTCAGCCCCTTTGCATACATCGCATTCCACGTGCTCAAGGCAAGTTCTGCACCGCGTCCCTCACAGGCTGCATCGCGCGAGTCTTAACACGAACAATAGAACTCGCCCACCTTTGCGAAATGCAACATCAACTATGTTCCCATTTTCCTTGGGGGATTGATGCATGAGTGTAATAATACGCCGCCGATTAATATCAAGAGTATGTCTTTGAGGCTTTTGTTGACTTGACAAAGACTAGAATAACTGATGTCGCGCAGACAAGGATAAGTGGATGGGTCTTGAGCGGATGCGCTGGGCGAAGTACTTCAATGTTCCGATGACAGAGAAGCTCCCCGAGGGATTCCCTCCGAAGACTCTCGCGATCCAGCGAGCACTTTGTACGATTTCTCAGAAATGGCCTGAAAAGCTGCCCGCCGTGATCGAGGCGCTTTATCGCTCTTTCTGGGTTGATGAGAATCCTCGTATCGGTGACCTTGAGGGATTTGCACCTGTGCTTGAACGTGTTCTTGGGAAACAGGCTGCTCAGGAGACATTATCGGCTGTAAGTTGAATCTAGAGTTTATCTTTTCTGTTGGGATGTGGATTAACGTCTCCCAGATGAGCCAGCCGGAAATTAAAGCTCTGTTGTCTGCCAATACAAATCGATCTTTCAAAGAGGGCGCATTTGGTCTTCCGTGGTTCCAGTGCACTGATGCCAGTGGCAAGACTGAGGGCTTCTGGGGTGTTGATCATCTCGGAGTAGTGGCTGACTTTTTGGGATTGGATCGCAGTCGGGATTCGGGTTTCAGGGCTGTTCTCTGATTCCAGTATAGAGAGTGTAGGATATGAAGGGTTCTCTATTTTTGGTTGGATAAGAAATCACGGAGGCTAATCGTGAATTATTTCTGAATCGAATCATTTATTGTACACTTTTCTGAATCAAAATGCTTTTGCATAAGCCAGTCCTGTAAGTAAGTCCGCCCCTGCCAGACGATATTCGTGGACATCGTACATTTCCGCCCGCTCCCGGTATAATGTATATATATTTCGAAGCAGCCGCTCAGTTCATCTTGGGAGGCGGCTTCGTGCTCATATGCTTTTCCCGGAGGAAATCGCAAAGTTGTTCGGAGTCCATTTCGTCAATGGCGCGATGTTCATCTGGATGAAGGGCCGAATCGACAGCTAAACACAATCAAGTCAGTAAACTGAATCATATGAGTTAGACAGTGGAATCACCCTGTTCGAATCCACTTCCAGTACCATTTTCAGCGCCAGTTAAAGAATGTATCCGCGCTTGCAAAGTCTCAAGCGCCCCCTCCGCAGCTGGAACAATAACCTCCTTCACTTCACTCGCCTTCTCCCCTGCCAGAGTCGAGACTTCACTCCCAATTTCGGAGACCGAGCGACCACCTGTCACGGAGTTGACCTGTTCTTTCACGCAGGCAAGAACACCCTGGGACTCATTTGATTGGACTGGGACGCTTTCATTTCTGTCGAGTTGTTCCGGGGTCGAATTCGTATAGATCGAGTCGCTCGATGAGCTCATTATGCGTCTCGTTTTGCGTTCTGTGGAGGTAGCGAGAAGGGAGAAAATGGGATCCGTCAATAAAACCGGGGTGAAAGCGTAGGGCTGAGCTGTCGTAGGGCTGAGAGCGTTTTAGGGCGTCGCCCGATTCCCGAGGGGGTATGACATCGAGGTAGGCAGGGTGAGCCCGCGTGTCGATCGCGTTAGGCCAGGCAGAAGGAATCTGGGCAATCTCGGCTGAGATCATGGCGCGTTTTGCGGACGTGGAGACGGTCGTTTTATTTGGTTTTGTTGCCCGGCTTGGTCGATGTCCCCAGCGATGACGTCGTTGGACCCATCGGCTGCGATGAACCTTTTCAGGATGAGTTGTACATTGTGCTCGCGCGTGTAGTTGCAAGGTTAAAGGGTGATGTTTTGGGTTGAATCTTGGGTGTAGAGGTGTCGCCAGAGTGTTGATGTGGCTTGGTCATTAATTATGGTTTGGTCTACTTTTGGTCCCATGTCCAGCCCTGCAGTACTACACAGCGGAGCTACTGTTTCCTATCAAGTTTCCAAGATTTTTTCTGCTAACTCGGATTTATTAGATAGGTTAAAAATAGATATATGACTCAAGCAATGCAATTGTTCATTCTATCGCCTGCTAGCTACCTCAGTGCATGAGTATTTCTCTTTGTTGTCCATGCCTTGGCTGAATATACAGGGACAGTCTGCCCCACCGCCCCCGCCACGCCGCATCGCAAAACGAGACTGCTCCGATCCAACCCTCCATCTCCAACGTTCACCACACCAACCTCCCCGCCATGGCCCCAATCCCCGTGACAATCGTCACCGGCTTCCTCGGCTCCGGAAAAACCACTATCCTCCTCAACCTGATCCCACAACTCCCCAAAACCTACCGACTAGCCCTTCTCAAAAACGAGTTCGGCGACGTCGCAGTCGATTCCCAACTCGCCTCCACCCAATCGATCTCCGGCGTCCGCGAACTGCTCAACGGCTGCATCTGCTGCAACCTGGTTGGCCAACTCAGCGATGCTCTCGAAACCCTCCGCTCTGAGGTCGTCCCCGACCGAATCGTCATCGAGACGAGCGGGAGCGCTTTCCCCGCTACACTGGCTATGGAGGTGAATCGGCTTTCGCGCGAGGGCGAGGGCGAGTTCATTCTTGATGGGGTGATTAGCGTTATTGATGTGGAAAATTGGGAGGGGTATGAGGATACTTCCTATACGGCTAAGTTGCAAGCCAAGTATACGGATTTGATCATCTTTAATAAGTGGGAGGGGGTTCCGGAGCAGCGTTTGGATGTCTGTCTTGACCGGGTTGGCGATTTGGAAATCGAGACGCCGTGGGTCAAGTCTGTCAAGGGTGTCGTGGATAGGGATATCCTGCTGGGTATTGACGGGGCGCTCTTCGCGAAGCAGAATGGGGAGGAGGCTGTCGCGGGCAATGGACACGATCACGAGCATGCGCATGAACACAAGCATGATCACCAGTCGGAGGTGGAGGTTCTGTCGGTTATTCTGAAGCAATCTGCCCCCGGCAAGACGGTCGACGTGTCTGCGTTGGAGAAGCTGCTTTCTTCCGCGCCGAGAGAGGAGGTTTATCGCATCAAGGGCATTATTCGCTCTTCTGCGCAGAATCCCCCGGCTGAATCGTCGGATGATATGGATTCTCGGAAGCATGGTGAGGGCAGTCGGTACTATATTCTCAACTGGGCGTTTGGGAGGTGGACTGCGACTCCCTCGACGGTGGTTGCGGAGTCAGCTGACGAGGCGGTTGTCGCTCGGCTGACGTTCATCTTGGCCCGGTACGAGTCGACCAAGTGGAAGAAGAAGCTTGAGGCGGGTGGTCTGGTCCAGGCTGTTGATGATGAAGCTGCGTTGACTGTGGAGCGACTGGTTTGAGCAGGTTCCCGCTTGCATTTGTACCTTTGTATAGAGTTCTTAGACGGATTCGACTTGATGATACCAGATGTCTAGAATAGACGATAGAAATGATGGAATGATCGTGACGAATGAAGAAAGTCATATATATCAGTCTGAGAACTCCACCAAATTCAACGGCGAGGTGATTATTTGAGTGAACTGCACATGGCAGTGCTATTCCAATGCCCTACTTGCTTATCTTGGGGGCAGTACATGTACGTTGACATTAACTTAACTGGGCGAGTTCTCTCCATACTGGCACTAATAATAATGATCGGTTATCCAAACTGACTTATGTACCGGATTTGAACCAATGCCCCTGGGAAGTACCCATGGTACGATCGGTAAGCCGTTGGGACAGGTGGGAAAGTACCACGGGAGGCGAGTCACTTCAAGCGCGATCCTCCCGCTTTGCCCTACAAAGCTTGGCACCGGCGCCGGGAAGGCACATAATGGCTTATTATAAAAAATTGATTGCCTGCGTAGTACCTCTTTTAACCTATGACAATTTCCCGGCTTATAAGAAACAGCTGGCGAAGCTACGATGTAGTAGTGCTAGTGTAAACAGTAGCTTTCTAGAAGGGTGTTGCACAGTCATCGGGATCTGATACAAAAACAGTTCGCCCTGATCTGAGTGTAACCGTGACCCGAGACCCGTTTTCTATTTCTAATATAATCATTCAACTGCAACATGATTTTCACCCAACAAAGACGCGCCATTGCGTGCGCTTTAAATTACTTGGCTCGATTGAACAAGCGTTTTTTCAGTTCGGGCGACTTCCCGATTAGGTCAAGCCCGCCGCGAAGCTGATAACGCCATCGGCGCTATTCTGCTCGAAGCAACCACACAACTCAGCTAGCACGATTCGCACGGGGGCTTTGGCGCTGCGGCAGACAGGTCTTGCTCGCCGCACCGCGTTACACTAGCTACAGTGTCCCGCGTCGCGCCCTTTCATTGGCCCGGTCTAGTCTGAGGAATGTTACCTCGCACGCCATGACGGCGATGGAGATGGCCGGTTTTAAACCCGAAATTCCTCCGGCCTCATGGTCCATAGCCTTTTTCTTTCTCTTTGCCGGCGTTGACTCTTCTCAACCTTGTGGTTAACTCATACGTTCACCGCAAGATGGCGCTTCTGGGTGTCTTTCGACGACGCCGCCAGGAAGGCCAGATCCTGGACGCGAGTCAGGGAGACGCTGACTCGGCGGGACGCATCGAAGATCGTGCGGAGGAACCGTCGATCAAGCCGGAGGTGAATGACTCGCACACCGTCCTGCCGGACGCAGAGAAGGTGCAGGTGTCGGAGACGCTGGCCATTGAATATGAGAGCGCCGATGACCCCGAGATTGCTGCGCTGCCCTTGCAGGTGCGACAGCTGATCAATTTGCACGATGATCCCACTCTGCCGACCATCACGTTCCGCTACTTTCTTCTTTCGGTCATCTTCGTTATTCCCGGCGCTTTCCTGTCTCAGTTGAGTTACTTCCGAACGACCAGCGCCAATTATTCGGTCTTCTTTGTCCAGATTGCCTGCCACTACTTTGGTCACTTTCTGGCACGAAGCTTGCCTGCTTGGGTTATTCGGGTTCCGGGCACGAGTTGGTCGTTCAGCCTCAATCCCGGACCATGGAGCATCAAGGAGCATGTCCTGGTCACCGTGACCGCGGCTTCGGGCGCAACCTACAATATGGGCTACGCTCCCATAGTCCTGGCGGAGCTGTGGTACGGTGAGAGAATCCATCCCGCAGTGGCACTCTTTTTCATGCTTGCGATCGTATGGACTGGATATTCATTCGCAGCTCTGGCACGGCAGATTCTCCTGCCGGACCCAGAGTACATCTGGCCCCAGGCTCTGATGCAGACGACCTTGTTCGAGACGTTCCGCAGAACAGATACATCGTCGCGCCTAGCCAGACGCCAGATGAAGGTCTTTTTTTCGCGCTCCTCGGAATGACCCTCTGGCAGTTCCTACCAGAGTATGTATTCCCATTCACCTCGTCCTTGGCCTTTCTGTGCTGGGTTGCGCCGCGGAATCCCGTGGCCAATTTCATTGGCTCAGGACTGGGAGGCATGGGCTTCCTGAATCTTTCTCTGGACTGGTCCAACATCAACTGGAACGGATCTTCGATTATGCTCACTCCCTGGTGGACGCAAGTTCTTCTCTTCCTCGCTTTTGCCTTCAACTGCTGGGTCCTCCTTCCTGCTGCGAAATGGGGAAACCTTGGCTCTTATAAGCACGGCCTCATGTCCAACAGCCTATTCATGGCTAATGGAACCAAATACCCCACGGCGGAGGTTCTTACTCCAACCTATCATCTGAACGAGACTGCCTTCCAAGAGTACGGACCCATGTACATGGGCATGCAGAATGTGTGGGCGACATTCTTCGACTACGCAAAGCTCCCGGCTGCAATTACCTGGATCGCCACATTCGGCTTCACGCAAGTGCGAAGCAACCTAAAAAAGATCTTCGACTCTCGCAAGAAAGCAGGAACGACGAATGCGAATACGCAAGGTCAGGGAATCCACTACAAGTACAACGACCGACTCAACGTCATCCAGCGACAGTACAAGGAAATCCCATCGTGGTGGTACATCGCTCTCTTCCTCGCAGCATTCGTCATCCTTATCACCAGCATTGCATGCGGATACCTGTTCATCCCGATCTGGACCTTATTCGTCGGACTAGCCAGCGCAGCCATCTTCGTCATCCCTTTCGCCTGGCTGTACGCCATCTCGAACTACCAGCTTGAAACCGGTTCCTTCAACGAGTTGATGTACGGATACATGGTGCACACCAAAGCCGGTCAAAATCACCAGCATCCTTGCGGTCCCTCAGTCTACGGATCCATTGCCGGCGACGCTTGGTACCGCGCACAGTACATGCTTCAAGACCAGAAAATCGGCCACTACATGCACATCCCACCGCGCGAGATCTTCTTCTCGCAGATTTTCGGCACGCTCATGGGAGTCCCCATCAACTACGCCGTCATCCGCTGGGTCATGGATACGAAAGGCGACTACCTAACCGGCAAAAAGAGCGATCCGCTCAACCAGTGGACGGGACAAAAACTCGTTACCTCCAACACGATGGGCGTGCAATACGCCGTCCTAGGCCCGAAGCGACTCTTCGCAGAAGCAGAGATGGCCCCACTCCCCTGGTCTTTCCTCGTCGGAGCCGTCATCCCGCCTATCCTGTACGTATTCCACCGCTTCCTCCCGAAGCTGCGAATCGACCTGTGGAACGTGAGTATTTTCTTCGGCGGGCTGGCCATGTTCTATGGTAATGTCAGTACCGGGTACACGTCCGCTATCATCGGCGCGTACATCACGATGTACTGGGCCTACCGGCGCCACTTTGAGGTCTGGAAGCGGTATAACTATCTCGTTGCGGCTGCCTTTGATGCAGGCTTTAACTTGAATATGTTACTTATTTTCCTCTTTTTTGGCGCCGGAAAGCAGATCTCAATGTCGAATTGGTGGGGTAATAATGCTGACTCGGTGGAGAGATGTTTTGCGTTGGAGAGTTGAGTGACCTCAGGACTTGAGGGTCAACTTCGCTTGTTTTTGCTATTCTCTGGGTATTCTCCATGCATCTTTAGATACCAGTAGTATGAAACGATCAATTTCATGAGTCCAATGTTCGGAAGCCTCATTCAATGCCTAGATACCTCGCTTAGGAAATCATGGTGTATATTGTCGAATATGGATACCGTAAAGGCGCCTCTTCGTTCACATGGGTGAGCGCAACGTACTATGATGACAATGGATCCGGGAGAAACGGTGTACACTACACAAATGCACCTATGGTGCATCGTACAATGATCATCACGGCCATGATCGACGATGACCACAGGAAACAATGGCAACACACTAGGACACTACGCGATACAGGGTTTGAAATATAGAATATCTCGGGATACAGCAACTGCAGCGAGGGAGTGAGACGCTGAACGAGTAAATTCTAAACTGTAGAATCTAATCTATCGGTCCTTCAAAGCGAAGCAAGCATATATAAAACCACGTATGGCAAGATAAACACCGAAATTAGCATTACTGGCAAGATGTATCAAAACCAGAAATTTTTGAAGCTCAGAAGAGGACATGCAACGAACGATGGCCGCATAAATGCGAATACAAAGACTCAAACATTAAAAGATCCAAACATTACCCGATCATCCAATCGCATCAGTAGTCTAGGAGTGCGGAAGCACCAGTCTCGCTCGAGATGTAGATCACCTCGTGGTTGTCGGAGAAACCATTGAAGCGAGTGGCGCTGCACTTGGTGTAGGCGCCCATGTCCTCGAAGTAGAGCCAGTCACCGGTGTTGAGCAGACCTGGAAGGTCGATGCGCTCGGTGATCACATCGATGCCGTCGCAAGTCGGTCCCCAGATGGAGTACGAGATGGACTCCGAAGTCGCAGAATTCGAAGCTTGGTCGGCGGACAGCAGGACTTGGGCTACGGGGTGCTGGTGGTCGAAGATGATGTTCGAGAAGTTGCCGTACACGCCGTCATTCAGGTAGAGCATGTATGCGTCGCGCGAGGGGTCCGCGGGGTCGGGAACGTCGCGGCGAGCGATGACGTTCGCTGCCAGGGTGAAGGCGCTGGCAACGTAGTAGCGGCCCGGCTCGGCGATGATACGGATGTTAGGCGGGAAGTACATTTCCAGGGCATCGCTCAGGATACCCGAGAATTTCTCGAAGGTGTCACCAGAAAAGCCGCCGCCGACGTCGAGGGTGTGCATCTCGTGGCCGATGGCAGAGGCTTGATCGAAGACCAAACGAGCGTCTTCGACGGCCTTGAGGAAAGCACGGGGATCCTCAGCGCCGGATCCAACGTGGAAGCTGACACCGACGACCTTCAGCTCGAGCTGGTGAGCAAGCTCCAGGAGCTGCTGGGCGACATCCATGGATGCGCCGAACTTCATGCTTAGGCGGCACAAGCTAGTCGAGTCATCCGTCAGGATACGAAGGTACAGCTCGGCTTCGGGGAAAGTCGCCTTGATCTTGTACAGCTCGTCGGCATTGTCAAAAGTCATTTGCTTGACACCGACCTCCTTAGCATAGCGCAGGTAAGACTTGGTCTTGCAGGGCTGCGCATAAATGATGCGGCTGGGATCGATGCCCGTCTGAAGAGCCAGATCAATCTCCGCCTTGGAAGCACAGTCGAACCCATTGCCTAGCTGGGCCATGAGGCGAAGGACCTCGGGGTCGGGGTTACACTTGACAGCTGTGGGAGCATTAGATAGAAGTCCAAACGACTCATCTGCAGTTAGAAACATACCGTAGAATGGCTTGACGCGACCCAAGTTCATCTTCCAGCGCATGTGCTGGCGGTAGACTTCGCCCATATCCGCAACGTAAAACGCATCCTCCTCACCGGGACCACAGTGGTCCACATCCACATCCGCGGCGCGCTTCTTCAGAATTTCCAGGACCCGGTCCTTGGCAGTCAACCGAGATTGCAACAAATCGTCCCCGCCATGATTGACGAGGCTGGAGTGGTCACGACTAATGCCGTTTTTGATCGTGCATACTTCGGCAGGGGGAGTACACGCAGTCGGTGCCATAACCGTGCAGCTGCGACTCAGCACGGATTTTTTTTTTCTTAGAAAAAAAGGGTGTAAAAAGATTGAACGACGCGACTGCGTGTTTTAGGGAGGACGAAAAGTGTCGCAACCGTAGTTGACTGGACCAAGCCTCCTAGACCCTTCCTCCTTAAGAGGAAGAACCTTCGAAGAAGTCCTATGCGGCAGCTCAAGGAATGAGGGAATAATCTGAGAGGGCGTCAATGGGGCGAAAAAAGGCGCACCAGACGGAAGCTCAGAGAAGGACAGCAGGAGGTGGAATGTTGTTAAGAGTGTCGCGGAGACGTCGAGTGGAGACAATTTGGCTGAGAAGCAAGAGGGAGGCTGCGGGAGCCGTGGTGACCGCGGGGTGCCTTTGGACGCGAAACCAAAGGCAGGGTCGAACTGGGAAAGATTGGCAAAGCTAGAGCCAACGGGGAGATGGTTAGTCGCCGCAATTGCAGTCTCCGGAGTATGAGTGAAAAAGTGAACGTGTGAGAGGGGGGGGGAAGTTGGGCTTCAGAGTTTTAAATTTGGGGGGAGTCGGGGCTGGGTTTAGGGCACGCCGTTTGGCCGTGGGAAAAAGACGCACGGCCACCACCACACGGTGAGCCGAGCGAGGGCTGGAGCTGCGGATGCATCCAACGAGGCCGGGGCAACCAAAAAAGAAAGCACTCACCTGGACGAGCCACACAAAGCAGACAAGCAGTGGTGAAAGAGGGAAGAAGGTCCGGGGAAAAAAAAGAGGTTGCCGCGCTGACGGGGCCAGTCACTCACCGCCCGCAAAAAACCTTGGAAGCGGGCAAACCGCTCGAGTGGGTTTAGCACCTGCTTGCCAGCTACTGGCTAGTACTACTCTAGCAGTACCCTAGGGTACGGAGGGTACGGTACTAGCACGAGAAAGTACTTCCCGGGCTTAGGGTCACGACTATGCGCGATTTCTACGTTCTAGGCGTGGCTGCGAGGTATTTTTGGACTTGATATGTTTCCTGGCTTTCCACCCTTCCCCCTCTCCTTCACGGCTGCAGCATGCAAGATGGGCAATAGCCCCTGCGGATCGCCGATGTGCTGTTCGGGATTGCTAAATTCAATTCTCTCAAGATGCGGTGTAACGAGTGTTGGTAGTACAAGGGGGTGCTCGCCTAGGAGCTGGTGGCGCAGGTCCCCACATGTGAAAGGATCGAGTATGCGAGGATCCCGTCACAGCGGGCGTGTCATAAGCAGGGTGGGAGCTGCGCGTCGAGTACTTGAGTACCGCATCATGCAGCGGTGCCGGAATCAATAACCTCACCATACATCGTCTCTTGGAGTATATGCCGGCTGTAGCAACTTGAAGCTATAGGGTACGGTATGGTACGGTAAGGTAAAATTCGTCCGGCGGCCAGCTGGAAACGCCCCGCGATGACGCAGAGGGCACGGGCCATCTATCGTGTACGGTACGCAAGGTACCTTCCAGTCGAAAATCAGAGGGCCTCTTGCGCCCGCCGGTAGCAGTACATCTCGATCTCGTCCGTCTGGGCGTTTTGGGCCGGCAGCGCAACCTTGGCATGCATGCCCTCGAAGCCTGCACTCTGCATCAGATCGAAGAACACGGCTTCACTCTCGTGTCGCCGCTTCAGAGCCACCAGAACCAGCGCCTCCGGGGAGCTCCGGACCAATGCCTGCATGCAGGAAACCAGGGCTGGCTGACTGTCCGAATTGTACGTGCAGTCGGAGACCAGGATCAGGTCCAGAGCTTGATTGCACAGCTCTGCTGGGGGCTCGTTCCAGTCCAGCGACTGGTATCGCGCGCCTGAGTTGGCCTTGGGCTTAGACTGGTTCACGTTGCGAGTAATGATTTCTTCCGCTTCAGGCATGTCGGTCAAGAGCACATTGCAGTTCTCGACCATCGTCGTCAAGCCAATGCCGACCATCCCACAACCGCTTCCCAGCTCCACGATTTGGAGAGGTCCACTCCGGGGGCTGGTGAGAAGCTGGTTGAGGGCCGGCATACCCACGTCGATACCTTTCGTCACGTCGTGGAGGAACATGATGGACGCAAGTGCCGCATCCCTGGGTTGATCGTGATGTGATTAGTAGACAAACTTGGGCAGTGCAATCACACTCATGCCGGTATCAGTACAGGTCGTAGGCTTACCAGAGATGTCGAGCAATACTGTTGCCTGTCTCTTCCCAGATCTTGAATCGCTCGTTGGGCTCGTCGCCCACATAGAATTGGCGCTCGACCAGCTTTTCAGCAGGCTCTTTTTTCGAAAACGGTGCGCTGAATGCCGCTACTACTAGCGGAGCCTCGCCAGTCTTCAATCGATCCTTGGAGATGTCCAGAGCTTGGGCCTTGAAATTGAACTGGCCGTCACCCACCATGGACGCCGAGAAGGGGCCCATTTCGATGGGCACTTGGCGATCAGTTGGTCCCCATTCGTCCAATTGCTGAGCTTTGATCTGGAGTTGAGGGTGTGTCACACATGTGAAGCATAGTGTAACACCTAGGTCGTCGGCCATAAACTGGTCGCCCAGGTCATTGGTGATGGTAATGAGGCTTTGGATATAGTATTGCATGCCCTTTGCTTTTCTCTTCTTCACCCAGATCGGGGGCTTGAGAAAGCGAATGTAGTAAACCATCTTGTTGGGGAGATTGTGAATCCTCCGAGAATCACTAAGCTTTCAGTTTGGGGTGGACCGTGTTGCCAAAACCTCCCCGCGGCACGTGTGAGCCAGCGGCCATCCCGCGGATTGGATTCGGTCACGTGTTATCTGGCTTTATGAACTGAGATGTTGATCTCTCAATTCAAACCCTTCATCACTGTTGCTTTGTGGGAAACATGCCTGTACTTTGGTGTTTGACTACTTAGGTAGCTACTAATAGTGTCCATGCGTCAGTGGGACTGTCTCGAGTCCTCCGCTCCGTCTGAAGTGCTGAATATATCATAATGTGTGAGACAACATCTGGACTGATACCATATCAGTACAGTTTTCCATCGTCAAAAATGCCTCGAAACAGACATATCTCTTTAGAGATCTTAAAAAGCTCGTCTAACAGACAATTTTCAAAAGTCTCACCCAGGAAGACCGCTTCCGCTCAGCCGTCTCTTCCTCAATCATATAATTCGCATCCAAAAAGCGACGGCCAGTCACCAAATCCATCTCATGCGCACGAACAACCCTCGTCCCATACCAAAACTTATAAGAAACATAGAGAAAAATCACAACCGGAGCCGCAAGGTAATACGAGAAAAAAGTACTCGCCCTCGAGCTGGGAGTCATAGCCCCGTACCCAGAAGGCCAGGCAGCAGTCCAAAACTGCGCAAGCATCACGAGACAGTTGAAGCCGAAGCCAATCCAGGATCCAATAAGATCCGGCTGTGAGCGAAACGGAAGTTCATCAAGGCTTCGACCTTGTACTAAAAGCAAATAATCTTTTTATTCTATATTGAGTTAAACCTAAAACAGTTCCAATTATTAAAGATAATAATGAACTAACTAATAAACTAATAGTTCAATTATATTCAGTTGTAACATATATACTATTAAAGCAAATAATCTTTTTATTCTATATTGAGTTAAACCTAAAACAGTTCCAATTATTAAAGATAATAATGAACTAACTAAATGAGAAATTGTACTAAAAGCAAATAATCTTTTTATTCTATATTGAGTTAAACCTAAAACAGTTCCAATTATTAAAGATAATAATGAACTAACTAATAAACTAATAGTTCAATTATATTCAGTTGTAACATATATACTATTAAAGCAAATAATCTTTTTATTCTATATTGAGTTAAACCTAAAACAGTTCCAACTTTCCATGCGCGTCGAAAGCGAACGTGGCAGAGACAGATGGAGCCCCAGACGAAAATCTCGCCTAGTCCGACGATTGCCATTAGCCATTCGAAGACGACGGTTTGTTTGTCTGATGCGGCGAGGAAGCAGAGTAGGCCGAAGATGGATGTTACGGCGATAGCGAGGATCGGTCGTCCTTTTCGGTCGATGTATGCGAGGAATCGGGGGGCTTGGCCTTGTTCGGCGAGGGCGGACATCGTGCGGGATGCGCCGTATATGGAGGAATTTCCAACTGATAGAACGGCTACCATGATCACGACGTTGACGATGGATGGTAGACCCGAGATTCCTGGACTGGTGTTAGAGAGACGCGTTTGAGGTCGAAGTGGAGTATACATACCAGCATCCTCAATGGCAATGACAAATGGTGATGCATGGGCGTCTGCGCTGGACGATCCTGTAACAAGTCTTGAGTCTGTGTATGGGACTAGTAGTCCAACGACGATAAGCGACACGACGAAGAAGATCAAAATCCTCCAGAAGACCTGTTTGGTGGCCGTTGGGAGAGTTCTGTGGGGATTTTCCGTCTCCGCAGCGGTCAGGCCGACGAGCTCAGTCCCTGCAAATGCAAATGCAGCCGTAACAAAAACATTGCATAGACCTTTGAACCCATCATTAAAAGCACCGGGATCATGCCAGTATTTCCCGCCGATATATTCGCCCTCAGGGCCACCTCCACAATTGAGGATAATCCCCAGTATACTAGCTCTACAGTTAGCAAAGCGACCAGAGAGCCTCAGCCAGAGCGCGATTACTCACATAAACCCAACAATAGCAATGATTTTGATTATCGACAAGACAAACTCCGCCTCACCATACCATCTCACATCAAAAAGATTGACCCCAACAATAGCCGCCCAGAAGAGAGCAGCCCAAGCGGCATTCGAGACCCCGGGATTCCAATAATCAACCGTGATAGACGCAGCAACAATCTCCAGAGGCAACGTGACCAGCCAGGAAAATGTATACATCCAGCCCATCGCGAATCCCCAAGCGGGATCGAGGAATCGCGTTGCGTAGTGCGCAAACGAGCCGCTCACGGGGAATATCACGGCCATCTCGCCGAGTGCGTGCATCATGCAGTAAAGCATGCATCCGATTAAGAGGTATGCGATGAGTACGGAAGCCGGTCCTCCTGCTGCGAGGACGCTACCTGATCCGACGAATAGACCGGTGCCTGGTTCTGTTAGTGGGCGCTCGTCTGGGGATTCCTGCGAACGCACCGATTGAGCCGCCGATTGCGATCATCTGGACGTGTCGGGCTTTTAGACGGCGCTGTAGAGGTGGCTCTGGGACGTGTCCGGAGCCATTTTCGAGATCGGTCGCGTTTTGGTCGTTGTTGTGACTTTTGTGAAATGATTGGGGGTCTCGTTTGAAGCTGTCGATTAGTCGTCGTCCGATTTGGGACCGGAATGAGGATGAGTAGCCCACGGCTGGAGAGATGATTTCGTCTGGTGTATTCGGCTCATGTTTTTGGGTTTCGTCTGCCATTTTAGACTGATATTATGTGTTGTACAGACCATGCAAGAGATAAGACAGGATGCAGGAAATGGAGTTTAGAGTAGGTGAATTGCTGGCTATCTAATAAATGCCGATGGCTAGCACTGGATGCTGATGAGTTAGGCATTATATTACGCAACGTATCGGCAATGGGTCTATCTATGATCTACCCCGCATTTTCAAAAATGGCAGTTATGAACTTGGGATTAGTACTCCGCATCGCGACGCTCTAGCGACTAGACTACGACTACTAGTAGTAGATCTCGCCAAATTATACCCGGGTGAGGCTTGTGCCCCTCGGAAAGCTTACGATTAGACGATTTACGACTAGATTTTCAAACCATTCTACAAAATTGTGATTCAAAATTTACGTTTATTTGTTCTTTCAGTATGGTATGAAGTCAAGCCCCTCTGCCTTGTCCACTTCAGCCTTACAACTCCGGAGGGAACCCAGAAGAAGACTACTGGAGTTGTCGAGATCTTCCCATCGTTGCTCGAGTATTTCCAATGCCCTAAGAATGTTGCGAATGTGAAGGTTGAAGTAAAGCTCTTGAAGAAGCTCTCTGACCAGCTGCCTGTCTTGTCCCATGGCCTCGCAGCTAAGAATCGAGTCGTCAGCACTTCATAATCAAGGGAAGTCACTCGCAAGGATTCCACTTACCCTGCAGTATAAATCGGGGTGGTAAGCAGTATCCACGGAGAAAGTGTCGTGACGGGAATAATTGAAGATACAGAGTCCAAAATTGCTCTTACGCAGCATTGAACCACTGGACTCAACGTGGGAAGTCCTTTCACTCGCTTGTAAAGGTGTAACAGACTTGAGTATTGGTATGCAGTATTAGAAGCCTGAAACTGGCGAGTCGTCTCTGGGCTCAGGGAAACGTGGTCCGGAAGTTTGAGCCCCCTATCCTTATCACGAGCTATCATGCGCTTAATCGAGCATTCAAGTATATTGGCTTTTTCCTGTCTTTGAAAGTCGTCTATCGGAATATCAAAACCATCACCGCTCTCACTAGATGCCTCTTGATGCACCATAGAGCCAATCTCCATTAGCATCGGGTTAAGATCCGAGGAGTATCCGGTGTACGTGTCGAAAAAGTAACTTTCGTTGCATTCTTGGGCCGTCGACTCCGAAGAGGTTAGAGCAGACAGGGTACCGATGTCGGTAACAGCCGATAGTGCCTGTATTGACCAGAACCACCGGGACCAGAGCCAGAAGCTGTACTCTGATTCATCTAGGTCTCTCCTCGATGCAAGTTGAGCAAACATGGCCCCTGCTCCGTTCACATGAACTCTCCACGAGGAATTGGCCCGCCCGGAGAATATCTCGCAATGGCATAACGTCCGGATGGTATGGAGGAGAGGCTGGACGGGGTAACCCGGTATCTCAAGGTCTCGACGAAGACACCGCATGCTAGAGGCGATCAGGCTGGCGACGAGGTCTTCCGGTAGAAATCGGTTCGGGAGTTCGTTCAGCAATGTGTAGCGGTGCAGAGACGAGAATGCCATAGTTGCGTACAATAACGACTCGGATTGGTGGGTCATGGGCAAAATGGTTCGACATATTTGATCTCGAATATAGGCAGAGCTTGAGATTTTGGATGCCTCGGTGATGAAGTGGTGAAGAAGCAGTCTGCTTGTGGAGTTCAGGACTGACGAAGGTTGCGACAAGTGGATAGATAGTGTTGGTAGCCGTGGGCTTTTCAAGTCTTGATTATGCGGATGTCTGGTATTGTGCCTGGAGAGCTCGCCTCTGCTATCTTGTGGATTGGAGTTCCAGACCTGTACCTCCTCTTGCCGAGCGGTCTTTGGTTTTCGGGGAACGCGGCCATTCCATTTCAGCGTCAGTTTGTATTCACATGTTTCCCCGGCATCTGAACAGCGCCCACAACTGGGCTTCCGCTCATCGCATTTCTGCCTTCGTCGCTTGCATCGAACACATCCATGACACGATCGCTTGGTTATGGTAGTCATTGTAAGAAGGAATGCTTTTAGGACCAGTCAGGGCACTAACTGCCCCACACACCCCGCGCTTGTCCACGAAGCAGGATCTGGCGATAGCGAATTATGCGCCTAAGCAACGAAGCAAGGCCCAGAGTTTGTAAGAGATTTGGCATCGGAGAGACCGCAGGCTCATGTTTGACAGCGTCAAAAATATCGCTCTGGCCTGCCAGACGGGGTTAGAAGAAGAGTTGGCGATATCGGTAGTCGGCAGTTCCTGCGTCTCCTCGACTTCCCAGATTCGGCCTAGCGCTATCTGTGCATGCGGAGTCGCCCGCCAACATCCACCTTTTCGAATGCGCGGCATGGGAGCCGCTTGCTCCTCGGAAAAAGCCCCCACTGGTCATTCGCCTGCTGGGTTATCGGCGTGCCTCATGGCTATCTCCTTCACTTACCATACACAGTCTGATTGTTGATCGATGGGTCTTTGAATGCCATCTCCATTTTCATGCCCAGCCTACCATCACTCTGCGGTCCACATTCCCACGTGTATAAGAATGGGAACGCCCTGTTCCTAGGTGTTCGCTGCGCTCGTGATACTTCATGCTCTTACAAAGGCTTCCCGACACGATGTACACTTTTTACCTACTTCTGTTTGCATGGCTTGCCTATGTTCTCTCGGTGACAATCCGAGCTATTCGAACCAAGGTCCCCGGGCCGTGGTATACAAACCTCACAAGCTTTGTGCTGAAGTACTTCGAGTTCCAGGGGAAGCGAAGAGTCTGGATCCACAAGCTTCATGAGACATATGGCCCGGTGGTCCGTCTGGCTCCCAATGAAGTCGCTTTTGCGAATCTGGAAGGAATGAAAGAGATCTACCAGAGTGGTGGTAGCGGCTACGACAAGACGGAATTCTACAATCTATTCAAACAGTATGGTCGACGGTGAGTATTGAGTATTCAGAGAACAACCACACGCATTTGCACAGACAAGGGACTGATGATATCCAGTCCCATGTTCGCACTGATGAACAAGAATGAAGTACGTCACTTTATAGAGTTGATTGACAAGACGAATGCTAACAAAATAAGCATTCACAACGAAGAAAGCTCTTCGCGGAGAGATATGCAATGACCAATATTATGTCGTCTTCGATCATGCATGGCATCCAGCAGAATGCGGAAAAGGTTGTTCAAAAATGCCTCAAATCTACTGGTAGCTATCTGGACACTTATGTATGGGACTCTGAGCTGTTTGGAGCGTTTGACTCTAATTGGTGTCTTCTCAGACCGTCCTTCATTGTTATGCACTTGACTGTGCCTCGCATGCCCTATTCAATCCAGCTGGCACAAAGTCCCTCGATGAGAAAGAGGATTATGTGCTGATGGAAGACCTTTCATACGACAACCGGCTCCGGAGTAAGTAATATTAATATCAACACATCAGGTCTTAGTGGCTGAGACATTCCTACAGGCAGACTAGTTCAGCATCATTGGCCCGCCCTGGCATCTATCAGGTATTGCTTCACTCCGAAGCCCATGATGTCCCTATCGCACAAGTTCGTCCTGGATAGGGTATCCCACTCCAAGACCGAAGACTCTTCTTTACTATACAAACTACGAAGCAAGTCCGAGAATCTCGAAAAGGTGCAGATGGCTGCGGAGTGCATGGATCACTTGGCAGCTGGTATTGACACAACAGGAGATGCCCTTTGCTTCCTCATGTATGAGCTTTCACTTCCGCGATCGCAGGAAATCCAACAATGTCTCCGGCAGGAAATCATGCAGAACCCTGGTGCTAGGCTTGATGACTTGCCGTACATGGATGCAGTAATCAAGGAAGGATTGAGGCTCTTCCCGCCCATTCCGATGAGCCTTCCCAGATATGTGCCTCGAGAGGGCCGGACCATCAGCGGCTATCAGCTACCGGGAAGCTCGATCGTCAGTTGCCAAGCGTATTCGATGCATCTGATGGACGACACTGTATTTCCTAGTCCGTCCAAATTCATTCCCGAAAGATGGCTTGAGAAGGATGGCGAGTTGGAGAGAAACAGACTTTTCTTTGCATTTGCTGCGGGCGGAAGAGGATGTATCGGGAAAAAGTGAGTGTCTTCATAATCCAAAAAAAAAAATGTGTCGATGATACTAATTAATTCTAGTCTTGCTCTGGTCGAGATGAAGACGCTCCTTCGAAGAATTTATGGAAGATTTGAGACTGAGGTGGCGCTTGAAATGAAGAGTGATATGTCCATCGACGATCAGATTATCGCTTCACGACCGAAGGATCAGAAGTGCCTCCTTACTTTCCGAGAAGTGACACACTAATCTTCGCGCCCTTGCATTCACATGTTCTTATTTCAAGTAGTGCTTGATGATACAATTACTCTTTTTGCTAGAAAAGAATTGAAAAATAAAATTTTACATCCATTGCCTTATGACTTTACCATCAGTTGTCCTTCGAAAGTCTGCCTGAACGCTGAGGCCATAATGCCACTATTCCCCTTTCGGAAGCACCCACTTACCCCGGTTTCACGTGTCTGCTGACTAACCGAATGACATCGTCGCATTCCCCGATGCTCCGTCGTCAACTTCACCAGACGACGCGGCGATGAAGTGATCGTCGCTATCCCCGATTCGATACCTGCTCATCTTTGACGCGTTGCAAAATGATGCGACCGCGCGATCCGCGCTTCCGGCAGAGGATCAATCAGCTCTCCCACAACCTCGAGACCGCGAACGAGACCGCCCAGGAAGGGCTCTACACCTTTTCGCAGAACTACCTCACCCCCTGCTTAGCCGCGGTCGGGACTTGCGTGCAAGCATGTACAGATCCGTGCCTTCCGAGCCGAGAAGATCATCTCAGACGTCGGCGGCGCGGGCGTGCCGAAGCAAACTTTGATTTCTACGATGATTGGGATAATGAGGAAGCCGACGAAACACTGCTGGGTTGGGGCACGGGTGAGCTTGACCGGTTGCTGGCTGGTAGCGGTCTGACGAGGGGAGGTGCTGAGCAGCCGCGTCGCCCTAGACGCATGAGCTATGGGACACGTCACACAAGGCGCAGGAGTGCAGTGCATATTCCTGATAATCACAGCGACCCGACAGTAATTCCGAGTTCGTCATTGATCGGGTTTCTTGAACGGTTCCCCTGGAGATTTGGCGCAAAGGGTGTAAAGTATCGACCGTCAGCGGCGGACTTGCAAGAACACCCTGGTAGTCTGAGGCGGTATAATCAAGATGAGAACGAGCCTTTGATGGAAGCTACAGACGATGGTGGGGGCCGGGTATCTTACGCCGATCATGGGAGGAACCGAAGTTTAACACAGTCGTCGAAAGGAACATCAAACTCCCTGAGTTCTCGCGGCGATCTATTTCCAAGTGACGACGAGGAAGATGCGGTTCCGCTGGACGATGAATTCGCACTTGCCTTTGGCCGTCGGGGAACCGGTCTGGAATCGGATGATCAGTCTGGTATAAAATCGGAGATGTTCAGATCGGCGTCCGGAACGTCTAGCCTTGCGGATGCATCTTCAAGACAGTCAAAGAAGATCAAGAAACAACGATCATCGACGAGATCACGGATGAGCCCAGAACCTGGCGTTACTCACAATGTTGACACGCTTTCCATGGCTGATATCAAAATGGAGGAGGAACGGGCCAGGTTGGAAGAAGAGGCAGCAATCGAGCGAAAACGCTCGGCTGCCCATGAGCTGGCTTTAAAACGTGGTCTAGAGCCGAGTGATACAGATCCGGTATGTTGTTTCCCATGCCATGATGTGGTGAATTACTCGGTTCCTAAATCGCTTCCCTCTTAGTCTGCCCCGACCTCTTATCCCCCAGAGCAAGCATCTGGGATTATTGCAAGTCCCCCTGATGCGCAAGTTTACGAAGTATACATTCCCAAACGTCGTCCTAGAGAAACAAGCGAGTCCTCGGCTCGCCGGTCGTTGGGTGACCAAACCGAGCCATTCCCGCCATTCCCACAACCAACATCGTCGACGACGGCAGGATCTCCAGGCGTCGCGGGTGCGTCGCCTCGATCTGACTCCATAGATCTTTCAGCTGCTACATCGGCTCCGAGGAATAAGTCGCATCTGGATGGCGGAGATACGCCGCAGTAAACCTTGGCTCAACTGCATGACGTCTTTCAACGACCCTTGGCCTTGCCATATTGGCTGTACGATATGATGACTCTTTTGCTTTCTCTGTACTTTATACCCCCGTCGATAATGATTAAATAAAATCGACCACGGTCGCTTTCAAAGCGAACTGCATTTTACATTGTGGCTTTTCCAATTAACCATCCCGCGTCTGCCGGAAAACAAGTGGTTCTCCTAGTTGGTAAAAAATTACTAACATTGCTCTTTTGCGCTAGATTAATTTGCGGCCCCGCAGAACTAGTCGATATACGACGAGGTATCCACACCCCGCTACGGAGCGTCGTCAGCACTCGACTGCCGGTTCCGCAGACATGCGAGTTTCAACACAGGAATGAACCTTTCCCCGTATTCTCAGATAACTTTGAACACTGAGTCACTATCAACCCAAGGCTGCTAGTCAACAGCTCCAGTCCTCCCGTCCACACTCCCGTCACCAACGTCTATCGGCTGCGTCATGGCGAAAGCCGAGAACGATCTCCAGAGCATGCTCTCTAACGGCATGAATCCCAAAGAGCTCCCGTGGTACGAGCCCAGTCTAGATGAGGTCCCGGAGCCGGCGAAGACTCTTCTGGAGAAGTATAGCAAGATCCCGTCGGACCTGGTACTGCAGCATGTGATGGATGTGGTAAGTCACCTCATGGCCTTCGCACTGGGATCATGCAGAACTGATATCCTTGTCCCAGAGAGAGCGCGCCTTCTCGGTTGTGAGTCAACGGTTCTATATGGCGCATGGGCTGGTTTCGACTCGCTGTCGATTACTCTAAGCCAAATTTGCACCTACCCGGAGAGTGAGAACTAACACCAACCAGTTCCCCTATCCTTGCATTGGGTCATTTCGCTTCCTCGACTTGAGTATTCCTCAATCGCCCGTCTATTCCGAGGTTCTCCAGCGACTCAAGTCCGGTGAGAAATTACTCGATGTCGGATGTGCGGTTGGGCAAGAGCTTCGTCAGCTGGTACGTACCACTTTCTTCCCATCAGGAAGAAGAGAGCAGAAAGATATATCGAGTACAAAGAGCGGAACTAATGCATGCAAGGTATTTGATGGCGTTGCTTCCGAAAATATATACGCCTCCGACATGCGTCGAGACTTCTTCGACATCGGCTACGACCTATTCGCCGACAGAAATACCCTCAAATCCGAATTCATCATGGCTGATATCTTCGACGATAACTCAGATCTCGTAAAGAAGCTCACCGGTTCAGTCAATATAGTCAACGCAGCTTCTTTTTTCCACCTTTTCTCCTGGGATCAGCAGGTCCAGGCTATCAAGCGAGTTATCACCTTGCTTCGACCCGAGCCTGGGTCTCTGCTCATCGGTCGACAGGCTGGTCGCGAGGACCCTCATGACCCTGATGATAAGGAGAACTCACCGAGTCATTTTAGACATGATTCTTCTACTTGGAAGAAGCTTTGGGATCAGGTTCGGCGAGAAACGGGCACGAAGTGGCAGGTTGAGACTTGGAAGGAGGAGTGGGCTGATGTTGATCAGGTCATGGCGAAGTATCATGTCGGTGTGCAGACTTATAAGCTTCGATTTGTGTCTAGGAGGATTTGAGGCTTTTTCGCTTGTTATTTAGACGTGGTCTTGAACACAACTGCATCATACTGCTGACTAGAATCATTCTGAGTTGTGCAATTGACAAAATATCCGAACATCTTTCAAAATTCACTCCGTAGGTGGTAAACGCAACCCATGGTTTTCAAGAAACTCTTCAAACCACTAAACTTCAAACCACTCACATTCAATTTCATATATCTTTACAGATACCTGAAGTTGCTCCAAAAGTTCCGACCGTCAGTATGATCGGGCATGTGCTTGCGTAGGAGTGCTTTCCATTCCTTATCTTCTTGACAGTACGCAAGTGATGGGCACGCAGACTCCCACCAAACAGGGTAGAAGCCCGAAGCCTCCCAGTCCAGAATCCCTGTCACGTTGCCATTTCCACTATGATGTTGACATTGGTAAGGTCGCGTGGGTGAATGTGTTGAGAGTGGCTGTTGGCATTTGGGCACGTAGTTTGGAACGGATCTCTTCTGGAACATCAGACAAACACTGAGATATCTCGTTCCATAACTCGTCATCGGATGTCAATGGCCCATTTCCCTCTCCAAATTCGCCTCCGAACAGGAATACACTGTACAGAGGTTTCCCGTCAAGAATTTCCATTTGACTTAATTGGATCCCACGGAGCTGCATCAGATAATCGGCAGTTTGTTTGGCAATATTCTCCTTCTCGGCTTCCGACAACGAAAAACAAGCTTCATTTAGGGGTTTGCCGGGGATTCGTATGGTGAGGAGAAAGTAAGAGCCATTGTCTTCTTCCCACAAATCGACGATCTGAGGTGTCGGTATTGAGGTATTTTCCGATAGGAACTGGTAATTCCTGTACTCGAAATTTGACGACTTCGCGGATCTTTATTTCAGGATCCGACGTGAGCCCAATGACCACACTCCTCGGTCGCTTGCTTCGTAGAATATTTTGATGTGGCTGTTGTAATGGCAGTGTTTCTTGCGTTCCGGTGACCAACTACACGCTGAGCAGGTATTTTCGGCGGCCATCAGAGACAAACGATAAGTGCTGGGAAATTTTGAAATGACTTTGAAGTGAGGCAGGAGTTCTGGGTGTTATGCCTGGAAAGCGGTGGCAGGGTCAAGGATGTCAAGCCCAATGGCGGTTCATTGGGGGAAAAAAAAAAAAATTCGAGCTTAAAAGGCAATATGGAAAGGAACCGACAGATAGTAAGGCTTTTTCGTGCTCGAAGGAATTGGCATACCTCAATAATGAATTCATCCAAGAGGCTCTTAAGAAGGTTTTGTCTGACAACGAATGAAGATTTTCGAACTTGTAAAATCGTTGAATAAACAAGTTAACAATCGACTCCAACTCCCTCCCCTAGGGACCTGGTTCATGCACTTGTATTCGCCTCCAGTCGATGGAAGGTAACATTACCCGACGCATGCCCCATAACAAGGGTGTCACCGGCTGCAATGGCACACGTTGCTCGGTAATCGTGAGGAAGTAGCAAGATTCTCTGCTTTCTACGCACAACCCAATTCTCCTCAACGAAAAAGTCATTATCGACAATCAATTCTTCAGGGTCAAATGAGAGGATGTCTAATTGGCCTATGTCTGTGATAATTTTTCTGCAGTCTTCGGAGACACCGAGGTTCGCTAGTTTGAAGAGACTTGGCGTATTTCAATCAATCACCTTCTGGTTCTTAATAGATATAGAAGTCATTTACCTCTCAATTTGACCGATTTGTGCTAAAATCTTAATCACATCTCTTTACTTACCACCACATCCATGTCATTTTCTCTAATCTCTAGATGTTAGATATTTTGCTGTTCTTAAGCGCTCCTAACTAATTTAGTTAACTAGTGAAGAGGGGAACGCTCGATGGCTGCACGCGCTGAGACGTGCGGGTCGATTCAGCAGAAAAACCACCACAAAACACACGCGTAGCAATCAGGAAACAGCGAGAAGCCCAAATGTAGGGGTCAGGTCGGGGAGGTGTAAGAAGGTGTATTCTAGAACTAGCTATCCGGCCACTGTATACTGCCGGCTATGTCACATAGTCTGGATGGCACCCCTGTAGTAGGGGAGGGGATCTCCCCACTACATACCAGCACACCCAAGTCTCTGGCTGTCCCCAGCCAGACGACATAAAAAAATCAAAATCAACACCAAAACCAAAACACAAACCGAAATGACGACCAATTCTGAATCTAGGGCGGCCAGCCCAACGGGTACAACTGTCAATCAAAAACGCAATCGAGAATGGCAAGGCGGCAAGGCAAATGACTGCGAGTATCAAAAGATGACAGTAGGGGAATGGTCGAATCAGAGATCGGTCGAGGAATTAAACATCAAAATCAAGCATCACCAACCATCAAATAGCACATCAAGATAGATCCACGTCTCTGAGTCAATATGACCACATCGACATCCTTGTGATTAATGTCGACATCGAAATCAGCTTCTCTAGCCGTCGTCGTCAAAGACTAACATCAGAACTAGAAGCAGATTCGGAATCAGAATCAGAATCAGTGGGCAGGTCACCACCAGGAAAGCAGGGCCTTGTAAGGTGTGGAGGCGGGATAGGGTGTCCACCCTCGAGAAGATGAAAATAGGAGTGTACTCCCTAAACTCGCTTTTCGGCCGAAATAATTTGAGGTGTTGAACCACCAAAGAAGCTGCCACGGCAGTCAACACTTGCCACGGCAGTGCTGAAAACATGAAGAAAATCAAAGAAAAGAAAGCATCAACGAAACGAAAGACATAAAAGAAAACCGATCAAAATAGCAAATCACGAAAGAATCAAAGGCCTCCGAGGGTGGCTGAGAGACACACCCCAGCACACCCAAGAACTTGGCCGAGGACGGCCAAGATTGAAAATCAAAGAAAATGCAATATCAAACATCAAAGAAAAACCAAACAACATCGCATCAAACATCAAATCAACAGAAATAGACAAGACAATGGAAAAGAAAGAACACTAGCAACACTAGCAACCTCAACCAGCACACCCACGAGTGTGGCTAATCTCCATCATTCACATCGTCCCCAGAGACGTCATCTTCAACGCTAGCATCGGCATGCCGCTGTCGGCTGAGATCTAGACCTCTATTGTCCATCTCAACTGTCACTGGCGGAAATGACTGTTCTCGAACGCCAGCATCACGATGTAGCCAGAATCTTTTCAAACGATCGCCATTAACGGCACGATGTCGCATTCCATCTCCAGCCGAGAATCCATGGAACATTGGCGTTCCATCTAATTCTTCTAATGCATAGGCGCCATTGCCTAGCACTTCACGTATGCGGTAAGGCCCATGCCACCGATAACGCAGCTTCTGCACGGCTGTCATATTCTCCTTCATTTGCGTGTCGTGTAAGAGCACCAGGTTTCCGACCTCCAAAGGTGAAGATCGGACACTTTTCTGGCTATCAAAATAGGCCTTATTGTTCTCTCGCATCCTCTCATATCGGTGAATGGCCTCTTCCACATCGGCATCTCGCTGTAAGATCTGGCGTCCTCGGAGACTAATCAAATCTTCCCGTGTTGTGATCGTCTCCCATGGTAATGTAGACCATGTAGGCACTTCTGCCTCAAGTGGCAGAATGGCATCCCTTCCAAATAGAAATCGAAATGGTGTCATACCAGTAGTGGCACACACTGTCATACGATCAGCTAATAGCGCAGCATAGAAACATGCTCGCCAGGAAGGTGGGGGAATGCGAACTGATCGTGAACGCTGGGAAGCTGTTGTGGTTCCAGCAGCATTTTCTGCTGAATAGCCATGTGTCATCTTCGAGATGGCATCCTTAAATGTTCGCATGCTGCGCTCAATGGCACCATTCGAACCGGCATTATAGGGTGCAATTGCCACTCTCTTGATGCCCTTAGCCTGCAGAAAAAGCTGCACTTCCGAACGAAACTCAGGGCCCTTATCCATCACGATACGAAGTGGCCATCCATAGCGGCAAATGATGTCCTGCCATATGAAATCACAAACTGCCTTGCCGGTCGCTTTCCCTTTCAGCGGCTTCGCCTCCACCCATCCACTTAACGCCTCTCTTGCCTGAACCATGCATCTGTAACCATCTTCGTCAGGCAATGCTGCAGTGTCAATGAACACCTGGTCCCACACATTCTGCACTCGATTTGGAAGTAGCGGTTCTTCCACGCGAATGGGGTTCCGAAACTGGCAATTTGGGCATCCTCGGACGTATTCAGCGACCTGGGTGTACATCCCCTCCCACCAGTATCGAATCTTCAACAGTGCATATGTCGCCTCACGACCTTTATGCCCCATTCCATCATGTGCTTCAGATACGACACGCTTTCGATCATCTTCACCATCTAGAACACGACGCAGTGGCATATTCAGGCCCTTCCCCCTATAGAAAAGGTGCTCTCCCTGAACCACGAAATTGCTGGCGTGCTTCTTGAAGTGGTTGTATTGGCGAGGGGACATGCCACTAGGCCTCCTGATCGAAACGCACCACTGCGCAATCTTTTCTGATTCATCTGAATATGAATCATCCAACATTCTCATCCTCATTTTCTCACCAACATGAACATCAACGTTCCCCACATCATCCTCAACACTGTCCATTAATTGTCCACCGATAGACGTCTCCACTGGATTCATCATCACCCTGAGGGTGCTTATTTCGGCCAAAATAAATTCATCAACATCCTCTTCGTTCTTTTGTTCGGCAATCTCCTCAGCAGAATATGGCCGTCTTGAAAGAGCATCAGCAGCGCCGTGTTTCCGGCCAGGAACATGATGGACATCGAAATCAAACAGGCGAATCCAAGCAATCCAGCTAGTCACCAATGCGCCAGGCAGGTCCGTTGCTGACCTGTTCAACTGCGCCACCAACGTCTTCGCATCAATCTCGAGAGTGAAATGGACACCATACAGCCAATGTCTGAACTTCTTCAACGCCTTCAGAACACCTCGGCACTCTCGCTTCCCCGCGTCATAAAATCTTTCAGTTTCAGACCACATGCCTGATTCATAACGTGCTGGCTTCCTAACAGCACTCCGCACTTGCATCATCACACTTCCCCATCCACTGGCTGATGAATCAACTGCCACCACTATGACTAGTGGGTCGTATTCATAATCAATTGGCAGGACAACCGGAAATGTCGACAATATCCGCTTCGTCTCATCAAATGACTGCTGCTGCTCCTTGCCCCATTGGAAATGGGCACCCGACTTCATCAGTTTATAAAGCGGGGCTATGATCATAGCGAAACCAGCGATCACAACGCGAAAGTAAACAGCGAGGCCAACGAATGACCTCACCTCTGAGACGCATGTTGGCGTTGGCCAATCAACCAACTTAGCCACCTTAATTTCATCAGGGCGACGCCCACTGGCGTCACATATCCAACCAACGACAGCAACACCTTGCATCACAAACTGCGATTTTTCGGCCGAAATAACCATCCCGGCCAACTCCAGCAGATACAGAGTATGATCAAGATTCTGGAGGTGCTCGAGCACATAGCGCCGAACGCCTGGTAGCGCCATCTCGCCATTATAGTCTGTCTTTGGCCCCTTGATACCGAAATCATCAAGATAGGCCTCAACCACTGAACCATAAATCTCTGAAAGCACGAATTGAACCACTCTCTGACACTGGGGAACCGAATTTGCGGCACCTTGCAGGATAGTGGTCGCACGGAGAAGACCGAGTGGCGTCATGATTGCTGTCAGATCCCGGCAACGCTCATCCAATGTGATCTGATCATATCCTGAAAATAGATCAACAACTGAGCAAAGCTGCATCCCTGCGAAATCTTCTGCGAATTCATCAATGTTAGGCGGCATATTCGCATCACGAATAGTGACACTATTCAATTTCATCGCCGCAATCACCAATCTGAACTTCTTCGCAGCCTTCTTTTTCACCAAGAACCATGGATTTCGATATGCGCCATGGCAAGGCTCCAAGGTGCCCTTCTTCAATCGATCTTCCAGCATCTCGATCACCGTCTTATGTAGCGCCCGTGGAACCATGAATCCTGGCTCTTGCCAC